GATTTGATTTAGTTAGTTAGTTAATTATTTAATTAGACACTTTTAATGTATTATCTTAGTTTTTAAAACCATAATTTATATTTTAAAACTAATTTTAAATATATAAGATCATTATACTATCAATTATCAATAGTCAAGTCAATGAGTTACTTCACAATTACGCTCAAATTCTATCTATTACTCATGGCGCTATACTATTTTTTCAAAATTTATATATTGAATTAATCATTACAATAAATTGATAATAAATATTTTATCACTTTTTAAATAATTTTTTGGATATTATTACAAATTAAAAATAATTAAAAATCTAATTTTATTATAAAATTTAGCTCAATATATACGATACTTTAAGTCTATTTTTATTTTTTAAAAAAATTCAGATAGAAAAACGATTTAAATTTCAAAATATTGATTTAGTTAGTTAATTTTTTAATTAGACACTATAAATATTATATCTTAATTTTTGAAAACCATAAATTATATTTTAAAACTAATTCTAGATATATAAGATCATTATACTATCAATTATCAATAGTCAAGTCAATGAGTTACTTCAAAATTACGCTCAAATTCTATCTATTACTCATGGCGCTATACTATTTTTTCAAAAGTTATATAATGAAATAATCATTGCTATAAATTGATAATAAATGTTTTATCACTTTTTAAATAATTTTTGGATATTATCAAGAATTTAATATAATTAAAAATCTAATTTTATTTTTAAATTTAGCTCAATATATACCATATTTTAAGTCTATTTTTATTTTTAAAAATTAATTAAGATATATAAATGATTTAAATTTCAAAATATTAATTTGATTTAGCTAGTTAGTTAATTATTTAGTTAGACACTTTTAATAAATTATCTTAATTTTTAAAACCATAAATTATATTTTAAAACTAATTCTAGATATATAAGATCATAAAACTATCAATTATCAATAGTCAAGTCAATGAGTTACTTCTCAATTACGCTCAAATTCTATCTATTACTCATGGCGCTGTACTATTTTTTCAAAAGTTATATAATGAAATAATCATTGCTATAAATTGATAATAAATGTTTTATCACTTTTTAAATAATTTTTGGATATTATCAAGAATTTAATATAATTAAAAATCTAATTTTATTTTTAAATTTAGCTCAATATATACCATACTTTAAGTCTATTTTTATTTTTAAAAATTAATTAAGATATATAAATGATTTAAATTTCAAAATATTAATTTGATTTAGCTAGTTAGTTAATTATTTAGTTAGACACTTTTAATAAATTATCTTAATTTTTAAAACCATAAATTATATACTAAAATTAATTCTATATTAGATAATTAGACTATCAATTATTAATAGTCAAGTCAATGAGTTACTTCATAATTACACTCAAATTCTATCTATTACTCATGGCGCTGTACTATTTTTTCAAAAATTATATAATGAATTAATCATTACTATAAATTGATAATAAATATTTTATCACTTTTTAAATAATTATTGGATATTATCAAGAATTTAAAATAATTAAAATCTAATTTTATTATAAAATTTAGCTAGTTCAATAAATACCATGCTTTAAATCTATTTTTATTTTTTAAAAATAATTAAGATAGAAAAATTATTTAAATTTCAAAATATTGATTTAGTTAGTTAATTTTTTAATTAGACACTATAAATATTTTATCTTAATTTTTAAAACCATAAATTATATTTTAAAACTAATTTTAAATATATAAAATCATTAGATTATCAATTATCAATAGTCAAGTCAATGAGTTACTTCACAATTACGCTCAAATTCTATCTATTACTCATGGCGCTGCACTGTTTTTTTCAAAAGTTATTTTAAACTAATTTTTATCTTAATATGATAATAAATATTTTATTATTTATTATAAATTCTTTGAAATCTAATTTAATAAGAATTTTTAGTTAGGTATATTTATGCTTTAAGCCAATTTTACTTTTAAAGATTGATTAAGATAGAAAAAATTTTTTAACTTTAAAATATTAATTTGATTGGGTTAGTTGTTTAGTTAGCTATTTAATTAGACACTTTGAATATATTATCCTAAATTTCAAAACCATAAAATATATTTTAAACTAAATATTGAATTTATTATTTCAATAGACAATTAACTATCAAAAAATAGTCAAGCCAATGAGTTACTTCTCTAAATTTAAATTGCTTATCTGAATCACGGATGAGTTACTTGATCATTAGGCTCAAATTCTAACTCAATACGCTGTACTATTTTTTTTAATGAAATATTTAAGTTATTTATTTATTACCCTAATTTGAAAAATATATTTAACCATTAATAAAAAAACATTAATAAGTATTAATGTATGAGCAAATAGAATTAAATCAAATTTAAGATAATGCTTAGTTAGTAAAATACTTTAAATGAATTAAAATTTATTTTTAAACTAATGATTTGAGTTTATTAGAGACTTTAAGAATTTTATTTTCATTATTAAAACCATAAATTATTTTATTAAGCTAACTCTAATTTTTTCATCTTATTAGTTAACTAATTGCCAATAGTCAAGTCAGTGAGTTGCTTCATTATTTCACTCAAATTATTTTTATTACTTATGGATCAGTTACTTGATGTTTATGCTCAAATTCTATCTATTATGGCATAGTACTATTTTTTTCAAAAGTTATTATTGCTCTAAAAAAAAGCTATCATTAGTATTAGTTAGTACATTAAAAAATAATACTAAATTTAATTTAATTATAAAATTTAGTTAGGTAGATAGATACTTTAAATCAGTATTTATTTTTAAAGAATGAATAAGAAAGAAAAATGAATTAAAATTTATTTTTTAAATTATAATTTTATTTAATTAATTAGACACTTTAAATAATTTGTTTCAATTTAGAAAACCATAAATTATATTATTAAGTTAATTCTGAATATATGAGATCAATATAATATTAATTATCAATAGTCAAGTCAATGAGTTACTTCATAATTTTAAGCTTCTCAAATTCTATCTATTACTCATGGCGCTGTACTTTTTTTTAAATATTATTTATCATAAATTATGACCCTAACCTACCTAATATGAAAAGTATATTTTAGCTAAATAAAAAATTTTTTTTAGTATTTAAGAATGAAAAAATAATATTAATTGCAATTTAACTACAAAGTTATGCTAATTAATTTTATACTTTAAATCAGTTATTATTTTTATAGGTTCATTTTAATAGTAAATTTCTAATTTAATTCTCAAAATAGATAAGTAGATAGAGGCATTAATTATTTTTTGATGAAAATGTGAATTAAAAAAATTATCAAAACTAATATTTAAAGTATTAATTTAAAATGAGATAGAAGCTTTAAACAATTGATATTATTTTAGAAACATAAAGATATTATTAATCTAAAGTAAATAGTTAACAGAGTTATACAATCAATTAGTTATCAATAGCCTAATCAATAAGTTATTTCAAATTTTTTTCTGTGAATTCAAACTTATTATTAATGGTGCTGTAATTTTTAAAAAATTTATGTGAAAACCTTAATTAATTTGATTAAATTTTTTAATTTTAAAAAAATTAAAATTAAAAAATTTTAATTAAAAATAAAAGTTAAATCTAATTATGTTTCAAATATATTAAATAAATATGTCTATTAAGTTAAAAAAATTAAGTTTGTAAGATCAGTAAAAATTAATTAAAAATTTATTTATAAATATTAATTTGATATAATTAGACAATTTAATTATTCTATTTTGATATTAGAAACCATAAATTATATTATTAAGCTAATTCTGAATATATAAATAAGCTCAAAAAAATATAAATTATTCATAGTCAAGTCAATGAGTTACTTCATAATTTTCTTAAATTCTATCTATCTATTACTCATGGCACTGTACTATTTTTCAGAAGTTATTTTAAAGTAAATTTTTAACATAAAATGCTACTTAATATTTTATCGCTTTTTTTTTAAAGTTTTTAAATTTTAAAAAAATTATTTAAAATCTAATTTAATCATAAGATTTAGCAAATAACATACTTTAAGTCAACTTTAATTTTAAAGATTCATTAAGATACAAAATGATTTAAATTTAAAAGTATTGATTTGATTTAGTTGATTAATTATTTAATTAGACACTTTTAATATATTATCTTAATTTTTAAAACCATAAATTATATTTTAAAACTAATTCTAGACATATAAATTTTATAGACTATCAATTATCAATAGTCAAGTCAATGAGTTACTTCAAAATTACGCCTAAATTCTATCTACTACTCATGGCACTATACTATTTTTTCAAAAGTAATCACTTTTTAAAAAGTTTTTGAGCATTATAAATACTTAAAAATAATTTTAAATCTAATTTAATTACAAATTTATCAAATTAATACATACATGCTTTAGTCAATTTTTATTTTAAAGATTCATTAAGATACAAAATGATTTAAATATTAAAGTATTGATTTGATTTAGTTGATTAATTATTTAATTAGACACTTTTAATATATTATCTTAATTTTTAAAACCATAAATTATATTTTAAAACTAATTCTAGACATATAAATTTTATAGACTATCAATTATCAATAGTCAAGTCAATGAGTTACTTCAAAATTACGCTTAAATTCTATCTACTACTCATGGCGCTATATTATTTTTTCAAAAGTAATCACTTTTTAAAAAGTTTTTGAGCATTACAAACTCTTAAAAAAATATTTTAAATCTAATTTAATTACAAGATTTATCCACTAAATACATATTTAGTCAATTTTTATTTTAAAGATTCATTAAGATAAAAAAATGATTTAAATTTTATAATGTTGATTAGATTGAGTTAGTTTAGTTATTTAATTAGACGCATTTAATATATTGTCTTAATTTCCAAAACCATATATTATATTTTCAAATTAATTTTAAATATATAAGTTCAATATTATATTAATTATTAATAGTCAAGTCAATGAGTTACTTCATAATTACGTTCAAATTCTATCTATTACTCATGGCACCAAACTATTTTTTGAGGCATTTTTGTTTTAAAATAAATTTTTATTAACATATGTTAATGAATATTTGTTGCTTTTTTAAAAGTTTTTGATTTATTAATTCAGAAATATTTTTTAATCAAATTTAATAATAAGATTAAGCTTAAATGCATACATACATACATACATACATACATACATACATACATACATACATACATACATACTTGAAGTCAATTTTTATTTTTAAAGATAATTTAAATATTTTATCTTAATTTTGAAAGCCATAAATTACATTTTAAAGTTAATTCTAGAAATATAATCTGAGATTAACAATAATATATTAGTCAAGCGAACTACTCTAGGTGTATGCTGTAATCTTTTTTCAAATGTTATCACTTTTTAAAAAGTTTTTGAGTTTTATTTACTTAAAAAATTATTAAATATCTAATTTAGTTATTAAATTTAGCTAAATAAATGCTTTTCGCCAATTTATTTTGAAAGATTAATTAAGATAGAAAAAGAATGGAAATTTTTAAATATAAATTTGATTAAATTAGTTAGTTAGTTAGATAGATAGATAGTTATTTAATTAGACACTTTAAATATTTTATCTTAATCTTCAAAACCACAAATTACTTTATAAAATTAATTTTAGATATATAAGCTCAATACACTAACAATTATCAATAGTCAAGTCAATGAGTTACTTCATAATTGCATGCAAATTCTCTCTATTACTCACGGCGCTCTACTATTTTTTTCGGATGTTATTTTATGGTAAATTATTATCATAAAATGATAATAAATATATTATCCCTTTATCTAATTTAATTATTTAAGTGAGCAGTTTAACTCATTTATTTTTAAAGATTCATTCTTAATATAGAAAAATGAGTTAAATTTTTAAATATTGATTTGATTGAGCCATTTAGTCATTTAATTAGACACTTTAAATATTTATATTAATTTTCAAAACCATAAATTACTTAATAAAATTAATTCTAGATATATAAGCTCAATATACTATAGATTATTTATTGTCAAGCCAATGAGTTACTTCATCATTAAGTCTTCTTCTAATGTTAGACTATTTATTATCAATAGTCTTTCAATAGAATTATACTAATTATTCTCTATTACTCATGGCGCTGTACTTTTTTCAAAAAATAATTTAAAATAAATAATTAGGTTAATAAGAAAAATAAATTTATTTTAGCTAATTTAAAAAACTCTTTTTAGTATTTTTGCATGAAAAAATAATATTAAATAAAATTTAATTACAAAGTTATGCTAATTTTATACATTAAATCAGTTAAAATTTTTATAGGTTGATTAATGTATTAAATTTCTAATTTATTTCTCAAAATGCGTAAGTAGATGCTTTAATTATTTTTGATGATTATGTGAATTGAAAATGTAAATCAAAAATAATATTTAAAGTATTTATTTAAAATAAATTAGACCCTTTAAATAATTTATATTAATTTTAGAAATCATAAACAAACTATTAATTTAAAACTAAATAGTTATTTATAGTCTTGATAGAATGAATTAGTTATCAACAACCAAGTCAATAAGTTAGTTACTTATATTTTTCTCTTAAAATTCTAACTTATTACTAATGGTGCTGTAATTTTTCTTATTTACTTGAAAGCCTTAATTAATTTTTTAATTTTGATAATAAAATTTTTTTAAAAAAATTAATTACAACACAAATTAAAAAGTACATAAAAAATAATGAAAATTTATGCTAACTATTTTTAATTTGAAAAAAGCGATTGCTTCTAAAAAAGTAGAAATAAATGACTAAATTTCATGAGTTATGAATTTAAATTTGATGGTATACTAGTCTTTTATAGACTCCATTTTAAGCTATAAGTTATGAATGATTTCCATACTCTTTTATTTCACCATTTTCCATTACATAAATTACATCGCTTTTTACTATAGTGCTAAGTCTATGAGCTATCACTATAATTGTGATTCCTCTGTAACCCATGAGTTAGTCTATATATTTTTGTACTAAATGCTCACTTTAAGCATCTAAAGAGCTTGTGGCTTCATCTAATATTAAAATACTTGGCTTTTTCATCAGAGCTCTTGCTATTGCTATTCTTTGCTTTTATCCGCCACTCAATTTAATGCCTTTAGACCCTACTAGAGTTTTTAGGCCTTCAGGAAATCTTTATTCATCAAAGACAAATTCACTCACTCCACTAACATCACAAATTTATCTTAATTCCTCTTAAGTATATTTACCATCTTAACATCCATATGTAATGTTGTATTCTATATCATTATCAAAGAGAGAAGGTTCTTAATTAACTAACCCAATGCTGCCTCTTAAGTAGTTTAAAGGAATATCTTTGATGTTTTTATCATCCAACATTATAACACCTTCTTCAACATCATAGTATCTTTCAATTAGTTTTACTAGAGTTGATTTTCCACTTCCACTCATTCCAACAAAAGCTACTAATTAACCTGGTTTTATTTCAAAATTGATGTTTTATAAAACGTATTTTCGCTAGAGTTTATATTTATCTTTTAATTAGGTTTAATCTAGTGAGTTTTAAGAATCAAAACCATCCAAGGAACTATGGCTATCTAATTCTTAGTTACAATCTTAAAGAGAAGATTCAGATTCTGAACTATCATAATCAACTTCAGAATCCTATTTATCAATTTGCTTTTACTTGAAAAGTGAATCTGTTGTAATTGGATATTTAAAATTTACATTTTCAAACTTTATACTTCCTTTTAAATATTAAATAGGTTAATTTTTCTCGCTACTTATATTATTATCTTTTATTTTAGGTTTTATTTCGAAGAGCCTCATAACCTTTCCAATATATTTATATTTTTTATGGTAATATTTAGCAGGTTTGCTGATAATTACCTTAGAAATATCTTTTGAAAGTAAGATTGCACTGTAAACATAAACTAAAATCTCTGCAAGACTGTTAATAATTATGCTTTTATTTTAAGAATCTTCAAGACCAGAAATTACTAAAAGCAAAATGATTCCTAATTTCATAGCATGAAAACAAAAGTTTCTTATTAAATATTTGAGTTACTTTAAATACTCAATTTAGTTTTGATTTTTGCTGTTATCATTTATTATTTTTGTCAGATTTTCAATTTCATTTTGTTCTTTGTTAAATATTTTAATTAAATGAATATTTGTAATAATATCATCCAAAGCAAAGACTTTGTATTCGTTTTAGAAATCAGTATTCTTTTCAGATTTTTGTTTTTTTATGTTAATAAAATAATTAATGATAGCACCAATTATTGCAATAACAGAAACAAACAAAAATATTTAAGGACTCTAGCAATAAACAAAAATAAGTTGACTAATTATTTCAGTATACTAGTTAAAAATTTTGGTAAACTTTCCATAAGATATTTCAGATGTGATCTATTCTGCTCCTTCTTATACAATATTTGAAAGATATGTAACCTTATTATCCTCAAAGAATTAGATGTCTAGACTAAATAAATGCTCTAAAATTGATTTTTATATTCTTTATCTAGCTATATCGTTTGTATTAAAATAGTATTACAATTCTTAATAGTGTAAAATTTATTCTATTATTTAGCATACAATGTAACAAAAAAGGAGATATTTGACTTAAGAATAATTCTATTCCTACAAACTTTATTTGAGTTCTATCATTAAGAAGGGTTCATAAGCTAAAATAAGTGAGCAAATAATAAAATTTAAGTTAACTATGAAAAATCCTCTCCAGTCAATCTTCATGAATTTTAAATAAAACCTCCAAATTTAAAATTGAGATGGAATCTCCTTTTTTTTAGATTTCTATATTTCATCTTTTTTACTCACTTCATTTTGAAGAGAGCAATTAGCAAACGATTTCAGTTTTTCTAGATATTACATTTATAATTATTATTTAATTTTTATAATTTACTAAATAAAATACCTCACAATTTAGGCAAAGATTAAAAAAATAGTAATACACATTAAGAATTATTGTAAAAATGGAATATCAAAAATTAAAAATAAATAATTTACTAAATTTTTTTAATCAAAACCTGATAAGAGTCTCTATTGTCTATAATTTAATAAAAGAATATACTTTAATAGACAAAAATATATCAGATTTTAAAAGTTAATTTTGTTTAGTAATCAAAACAAATAATATCTACTAAGTATCATAAAGGGAAGTTAAAAAGTTTATCTTATAGCCTTCATTCTTATATTGTGCGGTGCTTAAAAAATAAATTTGAACTAAAAATTCAATAAAATATATCATATTATGATTCTACAACATTTTTTTGCTGAAACCAAAATTACCTTCATTAAGAGGTTTGTCTAAAATTAAATTTAATTAATTCATCATAATATTGTCTATAAATAATATGTTGATGGATTAATAAATAGCTAAGTTAAAGGTAAATGAGTATGTTTGCTTATTTTATTTAGATTATTAAAAATAAAAAAATTCTTAATAGGTTAATATTCTTCTTATGTAAATTAATAGATTTTATTGGTCAAAAGAATTAATTATATACTATAAATTCACATAATTTTGTACTCAACTATAATAAAAATATGTATAGCCGATCCTGGTTTTAAAATTAAATATTTCAAGATAAATTTTTAAACAAAACGAATTTAAATTAAAAAAAATACATAACATATATTTATAAATATATATTTATCATTTATTTATATAACTCTATTTTAATTGTGATAAAATTTAAATATCAAGATCATTAAGTTTATTGCTACTACCAGAGCACCTGTTCATAAAATTATCTATAAATTTCTACTATAATTTCTCAGATTTTAATATTAAATTTTACTTTTCATAGTGACTTAAACTATTTTCTATATTAGTATTTTAAATAAAAATGCTATTTTATAAAAAAATTTACCATATTAATCAAAGCTATTCTCTATATTTTTTTAGTCTAAATCTAAAATATTAGATGAAAGTCCGATACATTTCAAAGCTGCTAACTAATCTTAAGTAAGTATAAGCATGATAGCTTTCTTCAAGAACATAAAGTCTGAAAAGAAGTTTAAAATATTTAATTCACCCAAAAGTTATTTTTAAATTGCTTAGATCTGCCTTTAAGTATTTAAATAATTCACTTTTTCTTACCTTCGTTTACAAATTCTTTTTTATAAAAATTAAATATATTTTAGCTTATTATTTATTTATTTATTTATTAATTTATTTATATATATATATATTTATTTATTTATTTGTTTGTTTTACTTATATCCAAATATGAGATTTTTGACTTTATCAGAATACCCCATCTTCTACATTTCAGATATTCTCTGCTTGTAACTATTTGAATTCTTTTTTTCAGATATCTCTTCATTGGCTTTTTCTTGTTTTTATTTTAATTCATATTAATAGCTTTTCTTTTTAACAGCATTATTTTCTTATGTACTTGAAGTCTTTTAATTAAAAATACTTTCTTTGGTTTTACTCTTTTTCAAAGTTTATTTTTTTAGCTAAAAGAATGGTTTTTGGCTTATTTAGTTTAAAGGTTTCTAATTTAATATTTATGACTCTTTAAAGCTAAAGCTCAAATTATCTAAATATTTAAACTTATTTTATGTATTTTCCACAATATTTTATTATTCATTGATTGCAACGCTAAAATTTAAAGTGTCTTATAATTAGCTGGTTTGACCATTCTATATTGAGAAAGTTGAAAGTTTACCATCTAATTGTTATTTAAACTTATTATAGAAGGAAGGAATTAATTATGATGGGGTAATTACATCACTCTCTTTAACATCATCTATTTCTATTTCCTCTTCTTTATTTAATATTTAATTTGTTTTATCCTCTTGAGATATTTACTTTTTTAATTGTTACTAATTGCTATTTTGTTATTAATCTAATTACTAATTCAAACAATCTTGTTTTAAAACTTGAAAAAGGGTGTCTTGATAAATATTATTTAAAAATAGTAAGAGAAAGTCTTTTCGTATTGATTTTAATGATATAGCTCTGCCAACCACACCAACCATCATCAAAAGTGTTAGTGTACTATTGACCTAAGAAAATACTTAAGGAAGCGAAGGATATTAAATTTCTGTTTGCTACACTACTTCATCTAGATATATCAACATTTTACTGTATGGCTCTACACCAACATATTTACTTGTATAATTCCTATCTAAAGTTTAATCTTACTAAGTATAAGAAATAGGTGAAGAAAACGAAGTTTGCTCTTAAATTAAAAGTCCTTTTTTAACAGAAGTAACTTATTTTTAAATCTTTATTCTGGATAGTATTTACTAGTTAGCTAACGTGAACACATATGCATTTCTATAACTGTTTTATACTTCTTAGGATGATGTATTATACTACGAAGTTAACAACTATAGTCTCAAAACAGCATTTTAACCATTTATTATTCTGTCAATTTCTTTTTAACTAGCACAATTTTCAGGGATATAGGTCTTAACATCATCTTAATCATAGCACCCATAGGTGTTTATATTAATTTAAGAGATTAAACTATTTTTTGTATCTAAGGAGAGAGTGTGATTTAAAATTTTAGAGAAATTTAAACATTTAAATCCTATTAGAATAGGATTAGTGCAATCAATAACATCTAACTAAATGACTACTTGTTCACTTCTATTAAAAAGGTAAAATTAAGCCATATAAACGACATAAGTTTTATTCTAATCTTTTTAGATTAAGTCTATGCTAAGGTTTGTGTCATATTCATACCTGAAAGCAACCAAATCTTTATTTAATGTAAGATCAATTTATGTATCGTGTATAAATGTTTGGGATCTAAAACTTGGCTCAATGTAATTATTTGCATAATCATACATAATGGAAAGAAAATAAATAAAAATTCCTAAAATAACAAAAACTGTTAGTATGGTTCCAAAAAGAGTACCCTTTTTTAATTAATTGCCTACATTGAATGAGAACTATGATGAGAATAAATCTAATTTTGAGTATATCATTTATAAACAATATTCTTTTAATTTGATAATTATTTTTGATGGTAATTTTCTTCTACTTTTCTATTTGTTAAAATCACTGTTTTTTAATTTAATTGGTATGTTTTTTAAATGTGCACACTACATGTAAAAAATTAAGATTAATAATGTAATCTAAGGAGATTTTAATTATTTAACATCTGTTTTAATCATACATTTAATTATAATCGAAATTCTCAAATACAATTAAAAAGCTGTTTGTTTTAACTTATTAAAAAATAAAAAACTATTTAAATTGACTAATATATTTTTTTCTAAACTATTATTTATTGTTTTTATTTAAAGAATTAATAATCATGATTTCTAAAAACAAACTCGTCAACCAGCAATATATTTTCTTAAATATTTCTAAAATGAGCAAATTAATTAATGTTAATAATTAATTAAAGTAATAATTATATTTTAATTTCAAATTTTATTTAAAATACAAACCAAGTTTATTTTGAGATATTAATCAATAGAAATTTTAAATTAAGTTCAAAATAAATTTATTAAATATGTCTATATATGTCTTAGAGAGATATTAATTTTAAATATAATATTTTTAAGAATCTAATAAATTACATAAGCTAACATTAATGAGTAAATAATAAAATTTAAGTTAACTATGAAAAATCCTATCTATCCAATCTTCATGAATTTTAAATAAAACCTCCAAATTTAAAATTGAGATGGAATCTCCTTTTTTAAGATCTCTATTTTTCGTCTATTTTACTCATTTCACCCCGAAGAGAGCAATTAAAAAATGATTTTAGTTTTTCTAGATATTACAATTTTTATAATTTACTATATAAGATACCTATAAACTAAGACAAGGATTAAAAAATAGTAACATATATTAAGAACTATTGTAGAATTTGGAATATCAAAAATGAAATAATTTTATTAAATTTCTGAACAAAATCTGGTAAGAATTTTATTTCCAAGAATTCAATAAAAGAATATAGATTAAGTATAAAAAATATATCATATAGCTATTTTCAGAAAAATATTTATTGAATTAGAAATATAGACTTAGTAGAATAGTAAATATTATTTAATATAATATAAAAAAAATTAAAATAAATAAAAAAAAGGTTTTGAACCTGATAGAAGAAAAAAATCAAAAATTTAAATAGTTTACGATAAAATTTGTAAACAAAATCAATTTAAAAAAAAATACATATACATACATATATATTTCATTTATTTATATAACTCTATTTCAATTGTGATAAAATTTAAATATCAAGATCATTAAGATTATTGCTACTACCAGAGCACCTGTTCAAAAAATTTTCTATAAACTTCTACTATAATTTCTCAGATTTTAATATTAAATTTTACTTTTCATAGTGACTTAAACTATTTTCTATATTAGTATTTTTAATAAAAACGCTATTTTATAAAATAATTTACCATATTAATCAAAGCTATTCTCTATATTATTTTAGTCTAAATCTAAATTATTAGATGAAAGTCCGATATATTTCAAAGCTGCTAACTAATCTTAAGTAAGTATAAGCATGATAGCTTTCTTCAAGAACATAAAGTCTGAAAAGAAGTTTAAAATATTTAATTCGCTCAAAAGTTATTTTTAAATTGCTTAGATCTGCCTTTAAGTATTTAAATAATTCTCTTTTTCTTTCCTTCGTTTACAAATTCTTTTTTAATAAAAGTTAAATATATTTAACTAATTATTTATTTATTTATTTGTTTGTTTGTTTTACTTATATCCAAATATGAGATTTTTAACTTTATCAGAAAACCCCATTTTCTACATTTCAGATATTCTCTGCTTGTAATTGCTTGAATTCTATTTTTCAGATATCTCTTCCTCGGCTTTTGCTTGTTTTTATTTTTATTAGTATTAAGAACTTTTCTTTTTAACAGAATTATTTTCTTTTGTACTTGAAGTCTTTTAATTAATAATACTTTCTTTGATTTTATTTTTTTTCATAGTTTAATTGCTTAGCTAAAAAAATGATTTTAAGTTTATTTAATTTAAAGATTTCTATTTTAGTATTTATTACTCTTTACAGCTAAAATTCAAATTATCCAAACATTTAAACTTATTTTATGCATTTTCCATATATTACTATTCATAGATTTATATGCTAACATTTAAAGTATCTTATAATTAATTGGTTTGATCATTCTATATTGAGAAAGTTGAAAGTTTACCATCTAATTGTTATTTTTGCTTACTTTAGAAGGAAGGAATTAATTATGATGGGGTTAGCTCATCACTCTCTTTAACATCATTTAATTCTATTTCCTCTTCTTTATTTAATATTTATTTTGTTTTTTCCTCTTCTGGTATTTACTTTTTTAATTGTTACTAATTGTTATTTTGTTATTAATCTAATTAATAATTAATTGAATCTTGTTTTAAAATTTGAAAAAGGGTGTCTTGATAAATATTATTTAAAAATAGTAAGAGAAAGTCTTTTCGTATTGATTTTGATGATACAGCTCTGCCAATCACACCAACCATCATCAAAAGTGTAAGTGTACTATTAACTTAAGAAAATACTTAAGGAAGTGAAGGATATTAAATTTCTGTTTGCTATACTAATTCATCTAGATATATCAGCATTTTACTGTATGGCTCTACACCAACATATTTATCTGTATAATTCTTATCTAAAGTTTAATCTTACTAAGTATAAGAAATAGGTGATGAAAACGAAGTTTTTTCTTAAATTAATAGTCCTTTTTTAACAGAAGTAACTTATTTTTAAACCTTTATTCTGGATAGTATTTACTAGTTAGCTAACGTGAACACATACGCATTTCTATAACTATTTTGTACTTCTTAAGATGATGTATTATACTACGAAGTTAACAACTATAGCCTCAAAACACCATTCTAACCATTTATAATACTGTCAATTTCTTTTTAATTAGCACAATTTTCAGGAATGTATGTCTTAAAATTGTCTAAATCATAGCACCCATAGGTGTTTATATTAATTTAAGATACTAAACTATTTTTTGTATCTAAGGAGAGAGTGTAATTTAAAATTTTAGAGAAATTTAAACATTTAAATCCTATTAGAATAGGATTAGTGCAATCAATAACATCTAACTAAACGACTACTTGTTCGCTTCTATTAAAGAGATAAAAGTAAGCCATATAAACAACATAGGTTTTATTCTAATTTTTTTAGATTAAGTCTACGCTAAGGTTCGTGTCGTATTCATACCTGAAGGCAACCAAATCTTTATTTAATGTAAGATCAATTTATGTATCATGTATAAATGTTTGAGATCTAAAACTTGGCTCAATATAATTATTTGCATAATCATACATAATTGAAACAAAATAAATAAAAATTGCTAAAATAACAAAAATCGTGAGTATGGTTCCAAAAAGAGTACCCTTTTTTACTTAATTTCCTACATTGAATGAGAACTATGATGAGAATAAATCTAATTTTGAGTAAATCATTTACAAACAATTTTATTATAATTTGATACTAATTTTTTATGGTAATTTACTTCTACTTTTATAGTTGTTAAAATCACTGTTTTTTAATTAATAGCTATTTGCGAAAGAAAAATTAAGTGGTTTATATTTCACTAAAAACTTAATTGGGATATTTTAAAAAATAATAAATAAATTATAAAAAAAATTTATAATCGATTTAAAATTAATATAATTATTCATTTGAATTTGAGAATTTAAGATAATTTACCTAATGATCTATAAACTTTGCTTTTTTTTTTGTGAATTTTTTAATTGTAAAATTTTTAATTATTTGGAAAAAAATTTTGTATCTTAATATGACTTTGAATTAATAAGTGAGGATTTATAATTAATAACTTAAACTTTTTAGGTTAATATTTAAAAGTATTTGTTTGTTTTTCTAAGGTAAATTATTTCAAATATTTAATTTTATATTAAAAAATAATAAAATATTTCACAAACAAAATATATATTTTCTGAAAAAAAAATAGAAAAAACAACAAATTAATAAAACAGTTTATATATTTGTTCAAAAAATAATAAGTATTTCAATCAAATAATCTTCTTGGGATATCTTTAATTCTCATTTCTTTAAAAGGTTGATTAAAATCAAAGGTAAAAACTGATAGTAATTCAGTTTTTTATTTGCAAATCTTCTGATATTAATATATTTACTTATCTATTTTCATAATTTTTCCTTAGTAAATATTCTGAATTTCAGGAAAAGTTTCATCATTCAAATTTAATTCTATAAATAATTTGATTCCTTTTAAATATTTCTGAAGTAAAATCATATTATTTCTATAGTAATCCTCCTATAATTCGCCTTTTTCAACGAAATCATCTGTGTATTTTTGTAAACATTCATCTAGTATACTAATATTTTAGGCATTAGCATTGTAAAGATTGTGCCCTGCTTAAAAATATCTTGGTATGTTTTAAGGATTTTTAGAATTAATATATATTTCTCCTGATGAATGTTCACTTTTTACTAACTACCAAAGAGCATAAATAAGTTCTTTAAGATGTGGTTCCTAAAAGTAATAAGAAGGTATTAATCCCTAACAAGAATAATTAAAAACCGTATAATGTTCTAAATACATTGCAGCTTTAGCTTGATCATCACTAATTTTATTTTCAGAAAGTAATTACTTTCTATCTTCATGAAGTCTCTCCAACATATTTTAGCAACAAGTCTAAATAAGTTAATGCATTTTTTTGCTTACTTAGCACAACTTAATAATATCCTAAGCATTTAAAAAAGGTAAAATAACCTAAATGGTATTTTTATTAATATAATTAAAGGCATTATTATCTTTTCTCAAATACATAATTGGTCTTTCATATTTATCTATAAGCTTACTTTTCACTTTTTGCACTTTGCTAATGTGCTAAAACAATTTATAAAATCTAACTCCTTATCTTTAATTATCTAGATATTCTTTATTAGTACTTTATTATATGTTAAAATACTAGCATATAATTTTTAAGAGTTATATCATTGGGGTATTTAATGATTCCTCTTATATTTAAGGTACTTTTAAGTCTGTTTTTGATGGTTAGATAAAATACTATGAAAGTGGTTAAAACACAGTTTCTATGCCAGCACTTAGAATAAATTTAATAATTTCAGATTTATTTTAGTTAGTTTTCATGAAGAAATTGCAGCTTTTAGTGAAAATATCAAGTAAAACTTCTTCCTATGCAGATTTTTTTTTAGCCTAAAATTCATTCATCTCTTTTTGTATCTCTTAAATAGAATTCTTGATGAGTTTATTATAGCTAATAGAATTCAAAACTATATTTTTCCCTACCTAGTTTATCTCCAAATACTAACTTGAGTTCATTTATTTAAACTTTTTTGTATAGTCTAGTGTAGCCAATACTTATGGGACTTTTTTCCTAAAATATCGAGAAATGGCTGCAGCTTTTACATAGTCTTCTATCATAAAAAAGCTCATAATTTTATTAATGATTACTTCACCAAATATTTCTAAAAATTTTGATTTACTTGAAATAAATTTTTGTTTTTTTTCATCATTTATTTGTGCTATTTATTATAAATTATTATCGCTACTACTATTGATTAAGTTATCTTTTTCATTTTATAACTCTGATTTCTACTTTTGAGAGTTTTTCTCTGCTGTTACTTTTTAATCGTTTTTTATCGGCTCATTTAATGTTTGTTTAACTTAAAATGTTTTATTAACTTAAGTAGCTTAAATATTTTGACTTTAAGAGTTATCATTTTCAGTAACTGTTTTTTAGTTATTTTTTTATAAGCTATTGCTTTCTATTTGCTTCTTTTATGGTACTTGAATTGCTTAAATAGTTTAACTTTTTTGACTTTGAGAGCCATTATTTGGAACAGCTACTTTTTAATTTCCTTATATTAAAACATTTGACTCAATAATTTTCTTTTAAGGTGGTTAATTACTATTATTAGTTTAAGTTTTTAGACTTTTTGAGTCATTTATTTCAACTGGTATTTTTTAATCACTTTTTTTCAAATCATTAGATTAAGCTGGATTCTTTAACAGTGATTAATTTAAGTAAATAGATTGGATTTTCTAACTTTAAGAATCGTTTGTAGGAACTTTTTTAATGTCGCTTTTTGCTTAAGTTGAGTTTTATTTAGTAGTACTTGATACTTAAATTTTTTAAAACAAATTAGTGGCCTGATCTTTTCCAATATTGCTATTTGCATTATTTTAATTAGCAACTTAATTAGCTTATTTGTGTAGATTGTTTGAAGCTAATGAAGTTTTCTGAGTAGAATTTGAAATAATAGATGGTTTTTGTATGGTTGTTTATGCGGGCTTAGGCTTTTCAGCAGTTTTAGATGATTCTTTTTGCATTTTTTGTAAGTAGAATTTAAATTTATTTGGTTAACTAATTAATAATAAATTCTTTTCCTAAATAATTTATTAAAGCCACAGATATAGATAAAAATCTTATAGAAAAATAGATATTACTATCAATTTTCTATATAAATAAATAATTTTTTTATTTTAAATTTTAAAAGAAGACATAATTTACCTTAATTTTTAGTTTTTTAAGAAATAACATCCTACTTTAAATTTATTTGAGATTTATTTATAAAAACTACCATCAATTCGAATTCGCTTGAATAAGAGGATTTTAACTTAGGATTAAAATATTATAAATAATTATGTATCATCTATACTTTTTTTAAAGAAAATGTTTAATGATAAAAAATATAATTTTGATTTAAAATAAAATTTTTTATTAAATAATAACTCAATTAAATTAAATACCATAAATCCTATTAATTAAGATAATAAATATAAAATTTTCAGAATTATATTTATTAAGGCACTAATTTTTTATTTCTTCATTAGAGTGCAATATTTTAATTTAGATGCTTTTATATGAGACTCCACAGTATTCATTCCTCCTACCTCCTAAAAGGCAAAAAATTTATAAATAGACAAATTTATTTAGAATTTCTTTAATATTTGAAGGTTGCAAGCTATGGCGATTGAGGGAAACGGCATATTAGAATATACATAATATTAGTACTTACTTTAATATAAGAAACTCACTTTAGTATAAGAGGATTTAAAAAAGGTGATTTATAATAAATAAATAAATAAATGGATTTTTTAAATGTTCTTTTTTAAAGAATTGGTGGTAATATAATATATTTATATTTTAATAAAATACCTAACAATGAACATAAATATTTTATATTGCTTCATATTTGATATTTCTATTTCATATATTTTTTTAAACCCTAAATAAATAAATTATTTATAAATTTATTTTAATTAAATATTTGTATTCCATAATTCATTAAGTAAATAGTTTAACCTTATTAAATATTAGAAAGATATTTTAAATAAAACATCTTTTTTAAATGTAAGTAAGACTTGATTTCAGTTTGCTTAGTTTTTTTTTAATTTATGTAAATTACAATTAGTTAATTTGAATAAGTTAATTCATACAATAATTATGATACAATAGCACTATTTGTATATAGTAATAAATGGTATTTTTTATTATTTTTTATACTCTTAAATTTTGTAGGGTATTTTTATGTCAGTAAAAAACACTCTCTATTATTCTCATTTAAATTTATATGAAAAATAATGCAAAATGAACAATTATTTAGTTTAAAATGAGATATTTAAAATTTTATGTACAATTTTAATTTGTGAAAATAAACTCAATTAGGAGTATTTCTGACAAAAATATGCATTTTTTGCTAATTAATAATTAGAAAGATGGAAATATTTACAACTTCAATAAATTAAAGATTAATGTTTAATAAATTCTATTGTCATTAATTTAGTTAGTTTTAATTTTATATTCAAAATTAACAATTTTATAAGTGAAATTAAACACGAAAATGAAATTGTAGTAATAAAAATTTACAATTTACATAAAATTATTTTAAATTAGTTTTATTTGAAGGAATAGAAAAATTAAGATGGATAGGCATTTATTTTAAAATCATCAGAAAAAAAGTTAAAAAGACGAAAATAGAATAGAAAGTGCATCTCCTGATCTCTATCTAGCTCTGGTTGTTCATAGAATATTTAAATTGAATGATATTATGAATGAAATGAGATTTCTTACTATTTTTGATTGTTATAGATTATTGATAATTAATGGAATCATTCAAATAACTAAATGGGCTCTTAGAAATTAATTTTCAATATTTTAGAAGACTCTTATTCTATCTTATAAATACAATACTTGTTTGTTTATTAGATAAATAAATTATAAGAAAAACTAATAATAAAATATTCCTTTTACATAAAGGCAAAAAGTAAACAACAAAAATTTAAAAGTATTAAATGGACGCTCAAAATTATAAACCCTTCAAGGAAAAATTCTCTCTAGCAGAAAGATAGAAAGAATTAGAAAAGTAGAAATCTAAATACCCAAACATGATTCCCGTCATTGTTGAAATTAACAAGAAGGCAAAAACAGTTAGAGTATTGGAAAAGCAAAAGTAAACAAATTTAATAATGATTTTAAAAACTTTGATTAATTTATTTCATTTACAAAAAGGTTCTTGGTATCAAAGGATGTTAAGCTTCACGAATTCCAATAAACAGTTCGTAAGAAATTAGATATTACAAATGAAGCTGATGCTTTGTTCTTCTTTGTTGGCAATAAAAAGATTGAGAAAATAAGTAAATATTATTTTTCCTTTTTAATCAATTATTTAAGTTGAATGTAGAAATTCATTCAAAAACAATCTATCTAAATAAAATGAATTCTAAAATTAAGCAATCAAAACTTTGAATTAATTTTCATTAATTTTAATCTTATAATTAATTAATAGATAGAACAATGAGCGAAATTTACCAAGAATCAAAGGATAAGGATGATGGTTTCTTATATATCACATACTCTGATCAAGAAGTATTTGGATCAATTTGATTGTAAAAGCAAGCTTTCATAAGTTAAAAGTCATTTAGCTTAGCGAAAATGCAGTAGTGTTTGCAATTATTTATTGATGATGAAATAAAATATGCTAATTAATTTAAAAATAATAAAATAATAAAATGTTTATGAATTAAATTGTAATTTTATCACTTTATATATATTAAAAAATAACTATTCAATTTTTCATATATTATTTCTATTCACGTATTTATCTATTTATTGGTTCAGTCGTTCTTATAATTGCTCAATTTTATAATATTTTAAACAAAATTCCTATTTTAATTCATTTACTTACTGTAGCAACTTTAGTAAGAAAAAGTTATTAAATCCTTTTAATCTAAAATATGTAAAAAATTTTATTAAATAATTTAATTGATTTTTTGTTTTTTGCTTAAATTTATTATCAGAAATAAATCAAATAGAACAAACATTATCTATTTTATGTAAATTAAATAAATGATTCCTTATTTTCAAATAAAATATTTCAATGTGCTTCTTGTTTGCCAGTAAGTAAATAAAATTTTACATTTTTAATAAAATATATAATATTTTCAAATAAATTGTATTTTATTAAAAGAAAAATGATCAACATTTTTTTACTTAAATTAACTATTTTATTGAACAACCAATATATTATCTGCTCTAGATAGACTATAAATTTATTAAAACATATTTTTCATATCAACTTTACAAATTTCACTAAATTTTTTCTTCAATTTACTTAGATTTTTTTGCTTTTGAGAATATTAATTTGATAAAATATTTCAAAATAAAGCAATATACTTCACATAAAAAACATTTTTAAATTAGCAAATTAATTTTCATATTTGATTATTTTTTAATATCTAAAATATCCATATTGATATATATAATGTTTGCTATTATTGATTTACTTTCCAAATTTATGAATTGATTATTTTAAAAAAATGAATTTTAAGATTTTTAAATATAGAAACATCTTTTGTAGTTTTTTTCTTAACTCAAAAATACATTAAAAATTAATATTAACTTTGTATATTATATTTTAGTAATTCTATTTGACATTTATTTTTAAAAGTTATACATTTTAAAAAAATTCTTCAGACAAATGTTTATAAACATTATCATTTATGAAATTAATTCTATTTTATAAGTTAATATGGATTGCTTTTTTATTACAGAAAACAAAATGGTAAACAGATGAAAATAAAAACTAAAAACTAATTAAAATAGAAAAAATCATTTTAGAAACTCAATATTTCATAAAGATAACTTTTGAATAATAATTTATCCTTTCTAATTTTTAAATATTCTAAAAACAAAATCTCAAATAAATTCTATGAGCTTTTTTACATAAGAACATTAAACACCTTAAAATAAAAAAAAAGTTAGGATATATATATTAATTAATAAAAAAATAACAAAAGAAATAAAAACCAACAAGATTCATATACTTTATCGAAGCATATACACATCTTTTTTCAAAGTTAATAACCTAGCTTGATTATTTTTTATTTAGTGAAACTTAATAAAAAAAATTAAGAATAAAAAACATTAATTAATTTTCTTTTGATATTTCTAAGTCTGTCTGAAAAATATACAAGAATTTAATAAAATCAATATGTTTTAAAATATAATTACATGGAAACTAGACTTGCAAAAAATTTATATTATTTGAGTATAAATTCATTGAAAATTAAATTCAATTATTTCCTCAATCTTATAAATGTAAATTATTTTTATTAACAATAAAATGTATGATTAATTAATTAAAAATAAATTCATCTTTTATTATTTTCAAATATTAAATATAGAAAAAAATAAAATTTCAATAAATTCATTTTCATAAATAAAAAAGGAGTTCTTTTCAATAAATAATTTATAAAATAGAATATTAAAAATTATCATAAAAAGTTTTTGAATTTTAAATTAGAATTATTAAAAATTATTTTTTTTTTTAATTATAAATTTAACAATTTATTATTCAAAAGACTTTTAACTTTTGATGAATTTTTGTTGAGATAAACTTTTTTATGGTAGTAACTAACTTCGACAAGATCTTTTAAAAAAAAACTTTAAAAATAATATTAGAAGAAGTAAAAGAAAAAGCAATATACTAAAAAAGAAAACATACAGGACATTAATAAATGAATAATATATAAAAAGATTAGTATTAAGTTTTCTTATTTTAGTATTCAAAAAAAAATTAATAATAAATCAAAGACATTTATTTAATTTATTGCAGCTTAAACTTCAATTTTAATTTTTCATAAGTTATATTTTATATTTAAAATGTTAAAAGTTTTTTCATTGAGCTTCACCCTTGACAAGCTTTCTAAGGACGTATTGGAGGATACCACCGTTTTAGAAGTAAGCAATTTCGACATCAGTATCTAATCTGGTCTTAACTTGGAAGGATTTACCAGTGCTAGTAGTAACAGTCAAGACTTCGTTAACCTTTAAGTTTCCACCCTTTAAGTCAATGTTGAAAGTTTCATGACCATTCAAACCTAAGCTGTCAGCGTTTTATCCATTTAAGAATTCGCAAGGTAAGATACCCATACCAACTAAGTTAGATCTGTGAATTCTTTCATAGCTTTGAGCAATAACAGCCTTGATACCTTGTAAGTAGGGACCCCTAAAATATTAAAATTACTTGATTAATAAAAAAAATAAATAAAATTTTATTACTTGGCAGCCCAATCTCTAGAAGAACCAGAACCGTATTCTTGACCAGCAAGGACAATAAGTTAGTGACCTTCCTTTTGATACTTTTCAGCAGCATCGAAGACAGCAAGCTTTTATCCTGAGGGGATGTGAACAGTTTCAGGACCAACCTTATCCATCATCTTGTTGATTAATCTGACGTTAGCAAAAGTACCTCTAGCCATGATTTCATCGTTACCTCTTCTAGCACCATAAGTGTTGAAGTCCTTAGATTAGATACCACGTTCGTTAAGGTATCTGGCAGCAGGAGAGTTCTTAGCGATGTTACCAGCAGGGGAGATGTGATCGGTAGTAATAGAATCACCTAAGTTCAATAAACAGTAGGCACTCTTGATGCTCTAGACGGGCTTGGGAACGAGTTCAGTGGTCTAGAAGAAGGGAGGATTGTGGATATAAGTGGATTCAGCCTTCCAGTCATAAACCTTCTTGTCAGAAGCCTTCAAAGCATTCCATCTGGCGGTACCTTGAGAAATTCTCTTGTAAACTTCGCTGAACATTTCAGGTCTAAGAGACTTGTGGACGGTGTCTTGAGTGAAGGTTCTAGAGGGCCAGATATCCTTCAAGAAGACAGCCTTACCGTGCTTATCAGTTCCAATAGGTTCAGTTTCGAAATCAATGTTAACAGTTCCAGCTAAAGCATAAGCAACAACCAAAGCAGGAGAAGCCAAGTAGTTAGCTCTGGTTAAGGGGTGGATACGACCTTCGAAGTTTCTGTTACCAGATAAAACAGCAGCAGCAACAACATCACCTTATCTGATAGCTTGGTCAACTTCGGGTTCTAATTCACCAGTGTTACCAATACAGGTCATGCAACCATAACCAGCAGTGGTGAAACCTAATTATTCTAAGTAAGATTGAACACCAGATTCAACGAAGTACTTAGTAACGACACCAGAACCAGGAGATAAAGTGGTTTTGATGTAAGGCTTGACATTCAAACCCTTTTCAACGGCAGCCTTGGCAAGGAGACCAGCAGCAACCATGGAGTCAGGGTTGGAAGTGTTAGTGCAGGAAGTAATAGCAGCAACAACAACGGAACCGTTAGAAAGAGTGTAGTCAGTACCCTTATAGTTGAAAGTGTGGGTCTTTTTTGATTATTATTCAGTTAAACCGAATCCCTTGAAGCCAGTCTTAGCAGTAAGGATTTAATTCCATTCTGATTTCATTTCGTTGAGGGGAACTCTGTCGTGGGGTCTCTTGGGGCCAGAAATACAGGGTTGGACTGAGGCAAGATCTAATTCAAGAACAGCACCAGTATAAACGGGGTCCTTAGAGCTGCTGGTTCTGAAGAGACCTTATTCTCTAAGATAGCTTTCGATAACCTTAACCTTGTGAGAGTCTCTGCCGGTGAGCTTCAAGTAGTCAACAGATTAGGCATCAATAGGGAAGTAACCCATGGTGGCACCGTATTCAGGAGCCATGTTAGCAATTGTAGCTCTATCAGCAAGAGAGAGATTTTCACAACCAGGACCGAAGAATTCGACGAATTTACCGACGACACCTCTCTTTCTGAGCATTTGAGTGCAAGTCAAAACCAAATCGGTAGCAGTGACGTGTTCCTTCAATTTACCATAAAGCTTGAAACCAACGACTTCAGGTAAGACCATGGAAATACATTGACCGAGCATAACAGCTTCAGCTTCAATACCACCAACACCCCAACCGAGGACACCCAAACCGTTAATCATAGTGGTGTGGGAATCAGTACCGACGACGGAATCAGGATAGAGGACACCATTTTCGTTGTTGAAAACGACTCTGGCTAAGTATTCTAAGTTAACTTGATGGACAATACCTATAATTTATAAATTATAATAATTAAATCAATTGAATTGGATTTTAAAAGTATTTTTTTAAATAAAATAAGCTACTAAAAAATTCAAATATTTATTTTAAGCAATCAAAAAGTCAAATATTTATCTTCAGTTGTTATGATTTTGATAAGCATCATTGCATAATTAAGAAAAAAATTTCAAAGAGTCTTAACTCTATCATGTAAAATTGATAGAGGGATTATTTGAAAATAATTAAATAGATATTGTTTATTTATTTGCTATTTTGTTTTTTGTGTGGGCTGTCTATGAAATAAAGGGATGTTTTAAAATAGTGTTTCAATGATTGAATAAAATAAATTAATAAGATATTGGAATTTTATTAGATTAGGGAATGAAATCAGTTGAGAGCGTATTTAATTATTATAAAAAGCTGGTTGTGATGTGATATGATTTATTATAAATAAATTAATTAGATCAGTGTAAATAAAATATCGTTTTTTATTTATCTATTTTTTTTTCTATCAAAAATATAATTTTTATTTAAATCTTGAAAAAAATTCTTTGATAAAATCTTTATAAATTAATAAAATATCAATTTTCATAAAAAATAAGATTCGAAAACTGATTCCATCTCCCTTCTAAATAATATGTTTTATTTGAACTTTGAAAAAAATATTTGCAATTGCTTATCATTTAATAAATTCTAACTAAATTCATGTATCTTTTTCTTTTTACTTATTCCGAAAATATCTTTCATATTCTTTTGTATAAATAATCAGCTTATTATGTATTAATCTTTTAGGTTTTAAAAAAAACTAGCTTTCAAATAGCTAGAAATAAATAAATAAAATGTTATTGATTTTGTTGTTTATTACCAGAACCAGGAGGAACAATGGTGAAGTTGTTAAGAGCTTTTTAACCCCACTTTAAGAATTCGAATCTTTCGTAGTTTCTGTTGAATTCGATTTCTTCGTTCTTCTCAAAGGCCTTCAAGTCTCTAGCAACATCAGCTTGGACAGAGTGATCGATAACCAAATCAACAGGGCACAAGGGGTTGATCTTGTTGGGATCTCCACCCAAACGGACCATAGCGTCTCTCATAGCAGCGAAATCAACAACAGCTGGGACACCAGTGAAATCTTATAAGATAACTCTAGCGGGCTTGAAGGGGATTTCAATTTGTTGAGTTGAGTTCTTTTCCCAAGCTAAGATCTTTTCAACATCAGCCTTTTTAACGTTGAATTCATCGCAGTTTCTAACAGCAGATTCTAATAAAATTCTAACTGAGTAGGGTAACTTTTCTATTTTATAATTTATAATAAAAAATATTTTAAAAATGCTTTGACTAAAATAGCTTGTTTTAAAGATTGTTTTCTTCTCTCTCTTTTTTTCCCTTCTTTCTACTGTTTTAAGCTAAATCCATTTAAGTAGAAACTTTAAGTAGAGAATATAATTAGAAAAATTCAATATTCTCAAGAAGCATTCTACCAATTTTCAATAAACCATTATTTTCGAGATGCTTATGTGGAGCTAATGCTTTTCTGTATTCATTTTCTCTAATTATTTTAAAGCATAGGAGCAAAAAGTATTTTTTGTACGCATTTTGGTCTTATTTAAAAATTGAAAGTAGGAGGAGGATTAAAGCAGAGTAAGAGTGAGAGAAAAATATAGACAAACAAGGCAAGCTTCTTATTGTTGTTACCTAATCTAGCGTCATGGAGGTCGGGGAGACTGTAGAAGTTATAGTTCTTTCCTTCAACCTTCAATTACTTAAAATTCTTTTAGAAGGGGTTGTTGAGGGCAGAGAAGTTGCAGGTGATCTTTCTGTACATTTTGAGTTTAGGTTCTTTTTTCTTCCTTTTAATTTTTTTTCTATTTAATTGCTTTAATTTTATTATGTAATAATAAGACAACCATTGGGTATTTAAATATCTTTAGTCCTTAAATGCCAAATTAAATAAAAAAGAAGCAAACAAATATCAAAAAATCAAATAAACTAACAAACAAACAAGCTTGCAAGCAAGCATAAAAATAAATAAATAATTTAATTTGTAAATATTAAGAAATAAGTCAATCACTGCTTAATAAATGCAATTTGCAATTAATTTCTTATTTAAATTAATATTGCTTTTTTCATCATTTATATGTTCATTTATTAATTGAATAATGTTAAATAATATAAGCAATCCTTTTTCCTTCTGTGCTTTCATTATAATTGCATAAAGTTGATATGTAATTTTGCAAAATCATCATATTTAAAATAATAACAACAACAACAAAAATAGTCATAAAATAAAAACAAAATTTAAAAAAATGAAATAGATGTTGAGATAGAAATGTAACTCTGTAACTAAAAAAGAATTCCTGATCAATACCATATCTCTTTAAATCTTTTCAAATCATACCATATCTCTATTACTATTTGTTGGAGTTTTAAATTTTGCGCTATCTCTCTTATATTAGGTTTGATAGGAAAGTATAAAAATACATTTAAATAAAGTATTTTTTGCTATAAACTGTTAGTAAACATATTTTTGACTAAATAATAATTATTTCAGATAACTTTTATTGTAAAATTAGTGATTTTAAGTATAATTTTGTTTTAAATAAATAATCCCTGTTTATTGTTATTTTATTAATCTTTGATGAAGAAGCAAATATTTTTTTATTATTTTAACGGGCAGAATCAAAGGAGTATCTTTATTTTTATTTTATTTATCATCAATATTTACGTCATCGTATTCCTACTTTTATTTTTATCATTTTTTGGCTTTAGACACAATTCTTATGATTAAAGTAAACTCGCAATAGTGGTTATTCACATATTTTATTTTCCTTTTCAAATATATCAAAGTAGACGAATCTTCATAACATTTTTACAGAAATTTCTATACACTTCCCCTGCTAGTTTACTTTTTAAAACTTTTTCTACTCATTCAAACGAATTATTAAAAAACTATTATCAAAGTTAACCGCTCTAATAAAATGTTTTAAATAAATTGACAAAAATTCCTTTAGCTATGACTAAATTATAAGTGCTTCTTTTAATTTTAGATTTTACTTAAGTTACTCCATTTTTATTTATACTGGGAAATCTTAATAGTCTATTCTACTTAGTTATTTACATCTCTTAAATTATAATTGACAAATCAAAAATTAAAAAAGGGCAATTTCATTTTTTTAATCAAAAGTAAACAATTAATTTAATTTCTAAATAATTATTTATAAAAAATAGATTTCTATTACAAGATATCAACGAATATATTTAATAAGATCAAAGCGGAACATTCTTGAAAACTTTTAAAGAAATTTCAAGAAAAAATAATTAAATTTTTTTTGTTTAGGCAAACATGAAAGGACATATAAAAATAGAAATATTTTAAAGATAAGTATTATTACTTGATACTCAATTTTTAAAAATTGAAAAATTTATTTTATTAAGATTTTAAAAATCCATAAGCAATAAAAAACCTAGATATTTTTCCAAATATTTTTTAATAGTAAAAATTCATATATTATTTGAGAAAAGTAAAAATTTATCAATGCAAACAATTATTTTTATAAAATGTTGTATTACAAAAATATAAATTTAATAAAAGTTAATCCAATAATTTTTAAACATTTTATTCAATTAAAATATCTTTTAATCATTTTTTTATTAATTATTTTTAATAATTTATCAAAATTAGTAAATAGAAAAATTTATAAAATAAATTTATGTTTACATTTATAAAACTTCCTCATAACTTTATAAATACAAATAAAAGTAAAAATTTTACTAGCTTAAATATTTAAAATAATACATAATATTGATATGATAAAATAAAAACATACTTATTATAACACATTAATATATTTCATATCTTAGAAAAAGATTGCTACTCTTATAGTATCAATATGTAAATATTAAAATGAAAATGCTAAAAAATCATATTAAAACATTAAAAATTACAAAAATAAATAAAAATATTGCTTTATTTAGTATTGAATTTACAAAGATAATTTACCATTATATAGTTATTGCTAAAAAAGAAGAAACTAAATAATAAAAAATAACGAAATGATGATATTTTTTAGAAAGGATACTTTTAGGTATTTTGATAGCAGAAAAGTTAATAATAAAATATAATTGTTAAATAATAAAAGAAATGAATGGCTTAAATAAATTTTGTATGGAAATGTAATTTAGAAATTTAAATATTAAAAGAGATAAAAAAGATTATTTATATATGATTGGTTGTTGTTTTATTTTTAAATAATTTAATTTGACAAGTATTAATTTTCTGTTAATGTGTCAAATAAGATGATATTAGTAACTGTTTCCTATTTAATATAATTAAATACTAAATACTAAAATTGCAATTTTTAAATAAATTTTAAAAACATTTAGTTTTTAATTTGAAATTACAAAAAGAATATGAAATGGATATATTTTTTTTGAATATAGAAGAAAATAAATGATAAGAATTACAAAAGGATAATATTTTTGAGAAAAATACATACATGTATTTTTTAACAGTTTGGTTAATAATAAAATATAGTTGTGGTTTATAGTATAGAGTTAATCTATTAATTATTATTAATAACAAAAATGAATGGCCAAAATAAAATTTGTATTGAAATGAAATTTAGAAAATAAAAATATAAATATTTAATCAATCAATGAATATTTGTTATTGGTTGTTGTATTTTTAAATTATTTATTTGATTTACCAAGTATTTATTTTCTGTTAACGTATCATCAAATAAAAATGAAATTAGTAGCTATTCGCAATTTGGTAAACAAATTATGCTTCTCATGCAAAAATTAATATTAAATGAATGAGGCAACTTTTAACAATCAAATTAGAACTTAATAAAAATTTGATTTTTGCTTTTAAAATTTGCACACTGACTAAAGAGTGAGCGAGTTATTTAGTAATTTGTTTACCCATAAAATTTATACGATAAAGCAAAATATACCATCTAATTGAATAATGCATATTTATTTGATAATTATAATAAATAGGCATTGAAGTAACTATGAAAAAAAAAACTTGAACATCCTAAAATTTACAAATCTTTGAAAACTTGATTGATTTATTATTATTGTTGCAGTATTATAAAAATTAGAAATTAATTAACACTTACTCTTTCAAAGAGAAATTATTTCAAACAGATAGGAAAGGCTATTTTAATAAAGCTCTTATTCCTTTTTTAAATTGATTCTATTTATTAAGATTTATTGTGAATCATGGCATATTATAACCGCAACAATTAGGGTTATCAGTAGAGAGAAATTTCTAATAGTACCACTTAGGGTTGGTTTCCAAATAGGTACCAAAATATTAAATAATTATCTCATTATTTTCTGATCTTATTAACGAATCTATAATTTTGTAGATCAAAGTATTAATTATGAAAGGAGACTACCATAAAATGATTAAAAGAAGCGATAACCTCATAATTATTTTATTTTAACTAATAAAAGCTAAGAAATCAAAAGGGGAGAAACAGCACCCACTGAAAAAGGGAAAAGAGAAAGGGTCATAGCAAACAATTAGCAAAATGCTTAATTAATTTAATTTAGTGCAGTTGCAGCTGCATCAGGATTCTAGTTAAGCAATACATCGAACTTAAAGGAAGCGATAGGAAAATTCAAGTATTATTTTTTAATAGTTAAATATCTCATTCTTCATTTAAGGATCAAACAATAATGGAAGAAATTTTTAAAAGCTTAAAAAAAAAAAACATTTTTAAAAAAAATTTAGGAGTTCACCATATTATTCAAGTGTGGTAAATTAACAAAACTAAAAGAAACAATAGCAATAGCATTACTAGCAATAGAATTCTTATTAAAGTAATTAAGGCATTGATTTTGCTAAAATGAGCAAGAAGGAACATATTCAATAGATTTCAAGGATTTATTAAAACAACCCTACAAATATTTTGCATACAGTTTAGCATAATTCCAACAATTTGCAAAGTGGTGGAGGAACAACCACAAATAAAAAAGCTTAAACAAATAATCACGGATTAGATCCTTATAGCAGCAACAACATTCCTTAATAAAGATATAGCTTTAAATTACCGCAAAGACCATCTACTTCACATGATTAGCAATCAGTTTAGCGTAAGTAAAATCAAATTTAAACAACAACTTAGTATAGAAATACGCAAATGAGTATAACTAATACAGATGGATTTGGATTAAAAAAGCCATCAACACCAGGAACAGGTTCCCGTGTGGCAACAGCAGGCTAAAGAGGAAGTAAGCTATTGAATACGAGCGGGAATTCCTTATTAAATTCTTCTTTGAATGCTGGAATATCTTCTAAAGGGTAATAATAGCATCAAAATCTTAACACATTGCATCCACTATAAATAAGAAATACTTCAGCTGGCGTTACTTTAAAAAGTAATGCTTAGAGAAGAGAAACCTTTGCAAGTAATACGAGCAATAATTAAAATACTAGTTTTAACAAAGAAGTAAGCAATCATAGGTAAGATTTATTACCTAAATATAACACACATCAAGATGGAGATTTCAAATAAAACCATGACACTGAACATAAAACGAATACAGAATAATATCCAAATCAAAACCAATAAGTTAAAGTTCATCATACTGAATTTAAGAAAGACTCCAAGCTCAAATAAAATTTTTTCACTCACGAGAATTTCTACAGTTAAGGCTCTACTTCTTCATAAAAGCAAGATAACTCAGATAAAAAATCATCACTTAATAAATCTGGTGCAGCAAACAATAATACGTTCCTTAATGAATCATTCTCTAACAAACAGTAAAACTCAAAAAGTTAACAATAACAGTAATTATTGAAAATAGCTCTCCCATAAGAGATGAACACTTCCTAATAAATGTAATACTAGCAAAATAGCAATTATTTTGATAATAATTCAGAAGAAAATACACCTCGAATTATCGTTACTGGAAACTAGAAATGTAAATACAATAATTACTTTTATTTTTATTGTTTGAAATAATTAAAATTATTAAGTTTTGTTTAATAATTTTGTATGATTAAAAGAATAAACTCATAAGATTTAGTTCATAGAGAATAGTTTCACTAAATATGGTGAAGATGAAGATGAAACTACCACTAAAAGTAAGAATATAAAATAAAAATAAAGGAGCAAAGCTAATGATGATCAGTACATACCAAGTGATGATAAAAATTAATAAAGACACTCTCATAATCATGAAGAAGAAGGTGATGATGAACACGAAGATGACTAAGAAGATGATGAAGAATACTATTAGAATTATTATAATCACCACAATGAAGAAGATAATGAATATAGATAATAGTATGCTGTCCCTTATGATGAGGATGACGAAGATGAAGAAGAGTATGACGAAGATGATGAATAGGAAGATAATGATGAAGATGAGGAAAATTACCATCATGAAGATTAAGAAAATGACAACCATCATTAGAATTACTAATACTTTTAACATGGTCAAAATAAAGCAGACTCTTCTGATGAGCATTAGCTATAAAATTTCATTTAAGATGTAGGTGATGATTTTTAGTGTCAATAGCATGAAGAAGATGATTAGTTTGGAGAAAAAAATATACAAAAGTACATGAAAGAAAAGGTTTAAAACTAAAAAGAATCAATCAAGATAAATACAAACACCTTCTCTGTTCGTCCTATGACAACTGTATATAATTTTATAATTATTTATTTATATATATATATAAAATATATTTTATTAGGAAGGAGGAAAGAGAAGAAGAGGAGTGGAAACTCCAGTATAAAACTAGTAAAAATAAGTTGAAAGTAAAGATAGCAATAAAGATTAAAATATAGCATGCTAGCAATAGCAGAAAGCAGATTAATTTGATTTCCATTCTTAAGCTCTAAGAAGATAATCTCAGAAAGAGAATTTTAATGGCCTTGAGGAAGACCATTAAAATCAAGACTCATTCAACGACGATTAACACTATGGACAAGAATTTAGAATAGACTTCGATACATAGCAATTTGAAGTAAATATCTTGTTCTAAATAAAATTATTAAATAATTTTTCATTATAAAAGAGACCACCAGAAAGAGGCAAATAATATATAGGAAATAGAGTAAATAATTTATAAAGATCAATATTTTTAAAATTTTTTATTAAAATTAGGGTCCTATTAAAGTAGATCATGATCTCATTAAGGAGGACAGTTTTTTCAAGGATTGCCAAGCTATAGGTAAGCGCCCACCTTCTCGTCACAGAATTCCTAATAGAGGTAAAATATATACAAGAATTAAATCTAAATAGTAATAAATTCTCATATATTACAGCTGCAGGTTTAGGAATACCAACTTAAGATTTATAAGAAATTCCGATAAAAAATATGTATGATAAGGATGAACCTGAAGATCATGTTAGTGATCAAAATAGAAAATTCCTTGAGGGACAAAAATTATAGTTAGATAAAGGTATTTTTTTTTTTGATATTATGCTGATTTAAATAAATAGTTTTAAATAAATAGTAAAATAGTCATATGACAGTGAAGAGGCTTTTATTAATTTTGATATTAGAAATTTTGGGGAAAATCAGAGTCGTAAAAATTCTAGCAGATAGCCAGTACCAATAATTCCTAAAAGTAAATTAAAATATGAAGAAGCTTATTTTTATTATATTTTGATTGAAAAAAGCTGTGAATAATCAAAGACCTATGTCTGGTAATGTCAAAACAAGAGCATTAAATAAAAAAGAAAGTTTTGATCAAGGTATGAATATTAATTTACCTGAAAAGACGAACTTAAACAACGAGTAAACCTCAAAGTAATTTTTATAAATATATATGTTATTATATAAATAAATAATAAATAGGATACCAAATCACCCTGTTTCTGCAAAATACCCAAAAAAGAGTGGCTCAATAAATTAAAAAGAAAATGATTAACTTTGGGATGAATTTGATGAAATTCTAAACGATAAATAAGCAAATAAAAACATAATAAGAAAACTTGAGGGCTCAGACATACTAATCAAGCATAATGTTTCATCAACAATAAATAGTAAAGCTTCAAACTCTAATAGCTAATCTATTAAAGTTCCATTTGAAACTAGTCTTGGCTAAGACTTTTTGAGTCTTTTTGCTAACAATTATAACGAAAATTGAGTGATGCATGTATGTAAGTAAGTAAGTAAGTATGCAAAAATTTATACATTCTTACTAATTTTTAATTAACAAATTATATTTCAATAAAATAAATTAAAATTTCCAAAATAAAAGTTAGCAAAAAAAAAATGTAAATTTGCTAAAATATAAAAAGAAAAAGGAAAATAAATAATATATAAATTAGGTTAATACTTATTTATAATATATATTGTATATAATGTTTATGTGTATTTTACTTTATAATCCGTTAGTTATCTTAGATTTTAATTTTCCAATAAATAAATTACAACTTATTTTATCAAAATCTAAAAATTAATAAAAAAACATATTTTTATACTTTTACTGAATTAAGTCAAATTTTATATTTAAATTAAACTAACTACAATTAAAATTTAAGATATACTTTTATTTTAAATACATGATTTTTACCTATTTAAAATCATTTTAGAACAAATTTGAGTTTTAACTTTTTTAAAATGAAGAATATTTTTTTTACATTTTTATAGCAATTAATAATCAATCCCACATTCAGAGTCGTTACAAGCAGCTCAAAAAAATAAATTAAAAAATATTTTTTTTTTAATGGATACTTCATGTTGTAAAAACTTGGTATTTAATTTGTAAAAGATTTATTTAAAATAAAATTTAATTATTTATTTTGAGAACTTAATTTATTAACAAATTAAAGAAGTTTTTTTTATTTGAAAGGCATTTGAAATTAAAAAAATATACTTATTTTAAAAATAAAACTAAACTGATAGAAATAAATAAATTTAAATTGATAACTAACTATCCTTACTTGCATTAAAATTAAAATTTTAGAATTCAAATTTACTACTTTGCTTAATTAATTAAATCTTTAAACATCATTCCATCATTTTTGTAGTAATTTTTTTTGTTGGTGACTTTTTCATATTTTTTTTATTTTATATGCAAACGTGCAAACATGCAAGAAGACCGATCATCAATAGAATTAATTTTAATTTATTTTTTTAAACAGTATATTACTTGGTAGTATTTAAATTTCTTAAGGTATGCATAAGCAAGAGTAAAATACATGTTTTTTTCCATATTTTCATTCATCTAAATAGCTTTCTTTTATCTATTGATTGCTTCATCGTATTGCCCTAAATGATAATAAATTTTAGCTATATTTTATATTGGTTCTTCTTTTAAGGGATCGATTTCTAAAGCCTTTTTACAGTATACCAAGGCTTCTTCATACTTTGATTAATTAAAATATAAAAATGACAGTTTTATGAGAGGATCTTATTTGTTTGGAATTATGTTCATAGATTTTTTAAGCCAATACTCAGATTCCTAGAAATTTTTTTTACGTAAATATAATAATCCTAAGTTGCGCAAAGGTAACCATTATTAAGGATGCAAATTATGAGCAATTTTATACTACTATTCAGCTTTATCTTCTAATAACATACGTTCATAACACACTCCTAATAGATTATGAGCATGAGAAATCTCAGGATTAATTTCTATTGATTTATGTAAATGAATTACAGCTTCATCTAATTTTTTCAGATTTAAAAAAGAATGACCTAAGCATTTGTAGGCAAATGAATTTTAAGGGTGTATTTATATTGCTTTTAAAAAATACTCATTACATTCTTCGTATGACTTAATTTCAAGGTATTAGCTTCCTATCAAATTTAAAAGTAAATGGTGTTGAGGTTGGATTTTCAAAGCTGTTTTTAATAGGTCAATTGATTCTTAGAATTATTCATTGCTATATAAGTCTCTACCTTTGTTATAAATATCAATAAATTCAGGATTAAAGTCTTCCTCCTCCTATATTTATTCAATCTATATATTTTATAGTTATTAAATAGAATCTATTAGATCAGAAATTTAAGGTCTCAGCTTTGGGTTTTACCAAAAAATATTCATCAAAAACTAACTTATATCTTTATCTAATTATTCTTAAAACTAAAAAAACGCTGATCCGTTTGTCAATTTTTTGATTAATAAAAGAGTCCCTCCAATCAATCCATATAAACAGATACCAGCTGACCAAATATCTCCTTCTTTCTCTTAAAAAATTTTAGATTACTTGGCCAATTAATTCTTAGAGGAATCATATAATTCGGGAGGCAAATATAATTCTAAATTGTATGTTTTAGAAGCAATAAATTCCCTTGTAGCAATCGAAGGAACTATTTCTTATGGAAAGTTGAAGTCACAAATCTTTAAATTTTGATCTTAATCTAAATATATGTTTTTTAGTGTTAAATTTTAAAGCAAGAGGTTCTTAGAATGAAGATATTCTAATGCTTTAAATAGATCAAGAGCAATCTTTAAAAACTGATTTCTATTTATTTTCTTTTTAAGCCTGTTTTTATATTACCAGTCAATCAAATTCATTTCAAACCTCTCCATTACAACCAAATAGTATTTATCAATTTAAAAGTCTTCTATATATTTTAAAATACTTTAATGATTACACTCTCTAAGGTTTTATGCGAATTATTTTGCAGATTTGAGTTTATCATCAGAAATATCTGAGTTTTAATCTGATGCTAAACAAAATGCTCTTATCGAAAATTATCTATCTTTGTCGAAAGCTAAAAATGTATATTTATTATCCTCTTTATCTACATATGACTATGTAACTTAAATTTACTTTTAAATTTCTAATTGCTTTATAATAATATCCATTAAGCTATTCAATTTTATTTAAACTCTTAATAAAAATAAATAAATAAATTTTTCTGATATAAATGAAATTTTAGATAACAAATTATCTTTTTAATTGTAAATATATTAATTAGTTCCTAAATAAAATGTTTAATCAAATATTTAATTTTTGATAAAGAAATCTCATTAAATAAAATTTAATTATTTATTTTGAGAAATTATTTTGTTAACAAATTTATGAAGTTTTTTTTGAAAGGTATTTAAAAAAATTAGAAAATATAGAATTTTTATAAAAATAATACTAAAGTGATAGAAATAAATAAATTTAAATAGATAACTAACTAACTATCATTATTTGCATTAAAATTAATATTTTAGAATTCAAATTTATGACTTTGCTTCATTAATTTAATCTAAAAACATCATTTCATCTTTTTTGTAGTACTTTTTATACTTGATGACTTTTTCATATTTTTTTTGTTGTATATACTAATCTCCAAGCATACCAAAAGACTCAATATCAATGGAATCTAATTTAATTTATTTTTTTAAACAATATATTCCTTGGTAGTATTTAAATTTCTGAAGGTATGCATAAGCAAGAGTAAAATACATATATTCCATTTTTTCATTTATCTAAATAGCTTTCTTTAAACTATTGATTGCTTCATCATACTGCTCTAAATGGATATAAATTCTGCCTATATTTTATATTGGTTCTTCTTGTAAGGGATCAATTTCTAAAGCTTTTTTACAGTAAACCAAGGCTTCTTCATACTTTGATTAATTATAATATAAAAATGACAGTTCTATGACAGAATCGTAATTGTTTGGATTTATGTTCATAGATTTTTTAAGCCAAGACTCAGATTCCTAGAAATTCTGTTTACGGACATATAAATATCCTAAATTGCAAGAAGGCAACGATTATTAAGGATGCAAATTATGAGCAATTTTATACTACTATTCAGCTTTATCTTCTAATAACATACGTTCATAACATACTCCTAATACATTATGAGCATGAGAGTACTCAGGATTAATTTCTATTGATTTTTGTATATTATTAACAGCTTCATCTAATTTTTTCAGATTTAAAAAAGAATGACCTAAGCATTTGTAGGCAAATGAATTTTAAGGGTGTATTTATATTGCTTTTAAAAAATACTCATTACATTCTTCGTATGACTTAATTTCAAAGTATAAGCTTCCTATCAAAGTTAAAAGTGAATGGTGTAGAGGTTCGATATTCAAAGCTGTTTTTAATAGGTCAATTGATTCTTAGAATTATTCATTGCTATATAAGTCTCTACCTTTGTTATAAATATCAATAAATTCAGGATTAAAGTCTTCCTCCTCCTAAATTTATTCAATCTATATATGTTATAGTTATTAGATAGAATCTATTAGATCAGAAATTGAAGGTCTCAGTTTTGGGTTTTACCAAAAAATATTCATCAAAAACTAACTTATATCTTTATCTAATTTTTCTTAAAACAAAAAAAAACCTGTTCCTTTTGTTAATCGTTTGATAAATAAAAGAGTGACTCCAGTCAATGCATATAAGCACATGCCAGCTGACCAAATATCTCCTTCTTTCTCTTAAAAAATTTTAGATTACTTGGCAGATTAATTCTTAGAGGAATCATATAATTCAGGAGGTAAATAAAATTCTAAGTTATATGTTTTAGAAGCAAAAAATTCCTGTGTAGCAATCGAAGGAATTATTTCTTATGAAATGTTGAAGTCACAAATCTTTACATTTTGATCTTAATCTAAATATATATTTTTTAGTGTTAAATTTTAAAGCAAGAGGTTCTTAGAATGAAGATATTCTAATGCTTTAAATAGATCAAGAGCAATCTTTAAAAACTGATTTCTATTTATTTTCTTTTTAAGCCTATTTTAATATTACCAATCTATCAAATTTATTTCAAACCTCTCCATTACAACCAAATAGTATTTATCAATTTAAAATTCTTCTATATATTTTAAAATACTTTAATGATTACACTCTCTAAGGTTTTATGCGAATTATTTTGCAGATTTGAGTTTATCATCAGAAATATCTGAGTTTTAATCTGATGCTAAACAAAATGCTCTTATCGAAAATTATCTATCTTTGTCGAAAGCTAAAAATGTATATTTATTATCCTCTTTATCTACATATGACTATGTAACTTAAATTTACTTTTAAATTTCTAATTGCTTTATTATAATATCCATTGTGTTATTCAATTTTATTTGAACTCTTAATAAAAATAAATTAATAAATAATTCTGATATCAATGAAATATTAGATAAACAATTATCTTTTTAATTGCAAATATATTAGCTTCTTAATCAAATTAAACAATAATAAAATGTATTGCTTCTTTGATATTTTAAATAAAATAAATATTCATTTAAATTTTATTTTAAATCCTTAAGTTTTTTTAGCAAAAGTATATTTAAATATTCTGTGATATTTTATCTCTTTTTTTTAATAAAATCTATCAAGAAAAATTATAAGTTGTTATAAATGATAATTTCATTTAGTAAACAGTATTATAAAATTATTAATTCATTTAATTTTAAGATTTTATTTAGTAAAAAGACATTTTTCACATATCAAATAAAAATCATAATTTTAAAATTAAAACTTCTCAATTTATAATTAAAACTTAAAATAAAAAACGATAGAATATAAAATAATTTTAATACATTTAAGCTAATTTTTAAAATGGATAAAATTTATATTTGAAAGATAATAAATAAACTTATTTTTTCTTATCATAAACATATAAACATGTGATACAAAATTAATTAAAGTTATATTTATTCTAATAATTAAATTTTATGTATTTAAGTTATACTAAACAAGTCTCTTTAATTTTTTTAATCTTCTTTCAAAATTTTTGGAAAAAACGTAGTACATATCTCCATGACTTTTTTATATGTTTATAAGAATATTTTATTTATATAAAATTATTAATTTAAAAAAATATTAATTAAACATAATATTCTAAGTATAGCTAAACGCCTAATTAAAATCTAGTGGTATGGCAACCTCTAGATATTAATTAGGTTAGGTTTTTTTAAAAAAAAATATCTTTTTAAATAAATAAAAATTCAAATAATTTATTTTTAGAGATTTATTTGATGAAGAATTTTTAAATAAATAACATTTATAAGATTTATTGATATTCTTATTTACTGTTTCAATATTAAATTTAAAAAATTAATTTTGATGATTATGAATGATCTAAACATTATATTAAAAATTAAATATTTAGTACTTTAAACTTTTAATTTAAACCAAAAAATTGTATTTTTACCCTAATTGGATAAATAAAATTGATAGATTTGAACAAATTTTAAATGCAACAGCTATATCTTATATTCCCTGTGAGTTAATACCATTCAAGCTTTAAATTAATAGTAAATATTAAATTTTTCAAATTATTTTTTGTAATACATTAATGGAAATTCAAATTTGTTAAAATTAAAATAGAAACCCAAGATAAAGAACTATTTTTTTAAAATTATTAGCTTAATGAAATCCCTAAATCTTTTAATCCTTGAGATCCTACATTTTTCCAACTTAAAAGAGATTATAAAAAAATATTTAATCCAATTAAGTATAATATAAAAATAAGAAATACTAAGCAAAATAATTATTAGCTTTGCTAGAAAATTTTATTTATTATTTAATTAAATTTAAAAACAATTAAATATTAAACAAATTAACTAATACTAAATGAAAGCTTAAAATTAAATGCTTTTATTAATCATTTGTATTTCTCAGTAAAGTATATATATTAAATTTAATAAATAAAAACATAAAAAAAATTAGCTAAAATTAAAAAAAAATTGCAAGTTATTAAACAAATTATTATAAGAACAAAGTAAATTGAATAAATGAAATAAGAGAAAGGCTCATAAATGCTAAAATAAATTAAAACTTCAAAAATAGAAAACTAGCAACAGCTTAATAATTCAAAAATCAACAAATTGCCTTAATTAATTGTATTAATATATTTTATTAAAAAATACTTAGAATAAATATGATCAAAAATTTTAATTCATTATTTTTGATGAATACTATGTCAATCACGTTAAATTCAAATATTAATTACTTGGAAACTCTATAAAGAGAAAAGTTGTATTTTATATTAAAATTATAAGTAAATTTAATTGATAATTATATACAGATTTATACATCTAAAAAAAATTTATTAAATTAAAAGTCTTTTTTTATCAATAAAAATATTTTTAAAAATAACTGAAAAAATATAAAAATTCACTTGAAAAAAATAGAAAAATCAAAATAAAATCTATTATTGTCAAATTTTGCTCTTTGATTAAATGTTTTTATGAAGTAGAGAATTATTTTGACTTTTTATAGTCTTTGTGTATTTTATAATTTTTGAATAATTTTCTTATATTAAGAATGAATCCACCATTAAAGAGATTGCTTGAATACATTATGGGTCTAATTTTATTTATTATTTTAAATAGTGAATAGATTTGTGTAAATTTTTTAGGTTATGCTGAATTAGAGTTAGAGCTAAGTAATAATTTGTTTATTAAGATCCATTTATTTTCAACCTATTTTTGAAGTAACTTATTGCATGGTCATGCCTCTGCAATTTCATACAAGCAAAATAAATACTATAATTAATTTTTTCTGATAAAGGATCGACTTCAGAGGCTTTTTCAAAATAAATTAATGCTTATTTAAATAAATTTTATCTGCAATAGTTAGCTCCTAAATTTATGTAAGCATTAGTCTTATTAGGATTTAATTCAATACATTTTTAATAACACTTTATAGATTTTTCATAATACATTTCTTTAAAGTATATTGTTCCCAAGTTAAAAAAAGGAAGGCACTATTAAGGGCATAATGTACTAGCTTTGAAGTAGTTAACTACCGAATTTTCTATGTCAGATAAAATTTCATAGCCTACACCTAAAAGATAAAAAGCATGAGAGTATTCCGGATTATACTCAATTGATTTTTTAAGATTTTCAATTGCAATTTCATATTATTTTAGATTAAAATAGCAATGACCTAATTATTTGTACACAATTGCGTTTTCAGGAAAAATATTTATTGATTTTTTATAATAATCAATAGCTTCTTCGTATTATTTATTTTCTAAGTAGTTATTTCCAATAAGATTAAGACAATAATAAGAGGAAGGATCTATTTTAAAAGCTTCTTTCAATAATTATATAGATTCTTAAAAGCGCCCGTCGCTGTACAAGTTCCTAGCTTTATTGTACTTATCTATAAATTCTTGCTCATAATATTCTTCTTTTAATTATTAAACATTAATTTTTTATAGCTCTTCGTAAGATAAAATCAGATCAGAAACTTTAGGTCTTAAACTTGTATTTAGCCAAAAGCTATTCATTAAGACCTTATTTATGTCCTAATCTATCTCTTCATAAAATATATAAAATGCTGATCCTTCTGTAAACTTTTTTATAAATTACAAAGTAGGTCCAGTTAAAGCATATAAACAAATGCTAACTACCCATATATCTCCTTCATTTTCTTACAATACCTTTTTCTATTTAGCTATTTTATCTTTAGAAATATCAAGCAATTCAGGAGGTAAATAAAATTATATATTATCTGCTTTCTAGTCCATAAACTACCTAGAAAGTTAAGAAGGTATAACTTCTTGTGGAAAGCCAAAGTCGCTCAGCTTAATATTATAATCTTTATCCAAATAAATATTCCTTAAAGCTAGCTTTTATAAAACATAATTCTTAGAGTGAATATGTTCCAATGCATGAAATAATTACAAGGCAAACTAAATAAATGTTTTTCTATTAATCTTTTTATTTAATTTATTCTAAACCTACCAATCGATCAAATTCATTTCAAAACTTTCCAATAAAATAAAATAATTTTCTTGGATCTGAAATTCTCCTAAATATTTTGCAATATTTTCATGATTGCAAGATTTTAAACTCAACGCTAATTATTTTGCATACTCTAGTTTTTGTTATGACATTTATTCACCATCATTTTAATGAAGTGATATAACCTTAATTGAGTATTAGTTTTAGTTATCATTAGCAATTACTGTGTATTGTTGACCTGGATTATCTATATATGACTTAGTAACTTTTATTTACTTATGAGTCTCTAATTACTTTATTATTAATTCCATTTAAACTAAATATCAATATCTATTTAAATCAATGTTAATTAATTTCAACTTAATATTTAATTAATTTCAGGTTACATCAAATTTTAGTTATATATTCATGCTATTGGTATTTGCAAGTATAATTCAGTAATTTAGCAATAAACATCATATATTATTGGTAGATATCTATCTACAAATATTTACATATTTATATATACATTTTTTTAATAACAAAGAATAGCTTTTTAACCATTTAAACTCTTTCTTAAAAACTAATTTATATGCAATATTCAATTTTAGTATATATCTATCCTTTAAATATTCTATTAAGAAAAGCACAATGTTATATTTAATGGTTTTGGTTAAAAAAATGAATAGATAGAAGTATTTAATAAAACTAAATATTTTTTTATCTCCTCCTAAAAAAAAATTTTTAAGTTTCTAAAATAATTCAAAAATCAGTGAATTTATCAACCTAATAAATTTTATTGATATATTTTATTTAAAAATACTTTTAGAATAAAAACTATCAAAAACTTTAATAGGCTATTTATTTTTGATGAATACTATGCAGATGACATTAAATTCAAATATTAATCACTTGGAAACTGTATAGAGAAGAAAAATTGTATTTATTTTAATAAGAAAAATTAATTCATGATTATTAGCAGGTTTATAAAACTGAAAAAATTCAAATATTGTAAAAAAATGATTAAATTGAAAGTCATTTTTTAATTTAAAATTATTTTTTTATCAAATATTAATATTTAAACAAATAAAACTAAAAACAAATATATAAATTCAAATAAAATCAAATTTCGCTTTTTGTTTCTCTAATTCTTTCAAGTAGCAATTAATCTAGACTCTTAGAAATCTTGGAATATTTTATTATTTCTGACTACTTTTCTTATTCGAAGAAAGAATCCACTAATAAATAGAATGGTTCAATTAATTGCGGCTCTAATTTAATTTATTATTTTAAATAATGAATAGATTTGTGTAAATTCTTTAAATTATCTTGCTGAATTAAAGTTAGAGCTAAGTAATAATTTGTTTATTAAGATCCATTTATTTTTAACCTATTTTTGAAGTAATTTATTGCATAGTCATATCTCTGCAATTTCATGCAAGCAAACCAAATATTATGATTAATGCTTGCTGATAAAGGATCGATTTAAGAGGCTTTTTCAAAATGAATAAGTGCCTATTCAAATTAACTTTAATTGCAATTGACAACTCCTAAATTTGTGTAGGCATCAATATAATTAGGATTTGTTTCAATAGCTTTTTCATACCAATTTTTAGATTCTTCATCTACTTTTTTTTTAAGGTATATGTTTCCCAAGTTAAACAAAGGAATGCATTATTATGGACATAAGCTATTAGCTTTGATGTAGCTCTCTGCTGCATTTTAAGTGTCACCTATATTATGGTAGCATACACCTAAAAGATTATAAGCATGAGAGTATTCTGGATTATACATCACTGCTTTGTTAAGATTTTCGATTGCGGTTTCATATTATTTTAGATTTAAATAGCTATGGCCTATTGATTTGTAAGCAATTGGGTTCTCAGGAAAAACATTTATTGATTATGTAAAATAATTAATAGCTTCATTATATTTGTTATTTTCAAAGTAGTTATTTCCAATGAGATTAAGACTTTAATAAGATGAAGGATTTATTTGAATTGCTTCTTTCAATACTTCTATAGATTCTTCAAATTACTCGTTGCTGTACAATTCCTTGCCTTTATTGTATTTATCTATAAATTCTTACTCATATTCATCTATTATTTAGGAAACTTGAACTTTCTATAACTCTTCGAAAGATAAAATCAGATCAGAAATTTTAGGTCTTAAATTTTTGTTCAACCAAAAGCTATTCATTAAGACTTTATTTATGTCCTTATCTATCTTTTCTTAAAATACATAAAATCCTGTTCCTTTCGTAAGTCTTTTTATAAATACCAAAGTTGCTTCAGCTAAAGCATATAAACAAACGCAAGCTACCCATACATCTCCTTCCTTTTCTTACAATACCTTGCTCTATTTAGCTATTTTATTTTTAGAAAAATCAAACAATTCAGGAGGTAAATAAAATGAGATATTATCCACTCTTTAGTCCATAAACTGTTTAGAAATCTCAGAAGGTATAACTTCTTATGGAAAGCCAAAGTCGCACAACTTAATATTATAATCTTTATCCAAAAAAATATTCCTTAAAGCTAACTCTTAAAGTACATAATTCTTAGAGTGAATATGTTCCAATGCATGCAATAATTACAATGAAAATTAAATGAATATTTTTCTATCAATCTATTTTTTTAATTTATTCTTCAACTACCAATCTATCAAATTCATTTCAAATCTTTCTAATAAAATAAAATAGTTTTCTTCTATCTAAAATTCTCCAAAATATTTTGCAATATTTTCATGATTGCAAGACTTTAAACTATGAGCTAATTACTATGCATAATCAAGTCTTTATTAAGATATTTATTCATCTTAATTTTAATGCAATGATATTACTTTAATTGAGTATTAGTTTTAGCTATCATGAGCAATAACAGTGTATTGCTAATCTGGCTTATCTATATATGACTTAGTAACTGTTATTTACTTATGAATTTCTAATTGCTTTATTATTAATTCCATTTAAACTAAATCTAAATATCTATTTAAATTACTGCAAATTAGTTTCAACTAAATATTTTTTAAATTTCTGATTATATCAAAATCCAAAAACCAATTTTAGTAATATATTAATAGATTGGCGCAATGCTAATTATGAATCTTTTTTTTATTAATAAACATCATATATTTTTGGTAAACATCTATTGTTGATTATGTTCATAACATTATTAAAAGTATTCAAATAATAGCATATTATTATTTTTTAAAACAAAAAATAGCCTTTTAATGATGATTGAATAAAAACTTATAATAAACATTAAAAATAGCAAGATTAAATAAAAAATAAATATTTTTAAAATAATAAATATCTTAAAAAAATTAAAATTTTTATTTATTTATTTGAGAAAAAACTCAAATAAACTTTTTAAGATAACTTTTTATTATTGTTACAAAAATTAAAAAGTATCCAATTAATATTTAATTTATGAGCTAAGCATTATCCTTTGCATAAAAGTGTAAAATCAGTATTTGTTTTCTTAAAAATAAATAATATTTATGAATTAATTATCAAACAAATTTAAAAAACTTAATAGATTTAAATTCATTCAAAAATATATTATTTAAAGATATTGTTTCAACATATAAATTTAAGATTATATTTATATAACATCTATTAATACATAAGAAGAAAGCAATAAGATAAAAAGAAATTAATTATCAGATTTAATATATAGTCAAAATAGATAATAAATGAATGAAAAAAATATAAAATTTGTATGGATTTAATATTTTGTTTGTATTTCGTCCTAAGTTAGTTAAAATTATTAATAATGAATGAATAATAATTATAAGTTTTTATGTGTCCTAAAAAATTTAATGTGAGCCATGATCAGAAAAAGAGACAACAAACACATGAATTTAATTTATTGTTAATTTTAGCTTTTAGTAATAAGATTCTATTTAATAACCAGTTGAAATTAATTTTAATTAGTTTTGTTAAGAAATATGGTTATCGGATTATGATTTTTATTGGCGTATTTACTTTTATAGGTTTTTGATTAGGGCTTTTATTACTTTTTGTAAAATTAAAACTTTTGCAATTAAGATTTTTCCTCTCTAAACAAAATTAGTGAAAAATAAATTAAAAAAGAATTAAAAAAATTAATTAAAAATGAGTCAAAAAAAAAATATATTTTTCGGTATAGTTTTGATATCTTTACTGATCAACGCATGCTTGTCTCAACAGCTAAGAAAGGATGAATTTAAAAGTAAGATAAGCTAAAAAATATAGCAACTTTAAAAGGACCTAAGAGGTGAATTATATGATAAGAATACTCACTTTACTCCTTTTCCTCCCAGATTCGATCATTAAAAAGGACTATATGGATCTTACATTCATGGAAATATCATAGATAAAGATAACTCATATCTCACTCATTTAATTAGAACTAATTTTAAATGTGATGATAATAACATGTTTGTTAGTAATTTTGTCTTAATGGCTTTGCTAGACAGCTATGAATTAGGAACTATTGATCTCTAATTAGAAGAATTTGAGTGGACAATAGATGCTATTTTGGAGTTTAGAGATAAAAATAAAGAATAAGGAATTCCTGTTTATTCATTTTGGTCATAAAAACTTATAAATGGCACTTGGGGAGCTGCACCTAGCAATTTAGAGCATGTAGCTTAATTGGCTGCTACTTTTCCCCCATGGTTGAAGAATTGGCTTGATGCTATAGGATTTTCTTATATTTCTCATGCCAGTGATATGTCAAAAGTATTTAGAGTTCCTCCTGATGCTGATGATAGTTCTGTAAATGTTGCTTTAGGTTAAAGACTAAAATAATTCTAATCTCTAACAAAAATTGAATAAAAGTGGAATAAAATGAATTTTAATACCAGTGCTTATTATGAATTACTTAAATAACACGCTTATAGACCATTTGCTAATCTTACAGGAGATTTAGAAAAGAAATATAATAATACCGATATAATTGATCCTAGATCTTATTTAGCTTTTTATGATTTTTTTGATGAATAATACTAAATAGCTTTAAAAGAATAAAGAAAACCCGTTTTAAGCTTTTTTTCAACCTGGATTTTAAACTATGAAGAACAGGTAAAAGATATTGTTACAATCCCCGCTTAAACCAATAATATTGATGTTTCTGTAAATGCTAATGCAATATTTGGTTTAAATAACGTATTAATAAATGATAAAAATGCAAGTGATTACTTTGACCAAGAGCTTCAAGGAATGTATTTAAATGTAACTAATTTAATTGCATATACTATTAAATCAGGTAGAGTTATTCAAAGACCAGATATCGTCATGCTTTACTATCCTTCCATTTTTGATTTTTACTGGTTTGCTGCTAGAAATGCTCACCTTTTAAATTCTTATGATAGCGAAATTAGATTTGAAGTCATGCGTTAAGCTAGAGATTCTCTAAATCAAGCCTTAAGAAATTAAGGAACCTAGTAAATTCTAAGCGAAATAAAGTATGATAAATAAGGTAATGCATACTGGGATGAATTTTTAGGAGATTATGCTGATAAAGTTAGAGGAGAAGATAGAAACTTCGCATCTGCTTTAGCTTTAAATGCACTTCTTGATATTTGGACTATCAGTGAAAAGGATCTAAAAACAGGTAAAGTTATCAGAAAGTTCATCTAAAACACACCTAAAAACGTAACCGATGCCATTGATAAAGGAATCTAAAAGATCATAAATTACAAGCCAAATTTCTTTGAAACTCATGATGAAAATGTTTTCTTTTCTGGTAGTTTGAAAAACAATGCTTCTAATTAAATGTTTATGCCTAGTAATTTTAACAATTTTGCAAATGGCACATCTGTTAATCCTCATACCACAGAATTTAATTGGGATTTCTTGAAAACCTTGAGATTAGCAGTTAAAGGTTTTATCCCTAAAGACTAATATGAATAAATGATCTAAGAAACATGGTTCCAAGAATAAACACCAGTTGATTTCCCTGGATATAATGTTGGTGAAGGTTTTACCTTCCCATATTGGTCTTCACCTGCAATAACATATTCAATGTCTCTTTTAGCTCTTTCTAAGCATATTTCTATAATAAATTGATACAAAAGCAATTTATATATTAAATATATATCAATCTATCAATTAAAATGATTTTTCATTCTTATAAATTTATTTTATTAAGCATTTCCTAATATTTTTTTTATTTAATTTGAATTACATTTGAATTACTTTTTGTACAAATAAAAAATACAAAAACATCTAAAAAAATGCACCGACCGGGAATCGAACCCGGGTCAAAGCGATGGCAACGCTCTATTCTACCACTAAACCATCGGTGCTTTCGTTATTAAAACTGCTAAAAGCTCGATTATTTTATTTAATTGATTAAAAATTAAAAAATTTTAAATGATGATAATTAATTTGTTTGAATGGAGCCTAACTATTATTTAAAACATAACTGTATTCTAAATTGCCTTTATTTTTATTTAGAAAAAAGTTAAGATTTGTTTATAAATTTGTAGAAAGCATTAAAAAAAATAAATCTAAAAAGATATCAAAAACATTTTAAACAATTTAAAAAAGATTTTTAAATTTCAAATAATTTTAACAAAGAATCAATTTTTTTTAAAACAAGGGAAATAAAATCTGTGTAATTAAGAAGATGATAATTTGAAACTAGTACTAATTACATATGAGTTCTATAAAATAACTAATATAAGTGTATATATTATATTATATTAAATTTATTTGTTTTAGATTTTTGTATATTTTTAACAGGAATCATCTAAAGAATTTTATTTGATAAGATTTATTTATGTTAAATTAAAACTCTATATGAAAAGCCACATTAGTGGTTCTTGTTTATTTATGGTTGAGAATTATAATTATATATTTTAATGTATTTTTTTATAGAGAAGTTTGTCTTAATTAAAGCATGTTTCTTTATCAAAAATCATCAATAGAATTGTTATTATTGTTATTATTATTAAATATTTTATCCAATAACTACTTCTTGCTCATAAAATTTATTAATTGTTGTATTGTTTAAAATATTATTAGATGTTGTATTTAAAAATGAGCCACTATTAAGAATGTTAGTATTATTGTTATTGCTGTTTGTTGTTGAGCTAGGAATGATACCTCCCATTATATTTTTAGTAGAAAGAGGGTTAACGTTGTTATTAAAACTTTAATTGAAAGTATTTTGCTCTTGATTGTAACTATTACCAAAATTTATAACCTTCTTATATCCGCCTATTTATTTTTAATTTTTTATTTGTAAATTTTTTTAAAAACTAAATTAATTTTATACCTCTGTTGCAAGATACATTGTTGTTAACAGAAGAAGATTGAGGAGACTTTACAGACCCTAAAGAGCTTATAAATGATGTTCCTGGCATATGGCTGGGATAAATAGTCTTATTTTAATGAACTTTCTTATTATAAATCTTCTTATAGAGATTAAAAAGTGGATTCTTAGGATCTCTTATACCATTAACTAGTGTTTCTTCATCATTAGTATATCCCATATAAACCTTTTTTATTAAATCATTTTATCAATTATTTGTTTGAAAATTAAAAAAAAAAAATTACAATGCTTTTTAAGACATCTGAATCAATGCTATTGATAGGCTCATCATCATTCAGATGATGTAAGGCAAAGTTTTATGTACTATGGCCATTTCCAGTTGTGTTTATGTTGTTACTACTTCCTTAGGTATTAAGGTGGTGTACAGGATGATTATAAGGATTAATGTTCATGTTATTACTTGATTAATTATTTTTATCAGAAATATAAGTGCAGTCTCCTGAATTAGGCTATTAAACATAATCCTAAGAATTTCTAAATAGTTCCATGCGCTTTTCGTGTCTTTTCTATAAGTTGTGATAGGTTGAATTATAGTTCATAGGACTATCAGAGAATGTATTGTTTCCATTATTATTATTATTATTAATATTATTACTAGAAGGATTGTTGTTGCTAATAAAATAATTTTAATAATTGCACGAAGAACTCTTAGTTGTTAAAGGAAGAGGGGGCTTAGATGTTGGACTGTTTCCATCATTATTATTTAACTAAATTACTATATTTTTATTATTAATAAAGTAATTGCTATTATTCTAATTAGTATTATTATTAATATTGTTATTATTTTGCTAAGAAGGAGTCATTACATTTGTAGCATTAGGCTTATTAGGGTAATAAAATAAATTATTTGGAGACATAAATTTGTCTTTTTCATTAGATTTTTGAGGGAAGTTATTTTCTTAATTATTTGTAAAATTAATTTGTTGTCCCATGTTACTTGGGGTGCTGATGTTGCCAAGATTACCAAGTTGCATATGTATTCCTGATGCTGAAGAAGGTGTCTTTTGAGGGTTATTGAATTTGAATTGTTTCAGATTAGAATTGAAAGGACTATTTAATTATAGATAGTTATTTACTAAGATAGTACTGCTTGAATTCGTGTTAGAATTGCAATTACCACCATTTAACACCAGTTGCTATTGCTGTTGTTAAATTTACTATTACTATTGTTATTATTATTATTATTACTATTGTAATTATTAGAGATTATTATCAAAGTTATTTGATTGCTGATTTCCGCTTATAGATATTTACTAGTTTTATGATGATTGAGGATTTGAAGAAATAGAAGATTGCTAATGAGAAGAAGGATTTTAATTTTACATAAAGGTATTCTTCTTTCCTCCCAACCAAGGATGACTTAAAACCTTTAGATAGTATATTTTAAATTAAAAAATTTTTAATAAACAAATTTAAAATATTTTTAAAAAATTTTATTTTATAATGAAATTTTTTTAATTTTTGTAACAATTCTTACAAAAATGTTTTAATTAATATTTTTATTACTTCTGTTGCAGTTGGTCTTAAGTCACAATCTGTATTTAATACCCATTTGATAAAATCTCTAGCTTCCTTTGAAAGGAAATCAGGAGAAAGGAAATCACCTTTGGTTATTTTCTTATAGAGTTCCTTATCGGTTTATCCTTTTTAAATTGATGAAAAAGAAGTTAAAAAATTTTTTTTTAAATGCTTGCTTTACCTTTAAAAGGGAATGTGCCACATAGTAATGCATATAGAAGGACACCAAGAGCCCAAATATCAGCAGGTGGACCAGTATATTCTCTTTTATTAACAATTTCAGGTGCCATATATGAAGGGGTACCACAAAACATTTTATATTTTTAATCATTTGGGATGCAAGTAGAAAATCCAAAGTCAATTAATTTAGGATTATTATTTTCATCAAGGAGAATATTTTCTAATTTGATATCTCTGTGGCAAATTTATTTTGAGTGAATATACTCAATAGACGAAACAAGTTGTTTAAATATCCTTTTGGCATCATTTTCAGTGAGTCTTCTATTGGGCTAAGCCTTTAAGTATCCATGGAGAGAAGTACCAGGAATATATTCCATAATGATATTTACATGGTTATTAGTTTCTATTGTGTCGTAAACTTTGATAACGTTCTAATGGTTTAGCATTTGTAAAAGTTTTATTTCTCTTCTAACTGATTTCTTTCTTTGGGGTTCTTTTATTCTTTGCTTTTCATAAATCTTTATAGCTACTTTTTTGTTGAATATTTTATTTAAGGCAACTCTTACAGTGGCATAAGCGCCTTGCCCTACTTGTTTACCAACAAGATATTCTTCCTTGAATTTTTGTGTCTTGTCTATGTTATCATCTTAAAACTATTATTCACAAAAGTACTCCTTTAATATAATTAAAAAATAAAAATCTTACTTGAATAATTTTTCGTTCCTTCTCTTCAGGAAGAGCAGATAAGAACTTATCGGGCTCGTAGCACTTAGAATCATCATTTAAGAATCTAATATTGTCAGCGTGATCTTTTGGAGTACCGTTGCTAGAGAATGGATTGTAAGGAGCATTTTAAGGTGCAGCGATGTTTTAATTTACTTGTTATATTCCTGACAAAGGGTATTAAGCTGCTGCAGAAACTCCATTTGGCTCAGTGCTAGTAGGTTTTTATTTTTTAGCAGTAGTGGTATTTTCTTCACAATCATAAACTTAAGTATTTGTAACAGTTGTCGTAATCTATTAAGCATCATAATTTTTAACTCCAGAATTACTTTAGTTATTTTGCTATGTTTGCAAAATAGTAGCATTTTAAATTGTATTTGACTGTAATGAAGATTAAGTATTTTAATTCAATTTTACTGCTGTAGCATTTGTTGTTGTGCTTGGGAAGTCAAACTAAAAATGTTCATTTTACTTTCTCTTATTATCACAAGTCAAAATTTACTATCCCAAATATGATGGAAATTCAATTTTTTTATTTTCTTTGGTTGATTGTATTTTTATTTGTTACAACTGCTAGTTATTTGATGAGTTAGTTTAAAATTGTTATTAAAGCTGTTATTGTTACTGAATTTGTAATTGCTATTATTACTATTATTATTATTGTTATTAAACAACCTATTATTATTGTTAAACCAGCATAGGTTTGCTAGTTTACTAAATTTGTTGCTTGTAATAATTTAACGAGCTATTATTTTTATGATGACTACTGTTCAAGGGAGAAGCCTATGTATTTTAATTTATGATATTGTTATTGCTGTTTGTATTTATGTTGTTAAGTAGCAAGTTACTTCCACTTCCGCTGTTGTTATTATTTAAATGGGTTGTGTTTAAGTAAGAATGACTGATATTGCTATTCCCTTAATTATTTAGCATTACACCATTTGGATTATAATTCTAACTAGTTTAAATACAATTTTAATTTAGAATGATAGTATTTGGTTTTAATCCTGTTGAGAGAGCACGTTTAGAATTCTAAGGTTAAATTTACTATTGATTGAAAGAAATAATCTCTTTAGATTAATTGGTGCAGGTTTCTGAGCTTTTTTCCCTTGTAATCTTTTAATAGTTTTTCAAAAACTCACTTGAATTATTAAGTCTTATACTTATTTCTCTATATTTGTTATTGCTTTAACCGTTATTGTTGTAGCTGTTTAAATTGATATTGTTATTCGTTGGAGTATTTACTTAATTTGATGAGGAATTTAACATGTTAAATTATTGTTAAGTAGAAGAAGTAAACACATTTGACGAGTTATTTAATTAGGTGTAATTTACATTTTCATTATTTCCATAAGCATTTTCCTTATTAGCTATAGTTTTTGGTCTCTTCTTTTAAACTGATTATTACTAATTTGTTGGGCTTTTTAAAATATCAATTCCTCTAACGTCTTTAATTTAATTAGATTTAGCCTATGATTGAAGTAGTAGTTATTGCTGTTAGTTTGAATGAGGAGCATAGTGAGGCTATAATGGTTCTTTAGCATATTGCATTTATTACTAATGATATTACAATGCAGCTTTTGTGCAAGGAGAGTAAGATTACTGTCCGCTTATGTTATTCAAATTATTATTTCCAATAGTCTAATATAAAGTAAATAAGTTAAATAAAATATTGAGAGATTAAAAATACTTTATTTAGAAGATTTAAGTCAGTTTCATTCAATTTTTGAGAAGGTCTTTAATTTGAATAGGCGTACCTCCTTTTTATTTTTAATAAGTTAGAAATTAAAATCTAGTAGTCAGTTTTAGATTAATTTTGAATTTGAATTCACTTTAAATATGCTCACAAAAATAAGGCTAAGTTTAAATTGCAAAAAAAAAAAAAAAATTCAAATTGCAGAACAAGTAGATCATAGAAAAAATGTATGGAAGAAATAAAAAAAAGATTTTTATGTTCCTAATAGTGAATGAATGCGAAAAGAATAATTTAGAAGCAAAAAAATATCAGTTTAGATTTCAATTGAATTTGTTTGATTATAAAAAAAATAATGCAATAATAAACAATCAAACAAATAATCAAAAAATAATGATTGTAAAAAAGAGGATGTTTTTATTTGGGGAGGCTGCCTATCTTATTTTTGAATTTGAAAGTAAATTTGATTAAAAATCTTTGAATGTCCTAAAAAAATTTATCTTTTCTTAATTAATTTTTTTACACAACAAATCAAAGAGTATTCAAATTATTATTTATTTATTTAGGTATGTATGTATCTATTTACTTATTCATCTATCTAATTTAACTATTTTGAATTTATCAAAAATATTGCGCTTTCATTCATCTTTCAGTGTTGCTAAATAACGAATTTACTCACTCATTCATAAATACATTAAATATATTATTAATGTGTGCATTTATTTTAAACTAAATCAAAACCTAAATTTTAAGATTTTAACAACCATATACCCTTTGAAATAATAAAATCTATAGAACGAATATCTTTTCGCATTTAAACTTTAGCTTTTTGAATATTCATTATGAATTTAAATTCATTGATAAAATGATATGAGCTATCTTTTTGTTATTTAATTTACTGTGCTGATGGCTGAGTTGAAAGACCTGTAGGTTAATTTGATATGGAAGAATTAATAATCTAACCAGTTTAGTATTTGTTGCTTATTGAGTGACTCTTTTTCTTGTAAAAAGAGTTTTAAGAAGTGCTGTTGTTTGTAGAAGCTTAGGCGTAAGACTGTATATTTTCTTAATTGTTTTTTAAATCCTCTTTACTCATCTTCTTCATAATAATATTTGTGACATAATTTTTCAGTCCTTCGGAAGCCTTAGCTCCAGTTCTTTCAATCATTTTGTTTACATTATTTTAGTTAGAGTATTATTGGTTAATTATACCCATAGATCCATTAGCTATGTTAGTATTTTATGATAAAATGCTTGTGTTTGTAGCTGTATTGCTATTGCTTTATTAAGGAGATTTTGAATTTCTTTTGTAAAAATTATCAAGCAAGTCCTTCAAGTTGCCCTTAGAACCTGCATTATTCATGTTATTGCTGCTTAGATTATTTGCATTTTACTATAATTAGACATTCCCTCCTATTTATATCCCTTAATTTAAACCATTTCCATTTCCCTAACTGCTTGAGGGTGTATTTCCAACTTAGTTTCTATACATTTTGCGTATTCTTTCTGCCAAAGACGCTGATGAATTATTATTCTTAGTTGAAGAGTACCCCTTATCTTTTATCAAAAGTATTAAAATGAATATTTGTTTCTCGATAAAAAAAATTTGAATTCAAAAAATTTTTATTTAAACTAAATGAAAATGTTTCATCATATTTCTTTTTGTTTTTGTTTAAAATAGTCAAGTAAATTAGTAAGTACTCATCATAGCTTAGATATCCTCCATGCGAATATTCTTGTATTACTATTTAGTGCTGCTGCATCCAGAATATGCGTCCATGCTTGTAAATATGTAATTTTTATAGCCTTCTAAAAGGAATATATGCTTTGTTATATTGTTTTCTGTTGAGAATGATGTTCCTCTAAGACCTATTTTGAAACCCTAATATATAAATAAATATTATACAATTAAGTCTCCTTCTTTGATTTTATTTGTTTGTATTTTATTTGCTCTAGTAATTAATTACAAGTAATAAATTAAATCAAATAATGTATTTAACAATATTCATTCTTAATAATATTACTTTTTGTTTTAAGACTGGCTTTTTATTTAAGTGAATAGCTATTCAATTTTTCTTTCTTTCTTGTTTCTTAATTTGTTTGTTTGTTTGCTTATTTATTGTTTGATGAATACATTTTTAATTTTTGATTTGATTTCAATAATCATCAATATCAAATTTATTCATTCTACATATTTAAAAGAAACAAGAATTAAAAAATAAAGATATTTTGCATAACAGCACATAAAAATCAAAAAATAAATAAATAATTGAAAAATAACTTTGTAATTTGAGTTTCTCTAATTAATTTAAGTCAAATTTTAAATGATAAATATTGTTTTAACTTTAACTGAAAAAAAATGCTTCATATAATTTTTTACAAAGTATTTATTTAAAAATGATATAAGTTGTGTCTAATTCTATATTTAGAAATATCAGATTACTTTCGAAATTATTATATTTTTCATGCTGATCAAACTATAAATTTAAACTATCTCTCTTTTACTTTAATAAAATATTTAAATTTAAAAATTAATCAATATATTTTTTTAATCAAAAAATAAATGAGAATAAATTATTACAATAAAGCTCTTATTTATTTATATTTTAAAATATTTTTAAATAAAAATTATTGATTTTGATTTTAGTTTATTGTTTTTCATAATCAATTACTTTTTTTGATAATAAAATAAACACCTAATTTAAATTTGAAAAAATTAATATCAAAGAATTTATGATTCTGATTTTTTTACCAAAGCCTAATAAGCATTCAAAAAAAATTATTTTGGAACAAATTATATTTATTTGCAAATTTATATTTAATCTAATTTAAAATAAAATTTAAAATAATTATTTTATGATTTTTCTTTTTTTTTTATAATTAATGTTAAATGTCATTAAAAAATTAAGTGTTTGTTTATTTACAAAGCATAGCTCAATAATTTAGAAAAATTTAGATATTTAAATTTTATATTGAATCTGTTAATGATCTATAATATTTTTATGTATATTACTTGAAGAATGTTATTTTTGATAAAATTTTTACAAATTATTTTTATTTAATAGAAATTCTATTTGATCTATAACAACGTATATACTGAATTATTTTATACATGATTATTAGAATTTATAGTATATATACTTTTTTTCTCTGTTTTTAAATATAACTGCTTGAAATTTGTCAAACTTTGATTTTTCTATTTTGGGTTTGTGATCATTAGTTGGCAAAATTTTATCCAATAATTTTTAAAACTATAATATGTTATTATAATTATTAATATTATAAACTAATTAAAAAACTGATAGATAAATAAATAAAATAAAATTTTTTAATTCTTAAATTTAAGTTTAGTCATGTTAAAATTATTTTTTAAATATTTTAAAGTTTAAAATAATTTGTAATTTTTAATTAAAAAATTGTTTTATTCAAAAGTTAAACTAATTTAATTTTTTACAAATAAATCGCCAGTTATCTAATACCAAATAATTAAAATATTTTTTTTTTATTAAATTTTTTCCTGTAATTGATTGTATAAAATTTGATAATATTATTATTTAAATATATATATTTAATAAATATGACTATTTTTTAACTTTAAATCATTAAAAATATATTTATTATCTGATTTTTTTATTTTGAATTAAAAATCTAATATTTACTCTTAGCTTTGTAAAGATAAATCATCCGTCCATCCTTCCATCTATCCAAAACACAAATCAAATACTTAATTTTTAAATAAATATATTTTGAAAAAAAGTTTGTAAACAAATTAATCAAAAAGCAAAATTATTATGATAAGTAAAAAAAAAAAGCAATATAAATATAAATATAAATAAGATTAATACTAGAATTATTTTAAAGTTTTTATAAATAATTAAATATTTTGTAATAGCAACTAAATTATTAATATACAAAATATAAGCTTTTCAAAGGAATTTTTAGCATCAAAAATAAAAGTAAATTGATGATGTTTTAATTTAACTATATTGAAATTCAAATTAATAAATATTAATTACATGGTATTTTTTAGAAAAATTTAAAAATATGAAAAATTATGATTAAGCAGAATTATTGTTTTATTTGAATAAGACTAATAAAAATACGTACATAAAAAAATATATTAATACATGAGCTCAAGAGTTTCCATTTTGTAAATAGAAGCTTCCTTTTTTAAATGTTAATAATCTTACTGAAACTTGCTTTTTTGAATGTCAATAATAATAATAAAATTTTCATTAGTCCTAAATCGAGTTTTGTTACCTCTCTGCTTCAATTTTAGATTCTGATGCTTAATTTTCAGAAAAATTAGCAAGTTAGTTGCTCTAATCATTATTTTAAGCACCATAAGATTCGTTTTAGGAATTTTAGTTAGAAATAAGATTCATCTGATTTGTTTTTTGATAATATTAAACCAGCTGTTATTATTCAGCAAAAATCTTGTGTAATTCAGCCAAAAAAATTCTTAGTCTTACGTTTTCATCTCTAAGGATCCTTTTTTATTCTTAATAAAGTTTATATTCTTGTTGACTACCCATTTTTGGAAAAATATTGTTATTTTTTTGTATCAAATCAATTATTAGTAAAATTTTATAATTAATTATTACTTTGATGATGAGCGATATTCACAATTATAAAATATTGGTTTTTTAAATTATTAACAAATTTTATGTGGGTAAATCTCATAATTAAAGAAAGATAATAAAATTTATTGATTCTTATATTTTAGAAGATTAAGCAACTTATTATTACTCTTAATTAACATAATTTAGTTATTTTTTGAGGAAAATTAATTTACTGTTAAAGGCTTTAACATTTTTCTTCTGTTAACTATCCACTGCAAAAATATTGTGAGAAAAGGTAAATTTAAAATAGCGATTCTTATTTTTTATTAATAATTTATATTTTTGATTATGTATTATTTAAAATTTACTTTTGATAGTGATTGATAAATTTTAAAACTAAAAATTATAAAAAAATCCTTTTAATAAATATTATAAATAGGGAATTAATTAGGGGGAGGTGCTGGGGGGTTTTGTTAACTTTGTCAAAGAATTTGTCTTTGATGATTAAAAATTTGTTAAAAAGTTTTTAAAAATGTTGTAAAATATTGCCCTCCAAGTGAAATGCTTGGAGGAAAAAAATTAGGCATGATAGGTCTTGGTTTCGATCCTATTAACCTTAAAACACTCCGATTGTAAAATTTCTCTTCATTTAAGCTTTTAGCTTAGTTCCATTAATATTTAATTAGATAATTTAATTTTGTTTTAAACTATACTCATAAAAATTTAATTAAAAGCATTTTTCTTCCTTTACATATTTTGAGAAAATATTTAGTTTAATAATACAGACCTTAAGTTAAATCATATTAAAATTATTTTTTAAAGCTTTTGAAGTCATTATTTTTAATTTTTTAATTATAAAATTGTTGTATTTAAAAGTAATACTAATTTCATTTTTTACAAATAATTCCCAGTTAATTAATATGAAATCCATCCAATTAAAATATATTCTTTTTTATTATATATTTTTTCTGTAATGGTTTGCTTCTGAAATATATATTTTTACTAAAAGCTGCTTATTTTTTAACTTTAAATAATTAAAAATTAATTTATTTATTATCTTATTATTTGTTTTGAATTAGAAATCTAATATTTATTCTTCACTTTTTAAAGAAAAAACATCAATCCATTCAAAATACAAATCAAGTACTTAATTTTTAAAAAATATATTTTGAAAAATAGTTTGAAAGCAAATTAATAGAATAGGAAAATTATGATTAGGAAAAGTAAAAAATATAGCAATAAAAATTAAATTAATATAGAATTCTTTATTTTATTTATTTAATATTTTATAATAGTAGATGATGTTTTTATTAAAGAATAATTTTTCAAATTGATAAATAATAATTGCATGGTATTTTTTAGAAAACTTTTAAAAAATGTTTAAAATTTAGAAAATAGAACTAAAATTTGGCTGGAATAAGATCACGAAAAATATGTATAAACAAAAACAAATACATGAGAGCAAGAGTTTTAATTGTAAATAATAAATAAATGATTCCTTTTTGAATGTATATAATTACAATTTTTTTCATTAGTTCTAAATCGAGTTTTGATTCCCCTTAGCTTCAATTTTTAGATTTTGATGCTTAATTTTCAGAAAAATTAATTACTTGGTTGTTCTAATCACTGTTTTAAGCATCATAAGATTGATTTTGGGAATTTTACTAAGCAATCAAATTACGTAGTTATTGGAGTTCTTCTTACATCTTGTCTTTTTCAGCAACGATCTGTTAAATATACTAGTCTTTTTCAACAAAAATCTGTTTTTTTTCAGCAAGAATCTGTTAATATTCAGCAAGAATCTGTTAATATTCAGCAAGATCCCGTTTTTTTTCAGCAAGAATTAGTTCATTAAACTAGTTTTATTCAGCAATAATCTTTTATGTTTGAGCAATTGTATGTTGTTTTTCAACAAGAAGCTTGCTATATATGTCAAAAGTCTTTAATAGTCTTTAGTTTTCAGCTTTAAAATCTTTTTTTTAAATATTTTTTTAATATATTTGATCTTCTTGTTTACTTTGCATTTTTGGAAAATATTGTTAATATTGTTATTTTTTTATTTCAAATCAATTATTTGTATAATTTTACATACAATTCCTTGATGATGAGCAAAATTCACTATTATAACGTTATAGTTTTTTAAATTATTAAAAAATTTTAAGAGTATAAACCTCATTATTAAAGTTAAATATTGATATTTAATAGAATCTTATGTTGCATAAGTCTAACCAGCTTAATAGTCTTAATTCCCATCATTTAATTATAGATTTGAGGATAATTCACCTTTCTAATACTGTTCTTCTTTACCCTATCTTGAGCAAAAATATTCTGAGAAAATTTAAAATAGGGATTATTATAGTAGCAAAATTATTAATATAAAAAAAAGAAGTTAATATAATTTTTAGCATCAAAAATAAAAATAAATAGATGATTTTTTAATTAAAGTATAATTCTTTCAAATTAATAAATAATAATTACATGGTATTTTTTAGAAAACTTTAAAAAATAGATAAAATAGAACTAATTTTTGATTAGAATAAGATCAATAAAAATATGTACATAAAAAAACATATTAATACATGAGCGCAAGAGTTTTCATTTTATAAACAATCAATAAATGAAGTTTCGTTTTTTGAATATCAATAATTACAATATTTTTATTAGTTCTAAGTCGAGTTTTGATACCCCTTAGCTTCAATTTTTAGATTCTGATGCTTAATTTTCAGAAAGATTAGCAACTTTGTAGTTCTAATCATTATTTTAAGCACAATAAGATAGATTTCAGGAATTTTACTAAGCAACAAAATTACGCAGTATTTGAATTTCTTCTTCTTTTTCAGCAAGAATTTGTTTCATCTACTAGTCTTTTTCAGCAATAATCTTGATTTATTCGGGTATAGTCTATTTTTTTATATCAAATTAATTATTTATAAAATTTTACTGATAATTCATCTTATGATGATTATGATTTGACTTGCAAATGATCCTACCTATTTAAATTATTAAAAAATTGTAAGTGTGTAAACCTCATTATTAAAGTTATTTAATGAGTTTAATTAGTATATTAAGCTTCAGAAGACTAATCATCTTATTAGTCTTAATTCCCATCATTTAGTTATTCTTCTGAGGAGTTTTCATCTTCAGAAACTTTACTAACAATTTTTTAATTGCTATATTGAATTGAATAAATGTTTTTATTATTGTTAAAAATAAATTAAAAAAATCTAAATAATCTAAAGTTAAATAATATTCATTTAATACAATTTCTTCTAGTATTAATTTATGCTTTTAGCTTAGTTCCAGTAATAATTAAATTAGATAAATTAGTTTTGTTTAATACTACACTCATCAAAATTTAACAAAAATCATTTTTTATTTATTAACATATTTTGAGTAAATATATTATTTAATAATACAGATCTTAAGTTAAAATCATTTTAGAATTATTTTTCAAAGCTTTTTAGTAATAATTTGTATATTTTTAATTAAAAAATTTTTGTATTTAAAAGTAATACAATTTCATTTTTAACAAATAAATCGCCAGTTAATAAATATGCCCAACCAATATATTTTTTTTATTTTAATTTTATTAAATTTCTGTAATGGTTTGATTAAAATTTGATAATTTTACTATTAAAATATATGGATTTACTAAAAACTGCCTATTTTTTAATTTAAATCATTAATAGTTTATTTATTTATTTTCTTATTTTTTGTTTTGAATTAAAAATCTAATATTTACTCTTAGCTTTTTAAAGGTAAATCATCCATTCATCTATCCAAAACGCAAATCAAATACTTATTTTAAAAAATAAATTTAGAAAAATAGTTTGTAAGCAAAATTATGATTAGGATAAATAAAAAATATAAATAAGATTAATACTAGAATTATTATAAAGTTGTTATATAAATAATTAAATATTTTATAATAGCAACTAAATCATTAATATACAGAATATAAGCCTTTCAAAGGAATTTTTATCATCAAAATAATTCTAAATTGATGATGTTTTAATTTAAGTATGATTATATTCAAATTAATAAATAATAATTATATGGTATTATTTAGAATACTTTAAAAGATAATAAAAATTTAGATTAAGTAGAATTAATGTTTTATTTGAATAAAACCAATAAAAATGCATACATAAAAAAACATATTAATATATGAGTGCAAGAGTTTCAATTTTGTAAATAATCAATGACTGAAACTTCCTTTTTTAAATGTCAATAATCTAACTGAAACTTGCTTTTTTGAATGTAATTAAAAATAATAATATTTTCATTAGTTTTGTTACTCGTCAGCTTAAATTTTAGATTCTGATGCTTAATTTTCAGAAAGAGCAATTTAGTTGTTCTAATCATTATTTTAAGCACCACAAGATTAGTTTTAGGAATTTTAGTTAGTAATAAGATTAACCGTATTTGTTATTTGTTCATGTTAAGCTTGGTATTCTTCTTCTTCTTTATTCTTTATTTCAGCAATATTCTTGTTATTTTTAGCAATTGTCTGTTAAACTTCAGCATTAAACTGTAAAAATTCAGCAGCAAATCATTAATTTTTTTCATCAGCAATCTGTTAACATTTGAAATATTAAGCAATAATCTTTTATTATTCAGCAATAATCTTTCTTAGTATTTCGTTTTCAGCTCTAAGGGTCATTTATTATTAATAAAGTTGGTATTCTTGTTGACTTTGCATTTTTGAAAAAATATTGTTATTTTTTTTATATCAAATAAATTATTTGTAAAATTTTATAATTAATTATTCTAATAATAAGAGAAATTCACAATTATAATATCTTTGCTTTTTAAATTATTAATAAATTTAAATTGGGTAAACCCCTTTATTATAGTTAGATCATGACATTTAGTGATTCTTGTATTTAAGAAGATTAAGCACCTTATTATTACACTTAATTCCTACCATTTAGTTATTTTTTGAAGAAAACTAATTCATTTATTGATCCTTTATATTTTAGATCATTAATTATTAATTATTTATTTTGGGTAGTGATTGATCTAAATATTTAGAAATTAAAATATTTTTTTAATGATATTATTAAATTTTTTTCTGTTATGGTTTGTATAAAATTTGATCATTTTACTATTAAAATATATGTATTTACTAATAAATGCCTATTTTTTAACGTTAAATCATTAAAATTTATTTATTTATAATCTTATTTTTTGTTTTGAATAAGAAATCTAATATTTACTCTAATATTTTTAAAGATAAGTAATTCATAAATCAATCCAAAATTCAAATCAAATACTTAATTTTAAAAAAATAAATTTTGAAAAATATTTCGAAAGAAAATTTATAGAAAAGCAAAATTATGATAAAGATATGTAAAAAATAAAACAATATTAATATCAATAAAATTAATACTAGAATTTTTCAAAGTTATAATAAATAATTAAATATTTTATAATCACAATTAAATTATTAATGTACAAAAAAGAAGACTTTCAAAGGAATTTTTAGCATCAAAAATAAAGTAAATTGATGAAGTTTTAATTAAAGTATATTTATATTCAAATTAATAAATAATAATTACATTTTATTTTAAAGAAAACTTTAAAAGATATTAAAAATTTAGATAAAGTAGAATTATTGTTTGAATCGAATAAGATCATTAAAAATAGGTACATACAAAAACATATTAATACTTTAGCTCAATAACTGAAGCTTCCTTTTTTGAATGTCAATAGTCATAATATTTACATTAGTTCTAAATCGAGTTTTGATACCCTTTAGCTTCAATTTTAAGATTCTGTCTATAGAATTTTTTGAAGTAAATTCATCTAAATAGGATCCTGGCTTTTTAAATAATTAAAATACTTTAAGAATATAAAGCTCATTATAAAGTTACATTTTAGCATTTAATAGATTCTTATATTTCAGTAGGCTAAGCACCTTATTATTAGTCTTAATTCCCATCACTTAGTTATTCTTTTGAGGATAATTCAACTATAGAGGTTATAAAATTGTTCTTCTGTTCACTACTCATGAGCAATTATATTCTAAGAAAAGATAAAATAGGTATTTTTATTTTTTATTGATAATTTATTTTTTGATTATTTATTATTTATTATTGAATTTAGACAGTGATCGATTAATTTTAAATCTAAATATTTTTGAAAAAATTCTTTCAATAAATATTATTAATCAAAATTTAAAAGATACACTAAAATTAAGTAAATTCTTGCTTTACCTTTTTAGCTAAGCTAAGTAGAAATAACAAAGTTTAAAAAATAATTAAATTCGATTATATTAAAATAGTAACTCTATCCCAGAATTTTGGAAGAAAAAAAAAATCATCACCAAGGCCATTATTCAAAACTCTCAAAAGTTTAAAAAAATATTAAATTTTCTATTTGAACACTTTTTATAATATACATTTATTTAATGTTTTCAATTTATGAATTATGTTGATTAGTAAATTTACTTACTTATTTATAAAAACTTTTTTCATTTTAAATTAAACCTAATATAGGTATCAAATATAATGCTATCCAGTTCATATATTTTATGAGGATTACAAATATTTTTAAAAAAATCTATAATAAATTTGAATATTTATTTATTAAATATTTAACTAGTTGATGTAAGATAAGGTTACAGAAAAATAATAAATAAAATAATATATATAATAAAAATTATAATTTTAAAATTAAATAATAGTATGAAGGTATTTAAATTTATAATTGACTTAATAAATTAAATTAACTTGCTAAACTAATTAGCTACTTTTCTTAAATATTAATCTTTTTAAGTCAAAAAACTTTAATCATTTTAATTAGTAAATTTCAAAATGGAAACTATAAAGAAATTAAAATCTAGTGACTCAATTGCCTTAATTTTAAGATTCTTCTTGATCGTATGACTTGTAAATAAAGGAGCAATTATTAATAGCTTTGTGTTTTTCCTTAAAACATTTTCGAATAAGTGTATCTATAAAGTATCCATGAGAAATAACACAAACCATTGATTGTTTTTATTTTTGCAGACTTTATTCTTTTAATTTTAATGAATACCTCTTTATGCATTTATTTGTATGCAAAACTCTTCTTACGAAGTTAAAATGATTTTCTAAAGGCTAGTTTTTGTGATACTCCATTAAATTCATAATAGTGGTTGTATCAGCCATATGTCTCTATATTTTATTGAATTATTATTATACTTCTTCTTCGCCATTAATTTCTTAATCACTATCTGATGAAGATGATGCAGGCATTTTTAAAAGTTATTCATCAATAATGTTTGCCTGCCAATTATGCTAGTAGAAATACCTGCAATTAAAGGATATTCCATCTTTCTAATAACTAGTTTTAATGAAATCAATGAACTTATTTGAGTCAAATATATCAGAGACTTTTGTTAGCTGTTCTGAAATTTATGGCTAAACAATAAATTGTATTTTTCTTTTGTTTGGATGGTTCCTAAATAATTCTACGCAAGTTTATAAAGTCCTTTGCATCGGCGAAACATATACAGTTTATATTCTCAATTTATGAAGCTGAGGAGCTTTATTTTTACACTATATTATTCCATAAGGATGTAAAGGTGTATCTACAAATTCTTAAGAGTTGCTAAACATTTTATCCTTAATTAATTATTTTAATTTCTTGCTATTAATAGTTTATGAATTTATGTATTTGTCAACGAAATAGTTGTGAAAAGAGTAAGCATGTCTTATAAAAATAACATTCCCATCATCGCTAGTGAACTAATCATATGGATTTAAACTAATACCCAGCTGTTACACTTCACTTTCATCAAAAACAAAATTTTTATGTAATTCCCTAATTTTTAGCTCGCTAGGAGTATTTTGGTATAATAATGATTATGTAAGCAAAAATCTAAGCTATTCTTCATTTATTTAATCCTCTTCACTTAGCTCTTGCTAGTTCTTTTCCTCTTAAATGCTTTTATTATTTTATTTTATTTGATCCTGTGAAAATTTATAGAATGGCTAGCTACTTAGCGTTTTAGAATTTAAAATAAATCTTTTGGCTAACTTTGATATCATTTGATTGCTTTATTTAGTGGTTTTAATATTATTGAATGAAATCAATACCAATTTCTTTTATATCAATATTTAATATTTTTTAGAAACTTCTATAAATTAAAAAAAAAATTAATAGTAACTAACTAATAATTCAACTTCTACAATTTAGTACCTATCTCATATTCTATTATTTTTTCTATTAAGCCATACTTTTGCTACTACTTGAAGATTTAAATAAATTAACTTGAGTTTGTGATTTTATAGGAGTCTTTATTTTAAGATTTATAAAAAATTATTTTACAAAATCAATGAATTTTATATGTTAATTTTTTCTATAAAAATAAAAGACAAGTTAAATTCTCAAAAAATATCATAAATAAATTCAAACAATTCAAATATGTAAATTTTAATTAGAAATAGAAAATGTTTTTTTAAAATAAAAGTGGTTATTTGATTTTTAGATTGATTACATTATATATATTATTAAATAAAATTTTTAAATTGAATAAATTGAGTAAATTTATATAATTATTTGCTTTTTATATTAGTCAGTCTTCTGTAAGAGACCTAGAATTTTGTTGCTAAACTTAATTTTGTTTTTGCTTCACCTTATAAGAGTGAATTTTAATATTTGAGTTACTTAAACTCCAAATATTAATTGTCTTTTCTTAAGCTACTTCTAACAAAAGCTATCCATTCTTTTTTTCTTGCTATTTTTTAAGCTTTCTCTGTAAAAGTTTTTATTATATTTTCTTTAAAAAATCAAAAGTGCTGATTAAGAAGCGTATAAAAAAAAGAATTAAACTTAATGCTAAACATCCAATAAGCATGAAAAATAGTATAAAGCTAAGCTTTTCTAATTTTTTAAGTTCATCATTTTCTATTATTGATTTTTGCATCATGTTGATCCAATTATTGCAAGTTACAGCTAAAACTATAAATGTTACTCCCACAAAAAATTCTTAAAATATTTTGTAATATGTAATAACTTTATACTTGAAGAATCTATAAAAAAGAATGTAAAAGCCATGCAAAAAGAATGCAGCAGAAATAATAGATGAGCACATTACAGGATTAGAAAATGTGGTCAGGAATATAATTATCACAAAATATTTCTTCATATAGCTAACTAAAATATAAGATTTACTTCCTTTCGCCTAAAAATTTATATTTTCAAGAAAATTTGGTATATTGAGCTCAATATATTTGTTGTCTTTTTTGAACATCACAAATGCCATTAATATCATAAAAAATAAATGTATAAATGCTTGAAATATAGCTAATCCCCTAGAGTTTTAAAATTGCATAGAAAAATAAATACTGAAAATCGTAGCAGTTAGGTATCCTTGATTTAAGTTAGACATAACGTTTAGAAGTGTATTTACTATCAATATTGTGTATTGCTTTCCTTTCATAATAGCTCTTGCAAATAAATTTAAAAATATTAAAACTGAAGAAATTACAAGCGATAAATGTGCAAATATGAAATTAGAATATAAATTTTATTTCAGCCCAAGTTGATGAAGATATTTTGTTTGGTGAGAGTATTTGTTTTCACTATTATCTTTCTTATCTTCTTAGTTTTCTGATTAACTTTCAATGGTATAACTTAATTCTTAATTTGAAGGTATATCTTAAAAGATAAAAGAAGCTCCTAAGAGGGAATAAGTAAATATTTAAGGAGGAATACTTTCCTTTAATATAACGATTGGTCCCAAAACTTGAATAAAATTAGATAAAATGCAAAGTATTTAAAAATTTTTTAAGACCAGCATAACATTTTTTGTTGAAGGATCTTCTGGCACGAATGTTTGAGACATATTGCTTATTGACTCATCTCTTTCTTATGAAGATTTATTATTTTTGTTATATTCTTCAGTTGTTAGAACTGTATTTAAGAGTTTTAACAAATTAACTTTTTTATTGAGAGTTATTTATATTTCGTTTATTTTTCTGTTCTAATTTACAGATATTTCAAAGTAAATTTTATTATTAACGATTTTTTTATCTTTTATAAAATAATCCTAGTCCACTTTCATGGTTTTTGGGTCTATTAAGATAGCTAAATCTTCTAGCTCATCAGAAAATGGGTCTCTATTAAGAATTATTGTTAATAAATTACTATCATTTTAAACTGACAACTAAACAGATACTATTTTTAATATGGGAACACATGTTTTCTCTTTAATTCTAATTACATAGCCAGGTTTGCATTTGCACTAGGGATAAGGACCAGAATCATCTTCTTACAAACCTTCTCCATCACCACATTTCTCTATACATCTTCCTTACCAGCTGTAAAATTACTTTTAGCATATCTAACATGAAGATTAATCAAGGCATGTTTTACAATTTCTATTGCATTAAACACATACTTTTTATTTGTTGCAAAAATATCCATCAACCATGTCTTTTGAGCAGAAAATAAGTTTTGTTTAATTTTATTTTAAATCTATTTCTTACTAGATATTAAAATAATCTGAGCTCTAAGCACATTCGCACTACTGGCTAATATTATTAAACTTCAAATTATTTCCTAAATCTTTACAATCAGATATGCAAGCATTAAGCTCGCTCTGCAACAAATAACCATTTTTGCATCTAATGCACTTAGCTTTTAATTAATACTATCCACTTACTGAATCTTTTTCGCAATTATTTTTATGATCTTAACAATTATCAACTAACTTAAACTTATCTTCGTTCGGACATCTTACACAGCTTCTATCTTTGTCTAGAATATAATAACCATCAAAACACGTTAAACATTAATTTTTTTGAGAACCATCACAAGTTAAACATTCTGAATTACATTTAGAACATTTTGTCCCTTCTATGAAATACCCTTCATTAATATCACATTTTTCACAAATTTATTAACCTGCTTTATTTATTTTCAAACTTAATCCTTATTGACATTAGGTACATTCACTAATGTCTGGTCCTGTGCATTACTAGCAATTAATAGCACAAGGAAGGCATTACTTATTATCCATATCTACATAAAACCCATTATTAGTATCACATTTCACACATTCACCTTTTAAATTTTTAGTTAAATCCCCAAAGCATTCTAAGCAATCGGTTTCATTAGGACCAGAGCATGTTTAGCATTTAGGATTACATTTTAAACATTACCCATTATTTATATATTTTCTATCTTAAATATCACAAAAATTACAGATTTTTGTATTTCCATCAAAGTAAAAACCAGAGGCACAGCTAGTGCATCCATTTAGATCACAGCCATTACATTTATCATCACACTTTAAACAGTTTAAATTATCTTTTCTATAATTTCCTGAGCAATTTCCACATGTACCATCTGAATATTTATATAAACCATTCTTTATATCACAAGTTAAGCAATTGTTTGTGAGAGGACCATCACATGTTAAGCAGCTTGGGTTGCATTTTTTACAAAATTAATCTCCATTGTCTACATAATTATTTTGAAGGCAAGTATCACATTTTACATCAACACCGTTTGCTTATAAAATAAGGTATGTATTTTTAACACATTTTTTACAAATTGTTTTGTTATCACAAACTTAACAATTTGCATCACACTTTTCACATTTATAAACTGTGTCATAATATGAAAAATATCCATTATTTAAATCGCAACTAGTTAAACATTATTATTTTTCATCAATATATATTGGACTAGAATTATTAACTTTGCAAACCTAGCAGGTAGATTCATTGTCACATACACTACAATTTTCAATGCATTCTTTGCAATTCCCTAAACTGTCTTTGAAGTACCCGTCTCCACAAATAATACATTTTTTCTTACCATCTTATAATGTTAATAAATTAAATCCATCAAAGCAAGTTTCACATTCAGTATCTAATTCTCCTGAGCAGGTTTAGCATGATGTATCACATCTTTTGCAAATCTTATCATCTGATATATAATAAGAATTACTGGTTGTAGGACAGGAAATGCACTAAGTTAGAGCTTCATCTCTTACTAAAGAACTTATACATTCCTCACATTTTAAAGTAGATGCTTATAATGAACATTTTTAGCAGTTAGAAGGACATTTTAAACATTCTGAAGAGTTTTTATAATATCCATTTTCAATACATTATGTACAACTATTATCATCCTTTTTTAGAAATTTACCATTTAGACAACTTAAACACTGATTAGGATCTGAAGGACTTTTACAAGTCTTACAGGAAGGATCACAAGGTAAGCAATCACCACCCATTTATATATATTAATCTAAGCTTGAACATTCAACACATGTCTTCTATCCAGATTTGTTAGTTAAGAAACTATAAGACTCTACACACTTTAAACAACTAAACTCATCAATATCAGAGCACATTTCACAGCTTGCATGACAATTTTTACACTCCTTATTCAAAAGTACTTATTTATCAGGGCATGGTTAAGGACAGGATTTATCTTATAATTAAATACTTGGTGGACAACTCAAACAATTATTTTGGCTAAGTCCATCACATGTTAGACATGTTTTATCGCATTTTTTACAAGATTTAGAAACATCATCCCCAAAATATCCCACTGGACAAGTCTAACAGAGAGAGTCATTAAATATATACTTTCCAGTAGGACAAGTTTCACATTTCGTTAACTATTTACAAGTTGAGCATGAAGGATCGCAAGGTTAACAAACATTATTTGAAGGAAAAGTTTTATCAGGACAATTTTCTACACACATGTTTTATGAATTTAAATTTAAAGACCCTGTACAGCTTAAACAATTATTATCATTACTCCCATTACAAGTTTTACAGCTACTATGGCATTACAGACAAAGATTGTTACTTTTATAAAATCCATCTTCATTACATTAGACACAAGTATTTTATTTTAGATACATATTACTTTAGCAGGCTGTACAAAAGTTAGCATTTCCTTAACACTACAAGCAATTATTATTACAGTTTTAGCAGAGTTGATTTGAATCTAAAAATTAAGAATTGTTTGTTTTACATACTTAACATATTTTATCTGTACCTTACTAAAAGAAATATAAACCATCAACGCAAGTTTTACAGGAAGTATTTTTATCATCAGAGCAAGTCTTGCATGTGGGATGGCAATTATAGCAATCAGATAAATTTGCATATTAGCCTGAGCTTATATTACATTATACACATTTAAATTTTGATCCATCTGTTGGGTTCATTCTTAAGAATGAAGATTTACAGCTTGTACAAGAATTTTCCGCGCCATCAATGCAGGTCAAACAGGTAGCAAAGCATGGTTAACAGCGATTAGTCTTGGTATCAATATAATAGCCATTTTATGTTTAGCATTCATTACATGTATTATCAGGATAAAGAAATTTATTTGCAGGGCAACTAAGGCAACTATTTTTAGCAGAATTAGAACAAGTTTAACAAGAGGGATCACATGGAAGACACTTCTTTTGATTTTTATCTTGATAATATTAAGTATCTGTGCACTGAGAACAAGTTCCATCAATTTTCAAATATAAATTTGTTCCACATGATAGGCAATTATTTGAGTTATCTCCATTACACGATTTACATTAATTATTACATGGTTTGCATATACCAGAGGAATTAATATAATATCCATTATTTGTATCACATGTTTAACATGTTTTATCATCTCTTAAATATTTATCTTAATAGCAAGATATGCAATTATTTGATTTAGATCCTTAGCATGTTTTACAAGAAGAATCACATTTTTAGCATTTTTTTGAACTATCTAAAAAGTACCCATTTTCAGTGTCGCACCTAATGCACTAATTATTTTAAAGAGTTGAGTCAGATCTACAACTTTTACAGTTTTTACTTGATGAATCACAAGTTAAACATGAAGAGTCACAAGCAGTGCAAATCTTTTTGGATGATACAAAAAAACCATTTTTAGTATCACAAATAACGCATTAATTTTATTAGTCAAGAACTTTAGAATCTTTGCATTTAGTGCAAGATGTACTAGATCCTTAACAATCTTCACAATTTTTATCACATTTACTACACTTAAAATTATCAAGGTAGTATCCTTCATCACAATCTTTACATTTATTACTATTATTGTCTTAACAATCATTGCAATTGCTTACATAACAGTTAAGAATTCTAAATTATTATTTTTTCTAAATTTAGTATTAATTTTTTAAATAATTTTCTGGTGTTTTTGGGCAATCAAGTGACTCCTAAACTAAAGTAAATTAGAAAGAAGTCGGAAAATCATGCGATTAATTTTTATTTATCAAGGAATTATAAATTCTGATATTTTTAAAAAATAAAAAATTAGTTTATTAGTAAAATATCTTCATTTTTAAAAATTTGATTATCATAAAAGAATTAAATAAAATGTTCATTTACTTTATGTACTGATAAAAATTTTATTTTAAGACCTTTTCTTTGAGAGAGAATTTAAATTTTATTTGAATCCATCTTTAATTATTCAAATAATTAGGGCAATTTAGTATCTTAATTTGATAACTGTTATTATTTTTCATTTATTCTACAGTATTTATCTTACTTTGAAAAGAGCCAACTAAATAATCAATTTCTCTTTTTAAAAAATAAATGTGCTTATATTTTTGATTCGCTATTAAAAATATTTACATTTGATTCTAAATATATGGATCAAGCTCAACAACCACCATTTGTACATTATCTAATGCATCATCTAGCTCAATTTTAATCATAAAAGCATTACTTTCTAAATCAATATCTAGCTGATACGAAGTTATGACTTTATTTTCCATGTCTGATTTAATATTTTTTTCATCTGATTAAAGCTCGAAATAATTTTTAGCACATGTACATGTTTAAATAAATCCAATCAAAAGACAAATAAATCCTTTTGAAGTAAATAATTATATTATATATTTTTATAGACATAGAATTATTTAAAAAAATTACTTATAATTTAAAATTTATTTGTAATCATTCAACAAACAACTCTAGTTATCTCAGATTTTCTCTAACTTTTTTGTTATGAAAATTAGCTCAATTAATGTTTTTCTGTGAATTTACAATTATAAATTAAAGCGACTGGATAAAATGATGTTATCATGTTAAGAAGAAGTAATTATTTATTTGAATTTTACTTTAATTGTTTGTGGTTTTTTATTAATCAAATCGATTAAAAATATCACAATTACGATTTGACATTAATTATCCAAATCATATTAAAAGAAATTAAGAATAACAATATATTAGCTTACAGAAATATATTTTTAATATTTCCATACAACTTAAAGATACAAAATTTATATATAAACAAGAATATTTATCTTTTGATTTTATTTATCTATTTTAGGGATCAAAAAATTAAAGTTTTTATGGTTAAATCGTAGAATAAAACCATTAACACGAAGTATTTCTTTAAGATTAATAAAATTTATCTTTTGCTTGAAGTTATTTACTGAAATCAATTATTTGTAAGCTGCGATCAATTTTTTTGTCTCTAATTAATAAAAGAAATTTTTTTCACTTGTTGTTTTTCTTAATATTTTCCAATAATTTTAAAAAGAAATTCTATTTAATTTTCTTATTATTCCTAATTTATATTTTAAAAAAACCTTATTTAAATTAGTATTAGCTACGATAAGATTAATTTTGAGCTTTTTAACTGCAACCATACTAAAACGTGTAATTGTACATTAATATAAATTTTATTAAAACTTCAAATTATAATAAAATCTGTTATTTTTTACCACTAAAAATAAGTAAAAGAATAATTAACAAAATAAAGGGAAAATTTTTTTTAAACTTAATTATTTTCTTTATTAAAGTAGAAGATTAGAAACAAGAGTATAGGCTGCAAATTCATTATTAACTATTGTCTCTAATCAATATTTTTTTAATGAGATTGCTATTTTGACTTTAAAATGAAAATCAATAATTAAAGCCTCATAAAATAAATTTTTTTAACTTTTTGTTTTTCTAAATATTTTCTAATAATTATAATAAGAAATATTATTTAATTTTCTTATTTATATTTTAAAAAACCTTATTTAAAAAAGTATTAACTACAATAATATTAAATATAGAGCATTCAAACTGCAACAATACTATTATTTGTAATTGAACATATATATCAATTTTATTAAAACTTTGAATAATAGTAAAATATGTTATTTTTAACCACTGAAAATAAGTAAAAGAATAATTAATTAACAAAATAAAGGGAAAATTTTTTTTAAACTTAATTATTTCCTTTATTAAAATAGAAGATAGAAACAAGATTATAGGCAGCAAATTAATTAAATAAGTATTATCTCTAATCAATATTTTTTAATAGGATTGTAATTTTACTTTGAAAATACTCATAATCAAAATTAAATAATATAAACTAGATAAAATATAATTTTATTGAATAATAAATAATAAATATGATTTAATATTTTATTTTTTTTTTAATGAAAATTAAAATAAACTAATTCTATTGAAATTTAATTAGATCTAAAAACTGAACTAGCAAAACAGCTATTTGATTAATTTTCATACTTAGTTAAATATTTCTTATAATTATATGAAATTATAAACACTTTAAAGTGCCATTGATTTAAAATTTTAAATTAGATTATGTTTTAGATTTTTCAAAAATGTTTGGGTTAGATTAAAAATTACATACTATTAAAAATGTTATAAACTTAGGTCTAATGAAATAAAAATCCTTAAAGATAGAACTTATTATTTAATAAATTAAAATAAATAAAATCCTATATTTTATGACAATTAAAACTTCAACAAGCAGTGACTATAAATATGAACAGACTATAAATTAATAAATAGTACACTATTTAATAAACTTTCTAAAATTGCAGAAAATAGCAAATTAGTGTGGACTTAACTTTTGAGAAATTATTATCCTTTTAATATAATAAACTTAACTAATTAATAATTTTATTTTAATATACAAAGATATTTTAATAATTTTTTTATTAAAAGAAATATAATTATTTTTTATTTTACTAATTTTGATAATTTTATTATTGCTTAAATTCATTTTAAAAGATTATTTTTTAAAAAATAAAAATAAAAAATAAAATATTTAAATTATCATTTTATCTTAAAAAATAATAATTTAATTCACAAATTTTCCAATTGTAAAATTTATTGTATAATTATATATATAATAGCTTTTATTTCAAAATTTATCAGATTTTGATTGAAATTTCAAGCGATCCTTCATTATTAATTTAAAATTTTTTTGTAAATCTTTTATTATTAATTTAAATTTTAGGTGGGAGATCACATAAAACAAACTGAACTCTATAAAAAGAATAATTTAAATATAATAATAATAAATCTAACAAACACCTAATAAAATAAAAATCAAAACAAACATAAAAATGATTCACTTTAGTAACGATACATTCTAATAAAATAATTACCAAAAAATAAAAAAATCAATAACTTAAAGGTTTTAAATTATTTTTCAGAGAGTTGAATAGAAAAATAATATTATTAAAGAGAGGATACTTAACACTTTTACTAAAAAAATTTAGGAATCAGCTTCTAATAATGACTCAATCATAAAAATGAAAAATTTAATTGAAAAATAAGAATCATAAATAATAAGATTTACTGCTAACAAATCTTTTAATTTCTTATATAGAGATGTGCTTTAGGAAAGGTTTGACAAAAATGTTGAATAAGATGGCTTTTAATAGACTTTGGCTTGTAATATGGCTTCTGGTGGAATATCAGGAATGCTTTCTTACATAATAACTTATCCTATATAAAAAATAATAGATTTTTCTAAAAGTGTTCAAACAAATCCTGCTAACTAAGATGAAAACAAAGAGCGTTTGCAAAATCAAATCGAAGAATTTCAAAGAAAGAAAATGTTTAAAATGACTTTCTTTTTCTACTCAGGACTCTATTTTGGCTTTTACGATACACTGTAACAAATATTTCCTGTTAAAGAGAAAAGAGATTTTAGATTAAGAGGTTGGGAAGCACTATTGCTAGCTAAATTTGTTTCTTATCCTGGAGAATTTATTGCAAAAAAAATAAAAGCTTACAAAGATTAAGAGTCTAAATATAATAGTCACCATAGTGAGAATTTGAGGTAGCTAATAGAAAAAGAAGGCTGCAGGGTAATATCTAGAAGTCCTTTATCCTTTTTGACAAGATTGCTATCCAATTTTGCTGCTATTACAGGATATGACTTTTTACTATTTGGGGTCAAAGAATAAGACCCTTTTATAAACAGTTATTGAAATTAATTAATCATAATTATCTACATAGCTCAATACTTTTTATTTATTATATATTTTAAAAATTTCTGTTTATTTCTATATTAATGTATTTGAATTACAATATTTTAAAAGTGATACTTAAAATTTTATGATATTTATGTGATAAAATAGAAAGCTAATTTTCATAAACAAAAAAAAATGTTTGAAAATGCACAAATTATTCATCTAAATATTAACTTTTTCATTCAATTGAAAATTTGAGTGCAATGAAAATTTCTTATTTTTACTTTTAAAAGAGCAAAGGATTGAAAGAAGTTTTTAGAATGAGAAAGAATGTTTGAGAAAAAAAAATTAGAATTTTCTAAAATTTTAAATATTAGTCTATAATATAACTCAAAAATCAATTAAATTATTAGTCTATTATCTTCTTTTACCATTGAAATTCAATAAGATAATAAATAATCTTAATTTTTAATTTTTATTGAATAGAAACTTTTTTAGCAAAGCTAGGTACTCTAGGCTTCTTATAATTAAAAACAAAATTCATATAAGGATATAAAATATTTTTTTTATAAGTATTAGATAAAAAATATCATTCTTTTATAAATTTATGTTTAAATAAAATTGCTAAAATTTTTTTGTTTTTTGCTATAGAAAGAAAAATCTTCTAAATTTAAATATCAGATAGATCAAATAACATTAAAAATTTTTTGCTTTAATATTAGATATTAAGTTTTTTTTAAAATGTTTTAAATTCCTAAAAGGTACTTTTGTAAAATAAATTAAAATACTAATTATTTGATTAAAAAATATTATTTATTTTTTATTTCTATAATTTACACTTTATTCTCTTTATTTATATTTTAGAGCAGAAAAAATGATATTAATTAAAAATTTTTTTACCTTTATTAGATAAAATTAACGTTTAAAGTATTTTATAGGTTATTTTATAGATAAATTTTATTTACAGATATTAATAATAGTATATCCTTTTTATTCTATTTAAAAAGTAAAAAAGCTATATTCTTTAGAATAGTCACAAAATATCTTACTATTCTTAAGAAATTTCAAATTTATGTAGGTTTCTTAAAAATTAAAATAGAAAGTTGTGAAATTTCTGGTTTTTTTGTTAGTTCTATTTTAATAAATTAATTTAAAAAGTTAGAAAGAATTTTCATTTTTTAAGATAACAAATTAATAATAAAATATATTACAATAAATAATAAATAAAACTTTAAATTTTTTTATCTATAATGAACAAATAACAAAATTAGTAAGTCTATGATTTTTTCGTTGACTTTATGACTGGAGGTATATCTGCATCTATATCAAAAACTATAGCTTCTCCAATAGAAGTTGTCAAAATGAGAATTCAGTTGATGGATGAAATGGTTAAATAAGGTAAACTAGACAAAGCCTATAACAATATCTATGATTGTTCTAAATAGATTTACTAAAAAGAAGGAATAGCTGGCTTCTGGAAGGGAAATTACACTAATATTGTAAGATACTTTCCTACTTAGGCTTTTAACTTTGCTTTTAAGGACAAATTCAAGAAGATGTTTAATAAAAACAAAGAAAAGGATGGGTATTATCAATGGCTAGCTGCTAACATGGCTTCAGGTGGATTAGCTGGCTCAGCTTCCCTCGCAATTACATATTCTTTAGATTATGCTAGAACTAAGCTAACTAATGATACTAAAAACCCTAAAAATGGGAATAAGCAATACTCAGGACTTATTGATGTCTATAGACAAACTTTAAAAACTGATGGTTTTGTAGGTTTGTATAGAGGTTTTGTCATTTCATGCCTTGGGATAGTAATTTACAGAGGACTTTACTTTGGATTGTATGATTCTATTAAACCAATGCTTCCAGAAAAGTATAAAAATGATTTCAAATCAAATTTTGCTTTAGGATGGGTGGTAACCATATTAGCTGGTTTAAGTTCTTATCCTATTGATACTATAAGAAGAAGAATGATGATGACATCTGGCACTCTGATAAAATATAGAGGTTCTTTAGACTGTGCAAAATAAATTTATCTGAATGAAGGCATGAAATCTTTCTTCAAAGGAGCTGGAGCTAATGTTATTAGAGGAATAGCCAGTGCTGGTGCCATCTCAGGCTACGATTAAATATAAAGACTACTTGGTATTTAACAAAGTACTTCTTCATCAGTTTACTGAAAAATTTAGTTCGATTATAAAAATACAATACTATTAATCCTCATAATATCTCACCAAAATAAAAAAAATTCACTAAAAAACAATTTTTTTCAGAAAAAATTCTATATTCTACCAAATTTGATAAAGAAAATGTGAAAATCAATTAGGTAAAAATCCATAAATTGCTAAATTAAATTAATATAGAGTAGATTTGATAACATATTAAATTATTTTATTTAATATGGCTTTAAAATTTTAACCCTCTATATGTACTTTAGATTGTGAGGAGGGAGTTTAAAAATATAAAAGGATATATTGTATATTTTTATAATTTTTCAAATATAAGTTTTATATTTTTGTCAAATATAGATTTTGTATTTGAATTAATTCTAATTAATCTAAAATATTTTTTTTTCAATAAAAAAATCTTATAATTATTGAATGACTCATATTTATTTAAATTGCGAAGTATAGAAAGAAAAACTTATTTTTAAGCTAATATTTTAAATGATTATTTATTTTTATAAATAAAAAATATAAAAAAGTAAAAATAAATTTAAAAAAAAACTATGAAATAAATGAATTTTTAAGCTTCTTTTTATTTTAGAGTAGATAAATATCAATTCTAAACTTTATCTTTAAATTTAAGTCATAATCGAATCTAAATTTCAAAAGAAATGTATTTGATATTAAGTTTTTAAATATTGCTGAAAATAAAAATTAAAAGAAAATTTATAAAATTTAATTTTAATTAATTTTTAATATATATTTTTAATGTTTGACTTAAGATTTGTTATTAATTCATTTTTTTTGGTAATTAAAAATTTAAATTTATTTTAAAAGCTTTAAAATATTATTTAATTTTAATTTAAGTGGTTTTACTACTATTTTTAGCGTCATTTATCTTGAAAATTTTATCAAATATAAAAAAAATATTTTTTATGATTTATTTAGAATATTACTGATTTTTATAGAACGAAAAAACATTTTAAATAAAATTTAATTATAAAATGTAATATTAAGATAGATTGAATATAATTTGTTAAAGATTTTAGAAGTAAAAATTTTTGTTATATGTGTTTCAATTATGTGTATCTTAAAAAGATACTAGATTCACTTATTTTGTATGTTAAAGTTCTACATATTTTTATTATTTGATATATTTTATTGTAGGAAATTTATTTTTTTGATTGGTTTGGAAAATTTCTTATAACATTTATTCATTTTATAAGCTTAATAATGAGCTATTTGATCTCTTTTTAAAGAAGGCTTTAATTTATCTGAAAACTTAAAGTAGGGATATAAATAAACGGATCAAAAAAAGAATCAAGCTTATCCCTAGACAAGCCAAAAGCATAAATAATATTATAACACTTTATTTCTCTATACTGCTTAGATCTTCATTACTTATCGTTGTACTTCCCATAATTTCAGTGTATTTCTTGCTAGTGATTGAAATCATAACAAAAGTTATTCCAACGCTAAACTCTTAGAACACTTTATAATAGGAAATGAAAGAATATTAAAAAAATCTATAGTAAAGAATATAGATGCCTTATAAAAAAAAGGTTATAGATATAATTATGCATGATGTTACAACATTTTTTGAAAGGGTTAGAAAAATTAGAACCACAAAATATTTTTTAGCATAGCTTATTAGTATGTATGATTTACTGCCTTTTGCTTTGAAGTTTATGTTAACTAAAAAATTAGGAATGTGATTTTCGATATATTCATTATCTTTTTTGAACAAGATATAGGTGATTTCAATAAAAAAGAACAAATGAATAAAAGCTTAAAAGACAGCTAATCCTCTGCTTTCGCTAAATTATAGAGAAAAATATATACTGAATATTGTAGGTGTAATATATCCTTAATTGAGATTTGACATAACATTAAGAAGAATATTTACTATTTGCATAGTGTATTATTTACCCTTCATTATAGCTCTAGCAAACAAATTTAAAAACACTAATACTGTGCATAAAACAAGAGATAAGTGTGGAAATAAAAAGTTTGAGTACAAAAACTTTTACAATCCAAACTGAGTTAGAATTTTTAATTAATCAGAATCATATTATTCAGATTAGTTGTCATTATTTGATTAGTTTGTAGTAGATTCTGAACTTATTTAGCAATTGACTTCTTGGAAGGAAGGAATAGCTTCAAATATAAAAGAATCACCGAGTAAGGAGTAGGTGTATATCGATTATGGTATATTGTCTTTGAACATAGCTATAGGTCCTAAGACCTATAAAAAGTGAGAAAGAATAATTAAGATTTAAAAATCTTTGAAAATAGAAATAACTTTCTATGCTGAACCACTATCAGGAACAAGTATTTAGGAAGCATCATTAATATTTTAATTTCTTTGCTAGGAAGATTGGTTGCTTTTATTAAACTCTTCTGTTGTGAGAATTGTGTTACTAAGCGATAAAGTATTTATTTGTTTATTAAGTGTTACTTAAATTGTATTGATTTTTCTGTTCTAAGTAACTTAAATCTCATAATAAATTTTGTTATCAATAATACTCATGCTTTTTATAAAATAGTCTTAGCTCAACTTCATTGTTTATGGATCTATTAGAAGTTTTAGGTCCTAAGACTCATCATTAAAGGGAGCTCTATTTAAAGTTATTGTTAGTAAATTGTTGTCATTTTATATTGTCAGTTTCAAAGAAATAATTTAGAGCTTTAAAACACAGATCTTATCTTATTCCCTCAAGACGTATCCTTATTTACAGATACATAAGTTTGAAGGAGTCAAAGAATTATCACTATTAACTATCAAACCTTGACTATCTTCACACTTTTAAATGCATTAGCCTTGCCACAAATAATACTAGCTTTCACATTAGCTACAAGAGAAACGACTTTAACACACTTTACAATTGCTGTTGCATTAATAGCACTTCTTATTTTAATTACAAAAATATCCATCGATAGGTTATTAGGAACAAAAAATTGATTATATTTGTTAATTAGCTTTATTAGGAATATTATAATAATACATCTAAGATTAGCATTCACATTATTTTGTAACTGTATTAAAGACAAGATTTTCTCCAATGTCATTACAGCCAGATATGCATGCATTAGGATCTTCCTATAATATGTAATCTTATTTACATTTATTACACTTCTGTAGTAAAACATAATTCCCAGAACGTATACTTTACTAACAAACAATCTCATATTATTCACAATTTTATGAGTACCTTCCTCGAATGATATTATTTTAGTCTTCTGTAGGACATTATACACAGCTTTTATTACTTCCTATGATGAAATATCCAGTAAAGCATGTTAAACACTCACTTGATGAAGTTCCATTACAAGTTTTACAGCTTGAGTCGCATTTAAGGCATTTATTTATACTAATAAAATATCCATTCTAAATATTGCATTCTTAACATACTTAATTTCCTGCATTATCGTTACTTAAATAAAGATCTTTTGCACACTGAGTGCATTCGCCTATACTTGGACCAGTGCATTTTTTACAATTTTGAGCACATGGAAGGCATCTCTAATTAATACTATCAATATAAAAACCATTATCAACATTGCAAACAACACATTAATTGTTTATATCTCTAGTTAATTATCCATTACAGAGTATACAATCTGATTCACTAGGTCCTGAACATGTTTTACATTTTGAATTGCAACTTATACATGTTAAACTATTCTAAATAAACTTGCCATTTTAAATGTCACAAGTATTGCATTGTTTAGAACCTTCAACAAAATAAAAACCAGAAGCACAACTTTTGCAGCCAGTAGAATCACATCCGTTACATTTCGGATCACATTATACACAATTTTATCCTACAATCTTAAAATTTCCTGTGCAAGTGCTACAAGAATTATCAGGCTATTTATAGAGATTTTATGATTAGTCACATGTTAAACAGTCAGTGCTTAGAGGACCTGAGCAAGTTAAGCAACTTGAATCACATTTTTTGCAAAACTAATCCTATGGATCAATATAATTATTTTAATTACATACTCCACATTTAACATCAACATTATTTGTTTGCAAAATAAGAGAGGTATTGTTCATACATTTTTTACACAAATTTTTGCTTTGGCATTATTAGCAATCAGTATCACATTTTAAACATTTTAAAACTCCATCATTCTAAATAAAGTATCCTCCATTTTAGTCACAACTACTTACACATTGTTTGTTTTCATCTAAGTAAATAGGTTGAGAATTACTTGTATTACAAACTTAACAAGTACTTTAATCATTGCATTATCTACAATTTTAGATACAGGCTGAACATTTACCAGGGGAATTAATAAAATAACCATCTCCGCATACAATACATCTTTTTTCTGAAATTAACAAATTCATTCCATTAAAACAAGATTAACAATCAGTATCTTTTCCTCCTATACAAGTTTTGCAAGAACTATCACATTTTTTACAGATTTTATCATCTGGAGAGTAGTAAAATGAGATGTCACCAGAGCATAATACACATTGAGTAAGGGTTTAATCTCTAATATAAGGATTTGAGCATAAGTCACAAATTAAATTAGATCCTTAAACACTACATTTATCGCAATTAATAGGACATTTTAAACATAAAGAAGAACTCTTATAATAGCCACGTTTAGTGCAATCAGAACAGCTTTAATCATCTTTCTGAAAAAACTTACCAATTGGGCAGCTTAAACATTTATTAGGGTCATTTTGACGATTGCAAGTCAAACAAGTTGGATGACAAGGTAAGCAATCATTTCCCTATTTAAAATAATAACTTTACTGGGAGCAATCTACACACTTTTTCTTTCCACCTTTATCTTGCAAGAAAGCATAGTTAGAATTACTGCAGCTGATACAACTATATTCATCAACATCAAAGCATGAATTACAAGAAATATCACATTGTAGGCATTAATTATTCTTCTAAATATATTTGCTAGGACACTAAGATGTGCAAGTTCCTGACTATAAGGTTATATCACCTGGACAAGACAAACAGTTTGAACTACTAGGTCCATTGCATGTTAAACAAGAAGAATCACATGGTTTACAGCTTTTACTAGCATTGTCTCCATAATAATTAGAAGGACATGTTTAACATAAAGCATCATTAAAAATATATTATCCATCAGGACAGGTGCTGCATTTTCCAGCTTAAGAGCATGTAGCACATGAAGGATCACAAGCTTAGCAGACATTACTTAATGCGAAAGTTCCCTCCGGACATTAATCTACACATTAATTAATTGAATTTAAATTTAAAGATCCACTGCAAGATAAGCAATTATTTTATTTATCTCCGTTGCATGTTTTACAAGAACTATCGCATTTTAGACAAAAAGATCCATTTATATAAAATCCATCCCCACAAGATCCACAAGTATTGTCTAGTTTCTTAAGGTATTACCCATCCTAGCAATCAGTGCAAGTATTAGCATTACCTTAACATTTTAAACATTGGCTACTACAATTTTAGCAAAAAAAATTTGAATCAACAAACTATTAACCATTAATTTGGCAGCTCTAACATAATTTATCCATTCCTGATTAGACAAAATACAAACCATCAGCACAGGTTGTACATGATTTATTATTTCCATCTGTGCAAGTTTTACAAGAAGAATGGCAATTGAAACAATCTGTTTGGGTTCCACCTGATGAAGTAGTATATTAACCTAATGAAGTATTGCATTAAATACATTTAAAGTTTGTTCCAGAATATGGATTCATTCTCAAATATGAGGGTTTACAAGCAGTACAAGAGCTTTATCCAGCATCTACACAAGCTTAACATGTGGAAAAACATTTTTAACAACGAGGGATGCTCGGATTAGTTTTGGTATCTATATAATATCCATTTGAAGTTTAGCAGTCTTAACAAGAGTTATCAGGATATAGATATTTTCCTGAAGGACAGCTAAGACAGCTATTGCTATTTGAGTTAGAACAAGTTAAGCAAGATGGATCACAAGGAAGGCATTTCATTTAAGTTTAATCTTTAAAATATTTAGAATCAGTACAGTCAGAGCATGTGCCATCATTTTTTAAATAATTGTTAGGGTAACAAGAGAGGCAGTTGTTTGAGTTATCTCCATTACATTTTTTACAACTAGAATTGCACTATTTACATATACTAGAGCTTGTTAAATAGTATCCGTTTTAAACATCACATGCTTAACAAGTATTGTCTGTTCTTAAATAGGTATTTAATTGACAAGTAATGCAATTATTTTTATTAGATCCATTACATGTTTTGCAACTAGGGTCACATTTAGTACATTAGCCATTATTTAAATAATTACCATTAGTAGTATCGCATGTTATGCACTGTTTATTTGATAAAATAAAATTTGTTTTACAGCTATTACAGTCTGTTTTGTTAGGTCCACTGCATGTTAGACACGAGGCATCACAAGGATTACAAATATTTTAAGGCGAAACAAAATATCCATTATTTTAATCACAATTTACACATTGAGATGACAAATTTAAAATTTGAGGGCTCTTGCAAGAAATACAAGTAGTGCTTTAAGCCTAGCAAGTTAAGCAATTATTATCACATTTTAAACACTTTCCATCACTAATATAATAACCCTAAGCAGTATTGCAAGTTTAGCATGAACCATCTTAAGCAAGGAATAAATTTTATTTGCAAGAAGTACAATCTTATTTAGATCCTCCTTAACATTCCTAACAAGATTGATCGCATTATTAGCAGCTATATGTTTGGGAACGCCTACCTCTTGACTATTAATTATCATTATAAAAGCCTGATTAACATGAAGTGCATTCCTTCCATCTTTAACAGTTGCAACCATTAGGACATTAATTATTTCCTCCCCAGTTTCCTCCTCCACCATTTCCACCCCACTATCCTCCTCCTCCATACCCATTAAGGATTCTTGTTTATTTAAGCTTAGGATAGAAGATAATGTTATTTTTTTAATGAAGTTCTTCAAGTTAATATTCTTATTAATAATAATCATAAGAATTTCCGCATTATTATTAAATTTCAGTATTAGTTGATATTTATCTGGTGATTAAAGTAATTCTAATTATATATCAAATTTATTTAGCTTATATTAAATTTAATAAAATTTTTACTTTATCGAGTCTATTCTTTGGGTTTAAAACATTTCCGTTAGTTACTTGATAATATATGGAGAATTAATTTTTATAATTATAATAATTTAGTGATCTTACAAGTCGTTTGCTCTACAAAAAGTCAATTTAAATTGTTAAATTTATTTTAATTTGTCTTTCTAAACATTTACTAAGCTTTAAAAGTTTGTTTATATTTATATTTATCTTGCGAATTTTCTATTTTAAATTAGGAAAAAAACAATTAGGAAAGTAGACTTTTGAGAAATAAGTTGAAAATACAAATAGAATGAAAGAGCATGATTAAATTAAATAGTATATTCAAAAGATATTTAAGGAGAGAGAGTTATTTTAGCTTGACTGATATAAAGCTTGACATAATTTATATCATCGGATTCAACTTAAATTTTTTCATTTATATGCAATTAATTTATTTTAGAACTGAATTCTGAGTCTAAGACTTAAATTTGTAAGTCTTTTTCACTTTCAGGAGTTGCAAATACAAGCCTAAGATATCCTAATAAAATTATGTTACCTTTTAATTTAAATAAAATAATTAAAATATTTTATTTTAATAACATTTTTAATAACCTAATAACATATATGTGAAGCATAGACAATTGCGTCCATATAAAAATTATGGAACAGTTACTTTCATAAAAATAGACTTCTGATTATTTATATATATTTAATTTGCTTTTTGATCAATTTTTATTTTTTAGAAATGTATTCAAAAAGAAAATTGATTATCATAAAAATGCACTCATCTAGTAAGTATTATAGTTCATTCAAAAAGTCTTTGAGCCAATTTAATTAAAAATTCACTTTTTATTAGATTTTGTTTTAATGTTTAATCTTATATGTATTTACTGTAACATAATTTTTTTGTGGTTGTTTTTGAATAAATTCCCCCACTATTTAAAAACATGATTTAGTACTATAAAAAATTAATTTTTAATTTCAATGTAATATGCCCATGAACAATTAATTACTAATACTTTACACAAAAATTTGTTTTAAAACATTCAAAAGTCTAATACCTTGAATGCTAACTAAATAATTTAAATGTATAAAGCTTTTAGAATAAATACTACAGTTTTATGGATTGTAAAATGTATACTCTTGCTTTAAAAATAACTTATCGAGACTGATAGTTTAATGAAAATTAATAGAAAAAAATATATGTTTAAAAATAAACATTTTTTTATTATTTTTATGACAAATAAATTAAAAACTCAAAAGTAATAAGCAAAAATGTAATTTTAGTAGTTGAATGATAAAGAATTTCATTTAGAATTTAATTGTATCTCATTTTTGTTAAGTCATGAAAAGGTTAATGGAGGAAATAACATAATTAAAAATCAGAATGTTATTTATTAAAAGAGAAAGAAAAGATATTGATCTAAAAATGAAAAAAATAATTTGGTTCAAATAGCTTAAATCTTTTTCGTTTTCTTTTGATAATTATGCAAATATTATGATTCATTTACCTTCTAAATAGTTCAAATATCCATATCAAATATTTATAAAAGAATTAGTAGTATTTCATGCTATCAACTTCATCTATTTAAAGTTATAAAAACAAAAGTTAATTAGATTAATTTTATTCTTTAGTGATTCCTATTTTATTTCTAAAATGTATACAGTACTCTTTCTCTTTTTTTTATGTAATATATTTTTGTCATATTTTGTTGTAATTAACTATTTTTTCTTAATAAAATTAAATATAATTTTTACCAATAAATTTGCATAAAAAATAATAACAAAATAAAAACGTATTGTAAATGCAAACAATTCTTTTATATTTATCTAATTTTTGACACATCTAGCTTATCTTCTTTTTTATATCTGTAAGCTTTGAAAGTATTTAAATAAATTTTAAAATAATGTAATTTGCATATGACCATATAATTTCAAAATAATTTAAGTTTTCATAAATTATTTTTATAATTTACTAAATTATTGTTTTTATAAATATTTATCATAAATATACATAAGTATAATAATTTATTAAATGTATCAAAAAGATTGCTTTACATTAGATCCTCTTTCATACTTTAAAATCCATGAAATTAGCACTTTTATCAAATAAAGTTATTGATACTAATAAAAAATTTTAAGGACTAATTTAATAATTTAATTGAAATAAAAATTCTATAATTTAATTTAAAGTAATGTAACCCAAATATTTTATTTTATTTAAAAAAATAGATTATAATTTAAATTTAAATGTTAACTTATTGAAAATCTAAATATTAACATTTTTTTTTATTGATAAATACTAAATTTAAAGCTAATTTATATTACCTCTATGATACATTAGTATCTATTACTTAGATTTAAATTAATTATTAATACAAAAAAATGGGTTGGAATTAATCAAGTAAATAAAATTTATTTTTTAAATTTGTTAATAAAAAGTTATTAAAAAATTATATTTGGTAATTTAAAAAATATTATTTTAATTTATGCAAGTGATGTACAATTACTTAAAATAAAAAAATTATAATTTTAAATATAAAGTATTTCATTATTTTATCTTGCATAAACTTTCTTACTTTTAGTATATGTTATTAAGTTTTTAAATGTTAGAATAAATAATTTTACTTTAAACTCTAAATTTAAGGTTCAATATCTTAATGAATTGTTTATCTTTTGGAAAAATATCTTTAAATAATCAATAAGAAAGATGATATTTCAAATATATTTTATTTATTTTAGTTTGAAAAAAATAAATTCATTCAATTTAATTTGTAAAAAAGTTAATTTTTCATTCATATATTTTAAAATGGCTGTTTTGAATTTATACATAACTGATAAAGCTATTATTTCAATGTATCATCAACTATAGAATATAATAGATGCAAAATTTCAAATTTAAATACCATCAATCTTGATAAACTAAGGTATATTGATTGAGGGCATTAAGATAAGAGGCTGGAAAAAAAACAGTTTAAAAAACTCAAGTTTTGGTTTACTTCATAAGCCTTAAGCAAACTTTAAAAATGGAATACAGTATATAATTACAGTAATTAGTTTTAGATTCAAAAAGTCTTATTTTTAAATATTTATTAGTAGATTCTTCTACTAATAAGTGTTTCATTTCATTCTATAAAGAATGGAAAATTGACTATTTTTTATTTTTTTATAATACTCAACTTGAAAAGGTTTATTAATAAATGTGAAAATGAAGTAAATATCGAAAATTAGAGTTGTATAAATAACTATAAAAATTTACATTATAAATAATGAAACATTAAAATCAAAAAATAATTTGCAAAATCTTTATTTAGAAAATTAATTCTATTAGCTTTTGAACTCTGATATTAAATAGCTGCTAAATATCATATTTTTATTTTTAGATACATTAAATTATTTTGAGCTCTATTATTACTAATAAATACCACTGATTGATTACAATCTATTATTTATTTTTTAGTAACTTTAGGTAATAAATTACTATCAAATATTACTTTAAATTTAGATTTTTTTTAATAATAAATAAAACATATAAAATTTTATTAAATAAATCATTTTTCTTAAAAAATATTAGAAATAGAAAAAGTAATTTTCAGTTTTCTGGTTTTATGATTAGATTATTCTAGATAATTTTTTTTTTTGAAAATAAATTAAAAAATAAAACCTAATTATTTCTGTTTTCTACTTTAATTTTTAGATTATTCTAGAAAACAAATAAAAAATTATTTGAAATTTTAATTTATTTTTGATAATCTAAATTCAAAATTTAATTTTGCATACTCATAAAGAAATAAACAACGTCAAATGGATTATAATTATTAGGAACTTGCTAATAAGTATTTTTACTTATAAAATTAAAAATAGTTTTCATTTTGTTTAATACAAAGTATTATATTTTATCCTTTTTTAGCATATTCTTCATTGAAAGTCTTGAAATAATTTAATTATCAAAGAATAATAAAATGTCTTAAGAATAAAATTATGAATTCGATTCCTATAGAGACTAATCTACAAAGAAATACTTAAAACCAATTAATTTATACTTATGGCAAAATTGATTATTAAAATAGAAAATTAGCCAATGATGATTTGTTTAAAATTTCTTCTTCTAGCCTTGGATTTTTAGGTTTATATCGCTAAGTAGAAGTTTTTCATAACTTTTCATTTTATCATAAATTAAACTGCAAATGGCATGACTCGAGATTATTTGAAAATATTTACACCATATCCGATTAGCCATATCTTGAGAGCAAAGTTGCAACAAATGGAGATATTTTATTGGAAGAATAAAAGCTCACTTCTCCTTTACTAATTTAATTATCTCAAAATAATTCAGTTAGGCGATAAATAGATGATGCTCATATTTAGAATGTTATTTCATAAATAAAATAGTAAAAAGAGATAAAACAAAATAATATAATTAAAGAATCTGATTAAAGCTCTCTTGAAATTGAAGCAACTGAAAACCCACTAGAAAAGCTAATTTTTTCAGGGAGACATGTAGAAATTAAAGATTAGTATATTTACATTATGAAGAACAATAAATAATTAAGCAAAGGAGATATTAGAATATCGTTTCATGAAATAAAAACAATAACAACTGCAACTGTATTAGCTCTATAAGAAGAGAGTAACCTGACAGAATTGAAGTTATTTGACTCAAAAGAAAAAATTGAATATTTTATTCAAGGAAATAAAGAAATTTCTTTTTTTTCTTTGTTCAGTTTTATAACTAAAGGCTTTGTTGAATATAAGGATTTAATTGACCTTTTTAAGTCTGCTTTGAAATCCACAAAGACAAAGCAATACAAAAATATTTTACTTCACTTCATAATAATTAGTTGTCTATATCTCTTTTTAGAATTAACAACAATACATGATGGATATTATAATATTATAGATAAAAAATAACTTTCATTATAAATTGATGAATTATAATAAAATTCTGAGAAAAGCTCATTTCAAAACAGTTTTAGTTTAAATAAAGAAAATTTAAAAGCCTCATTTATTCAAGCATTAATTCATATCACAAGCTTAAAAGCATTAAGTATTGGTTTTATACTATTACCTTGTATGTGTTTTAGTGGCCTATTTATCTATGCATTAGATAGATAATCATCATTTAATGAATTAATTAATGAAATTAACAATAATTTAGAAGAAATTAGAAAAAATAATTCAGATAATAATATATAATAATTTAAGCTATTGTTAAACAAATAGAATTAATCCAATTCAAAATAGCTTAACTATGCTTGAGAATTTACTAAAAAATAAACTTAATTTTGAGATACATATAATATTTGATAACTTCTAAAATTTACATTATTATGTATTTTTTTAATTATTTTTGCCTTTGGTTATTATGAATTTTAATATTATAAATCCAGTTTAATTGTTTTGTAATAATTTATATATGTATATATGCTTGTGTATCCAAGTTAGAAAAAAATTGTAGGTTGTTTTTCTTTTAAAAAATTAGAGAACTTAATTATGCTGAAAATTATGGTATTTTCTAATGATAAATATCTTATTAATTACATTGGATTCTTTATAAATTTTTCTATGATTTTTTAAGAATTATTTCAAATTGATCGAAATTATTTATTATTAATTAAAATGAATTTTTCTATGATTTTAAAAGAATTTTTTGAAATTGATAGAAATTATTTATTATTTATTAAAATGAATTTTTCTATGATAATAAAAGAATATTTATTATTAATTACAATAAAAATTATTTTTTTTGTGTTAGGCATGTAAATTTTAAAGATTAGTTTTTATAAAATATGAAAAATAAAAGATAGTTAAGCAAAGAATATATTAAAATATCGTTTCATAAAATACAAGAATAACAACAGATACTGTATTGGCTCTATTAGAAATAGTAAATTTATATAATTAAAATTTTTTAAATAATTAAATATTTAAAACAAGAAAATGAAGAAATCTTTTATATTTATTCGTTGGGTTTTATAACTAAAAACTTTGTTGACTATAGTTATTTAATTGATTTTTATAAGTATGCTTTTTATTCCACTAAGACAAATTTATAAAAAAATATTTTACTTATCTTTAAAGAATTAATGATATTTAATAAGCAATGTTATTTTATAAATAGAAATGGCTTAGTGGGAGTTACTTAAATTGGAAGCTTAATCAATAGAAATCACTTTGTTTCGAGTTATTAACATCCTAAATAGATATTTGTGAAATAGTAGAAATAATTAATTGGTCCTCGATTGAGTCAAAGAAAGTCCTCTAAAATTGCTATTTAAAGGAGAGAATATTTCCTATTATTTGAAAGCTAGTTGAGTTAAACAAGCTTAGATAGTATTAGCTCTAATCTTAAGATTTTGTATAAAATAACTTGAGTCAAGCTATTTACAATAGTAGAACTAAATTAATTTACTAAATTGCTTAATTGAGAAAACTTCACATTTTTAGAGCAAGTATAACTAGTAGCGTTTTCTATATAGCTGTAAGGACACATAGGTAAGCACTCATTTTATCAATGTAGTAGTATTTGTTATAATTAGAACTACTTGAAATGCAAGAATTTGATTACAAGTCAAGTTAAAAGTTAACTTAACACTAACTTCATTAATCAAAATTATATTAAGAGCAATAAGAGTCTCCCACTACTTTATTGTATTGTAAATATGATATTCTAAAGCAAAAATACAAAAAAAATATTAGCTTATATTTAAACTCTAATCTCTTCATTTAATTATTTATTTTTTATATTAACTTTTCTAATCTAACTGTTTTTATTTGAACCAAAAACATTTAAATTATTAGCATATTATATTGTAAAGCTTTTTAAATAGAATTCTTCAAGCTCATCTATAAAGTTATAAAAATTAAATTTTAAAAGAAAAATATTTTAATATTTTTTGAACTTAGCAATAAAAAAAATAATAAAATTGTTACTCATAAAATGTATTCTATATTTATAAATAAATAAATTATTATCATTTAAAAACATAAAATCTACTGAAGCAATTTTTATACAAATAAGTTCTTGATTGGTGATAAATAAATTACAAAATTGATTGCAAATGTACTTTATTTAATAAATAACTCTTCTTTACAGTCTTATTATTTATAAAATTTATAGTAATTGAAACAAAATCTAAGAATACCTGTATTAACTTTTAAAATAATTCAAAAAAGCAATATGTAAATAAAGCATTATGAATGGTAAATTAAATGATCTATTTAAAAAGCTTTTTTTACTATTTAATTATGGTTTTTAAATACTTCAAAACAAAAGTTAGACACCTTAGATAAAAACTAATTGCTATAGAAAAATTAATTTACAATTTAATAATTTATTAATGAAATAAATTAAAATTTTGGAGAGAAATTGATATATTACATATTTGGGAGATCAATTCCTTTTTTAAATTTTGTTTTAAAAAAACTATTCAAATATAATTAAATTAAATTTTGATATTTTATGAGCACTTTCTTAATCTATTTATTCAGTCAATAATAATTTAAGAATTAAATAATGAGGAGTTTAGTTTTCCCGATACAAAATATAATAAATTGAAGAGATTTAAATTGAATGGAAATAAAAAATAGTCAGTTTAATTTTTTCAAACGCAATATTAAAAAATTAATGATCAAATTTTTGATTGTATATGCATTCAAATTCTAAATGATACGTTCAAAAAAAACAAAATATAAAAATAATTTGCTTTTGTTTTCATTTTTATAATAATAGTATACTAATCAATACTAAAGATAAAAAATTTTAAATAATTAAACAGTAGATAGATCAGGCATCGAGTTATTTATATATTTTTTCTTAGATATCTATTAAACAAAATATTTTTAAATGATTTAAATTTCTTTAAAGCAATTTAAAAAGTTTTTTAAATTATTTAGAGGTAAATATATTTTTTTCTGAATATTTAACACTAACTTATTAAGTTATCAAATATTAGACCATTAATTTTATAACTAAAAAATGTTAATACTCTTAATTTATATCAATATTCATTAATTATATAAACATAATCATTTAAATTATTTTAGTAAGGATATATAAGATTGAGGTCAATTTTAGTTTATTAAACAAATTCATCGTAGTGTTAATAAGCATTTTGTATTATTAAAGAAGAAACAATAATTAATCAATTATATCATATCAACAATTTTTTAATAAAAAAACTTTTTCCCCCTTCTGTTTCTAGAGCTTTTGCCTTTATAATTTGTGTAAATTAAAAAATTAAGATTTAAATAATTTAAAGAATGATAAAAATCCATTTTAAAAAATAACAATAATATTTATTACATAGATGGGAGAAGAAAAATCATATGAAGTAATATTTTTATACAAAAAATTATGAAGTATTAAATGAAGATTTTGGCTGATTATTATTTTAAAATATTGATGCATAAAATTATATATCTCTACCTTTATTTGTAAAAGATTTTGTATAATTTTTTTTTTAACAGGTAAAAAATTGATCCTGCTGTTATATTTTCAAATGTTTAGCTTTTGATCATTCTTCTGTTATAAATAATAAATTATTTACAGTTTACATTTTTTAAATAAATAAATTTTATATTTCTAAGCTATTTCTTTCTTTGTTTCATAGACATGAAATTGTGTAAATTTAATCAAAATAATAAATAATTCAATTTATTTCAACTTTTTTTTATTTAAATGAAACAACGCATTCCCATTTTGTTAATTGATATACTTTTAATTTCAGAGTATAAATTTTATTAGTAAAATTCATAATATCTAATTTGATTAAGAAAAATTAAAAAATATACTAAAACAAATAGTAAACATGGTTTGGGTAAATAAATAACTAACTTGTTTAATAACAATTTCATTTTTCATTAAAGTGATTTTTACTTAAGGTGGATGCAATATCAGCTATTGCTAATAATGTGATGCTTTAAATTTAAATTGCCTTTAATGTCAAGCTGATTTTATACTAAATCCTTAAAGCAATATTTGCCTATCTAAATGTCTTTTTGGAACTTACTACGACTTTAATGTAAGCTCATGTATTCCTATTTGTAACAATGGATATGCTTAAGATGAAACTCATAGAGTATGTATTCAAACTTAGCCTTGTCATAGCTTATAATCGCCTAATGGTTTGGTCTATAAATATAATAAAATTGCATAAATTTACAAAAATTATGTGATAGTCTGCGGCTCTGATGATAATACAAGCAACTCAAATACTTTAAATTTACTCTCCTATGATTTAACAACTGGTACAGCTCTTTCTCATATAGGATACTTAAGCTAAAATGGAGGACCAATTATCTTTTTTCATATCTCAACAAATTCTTAAAATCAAGACATTATATACTCTTTTAGTAGAACTTAAATTACTGCATTTGAATTAAATTCAGGAATGTAAATTAATTCTTACACTCTTTTGAATGGATTTTTTGTGGACGCTTCTACTTACTATATAGACAATAATTACTTAATTGTGTTCTGCTATAGAAACTAGCAATTCGCAGTCTTATAATACCAACAGTAGTTAAGCAATAATTGCGGTTCTTAATAGTGCCTAATTACATTTTAGAGAGTTCATATCAATCCTATTATAGGTTTCATACTAGATAGTTAGGGAAATATCATATCTTACGCCCCAGACGGAATGATTATATAATGGAGTATTTAGAATTAAAGCTATTAAACTATTCTTTCAAACTAAAACTATGAAATATCAAGTCTATGTCTCTCTATAATTTAGCAAAACTAATAAGTATTTGCATTTTCTATTTAAAATGATAGCAATAATTAAGTGTACATAAATGTGAATAATAAAGTAAATTCCTTCTAATTGGGTTTTACATCTCCTATCCTTGAAATATTAGATTATAATCAACTAATTTAATCTAGTTCCAAAAATATGAATTCATACTCAATAATAATTATTAGAAGCTCATCTCAACTCATGCTAGTAAAATTTTAATTTGGTCAGTAAATAACTACTTAGAATTTGTTATCAGCATCAATTAATCCTATTATCACTAAAGCAATTAAAGGTTATTTCTATTTGGTACTTTAAGCTAATGGCATATATTCAATCAACCAAAGTAATGGTTAATATTCATTATAGTTAATAAACTAAATTTAGCTAAGTAGTTTTAATTACATATCTGATCTAGAACCATTTACATTAAACAATACCTCATCTGGGTATAGTTTTCTTTTAGTTGCAAAATAGTTAAAAATTATTGCCCCATAAACTTAAACTACTGTAGATCCATATAATGGAATATAATAATAAGTAAGTCCCTCTTATTAATAACATCACAAATGGATAAATGGTGTTTTGTATGATCCAACTTTAAATGTATATCTAAGTTTTAGTCAAGATGGGTCATTTGCAGTTTGGGATATTTTTATGTATGATATATTTAAAATGAAACCTCTATTCTTCGTATTTCCTCCTTGGTGTTAGCAGTACTAAACCTGTTCTACAAGCATAATCAACGCATTATTGTTTTAAACGGGAATATTTATATGCTAATATTCCAATTCTGTAATAATATCTTGGAACTACAATAGGATTCAAGCATTTGTTAGATAAACATATGTTATGTAAAATTAGACTGATACTATTAAACAGTTTAAGATGCTTGGCTTGAAATATCTCTTCTTTTGTAATACTAATGAAATAAGAATTTATGATTTTTCATAAAGCGAAACTAATATAATTAACAATAATTATCAATTTATTTAAGATTATCTTATTAAAATCGAATTAGGGTTAGATAATAATAACATTTTGTACTTGATTGAATTAGCCAGATAATAAAGCGATTAATATATATTAAGACTGAGAATAACAGATTAATATTATTCATAAATTAATTTAGTTAACTTAACAAGAAAAGGAGTAGATTTGTACTACAATTATCAAAATTAAAGACTCTTCGTAAATGTAGAATAGGATTTAATAGGGGCATGTTACTTTCCCTAGTTATAATTTATTTATCTATTCAACGTTGGAAACTCAAACAATTGGATTCGTACCTTTAGTTATTCTTGGTAAACTGATTAGTTTATTACAATTAATTAAAATGGTTAAATGTGTCTCTGGAAATATATAATTTAGTATAAAACTTATAATGTTGTTATAAGATTACAATACCCGATACCGAGAACAAATTATTAACTTTTAGAATAAAAATAAATTTTAGCAGCAAGTCAAGGGTTTGTTATGTATTAAAACACTCAATCTTAATTAATTGACAACCAAGTAAAATTTTTAAACATTAATATTAATAATTTTAATTTTTAAAACTAAAAGGTTATCGGTATGGATTTCATTTATTTAAAACCATGTTTTGTATATCCATTTAAAAATGAAATTAATGGTATTTACATCTCAGATGATAGTACCCTCTTTATTTCATTCACTAATGGAGACTTATATTTTACTCAATACTCCTGTTCAATTGAGTAATATGTGTTTGGATAGGCCAATACTACTTAAATTATTCATAACTAATATTTAAGGAAATCTTATTTATTTTAGAAATAATAGGTAATTTATTTACTTAAATAACTTAATTTAACATTTAATATTATTTTTATTTGGTTTTCTTTTTTATTAACATATCTTTCATAAATAAATTAAATAGATGGTTATTGTCGATTATTATAGCTAGGAGGTAGCTTACAATAATTACCCTCACTAACTAAATACTTATTAAGCCCTTGAAGATACTTAAAATAATTTTCTAGTCACATATTCACAAGAACAGTCTACAAATCTATATAAATATTCCATGGTAGCTAATACTTACATTTAGTTTCTAAATGGGCATATGTACTCAGTTAACTATGCATTTTTAGATATTGATAATGATGTCCTAATTAGTTTTTCAAGTGATCCAAGAGATTTAAACCTAATTTTGTGGGAATATAGTAGCACTTCCTAAATAGTATAATTTAGTGATATTCAAATGCACGTTTCTACTAACTCATCAATTTAAATTGTAAATTTATTAATATATAAGTAATAAAATCTGGTTTATGCTCTATTATCAGATGGATATTTGTTTTAGTTTAATTATGTTTAAAAAGCAGTAAACTTCTTATAGATAGATCCTGGAGCTATAAATTTTTGGATTGATGAGACATACGGAAATGTTTTCATTTTATTAAATTCAAATGCTTTGTAAGTTAGAACCATTAAGACATTTTAAATAATTGCATAATTAATATTTACGTAAAATGTTAATAACCCTTAAAATATTATGTATACAAATAATTATGTTTTTGTGTTTCTTTCAAATGCTCTTTCTATCGTGAGCAGAACAAAATTGAGCCAGATCTAATAAATAGATTGCTCTGCTTAACCTTGCCTTGATGCATGCTTCTCTGAAAAATTAGACTAATTATTCCTATATTCTTCTTATTAAAGTGATTCAGTATATGTCTATCAAGCAATATCTGGATAATTACTATATTCGATATATGGAGTATCCGATCTAAACAAAGGATAAATAAGCTCAGTGATAATAGATGATGATGACTATTTACTAATTATTGGGAAATTAGACAATTTCATATCAGTTTTTTTTAACTATTATACCAAACAAGAAGTAGGTTATTTTTTTGATTCGATTGTATAGTATAAATACAGTAAATTTATACCAGAGTTGAATGTTTTCATTCAGTCCCAATTCTACAATTTTGAGTAAAGATTCTATCAACAATTTGCTAATTTTTATTTATTTATTTATTTATTTATTTTTAATAGGCCTTTCTCTATTCAGAATATGATAACAAGTACATTTTAAACTTAGAGCTTTTACATCTCGAAATGGTTAGATTACTACACAGACTCTAAAAATAACATATATTACGTTGATGGTAGCAATATTATGAGAAAGTATAATTAATAATCAAACTAAATCACTATTATAACCCAACTTCAAAATTATAGACAGATATACTACTATAAAAAAACCATTTTTATTTTGTATTATAATTAATTAGTAAAACTTAATGATGATCTAAGTTAAATATAAGGAGTAAACCCTTATTAAATGAACGGAAGTGATATATTAGGAATATTTGGAAGATATATTTATATTTAAACATTTTAATTTTAAATACTTAAGCTAGATATAACCAATTTATCATTAAATTATACTATTCAAAACAATGCTTTCATTTAAAAATATTCGTTTGTAATATAAAAACAAGAGCTATTGTATAGTACGCAAGCTAATGACTTCTTCCTTTACAACTATAATACTAATTAATTATTAAACTAATTTACAAATGATTTATGGGGTTACTATACTTTCAGCTACAATTTAGATTTTTAATTTATAGTATTAGGATCAATCTAAAAAATAGATTTTTATCCTTATCAATCAACAAGCTCTGGTTTAAACACAACTAAAATGATTTCTTTAGATTTTACTAAAAAAATTGATTATTTCTGGATGGATTTTGCTTATTTAAAATTTTATATTATTTATAAGGAAGACAGAAAAATAGATATTTATTAAATGATTGTATAATACTAGTAAAATATTTTTTAAATAAATTATATTTATTATATTCCAACATTCCCAAATCCACAATCTGTATAACTTGATGTGTAAGGTAATTACATTAGAGTAATGCTGCCCTGGTCTATTAACTATTATAGAAGAGATAATCACACGCTTTTGATTACTATCTAGGATCAAGCATATATATAAAGTATCAGGCAATTTATTACTGACCCAAATTTTCCAGAATTAGTCTTTCTACCCTAAAGCAATTTTCTATCTGTTGTTTATTAGAATCAAACAACATTTAAAATGAATTTACTAATAAAACTCTCATTAACATATCCAAAAATACTAAACATATAAATATCTAAATCAAGCACTTTATATAGTATTAATTTATTGCTTTTAGCATCAGGAGATATTTGGAACTACAATTTTAATCTGAATATAAATCAAAATTAAGTTAGTGTTTCTAACTAATAATAATGTTCTTTATTTATTAACGATCCCTCAAAAAGCTTCTAAGTAGAAAATTAACTTCTTTAACTATAAAACTACTTTTCTGATACAGGAAATATTTAAAGCCAACCTAATGTAGTTGTAATCAATTTTCTTTCATTTATTTAAAAAATACATTTAAATTTATTATTTTAATTTTTTAAATATTTTAGATTTAAGGGGCAGAATTTCTCTTCTATAGTAATATCATGAATGATTTAAAAGCATTAGTTGTTTACTAAGGTGATTCAACAGATTCTCTACTAATGCTTTATAATGATTCATTTTCTAAAAATAGTCTTTATACTCTGAATATAAAAAATACTTTTATTACTATTAGTAAATAGTCAGCCTAAATAACACTCAATCCATAAACATAAGAGATAAAGTTTTATAATGTCACAATATCTTAAGAATAACCTAATACACCTTCATAGGCTAGTATTTTAATAACATAAATTGAAAATGCTATTTTGAAAAACATCACTATCTAAAATATTACAATTTCTAATAACACAACTTTTTTAAACTTTAACTCTGCTACAAACTTAAATATTTAAAATTTAGTAATAAGTAATGTCTAAATGCATATCAATTCAACTTTAATCAGTTTTTAGTAAATAACTAGCTTATAAATTAACAATCTCACTTTATAAAATGTTACAATACTTACAGATAATTCGAGCAACTCAAGTTCACTTGCTAATTAAATATTTGTTTTTAATAAAGTAAAATAGCTATAAGTGTTAAATACTACTTTTAGCAATATTAAAAGCTAAATAAGGAGTGTGATTTTTTAGTTGATACAAAATCTCGAATGTGCTTTTTAGGGATTGTTAGTAGATCAACTTTATAATATTTAATTTATCAAAAATAAAAACTATGATTCAAGTACTTAGTTTACTTATATTGATACATAAGACACATTTTAGATAATGAACTCAAAATTCTCAAATTACTTTAGTGATTTGGATAGTTTAATATGTTATTAAGGAAGCTTGTTAAATATATAAAATACTACATTCTAAAATTCAAGCTGTAAATCATGCACTGGAACTGTTTTATAAATCTAAGGTAGTAGTTAAATTCTAATAAACTCCTCAACTTTTTAAAATAATAGTGGGTATAATGGAGGGGCGATCTCTATTTCAGATTGCTAAAATTCTAATATATAAATAAATTAATGCAACTTTACAAGCAACTATGCTTGGTTCAGTGGAGGTGCAATATACCTGATGGATTCAGAAATTTAAATGTAATAAACTATTTTTACAAGCAATATAGCTTTTATAGGAGGAGCTATTCGCTACTTGACATACAAACCATAAATCTTTTACTCTTCATCATTATAAAGTCAAGTACAATTTATCCAAAATAAAGCTTATATTCATAGTTAAAATTGGGGATCGTATCCACAATCTATAAATGTAATTTTTATTAATTCAATAAGTTCAAGAGTTTTAACTACTAAAACCTATAACTTTAAAAGAAATACTAATCAAAATAGTGATTTTACTCTTAAAAATATATAAAGTGGTGGTTTTTTAAATTTATCATTTTAGCTACTAGATGAAGAAGGTAATTTAGTAACTTATGATTACTAAAACTGTTTAAATAAAATATATAGCTAAGACTTATGTAATGAAATACAATAAATCAGCATTAATTTAATTTCATAAGATGATTCAAAAATGAGAGTTTTAGGATCATATATCACTAAATATTAAGAATTTATAATTTAAAATAAAACTTTTTAAATTAATGGAGTCTAATTAGTAGGAAATCCTCTTTCTAATTAAACTATGCTAGTATATGTTAGTGGAATAGTAACATATAGTAGCAATTTATAGATTTCAAGTATTTACCTATCTCTTTTTATTTTCATTTAATTAATTATTATTATTTAACTAAATAAATTTAGACCCATATTATGCCCAGGTTTAAGTAGAATTTAGAGATTGTTTAATTGGAGAATTAATTGAATAGTCAAATGATTTTTATGAATGTAATCCATGCCCTTATGGCACTTATTCAATATAAAAGCCACAAATAAGTAAAATTAATTTAAATTATTTAGTAACTTATTTATTCATTTATTTTACAGATTAAGCTCAAAAATGTATTAAATGCCCATAAGAAGCTTAGTTTTGCTAGTAGAATTAAATGACTTTGATCAAAGGTTATTGGAAGAGCTCTAATTTTTCAGATAGTATATACTCTTGTACTTAATCAAAAAACTGTGAAGGTAATTAAACAACAAATTATTGTAGCATAGGACATGCTGGACCTTTGTGTCAATTTTGTGATGAAAAAGGAGCGATTTGGGGAGAACAATATTAATTTACAGTATCAAATCAGTGTGATCTGTGTTCAGGTTAATCTCAAACTCAATCACTTGGAGTCGCTTTTTTAGTTTGCTTAGGTCTTATAATTTATTGTACGATAAATATTTTTACAATGATAGCCTCAGGCGAAAAAATATCTTAATCTTACTATTTGAGAAGAATGAAATTAGTAAGTTTAAGCAATACATGCTATAAGTAAATTTAAATAAATTTGAGCATAAAATCACTCACAAACTTTATGTAAATGCTAAAATTAATGTCAACTCAAACTCTTCAACTTCCTGTTTCAATTACAATAGCCCCTGACTTAATTGGTATATTTAATTATTATATACTTATTATTTTTTTATGGAATTCTTTAAATTAAATAGGTTCTCCATCATCTTCATACGTATTTTCAACGTCTTGCTTTTTAGCAACTCTTTAAACAGATACTTTTAAGCCACTTTTTATCAAATTGATCTCCGTTTCGATATCGCCATTTATATATATTTTATCATTGATAGTTATCTACTTATTTATTAATCCATTTTTAAAAGGCTTTTAATTTTCAAAAGTAAATTAAAATTTAAAACAGTATTTTTATTAAAAATATCATATTTATTTTAAAGTCTAAAATTATCAGCATAATAGTCTTCGTTTTCTGGTTTTTGAAACCAAGTATAGTTTATACTTTAATTTAAGGAATATCATGTGTGAATTTTGATGGGAAAAAATACATACAATTGGATTATACATATGAGTGTTATACTGAAACACATCTATAATTTATATACTATCTACTAATACCTAGCTTGATATTTTACATAATAATTGTACCTGGAATAATCTTAAAAAAGATCTCAAGCAATAAAAATAATTTAGACTACGCTACGGTAAGATAGAGTTATGGATATATTTATCAAGATTACCGTAAAGTAGGTTTTTATTGGGAGTTTGTAAGATTTACTGTTCAGCTGATTGTAATTTTCTATTAAAATCTAGAATTGATATCTTCAAGTAATCATTTTTTTTTTAATAAACATATATTCACTATTTAATAATTTAAGATACAAAATCTCTCCTTACAATGAGTATCCTGATAGTCTACTACATAGCATTATCTATCATAAAACCTTTTATGATGAAAAAATATTAAAGAGTGGAGGAGTAAAGTACAATAGTACTTATATTTATTTCAGTTTTAAATTTAGCACTTGCTAATAATAGCAGTAGTACACGTACATTAGCCTTTTAAGTTGTTCTTTTTGTGCCTTATTATATGAATATGGGCTATTTAATATATTTAATAATAACGACATCACTTATCCCTTAGCTTTAAAACTGTTATAGAAAATTCTTAGGAGTGATAAGTAATGAAAAGAAATTGACAAATAACTCTTTATAAATGCAAAATCAAATCATTAAATAAAGAGTTTTGTATCTTTGGAAATAAGCTTATCTTAAGTTATTTATCTGTTAAATGAATTAATCAAAGAAAATAGATTAAATGAATTAAACTTTAGTAAACATAAACTAATAAAGTACAATAGCTTAGAAAAAATTTTCCATAAACTTAGCCAACAATATAAACAGGAAGACAAGAATAAGTAAATAACTTAGAAGCTATTTTCTCATATTAATCTTAAAATTTTTAATTTAGGCTCCTTTTCACCTAGTCCAACCAATATCAAAAGCAAATTTGCGGCAACTTTTGAAATGAAAAATAGCATTTCTAGATAAAGATCTATTTATTCAAATGATAGTTTCATTTTAAAATAACGTTCAGGTAAGTTATTTTTAAAATAAAAAAATAAATAAATTAATATTATTTATGTATAGATTCAATAGAAACTGACATGAATAATCTATATACTAGACCTTTAGAAACTTTAGAATAAGTAATAAAGGATTAAAGAAATCCATACATGTAAAATGCAACCAAAGATAAACCTGAGTAGTGATATAACTATTAATATATATTAATTTGAATTTTTTTGTAATTAAAGTTTATTTTAAATTTTTTATGCCTTTTTTAATTGTTTTGAAAAATACTAAATTGATTAAAAGCCATAATATTTAATTATTAATAGTAAATGTTAATTATTAATTTTATTTTGAACAAATTTTTCCTTAAAATTGCTTTTTGTAAAATTAAAACTTTGAAATACTATTTTAGCTTGATTCATCAAGCTTAAAAATAAAAACTTCTTTCAAATATTTATTTTTGATAAAGAAATTATTAATATTTTAGTCATATATTCTATGAAGTATAAAATTATATAAATATAATATGTAAAGTGATATTTACAGTACTATGATAAACACATAGATTTTATTGATAATATATTTATGGCACTTTTTTTTGGGCAAAAAAGATACTTAGTGAATGCCTTAATTAATTAGCATTTACAGTATATTATTTAGTGTTAAGAGCTTTCTGGAAACGAATATAATATGAAATAATATTAAGCATTTAAATAAAAGAGTTATTAATATTTTATTATTATTTTGTGGTAACAAAAGAATATCTTTTTATATAAATGATTTAATTTAATTTAAGAGATAGAAAGATAATCAAAGGTTTTTATAAATTAATTGTTTTTTAAGAAATAGTATTATTTTTATTTTATTCTCAGAACTAATAATTAGAATTAAAATTTTAAATAAAAAATAATATTAGAAAAAACATTTTACCTAAAAAAAATCCTTAATGCTTATTTAAGAAATTGTAAATAAGAATTAGATAATTTCATCTAAAAGAATTAATCCCTCATCTACTTAGTTACGTCCTATCCTTATCAATGTTTGATTGGTATCTAATAAAATACGTTTCTTGTTAATTTGGTAAGTTGTGAATTTCTCATTAATTTGATGAGTTGTAAGTTTCTTATTAATTTGATTAGTGGGAAATTTTTTAATTAATATCTTTCTAAATATTAAGGATATCTTATTTATATTTAATTTAGGTCTTATTTCAAAAATTCTAATGTACTTATAATGAATATTTTGTTACCTTAAAATAAATTACAATATCATTTAGTTTTCTAAGACTGTATTAATTTTATCATTAAAATTTAAGAGTAATTAATATAATATATTTTAAAAATTAATTCATATAAAAGCTTATCTCTATTGTATTAATCCTTTAATTTAAGCTTTATTATTGAAGAAGTATAAATTGTAATTTATTTGTATCACTATTAATAAAATAAAATCATATTTTATTATGAATAAGTTTTTGACAAAATAGTTTAACTATATTTTCAAGTATTAATACCTTAGCGAAAAACTTGTGAGTTTTTGAGAAAAATAAATGATTTTTTGGGGGTTTAGATTTTGTTTATGGTTATAAAAGGATATTTAATTTTTCTTTAAATTACTAATTTGCTAAGTATTAAAATAACAACAGGTAAAAAAAAAATATAATTATTTTAATAATTGAAGAAGTTAAAAATAAATAGATGTTTTTATCACTATTTATTATCAAAATATTATTTTATTATACATAAATTTTAGACAAAATAGTTAAAGTGTCTTTTCAAGTATAAAAATCCTAACAAAAAATTTGCGATTTTAAGTTTTTGAGATAGTTAATTGATTTTTGGGGGTTTATATTTTGATTATGGCTATCAAAGGATATTTGGTTTTTATTTAAATTATCAATTTTTTAAGTATTAAAATAGCAAGAGGTAAATTAAGATTAATTAAAAATCAAAATTCGTCCCTATTAGCCACTTTAAGAGTTTATATTAGCAATATTTATTTATTTTATAATTTAAAAAATGGTTCTTAAGTGATATTTTGTATTATTAGTTTAATTATTTTATTTAATAATATTTTAAAATTTACTTTCAATTATAAATTATCAAGATAAAGCTTCATTATTATTTTAAAAAAGCAGTAGTATTCTAAAAAGTGTAAGAGTGTATATTATTAAAAGAAATTATATTTGAATAGGGATGTAAGATATAAAAAGAGTGAGCAAAAAGGAGTATTTTGTTAAATTTAAATTTATTTTTTTAAAAATCTATGGAGTAGTAATTCAATTAATATCATATATTATTGATACATATTTCACTATTATTTTGTGGTAAGAAAAGAATATCTTTTTATATGAATGATTTAATTTAATTTAAAAAATTTAAATACTGTAAACGCTCGCTAATTAAGGCATATTTTAATAAAGGCGTTTTTTTCTTAAATTTTTTTATAAAGCACTTTTTTTGAGCTAAAAAGATACTTAGGGAATGCCTTAATTAATGAGCATTTACAGTAAATAAAAAAAATCAAAGTTTTTTATAAATTAACAATTTTAAAGAAATAGTATTATTATTTTTATTTGTTAAAACTAATAATTAAAATAAATTTTAAATAAAAAATAATATTAGCAAAAATATTATTACTAAATTAAATTCTTTATGCTTACTTTAAGAAATTTAATTTAAGAATTACATATGTTCATTTAAGATAGTTAATCCCTTATCTAATTATTTACTAAATTACTACTGTTTGATTGGTATCTAATAAAATAAGTTTCTTATTAATTTGGTAAGTTGTGAATTTCTAATTAGTTTGGTGAGTTGTAAGTTTCTAATTAATTTGATGAGAGGCAAGTTTTTGATTTTATATCATTCTAAATTTGAAGAATATCTTATTTATATTTAATTTCAGGTCTAATTTCAAAAATTCGAATGTAACAATTATGAATATTTTGTTATCTGAAAATAAATTATATTTTTGTTAATTTTTTTAATTATTTTATTAAAATCTAAATATGAGTAGTAAAAATCATATTTTAAATTCATTTAAAAGCTTATGTCTATTATATTTATCCTTCTTTTTCAACTTTATTATTGAAGAAATTATAAATTTTAAGATATTTTTATAACTAAAATTAAAATAAATTAATATTTTAATGAATGTGTTTTCTTTTAAATTAGTGATTTTAAGGTTTGATAAAGTTAGTTAATTGATTTTTTGGGGGTTTTTGTTTTGTTTATGGCTATAAAAGGATATTTGGTTTTTAATTAAATTATAAATTTGTTACGTATTAAAATACTAAGAGGCAAATAAAAAAAATTAAGATCGATTAGAGATTAAAATTGTTCTTGTTTACTGTTTATAGAGTTTAAATGGATCTTATGTTATATTTTTCATTATAAATTTTATTATTTTATTGAATAATATTTTAAAATTTCCTTTCTTTTATAAATTTTCAATATAAAGCTTCAATTTTATTTTAAAAAAATAGCAAAAACACAAGAGTATATATAAAAGAAATTATATTTCACTGTTAAATTTTTCTGATGTGGGAAATTGATATTTTAGAAATTTATAAGATGTAAGGTACCAAAATCCAAAATCGCTAACAGAAATCTACCTTCTGTTAACTTTAAATCTTTCGTTAAAAGATAAAAAAAATAATTATTTAATAAAATAGAAAAGCTGATTGATCTTAACTAAAATAAAAAAAGAAAGGGTAAAAGTTTTAATCTTAGTAACAATTGAAAAAGAAAGAAGTCATTAGAAACTTACCTACCAATCTATCTGAAGAGTATATTAATAATACTTAAATGAGTTCTATCCGAAATAAATTAAAGGGTAAAAGTGGAGAAAAGTTCTAAAAAGTTGTTTAGAAACAACTTAAAGTAGTAGAGAAGAATGTAAATATCAATAATAATGCTAACTATACATAAATAGTAGCTGACAGCTAGAGAAATAACAAAGAGAATGGTATTTCCAGTCTCAAAGAGAGCGATAATTAAATTGTATTTGCATAATTTTAAATAATATTTTGGACATAAAATTTACTTTTTTTATATTAAATCAATCATTTTTCAATGTCTTTTATCAGATTTCTTTACATTTTGAATAGAGACAAATTTATTTTTGAATATATTTTCAAGACAATTAACATTTTTTAAAGTTCGAAAAATGAACCAACCTAGTTTTACCAATATATTTTAAAGCCAAATATTTAATTACTGACTAACCACATCCTTATCAATCTAACAACCATTTTAATTCTTCCTTTCTATGATGATAGCCATATTTTATCATAAAAATTAATATTTAAAATAATTATTTCATGTTTTTTTTATTAATTCTAATAAATTTTGATATATTTTTAAATTAAATTTTACAAAAAAATGTTTAAATTAAATTCAATTAAATATAAACAAATTTCTCATCACATAATATTAAATAGTTGCAAGAAATGCAGATCGAATCAAATGGTAAAATAGATGATGATCAAGGATTACTTCTGAAAAGCGATGTTGACTAGTAAAAGACAGAAATAGAATTGCAGAAAATCAAAGAAGGAGAAAAAGAAAAGGATAAAGGTAAACAAGATAAATTCGAATAAGCTTTAAATAAATAAGGCGATATTCCAACTGATAATGGAAAGACAAACGTATAAGAAAAGAAAGTGAAAGAAAAAAGACATAAAATTAAAGGCTTCAAAACCAGAGGAGGAAAAGACAATAAAAATAACAAAGATACTTCAACACAGTAAGATTCAGTTGATGTAGCTAGCAGCACGATTAAAAAAGAAGTAAAAACCGAAATAAAATAAAATGATTTGCTATAAGAAAAGGCCTTAAAGATGAAACTTTAATAATAGTAGCTTGAAACTAAGAAAAAATATGGTAAATAGGACTAGACGCAAAAATCAGAATTTTCTATAAAGAATTTATTTATTGATAACCTCTTAATTAGAAAATCATGGAGAATATTGTTGTTAGTACTAATAGTAGCTTTAATTTTAGCTCTAATAGTATTATTTTATTACTCATTTGGTTTCATTAGAGGATCTTTAATGTTAGGCAATAATGAGAAAGTGGTCATGAATTTAGAGAGCTGTTCTTTAATGGTTTATGACTATTCTCTTAAAAGTAAATATACTTTAGATGTTAACTTTTTGTCTGCTTCTCTTTCTATACCAAGCTCAGTAGCTTCTGACTAGAACGTGTATCTTTAATACATATTTCCTAACTCTCCTTTATAAGAGAACAGCAGTAAATTTTCTCAAGTACTTTTTTAATTTAAAAATATTCCATTAGTATTTTTACCACAAAAATTGAAAAATTAAAATTTTCAAAAATTTTTTTCAATTTTCTTGGTAGATTACGTATGATTTAATAAATTCAATAATCTTTATACAATTTTGAATATAAAATATAGAGCCAAAATAATGGAATTAAGACCCTAGAATTCAAAAATAAATTAAATAGCTATGAATGTGAAATCGTTATGTTCGTTTATAAATAAACTTAGTTTTAATCTCTGGATATCAACTGCGGTGATAAGAGCCAATGCAACATTATTTTTTACTCATAATAATTGAGCACAACTACTATGAACATTAAGGGTTTAAATGTTTAAATGAATGCCCCTTACCTATAGGCTGATGTAAAATAATATTAATAACAAATTATTAAATTAATATATTTAAAAACTATAGGCATTCACTTACTTGAGTATGAAAGGATCAATAGAAATACCCTTCTTTGTTTTTAAGACTGCTAACATAAATACTAGAGAAGGAGATATTTCAGTATAATCTACAAGCGATATTACACTCACATATAAATAGAAAGATCCCTATAATTGTCTTTCTGCTAAGAAAATTACTGATTAATCGAACAACGAATTGAACTTGGACGATTATTAAAATAGCATCTAATTTGAACCAAATAAATTAAAATGTGATGCGAGTAATTATTATAAATTAATAAATTTTTTTTTTTTAATTTATTTTTAATTTAATCAACTAAGTTTATCCATGGGGTCTCAAATAAGCTGCTTAGACACCTGATAAAGTAATTGAATATAGGTGTTATAGTAATTCAGTTATTCTCGTTAACGATGGTAAGAGTAAATCTACATTGACTGCTTCAAATTCCTATGGAAATATCTTTGTAAATGTTATTTCTGCTTAAGGATAGTTCTCATAGGCTTATAGCACAAATAATAATATTGTATTTAATAAGGCAAGCAAAACTGATAATTAAGATAATAATAAAAATATAGATTATATTAATTTTTCAAATTTAGCAAAAATTAATTTACTAAATTAAACCAAATCAGCATCTAATCCTAAAGTGTATGATCCTATGTTTGTATTTGAAATTGGTCCTAAATACACTAGATCAGCTACATTCTAATAAGTTTAAGTAAAATTCAATCTTTTTTAAATTATCTAAATTTTTAATTAACTAATTTCTTTTCTTTGCGTTGTAGAGAGTAACTTAATTTTATAATCAGAATTTCAATTAAAATTCATTAAATTTTTCTGAAAAAATTATTTTATAAATAGTTTTCATATAATCCTGCTTACAGTTATATGAAACCTTATTGGCTTGGAGAGCTAACTTTGACATTAATGACAACTAAAAAATATAGTGGTTAGTATACTATATCACCAGGATTCTGCCCATATATCCCTTCCATATCATTAGAAAGAATTCAAAGTACTTAGTAAATGATAACTAATTTTATGCAGTAAAACTCTGCACCATAATAAGCTATAGCAAGTAATGCATGGCAGCCATATATTGATTACCCTCCATAGAAATTCGTTTAAACAGATACTTACAATGGATTTAAGGACGTTAGCTTAAATAGAAATAGTGATGAGCAATGGATAGGAGTTGATTCTGATTAATCTAAAGATTACAGTGTTACAAATTATGATGTTTCTTACAGCAGTAAATACAAGAAAATGTCTACATTTATTTACTTTTTTTATAAATTAATTAATATTTTATAGGTTCATTATATGCTGCCATTATAGTTAGTTGTGTTCTTTCAGGTATTTTAGGAATTATTTTGACGGTTATTCTAGTCTTTGCCATTAATTAAAACTATATTTGGGTTCTTAATCACATATCAAGCGTAAGAAAGTATTCAGAGTTAGAAAAAGGAGGAGCAGGAGAAATAGATGAGTCCACTTTAGACATACACAAGAGACGCTTTTATCTTGAATATAAGGTTTCTTTTTATTTAAATAAAGATAGTTTAAGAATTGACATAAATATATAATAATAAAGGAAGAGCAACAAAAAAAAGAAGAAAAAATGAAAAAAGCTTTATAAAAAGCTGGTGAAAATCCTGAAAATAAGGAATAAGGATTTGTTCCTAATTATACAATTTCCGGTATATTTACTTTATTCTATTAGCTAATTTATCTCTCACCTCCTTTAAGTGCTTTTATTGACTACGTAGTACTTTTGCTGCACAAAGCAAAACAAAATTCTATTAAGGAGTTTTATAAGCTTCTCTTTAGGTCTAAAAAGCTAAAAGAATTAAAAGAAAATGAAGATGAAGAAATCCACAGTTTAGAAAAAGATTAAATATTAGGAAACGAAATGAAGTAACTTTATGAAAAATTCTGCTATCTCAATCAATATCTTGAGAGAAAATTTGACGATGAAGAAAATTTGAAATATTTAACAGAAATGGGTTTTAAAATTGTCACTAAATTTGATGCTTAAACTTAATATTTTACTTACATTAAATACAATGGTAATATACTCACTGTTTCTGAGTAACCTAATAAAACATCATTAGATTTATTTATATCCTACTGCTGCAGCCTAACAAAGTTTGAAACTGATCGCATCGAATCTATAGAATTAGAAAATTATTATTCAGTAATATTTAAATAAATTTATTAAAATATATCAAATTTGCTAATTTTTTTATTATTATTTATTAGACTTTTATATTAAATTAATCATAATTGGATTTAACTTGCTTTTTTTTGCATATTCTTCTTTAATTCTTGACAATAAAGCAAAAAATCTATTTAATTTATGCTACTTATTATTTTATTTTATCTATTATTAAAATTTTTTATAAATATTAAATAGGAATTCTGCGTTTTGAACCACATGTCGAAGATATAATTAAATGAAGGTTCCTTAAAGAGAGAATATGGCATATCTACTGTTTATTTACCTTAATAATGGGTTGAGAGAGATGAAAAATATGTTGTATAAAAGCTGAAAAAAAAATATTATATTGATAAAAAAAGAGTAGAAAACAATTTTAAGATATTATTAGCTAAAAACAGCACTTTATTCAGCATGCTCTATGACACTGAAGATTTCAAGTAAGCATAAAGAGATATATAGGCAGCAACAGGTTGGTAATTCTATGATTTAATTACAGTTGTAGCTCACGTTTTAGTTATGACATTAATAGGTTGCCCATTAATTGTTTTGGCAATTTTCATTAGAGCTTAATAATCTTCTTATTCATTAATTCCTCCTATGAGATTAATCTTCTTAGAAACAATTAATTATTACCCTACTTCTTTACCTACCAAGCTAATAAACGATAATTGGCTTGTTTAAGCAATTACTTACATCACTTTAATATTTTGGGCTCTTTCTTTTTGGGATTTGATTTATTATTATGCAAGTATGGACTTCCCTCAAGAAAAGTACTTCAATAAATACAAAAAGGTAGGTAAATTTAGAAAATTCTTATCAGGTATTATGTGGATCATTGTTCTCATCTCTTTTTACACATTTGCAGTATATTTTTCATTGGTTGCTGTTTGGTTAATGTTGAGTGCTATCATCAATCCAAACGCTTTCTTACCATACGCTACTTCTGCTGCAACATTTGTCACTTTAGTAGCAAAAAAATACAAGTAAAAATGTTTAATTGTAAGTTTTGTAAATGTTAATTATTAAAATTTTATATTTAGGGATTTCCAAGAGATTTCATAAAACGGATTTAAAATAATATCTGATTATTTGTAGCAAATGGCAACAGGATAATTCTAAGATTTACTTTAGAAAATGAATATTTAGGATAAAATAGCTGATATGGTGCCTACTGATACATTAAAAGATATCACAGCTGAAGCATCCAAACTTGGAATAATTGATGCTTCTACATCAGAAGAAATTTAAAATAATCTTGAAATTATGATTAGAGATCCCACTTCAGTTTCTAAACTAGGACAAGAGATCGTTAAAATTTCTTAAGATCCTCAAGCATATGCTTAGTAAATTTCTTAAAAGCTTGAAGATAAAGCAAAAGCTATAATTTAACAATAAGTAAAAAAAATTTATTTTATTTTAACTTCCAGTTCAATTTGATTATTTTTATTAGATAAATACTATTGATAAAGATATAAGAGATGAGTTAACCAATCTCATTTGGTGTTTGCTGAAAAATTAAAAAAGTGAGCTTAAAAACTCAATAAGTTCGTTTGTTAATGCTCTCATCAATCTATTCTAAAAGAAATAGGGATAACAATTACTTAAAAGCATAGGCTTCGTTAATCTTAAAGGACCTGTTTTCGATTTTGTATGGGAGTTTGCTTTCCCTCAAGAAAACTTCAAAGGAAATTACTAAGACCATTTAATAAACGTATTTTGTGTTGCAGTATCAAATATGATTTCTGTCTGGAATAAGCAACTCAAATCAATCATCTCAATAGAATAATAAATAGTTCAAAAACAAAACGAAAATAAAGAAAAAGGAAATAAAAAGATTAAAAAAAACCAAATTTCTGAAAAATCAGAATAATAGTTACTGAAAGAAAAGCTATTGAAGGACATTGAGAATGCAGATTCTGCAATGCAAGCTGATATTGGTTAAGAAGACGAACAAGAAATTGAGCTCACTTCAGAAGAAGCTATAGCTTATGCTTATAAGAATATTATTTTTTCAGTAATTTAGATATGCCGCTCGATGTAATCAAGTAACAGTGAAGTAATTAATAAATACATTTCAGTTAAAACTTAATACATTTTTGTTAATAATTCTTCATAAAAATTAATTAGGTTATTTTGAATTAAATTCTAAATCTTGTATAGAATGGAAGCAAGCTTCCAGGTTTTGATGGACTCAACTAAATTAAACAATACTAAGATATTTTTAAAATAGGTTACGCTATTTTTAAAAATGATGGAGAAGTTGACTTTGAAGAGGTCAGCTCTGCTTTTAAAGGATTTTTCAAAAATATTGGCTTGGAAAATTAAGTAAAGGAAATAGCAGGAGTTGGTATTTTAGATGTACTTAAAATTGTTGAGGTCATTATTTAAAGCTTTAAAGGTCAAAGCATGCTGATGTCTAGTAATACTATTAAGAAAGCTATATAAAATCTTTTAGGTTCAGTTGATTTTGTTTCAAAAAGAGCTATGATTAGAAAACAAGAATTTAAGGATGTAAAGCTAATGACCTCTGGAGATGAATGCTTGAAAATGAAAGATGACATCACAAATAATTTAAATGAAACAAAAGCTGCTATTAATGATTTAGAATAATAAAGGATCAAGACTAAGTAGAACGAAGAATCATATTAAGAAAAATTAGAATATAGTTTATATTATCTCAGATATTACTGCAAGGAACTCCTTTAACAAAGATAAGGTTAACCAGGATTTAATTAAGCAAAGGTAGACCAAATAGATGGTCTCTCTGGAGAAAAGGTCATCTAAGAACTAGAATAAATTCTATAAGAATTAAAAAAAAATAATTTAGATAAAAAAAAAATTTATACTCAACAAAAATAGGATCTTATGAAAAAATATGCAAATTTAAAGAAAGAAAAAACAAAATAGTAAGATAAAATGAATGATTTGAATGCCAAAATAGACTCTCTTTAAAACAAAGTAATCATTTTTTAATTTTTTAGAGTTTTTTAAACTCATATTATATATAATAGATTAGAAATGACTAAGAAAATAATTTGAAAGAAAAAGACAAAAAAGAAAATTAAAAAGACAATGATATTAAAGAACATTAAAAAAAAATTTCTTAAACTAAATAACTAATCAATCAAAAATCTATAAGGATTAATCAAATTTATCAAATTAAAATGAGAAACATTGAATGGCTAGAGGACTATGACGAATACCTAATAAAAAAAGCCTTATAAGAAGAAAAAGGTGAAATAAATGAATATAATCCTAATTAAGGAGATGTTTAAGAGTTTGCAGTAAATACAATTCATGTCAGAAATCGATAGTTGATTTAACACCCTGGATAAGAAGAAAATTAGCTTTTTATCTAATCTGAAGAAGACTATGATAGTAAAAATTATTTTATTTAAATAAATGAATAAATTAAATTCTAAAATAATGTTAGGTGAATGGGAAAGGTAATAGAAAGAGGAAGAAAAATAATACATAAAAGAAATTTAATAAATATTTAATGAAAATAGAGATATAGATTCTGAAATTAACAAAATCGAATAAGAAATTTATTAACTTGAGGATTAGATTATATAAACTGAATAATATATATAAGATATTGAAAATTAATATGCAAGAAATATTGAGTAGCTAGATAAATAAAATACTTCTAAAAAAGAAGAAGAAGAGATAGTAATACTTCAAAAAAAATATGAAAACGAAAAAGACATTTATGATGAAACAGTTAATAAAATATCAGAATATATGGCTTAACAAGAAGAGATAGAAAATGAAATTAAATAAAACGATGAGAACATCAATCAATACATAAACGATAATTAATACTATATGGAGGAATTCAAGTCAAGCTAAAAGGTACTTAATAAAGCTTACTAAGATAAAATTGAATATCATGAAAAAATAGATGATTTATAAGGTATTATTTTAAAATATTTTTTGAAATTAATTTACAATTTTTTTAAATTAAAATTTATTAAAATAGAAAAAAAAATAAAATTCGAATAATATCTGATTGATTTGGAACAGAGATATAAAATCATATCAGAAGAGCTTAAAAAAAAAAGTAAGCAAGATGAGGATAAAGAAAAGTAAAAAGCAAAAATAGAGGCATTGGAAAAGGAAGACAACGATAACTACTTATCATCAGGAATAACAGTTATGCTTAACTTCTTTAGTGGATCTATCTCAGGTTTGCAGGCTGATTTACTTAAAGAACTTGGTTCCTTCTTTGGTTTGATTTCTGATCGTATATAAAGTGAAGAGATAAAATAAATGTTTAAGTTCTTGAAAAGTTAAATTTTAGATGATTCAGATAATTAAAAAGGAAAGTCGAATAATAAGGGATTAGAAAAAATTAATAATTTTTAGAGCATTTTGAATTTGTTAGACATCTTTTTAAATGACTCAATTATTGCATCTGACAAAATTCTTAAGAATGGTAAAGACAATCTTTTAGAAAGCGAAGTTGTTAAATCACTTCAAATACTCTTTACTAGTAGATTTGAAGGATTCACCAAATAAAAAACTATTGATAACTATTTAAAAGGTTCAGACTTACTTGAACTTATATCAAAAGTTATGAAGATGAGGGAAGACACGATCCTAGGGTTCATGAAATTTTTATTTGGTTAAAAAACTTGTAGAGATGCTCGCACCTTCATCAATTTCACTACTTAGTTAAATAAGGTAATTTAATTTAATTTAATTAATTCATTTTAATTTAATAATAAAATTTTTTGATAATCTAAAAATTAATAATTGTATTTTTTATCTTTTTGAAGCAAATTCAGTTATGATTAAAAATTTTTTTAATTTTACTAATGATGTATTATGAAAATATTTTTTAAATCTTCTTTTTATATTTTATTTTATTAAAATTAAACAGATTAAGGAGGATAAAGTTCACTCTTTGTTGCATCTGTATAATTTATACTCTTCTAAAAACCCGAATGAATTATTTGATGCTCTAAGTTTCTTTTAGGTAACCAAAAATGTCTCTAACTAATTTTAAACTATTACAGTCAAAGATTTAGTTTCAGTTTTGTTGTTCATGAGAGGTTCATTAGAGTTCAACTATGTAAAAACTATTATTGAAGTAAAGTTGAATCTAGTTTCTGAAAAAGATAAAAAAGAGTAAAGCCTTAACTAAGTATTGGAAATTAAGGAGAGAATCAAATCTAATTAAAATTTGCCAAGTCATTTCAAGAAACTTTTCGAAATAGAAATTAAGGGGTATCTTCAAGCAAACACCCTACAAGCAGACTTCAAAGATATCAATAGAAATTATGAAATTCTACTTGAGCAAGCTGATTTTAATTTCTTCAAGAAATTCTCATCAATTAGAAATATACCAATAATTGAAGATGCTTCATAAAACACTCTAGTAAAGAGTTCTATTTCTGATATTTCTGATATATTAAATATCGACTATTAGTAAGTGGAATTATTCATCAACTTACTTACTTCGTCAAAAGCAGAAAAGATAAAGTAATCTTTAGACATGCTTTAGATTTTAAAAATAAACCCTAAAAGTGACGAAAATCGCATAAAAGCATTTGCTTAATTTAGTGCTTCTGTTTTGGAAAAAATTGAATAAAAATGCTAAAACATATAAAATATTTCAAAAAATATCTTTTCAGATAAACTTCATGTTTGTTTATTAAGAAAGATTCTTTATCATGAAGGAGCTGTTATTCCATACACTGACTATTTAGACATATTTAATATCTATTGCGATAACAATATTCCTAAATCAATAACTAACTTAATAAATTTCAGATACGGTATTACTGGAAACAGGAAAAGAGATATCTACAATTTTTTGAATCCTTTCAGAAATAATTCAGATAAAGATTATAAGAAATTTAAGGTAAATTTTATGAAAATATTTTACATTGATTTATAATATTTTTTTTATATAGAAATCAGGTGAAGGCTAATAAGGTTTAATCAAAGCAGTATAAATCCTATCTATTAATGACGAAGCTTTTAGAGTTCAACAATTCCTTTAGTTTTTAATTAATACTAATTAAGAAGCTCTATTAATGGCAAGCTGTTTAATAGTCTATTTTAGTGGTCGTTCTAGTAATGTTGCTCTACACATTTAAGATAAAAATGATAAAAGGTAAAAAAAAGTCAATGTAGAATAGATGTTGTGTATATTACTTAAAGTAAAACAAGAATTCTTCGAAGCATTTCACACTTACTTTTAAGAAGACATAAGCTATTGCGCATAAACTATGATTAAATTCTACCGTTAGTTAGATTACTTAAAGTAGTAAGCAGATGGAGATGAAAATACTGTTCTTTAAAATAATATTACTATTTCTGATAAAAATGTAGAATAATATCTGAGATTAGTAAACCATATGCAATTTAATACATCATATGTCTCAAAGGATACGAATATTCCTATCGAAGCAGTTGAGTTAGTGTCTAATCTCATGTATATCAAGAATTCTAAAAATGAATAAGAGCGTAACGCGATTTTTGAGTCTATGAGGAGCAACACTTATATATAAAAGCTATTCTAACAATTAGGAGTGAATCATTATGAATTGGTAGCTTTGATTAAAATAATGTACTAAGACTATGAACCTTCTAATATTAAATGGATTTCTAAATCTCTCAAGCTACCTCCACAATTCAAAATTGATGGACTGTAGTAGTTGGCTATGATAGATTAGATACTTCCAATCTACGGTGAGTCTTCTCAAAATAAAAAATAATTAGCTAACTTAATTAAGACAAACAAGTTTATTAAAATTTTCAAAATTGATACTACCTGGGCTGAAGTTGCTTATATTTTATGTAAAGGAGATTTCTGTCTTCTTTCTAAATACTAAGATGTTTTAATACCTCTCAAGTATCCTTCTGCTGTAAGATTTGAGTAAGTTTTAGATAATTATGAGCTTTAACAATCAAGAACTTTAACATAGGCAGTTAATGCAAAAGAAAAAAAGTATATCTCTCTCGTACAAGGCTTGGTTGGGTAATTAAATTTTTTAAATTTAACTTGATTTGATTTTAAACATAAATTTTTTAATATTTTCTAATTAATCTAATTTTAAATAAAAATCAAATTAAAATTTTGTTGTTTCTAAAAAATTTTATATTTTATTGATAAAAAAATTAATTTTATTTTTTAGTTTGCTTTCTTGTAGATACTCTAGCTTCAAAACAACTGAATTCCTTTATCAGCTTTATACAAAAATAAGTTAGAAATATGTGAAAGATGAACATGTAACTATCGAGAGAGAGAAAGGAATTAAAAAAGGTAATACTCTTCAATATGCAATATATAAGTTTACTAAAAGCACATTAATGAGTCCTGTATGGACATTACTTATGATGGGTGATCAAAACACTTGGGAGTTCTTAGCTTAAAGCCACTATTTTATTAATGATAAAAAGAAGCCTTACCTTAATCCGATTTTGGCTTTGGTTTATGTTCTTAACTTTAGATCAAATCCTTTAATTCTTAAATAATTACTTGTCGATTTAGAATACGCTTAAAGATGCTACTAAATTTATGTTGCTAAATTGAAAGCAGAATGTTTAAAAATGACTGAATAAGAAAATAAATAAGAATAAAATCAATATTCTAAAGATAATAGTATTGATGAAGAAGTTGAAGAATATATGTGGTAGGATATCTAAAATGAAGACAACAAATAAACAGATAAGGATGAGAAATAAATTAGTGATTAGTAAAAAAAGCTTAATGAACTTCAGAAAAAAATAGAAGAATTTAAGAATAAAATAGAAGAATTTAAGAATAAAATAGAAGAATTTAAGAATAAAATAAATTTAATTTTATTTTATAGTCTGGAAAAGGATGGTGAAAAGTAATTTTAACTTAAATAAAGAGCTTTTTTATAAAATTTACAATTAATTATTTATAAAGGCTGATTCAAATTGCAGAAGAATTTAACTTCCCTAAAAAAGTTATTTAAATGATCTTAGTTTATGAAGATGAATATAAAGAAAAAGTAAAAGAGAACATGGAGGAAGAGAAAAAAGAAGAAGAAGAGGAAGAAAAAGAAGAAGATGAAGAAGAAGAATAAGAATAAGAAGAAGATGAAGATGAAGAAGAAATCAGATTGACTACTAGTTTAATTAAGAAGGCTTTTAAATCTTTAAAAAGAAGGGATATGTAATAATTATCAGAACTTGAAACGCTTAATAAAGTCTTTGAATAAATTGGAACTTATTTATACACTGATCCAAGAAGAGAAAGAATGAATTTAAATCATGAAGAAACTAATTTTACTAATAGTTACTGTTTGCATACTCACACTTCAAGTCCTATTATGTAAATGATTGTTTTGAGCACAATTTCATAGCTTAAATTATCATATTATGATTTCTACGGATTTAACGGACGTGACGAAGATCACTATAAGCAAGTAACGTTTGCTATCGATCTTATATTAGGAACTTTGGAGAAGTATTATTATTTCGATGATATGATGGATTTCTTCCCTCGTCACAGACTTATCCCCTTAATAGTAACAGCTTTTTAAAAAAACTAATTTTTATTTCATAAATTTTTACTGCTCTTAGGGTTTATCAGTTGGATTTATCATCGAATCAGATGATATACTCTCTTCTATGACTTCCAGTAATATATTTGGCTAAAGCTATTTCACTGAAGTAATTATCTAGCTCTGCTATAAAGTGTATAATAAATAATATGAAGAGGAACAATAAAATGGAGAAGATTAAAAATTAAATCAATAGAAATTCTAAAAATTCATTGAATTACATAAATTTAATCTTAAATTAAATTATTTTATAAAAATAATTGTTGATTATAATATTGCCTATTAGCTTGAATACAATTATTCTTAAACTGGAATATTTAGAGGTATATCTTAAGAAGATGTATTATTTGAACTTCAATTATAAAATTTAGACAGATTAATAGATAATTATGATGAAATGATGTGGGATTGGTAATTTATTAATTAGATTTTTTTTCTTTGTTATAATTTAAATCAAATTATTCATAATTAAAAATATAAAGCTTTGAAAATAAAGAAATTCTTTATCATATAACTGACTCAAAGTCGTACTCAACTTACACAAAACGTGGCAATCATATTGATAGAGATTCTTACGATTAAATTGATCATTATTCAGGAGAAAAAAAGAAAGATTTGTTTGAATATTTAGATAATTACACAAAAGTAGCTGAAACAGAAAACTTTAAATTTATGATTGATATTTACAAAGAAAATTATAAATCTTTGAATGACAATGATTATTTTTCAGTTAATTATGGATAAGTAAATTTTCTTCTTTTTGGTTCAAGAAATTAAATTTTTTCATTCTTTTTTTCTATTAAAATAATAGGATAGTAACATGTATTTTGGTACCTTGAACCTAAATGGAATCATACAATAATAAATGAAAGAAATTAAAATGGAAGAATTTTCATCTCACGTTACTTAAGCATCCCTCTATATGACTAGTAACAAAAAGGTTCTTGCAGAAATTCTAAGTTTGCTAATTCCTTCTATTAAATCCAATTTTACTTCATTAAACGAGTAGCTAAACATTTCTGAAGAAAATCTTTCAAGTTTTATCAATCTAGCTATGAGTAAGAGTATAGATCAAACAAATGATTTAAAAACCATGCTAAATAAATCTTCATTGTCAGATTCTAATATAGAGTAAAATAAATCTTTAAAATTAATATTTATTTATTTTTAAAATGATTAACTATGTAATCCACCTGTTGGCTTTCTAAAAGCATAAAATCTAAATATTAAAGTCCTTCAAAATAAATTTTAAATTAATATTTAAATATAAATAATTAAAAAGTGTACTTGACAATTGTATGTCAGCTTATCAAGGTGACATGAGCGAATGTTTAGATTTGATTTACCATTCTTCTGCCTTCAAGAAATCTGCAAAATCAATTATTTTATTCACTAAATTCTTTTGGTCATTTGAAGAAGTAAAGGATTTCTTAAACTTATTTTATTTATATTAATTAAATTTTTATTTTATTTTCTAAAGAGCTCCATGCATAAAAATACAAATAATCCATATGAAATAAATTATTTTAACTATTGTAATCTATCGCCTGACAGAAGTAAAGCCTTAAAAAAAGCTTAGAAGTATTTATGGAAAATTAGCTAAAATATTTGCTACTAAAATTGGATTGAACAAAATCCTAAAAAAAATAAAATTTCTTTTGAGGACTACAAACTAAAATAAATCTATAAAGGAGATAAAAATGTTGAGGATAATCATATGTCTTCACTCCTTCAGAAAATCCTATATAATGATTGGAACTTCCTGATATCATAAGAAAAAGAATAATTGCAGTAATTTTAAATTATAAGAATGAATAATTTAAAAAAAATATCTTAAATTAATAGGTATGCATTCAATGTAATATTTAATACAAATAATGAATTATAATGCCTAGAAAAACTTTAAATTCTTGCACTTTTAAAGCCATAAGAATCTGGCCTGAAAGTTTCTTCTGAAAATTTAGACGACTATGTAAATTGCACCAAGGTAAATTTTAAATTATTTCAGTTATTGATTAACAATTTATATATATTTTAGGTAGATAACATGATTAGAGCAGGAGGTGACTTGTTCTCAAACCCCTCTGAAGCAAGACATTTACATTTACTTTTGAGTTTATCCAACAATTCTATTGTCCATATCTTAAACTGTTTAAATACTTCTAAAGAAGAATGGAATTTTGATTTCGAAAAAGAATAAGAAGAAGTAAAAATAAATGGTAAAGTTGCAGAGTATATCATAGAAAATAAATTAGATGTTAAGTCTTAAGAAAACTAAATCTTTTAAAAATACAACTCTCTTAAAAAAGAAGCTTTAGAAAATCTAAGAGTAAGTTTATATTTATAAAAAACCATTAATTAAAAATAAAATTGATAAATTATTTTTAATTTTAATAATTTAGATATAATCTTATATAGATGAGAGTGAAGGTATATCGTCAAGCAAATATTTATCTTATATTCTCTAATCTCTTTTCTTATGGAAGAACATTTCTAACATCAAGTGGGATGATGTTTTTAAAAACTCATAGGCTTTTTTAAATAATCCATACCAATTTAAAGAATCTAAAAATTAAATAGATTTTTTGCTTAATTATATTTAATATTTATCAATTTTGCCTGCTTTTATTCTAGATAAAGTAAGTGCTAAATCATCTCCCAGCAACAAGAGAAAAGATGCTTCTAAATTAAAAAAGTAAAATCCTAGAAATACTGTTAATTAAGAAGAAACATATGTATCTAATATACTGAAATAGTAAATTTTTTATATAAAGAAAAAATAAGCTATTTTGATAATTATTAATATTAATAGAATAAAATTCAAAAGCTTAGACACAGAAATATTTACTAGACACATAGCCTATGAAAGCAATTCTATTTACTTAATTTATCAATCTTATGAAAATGTGGTCTCATAAATGGGATAAATAGCTTCTGATTACGCATCTTTATGTAAAGAAGACGAAGAAGAAGAAGAAATAGATCAGGAGACATTCAGAGAAAAATTGAAAGAATAAATTTGTATTTAAAACTTTATTTAATTTTTTAAATTAATATTTAAGTTTTTTATGTCCTATTTAGGTTCTGTCTCAACAAATATTTATTACATGCTTAATTTCTTGAATGGAAACTTCTTAAAAGAGATAGTACATGCACATCCACTAATTGAGTATCTTTCTAATCTTTACTTCAAAGGACTCTAAGCTATCCATACTCAAAAGACAGAACCTATAGATAATTATCTGTAAAAATGCATAGATGATGAAAATTCCTTCATCAATATAATCTTGAAGGAAAATCCAGATTATGCTTTTATTTTTATTTAAGTTTTGAATATAACATTCACTATATCATTCTGCACTACAAATGATTCAAAAATTGATAGACTAGAAAAAGACAATATCCTTAATCTAATAGATTAATTACTTTTAACTGTTGGAAGAGATTTGCTATAGATTGATGAAAATATTGTCAATTTAATATATGCTGTATTCTATCTTATTACTAATTAAGAAACGAAGAAAATGAAAGAAAATTCTAAGTTTAAAGATAAATAAAATTGCTTAATTGTAAATATTTTTCTTACTTTTTTATTTAGCTAATAACTTTAAAATTTTTAACATTTATTTTTAAGCTTTTCAAGAAAAAATTTTCTGTATTCTCATTAAATCATAAATTTTAAACTAAAAAAGATATTACTCAAAGTAGCTTTTGAAAACCCTGATTTATCTGACTTTTTCTTTGGGTCCCCTAAGACTGGAGAGAGTGCAGAATAAATTGATAAGATGATAAGCACTATAACAAACGCCTTATAATCGATTTTAGATAAACCTTCATAATCTATTAATGATAGTGACCTTGTTAAAGAAGTCCTCAAACTGCTTAAATACGCTAGTAAGGGAAATTTAGATGTAAGCATTATAGAAGATGTGATATCCATACTAACTGGAGATCATCAACGCGTTTTCAATATTCTTAAAAAGTTTGAAATAGCTGATGAAAATAAGATTGCTCTTATTCAAAGAGCTTACAGTTAAGTTGTAGATATGCCTATATTTAGCAATTAAGACAAAGCTATTGTTGGAAGCAGTTCTACTGAATAGTCTGATAAAATGAAAGAAGTTGTAAAGAAGCTTCAAGAAGGAAAAGTAAATAAATCACATTTTAATGAATTATTAAAGTTTATTTCTTATTCAAAAAAATAGGTAACAATTAAAGACGTCTTTATTGCAGTTGATGCAGAGGGTGACAATAATGGTACTATATCTATAGATGAATTCTAGTCATTCGTTAGAAGATTGGGTAATTAAATTATTCAGCATGCTCTTTAACATTAAATTAAATATATTTTATTATTAAAGGTATGGAGTTAAGTAGACACAGAGTTAATGAAATATTTGCACACATTAAAAACAAAAAATTAAACTTAGTTAGCGTTGAAAAAACAGATGAATTGACTTTAAATGTAGATGAGTTCGAAAAAGCATTTAAGTATGTTAACGAAAAGAAAACTTCTATGTCACTTGAAAAATTAGGTATATCACCTGCTCTACTAGTTCTCGCTCTTGGTACACTTATAGTAATTCTTATACTTGTGTTTGTATTCATCTTCTTTGGTATTAATGCTTTTGCTATGGGTGGAACATTTGGTTCTATAATCAACTCGCTTATTCCAATGGCTGCTGCTGGAGGTGTTGCAGGATCACAAGAAAATAAACAAAAAAAATTAAAAGAAGAAGAAGTTTCTAATGCAGTAAGTCAAACTCAAGCCATTATTCATTCTAAAAATATATGATAATATTCGTCATATCATTAAATAATTTGTTATTATTTTTTTAATCAAATAAATATAAATGAAGAATGTATTAATTTTTATTATTTTTTGTTATTATTCTTTTTAATTTAATCTCTATTAAAATTTTTTGGAAATATATTTATATTTTTCTTTTCAAAAATTTATTAAAGTAGCCACTTAATTTTTGATATTTTTTTTAAGTCTTTAAGACTGTTTTAGTCAGTATGATAATAACACTCTTTTAACTTTTAAAAGTAAAGTTAAATAAAGAGCTCTTATTATAAAATGGTGCTATTTTTACAAATATATAGAAATGTATATTAATTTATACCATATATCATTGGTTATAAGAACTTATTTGAAAAGAATTAAGTATGAAGTAATTCTAAGCATTTAAATAAAAGAATTTTTCATATTTCACTATTATTTTGTGGTAAAAATACAAAATATTTAATTTAATTTTCAAAATAGAAAGTTAAAAGATTTACGAATCAAATTTTTGTTATAAATATATAGTTTTTAAGAAATTGTATTATTTTTATTTTATTCTCAAAAATTTTTATTAGAATTAAACATTTAAATAAAAAATAATATTGAAAAAACATTTTAGATAAATAAACCCTTTTTGCTTTTTAAGAAATTGAAAATATGAATTAGAAATTTTCATTTTATAAAATTCTTTCCTTCATCTATTTATTTACTGCATATTGTTATTATTATTAGATTTTTATCAATTAAAACTTTTGTTTTTAATTTACTAAAAGGTAAGTTTCTTATTTCGCATTAAGAAAACTTCTAAATTAATATCTTAATCTTATTTATGTTTTATTTCATGTCTTGTTTCGAAAATTCTAATGTAACTATTATGAATATTTTGTTATCTGAAAATAAATTACAATTTCATTTCATTTTCTCAGACTGTATTATATTATTATAATTTTAGAATGAGTAGTAAAAATAATATAAATTCATATAAAAGTTATTTCTTTTATATTTATCCTTAATTTTAAATTTTATTATTGTAGAATTTATAAATTGTAAGATAATTCTATCTTTATTCATTACATAAATAAAAAATATTATTATAAATAATATTTCAATAAAATATTTTTAGTGTCTTTTCAAGTATTAATAATTTAACAAAAAAATTTGGCTTTAAGTTTTTGAGAAAGATAATTAATTGATTTTTTGGGATGCTTTGATTTTTTTAAAAGGATATTTGATTTTTATATTATATTACTAATTTACTAAATATTAAAATAATAAGAGGTAAAAAAATATAAAATAAATTAATTTAAAGATAAAAATTAGTCCATATTTACTACTTTTAGATTTATGTATACGTTAACAGTTCTACTGAATAGTCTGATAAAATTAAGGAACTTATCAAAAATCTTTGAACATGAAAGAGTAAATAAATTTAAATTTTAATAAATTATTTTATATTTATTTGAATTTAAAAAAAGGTAACAATTAGAGATGTCTTTGTTGCAGTTGATGAACTTGGTGACAATAATGGTACTATATCTATAAATGAATTCTAGTCATTTGTTAGAAGATTTGGTAAATAAATTATTCAACGTGTTCTTTAATGCTAAATTAATGTTTTTCTTTTGATTAAAGGTATGGAGTTTAGTAGAGAAAGAGTTAATGAAATTTTTGCACATATTAAAAATAAAAAATAAAAGCCAGGTAGAATTGAAAAAACAGATGATATGAATTTAAATATAGAAGAGTTCGAAAAAGCATTTGAATATGTTAAAGATAAGAAAACTTCTATGTCTCTCGAAAAGTTAGGCGTATCACCTGCACTTCTTTTTATCACACTTGCTACAAGTGTACTAATTCTAATACTTTTATTTGTATTTATATTCTTTGGTATTAATGCTTTTGCTATGGGAGGAACATTTGGCTCTATTAAAAACTCTCTTATTCCAATGATTGCTACTGGAGGATATGTAGGATCACAAGAAAATATAAAAGATAAATTAAAAGAAGAAGAAATTTCTAATGCTATTTATGAAACTCAAGCTATCATTCATTCTGAAAATATATGACAACGTTAATCATTTTATAAAATAATTAGATATTATTTTTTTAATAAAGTAAAATAAAGAAAGTTAATTTTTTTTATTTTTAGTTTTTGTTTTTTCTATTTAATCTCCATTCAAATAAATGATTTTTTTTCTTTATATTGATGTGCAATAATTTTTTATTATTTATTTTCAAATAATTAGCAGATTTTTAGTATATGCTCTGTATAATTTTTCTATATTATATACCCTCTTTCTTCATTTAAAACACTTTTTATTTTTTAAATATTTGAATAGAATTTATTTTTTAATGAAAACCCCCTAAAATTTGAAAAAAAAATTTTGAATATTGCATTTAAACACTTTTTATACTGTATATTTAATATTCAATTTTATGAATTTTATTAAATAGTGCTTTTACTTAATTTTTCATAAATTTTTTAACTTCTTATTTTCATTTTAAATTAAACATAATCCAGGTATAAAAATAAAATGTTTAATTAAGATAATTTACAAGCTTTTTGTGGCATATTTATATTTTTTAATAAAATTTATTTGCGAAAATTCATTTTTTTCCATTGATATTTCTAGAATTTTCTAAATACTTATTTGCTTAATTCATTCATAAGTAAATGAAATATTAATAAATTTGCTATTATTAAAATTTTTCAAAGTTTTAATCATTATTTCAACAAATAATTAACAAATTAAGATTTTCAAAATTTAATTTTTTTAATTTACACATTTGTCCAACTCTCTTTTAATTAAATACTCATTAGTATTGCCTATCTAAAGTTTCTAAAATGAGTTTTCTTAGTTTATTGCTTTTATTAAAAGTTAAGTTATAAATATTAATAATAGTTTTTTTTTTTTAAATATTTGATAAGAATCAATTATGAAATTGAAGAAAAAATGTACTTTAGAAGCAACTAATAATACATGTCAAAAACATGATACAAATTACTCTAACTAGAATTATTAGTTTAAATATATAAATTATAGGTAATAAGGTCAAGCAAAATATTAATAAATTCATTAAATTTTTTATTTTATTTCTTTGATGTACTTTTGAGAAATACAAATTGTAAATAGAAAATTATTTTTCAAAATTAATGGTTTAATATTTGAATATTAATCTATATATTTATTACTAAAATTCAATTAAGTACTTAATTGTTGTTAAAAATATAATTTGATAGACATACTTTGTATGATTTTTTATTTATTTAAAAACATAATTATATTTTCGAGAAAAGAATACTGTGATCAAAGTAAATCTAAATTATCTATTTTATATTTTAGATATTTCTAGAAATAAAAATAGAAAATAAATAGATAATCTTCATTTAAATTAAAACTATTGATTTACTTATTGGAACTAAATAATAAATTAATGAAACTTAATTAACTTAAAAAATGGAAAACAAATATTAAGATTATGCTAATAAATACTATAAGGTTTTAAGCTAAAAAACTTTCCTTGATCCAATAATTACTCCAATAATATTTTATCCTTTGATGGGTATTTCTTCTTATAAGCTTTTCAAACTATTTAAAAAGTAACAAATAGTGAGTGGTTTTAAGAAATTAGTTAAGAATGCTATTCCTATTTAATAAAATCTAGAAAATACAATATAAAATTAGTTGATTTATATTTAGGGCTAACTCCTTGCACGCAACTAAATATTGGCTAAAGATAATTTATTTAAGATTTCAACAAATAGCCTTGATTAACTAGGATTATATCGCAAAGTAGAAGTTTTCCATAACATGTCACATTACCATAAATACAAATGCGGGTGGTAGGATTTAAATACTTTGGAAAATATTCATAGATTTTATAATGCTTCATCTATCAGATATAATGTTTCAACGAATGGTAAAGTTTTTTTAGAAGATTAGCAGCTTAATACTGATTTGTTGATTTAATTATCCCAGGGCAACTCTGTTTAACAATAAATAGATGTTGAGAAAATGAAATAGTTAATTTTGGAAATATAATAAAAAAAAGAATAGCATTAATGTAAAACTAGCAAGGAAAAGGATTCATTAGAATAAGCTTCTATTACTTAAGTAGCTGCTGATAATCCTCTTGAAAAATTAATTTTTTAAGGCAAACATATAGAAATAAGCAGCGAATACATTTAAATTATGCAAGAAAAAGGAAAGCTGAGTAAAGGAGATATTAGAATATCGTTTCATGAAATATAAAAAATAGCAACAGCAACAGCTTTAGCAGTATAAGGAAAAAATGGTTTAACTTAATTTCAATCAGAAGATTAAGATTAAAAAATTGAATATTTTATAAATGGAAATAAAATTTCATGTAATACTTCATTATTTAGTTTTATAACTAAAGGTTTAATAGATTAAAAAGAATTAGTCAATATCTTATTGTCACCTTTGTAGTTGACTTCTCAAAACCAATATAAAAAAATATTGTTATATTGCCTAATAATAATTTCTCTGTATTTATATTAATATTAAATCATAGTTGGTGAATACTAATTTAACATTCATAGAAAAACGATTGCATTAAATATGTTTGAGCTGCAAAATAATCCTGATTAAATTTATTAATTCAAATTTAAATTCGATAAAGAAATTCTATAGAATGTACTATTTATTTCATCATGCCATTTTGCCTGCTTAAAAGCTTTTAGTTGCAGTCGTCTACTAATTTCTTCTAGCTTAGTAATGTTCACTCTAATGTATACCTCTTATGATTAATTTGGTTAATATTTGGCTCTTATTGATAGAATCAAAGAAGATTTAGAGGAGATAAAATTATAAAATCAAGATATAAAGATCTTAGAAGCAAAAGATTATTTTAATCGCATTTTAAATAAATTAGTTTGACTGATTAATTGATTAAATTAGTCTTCATGGTAAGTTGTTTAGGACCGTAACAAAATAAAAATTTTTAATAGAATAAATTTAATAGATTTAAATTATAAAATAATTTATTAAAAATAAATAAAGTTTCACTTCATAATTATTTCAAAAGTTATTTATTTATTAATTAATAAAATTAAATTTATATTAAATTAAGTGTTTCTTTTTATTCAAATTTTCACTTTTATATTTCAAGAAAGAAACCATCCATTACCTTCATTAAAAATTATTCATTAAATTTTTTGATTTAAATTCTTTTTTATTACTTGCCAAATAAAATGATCAATAATTAATTGTTTTTTCAAATTTAATTAAAAGTAGTTAATTATTTTTTTGTACTTTTTAATTGTATAAAACAACCAATAGATATTTAATGAAAATCTAAATAAATTTATTTTGAATTTGGGAATTATATAAAATTAATTAATATATACTGTGTATGTCCATAATATAAATTTATTTTTCTTAAGTGATTAATTAATTTAAATTATAGTAACACATTTAAAAATTGTAATAAAGCTCAAAAAAATCCTTAAAAAATTATTTTGGATTATATTATATATTTATATTTTTAATTTAATAAAAATAAAATATAAAGAGTTTAATATTATAGACATAGAGTTTAATTTGTGAGAGAAAATTAAAAACATATTATAGTTTCTACCTAATTTTTGTTCCTTTTTTCTATACCTTTTACTCTATTTTAATAAATTTAATATTCTTCTAGCTTTTTTAAAATGTAATAAGATAAATACTTTCTTTTTAATAAAATGGTGCTATTTTTTTAAAATAAGGAACAGCGTGTTTATTTATTAATTAATATTTTATATTATTGAGTATCAGAGCTTTTTTGAAATAGAATTTGTATTCAACATTAATATAAAAGAATTATTCATATTTCACAATTATTTTGTTCCATCAAAAGGATATTGTTTCAAACAAATAATTAGATTTAATTTATGGAAGTTTAAACATATAGAAAAAAGAAAACTTATTGTAAATTAATGCTTTTTAAGAAATTGATTTATTTTATTTTATTTTCAAAGCTAATGACTAGATTAGAAAAAACATTTTAACTAAATAAATCCTTTATGCTTATTTAAGAAATTGTAAATATGAATTAAACATTTTCATTTAAAAGAATTAATCCCTTATCTAATTAGTTACTGCATACTTTTATGATTATTTGATTAATATCTTATGAAATAAATTTCTTATTAATTTGGTAACAGACAAGTTTCTAAATTAATCTCTTTTCTACGTATGAACGAAATCTTATATTATATTTTCTTTTCAGGCAAAGCATCTTATATGTAAAAAATTCGAATGTAACTATCATGAATATATTGTTACCTTGAAATAAATTATGATTTCATTTTGTTTAATAAAACTATAATGAATTATTGTAATATAAATATGAGAAGTAGAAATATATTTAAAAATATTCATTTTAAGACTTATTTCTATAACGTTTATCTCAAATTTAAGTTTTATTTTTAAAAAAGTTATAAATTATAATCTATTTTTATAGCTTTCAATTTAATAAAAAATATTATTTCATTGTTAATCAATTTTCAATAAAATAGTTAAACTGTCTTTTAAAGTATCTATATCTTTTCAAAACATTTGCGGTTTAAAATTTTGGAGAAAGAATGATTGATTTTTTGGGGTTTAGATTTTTTTTTATGGTTATAGAAGGATATTTGGTTTTAATTAAATCATCAATTTATTAAGTATTAAAATAGCGAGAGGAAAAAGAAATATAAATTAAGATAAATTAAAGATAAAAATTCTTCCCTATCTACTGCTTTTAGAGTTTACAACAAATTTAGTTATTTTATAATTTAAAAAAATAAATGGCTCTTAAGTTATCATTTTTATTACTAATTCAATAATTTTGTTGTGTTATTTTTCAAAATTTATTTTTCTTTGATAATTTATTAAGATAAAGCTGCTATCTATTTTTTAAAAAAACAGTATTCAAAAAATACAAGAATATATATAGAAGAAATTATAACTCAGTTTTAAATCTTTCTGATGTGGGAAAAATTGAAAGCTTAAAAATTTATAAAATCTAAGATATAAAAATTATTAGCAAGTAGATGTTGTTTAATTTAAATCTGTTGTTAATAGGTGAAAAAATTAATTATTTAATAAAATAGAAAAGTTGAAAAAACTTAAAAACTTAAATAAAAAAAGAAAAAGTACAAATTTTATTTTTATAAATAATTGAAAAAGAAAGAAAGGAGACAATCGAAACACACCAACCTATCTATCGAAGATTATATAAATAGTATTTAAATGAGTTCTATCCACAATAATTCTCAAGATAAAAGTGGAGAAAAAACCTAAGAAGTTATTTAGAAATAAGATTAAGTTGTAGAGAACAATGTAGTTACTAATCCTAACTAAATAGATATAGTAGTTGACAGCTAGAGAGCTATCAACGAAAATGATTAAGAGAATTTCAAATAAAACTTGAACCAAAATGTAATAACATAATTTTATATAGAATTTTTTACATAAATTTTACTCTTTTATATCAAATCAATTTATTTTAAATGTCCTTTATTAGATTGCTCCACATTTATATAGAGAAAATTGGATTTTTTAACTAACCAAATATCTCATGATTAACGAAATTTAAATTTTTGATGGCTTGAAAAACAAATAAAGCAAAAAAAAAAATCTTTTAGAGCCAAAAAATGTTTAAAAATATTTAATATTTTACCACATCCTCATCATCATTACAACAATTTTGATTATATTCTGATCTCTTTCTAAGATGATATTCATATTGTTTGATATAAAAAACACTTTTTGGTTTTCATTTATTGCTTGATTTTTTTTTAATATCAAAAAATTTAAATAATTTTCTGGTTAATTCTAACAAATTGTGATATATTTTTAAATTAAATTATTACAAAAACTGCTCAACTTAAATTAAAGAAGAAAACTAATTACTAATCACAAATATTAAATAGGTCCAAGATATACAGATCGAATCAAATGGTAAAATAGATGAAAACCAAGGATTGCTTTAGAAAACGAATGAAGACAAATAATAGATGGAAATAGAAATGTAGAAACTCAAAGAAGAAGAATAAGAAAAAGATAAAGGTAAACAAGATAAATTCGAATAAGCCTTAAAAGAAGAAGATGCAATTCCAATAGATATTGGAAGGACAAGCACAAAAGCAAAGACAGTAAAAGATAAAGGAAATAAAAATAAAGGTGCCAAAGACAAAGGAGGAAAAGACAATAAAAATAACAAAGATATTTCTACACAGTAAGGTTCAGTTATTGTAACTAACAGCATGGTTAAAAAAGAAGTTAAAGCAGCAATAAAATAAAATACTTTCCAATAGCAACGAGCCTTACAGATGCAATTTAAATAAAGGTAGCTTGAAATGAAGAAAAATGAAGGTTAGTAGAACTAGATGCAAAAATCAGGATTCTCTATCAAGAATTTACTTAAAGATAATCTTTTTATTAGAAAATCATGGAGAATATTGTTATTAGTACTGTTAGTAGCTTTAATCCTAACTCTAATATTAGTCTTTTACTACTCAGTTGGATTTGTTAGAGGATCTTTAAGATTAGGTAACAATGAGAAAGTGGCCATGAATTTAGAGAGTTGTTCTTTAATGATCTATGACTACTCTCTTAGAAGCAAATATACTTTAGATGTTAACTTCTTATCTGCTTCGCTGTCTATACCAAGTTCAGTAGCTTCTGACTAGAACATGTATCTTCAATACATATATCCAAATGCTCCTCTTTAAGAGCACCACAGCACATTTTCTGAAGTACTTTTTAATTTAAATATTTCCCATTAACATTGATTTTACCACAAATATTTATAAATTAAATTTTTCGTCAACAAAAAAAGAAAAAAATAAGAAAATAATTAATTAATTAATCCCCCACTTTTAGATTTAAAATTTTTTTCCGATTTTTCAAATTTTATTAGTTGATTAATTGATTATTTAAGTTCAATAATCTTAGTTAGATACGATTTTAAATATAAATTATAGAGTGAAGATAATGGAGTCAAGACCCTAGAATTCAATAATAAATTAAATAGCTACGAATGCGAAATCGTAATGTTCGTTTATAAAGATACTTAGCTTTAATCTCTGGATATCAACTGCGGTGATACGAGTCAATGCAATATTATTATTTACTCATAATAATTGAGCATAGCTACTATGAATGTTAAGGGTTTAAATGTCTAGATGAACGCTCCTTACCTAAAAGCTGATGTAAAATAATATTAATAACAATAATATTAATTATTAAATAAATAAATTTATATAAAACAGACATTCACTTATTTGAGTATGCAAGGATCTATAGAAATACCCTTCTTTGTTTTTAAAACTGCTAATATAAATACTAGAGAAGGAGATATTTCAGTACAATCTACAAGCGATATTACACTTACTTATAAGTAGAAAGATCCCTATAATTGTCTTTCTGCTAAGTCAGTAACTGATTAATCCAACAATTAATTGAAATTGGATGATTATCAGAAAAGCATCTAATTTGAGTCTGATTAATCAAAGTGTGACGCAAGTAATTATTTATTTATAAATAAATAAATAACTAATTTTTTTAAAAACTTCTTTTTAATTTAATTAAGTCTATCCATGGGGTCTCTCATAAGCTTCTTAAACACCTGATAAAGTAATTGAATATAGGTGTTATAGCAACACAGTTATTCTAGCAAACGATGGTAAAAGTAAATCTACTTTAACTGCTTCTAATTCCTTTGGAAATATATTTGTAAATGTTATTTCTGCATAAGGATAGCATTCATAGGCTTCTAGTGCAAGCAACAATATTGTATTTAATAAGGCAAGCAAAACTGATAATCAAGATAATAATAAAAACATTGATTACATTAATTTTTCAAATTTAGCTTAAATTAACTTACTAAATCTAACCAAATCAGCATCAAATCCTAAAGTATATGATCCTATATTCGTATTTGAAATAGGTCCTAAATTCACTAGATCATCCACATTTTAATAAGTTTAAGTAAAATTTAATCATTTTTAAATATTTTAAATTTTTAATTACTTTCTTTTCTTGATATTGTAGAGAGAATCTTAATTTTATAATGAGAATTTCAATTTTTTGATATTAAATTTTATAAATTGATAAATTCAACAAATAAAATTAATTAATAAATTCTTTATATTTTTCTGAAAAAATAATTTTATTAATAGTTTTCATACAATCCTGCTTACAGTTATATGAAGCCTTATTGGCTTGGAGAGCTAACTTTGACATTAATGACTACTTAAAAATATAGTGGATAGTATACTATATCTCCAGGATTTTGTCCTTATGTTCCTTCTCTTTCATTAGAGAGAATTCATAGCACTTAGTACATGATAACTAATTTTATGTAGTAAAACTCAGCACCATAATATGCTTTAGCAAGTGACGCATGGTAGCCATATGTTGATTATCCTCCATAGAAATTCATTTCAACAGATACTTACGAAGGATTTAAGGACATTAGCTTAAATAGAAATCGCGATGAGCAATGGATAGGAGTTGATTCTGATTAATCTAAAAATTACAGTGTTACAAATTATGATGTTTCTTACAGCAGTAAATAAATAAATCTTTTAAAATGTCTACACATGTTTATTTATTTATTTAATTAATTAAAATTTTATAGGTTCATTATATGCTGCTATTGTAGTTAGTTGTATTCTTTCAGGTATTTTAGGAGTTATTTTGATGGTTATTCTAGTTTTTGCCATCAATTAAAATTATATTTGGGTTCTTAATCACATAGCAAGTGTTAGAAAGTATTCATAGTTAGAAAAAGGTGGAGCAGGAGAAATAGATGAGTCGACTTTGGACATACAAAAGAGACGTTTTTATCTTGAATATAAGGTTTATTTTTATTTAAAGAAAGACAATATAAGAAACAATTTAAAATAATTTTTTATAAAATAGGAATAATAACAAATGATAGAAGAATAAAATAAGAAAGCTTTATAAGATGCAGGTGAAAATCCTGAAAATGAGGAATAAGGTTTCGTTCCTAAATATACTATTACCAGTATATTTACTTTATTCTATTAGTTAATTTATCTCTCTCCTCCTTTAAGTGCTTTTATTGACTACGTAGTACTCTTGCTGCACAAAGCAAAACAAAATTCTATTAGTGAGTTCTACAAGCTTCTCTTTAGGTCTAAAAAGCTGAAAGAATTAAAAGAAAATGAAGATGAAGAAATTCACAGTTTAGAAAAAGATTAAATATTAGGAAACGAAATGAAGTAACTTTATGAAAAATTCTGCTATCTCAATCAATATCTTGAGAGAAAATTTGATGATGAAGAAAATTTGAAATATTTAACAGAAATGGGCTTTAAAATTGTAGCTAGATTTGATGCTTAAACTTAATATTTTACTTACATTAAATACAATGGCACAATACCTACTATTCCTGAATAGCCAAATAAGACATCTTTGGATTTATTCATATCCAGCTGTTGCAGTCTGACAAAGTTTGAAACTGATCGCATTGAATCTACAGAATTAGAAAATTATTATTCAGTAATATTTAAATTATTTTAAATCATTAAATCGAATTTGGTTATATGTGTTTATCAATTTTCAAAGACTTTATTTAATTAAATTAATCAAAAATGGGTTTAACTTAATTTTTTATGAAAAAATCTTAATTAATTTCTGATAATAATGCAAGAAATTTATTTAAAGTTAACACAACTTAAATTGTTATAAAAAATTTTTTAAATAATAAATAGGAATTTTGCACCTTAAATCATATGTAAAAGATTTAATTAAATGAAGGTTCCTTAAAGAGAGATTATGGTGTATCTACTGTTTATTTGCCTTAATAATGGGTTGAGAGAGATGAAAAATATGATGTGTAAAAGCTTAAAAAGAAATATTTTATTGATAAAAAAAGAGTAGAAAACAATTTTAAGATATTATTAGCAAAAGATAGCTTTTTATTCAGTATGCTTTATGACACTGAAGATTTCAAGTAAGCATAAAGAGATATATAGGTCGCAACAGGCTGGCAATTCTTTGATTTAATTACAGTTATGGCTCACGTTTTAGTTATGACATTAATAGGTTGTCCTTTAATTATTTTGGCAATTTTCCTTAGAGCTTAATAATCTTCTTATTCATTAATTCCTCCTATGAGATTAATCTTCTAAGACACAATTAATTATTATCCTACTTCTATACCCGCCAAGCTAATAGATGATAATTGGATTGTTTAAGCAATTACAATCATCACTTTGATATTTTGGATTCTTTCTTTTTGGGATTTGATTTATTATTATGCAAGTATGGACTTCCCTTAAGAAAAGTACTTTAATGAATACAAAATGGTAGGCAAATTCAGAAAATTCCTATCAGGTATTATGTGGATCATTGTTCTCATCTCTTTTTACACATTTGCAGTTTATTTTTCATTGGTTGCTATTTGGTTAATGTTGAGTGCTATCATCAATCCAAACGCTTTCTTACCCTATGCAACTTCTGCTGCAACATTTGTCACTTTAGTAGCAAAAAAATATAAGTAAAAATGTTTTATAGTAAGTTTTGTAAATTTTAATTATTAATATTTATTTACTTAGGGATTTCCAAGAGATTTCTTAAAATGGATTTAAAATAATATCTGACTATCTGTAGTAAATGGCATCAGGATAATTCCAAGATTTGCTCAAGAAAATGAATATTTAGGATAAAATAGCTGATATGGTACCTACTGATACATTAAAAGGCATCACAGCTGAAGCATCCAAACTTGGAATAATAGATGCCTCTACATCTGAAGAAATTTAAAACAATCTTGAAATTATGATTAGAGATCCCACCTCAGTTTCTAAACTAGGACAAGAGCTTGTTAAAATTTCTTAAGATCCTCAAGCGTATGCTTAATAAATTTCTCAAAAGCTTGAAGAAAAAGCTAAGGCTATAATCTAATAACAAGTAAAAAAATATTTATTTTATTTTAAATTTAATTTTATTATTTTTTTAGGTAAGTGCTATTGACAAAGATCTCAGAGATGAATTAGTCAATCTCATTTGGTGTTTGCTTAAAAATTAAAAAAGCGAGCTTAAAAATTCAATAAGTTCCTTTGTTAACGCTCTCATCAATATATTCTAAAAGAAATAGGGTAAATAGTTACTTAAAAGCATAGGCTTCGTTAATCTTAAAGGACCCGTATTCGATTTTGTCTGGGAGTTTGCTTTCCCTCAGGAAAATTTCAAAGGAAATTACTAAGACCATTTAATAAATGTATTTTGTGTTGCATTATCAAATGTGATTTCTGTTTGGAATAAGCAACTCAAATCAATCATCTCAATAGATTAATAAATGGCTAAAAAGCAAAACGAAAATAGAGAAAAAGGAAATAAAAAGAATAATAAAAAATAAAATTCTGAAAAAACAGAGCAATAATTGCTGAAAGAAAAGCTTTTGAAGGATATCGAAAAGGCAGATTCTGTGATACAAGCTGAGACTGGTTAAGAAGAAGAACTAGAAATAGAACTAACTTCAGAAGAGGCTATAACTTATGCTTATAAAAATATTATTTATTCAGTAATCTAGATATGTCGCTCAATTTAATCAAGTAACAGCGAAGTAATTAATACATTTTAGTTAACCTTTAATAAATTTTTGCTAACAATTATTCATAAATATTAATTAGGTTATTTTGAATTAAATTCTAAATCTTGTGTAAAATGGAAGCAAGCTTCCAGGATTTGATGGACTCAACTAAATTAAATAGTACTAAGACATATTTAAAATAGGTTACGCTATTTTTAAAAATGATGGAGAAGTTGACTTTGAAGATGTCAGTTCTGCCTTTAAAGGATTTTTAAAAAATACTGGTTTGGAAAATTAAGTAAAGGAAATAGCAGGAGTTGGTATTTTAGATGTACTTAAAATAGTTGAGATCATTATTTAAAGCTTTAAAGGTCAAAGCAAGTTGATGTCTTCTAATACTATTAAAAAAGCTATATAAAACCTTTTAGGTTCAGTTGATTTCGTTTCAAAGAGAATGATGATTAGAAAACAAGAATTTAAGGATGTAAAGTTAATGACCTCTGGAGATGAATGCTTAAAAATGAAAGATGATGTCACAGTTAATTTAAACGAAACAAAAGCTGCTATTAATGATTTAGAATAATAAAGAATCAAGGCTAAGTAGAATGAAGAATCGTATAAAGAAAAATTAGAGAGCAGTTTATATTATCTCAGATATTATTGCAAGGAACTCCTTTAACAGAAATAAGACGAACCTGGATTTGATTAAGCCAAGATAGATGAAATAGATAATGCCTCTGGAGAGAAGATCATCTATGAGCTTGAAAAAATTCTAGAAGAAATCAGAAAAATTAACTTGGATAAAAACAAAGTTTATACTCAACAAAAATCAGATATTATGAAAGAATTTGCAAACATGAAGAAAGAAAAGGCAGAATAATAAGAGAAATTAAATGCTTTGAATACCAAAATAGACCCTCTTAAGAGCAAAGTAATCATTTTTTAAGTTTTAAGAATTTTAAAAAATCATATTATAAATAATAGATCAGAAAAAATTTAGAAGAAAAGCTCAAAGAAAAGACCAAGCTAGAAAATTAAAAAAATGCTGATATTACAAAACAAAAGGATGTGATTAAAGAAAAATAAAAAATAATTTCTAATGTTAAATAGCAAAACAATCAATTGTCAATAAAGCTTAAAGAAAAAGAACTAAATAGAAAGAGAAATATTGAAAAATTAGAGGAGTTAGAGAAATAGCTTATAAATAAAGGCTAACCTGAAGAGGAAGCTGAAGGAAATGCATATATTCCTAGTGAGGGAGATATTTAAGAGTTGATGGCAACTGAAATTCATATGAGAAATCCATACTTGCTTGATCATGCTGACGATGATGATGAAAACTAGCACTTTATCAAAAATAATGAAGAAAGTAAAAAAATTTTTTATTTTGAATAAATAAATAAATTAAATTCATAAATAATGCTAGATAAATAGTCAAAAAAAAAGAGAGAGGAAGAAGAATAATTAATAGAAATTAAGCAAGTTGAAACCACAATTAGAAATATAGATTCTGAAATTAATTAAATCAAATAAGAAATCGCTAAAAATTAGGATTAGATTAAATCAGTTGAATAAGATATTAAGGAGATTGAAGATGAAAATATTTAAGATATTGAGAATTAATATACAAGAGATATCGAACAACTGAACAAAAAATTTGCTTTGAAAGATGAAGAAGATGAATTAGTACTTCTCTAAGAAGAATATGAAAAAGAAAAAGAAATTTATGAAGAAATAGTCAACAAAATATCTGAAAATATGGTTCAACAAGAAGATATAGAAGAAGACATCAAATCAAATGAAGAGAACACTAATTAATATGTAGTTGATACTCAATACTATATGGACGAATTCAAGACAAGCTAAAAAGCACTCAATAAAGTTTATTAAGATAAGATTGAATATCATGAAAAAATTGATGATTTATAGGGTATTTATTTAATTAAAAAACTTTTTTGAAATTAATTTATTGTTTTTATAATTAAAACTTATTAAAAAAGACAAAAAAATAAAATTCGAATAATATCTAATTGAATTGGATGAGAAATATAAAACCATATCGGAGGAGCTTAAAGAAAAAAATAAGCAAGAAGAGGAAGAAGAAAAGAAAAGAGCAAAGGAAGAGGCATAGAAAAAAGAAGACAATGATAACTACTTATCAACAGGATTAACAATTATGCTTAATTTCTTTAGTGGATCTATCTCAGGTTTGTAGGCTGATTTAGTTAAAGAACTCGGTTCCTTCTTTGATTTGATTTCTGATAGTATAGAAAGTGACGAGATAAAGAGAATGTTTAAGTTCTTGAAAAGTTAAATTTTAGATGATTCAGATGATTAGAAAGGAAAGTCAAATAATAAGGGAAAAGAAAAAATTAATAATTTTTAGAGCATTTTGAATTTGTTAGATATATTTTTGAATGACTCGATTATTTCATCTGATAAAATACTTAAGAATGGTAAAGATAATCTTTTAGAAAGCGAAGTTGTTAAATCACTTCAAATACTCTTTACTAGTAGATTCGAAGGATTCACAAAATAAAAAGCTATAGATAACTTTTTAAAAGGTTCAGACTTACTTGAACTTATATCAAAAGTTATGAAGATGAAAGAAGATACAATCCTTGGGTTCATGGAGCTTTTACTAGGCTACAAAACCAGCAGAGATGCACACACCTTTGTCAATTTCGCTACTTCATTAAATAAGGTTTTTTTTTTTTTTTTTGATTTGAAAAAATTGAATTTTTAATTAATCTAAATACCAATCATTAAATTTTTATTTTTTTCATGTAATTTCATTTAAGATTAAAAATTTTTTAAATATTACTTATATTTTATTATGAAGATTGGCTATTAATCTTCTTTTTATATTTAACTTTATTTTAATTAAACAGATTAAGGAAAACAAAGTCCATTCTTTGATGCATCTGTACAATTTATACTCTTCTAAAAACCCAAGTGAATTATATGATGCTCTAAATTTCTTTTAGGTTACCAAAAATGTCTCAGAAGAATATAAAAATATTACAATCAAAGATTTAGTTTCAGTTTTGTTGTTCATGAGAGGTTCATTAGAGTTCGACTATGTATAAACTATTATTGAAGAAAAATTGAAACTAATTCCTTAAAAGGACTAAGAGTAAAATCCTAAAAAATAACTGGAAATTAAGGAGAGAATGAAATTTAATTTGGAATTACCAACTCATTTCAAGAAGCTATTTGAAATAGAAACTAAGGGATATCTGCAAGCAAACACTCTACAAGCAGACTTCAAAGATATCAATAGAAATTTTGAAATTCTGCTTGAACAAGCTGACTTTAATTTCTTCAAGAAATTCTCATCGATCAGAAATATACCAAGAATTGAAGATCCTTCATAAAACACTTTGGTAAAGAGCTCTATTTCTGATATTTCTGATATGTTAAACATAGACTATTAATCTGTGGAATTCTTCATCAACTTACTTACTTCATCAAAAGCAGGAAAGATAAAGTAATCTTTAGACATGCTTTAGATTTTAAAGATTAATCCTAAATGTGATGACAATGACATAAACACATTTGTTGAATTTAGTGCATCTGTTTTGGAAAAAATTGAATCAAAAAATTAAAACATATAAAATATTTCTAAGAATATCTTTTCAGATAAACTTCCTGTTTGTTTATTAAGAAAGATTCTATATCATGAAGGAGCTGTTATTCCATACTCTGATTATTTAGACCTTTTTAATATCTACTGTAATAACAATATTCCTAAATCAATAACTAACTTAATAGATTTCAGATACGGTATTACAGGAAACAGGAAAAGAGATATCTACAAATTTTTGCATCCTTTCAAAGATAATTCAGTAGAAGATTACAAGAAATTTAAGGTAAATTTTATTAAGATATTTTATGTTGGTTTATAATGTTTTTTTAATATAGAAATCAGGTTAGGGCTAATATGGTTTAATCAAAGCAGTCTAAATCCTATCTATTAATGATGAAGCCTTTAGAATTTAACATTTCCTTTAATATTTAGTTAATACTAATTAAGAAGCACTATTAATGGCAAGCTGTTTGCTAGTCTATTTTAGTGGTCGCTCTAGTAATGTTACTCTAAGAATTTAAGATAAATAAGATAAAAAGCAAAAGAAGGTCAATGTAGAATAGATGTTGTGCATATTACTTTAAGTAAAATAAGAATTCTTCGAAGCAGTCCACACTTATTTCTAAGAAGACACTAATTATTGCACACAAACCATGATTAAATTTTATCGTTAGTTAGATTACCTAGAGCAGTAAGCAGATGGAGATGAAAATACTGTTCTTGAAAACAATATAACTATTTCAGATAAAAATGTCGAATAATATGTCAGACTAGTAAATCATATGCAATTTAATACATCTTTTGTATCTAAAGATACAAATATCCCTATCGAAGCTGTCGAGTTAGTGTCTAATCTAATGTATATCAAGAATTCTAAGAGTGACTAGGAGCGTAACGCAATTTTCGAGTCTATGAGAAACAACACTTATATCTCAAAGTTATTCTAACAGTTAGGAGTCAATCATTAAGAATTAGTTACTTTAATTAAAGTAATGTACTAAGACTACGAACCTACAAATATTAAGTGGATTTCTAAATCACTCAAGCTACCTCCATAATTCAAAATTGATGGATTGTAGTAGTTGGCAATGATAGATTAGATTCTTCCAATCTTTGGTGAGTCTTCTCAAAATAAAAAATAGCTAGTTAACTTGATTAAGACAAATAAGTTTATTAAAAGCTTCAAAGTTGATACAACCTGGGCTGAAGTTGCTTATATTTTGTGCAAAGGAGATTTCTGTCTTCTTTCTAAATACTAAGATGTTTTAATACCTCTCAAGTATCCATCTGCTATAAGATTTGAATAAATTATAGAACAAGAAGAGCTTTAACAATCTAGAACTTTGACTTAGGCCGTTAATGCGAAAGAAATCAAGTACATCTCTCTAGTTTAAGGTTTAGTTGGGTAAATAATTTTTTTAATTTAAATTAATTTGATTTTAGAAATGCATTTTTAGTTATTGTTTTAATTTAAAAAAAATATATTTTTTTTATTAAATCAAATTAAGATTTTTGTTTTTAATTTTCTAAAAAAAGTTTATATATTTTAAAAAAATGATATTTCTTTTTATTTATTTTTCTTAAAATTTAATATTTTATTTTTTTTAAAATTTTTTTATTTTATATAGCTTGCTCTCTTGCAGATACTCGACCTTCTAAACAACTGAATTCCTTTATCAACTTTACACTATAATAAGTTAGAAATATGTGAAAGATGAACATCTAACTATTGAAGAAGGACTCAAAAAGGGTAATACTCTTCAATATGCAATCTATAAGTTTACTAAAAGCACATTAATGAGTCCTGTTTGGACATTACTTATGATGGGAGATCAAAACACTTGGGAATTCATAGCTTAGAGCCACTATTTAGTTAATAATAACAAGAACCCTTACCTTAATCCAATTTTGGCTTTGGTTTATGTTCTTAACTTTAGATCAAATCCTTTAATTGTTAAATAATTACTTGCCGATTTAGAATATGCATAAAGATGCTATTAAATTTATGTTGCAAAACTAAAAAAAGAATGCCTAAAAAGGGCTCAATTAGAAAAGAAAAAGGAATAAAATGAATATGCTGAAGAAAATAACAGTGATGAAGAAATTGAAGAACTTTTGTTGAAGGATATCAAAAAGAAAAACAAAAAATAAACAGATAAAGGCGAAAAATCAATGAAATTTGAACTCACTGAATAAGAAAAGCAAAGGCTTTAAGAGCTTGAAGATAAAATAAAGAATTTTAAGATTTAAATAAATAATATATTGCTAAACAGTCTGGAAAAGGATGGTGAAAAGTAATTTTGGCTTAAATTAAAAGCTTTTTTTAAAATTAATGTTAATTATAAAGGTTGATTCACATTGCAGAGGAGTTTAACTTCCCTAAAAAAGTTATTAACATGCTCTTAGTTTATGAACATGACTACGGAGAGAAGAAGAAAAATGATGAAGAAATCGAAGATGAAGAAGAAGAAGAAAAAGAAGTCAGATTGACTACAGCTTTAATTTATAAGGCTTTTGAACCATTAGAAAAAGATATGTAAGTCAATTATATTAATTTTAAATATCTAAATTTTAAAATTCTATGAAAAAATAGGGAAAAAGAAGAAAATAAAAATAAATTTGGAGAATTCAGAGAACTTGAAATGCTTAATTAAGTCTTCGAATATGTTGGAACTGATTTCTACACTGATCCGAGAAGAGAAAGAATGAATTTGGATCATGAAGAAACTAATTTTACTAGGAGCTATTGTTTATATACTCATAATTCTAGTCCTGTAATGCAAATGGTTGTTTTGAGTACAATTGCATAGCTTAAATTATCATATTATGATTTCTACGGATTTAACGGACGTGACGAAGATCATTATAAGCAAGTAACGTTTGCTATTGATCTTATATTAGGAACTTTGGAGAAGTATTATTATTTCGATGATATGATGGATTTCTTCCCCCGTCACAGACTCATTCCTTTAATAGTAATAATTAAAAAAAAAAAAAAATTTAATTTCATAAATATTTTAATGTTCTTAGGGTTTATCAGTTGGATTTATCATCGAATCAGATGATATACTTTCTTCTATGACCTCAAGAAATATATTTGGTTAAAACTATTTCAATGAAGTAATAATGGAGCTTTGTTATAAAGTTTATGATAAATAATCTGAAGAGGAATAAGAAAATGGAGAAGATTAAAAATTAGATAAATAGAAATTCTAAAAATTCATAGAGCTACATAAATATAAACTTAAATTAAAATATTTTATGGAAAGGATTGTTGATTATGATCTCGTCTATCAGGTTGAATATAATTATGGTTATCATGGAATATTTAAAGGAATTACTTAATCAGAAGTACAGTCGGAACTAGAAAAAAAGAATTTAGAGAAATTAATTGATAATTATGATGAGATGATGTGGGATTGGTAATTTATTAATTAATTAATTAGCTTATTTTTCTTTATTGTAATTGAAATTATATTATTTATTATTAAAAATATAAAGTTTTGAAAGAGATGAAATTCTTTATCATATAACTGACTCAAAGTCGTACTCAACTTACACAAAACGTAGTTATTATATTGATAGAGATTCTTACAATGAAATTGATCACTATTCAGGAGAAAAAAAGAAAGATTTGTTTGAATATTTAGATAATTACACAAAAGTAGCTGAAACAGAAAACTTTAAATTTATGATCGACATTTACAAAGAAAACTATAAATCTTTGAATGACAATGATCATTTTTCAGCTAATTACGGATAAGTAAATTTTCTTCATTTTGGTTCAAGAAAGTAATTTTTTTTTTCTTCTCTCTATAGGATAGTAATATGTATTTTGGTACCTTGATACTTAATGGAATCATATAACAATAAATGAAAGAAATTAAAATGGAAGACTTTTAATCTCATGTTAATTCAACATCCCTCTACATGACTAGCAACAAAAAAGCTCTTGCAGAAATTCTAAGTTTGCTAATTCCTTCTCTAAAATCCAGTTTTACTTCATTAAATGAATTATTGAATGTTTCGGAAGAAAATCTTTAAAGCTTTATAAGTTTAGCTATGAGTAAGAGTATCAATCAATCAAAAGATTTAGAGACCCTCCTAAAAAAATCTTCATTGTCAGATTCTAATAAAGAGTAAAATAAATCTTATTAATTATATTTTTTATTTTTTTTTTTCAAATAATTAACCACAAAACCATCTTTCCTACCTACTAAAAATCTAAATTAAACAAAATATCAAAATCTTTCAAAATAAAATAAATATTTAATTATAAAATGTCCCAAAAAAAATTATCTTCCCTCTTTATATTTAAATAGTTTTAAAATATTTAAAAAAATTAATAATTAAATACACTAGGGCTCTAAAAAATTGTGTTTGGGCTTATCAAGGTGAAATGAGAGAACACTTGAAATTGATTTATCACTCTCCTGTTTTCTTGCAGTCTCCAAGAGCAATTATTTTGTTCACTAAATTCCTTTGGTCATTTGAAAAAGTAAAATATATATAAAAGAAGTTTTTTATTTTTAATATTTATTTAAAATAACTAAATTTTTTTTATTTATTAAAGAGTTCTATGCATAAAACTATTAATAATCCATATGAAATAAATTACTTTGACTTCTGTAATCTATCGCCTAACAGAATTAAAGCCTTAGAAAAAGCTTAGCAGTATTTATGGAAAATTAGTTAAAATCTTTGTTACTAAAAATGGATTATAGAAAATAAGGTAGATCCTAAAAAAAATGAAAATTCTATAGATAACTACAAATTAAAATGCATATACAGAGGAAATAATAATGTTAGAGATAACCATATGTCTTTACTCCTACAAAAAATCCTTTATAATGATTGGAACTTCCTCATAACTTAAGAAAAAGATTAATTACAGTAATTTAAAATTTAAAAATGATAAATTATTTTTAAAATGATCATTAATTAATAGATATGCTTTCAATGTAATATTTGATACAAAGAGTGAAGTATAGTGCCTTGAAAAACTTTAAATCCTTGCACTTGTAAAACCATTAAAATCTGGACTGAAAGTTTCTGCTGAAAATTTAGATGACTATGTAAACTTCACTAAGGTAAATTTTAAATTATTTCAGTTGTTGACTAACCAATTATAATTGTTAAAAATATATTTAGGTAAGTAACATGATTAGAACAGGAGGTGACTTCTTCTCAAGCCCCTCTGAAGCTAGACATTTACATTTACTTTTTAGTTTATCCAACAATTCGATAGTCCATATTTTAAATTGTTTAAATACTTCTGAAGAAGAATGGAATTTCGATTTCTAAGAAGAATAAGAAGAAGAAAAACTAAATGCTAAAGTCGCTGAGTATATCAAAGAAAATAAATTAGATCCTGAGTCTAAAGAATAAGAAATCTAAGATTAAATCTTTTAAAAATACAATTCTCTTAAAAAAGAAGCTCTTCAAGCTCTTAGAGTAAATTTATAAATATTAAAAAATATTAATTTAAAATAAAATGAATAACTTTTTTCACTTTAATAATAATTTAGACAAATACTTTAAAAGATGAGAGTGAAGGTATATCAAAAAGCAAATATTTATCTTATATTCTCTAATCTCTTTTCTTATGGAAGAACATTTCTAACATCAAGTGGGATGATATCTTAAAAAATTCAGAGGCTTTTATTGATAAACCTTACCAATTTAAGGAATTCAAACATTAAATAGATTTCTTGTTTAATTATATCCAATATTTATCAATTTTACCCGCTGTTATTCTAGATAAAGCTGGTGCTAAACCAGCTCCTAGCAAGAGAAAAGATGTTTCAAAACTAACTTCGTTAAAACCTGCAGAAAAAGAACCTATAGAATCTGTTATCGTAGAAGAAACAAACGTATTTAATGTCCTTAAAAAGTAAATTTTTTAATTTAATATAAAAATAAACTAATTTCATACAAATATTAATAGAATGAAATTCAAAAGTTTAGACACAGAAATATTTACAAGACACATAACATATGAAAGCAATTCTATTTACTTAATTTATCAATCCTATGAAAAAGTAGTCACATATATGGGATAAATAGCTTCTGAATACGCAGCTATATGCGAAGAAGACGAAGAAGAAGAAATAAATGAAGAAGCCTTCAGAGAAAAATTCAAAGAACAAATTTGTATTTAAAGCTTTATTTTATTTTCAATTAATATCTAAAAATATTTATTTTTTGTCATCTACAGGTTCCGTCTCTGAAAATATTTATTTCATGCTTAACTTCTTGAATGGAAGCTTCTTAAAAGAAATAGAACATGCCCATCCATTAATTGAATATCTTGCTAATCTTTACTTTAAAGGGCTCTAAGCTATTCACACTCAAAAAACTGAACCTATAACTTAGTATCTGTAAAAATGCATGGAAGATAAAAACTCATTCATCTAGATAATCTTGAAGGAATGTCCAGATTATGCTACTATTTTTAATCAGGTTTTGAATATAACATTCACAATATCATTCTGCACTATGAACGATTCAAAAATTGATAGGTTAGAAAAAGAAAGCATCCTTAATCAAATAGATGATTTGCTTGTTACTGTAGGCAGAGATTTGCTTTAGATTGATGATAATATTGTCAATTTAATATATGCTGTATTCTATCTTATTACTAATCAAGAAACTAAGAGAATGAAAGAAAACGCAAAGCTTAAAGATAAATAAAATTGCTTAATTGTAAATCTTTTTCTTACATTATTTGGCTACTAACTTTTAAATATTTATCATTTATTTTTAATCTTTTCAATTAAAAAATATTCTGTAATCTCATTAAATTTTAAACTTTAAACTAAAAAGATATTACTAAAGATAGCTTTTGAAAACCCTGATTTATCAGACTTTTTCTTTGGATCTCCAAAGACTGGAGAAAGTGCAGAATAAATTGATAAGATGATAAGCACTATTACAAACGTCTTATAATCGATTTTAGATAAACCTTCATAATCTATTAATGATAGCGACCTTGTTAAAGAAGTCCTCAAACTGCTTAAATATGCTAGTAAGGGTAATATAGATGTAAGCATTATAGAAGATGTGATATCCATACTAACTGGAGATCATCAACGTGTATTCAATATTCTTAAAAAGTTTGAAATAGTTGATGAAAATAAGATTGCTCTTATTCAAAGAGCTTACAGTTAAGTAGTAGATATGCCTATATTTAACAACAAAGACAAAGCTATTGTTGGAAGCAGCTCTTCTGAATAACCAGATAAAATTAAAGAAATTGTCAAAAAGCTCCAAGATGGAAAAGTAAATAAATTCAAATTTTAATGAATAATTAATTTCTTATTCAAATAAAAGGCAACAATTAAAGATGTTTTTATTGCGGTTGATGCAGAGGGTGACAATAGTGGTACTATATCTATAGATGAATTCTAGTCATTTGTTAGAAGATTGGGTAATTAAATTATTCAACCAACATGTTCTTTAATATTAAATTAACTATATTTTTTATTAAAGGTATGGAGTTAAGTAGACACAGAGTTAATGAAATTTTTGCATATATTAAAAATAAAAAACAAAAACCAGGTAGCGTTGAAAAAACAGATGAATTGACTTTAAATGTAGAGGAGTTCGAAAAAGCATTTAAATATGTTAACGATAAGAAAACTTCTATGTCTCTAGAAAAACTAGGCATATCACCTGCTCTGCTTGTTCTTGCTCTTGGTACACTTATAGTAATTCTTATACTTTTATTTGTATTCATCTTCTTTGGTATTAATGCTTTTGCTATGGGTGGAACATTTGGCTCTATAATCAACTCACTCATTCCAATGGCTGCTGCTGGAGGTGCTGCAGGATCACAAGAAGATAAAAAAGATAAATTAAAAGAAGAAGAAGTTTCTACGGCAGTTGGTGAAACTCAAGCTATTATACATTCTGAAAATCTATGATAATATTCATCATATTGTCAAATAAATAGATATAATTTTTTAATAAAAAAAAAATGTATTAATTTTTATTATTTTATGTTAATGTTTTTTTCAATTTAATCTTTAAAATTTTACAGAAATATTTTTTTCTTTATATAACAAGGCTATAATTTGTTATAGTTAATTTCATAATTTAGTTTATCAATTGAAATAATGGTTAATATTTTGAAAGTAAATTTGTTTAAAATATTTTTGTTTTGTTTTATTATTTCCATACTTTTTGAAAACTATTTACCTTGTCTTTTCTAAGCTTTCTAAAAAAATTATTAAAAAAGTAATCAGAGCTTGATTATTTGAAAAACAAAAATTTTTAAAATTTAAATATTGATTAAATTTTATTTAAATTTCTTTTATCAATCAAATATTATTTGTATGTAAAGCCATATAATAGATCTTTATTTTCATGAGCTATTCACATTTAAAGTAGCTTACATTTAAACATCTTTAAGTAAAAATTTTCATTGATTTTACATTATAAAATAGCAGGTAAGTATGCTTAATAGTGAAATGTTAAAAAAAATTAAACTATATATTTAATTCATTCATTGATGAATTTTATTGTTTAAGTTTCATTTACTAAATCTTATAAAGAAAACAAACATAAAAATTGCAGTAAAGTATCAAATTTAAAATATTTTCCACTTATTTATTTTCTAATAAAATATCAATTTATTTTTATAAAAATATTATGTTGAAATTAATTAATCTTAAATATTGTTTATAAAACAAAATATATAAAAAAGTTTCTGATAAACTCAACCACTACTTAGTATGTATTATGATTTTATCTTGAATAGCAAATTATTTGACATATAAAATTTTTTGATTTTAAAAAATATTTTAATTATTTTTAATTAATTGAAAAAAATCTTCTTTATATTTGCTAATAGCTTCATAACTTTAATAATTATAGTATTAGCATAAATCATATATTATCAAAGAATAAACACTTATTTATCGTCAGCTAATCTTACAACTAAAATAGTTATATTTGAAATAGCTTCTGAACATTCTAAAGTTAGAGAAAATAGACATTCATTTTTCAGATTTTTATATTACTCTTAATAGTTATATGGAATATATGTTAATTTGAATCCTATTTCTGTTACCCACTTTATTTCGTTTATCTAGATTTAATCATCTTTAATTTGTTCATAGCTTTTAAAGTCATGCATTATTGCTTTTCCGCAAAATCTAATAACTTAATCAATATTATATAGCTTAATTCCCACATAAATACTGTCTTCGCTCATAGGATAAATGTATACTTTAATCCTATCTTTTATATATTCTTTTTATTTTTAAATAACAACTTGTTTTTCTGAGTTTTTGAGAGATTTATCTCTTGGCTCAACTCCTAAATCTATTATATTGGCAATATTTTTAAAGCTGATGAAATGTTAATTAACATTTCTATTTATCACTAAAGGAAATTCGCTTTCTTTGTGAGTTAATGTTTTAGCTGCTGATTCATATTCAGGTAAATCAATATTCATTTAGTTTAAATAATTTTGTTAATATCCTCCTAACATTTTTAATAATTAAAATTAAAAAATCTTATTAAATATCTAAATAAATTTGAAAATTTTATAAGCCCATAAATATAAATTAAATATTCTTAATTAGGTTTCCTAATAAAATATTCTTTATAAATATTTGAGAAGATTACCTCATTCATTATTATTTTAGAAATTTTAAATATGATAATCCTTAACCATTAAAAATGTTAATTTCAAATTGAATTTGTTTGTGTATGTATTTTAAAATGAATAAAAATATTTTGGATATTTTTGAAATTTTTGAAATTAGAAAAATTATTAAGAAACTAAATAAGAGTTTAATCACTATTTATGAATTTATTTATTTATTTACTATGTAAACATATCTGTTGTTTAAAATTGTAAATTTCAGATTTGCTTCTACGTCTTAAGAAAATAACTAATAAAAAATAGGAGGGAGGCATCAAAAATATTTTGAACAACTAGATTGATAATAAATAATGATTGTTGCTTGATAGATCAATCAATTAACATTTCTATTAAAATTTATTAAAGAAATTGATAATTTCGTACTTTTAAAAATATAAATAATAAATTAAAACACTATAATTCTAATAAGCGATTGCTCTGTTTAATTTAAAAAATCTATAGACTCTAGCTACTCAAAAACATTCAGCTACTAAGTGAAAACTGAGTATTAGCTTGGTTTTAATTCATAAACTAAAAAATATATTCTTAGGTAGCGCTTAAACAAGTATCTTCTTTAAATTTTATAGACAAAATTTAAAAGAGACTTCACAAAAATGCACTCTAGAAATGCCAATTCTGCAATAATCAGTACCAATCAATATAACTAATAGTTTTAAAATAGTATGAGCTAATCTGGTATCTCAGAGAACTAATAATCTCTTCCAAGGTAGTATAGAAGCAATAGTTTTTACTTGTTTGAAGAGACATAAGGAATGTAAACAGAATTATATTATTAAATCCAAATTTTCATTTTCAAATTAAAATAAACATTCATATTATGTGTTATGTTTAATTCAATGGTCATTCCATAAAAAATGCAAAACAACAATGACAAATTTTAAAAATATTTATTATTTATATAGTTATTTATTGTTATTTATTTAGCAACAGAACAGGGAGTATTTTAAGGTCAGATTCTTCTCTAGATGAAAACGAAGGAGAAGTAATATTTCGCACAGAAAGAAGAACAAGCAATTTAAATTTTACTCCTATTGATGATATGATTTTCAAAAGCAGGGAACCAATTTAATATAATTAGATATAGGCAGGCTTTTAAGAATACGAATCTTATGTTTGGGAAAAAGTTGAAAGTAAAGGCTCGTAAAGACCTTGTCCTAGAAGCAGTTCGGCTTCAGTTATTTATAAAGAATGTCTTTATTTATTTGGAGGGTTCACATTTAATGGTAGACTAAATGAGATTTATCAATTCAATTTTAAAACTCTCAAATGGACCAAAATAAAGGCTACAGGGACAAAACCTTCTGCCAGAGAAAATAATGGAGCAGTTGTATATTAAAATAAACTGTATATTTATGGAGGTTATGATGGGGTTAGTTGGTTCAAAGATTTTTATTCCTTTGACTTTGCAACATATGAATGGACTCGTTTGCCAATACAAGGTAATTTATTAGCAAGAAAAATAAAAATTCAAAAATTATTTTTTTTTTTCCTATTATTAATTTTTCTAATTCCATTTTTAACAAAGGTGATGAACCAACTTAAAGTTTTGGTTTTGCTTCTGGAAGTCATGAAAATAGTTTCGCTATTTTTGGAGGTTTCGAAGGACAAAATTGGCTGAATGATTACTTCGAATATAATTTTACAACAAGTAAATGGAAGAAGGTCGAGTTGAAAGGCTCAGTTCCTTCAGAAAGATCATGTCCAAGTTATTGTTCTAAAGATGAGTATCTCTATGTCTTTGGTGGTTATAATGGAATTGATAAATTATAAGACTTTTATAGAATTAATATGAAGAAAGGCAAAAGTATTTTCATATAATAGAAAGGCAGTATACCTTCTCCTAGATATTTCCACAGCCAGATATATTACTCTGATAAAATATTCTTGTTTGGTGGTTATAATGGATAAGTTAGGCTAAATGATTTGTATGAGTTTAATGTTAATACAAATAAATGGACCAAAATAGATTAAAAAGATCCACCTGCTGGACGTTCTTCAATGGTAATATTTATTTTTTCTGTTCTATTTTTACAATATTCTATTTGAATTATTTATGAATACCAATCAAAATTTTATTTTAAATGCAAAAAAAAATAGGTATTACAAATATATAATGATGTACTCTTTCTATTTGGTGGTTTAATTGGTTTCAATGTTATGAATGATTTTTATCAATTCAAATTTTAGACAGCATGTCTTCCAAAGCCCTAGCTGAATTAAGATATTTTCTCTCTTTTAAATAATTAATAATTAAGTGATGTATAATTTTTAGTTGAAGGATAAATTATTTATGCCAATAAGGCTATTCTTAGCTGCAGATCAGAATACTTTAGAATGATGTTTACAAATGGCTTACAAGAGAACTGTTAGTAATAAAGCCAGTAACCAGTTGTTATAAAAGATACATCTTATGATTCTTTCGTAGATGTTTTAGTTTATATTTATACTGATACAATAGATAACAACCTATCTCCATAAAGAATAATAGCTTTATTACAATTATCTGATTTATATTTTCTAGATAGATTGAAGTATCTTTGTGAAGAAAAGCTAGTGAGAACAGCTTAGGAAAAAAATATTATTGATTATTTATTGTTAAGTTAAAAAAATAGGTGCAGTTATCTTAAGAAATACTGCATGGCATAAATATTAGATAATCTAAATGAAATAAAATAGTAACCATGCTTTTAGAAATTGCTTATCGATCCAACTCTTTTAATGGAAATTATAATGAATAAAAACTGAACTTCAAAAAAATATTGAAAGCTGTAAAAAATAAGTAAAAACTTGAACCATTCACATTCAATTAACAAAATAAAACATATTTAATAACTTACTTACTATCCTTTAACTTTCTTTTAAACTGCAACTCACAAGAATAGTTATATAAAATATCCAAAATAATATTCAAAATTCTTTTAAAAATCTTATTTCAAATAAAATAAAAACATTCATTTTTTAAATTTATCTAAATATATATTTCAAATATTATGTTGTCACTTACTCTCTTATTTATATATTTTATATTTCAATTTTATATAATTAACACAAATCGCTTACGTTAAACGTTATATTTAAATGTTTAAGCTTTCATTTATTATTTATCTAATTTAAATATGAATCTAATCAAGATTAAACTAATAAATTTATTTTAAAAATAAATATGTTAGAATCAGAAACAACTATTTTGTTTTTTATAATTTTTTACAAAAAAATTAACAGTTTGATTTAATTAAATATAAATGAATGAAAAACTCATTTATTATTTAATTATTTTATTTTTAAAGCTTTTAAAGCTCTTATTCCTTCATTCGTTAAGATTTTATTAAAAACAAATCAAAATTTTAAACAAATTTACATTTCATTTTTTTTCTTTTAGGCATTAGATATAAAGCAATTAAATATAAAAAAATATTAAATGCTTCTGTATTTTATTTAAATCATAGAAATTTTTGTTTATATTGAGTTTAGTTTAAATAAGAATAGAAAAAATAAAAATAATTTAAATAAAATCATAAATATTTTTACTTTTAACTATAGATATAATATTAAATTTCAAAAGATATAATAGTTTAATTGATTCAATTACATTTTTAAGACGAATTAATTTATTTATTAATTCTAATATTGATTCTTAAAGCTCAGTGTCTTCATTTATTATGCACGAACTTTATTTTAAACAATATGACACATTAAACTAATTTTTCTTTAAAGCTATTAAGAAAAGAACATAAATAACAAATATAATGTATATATTAGTCATCAAAATGCTTATATTTAAATTAAATTTTTATTATATTTTTCATAATCAACTTTATTTGTTCTGTGAATAAAATAATTAAAATTTTTGTTTATTTCATTCTTGTTTAACAGGGACACAAAATCTTCCCAAAAATAGTATTGTGTTGCTAGGAATATGTGAAATCGTGAAAATGAAGGGTTTGTTGCAAAAAAATTCTTAATATTTTTTTAAACTAATACACTATTTTTTTGCCATGATAACTGTTGCTGCTACAGCTTCTGTTCCCTTTTCATTTACTTCTATATTAGCTGAATGTATTACATTTGAAATTAATAATTCTTCTGTTTAACTAAACTATTTGAAGTTTGCCTAATTTGTAAAAGCATCTTAGATTCCGAGTTGCTAAAGAATGCTAACAACACTTTGTGAAGTTCCACCCATTTTGAACTTAGGAAGAAGCAATCTTACATCAGTTTTCTTTGACGATCTTTATGCCTTGATAATCTATTCATCTGTAATACTATTTTCTAAGTCATTTAAGTTTGTAATAGGCAAAAGAATTTCCATGGCATATGCTTCATTTTTGAATGGGAGTTGGATATACTCAAAATGATCAAATTTACCATATTTATATTCTGCCTCTTTATACATCATTTTTGTAAAAACTATGCTTTCTTCTTTACCTGGTTATAGATAAAACTTACGATCTTAAGCAACCTCAAATTAATATAACCACTCTGCTTTTAAGTACAGAGCATTTATTAGGATCATTTTAGTTTAAGCACTAATCATATCTTTTTTTAAGAGCTCGTCAATTTTTGTACTTGTTTATATAGATACCCACTTGTTTATAGAAACTCTTACAGATTCAGCTTCTTTAAAATTTACTTGTTCAAATCCTCCATTCAAATTATTCTCAATAAATTACTTGCAATTTTGAGTCATTCCAGAAACTCCTGTGTAAATTTTATTGGCAGAAAGAACACTAAATTCTTGAGAAGAAGATGTCAATAAGGAATTTAATGAATGTATGAGCTAGCCCAACTCTATATTGTTCTAATAATTCAATACATCTTTGAACTCCTTTAGTGTTTATTATTCTGAACCACAAGCTGCCATACTCAGGCTCAAGAATATTGAAGCAGGAGAAAAGAAAAAGTTTTCATTTTAACCACTTTTTTTCAAGTAGTTGATCGAAAAATGGCTAACAGAGTGCTTTTTAGATTCCATATTTTTATGTTTTTGGTTTGTTTTATATTTTTTTGATATTTATTTATTATTATTAGAGTTAATTTATTTTTATTTTTTCTCTTTATTTCATGAGTGATTTCTACAAACTTTTACTGATATAGAAAGAAAGAAAGAAAAATCAATATTATGTTTGCTTTGTAATTAAAATTAAATCAAGATTTAATATAGAAAATTATTCTTTGAGGCAAATAAATTTGATCAAAATACTTTGTTCAATAGGAGTCTATAATAATAAAATTAAAATTTCTTTTATAATAAGTGTCTCTAACAAAAAAATTAAAATTTCTTTTATTAATAGAAAAAAATATATTAAAAATAATTAAATTAAAAGAAAATTATCAAAATAAATTAGTTTACTATTGAATTCTTTATAAAATTTAATATTAATATTTAAAAACTAAAACTGTATGTTGAATTATTTTTTAATAATTAAAAATCCAATCAAAGCCTATACTAAATTACCAAAAATAAAATATTATTGAAGTCAATTTTGTTGCTGCAAAATTTTGCTTTTAACATAAAAAAAAGTTTATGTCTACAGAATAAAATTATATTTTAAAATTTGAGAATCGTTAAAATTTTGTTTTAGAAACTAATTTAATTTGCTTAATTAAATTAGCTTAAATTTAATTGTTATTATGTATACAACTTTTAGTAATTAACGATTTACAGGAAATGTATATAAATTGAAAGAAAGTTTCAAATTTTCTTTTAAATTTTATTAAATTTATTTTTTATTTTTTTACAGATATTTCTTAAGTCCTAAATAAAATAGATTTATTCAATCAAATAATTTTCAGTTCATTTAAATTTTTTTTACAAAAATAATTTTGAAAACTTAATTTCAAATAAAAAATATTCATCTTAATATTTTTATATCTAAACTCAAATTAACTTCCTGTTTTATTTCATTTAAAAATCTATTTTCAAATTTTAGTTAATAATTGTAAATTTATTAGTAATTTTACATTTTTACAATTACCTTTAAAAGTTTTAATGATAAAAAATGTAAAAAAAAAAAATCGGAATATTCATTCTAAAATTAACAAAAGAAAAAATATAAGGGTTACTTTTTAAAAAAAATCTGTATTTATTCTTAAAACTCTTTATCTTCATTTATTAAACACAATCCTAATTTAAAATAAACACATTAAACTAATGGAATTTATTTTTTTTCTTTAAGTTATTGAAAAAATAATATAAGAAATATATTTGAAATGTATATACTACATAATTCATTCATTATTCATCAAAACACTTATATTTAAGTTAGATTTTTATTATATTTTTTGCAATCAACTTTATTTGTCATGTGAATAAAATAAGTAATTTTTTTGTTTATTTCATATTTGTTGTTCAGGGACACAAAATCTTCCTAAAAATAGTATTGTGTTGCTAGGAATATGTGAAATTGTGAAAATGAAGGGCTTGTTACATATAAATTCTTAATATTTTTTTAAACTAATGCAACATTTTTTTGCCATGATAACTGCTGTTGCTGCTACAGCTTCTGTTCCTTTTTCATTTACTTCTATATTAGCTGAATGTATTATATTTGAAATCATTAATTGTTCTGTTTAACTAAATTATTTGAAGTTTGCCTTATTTTTAAATGCATCTTAGATTCCTAGTTGCTTAAGAATGTTTACAACACTTTGTGAAGCTCCACCCATTTTGAACTTAGGAAGAAGCAATCTTACATTAGCTTTCTTTGATGATCTTTATGCCTTTATAATCTATTCATCAGTAACACTATTTTCTAAATCATTTATGTTTGTGATAGGCAAAAGAATTTCCATAGCATATGCCTCATTTTTGTATGGGAGTTGGATATACTCAAAATTATCAAATTTACCATATTTATATTCTGCCTCTTTATACATCATTTTTGTTAAAACTATGCTTTCTTCTTTACCTGGTTATAGATAAAACTTATGATCTTAAGCAACCTCAAATTAATATAACCACTCTGCTTTTAAGTACAAGGCATTTATTAGGATCATTTTAGTTTAATCACTAATCATATCTTTTTTTAAGAGTTCGTCAATTTTTGTTCTTGTTTATTTAGATACCCACTTGTTTATTGTAAGTCTAACTGATTCAGTTTCTTTAAAATTTACTTGTTCAAATCCTCCATTTAAATTATTCTCAATGAATTACTTGCAATTTTGAGTCATTCCAGAAACTCCTGTGTAAATTTTATTGGCAGAAAGAACACTAAATTATTGAGAAGAGGACATTAATAAGGAATTTAATGAATTTATTAGCTAACCCAATTCCATATTGTTCTAATAATTCAATACATCTTTGAATTCCTTTAGTGTTTGTTATTCTGAACCACAAGCTGCCATACTCAGACTCAAGAATATTGAAGCAGGAGAAAAGAAAAAGTTTTCATTTTAACCACTTTTTTTCAAGTAGTTGATAGAAAAATGGCTAACAGAGTGCTTTTTAGATTCCATATTTTTATGTTTTTGGTTTGTTTTATATTTTTTTGATATTTATTTATTATTATTTGAGTTGATTTATTTATTTTTTTTTCCTTTAATTCATTAGTGATTTATACATACATACTTTAACTGAAATAGAAAGAAACAAAAAACCAATATTAGCTTGTTTTGTAATTAAAATTAAATCAATATTAGATGTAGAAAAATATTGTTTGAGACAAAGTAAGTTAAATTTGATCAAAAAATTATCTTAAAGTAGGCGTCTCTAAGAAATAAAATTAAAATTTCAATTATTGATTAGAATAAAAGTAAGTTAAAAAATACATTCAGCAAATTATCAAAATTAGTTTACAATTGCTTCTTATAAAATTTAATATATGTAAAAACAAAAAATGAATGCTGAATTGTTTTTTATGAATAAAAATCAAATCAAAGTCTTCTAAATCACCAAAATAAAATATTATGCAAGTAAATAGTTTTTCAAGTCAATTTTTTTGCTGCAAAATTTTGCTTTCGATATAAAAAAGAGTTTGCTTCTACAAGAATAAAATTATATTTTGAAATTTGAGAATAGTAGAATTTTATTTTAGAAGGTGATTTAATTTGCCTAATTCAATTAGCTTAAATGTAATTGTTATTTATAACTTTTAGAATTTCAAATTTACAGAAAATGTATGTAAATAGAAAGAAAGCTTCAAATGTATTTTAAATGTAATTAGATATTTTTTTTATTTATTTACAGATTTTTTCTCATTCCTTAATAAAATAATTCAATCAAATAATTTTAGTTCAATTGAATTTTTTTTACAAAAAAAGTGAATTTAGAATGGAAAAATTTGAGTAATTTTATGTCTTTTTAAGGGTAAAAATTGATAATCTAAAATAATGGCATCACTATCTCCATTTACAGAGTTTTGATAAAATCTGATAAACGATTGATGAGTAGATAGAATCAATTATTTTATTCTTTAGTAGAGTAGTTTCTGAATTTTTTTAGGTGTCGGTTTTTTAGCTCTAAAGTTTTGCTGTCCTATATTCAGGTGCACTTTTAAGGCGCATATATTGGCAATATTGAAATAATAAATAATACCTTTATTGTACATTTTAACTTGGCAGTCACATAGAATAGTTTAAGGAGTATGATTAATGAGTTTAAATTGTTTAATATTTTGTTAATAATCTACAGATATGATGGGATTCATTGATATTTGGTTTAGTTCAGGCAGTTTTATTCTCACAAGTTTTATTTTCAGAGAATTTAATTTTTTAATTTTTATTAGATCAGATTATAAAAGAAACAATATAATAATGAATATTTATCTTTATTTTTAAACAGATTTTTTTTTTTTTGATAAACTGATTTTTAAAGCTTATTTTAAATGTAAATAAACATAGCTGGGTTTTTCCGCCTTTTTAAAAGAAATTTTTTTTGTTTATTGAATTTACAACTCTAAAAAAAAAGTGCTTAAAGAGATAAATTATTTTTTGTAATAAACAATTTAATAGATAAAATAATGGTTAATTATTTATGTGTTAGACAAAGATTATTATTTCGAATAACATTAATTATATTCTTAGTAAAAATTTAAACTTTTTTCTTCAATTATTATTTACTTAATAACTTTTCAAAAGAAAAAATGTTTGCATAGTAAAAAACTAAGATGACAGAAGACAGAAAATATTTTGAAAATCTAGTTGATGTATTTAATTTTTAAAAGATTTATTTCGAAATTTACATATTTCAATAAAAGAAAATTCTGAGCTCAAATCCTAGTTTTATCACTTCATATCACATCAATTTAGAGTAAATAATTACTTTTTTAATCTATAAAATATACTTTTTATTTTAAATTGAATATTTAAAATAATTAGTTTATTTAACTGAATAAATTAAATAAAATTTTGTTTTAATATCATTTTAAATTTAAGTAATTGAAACTAAATATTAAATATTTTAAGATATAAGGATGTTGGAGATAAAGAAATTTCAGATTTAGGGTCTGCTTTCTCAAAATGCTAAAATCTATAAATTCTTTCATTGAATTTAAAGTAAATAATTAATTTACAAACTTTGCTTATTATAATTAGTTATTATTAGATTTTCATCATTAAAAAAGTTTATTTGAACAATAAATTAAAAGTTGGATGAAACTTAGATCGCAAGGTTTACTAAGCTTTTGTTTTGCTTTAGAACATCTAAATAATCTCATAGATTTTACTTTAAAATTAAGGCAATCTTATTTAATATTTAAATACATTTTTTGAAAATTATTGATTTATTTTTTTTTTATGACAGATATCAAAAAAATATTTAAAATGATTTAATACTTATCTATTTAAATTTTTGCTAATTAATATGATATTTTAATTATTTTTACAACTTAACAGCTCAAATAATATTGGCTATGAGAATATTGAAAGATTGGGATCTGTTTTAGCAAGTTTTAAATAATTATAAAAACTTCATCTTGATTTAAGGTAGAAATAAATTTGATCTTTAAAAATAAAAAAATTATTAATTAAAAATAGTTTTTTTATCTAAATTTTAAACATTAATATCATAATTAAAAAATTAATAACCTATTAATTTAAGTTTTTTTTAATGAATAATAGTTCAAACAACATAGGAAATTTGGGAGCTTACAGCTTAGCTAGTTCTTTAAAAAATATGTGTAGTCTCACTGACTTGAAGTTAAATTTAAGGTTTTAAAATATTTTAAAATTTATCAAATAAAAAAATCAAATTTAAATCTTAATATTTTTAATTAAAAAAAATTTTTATGATTTTTATTAACCACATTTTATGAAATATTAAATATCAACAAAATAAATTAAATAAAAGATAGAATTTTATTGGTGTAAAAGGAATGAATTAAATATTTGCCAATAGCTTTTAAATTTCAACTTTATCTCTAATTTTCAGGTAATAATATTTTAAATTTAAAAAAAATTAATTCGCAATAAAAAGCAAAATAGTTTGAATCTTGCTAAAGAGATTTTTCTTTTCCCATCTGATTTTTTTATCCTTTTCAGAAAAAATATTTAAAGAATACATAATTTAATAAAGTAATAACGAGGTTGAAAAATATGGAGAACCTAATTTAGGAATAGGCTTAGAAAATTGTAGGAAACTAATAAATTTAAATCTTGAGTTTACGTAAAAAATTATAAAAAAAAAGGATAGTTAAAAATTAAAATTTAATAAAAGAAATAATAGTATTGATGACAGTAATGCATCTAGCTTAAGTTCTAGTCTAAAAAATATCCCTAATCTCTAAAGATTGTCTTTAAATTTAAGGTTTAAATTTATGAATTTATAATTTACTTTAGTTAAGAATTCGTCCTTCTTTTAAATTTTTTATGCTTACAAAAACTAATAAAATTATTATCTAATTAAGTTCAAATAGTATTTCTGGAGAAGGTTGTTAAATTATAGGAGAGTCATTAGTAAGTTGTAATAAAACCTCTGAATTGGCACTATATCTAAAGTAGAAAGAAATTAATAAATATTAATTTTTTATAAATACATAAGAAAATAAATTAATTACATTTTTTAAAATTTATAATCTTATTTTTAAACAATAAAAGCTCGAATAGAATTAAAGAGCAAGGAGCATCAAGCTTAGGAAAAGCTTTAGGAAATTGTCCTAATCTATTAAGCTTGACAATTCATCTTAAGTAAAATTAAATAGCTATTTTATTTAAACAGCTTTTGATATTTATTGAAAATAAACTATTAATTTTTAACTCATTAATAAAATATTTTAGCACAGAGTTTTACTTTAATTTAACAAATTTTATATTAAAAGTTTTTGTGAAATTAAAGTTTAAGGTGCTACTAATTTATGTAATAGTATAATTGGATTTCATAATCTAAAAATACTGGCACTTAGTTTTAGGTAAACATTTAATTAATTTAATTTATATTTTATTTTTCTAGTTTAAAATTTTTTTTATTTTATAATCAAAATAATATTTATGATTTTAACAAATAAATATTTCTACTGCTATTGAGTACACACAAGATTTTAATTTAAAGTAAAAATGTATTAATCTCTATCAATTGAACCATTTTATAATGCTTATTAAAGATATATTCTACTATTATATGAAAAACTAAAATTATTTGAAAGTCTTAATTCTCTAGTTTTTTTATAATTAGAAAAACTACTTAAAAAATGATTAATTTTTTTATTTTAAAATAAATTTATTTCGATTTCTTTTCTTTATTTTAATAATAAAAATTTTATTAAAAGTTTGGGCGCAAAAGACAAAAATGAATTAAAAAATATATAATTAAAAATTAAAAAAATGAAGAGATTGGTTTTAAAAAAATTAATTTTTTGAAAATTAATTTTATGTTTTTTAATTATCAATTTATCAATTTGCTATGAAATAAAATTAAATTTATTTTAAATTGATAATTGTTAATTTAGTAATTTTATTTGTGCATTTTACTTATTATAAAATTAATTTTTTTATATCTAATGATAATTAGCTAAAATAAGCATTTAGATTTATAATTAATTATTAACAATATTCTTAAGAGTTTCATTTCTTTTTTTAGGTAAAAGTATTTAATTAAATATTTTTTAATAAATTATTTATTAGAAAGGAGAACTAGTTTTTTTTAATTTTTAAGATTTTTAGTAGAATTAAATAAATTATAAATTAAATAAATAAAAAAAATTATTTTTAAATAAAATTTATTTTAATAATTTTAAAATTATCTTTATCAAAATAAATAAAATTATAATTGTTTAAAATTATTATAAACTTTTATAATATTGTTGTTTACTACAAATAATAAGTCTAAACAAGTTAACATATAATTTATTAATATTTATGAGTTAATATTGATATCTATAAATAAATTAAATTGATTTTTACATTTTAAGAATTAAATTTTTTATAAATTAAATAACTAGCATAGTTAAAATACATTTTATATTACAACTATTAGTTTAAAATAGGTTTTAAATTTTTAAAAGAAGATAATTTATTTTTTAGAAGCATATTATCAATGTAAATCAAAATATAATTTATTAAACAGCTATGAATTACAAATATTATTGTTATTATATCAATAAAATTATATTATAAATAATTAGGTTTTAATATTTATAGAAGGAGATATATTATTTTCTAATTAATTAAATTTAAATTTTTTAATATAACTTTTAAAAAGATTTACCTTATAAATATCAATTTTATAAACTAATACATTTAATTTTGAATATAAAAAATAAATTTACTTTTTTGAAAAGTTAAGCTTTTTCAGAAAAATGATAAAAATGTTTGTCGTAGACAAAGAATAAAAATGTATAGAAAATTAATTATATAAGGATAATTTTTCTATATAATTTGTCTTTTGTAATAAAAAAAAATTTCATTAAAAGAGTCAATGAAATAACTAAATTACAAAGATAATTTATAGTAGTATCTATTATATTTAGGCATAATTTATCTGTCTATTTTAAAAGCTTAGATTTCAATTGTAAAAGGTAAGTGAAGTTTCATTATAAATTACAGGAAAGTTTATTGCTTTGTAAATCTGTTAATTTATTATAAGAATATAATTTAAAGATGGGTATAAATATTTGCAACTTTGAATGTATTTTTATTTCTTTTAAGATTATTCGCAAATTTAATGAAAAAATATTTAACAATATTTTTAAATATTTCAAAATTTAGAGGAGTGTGAAAGCCGCCTGATATAAAAGCATTCAGAATTAAAAGCTTTTTATTTGGAAACAAGCTATCCGCTTTTTAATCTTTGAAGTTAAGTGTCAGAAATCCTCAAAGTGATTAATAATTATGAAAATTTATGTATTAAAAACTTTCTTGTCTGCGATTTAAAAAGTGCTGAATGAAAATTTTTTATAATTAATTAAAAAAACAATTAATTAATAAAAAGAAAAAAAAACAAACTCTAAACAAACACAGTATTAATTAGTATATTGCTATAAGCTATATTATCTTCTTGATTGCAAAAAAAATTAGAAATAGATCTAATTTATAAAAATAATACAATAAATTAAAAGAAATATAACCAAAACATTCTTAATATCTACAAATAATTAAAATCAACAATAATTGAAATTATTTTATAATTTAAAAATGGCTTCACTTGTTGCAAATATTGCTAAAGACTTATTAAAAGATGGTGTAGCTTAGTCTCTTGGCGCATTTGCGCTTTCTTAAGTTAAAAAGGTTGCAGATTCTAAAATGTTAAAAGCTAAAATTCTTAAATTTGTTGCTGCACAATCTGAAGAATTTAAAAAAAAATATGTCATGGCAAAAAACATAATCTTGATATCTAGTCAAGAAAGCGAGTTAGATATTGACTAAAAAATACTTTAAAAAGTTCCCAATTAGAAAGTAGACATAACTGAAGCTGGCGCAGAACGCTCAGCCTAAATTGGCATCCAAATATAAAACTATTTAGATGAGCTTTCTAAAAAGAGTAAAAAATAAATAAAAATAAGTGCTTATTCATCACCCTACTAAAGAGCTAAGTAAACTTTAAAATAAATGAAAAAGAAAATTAAATAAGACTTTTATGTTGAAGTCGATTTAAATTTAAGAGATTAAGATTTAGGAAACTTACCTAAAGATATCAAAAGTGAAGAAGTTGAAGCAGAGAAATAACTTATCACTCCTTTCTTCTACAGATACGAAAATGGTGAAAGTGAAGCTGATGTGTACTTAAGAGCCTCAACATTTACCAATACTATTATTCGCTAAATAGAAAACTGTGACAGAAATAAACAATATGAATAAGAAGAAAAAGTTGTTATTGTTGTAGCTCACCCAGTAGTGATCTAGCAATTACAAACTTCATTAAAGAGATTTGACTCATAGAATCTCTTAAATATTAAAACTTTCTCATAGTGAGCTGTATACGAAAGTCCTACTAAAACATATTAATTCAAACATAACAACCATTAAAAATCATCAACAATTTTTAAATATTTTTTATTTTCTCCAACCAAAACATTTATTCAAACATATTCTTAATAAGCCTAACCTTAGGTAATTATAAATAATGATTGCTAACTATGTTAATTATTATTAACTAGTCTAGTTTTATCATTGATTATAAATAATAAACAATCAATTCTCAATTTATCTATCTAAAAGATCAATAATTTCAATAGAATTTTCTTTAGCTAGTAATAATTAGTCACTCATATGAAAAATATTAATAATCAGAATTAAGTTGAGCTTTTATTAACAAAATAAAATGAATAAATCATACTCATATCCATTTATTCAAATAGAACTTAGAAACTTAATTATTGGGTCATTAATATGATATTAAGATAAATTATTACGAACTTAATGAACTTCCCTCAAACAAACTATTATATTAAACATTAACTTTTACAAACTATTAATTAAATAATTAATTAATTGATAAATTAACAAACTAATAATTAACTATATAATTTTACTTATTCTTTCATTTATTTATTATCTTTTACTTATTATTTTTCATTATTAAGCATACTTCCATGTATGCACATTTACATAAATACATCTATATATATATATACATACATATTTTGTATTTCAATAAACATTAAAATTCAAACAACCAAAAATATATGCTTCGTCAAAAAATTCGTCACTATCCTGTTAAATGCGTATTCAATCTAAATCTAAATATATCTAAGTATTTCAGAACATTTCATCAACTATCAAAACATCTACTTAAAAATTTATCTCTACATAATTATTAGACTAAATAAGATAAAAAAATTATTATTAATATACAATTATTTCAACAATCAAAATTAATTATTTATGTGTATTTTTTAATAAAAAAATCTCTCTAATCAAATTAAATATATTACAAACTATATTTCCTTTTATTATAATAAACTCATAATCAAAATCAAAAAATATGTTTGTATTTTTGGATACTAAAATTAATTAATTTTAGCTATTAGCTGTTAAAATATTTTTAATTTAATTTAAAAATTATATTTGCAAAACATTAAATTTTGTACTGAATAATTATTTATTAGTGTTTATAATTATTTATAATGAAAATCTATTGCATTTATTATAGAAGTAATAAATTAATTATTTAAATATTCAAATATTATTTAAATGTTCTCATTAATTTTAGCTATAAACTGTTAAAATATTTTTAATTTAATTTAAAAATATATTTGCAAAACACTAAATTTTCTACTGAAGAATTATTTATTAATATTTATAATTATTTATAATTTAAATCTATTGCATTTATTGTAGAAGTAATATATAAATAATTTAAATATTCAAATATTATTTAAATGTTCTCTCTTATATAAATCTCATCATATATCTTAAATTAATTGTTTTTTTTTTTGGAAAAACTCCTAAATAAATAACGATGTTAGAAATCAAATGGATGTTTTTATCGATTTCATATGCAAATATTTTTAAATTATAAAGGAATTTAATTCAATTTTTAAAACTTTTTAAAGTTACATCCCAAAAAATTAAAAATGAAATGAGTTATATTTATTTAATGATTACGCTCGCTGACTTTGTTTGTTTTAGTTATGAAAAATGTAAATTAGTCGAATTTGATTCATTTATATTGCAGCCATAAGTCTCCAAAAAATAATTTACTAAACTGAGCTGAATTGACTATTTTAAATAATTGTTATTCATTTGATATCATAACATTAAAAAAAATTAAAGATTTAAATTGTAGAATCTGTAAGGTTTATTCGGTTATGCCAAAAAAAAGAAGTTTTTTTTAAACAATATGCTGTTGCTTTTGTTTTGATAGCACAGATCCTTAGCCTCCATAGCGTTAAGAATAATAAAGACCATAAATTAATCAATAGTAGCAATGTAAGATTAGAAAAATTAGAATAAAACTCAAAAAAAATACATAGTTTAATTGATCATTATTTAAAAATTTTTAAATAGAAAATTAGAGAAACCCATAACCTGTATAACAAGAATAACCTCAGTAAAAAAAAGAAGTAGATTTAGCTATTAAAAGAGACTTCGATCTCTCAATAGGTTAAATTAGTTGGAAAGAAGAAAGATTAAACGAAGAAGATGTAAACAAGTATAAATATTGTTGCCCTATCTGCTTAATTTATTTCAATAGTAAATAGTTAATTATAAAATACTATTGATTTCACTCACTTTTTACTAAAAATAGAGATTTTGAAAACTAAATGCTGTAATAATTATGTCTGCGTGGAATGCGAGTATGATATTCATTAATGTAAACATATTTTATCAAATTTTATTACTTTTCAACTCACAATTTTAATAAGCTTTATCTTTAGCTAAGCAACTTAAACAAATGAATATTTAGTTATCAGCCAATAAATATATATATATCAAATAGCATTTAATAGAATAGAAAAAAAAATGAATTTAAAAAAAATATAAAAGCTTAACTTTACACTTATTATATAGATATCAGCCTAATAAACGTTAATTATAAATTAAATTATTAATACAGTTTAATATCAACTTGCATTAATTTCATCTTATAATTTATTTAGAAATGCTCAATAAAAAGATTGAGGCAAAGTGCTGGTGGTGTAAAAGCGATAAATGCGAAATCACTGATGTTTAGGAAGGAGAATTAGTAAACATATTTATTTAAAAAAATTGAAAATTTAATCATTTAAATAGATAAAAAACTATAGTGATGCTGCTCAAGAATTAGAAGATAATAAAAAAAAAGAACTCGAACTCATCAAAAGCATAATACAAGAAAGTAGAGTGTAGAGGGGTTGTTCTATGCTTAAAACTTTTAAAAGTTATTAAGGTGAAGATAAGTAGAATAATATGAATCCAAATATGATAAAAACTATTTAATCCTAATACGTTGATAATTTATCTAACAATTTAGGAACATATAATAGAAACTAATGGAATGATTTTAATTTAAATTAGCAAAGATTGTAAGAAAGAGTTAATGAAGAAGAAGATGATGATGGCGAAGAAGAAAATAAAATAGATATAATTGGATTAGGTAGATAAAATGATTAACCAAAATTTTATAAAACAGATACCTTCTAATAAAATAAGTAAGATAAAAAAATAATACACTAATCTTTAAATAGTCCTAACTTTGCAAGCAAATCTAAGAATTCTTCTTTATGTTTTAATTATAATGGATAGGCAGTCCCGTTGGATTAAATTAACAATTAAAATCCTCTTTATAATTAATACAAAAATATTGATAAATAAGCCATCTAAAATCCATCAGGTTACTTCTTTAAAGAAAATCAACCACTGCCTGATAATAATCAAAATAAAAAATATTTTAATAATTAATTTCTAAATTAAGAAGAAGATCCCTTTGCTGGTGGTCCTAATAACTCTATGAGCAATAATCAACCTAATAAAATTTTAGAAAAAAATATCAGCAGTAGTGATGATGATTTAAATTAAAGAGAAAGTGATGTATAAAACCATTTTTATGTTCCCTAAAATAAAAAAAATGAAATAATTAATATTAAAAATAACTAAAATAACATAAAAGATAATAATAATAATATTTAAAATAACTACAGCTTAAGCGATATTAATGAAAGAGAATGAATGAGTGGTAAAATGAAATAATCAATAAAAATATTTATTTACTCTTTATTTTATAACCATAAAATAAAAACGAGTAATCTATAATTATATTTAGTTTAATAATACCAATTTTGTCAACCAAAATGAATGAAAGAAAGAAAGAATCACACAATATATAACTTAGATAATTTATTTAAATTACTACTCTAGTTAAATATTATTTCATTTTTTATCCTTATCTATTAATTTATAAATAAACATATATATATATATATATATATATAAAGTAGTTTTTGAAATGTTGTAAAGTACCTGTTATAAAATTTTTTGTTTATATATTATTAAAATTACATGTATATTTTTGGCAAATTTTTTGATACCATAGGCACCCAACTTAGATAGAATTCACAGTACTAACAAAATAAATTATTTTAATACTTATATGCATCATTTATTAGTATTACATTATCAAAAAGACTTAAATAGTATCTTAATCACAAAAATATATTTAAAGCTATATAATATTTATTATAAAAGATATCATTCAAAACTAGTAATTAACATTTTTATAGCTAAAAATCTTTAAAATTGTTTACTTTGCTAGATAAAACTATGAGCTCTAAAAAATTTATAAACTCAAAAGAGCAAGTTGTTAATGAAGCTCTTGATGGTTTAGTGATGCTTAATAGCGATAAACTTGTTAGAATAGAAGGAACATAAATTATAAAATTGAAAAATCCTAATCAAAATTAAGTTTCTTTAATTTGTGGAGGAGGTTCAGGACATGAACCTGCTCATGCAGGCTATGTTGATCCTAATATTCTCACTGCAGCTGTTTGCGGTGGCGTGTTTGCTTCTCCTTCTCATAAAGAAGTTCTTACAGCAATACTAAATGTTCCTAACTAATAGGGTATTATAAATTCAAATACAAAAATATATAATTAAAAATATTCTCAATACGCAAACTCTAAAAAAATGAAATAAATTTTATAAAAAAGGCGTTTTATTAATTATTAAAAATTATACTGGAGACATCATAAATTTTGAATTAGCAGCTTCTTTGGCAAGAGCTAGAGGCGTTTAAGTTGAGACAATAGTAGTAGGTGAGGACGCAGCTTTTACTGAAAATAAAAGAGGACTAGCTGGAACAGTTCTACTCTATAAAATGTTAGGTGCTGCTGCAAATAAAGGAATGGATTTATAAAAACTGAAAGAAATCGGAACACAAATAATTTCAAATATGCAAACACTTGGTGTAAGTCTCAGTAGCTGTGCTCTCCCAGGTAACGATCCCACTTTTAGCTTGGCTTAAGATGAAATGGAACTAGGATTAGGTATTTTATTTTCATCAAATATATTAAAATATTTTAAAAAGCAAAAAATCATAAATTTCAACTTTAAAATTTTTCGAATTGTGTTTTTTTATCAAATAATATTTTATGTGTTTCAAATAATGTTAATGAAAAAGGTATTCATGGAGAAAAGGGAAGAAAGAGAGAGAAAATAGCAACTGCATAACATATAATTAAAGAAATGCTTGATATCATTTAAATTAAAGAAAATACCCAAGTTGTAGCTCTTTTTAACAACCTTGGATCATGCACAGATTTAGAAATGAATATTTTGGCTAGAGAAGTTCTGCTGTAGTTGAATCAAAAAAATATACATGTAATAAGAGCTGCTGAAGGTAGACTTATGACAAGCCTTGAAATGCATGGATTTTCACTCACCTTACTGCCTATTTACGATCAATATGTCCTATAGTTAGTTGATGCACCTACCTAAAATAGACATTGGAGTCTCTTAAGTAATATTTAAATTGATGTAAATCATGAAAAAGTACCAGAAATAGGTTTGCAGTTTGCTAAAGATAAAAACTATGATAGTCACTTGCATCAAGTCCTTTAAAAAGTATTTAACACTTTGATAGAGAAAACTCATTACTTCAATGAACTTGATGCTGAAGTTGGTGATGGCGATACAGGGGAAGGTTTTGAGCGCTCCTCAAAAGCATGCCTAGCAATATTGTATAATCTTGATTTAGAGCATAACTTAGTAGAATCTTTGACAATTCTTGGAGATGAGATAGCTAGTAATTTTGGTGGAACTAGCGGTCCTTTATATGGGGTAATGCTAAGTACTGGTGCTCGCTTCTTAAAAAAAGAATTATCAGAGAATACTTTGAAAGATTTTTAATAAGCCTTGTATTAAGGATAATTATAAATTTAGCATGTTGGTAAATCACAAGTAGGAGATAGAACAATGGTGGATGTGCTTGTGCCACTTTCTTAAGCTTTGGAGGATGTAATCAATTAAAAAGATTAGCAGAACAAGAATGAAATTGGCCATAAACTGATTTAAATTGTAAAAGAAGCTAGCTAAAAAACTTCATAACTAAAGGCTAAAAAAGGTAGATCTAGATATTTAGATGGTAGAGAAATAGGTAAATTAGATCCTGGTTGTGAAGTCATAGTAGCTTGGCTTACGACATTAGTTGAAAATATTTGATTATTCAATACTATTGTTTCAATTTGTAAAATCTTTAAAAAAATAACTAATCATTTATTCTATTTATGATTTTAAAAGAAATCTAAAATTTTTAATTTAAGTTTGATTGATACAAAAAAAAAAAAAACTATTTAAAAGTTTTATTTTATAAAAAATATTAAGAAAATTTGTTAAGTTTTAAATATTAAAATAATTTCTTTTTATAAAAAATTAATTTTATTCTTGTAAAAATATTTGATTCCATTATTAATAACCAAAATAGTTTCATATAAAAAAGACTTTATATAGATTTTTAAGTAAAAAATAAATAAATAAATTAATTAATTGGAAATTTAATTTTAATTAAAAATATTTAAAAAAAGAAGACTTTTTAGATAAAATTAAATTAAAAAAAACAAATTATTGAAATTTTATTTTAGAGAAGAGATAGAATAGTGGTGCAATTACTTTATAGATTTTCTATGTAAAATTATAATTTACAAATGCCATTAAAACAAACTTTTAAGACAGTTGAAGATAAATATGTTTTCCTTAAAAATTAATTTAGTTTACTGCAAATTTTTTGATTATTTTCTTTAAAATAGAAAAATACATATTTAATTCTTCTATCTAGTATATTTTTATTTTTATTTATAAGTAATTAAATATCTTAAATTTTTAGTTAGAACTGAATTATTAAATGACCTTTTGATGTTTTAATTTGCATAGTAAATATGTTTGTTTTATGGAATATTTTTGTATTGAAAACTAGAATAATATTTATCTAAATAAAGCTTTCTTCTCAATAAATATGATTAGGTATTTTATTTTAATTTATATTTTTATATACTCAGCTAAATTTAATAAACACATAAATATTAATAAACTCTAATTATATTGCTAAAGTATAAATTTAGGTTTTATAAAGGCAGTTGTGCTAACTTATAAATAAATTAATATACTTATACTTATGTAATAAGTTAAAAATAATGTTCCATTTAATCAAGCAAGCATAGCTAATTAATCATCTATGTCATCCTTTTATTGTTACTGTTGTTATTGTTGTTAAGGCTGATTTTGTTATTAGTGTTATTGCTAATGTACAACCTATTATTATGGCTATTAATAAGCATTATTAGAAATTTAAGGCTTTTAGGTATTTTATTCGTGACGCTTTAAATCGCTTTTAAATATATCAGCTTCCATTTCATCTAATTTTTTGGCTAAGTCATCTTAATCTGCACCTACATACTAGTTGTAGAGTTCATCAAATTTAGCATTGTTCATTTCCAATTCTTAGAGATTTCCTAAAGTATCTTACATAGCATCCATATCTATTGCTTTATTAACATCTTACATCAGTTTATTGGCAGCTTAGAGAGTATTTGATACAGCTAATTGATCGAATTTCTCTTGAACTTATCTAATAGTTTTAGTAATAATCATATCCTAATTAAGAATACTTTCAATCTATTTTTCATAGATAGCCTTTGTCTAAAGAGCATATTTGGCTCTTATTTTATTATTATTTTTAAGAAATTCTTTAGCTTTTTGTTAAGCATCGCTTGCATTTTTTTCCATTTGTTAAATTCTTCTATTTAGCGAATCTTATACTTTCTTCAAATCAAGAGTGACTCTATCCTATTCAGACATTTGTTAAGCATTTGCTGTTTTAATTTGCCTAGTTTATATTGTTTAATTAGTCATCTAAGCTTGCTTTTATTAAACCTGCTATGGCTACATTTTTGGAGACTCATGCTTTCCCAGACATAAACCCATTTTAGAAGTTTGATTTATCTTTCCTTATGTGAGTAATTTACAAATTTTGATAATTAATATTATTTATTAAAAATTTGCAAAAAATTAATTGCTGCTAAAATTTAATACTATATCTTCTATGCTTATCTATTTTTTTCACTAAATTTATTATTTTTGTTTTGCATTTCATATACTTACTGACATATCCTAATCTATTTTAATAATCAAAAAAAAAAAACCTTTCTTGATTTCTTATCAAAATTTTGTAAATTTATTTTTGCAAAAAAAAAATGATATAAAAAATTGAATTTTGTAACCAACTGATCAATTAGCTAATAATTCAAAATTCACCTAATAATTACCTAATCTGATTTTGTATTTTAAAATTCAACTTTTTTTGTTAATCTTAAATTAAAAATAAAGAAACTAAATTAAATGATTATCACTAAACTTACTTAATATAATTAGAAAAATATGCTGTCGTTTAAAATGTATTTAAATTTTTAAATTATAAAAACTATAAAGCAAATTGAATTGAAACTTTGGTATAGTTTATTTGAAAATAATTTATAAACTATAAAAATATTTATTAAGTAAGACTTTGATAATAAACAAAATAATATATTTTTTTAAATGAATAATTAATTTACAGCCATTAACTAAATATTTAAGTTTACAACAAAAAAATATTAATGCATACTAACAACATTATTTTATTTGCCTTAAAACTAAATATCAAACGATAAGTTAATTTTAAATTTAATCACTCATAAGCACTGAAATTTTTTTATGTTATTTATTTTTTATTATTATGAGGTTATAGAAAATTTTGATCATTGAATTTTATCTTTCAATTTTTAGGGTCTTTTTAAAAGCAAAAAAAATCAAGCTAGCATAGCAAGTTGATCATCTATTTCATCATTTTGCTTTTATTCTTATTGTTAGTATTAATCTTGTGCTTGTTATTTTTATTAACTGATTGGTTGTTGTTATTATTATTAAATAGCTTCTTCTTAGAACAATGGCTTTTATGTAATTATCTCATATTACTTTAGATCACTCTCAAAGATTTCTACTTCCATTTCTTTAAGCTTTATTTCTATTTCTTACTTATCAGTTGAGACATATTAGTTATAAAGCTCATCAAATCTGGAGTTGTTAGCTTCTAATTCTTATAAATTTCCTATAGCATCCTGCATTCCATCAACATCAATAGCCTTATCTATATCTTTCATTAGCTTATTAGCTGCTTAAAGGGTATTTGAGACATCTAATTAATCAAATTTTTCCTATACTTACCTAATTGTTTTAGTTATGTGGACATCTTAATTGAGAATACCTTCTATTTATTTTTCATATATAGCCTTTGCTTAAAGGGCATATTTAGCTCTAATTTTATTTTTGTTTAGCAAATGCTCTTTTGCTTTCGCTTGACAATCATTAGCATTATTTTCCATTTACTTAATACGTCTATTTAGTTAATCTTGAACCTTTTTTAAGTCTAAAATAATTTTATCCTTTTCAGACATTTAATAAGTACTAGCCGCCTTAATTTGTTTATCTTGAATAGTTTATATTTTCGACTTTGAAGCATCTTTTTAATGAGTGTTATTATTATTTAAAATATGACTAAAGAATGAACCCATTTTTATCTTATTTTTTGTGAGCAAAAGTAATATATTCTAAAAAAATCGATTTATAATAAATTTGAACAAACCACATGAAAAATTTAATTTATCTTGCTGATAAGTAATTATTCTAGTTTATGATAATAATATTCTAAATTTTCTGTTAAAGAAATAGATAATATAATATAATATCTATTAATTTCAATTAGCTTTTTTAGATTAAATGTATCAACATAATTTATTTCACCAACCAGAATAATTAAAAAAATATTTGAAAATACTGTAAATGCTTTTTAATTAAGGCATTTTTTTCTTAAATTTTTTATTTTTTCGATTATGGCATAAAGATGATTTTATAAATATATTTTTTTTTTTGACTAAAAGAAAAATTTGAATCAATAAAGTATATAATAATAATTTTAATAATTAAGTAATATTTTAATAAAGTCTTGTTGAGAATTTAATTTATATAAATATAAACATAATATAAGTAAGTGATATTAACAAAAATTTGTAGATTTAATTCAAATTTTAGCTGTTTTATCATATTTTGATATTATTTCATTTTTAAAATCTTCTAAATATTGCATTTCTTCGTTAAGCTATTCAAGTAAATGTTATAATTAATCTACTTCACCTATTTAATGTAAAAAATTTTAAAATCCTATAAATTAAAATTAAATTAAATTACCTATACTAAATGATTACACATTGGTGCAATTTGGAGGTAATGGTGCTACTGGTATAGATTAGTAGTTGTCAAATCTTTATTCTTAAATGCTAGGTTATTAAACATAAGAATAATGAGGAATTTTTTCTTCTCTTTTAACTCTATATTTTTCCAAGTCTTAATCTTTAAATTTTTGTTCATATTATGGAAGATTTTAGTTTTTTGAATTATTATTACTCTAAAGTTTTTAGCTATGTTTGAAATCAATTTATGAAACCTCTACAGATTGTTATCTGTTTATTACTATCTAATCATTTAGTTAATTTTAAACCTTCGAGTTTCCTTTACCATAAATCTTTTGATCTTCAATTAGATTGTTAACAAAAAACTACTAATTATTTTCTTAGTACCTCTAACCTTAAATTTTAATTTAGTTTTATTGATTTTTCTCGTCTTTATTATTTAGAATATAGTCATTTTAATCAGGTGTAAAGTTGCTAAGGAAATTATTTAATTAAGATTGATTACAATGATTTTGTTACTTATTAATAACATTATCTTTATCAGTATAATCTTGCTATTATTTGATTACTTTCTAATTTTACTGAGTAGTGTTTTTTATATTACTTAGAATGCTTGATTCATCATCTTCTTTGTTTTATTAAGATTTAATTGGTGATTTTTATTAATTATTCAAAGCATTTACGATTGATTCATCAATAAAATTACTATCATTTTAATAATGTATTGTAGATAAGCATTCAGAAATTGACTATACATTAACCTTTTATGAATAATCTTTTTTATATAAATCTGTATAAATGCCTGAATAGATAATATTATAAATAGCCTCTATTAAATTTCTATCAAGTAAAAAAAATTCTTTATGCAAGTGTTCGCCTTATAAGTAAATTCTATTTTCAGATTTATTTTCATCTAGACTTAAATGAATAAACTTATCGACAAGAGTCTTTTCTATGCAGGGAATTTCAAAGTAAGCTAATGGCCAAAAAATAATTTTTTATTAGTATTGCTAGAAGAGATCATTACAATAAATATCAATAGGCTAAATAGTTTTTCCTATCTATTTTATAAAGTTAAATTGTATTGTTAAAATAAAAGCTTTAAAATAATTTAAATAGTAAAGTAGAATATCTTGTTTATAATTGCTATAAGCTAAATGAATAATATCAATATGATAAATTAACAAGAATATAATTATTAATAGAAAATATCATTCAGAATAATCTAATCAATGTATTCTGGATTGATTAAATTAAATTTTTGATAGTATTTGTTTTATTTAATTTTCAAATTACTTCATTAGAATATTAGAAATCCAATAAAAGCATAAATTTTTAATAAATTATCTTTCAATAAATTAATTAAAACTCAACCAATTAATTAAATATTTCTTTGTTAAATTATCAATTTATTATGCAGAGTGAAGGAAGATACAAACATTATTTTAATTTGTAATAAATGAAATGATAAATATTATAAAAGTAAAATGAAAATAAATTATGAATGAATGTTTTTAAAATAAAGAAAACGTATTTTACCTTTATTATTATTTATCTTGGATGTGATGGAGATTATAAAGAAGTTTGCATTATGTATAAAAATTGATAACCTTTTTAACATGGTTCTTTAGAAGTTGAATAATATTTATGGCCACAAAACAACTCTGTAAATAATTTACAATCATTGCTTTAATTTTTAATTTTTTTTTCAATTTTATCAATTTTGTCTAGATTAATATATCTTTAAATACCATCTTGATAAATTATCTCTATAAATTGTCTTGATATTTTTAGCATTTCTACATCCTCAATAGATTTTGATTTTTCAATTAGATCATCCAATTTATTAAAAGTATTGACTTTATCATGAAATCTTTCTCCTTAAAATGGAGGATCTTTTTCACTTTAGTTTACAAGTTTAATTTGCATTTAACATTCTTTTGAATCAAAATTGACTATCATGATTTTACTCTTCAATTAGTCAATTTTAGATCTTATTATGTATCTTATAATAGCTCTTAATGATTTTTTTGCTGGAATTTGACTAGTGTATGTCGAAACTACCTTTACTTCTACATCCGTTTGATTTATTATTATGTTAGGGTTTTCTATTTCCATAAGGCCATATTTATTTAAGATTTATTTTAAGTTTTACAATTTATTGCCGCTTATAAAATTAAATGGTTATTTATCGCACATCTTCAACCTTTTTTTTTATAAATTATTTATTTGTATTTAATATGAAGTTATCTAATAAAAATTTTTCTGATTTTTATGTTTATCATTCACTATTGTTTATATAGCTTTTTATCTGTTTGAAATAAAAGTATTTTATTTTTTTCTTCTTAATTTAACTTTTTAAATAATAAAAATATTCTTAAAAAATAGTTTAAAATAAATACTTTTATTTATTAATAAACTTTGATATAAGAAACAAATATAAGAATATAATTTAAATACATAGGATAAATAGATTTAGAGTGTTTAATTATAATATTAAAATTGCATGTATGATAAATAAATTTTCAAGTTAGACTTCCAGTAGCAACATATTGAGCAATCATCTTAAAACCTTCTAAAAATTCTGAGCTCAATCTGTAAAATCCTCCTATGATATCATCTTTATCCAATATTTTTGATTCTCCAGTAACAACGAAAATAGTATGCTTTGGAAGCAACTCTAGCAGCATATCTTCAAAATCCTTATTATTTTATGCATCTAATTATATCCTATTTGGTATTTCTAAGCTTCCCAACATGTAGCATTAAAATGTCTTAGGATAATTTACATCTTATGCTTCCTTGGTATTTTAATCACTTATACGTATCTATTGTTTAGTAAATAATAATTATACTAAATTATATGAATTTATTATAAATAAAATCCTATTTTGATATATTATTAAATAAAGTATAATAAAAATAACATATTACTTTTATCATTTTTTTTTAGTTAACACTAACAGGAGTTTCTAAAAAGTAAAAGTAGACTTTAGGGATAGAAGGATCAATTTTCATTTCATTAATGAATACTTAGATTTTATTCAGTTATGCTTTAGCTTCTTCTAATTTTTTATCAGTCTAATATATGTAATGAGGATCAGGTAAATTTTTTGATTGCCTTGATAAGTTGAAAACATGGTTTTTTATGTTAAGCTTTATAAAATCTAAAAAGGAAATGATAAATTAAATTCTTTTATTAGGCTATTAGCTCTTTGCATGATTAATAATATCCTCAAAATATGTTTTCTAGCTATTTTAAATATCATAGTTGAGGATGCTTACTATTAAATTTTTTTTTTTTTTAGCATTTTTAACATCTGAATCATTTATATTATTAATATCATTTAAGAAGGTTATCATTTATGGATTTGCAATACAATTTACTGATATATAATCATCGATTTCTAGATCTGTATTCTTTATTTCATACCTAACCAATATATCTACATAATTCTTCTTTTCGCTCTTTTTTATAGATTTAATTGTTGTTTCAAATTCGTAAATCTACTACTCCATACTTCAAAACAATTTCCTTTAATTAAGATAATCAAATAAATTATTTGCTTTCTATCAAATATACTCAAAAAATCTAATTAATCTCTTTAGATAATATGAATAGACGCAAGTTTTTATTTTATCTTTTTATATTATAAAAATGTTAGAATTACATAAATTATTCGTTATTTAATATAGGTTTAAAATTCTTAAATACTTTGCTTACCAAGTTTTTATTCTAACACATATTACTGATATAAAATTTAATCTCTTTAGAGAACCACTCATTTAAAATAGTTTCATATCTAATTAATCCTTTAATATTAATGTAAATTTATATATTATATCAATTAAACTTATCATAGAAGCATCATAAAATAATTTCAAACTAAAAAATTTCCCTCAAATTTATTTTTAGTTAAATAAAAAATACAAACATTTTAATTTAAATTTTAAAAAAGTAAAAAAGAATATTATAAATCAAGTAAATTTAACAAAAAAATAAAGTAAAATTGACAAAAAAGTAAAGTAAAATTAACAAAAAAAGAAAGTAAAATTGACAAATAAGTGTATAAAATAAAGTAATTATGGAGAATTTAAATTTATTATAAATAATATATATACAATACATATAGTTAGTCATTTATTCAGTCAATCATAAATATTATATTTTGATATTTGGAAAATTAAACAGTTTTATGAGAAATATTTTATATTTTATTTGAAAATAAAGAATATCGTATTTATTTTGTAATTTATAAAATCAACTAAAATTTTTATTATTTCACTTTAAGCTGATTGATGGATTTATATTCAATATTTTAATAAATTCCTATTTAATTGTTGATTAGAAATTTTAAGGATTGTATTTTCAAGTTTAGTAATTATTAATGAATTAATGAGTGATTAAAACCTTATTTTTTCTAAATAAATTATTTTTTTTTTTGCATTTTTAATTAAATTATAGCTATTAAAACAAAATAGAACTACTTTCAAGCTTGACAACGATCTAAACCAGCAATTTGAATATCATCTAATTTATAAGTCATAGCAACAATAAACACTGTCAATTCTATCAATGCTAAAACTATAAAAGAAGCCCTTTATGCATAGATGAGTCTATTTTTTAAATTATTATTAGAAAATGAATTTATTTTTAATTTTTAATTTACTTTTTTGAAGGGTTTTGTGCCTTATAGAAACCAAACGATAAAAAAACTCCAGCTACTATACCACCTATGAAATTTTTAAATAAATATATTAATAATTGTCAATTGATTGCAAATTTTGCTTTTTTTGTTAAGTTATGTTTTAAATAAGTAAAATGGAAGATATTAATTTTTTTCTATAAATACAATATATTTTATGAATGAATGAGAAGCTGTTTATGTCATATGATTTTTTTTCTATTTTAATTTAAAATGTAATTTTATAAATTAATTACCTAAATAGCTAGAGCCTTTAACTGTAACACTTTCAATTATACACAAAAAATTTGTCACTATTACCAATAAAAGCATACCTAATATGGGTTTCTTTTTAGATTAAGGAATTCTTTTGCGGATTGTATATAAGAAAGTTATCTAAAGGATAAAAATGCCCATCATAATTGAATTAGCTCCAATTTGTATTTCGTAAGGCTCAATCAAACCAACAAATATGTTTCCTGAAAAAGCACAAACTCCATAGAGCCACAACATTTTTACCACTCCATAGTGAGACTCTAAAACATATCCGTAAAATAGTAATGAGAATATACTTGAAATGATATTAAACCATGAAGCAGAAAGCAGAGATGATATCAAGAGACGATGGACTTAGCCTTCGTTTGTAACACTTGGTTGGAACTAGCAGCCAATTTTGTAAGCTGTACAAGCTCTCTTTTAAGAAGTTGTAGATTCTAAGATAAGTTAAATAAGAAAGAAAACTATAAATAAGGCACATAGAGCAGTTACAGTAGAGCGTAGCTTGCATTTTGGGAAGAGGACATCTATACAACGTTTAAGCTTTTTCTTTTTGGCATTTTGTCCTTAATTAATTTTCTTAGATTTGTTTGAAACTTGAGAATTAGATAGAGATTACTAGTCTTTCTGATTCATATCTAAAGCAATTTATTGATGATCTAAATCTGCAGCGATGATGTTATTTTTATCATTACCTTTTCCCTTTAGAATTACACTATTTTGATTGCTATTATTGTTTGAGATGTTGTTCATTTAGATATCTTGAAATTGCAAGGAGCTTCTTTAGCTACTACCTTAGCTTTTAGGCTATCTTATAATCGGTGGGAGTTGAGTTGGTTTTTTAAGGGCAGGCTTTAACTAACTTTAAGGATCATTTAATTGATTTCTATAATTATTTTTTTCATTGCCTACTTCTTAAAGCTGCTATCCAATATTGATTTCATAACTTTAATCTTCATGAATTTCCTTTCCTATGTTATTCTTTTAGGGAGATTTAATACTTTTGTCATCTATTATACTTCCATTCAAAATAAGAGAAGTATTATTTGAGTATACGTTGGTTTTTGCACTGTATTGATTCTTGAATTTTCCACTATTTAAACTATTTCTTTCTTCATTGATGTCTGCATTGTTGAGATGTAAAATGCTGTTATTCATCACAAAGCTTTGATTTTGCTAGCTTTTACTCGACATTGGATATCCTGCTTGAATTTGCTTGAAAGCTGCTGGATTATTTTAACTGCTATTTAAATCCATATCCTGATAAGCCTCCAACTCCAAGCCCTTAATCACCTAAGCTAAGGTGTTATCCGCGTCTACTTAAGAATCATCAATTTTAAAGTTCAAGCTCTCATTTTGCTTATCATTATTCTCTCTCTATTGCTAATAATTTTTGTTTGGGGTGCTCATTCCTTCCTTACAAATAATTGCTAAATGACTTAGTTAAATGTAATGATCAATTATTTATTATATTAAAAATTATAAAATTGATTAACTATTTTTTTTGTCGTTGATTATTTTTTTGAAAGAATGATAATAATTTGTTTAATTTTCTTTTTGTAAACCAACAAAATATAAAAAATGTATGATTTTAAATCAATCTGGATGTTAATTTTGAGAGGATATAATTCAATTAATTTATAATATCATCATTCAAAAAATAGATTTTTTTTAGATTTTTTTATGAAAGAGATAGAATTGCAATTTCAGTGATAGAAGATTTTATTTATTGGTTGAATAACAAATTAAATTAATTGCTCTTATCGATACACATAATTAAAATTTCTTCTACCATTCAAATATACATTATTGTTTTCAAATCATATTTGTATATTTTTTTAATTATTACCAAAATCAACTTAGACAGACTAACGAACTTATTTACAATTAAATCCATAAGAATGTGTCAATTTTGAGAGTGTGAATTATACTTTATTGTATAATAAAATCAATAATAAAGGAATTATGTATATTAATTCAAACTTGAAAAACACATTAATCTATTAATGAAAATAAATTCAAATCCAATTAGATTTTAATGAATATTTCTCATATTTAATAAAATATTTTTATTAAGTAACTCAAATAAAATAATTTGATAAGGTATTTATTTAAAAAGCTTTATTTTAATTTATAAAATATAAAATCATAAAAATTACTACAAATCCATACATACTATAAATCCTCATTAGTTAAGGTACCCTAATTTAAATTTTTTTATCCATCGACATCTAAAATTCAAATTTTTTTTTAAGATATAATTTTAATTACCTATCATTCACTAAAATCGATTTTATGGTATTATTTAAAATGAAGTCTTAATAATAAATGAGGGTTAATAATTTATTTTAACTTTTAATTAGAGTAATTTTTTTATTTTTCATATTTTTATTATGAAATTATCTGTAAAATATTTAATAAAATGTATTTATTTTAGTAAAAACTTTAAAAAAAGAAGAGAAAAAATAGATTTTTTATTTTTTATTTTTTATTTTATTTAGATAAGATGAATAAAATAAATATAAGACAGATAGATTATTAAATAAGTTTTAAAAAGAAAACAAAAAAAAAGTAATTGTTTTAGAATGATTAGAAATAATAGAGTAAAAAAGTATGATTCAATTCATTACAAAAAAAATATAAAATATCTTAATGTTATTTATTACATCAAATTTTTTTTTGATTCACAGAAAAACGTATTTTTTATATTTCATTTAGTGATTGTTTATTTATTTCAGTTTTGATTAGGTTTAAGTTTTCTGGAAATCTTATTGGCAGTGAAGAGATCTCTAACTTAGATTGAAGTTTCGTAAGATTTACCGTAGGAATGAGCGGTTTAAATGAAAGCAGAAACTAAGCCTGATCCTTAGCAGTAGATAGAATTCTTGTTGTCGTTAGAAGATCCCTTGTAATTTTCTTGGGAGTAGAATCTGACATACTTACCAGCAGGAACATACAAACTCTTGTATTTACTCAAATCGATCTTTGAAATATCTTGAGTTATTTAGACTTAATCACCTGTGAAATTGCATCCACTGAAGAGGATAGGGTTAGCAACAACATTGCAGGTTCCTCTTGTGTAAGCAACGCTGTTATTAGCACTAGGAGATGAAGAGCCAGTAGCTAGGTAGAATGTTCCTTAGCTTTAAAGAACACCAACGCAATCACTTCTAGAGTCACATGCAGCCAATGCTAAAGATTCACTTGCATATGAAGCAGCTTGAATCAAGCTTGCAAAGGTTTGATAAGATTACTTAGAATAGTTACAGTAAGTTCCTTAAACTTATTAAACAGGGCACTTAGATTTAACCCATGAGTTTTCTCCATTTGGTGAAAGTTAGAAAGTAGTTCCAGCTCTTAACTAGAAACCCCAAACACCATCAAAAGCATTAGTAGCAGCACCACCACCAATATCTTTTCTGGAGAAGGTAACACCACCACAGGAAGAATCAGCTCTACAAGCAGCAAGAGCATCATTCAAATTTGAGAAATCTTTGCAATTTTAATTGCAGCCTCCTAAGAAAACACCTTAACCTTAAGTATAATCGCAGGGATCGAAAGTAGTTTGAGGATCAGGGCAAGTAGACTTTAACCAGGAATTTTCCTTGTTTGGAGATTTACTACCTGTTTTTGAAGCTCTGAGTTGATAACCCCATCCATTACCAATTGCATTAGTAGCAGCACTACCACCAATTGATTTATAACTATAGGAAACACCACCACAATTATTAGAAGCGTCACATGCAGCAAAAGCATCAGACAGTTTGGCAAAATCTTAACAATTATTGTAACAAGATCCACTGTACTAGCCATATCCGTTTGTATAAGCGCAGCCACAATAGACTTAACTTATAATTAATCCTAAAATAAGTAAAACACTCAAATTTCTCATACTAAAAGGTGAGCAAATAAAATATTCAATTTAATTAATTTTTTTGTTTTTGTTTTTTATTATTTCTGTTTTTTAATTCACCGATACATATATATTGCATAATATATTCAATTTAAGTCTTATGCTTTTAATTATTTTCTGAGGGTTTTTGTATTACCCAACTATAATAGCTCTTTGAATTTTTAATATGAACTTCAGCCTCACTAATCCGTTTTTGCCCTTCATTCATACAATATTATCTAGCAAACTATTTTAATTTACATCAAGCAAACATCCTTCTTAGTCGATAAAAATAATTGAGACAGTATATATTGAATACTCCGTTTTTCATTTTTTATCTGTATTTATGATGCATACATACATAATAATTAAGGTTAACTTCTTATTTTCCTTTAAGCATAAATTAATATTACTTCGATTAATTTATTTATTTACATATGCACCATTTTTTATTTTTTTTTTTATAAAGTTCAATTAATTATTTTTATTTTAATTTTAAAAATAGATTTTTAACATTTCTAAGAATTCAAAAAAGTGTTTTTCATTTTTATTTTTTGAATTTTTAAATTCAATCTTCAAGTCGGTCAATTTTTTTTTAGTGATTTCTTGATAAAAATAATAATAATGATAAATTTTAATAAATTAATGTAAAGTAAAGTAAATAACTTACTTAATAAAGTTCAAGTAACCAATTAAAGCTTAATTAAAAAAATAAATATTCAAATAATGCTAATTTTTTTTTGTTAAGTATTTTATTAAAATTAAACCAAAATGTGTTTTCAATTAACGAAAATTAAATGTATTATTTACTGTAAAAAGATTAATTAAGATGTATTTATGAAAGATTTAATTTAAATGGGGATATTTAAATTCAGCTAACAAATTCTATAGGAAAAGTATATTAAAATGATTAATTTATGTTCAAAAAACTATCTAAATCTGATTATTTTTTGTTCCTAAGCAGCGTAACATTAGGTATTAGATTATGATCAATTATGATGAACACGAAATAATGGAGAATTAGTCTGCTAAACCTAATTTTAAATAAATAAATAGTAATGTATTAAATATTTTAAGAAATACTAAATTTATGATAAAAATTGTATTAGTAAAATAAATCAAAAATTTTCTCCATTGGAAATTGACTGAAAATATTTTAACTTTCTTATTTACTGATTTCTATTTCTTATATTAACATAATATTTAATATTATAAATGTGGAAGGGTAAATAGTATAAAAGAATTGTAATTATAAATATTAGGGATCAACCTTAATCTGAAAGTTTGACACCAGTCAGATACTAAAAATTAAACTCACTACCAACCCTTACATTTTATTTATTATTAATATGTGAATAAAAGTTTCTATATTTTATAATATGCTACTATTTAATGGACATAATTTTTCTTCTTCATCATAGTATTTTTATTATTTTAAAGTAACTAAATTAATTTTAAATCTCTATTATATATTCTTAAATGATTAACAGAAGAAATAGTAAGGATTAATATCATATAATTTTTTAGTCATAATTTTTGCTCTTTTTTCATTGTAAAAATTTGAAGATAATAGCTTTTGTGAATTAGTAAACTCCAATCTCAAATATATATAATGAATTTCAATATCAATTTGAATGCTCATTTTGTTTTTTATCTACTTGTATATTTCTTTCAATTTTTCATTCTTATGTGAAGATCAATCAATTAAATTTCTATGATTTTAAATATCAAATTTCATTTTAGAAAACTTTTTTCAAATATTTTAGCTGAAATTGTATTTAAATATTTTAGTTGAAATTATATTCAAATAAGATAAGTATGTAATTCATTTATTGATTGATTGCTTGCTTGCTTGTTTAGTATTAAATTAAAAAATAAATTTGTTTTAGGATGAGAAATGAAATGAAATTCGCATAAAATATCTTATAAAAATTACGAAATTTATTAATATATTCACTGATAAGTTTATATTGTTTATTTTTATTATTTATGTCAGTTTTAATTAGGCTTAAGCTTTCTATTAACTTTGAGATCTCTTACTTAAATTGAAGTTTCGAAAGAAAAATCTTAAGAGTAAGCCTTTTAAATAAAGACAGAGCCAAAGCTTTAACTTTAACAGTAGACAGAAGTTGTGTAAACATTATTGTTTCCCTTGAAGTTTGATTTGGTGTAGAATCTGACTGACTTACCAGCAGGAATATACAAACTCTTGTATTATCTTAAGTCAATTTAAGCAAGATCTGAGGTGAGATTGACTTAGCTTCCAGTGAAATTGCATCCACTAAAGAGAATAGGATAAGTGATGACATTGCATGTTCCTTTAGTGTATGCAACACTGTTAGTAGTGCTAGGAGATGAGGTACCAGTAGCCAAATAGAATGATCCTTAGTTTAAAACAACACCAGTACAATCAGGAGTTGAATCACATGCAGTTAAAGCTGACTATTCGGTGGTATATTAAATATCCCTTTGGATTAAATTAGCAAAGTTTTGATAAGATTGCTTTGAATAGTTGCAGTAAGTTCCTTAGACTTAAGAAACTGGACATTTTTATTTAACATATGAACTTTCACCACACTATGAAACACCAAATACAGATCCAGCTCTTAACTAGAAACCCCAAACACCATCAAATGCATTAGTAGCAGCAGGGCCACCAATCTCCTTTCTGGAGAAAGTTACACCACCACATGAAGGATCAGCTCTGCAAGCATTAAGGGCGTCATTCAAATTAGAGAAGTCCTTACAACCTTAAACACAATCTGCTAAGAAAACACCTTAACCTTATGCATAATCGCAGGGTTCGAAAGGAGTATGAGGATCAGGGCAAGTAGATTTGAACCATGTGGTTTCTCTGACAGTAGAAGGACCACCTGAATAGGAAGCTCTAAGTTGATAACCATATCCATTACCTATAGCATTAGTTGAAGCACCACCACCATATTATCTTTAACTAAATGTAACTCCACCACAACTAGTAGAACTGTCACATGCAGCCATAGCTTCAGATAAAGTAGCATAATCCTTACAATCATTGTAACAGTACCCGCTGAAAGCGCCAAATCCAGTAGTATAAGCACAGCCGCAATAAACTTAGCTTATAGCTAATCCTAGAATCAATAATACACTTAGATTTTTCATATTGAACAATTATTTTCAATTTATTTGTTTAATTATTTATTTACTTATTTATTTCTTTGTTGTGTTTTTTAGATTTTTTATTCAGGCTTTTAATTCACTAGTTCATAAATATAACTTGCTTTATCCATAAAATAAATATCTTTTGATATAAATCTATTTTATTAACTTTATTTTATTTTCTGATTGATTTGGTTTTCAGCCTCGAACTTAAATAAATAAATTGACAGTTATAATCACTAGATTCTAGAATTAAAAACCTCCAAAATAAAATTAATAAATTTATTTATTTCATTAGGAAATTAAATATTCAGTTTTTAATTTATTTTTTGATAATTGACATTTAGCATAATAATTAAGTATAATTTTAGTTTTATTTAATATGCTTGAAACGAGCATAGCTCAAACATAATACTTTTTAAAATCTATGTATTTTAGATTTTTTAATAAGGTTTTTAATTCAATCATAATTTTAACACCACTTGCCAATCATGTATTTAATATCTTTTGATATAAATCTATCTTATTAACTTTCTTTTATTTTCTAATTGATTTGAATTTCAGCCTCGAACTTAAATATAAGTTGCCAATTTTAATCACTCAATTTTAGCATTAAAAATCTCCAAAATATAATTAATTAATTAATTTCTAAAGCAAATTTAATATTCCGTTTTTAATTTATTTTTTTATAATTTACATTTAGGATAATAATTAAGGGTAATTCTACTTTTATTTAATATGCTTGAAACGAGCATAGATCAAACTAAATATTTTTTTAAATCTATGTTATTTACATTTTAAATAAGGTTTTTAATTCAATCATATTTTAACATCATATGCCAATCATGTATTTAATATATTTTTAAGATATTGATTTTCTTTTATTTTCTAATCGATTTGACTTTCAACCTCGAACTTAAATATAAATTTACGGTTTTAATTGCTGATTATTTCAATAATAATCTTACTAACAATTTTCGCAATTAAAAATCTTAAAAATAAATTCAAACAGTAAATTAAGTATTTTGTTTATTTTTTTTTGATTTGCATTTATTAATATAATGTTTAAGTAGAGCTTTACTTTTTATTTAATATACTTGAATTGAACAAAGTTCGAAGTAAATATTTGTTTACATCACATTTCTACTTATTTAGAATTGAATATTCTTTCAAATATTATTCAATAAAAAATAAGTCTAAAACACTTTTTCTACAAATCCAAGTACATATTTCACCATTTTTTATTTTTATTTTTTGATTAAAAACAAAACATTAAAACAAACCAACTTTTTGATATTACTTTTGGTATTAGCTATCATTTATAAAATATTTTTAAAATTAAAATTTAATTTTAAGCATCAATCTAGAAAGAAAAATTGTTATAAAATTGTATTAAAGATAAAAAATAATAGAGTTATTTGCTAATTGGAATGCCTAAAATATTTTTAAAGTGAATTTATTTAAGTAAATTTATTATGGATGAAATCAGTCATTTATTTAATAACTCTTCATATATAAGTGCTGTTTTTTTTAAGGTCATTTTTGAAAATCATTATAAAAAGTGATAATAATTAATAGGATTATTTTCTAATTTTCACTTGTAAGAAAATATTTAATAATAAAACCAAAATTTTATTCATTATGGTTTTTAATTAAGGCAATTTTTTCTAAAAATATTTTAGAGGGTGGGGATTGGCTTAATATATATAGAAGGAATTACTTTATATATAGCAAAAATATAAAATAGATTTTATATCAAATTTTGTGGATGCAATTTTTCTATTTTAAATTTTTCTCACAAGCTTTTTGAGGTTAGAAGAATATATCTTTTTAATTTTTATTTTCAGACAAATTTTGAGAGTGTTTATATATAGTATTTTATATGGATTAATTATTTATCTCATTTATTTGCTTAACTATTTGATTTATTTTAAGGCTTTTAGTCACTATAGATAGTCTAAATAACAAATCAAAGCGTTGGTGGTTGCTATTATTGTTTTATGGGCATTCTTATTAAACATTTTTTCTTAATGTTTCTTAAAATTTTAAAGAAAGATGTAACCAAAAAATTGATAATTAAAAATATAATTTGATATAAAAGCATTTCTATTTTAGATATTGGTTTAGAAAATCCAAACTAAATTTCAGCTCTTAATTTACTACCTAAATAATTACCAATTAAAAATATCTATAATTTAATATGACTTAAGCTTAAGCAATTTTCAAAAAATATTTTAGAAATCTTTTAGTGTTTTCATAAAATTGTCAATATTTATTAATTACATATTTGAATTTTTTCCTAGCCAATAGAATGAGATCTATTTGACACAAAATTCTCCTAAACTTAACATTCATGATATACCCGTTATTGATTTTGTTTTTTTATACTTATATAATAAATCAATCTTTTTTACTGATCATTATCATATCATCACTTCAATGGAAGTTTGTCTCAAAGAAATAGATACTTTATGGATATATTTTTTAGGCTTTTTAATAATATTTTAAGTCTATTTATTTATTTTTAAGTAAATAATTATTATAGGATATAATCGATAAAAATTATTTAATCATTTGGTAATAATTTCTACTTACTTGCATTTTTCATAGTATGATATAATTATCCAAAGAATATTGCAATAACTTTCTTATTATTATGCAAAGTTAACTATTTATAGTAAAATCTTTATAAAATTTACTTATTTATGAAGATAGTAATTTTGTTGAATACATAAACTCCTATCCCAAACATTCACAACATATATATTTCAAGATAAATAAAAATTTTTACTTTATTTTTAATACTTTTCACAAATATCTTTGAGTTTTTCATATTTAATACTAACAAAATCATAAATAGTAATCTATATCATATATTTAAATTGAATCAATTTATTATTAAATCCATAATATCTAATTTATAGTCCTTTCCCTATTAACTCTATTTAAATTACAATTTTATATGAATTAATTTCTATTAATAAAATCTTTATTCAAATGTGTTTATTCTTTTGTACAACATTCAGATAATAGAAACATTCTAATTTTTTTAAAAAAATTTATCTTATATTTATTAAATACTTTCAGATTGAATATTACATACAATACTAAGTTATTCTTATTTTAATTTGTTTACTTTTATTTTTTACTAATTTATTTTAAAATAAAAATCATTCATATATATAATAAAAAATGAAATTGCATCTTAATTAATAATTTATTATTTTACAATTCATTAAGAATTAAGGAATATTTTCTTAGTCGTAATCTTTTCATTCCATTTTTTTGTTATTTTAATTATTTATTGATTTAAATTTCACATAAATAATAATTATGAGGGAAATTAACTTTGGTTTTTGGTCTTTAACCTATTTATAGATTACATGATTTAAAAATTTTGATTCTTTATTTTTTTTCTGATATAAAAATATTTAATTTTTTTTAAAGGTAACTTTTAATTAAGGAGATTTTAAATAAAGATAACAATATAGGATATACATTTGTTTAAATAGTGATAAAAAGATAAAACTTTAATATTTGGAACATAAAGTCATTTATTTGCCAGTTAGCAGCTAAACATAAACTTATACATCAAATATTTTAATAATAAATATATCATGCATATTTATATAGCTTTCTTTGTAAGCAGGCAGAGCACATTTCATGACCTTTTATGAATACGTTTATTATATTTACATTGCAGTTTGGGCAAATCTGATGGTTTTTACTATTTTTTTCTAATTTTAATTTCATTAATTATATTGAATCTTAACTCAAGTTAAAGATTTTCTATTATAGATTCTAACATTCTTTATTTAATCTTTATAAAATAATATTAATAAGTTAAATAATAATTTTTTAATTAATATCTACTCATTTATTTAATCTAAGTTTTATGCTTAGGTTTGTTTTAATTCTTCAATATCCTTCTCTTTTTACTATAGACTTTTATTGAGAAAATATTATTACAAAATTAAAAAATAATTATTTGAATTATTCTTTACTTCTGCTCTAGTTTTAATTTTTCATCATTTAACCTATAAAAATATTTATAATATTTATCTAAAAAAAATGTGAATTTTGTTAAAATAATTTATATCTCTTTATAATAATCACTTTCTTATTTTTAATTTAAATTTTCTTATTTTTGTTATGTTAATTATAATGATAATTCCTAAATCCGTATTAAATTTCTAATAAAAGTAAATTAATAAATAAATATCTTAGAAATAATATTTAAAAATTAATTTAATAAAAATGTAGCTATTGATAAAATGTCTCAAGTTATTTAAACTATTTTATTTTTTTTCATGAAGTGAAAACAAAATATCAAATTAAAATAATTTAAATAGCAATTTGCTTTTCTTAATAATCTTAAATGCAATAATATTGATTCTTAACACTTTTTAAAGCAATCATATTTTTAAGAATTTATTTTGTCTTTTATTAAGTTAATTGTTATTTTTTGTAAAAATAATTTACCCATTAATTTAATTTTGAAGAGTTTGTTTTTCATTTTAATTATCTATTTTTTCTTTTTAGAGTTCTTATTTTAATTGCTCAATGTAACTTAGTTACCTAATAAAAAGTTGAAAATAAGTCACTCAGAAATAATATGTTATGAAGTATTTACTGCATAATCTGCTATTAAAGTCTATAGATTAAAATAATTTTTTTCATAAGATGAATATAAAATATCAAATTAAAATAATTTACTAAGCAATTTAATTATCATTATAATATTTTTGTTATTCTAATTATGATAATAATTCCAGAATCTATTTTTAATTGCTAATAAAAATAAATATGTTTTTTAATAAAATTAAAAAAAATATCAAATTAAAATAATTTACTTAACAATTAAATTTTGCTTTTCTTATTTTTCCTCCTTAAGTTTTTTAACTAAGTTTTCAAAGCTGATAAAAGTGAAAATTTAAGTAACTCATAAACAGTAAGTAAATATAAATTTACTTTTTAATATGACTTAAAAGTGATTGTTTCTCTCTATTTATGATAAATTTTTTAATAAAGAGAACAAAAATATCAAATTAAAATAATTTACTTCAAATATATCTAATTATTTTATCCTATTATTGTATCATATTGAATCTAATATCTTTATTAAATAATAACAATTTTAATAATCAAAATTTTATTTTTTTATTCAGCTAGTTAAAATATTTAAGAATAAATTACTGTTTTATTTATTAAACGTGCTTTTACTATTATTCTTCATTTTACTTATTTAATTTATTAACTTCTTCTTCATAACTATAAAATTTAATAAAATAAATAATTTTAGAGTTATTATATGATTGATATCAATTATTTTTTATTTAACATTTTGAATGATTATTAAATTATAACAAATAAAATATAAAGTTAAATAAATATTTTAGCTATAGAGTTACTTTTATTTTTGCCTTTAAGCTTCATTTTACAATTATTCTATGCGTCTAATTAATAAAAATTTTTATTTTTCTAAGTAAATGAGTAAGTAAAAAATAAATAGCTTACTGTTGTAAACCTTTTTATTTTTCTGTGCTTTGAGAAAGCTCATTTTCTTTGATTTTCATATCTGTATAGTGCCTATTTAATATAAAAATTACTAGCTTTTAAAAGTAAAAGAGTACTTTATTTTTTATTATGTTTGAATTTCTTCTACGAAAATATTCATTAAATTACTAAAATTAATACACTTTTGAAATAAATTAGCTGCAAAATAAAATTTATAAACTTTTGATTTAGATCTTAAATATTCATCATTTAAAATTTAAATTATTTATCTCTTTCTTGTAATTGCTTTTCCTAATTCTCTCTATGCTATTTAAATCTTTTAATTTAATGAGAAAATAAAAATAAATCTAATTCATTTAGTGGTAAATATTTTAAATTCATTGATCAAATTTCTGCATTCAACAAAAACTAATCTCTAAATATTTATTTAACTTCTTATAATTATATAAAGTCTCTTAAAATAAAAAAATTACTATTCAAGGGAAGCTTACAGATATTACTTTTGTTATATCTCCTATAGATATTTCTCATTTAAAGACTTACACCTAATTCATATTTAGTTAATTAATTATCTTTAAAAATAAAAATTTAATATTACTTTTCTTCTAATTTTTTAAAAGCTTCATTCATAGATTTTAATTAATTAATAAAATCTTTCTTTTATTGTTTAAGTTCTTTAATTTTATTATGTTAAATCTATATAAATTTAAATATTTATGTCATCTAAATATTTTTATCTTCTTTGAACCTATTATTTTTAGCAAAGAAAGAATGTAAATTTTATAGTTAGTTAGTTAATATAATTTTTACTTTTTGATGTTTTCATTTATCTCATTCAATATATTATTTTCAAAGAATTACTCATCTTTATTATCTTTACTTATTTTTTCCATAAGGATTTCGAAAGAATTGAATAATTCCTATAATTGGCTTTAAAGATCAAAAATTATTTTGTGATTTTTATTATTAAAGATTTTTACTCTTTTTTTTTACATTTTTAGTCCTATCTTTTGTTTTATAAATTAAAAAAAATTTAATTAATCAAAATAAAAAATTAAAATTAATAATTGAAATGTTTAATTAATGAAATTTATTAAATATGCAATTAAGCACTATATCTTTAATTTTCTATCTTTTTTCTGTTAAAACAAAAGTGTATTTTATGATAAAAAAAATAATCATACCCTTTTAATATGGATTTTATATACTATTCATCCTCTTCTGCTATTTTCAAGATTTGTCTGATATTTGTTGATTAAATCTATTTTAAAATACAATTTTTTAATTTATTAATTTTACTAATAATTTATTATTTGTTATACCTCCTCATCTTTCATAACACTAGATGGTACCTCATTTTTAATTTAGGTGAGAGAATTTTCTCTATTAGAATCACCTAACTGCATAAATAATAAATCAATAAAATAAAATCAAAGATAATTTACTAATGTCTGATCAAAAATAGGAGTTGTTATTCTTTTTTTCCCTGCATTACTAATTTTTAATATTTCTCCTTCCTAAAAAGTTAGTTATATAAAATTAGAAAAATTTTTTAGAAATAATAATTATAGTTTATAGTAGGCTTAAAATAAAAACTATAAACCTTCATTTATTAATAAAGCAATCTGCTAATTAAAAATTTTGCATTTTAAAATCCAATTTCATTTATATATTTTTTTTATTTTATAAAAATTAGGTGTTAAAAATATGAGGATTTTCAGTGTATTAGAGTCTGTTTGCTATCCTTAACAAACATCAATATGTTTATGTTAAATTATATTCAAGAATTATAAAATACATTTAAAAAATAACTTTAAGGGATCTCATAAATAGAATCTTATTAAACTTGCTTGAAGTTAGTTATTAATCCAATTTGAAGGATTTAATCTCTTTAAGTAATTAATTTATTGATTGTTTCTTTGCAAAACCAAATTTAACCATTCTAAAATACTTTATCCAAAATTACAAAAAAAGAAATAAAATAAATGATATATTCGTTTCTCTTAACAAAATTTAGTTAAAATATTTTTTAGGTTAGGTGTTTATATATATTACTATTAATCAGAAAATCAAATTTGGTAATTTGATTTTTGATTGTTTAAAAATATAATTTTATGAAACTCTTATCTGTAAGTAAATTTATTTATTCTCTTAATTCAACGATAAATACTAAAATGTTTTAATAATAAAAAAATACATTCTTGTTGTAACTTAGTCCTTATTTAGAGTTTAATCCGTCTTCAATTCCTGTATGAGTTGAATTGTTTTTATAGCCTTGATTTTCTTAGAGTTAATCTTGCTTTTATAGATAAAAAAATTTGGTAAATAATTTAATTCAAAATTAATTAAATACCTTGTTCTATTTGTCATTTATTTTATTTTCAATACTATTATCTGAATTATTTGTCTTTTGATTATATTTATATTTATTTTAATTAATATATTTAATTGTAATTTTAACTAATTAAATTCATTTTATCATTTTATTTTTACTTGCTATTTATTTTATAGCAGTATTATTTATTTTTTTTTTGGAATCTATTTTAAAATTCTTAATTTACAATTACTTTTTATTCAATATTCATTTGATTATTTTAATTGCTTTTGTCTTGCTCTTTTAAGATTTATTCTAAAGGACGCTCTTCTGTCTATTAAAGTTATTATTATAAATAAATTTAAAGTCTAAATATATTTTTAATAATAATAACTTTAATATCTGTATGAGTTTTATTATTTTTATAATCTTGATTGTCTTAAAGTTAGTCTTGCTTTTATAGATATAAAAATTAAGTAAATAATTTAATTCAAAACTAATTAAATACGCTTTCCTATTTGTCATTTATCTTATTATCAATTTCACTATCTGAATTATTTGTCTTTTGATTATATTTATATTTATTTTAATTAATATATTTAATCATAATTTTAACTAATTAAATTCATTTTATCATTTTATTTTTACTTGCTATTTATTTTATAAAAGTATTATTTATTTATTTTTTGTAATCTACTTTTAAAATTCTTAATTTATTATTACTTTTTATACAATATTCATTTGATTATTTTAATTGCTTTTGTCTTCCTCTTTTAAGATTTATTCAAAAGGGCGTTCTTCTGTCTATTAAAGTTATTATTATAAATAAATTCAAAGTCTAAATATGTTTTTAATAATTTAAATTATTTATTTTAAAATTGCATATTCTCCTACAAAATTAATCAAATTTAATAAAAAATGTTTAAATAATTGTTTTTTTACTAAATTGTGATTAGAAATCATTGACTTTTCATTAAATGTCATACTGTATATTTTTTCTTCATCTTCCTCTTTTTCCTATAAATATTATTTATAATTTTCGTTGATGATAAGGTTTTTATTTATTCTAATAACTACAAGAATATATATAAAGCTTTATAATTCTTATTTTTACACTTAATCTTGTGAATAAAAAAATAGTTTTTTTAAAGAGTTTTATATGAAATCATTAAATGCTTTGGGAAGCATTCTAAAAAATAAATAATTTTACTGATTTATCTAACAACTTATAGCTTTTTGGTTAATTTTGATAATGAAATAGTAATTTTTGAATTTTTAATGTGCATATTATCTTTAATAGATGATGATTTATGCTTAATTTTAAATAAATATCTATGAAATTAAATAAACTTTTTGATAGATTTAAGTAAATAATAATATCATTTCATATCTTAAGTAATAATACTCAATTAACTTTTATTTTTTATTGTTTTCAAATATTCCAAAAAAAAAAAAATGAAAATCTAAAATATTTACTATTTATACTTTATAGCAAAAGTGTTTATGATTTAATTAAAATGAAATTTCTTATAAATAACATTTTTTTTCTTATTCTTTAGTTCCATCACAAATAGTCAGTTATAGTTAAATTTAGTTTATCTCTTTTATATTTACTTATTATTCTAAGATTTCTTTAATATCCATCTACAGTTAATTTTTTTAAGTATCAACTTAAGATTATCCTATTGATTCATTATTATTTAATTCTGACTTATTATTTATACCTAAACATTTTTTAAAAAAATTATTTTTAGATATTTTCTCATTTAATAAAAAATAACTCTGCTTACATTTTTGCTACTTAATGATTTCTCTTTGAAAGAGAATTTGTAATTATATAGCTTTGAATAGCATTATTTTTATTTAATGTTTTGTATTATTTTTAGATGAAAATAATATTTGTTTTTTATTAAGCAATAAATTCTAAACATCTTGTGAGATTTCATCTAACTCTTAAATTATGATTAAGTTATCAGTTTGATTGAGCTAGCATAATTATTATTAGAAAAGCTGATATGTCTTTTTAAATATGATTTGATCTTCTGTTCCTTCCATTTTTATTTAGATTATCCTAAATAGACTTTGATTCGCTAATTAACTTATTTATTTTTTAGAAACTTTAATTATTTAATAAATAGATATCTATTTGCTTTAATCATTAAATTATTAAAATTTATTATGAATATATGAAATGATACATACATTAAAGAATTAAATATTCTAATAAATCAAATTTATTTTTTCAAAAAGCAAATACTTTTTTTGATATAAAAAATACAATCAATTTTAATAAAATATTTTTAATTTTTATTTTATTCCTACTATTAAATTTACAGATTAGTTGAAGTTAGTTATTTAGTTACTAAATATTATGAAAATGCATTAATTTCTTATTCTGATGCTTTTTCACATAAAATTTATTAATTAATTTTAGAATAAATAACAAATTTATAGATTATCAAAGAGGAATAGTTAAAAACAATCTTGAAAATGTTTAATATAAAAAGCATTAAACCTATAAACAAAGAAGGAAATAGCTACCAATAAATAATATTTGAGTTTAAGGAAAGGAGGGAGTTATAAATGTAGGATTAAACACTGATTGCTTTGTATTTTGAAATTTTTTTAGTTCTAAATGGTTAAAAAGATAACTCATTAATATAGTAAAAAATGTAAACTGCTCTAAAAAGTAATAATGGTTTAATCGAAAGAATAAGTGCTTATCTATTATAAGTATTAGATATGGGCTATTAGGATTTTAAATAGAATGCAAAAGCTATTTTTGATCGTATCAATAATGATATTACTAAAATTTAGATAAATCAAAATGAGTGCTTGACAACATAAGTATTAAGGGAGCAAGGATATTTATTTACTTCTAGCTAATATGATAAAATATATGATAAAGTATATATTCTTGAAATTTAAGAACCAACGCCAACCCCTAGCTCAACCGTGGAATTTGTAATATTAATTTTTTTGGTTATTAAAATAAATTTAAAATAATATATAGAATGATAACAAGGTAAAGAATCAAATATCTTAAAGGTGTTCAAACTGTGAATATTTTTAGGAAGTATTTATCAAAATAGGAGGAAATGATAAAAGATATTGCAATTTGTGTTTTGAAGAAGCTTTTAAAAATTATATTTGATTATATTTTCATAGTTGTAAATCACTTGTGTTTATATGATATTTATTATTCATATTTTGCAATTGATAAAATTAATTACTCTAAAGTAATTTAATATAAAATGGATTATTTATTTATATATATATATATACTCTGCTTATTTACTAAATAATTATATTTTGTTTTTAGCTTTCATTATAAAAAATTAAAATTATTTTTAAAATTTTAATTGGTAATAAAATATATTAAGAATAATTATTAGAAATTTGTAGTGTATAAGCAACTAAATTCTTCAAGCTATAAAATATATGACATAATTTAATTATTTAGTTCAAATGATAATTTAGATATGCTGAAGATATAATTACTTAAAAAATAATGAAGATAAGAAGGAAGATCTAATATAATATTCTAATATGTATTATGATTGTTATGACATAAGAAAAAATAATTAGAATAAAGATATTAGTTCCCTATTTATTTTATTGTAATTTATAAGATTTCAAATATCTAATTAATTTATTAAGGAGTATCTATCTATTTTATTTTTATTAATCGAATAAAACAAATCAAAAGGATATCTATCATAGACAGTAAGTACTAAAGCTATTTATTAGGGAAGATTAGATTGAACAAACCAAAATAAAAAATGGGCTCAGTTAGAGAATCTCAGAGTTCAATTGAGATGTTAAAAAATTAAGTTAGCTACAAATTATACTTAAATAAAACAAATGATAGAAATGATTCAAGTTCACTAATAGGGAATAAATAATCGCTTGTTTCTTAGTAAAAAGCAATTAAATACTTAGAAGAGATAAAATTAGAAATAAATAACCCCTACGCGTTTAAAAAGACAGCTTTAGTATAATAGGAATAAGAAAATAATTTTATTTTTTTTCAATAATTAAATTATTATAATTAAATAAGTGATGATAAAAATGAATTTAATGAAGAATCTCTTAAAAATTTCTACCACAAAAAATTGCAATTAACTTTTAAAGAGGAATGCAATAGAGTGAAATTTAATGAGTGCGATTTGTGTATTAGTGGTGCTTTGGCATCTTTATTCATTCTTCACATAAGATTCTAAATTACTTATGAAGCAAAATCATTTTTTGAAAGCCTTAAATTTTAGAAAAAAAATCTTAGTGAAAGTGTTTATAATTAACTAATTGAGCTTTTGTTTTAATAAAAATCCATTCAAAATATATGGTTTAAAGAACTAGAAAAGCTGTTTTCATCTTAAAAAAGCTATGAAGAAGTGCTTTCCTTTTTTCTTTAAAATTTTACACAGGTGAATTTGTAAAATAAAAAGAATGAAGATGATATGAATGCCATACTTGAATATTTTTCTCAAAGCTTTCAAGTCTTTATTAAAGTTTTTAATGAAAAAGGTGAAAAAATTCCTTTTTTCCCTTTCTAAAACTAAATATTTGATGATTAAAAATTTTAAGAGTAAAAAGAGTAGATCATTCCCTTTATTTTAATTAAGCAAATAAAGAATGGCGTTGATGTGTACTTTAGTCAGCCATTTTTTAATATTATCCCAGAATAAAGCGACTTGTAACTAATATAAGAAAAACCGATTGGAGATTTAATAAATGAGTAATCTCACTATTTAGTTGAAAACACCAATTACTTAAATTAGTATAGTGAATATGTCATAACAAATAATCCTTTTTAGTGTATAGTTTCATTAACATATATAAACATGATTTAAAAAATGATTGATTTAGCAAATAATTCAAATCTCTAAGAACAAGAAAAAGAAGAAGTAAAAATGCTTTTGAACAAATTTAATAAAGCATTCTAAAAAGATAAGGGAGTAGACAACAGCAGTGGTTTTAGTGACTTAAATTAGACATAAACATAAAAATTTTGTAATAAATTAAATGAAATTAAATAGCTCACCGATAAAAAAATAGAAAAAAAAAATTTAAAAGAATTTATTAAATTGCTAAGTAATCTTAAAAAAGATTTTGAATAAAGTTAGGAATTGAAGAAATAAGCTTATGAATATGTTAAAAATCAAATAAAAAAAAAAGAAGAGATTTGCTTGAGCTCAAAAGAAATAAATGAGTATTTCGAAGATGAATATTATGGTAACCTTTTGCCAAAAGAGTATTTTCCTAGCTTGGTTATTAGTCAGTAAGAATATATTATTTTAATCCCTAAAAAATTATAGGGCTAAAAAAAAAGAAGCTCCGGTTTATGTTTAAAAATCAAAAGCTTTTTCAGATGTATTTGGTATTATTTAAGTTTTCAATGCTGCCGCAGCAAAAAAAACCAAAATGAAGATAATAATGAAAGTTAATCTCATAAAGAAAATTAATAAAGTAGTTTGAGAGAAAATTTAATCAATGAATCTTAACAAACATAAAAATAAATAGAACTGCCAAACTATACTAGTCCCTTTTTTGTAATTATATTTGATTAAGAGGAATATACAGAATAAATGCGGAAATAAACGATGTAGGCTAAAACATTAAGTTAATTAATAACATCAAAAAGAGGTACTAGCTAATTTTTTGAAAGTTCCAGTGAAAATGAATAGGATAGCTCAGAAACTTAATCTATTTAATTCTAAAAAGCTGAACCTAACTACCCAGAAAAGGCTCTGAATAATAATTAAATATAATCAAAACCATAAAATATTTCTTAACCTAAAGTCTAATAACCAATTTAAGAAGAAAGTTCTCTAAATAGATAAGATGAAGAAGAAGAAGAATAAAAATAAATTGAATAAATTCCATTATGTTTGTAAGAAAAGGCTCCGAATAATAATTAAATATAATCAAAATTATAAAGTATTTCTTAAACTAAAATCTAATAACCAATTTAAGAAGAAAGTTCTCTAAATAGATAAGATAAAGAAGAAGAAGAATAAAAGGAATAAATTAAATTATATTTGTTAGATGAAAACTAACAAAATTAACTTTAACATTAAGATTAATAAAGTACCTAGCAACAAGAGTAATCTGACTAATAGCAAGCATAAATTGATTTATAAAAGCAAGCTAATTAGAAGTAAATAGAAGAGATGTAAAAGTATCAAGAGCAAGAAGCTAACCTGAAAGAATTTCAAAATAAACTATCAAAGGCACATATAATTTAAATGTGTGCTTGTGGTAATATAATAAATGTTTTTTATAAAAATTATAATTGTTGCTAAAAATGTTTAACTAAAAAGTTTTACAAATATTGTTGATAGAAAGCAAAGAAACAAAAAATTCAATTAAAATAACTTTAATCTTTAGACACATTATATTAAAATAAATTTAATTAATTTTAAATATTAAAATTCAAATTTAGTTTATTTATTCTTAATGTAATTTGCATCAAATTATAAATAAATAAATTGTTTATTCTTTTTAATTTCAAAATTAATTATTTAATTCAAATTTATTTATGAAAAAATTATTTTAAAAACTCTTTTTTTCTTTTCAATTAACTACTAAAAATTATAACACAGAGTTGTTTATAAATAAGAGTGATATATGATTAATAAATATTTTAAATTATTAAAATTTATATTTGAGTTTATTTATTCTTAATGTAATTTGCATCAAATTATAAATAAATAAATTATTTATTCTTTTTAATTTCAAAATTAATTATTTAATTCAAATTTATTTATGATAAAATTATTTTAAAAACTCTTTTTTTCTTTTCAATTAATTACTAAAAATTATATCACAGAGTTGTTTATAAATAAGAATAATATAAGATTAATAAATTTTCTTTTATTCCTAAAGCTTTTACGTTTGTTTGTTTGTTTGTTTGTTTGTTGAATTTAATAATTTAATAATTTAATAAAATTTATAAAAATTTATTTTAATTTTGAAAAAATTAAGCTTTTAAATTTAATCTGGCTTTGTTAGCCAAAAAAACTTTTAATTTTGAGAAAAGGAGTAGAGTGGATATTTAGTTACTTCAATTAAGAAGTAAATATGGATTGACTTCTTTGATAAAATGTAGATAGATATATGATACTGAATCGATGTAATTAAAATAAAGTAAGTAGGAATTAACTATTAGGTTTTGAATGAAATTAAAAATTGTGCTAAATTGAATTTTCTCATAAAAATAACATAATTAATTATTACTATCTATTTAGGCCATAAAAAATTACAAAAAGTACTACTAAAAGCCTATCTTTTATTCACTAATTGATTATATAATTAATTAAATAAATAATAATAAAAGTACTTAGAAAATTGTTTATTTAACTCATCTGCTATAAAATTACAGCAATTTAATACAAGTGCTTCAAGAACTTTATAAATGAATAAAACCGACGATAATCAAGCTCAGAAGACTACTGAATAAGCTAGCTATAAATTAAATTAGGTGGTTCCAATCTTAGGCCCTATTTAGAGTTTAAGCGAAAATTTAGATGATCAATAAAATTAATTTGCTAATACTAATTTGTAGCAGATCAACAAAGCACCTACTTCGAACCCACCAACTATTTTTCAATAGCAATCTGCTTCAAATAGAAGTGATTTTCAATCTTAGCAAGATGGCGAAGTTGATAAAACGTAAAAAGAGTTAGAAGCACTCACAAATCATAAATATTCTTTGAGTCCTTGGCGCTTTGTTTAATTGTTTCTTTATATAGTAAGTGATCTATCTAATTCACTGAGTATTTACACCTTCTAAACAATAGGCGCCCAAGTAGCTAAAATTTATGATTTAGACCCATTTTTAGTTTCTCTTAATCTTTCATTTTATTCTCTTCTTTATCCTTTTGTATCTCTTCTAGCAAATTACATTATTGATTAAAGAGGAGCTGCTTTTTCTGTTAAGATAGGTGTTATTCTTACTACTATAGGGTTTTCTCTCAGATTATTGATTAAATTTAATTGGGGTTACGTCTTATTAAGCTGTATCTTTTGTGGTATGGGAGGTCCTTTGATATTCAATGCTAAGTGCAGATTTTAATCTAACTGGTTTCATGCAGGAGATTTACCTCAAATTACCACTATATCCACTATAGTAACTAGTTGCAATGGCATTATAGGTGTTTTGTTACCTGGATTTTATTTCACTGGATATGATTACAAGACTGATCACTCTGAAAATTATTAAGACGGTAAAGATCTGATGATGAATCTTTTAATAATTGAACTAATAATTGTTCTAGTCTGTGCAGGATTAAGCTTGCTTTTCTTAAGAAGTAAGCCAGCTAAACCACCTAGTTTTGTTTCTACAATACAAAGAGAAAACTACAAAGAAGCAATCAAAGGTAAATTCTTTTTAAATTAATTTTTTTTTTTTTAATTTGTTTTTGTTTGTTTTCAAAATTATTTTTAATAAACTTTTTGTTGTTTTTGTTGAACTAACGCTTAGATTTTATTAGCGAAGTTAATTGATTATTTTTAAATTTAAAAATTTTTAATTTTCATCTTAAAAAAATCTAATTTTTCTGATAAATAAATATGTGCTTACAACAAACATACAAGCTCCATTTTAATTTAAAAATGATTATAAAAAAATATTATTTATTTATTTTGAAGGTTATATTGATAATGTTTAATAAATAAAATAGGTTTGATAAAAAATAGAGCATATTTAAAGCTGAATGTAGCTTCTATGCTTTTTGTAGGAAATACATCAGCACTAGCTGCACTCTTTTCATTTGCAATTCAACCCTGGGGCTTTAACTAAACGGATACAAGTTATTGTGCTGCTGGTATGGTTGTGACTGGTATAATAGGTTCTGTCATTAATGCTCCTTTGCTAAGAAAATACAAGAAATTTAAAATGACAACAATAATTTTAGCTATTGTTATGTTAGTTAATGTAGCAATAATAATAGGCATTTTGAACTTAGAGAGCAGGATCATTTTGGTTTTATTTGTTTCTCTTTTTGGAGGTGGCTACTAACCCCTAGTAAGCACCACATATGAATATGCATGTGAAGTTGCTTTCCCAATAGGAGAAGGTAGTGCATAAGGATTTTTACTTGGAACATCTTCTATATTTGGATTCGTTTGTATAACAGTTTTTGGTGCTATAGTACAAGGGTAAAATAAATCATAAACCTATATCATGTTGGGCTATTTGATTGCTTGTTTGATAATTGGAATACTTCTTATTTTTACTTCGAAATTCAAGCTAAATAGGTTTAATACAGAATTAAAAAACTTAAAAGACTAAAATAACGAAAACAACAATTTAAAGACTCCTGGGTTATTTGAAACACCTGAAAAGAAAAATACAGCAAATGAAAACTTCAATCAAGAAAATGTAGAGGAACATAATTCTGGTTTCAAAGCAATCATAGAACATTAAATATTAATGACTACACCAGATTAGGGTTCAGGAACTAGCAGCAACATTCCTTTAAATGCACCTTTATAATAAGATAGCAACAATATAACTAACTAACTTTCTCATAAATAATCTTAATCGATAAGCAATTGAATAAAAAGTGCAATATCAATCAATCAATCAATAATTTTCTTTTAAAATTAAAAAAAATAAAATTAGCTTTAAATAAATAAATTCTCTATAAATTAATTAATTAATAAAGTAAATGAATGACTCATTAATTCTTTTTTGATGTAAATATTTATCAATTTTATATTCTAATTTTAATCATAACAAATTAATTTTATATATTTATCTATAAATTAATTCATGCATAAAATATATTCTGTAAAATTTCAAAAATACATAATTCGTAAATAGGATTAATTTAAAAATCCATTTTATTAAAAAAAAAAAATTTTTTAATATTTACATGCACAAAAAATGATAGATTGTGATAAACTATATTTTATGAAAAATTAATGATAGAAAGATCATATATAAATATGATATACTTTTTGGCTTAGATTTATGCTGAGTTGTTATTGGGAATATTTTAAGAATTTTATTAAAATATTTATAATTAAAAATATTTATTTTTGCTTAATTATTCCAAATATTACTGTCCAAAAAATAAATCAGTAAGAGCCAATCTGAAGAATTTATCAACACTAACTAATTTATAAAAAAGCACTTTTTTTATATCAAGCTATTAATTTTTATTCTTTAATTCTTTAAAAAATAAATAGTTCAAATGGTATGGCATCAAATAAATTTTTTCATACTTTGCAATTTTTTATTGAAATTTTTATTTAAGAGTATAACTTAGCTTTCATAATATTGGGATAGTTATTTCTAATTGAGCTCATTATACAATAAACTTAGATAAGCAAATATTTTGACATCGTTTTTAGTATATTTAATACATTTTTAATAAAACTGCATTGCTTGTTCGTATTTCTATGAGGATCTGTAAAGACTTGCTATTAAATAGTAAGCTAAATAGTTGTTATTAAAATTTCCTAAGTTAATTATATTTTAGCATTAAATTAGCGATTTATTTATTTCCTAAGGATTTAAAAAATAATTCAGATTTTTACAAGTCTTTGTAATAGTTCAGGTAAATCTCTCCTAATTTAATTAGATTCACAGCGTTTTGAGGATATTCTAGTAAGCTTTTAATACAATCATTTTCTATTTATAAAACATTTTCATAATCAAATTCAATTTGTTTGTATCTTTCTATATAATCTATTTCACCTTATTTTATGTTTTCTATTTGCTGATTACTTTTAGAATTTAATTTTGATTTTATTAAAAAAATATAAAATAGAATTTTACCTGAGAATTAGATTCTGATAAATAAATTATCTGATGATTGGAATACTTGGTCTTTTATCCTTATCTTCATTAAGAATAAATTAGATTAATTTATTACATTCATCATCAACTTTAGGAGCTGTATTAACTTTCCTAGTTATCAGATAAGATTAAGAAAAGTCTATACCTCCAATCATCTAAAGGCGCACTCCAATCGCCCAAATGTCCCCTTTTTATGAATAAAGTAATTCATTTTTACTATTTAATATCTCTGGAGGATAATAAAATGCTGCTCCCTTGAGACATTTTGTAAGTAGCATTTGTTCTTCTATTTCTGGCTTAAATTTTTTAGCTAAACCAAAATCACAAAGCTTCAGTGTACCATCTTAACATATTAGAATGTTGCCTAAAGAAAGATCTCTAAGTACGTAGTTTAGATTATGGATATATTCTACTCCATCTAAAAGTTAGTTTGCAAAATGTATGAACTGCTTCTAAGGTATAAAAGTGCCTTGCTAAGATTCAACCCACTTTTGAAGAGAACTATCACACTGTTCCATCTCAATAAAATGATAATTTTTTATTTAATAATCCTCGTACACCTTTACTACATTTTTGTGCTTTATTTCTCTAAGAATTTTAGCCTCATCTTGACAACTTTGAAGTTTTTCATTATCTATTATTTAAAGATGTGGATCAATTACTATTTGAGCTTTAATGGCATATTTTTTAATTTTATTTGCATCTTGTCGATCTTCCACAAATATGCATTTTCCAAATGAACCACTTCCTGCATTCAAATTTGTTATAACATAATTTTTCTTTTCCTCACATAATATTTTTGCTATATTCTATACAATTTATAATTATTTGTCTTCAAACTAACTCATTTTGTTATTGAATCAATTGAGATAATTAATACTTTTTGTTAGATATATATATTTGATTAAATTAAATATACTGATGAGTAATTTTAAATTAATATTGTACAGTTATTCCTAATAGTTAGAATATTAATTAAATTATCTAGATCAACAAAAATAAGCATCCTTTTAAATCAATAAGATCAATTACATTAAAACTATTTTTTTGTTCATATTTATAATCACAACTTGATATTCTATGATATCAAAAATTTATTTAAATTAGTATTATACAAATATTGGTTAAATATTTAAAGGTAAAGATATGAACTAGATAGATTTGCAAGTTGATGGATTTTTTGGTCTGACTTGATTTTCGATTTTTAAAATTTTATTCAAAATATTTTTTTAATCTAAATTTATTGAATTTTTTATAAGGAAACTATAATTAATGTTTAATTTAATATTTTCATTGTAATTAATTAATTAATTATTTAATTTTAAAATTTTAAAAAAAGTTTCAAAATAGTTAGTTACTAAAATAAAATTTGAATTTAATGTAAGCATATATTATAAATTTAATATAAATTTATTTATCATACAGCTTGTTAACTGTTTTCCTAACTAAATGCAGGATAATCAGTGTATCCTCTAGCTCCACCTGTGTAGAAAGTATTATGATCAGCATTCAAATTGAGGGGATAGTTGTTTTAAATTCTAACTGGGAGGTCTGGGTTGCAAATACCTAAGTAGCCAAATGCAACAGCATCTAAAGTACCTTACTAGACTAATTTAGTTCCTTCATCTACAGAAATACCTGTGTTTCCTACAAATGGTGTCTTCTTTAATAGAGGTCTCAATGTTTCATAAAAGTTTGGTATCTAATAATCAGGGAGTTATCTACCAGGTTTTTCTTTTTTAGGATCAACTGGACCATGTCTTTTTACTTCAACAAATTGAAGACCTTTCTTGTCAAGTTAAGGCAAGAGATAAGATAAAAGTTACAAAGGGTTAGAGTCATACATATCACTAAATCTATCTGTTGGAGAAACTCTCACACTAACATTTTCAGCACTGAAACCATCTATAAGTCTATCAACAGCTTCAAGTAGGAATCTACTTCTGTTTTCAACACTGCCACCATATTCATCTTTTCTTTGATTAGTTCCATCTCTAAGGAATTAATCGACAAGATAACCATTAGCACCATGTAGCTGGACACCATCAAAACCTGCTTATTTTGCTAATATAGCTGAATTTTGGAATTCCTCTAATATTTATTAGATCTAAGATTTAGTCAATTCCTTAGGTGTTTCATAAGGTTTTTAAGTCAAAAAATCTATTCCATTAATGGCTATTGGGGAGGGAGCTACAGAATCAGCACCTAAAATGGCTTTATTTCCAGAACGACCTACATGATAAAGCTAAATAGAAATCTTGCCACCACTTTAATGAACTTTCTCTACAACCCTCTTCCAAGCCTCAAGGTGTTTACCATTAAAGAGAGCACCATTTCCTTTTGATTAAATTGATAAGATAAGGTTTTATTTATTCAAAAAAAAATATATTTAGAATTACCTGGATATGTGTTTGCATAAGGATTGATGAAACTTGCTTCTGTAACAATAAGTCCAAAAGATGATCTTTAACTGAAATATTCTGCCATAATATCAGTAGGAGTACCATCTAATTCACCTCTCATTCTAGTCATTGGAGCAAGGATGAATCTATTTTTGAGATTTAACTTTCCTAAAGTTATTGGAGTTAGCAAATTCTTCATTTCTTAATAATGGGAATTTATTTATTTTTTAGGATATTTAGTTTAATTTTATCTTTTGCTATTAAATTTTATATTTCTTAAAATGAAATAGTTTGGTTATTATTTAATAATACTCTAACATTATTTCTGGAATTATTCTTTTGACTTTTGATTAAAACTAAAATAGATTCCTTATTAAATTACCACACAAATTATTTTGTCTTAACAAAAAATGAATATAATATTAAACTAATGATTACTAATTTGAAGATTTTAAGTCATCATATAATTATTATTGATAAGAAACTTTCTACAAAAAAATTAAAATGTAACAAAATACCAAATTTAAGTACCATTTTTTTAAATAATGATAAGAATTTAATTGTTTATGAATATTTGTCAGTAAAATGTCAACTTCATAAAATACAATAAAATAATATTGTAAATATTTTTGATTGAATAGCAAGTCGCTTGCTAAAAACTTTTGTTTTTAAACAAATAATTACAATAATGTTAAATAAATCTCCTTTCATTTCCTTAATTAAAAAATACAAAATAGAAAACCACAAACATAAAAATTTGACCATCACTATTTCTATCGTTTTTATTTGGTTAATTAGAAAATTAGCAAAGTTTACACTTTTTTAAGCAAATGATACATTTTGCATCAATAAACATCATAAAATTAGAAGTTAAGCTAATTAACTTACTTAAATAGAAAAAAACTAGAAATTTGCTAAGAAATTGTTTTTAGTTGATTTACAGATTTAAAATAATAGCATTTTAAATGCTTGCTTTATCAAAAATATATTTCAATAACTTATTTTTCCTATTTTAAAACTTAAAATTTCTAAAATGCTTAATATAAAAATACATTTTTTGTTAAAGGCAAGATTAATTATATGTAAGCAATAATATTTAGTTTGTTATTTTACCAAATTTATAAAAATATATTCAATTAAGATTTAATGGAAGGCTAAATGAATTTATTTGGTTGACTTTTAAATAAATAGTAAATAAAATGGTTGAATATTATAAGTAAATCTATTTTTATACAATTTAAATTTATGAGATATTATATAGTAGGTCATTAGGCTTGATACCTCTTTTAAACTTTTGAGAAGTAAATATGCTCAGTTTATTTATTATACATATTATTATAGCTAGTGAAGTATTAAAATATGTATAAGTGTATGCAAGAATCTTCAATTTAATATAGATATTAGTAAAAATTAAAAAATATATTCAAAAAATTTGACTTTAAGTTTATAAAATTTTAAATTTTTTAATTGTTATTTTTAATGATATCTCACTATTAATAGACGATTAAGTATCTTAAAGCATCTTCTTTTAATTATTTAATAACCTAAATTGTATTATGCAAGCTTTAGTAGAGTCTTATAATGAATTCTGTAAGTGTATTAATCCATTTATTTTTCCCCCTACAAATCATCTGTGTCTTCAAAGACTGCTCCTCTTAATTAGTATTTACATTATATATTGCCAATTATATTTATATCAAAGTTTTTGAAGGCCATATAATTCTTATAATTTTATATCTTTCAAACTGTTCATTCAAAATATTTAATCATACTAAAATCAATGTCAATATTCTTTGAAAATTAATTAATAAATTAATATCAATCAGAGTCTAATAACTCTTCAACATGTTCTAAATTATCTGGTAATATTTCTTTGGTTAACCATTTTTATAAGATCATTGTGATAAAAGTAATACTATTTATAGAGAATAAAAATAAGTAATAATTTAAAAAATATAATGTAAAATTAACTGTAACATTTGCTTTATATATTCATTCAAATTTAAAAAAATTAAATATTCTATAAAGAATATAATTAAGATGAGGAACAAAAAATTTTAGTCAGTAACTTTATTCAGGAATAGGTATATTTAATTAATTTTGAGATAATAAAATTAAAAAAAAACTTTCAAAAATAAAAAATTAAATTATTTATAAAATACTAAATTTTTTTCAAAATATTTTTTGTTTAGAAATTTCATTCAATTTTGTTTATGTAAACTAATAAGTTTATTTGAATATTTTCATTACAATTAATTTTAAAATTTAAAACAAAGTATCAAAATAGTTAGTTACTAATATGAAATTTAAATTTAATGCAATCATATATTATAAATTTATCTATCATACAGCTTGTTATCTATTTTCCTAACTAAATGCAGGATAATCAGTGTATCCTCTAGCTCCACCTGTGTAGAAAGTAGTGGGGTCAGCATTCAAATTGAGGGGATAGTTGTTTTAAATTCTAACTGGGAGGTCTGGGTTGCAAATACCTAAGTAGCCAAATGCAACAGCATCTAAAGTACCTTACTAGACTAATTTAGTTCCTTCATCTACAGAAATACCTGTGTTTCCTACAAATGGTGTCTTCTTTAATAGAGGTCTCAATGTTTCATAAAAGTTTGGTATCTAATAATCAGGGAGTTATCTACCAGGTTTTTCTTTTTTAGGATCAACTGGACCATGTCTTTTTACTTCAACAAATTGAAGACCTTTCTTGTCAAGTTAAGGCAAGAGATAAGATAAAAGTTATAAAGGGTTAGAGTCATACATATCACTAAATCTATCTGTTGGAGAAACTCTCACACTAACATTTTCAGCACTGAAACCATCAATAAGTCTATCAACAGCTTCAAGTAGGAATCTACTTCTGTTTTCAACACTTCCACCATATTCATCTTTTCTTTGATTAGTTCCATCTCTAAGGAATTAATCGACAAGATACCCGTTAGCACCATGTAGCTGGACACCATCAAAACCTGCTTATTTTGCTAATACAGCTGAATTGTGGAATTCCTCTAATATTTATTAGATCTAAGATTTAGTCAATTCCTTAGGTGTTTCATAAGGTTTTTAAGTCAAAAAATCTATTCCATTAATGGCTATTGGGGAGGGAGCTACAGAATCAGCACCTAAAATGGCTTTATTTCCAGAACGACCTACATGATAAAGCTAAATAGAAATCTTGCCACCACTTTAATGAACTTTCTCTACAACCCTCTTCCATGCCTCAAGGTGTTTACCGTTAAAGAGAGCACCATTTCCTTTTGATTAAATTGGTAAAATAAGATTTTATTTATTTAAATAAATATATATATAGAATTACCTGGATAAGTGTTTGCATAAGGATTGATAAAACTTGCTTCTGTAACAATAAGTCCAAAAGATGATCTTTAACTGAAATATTCTGCCATAATATCAGTAGGAGTACCATCTAATTCACCTCTCATTCTAGTCATTGGAGCAAGGATGAATCTATTTTTAAGATTTAATTTTCCTAAAGTTATTGGAGTTAACAAATTCTTCATTTCTAAATAATGCTTTATTTATTTTTTGGATATATAGTTTTATTTTATTTTTTGCTATTAAATTTTATATTGATTCAAATTAAATATTTCGGATATTATTAAATTATCCTCAAACATTATTTCTGGAATTATTCTTTTTGATTTTTGATTAAATCTAAAATAGATTCCCTATTAAATTACCACACAAAATATTGTTTTTATAAAAATTAATTTGATTAAACCAAGGATTACTAATCTGAAGATTGTAAGTCTTCATTTAATTATTAATGATAAGAAATTTTCTACAAAAAATTAAATGTAACAAAGTACCAAATTTAAGTACCATTTTTTTTAAGTAATGATAAGAATTTAATTGTCTTTGAATCTTTATCAGTAAAATGTCTTCTTCATAAAATACAATAAAATAATATTGTAAATGTTTTTGATTGAATAGCAAGTATCTTGGTAAAACTTTTGTTTTTAAACAAATTATTACAATAATCTTAAATAAATCTCCTTTCATTTCCTTAATTAAAAAACACAACGAATTAATTTCCATTAAAATAGAAAAACGCAAGCATCAAGATTTGATAATCGCTATTGCTAGCGTTTTTATCTGATTAATTTGCAAATTAGCAAGGCTTAATCTTTTTTTATTAGCAAATAATACACTTTGCATCAATAAAAATCAAAAATTAGAAGTTAAGCTAAGTAATTTATTAAAATAGAAAAATATCGGATGTTTGCTAAGAAATTGCTTTCATTTGATTTACAGATTTAAAATAATAGTATTTAAAATACTCATAATATCAAATTTATATTTGAATAATTTATTTTTACTTATTTTAAAACTTAAAATTTCTAAAATGCGCCAGATTAATATATGTAATAATATTTTAGATTGTTATTTTACCAAAATAATAAAAATATATTAAATTATGATTTAGTAGAAGGTGAGTTACATAAATTTGGTCGATTTTAAAATAAATAGTAAAATGGTTGAATTTTATAAGTAAATCTATTTAAATACATTTTAAATTTATGAAATAATACAGTGTAGGTCATTAGGCTTGATACCCCTTTTAAACTTTTTGAGAGGCAAATATATTCAGTCTCATATATCTAAAATATTGACAATTTTAGAGCAGGGGTCTCAAGTCTAATGACACACTCTGTAGTTTGCTAAAATTTAAAAACGTCTTTATATAAATAGTTTTTAAAAAAATTAAATTTATTTATGAATGCAATTTATTATTATTATTATTATTATCTGCTTTATAATCTCTGGAATTAAATCAAATAAATTTAATTTGTTAAAATAAATTTTGGAAAGATATTCACAATATTTTTAAATCAAATTAATTGATTTGAGCTTCTTTCTATTTGCTTTTATATTTTTATTATTCTTCTTCTATCTCAAAATTATATTTATTATTCTTCTATCTCAAAATTAAAAGTATTTATTATTCATCATTCTAAAATATAAGATATATATTTAGCACTTTACAATATTAAAAATAAAGCATTGATATTGGATTTTTTGAGCCAATCACATCTAAAAAGAATTGTTTTTATTAGCAACATCCTAAAAAACTGATCTTATTTTAAGTCTGAATTTTAAATTATAAAATAATGTATAAGATTCATAATATATATAAGGAAAATTATTTAAAAATTATAATAATTAAGATGGAGGTTTAAATAAAAAAGAGAGATGCATTTGTGGGATATAATCTATTAATATTTAATTATAAAAAAATTAATTTAAAAAAGAGAAATAGTTTGATTTTTAATTACGAATGTATTTGATATTAGCTAAGTTAATAAAAAATATTAAATAAATATTTTAGGGATATCAGAATAATTAAAGAAATGAATCATTAACCAAATCGTGAGAATATCGAAATAAATGAATGCAGAAAAATTCTCAGCAATTTTTAATTAGAAAATTCAAATAAAGATCTATTCATCTTTTTAGCTGGAATATCTTATGCTTAAAGCTAAATGAAAAAAAATGAATTGAATGAATTTACTTAATTACTTATGTAGTTCTCTTTGTAGTGCAAAAATTCAAATAACCAAACGAAAGCAGATGAAATCTTCTATTTTCTGTTGAATTACAAGTCATAAGACCCTCTGGATTTCATAAAAAATAAGTGTTAAAACTAAATTAAAAAGGAACTAAAATAAAAGCCATTGTTAATTTTTGATGGTGTAAATTATTTTAATAAATTAAAAAATTAAATCGAAATAAGAAATCTATTTTTTTCTATTGTATTTTATTATTAGATAGATACATTTTTTTGCTCTTTTTTTAAATTAAAATTTGTAAAAATAAATAAGGAGGAAATTCCCATCAATAATACGATAATAGTAAATAAATATATCATTGATAAAGTAGAAGAAAACAAAGAAGAATTATAATAAAAAGTAGAATTAGTAAATTAATAATAAAAAGAAAGAAAAGAAGAAAATGATGATGAAGAAGAAGAAAAAGAAGAAGAAAGAAAGCATGAAATATTTGAAAAATAACTAATAAATAAATAAAATACATAATTATGCAAAGTCTGTTATGAATAAGATAATCAAAAACAAGTTTTTTCTCTTTCATGCTGCTATAACTAATTCCATTAAACATGCTTATAAGAATGCTTTACTGCTTAGATGAGTCAAGGTATATCTCCATTTAAATGTCCTAACTTTGACTGCAATTAAGATGTTAAGGAAAATGAAATACTAATAATTTAAAGATACAATTAATAAATATAATCTAGCATATTTAACGAAGGAAGCATTAATGTAAATCGAATTTTAGATTAAATAAATATTTATAATTTTTTTAAGTATATGAATTCTAGTATTATGAAATCATTTGAAATTGAAGAAAAATAGGATATTTTAGAATAAAGTGTAAGCTTAAAAAAAGAAAATTTAAAGCTGAACTGTAAGATATGTATTTTAGAAATGGATGAAAATTTTATTTAAACTCTTTAATGTGGACACAAATTCCATAGAGATTGCTTAAAAACATACTTTAATTATGAAATAAATCAAAGAAAGTTTCCTCTTAAATGTCCTTAGCAAGAATGTTTGTAAGAAACATATCAATAAGTTGTGAAAGAAATATTAAATGAAGAAGATTATCAAAAATTTGAAAATTTTTAGTTATTTAATTACATCGACTTAAACTAATCTTAAGTAAAATGAATAAATGATTCATTTATTTGTTAATTTAAATTTTAACATTTTTATTTAATAGATTTAATGGTGCCTAACTCCTGATTGTGAATATGCTTTTATTTAAGAAAAAGACTTAAATCAATTCAATTGCCCTAAGTGCAAGAAGGATTACTGCTTAGCTTGTAAATGTGAGTTTCATGAATATTTAACATGTGAATAATATTAAATATCCAAAAATAAATTAGTAAATAAATAAATATTAAAATTTGATATTTCAGCATTAAAATAAATCATTTTGTTAATAGCAAGATAAGTAATTTGAAGATTTCGCAAAAGATAAGAATTTCAAGAAATGTTCTTCATGCAAAATGTGGGTAGAAAAAAATTAAGGGTATATTTATTTATTTAATAATTTAATTGATTTTAATTCATTTTTTTTAATTTAAAGCTGTAACCATATGACATGCAGATGTGGATATGAATTTTGTTATTTATGTGGAGGACCTTAAAATAATTGTGATTGTAGTAAATAAACTTAGATTAATTAAGGAAATAACCTATTACTTAATTTTGTCCAAGAAGGTTTTGCCTAAAATATTTAATAAGAATAATAAATAAATATTGCTAATAATAATAATAATAATTAAAGTAATGCTTAAATATATCAATAATAGTCATTTTAGACCATAGAAAATTCTTAATTTAGTTAAAATAACTTTTTGAGATAAAATACTTAGAGTTAACAATAATAGTTTTAACTTTAAGAGAATAATAATAATAATAATAATAATAATAATTAAAGTAATGTTTAAATATATTAATAATAGCCATTTTAGAACATAGAAAATCCTTAATTTAGTTAAAATAACTTTTTGAGATAGAATTCTTAGAGTTAACAATAATAGTCATTTCAGACCATATAAAATCCTTAATTTAATTATAATAATTTTTTGAGATATAATTCTTAAAGTTAACAATAATAGTTTTAGCTAAAAGATAATTAAAATACTCAATAATAATAATAATAGAAAAATAAGATACAAAACAGTAATTCAAAAATTAATCAAATTTAACTAGAACAAATGCTTTAATTTAAAGGCAAAAATAATAATTTTTAGGTAATTAATTTGAGAGAAGGAATATGAATATAAATATAAATATGAATATGAACATGAACATGCCAAATGATTAATATACAATAATTTAAAATTAATAATAATTTTAATATCAACCATAGCAATAAAAATTAGTTAATAAGAACGGTTCACTTAATTCACAATTATTTAAAAATTAATAAACAGATGAAAATAATATTTAATAAGCTAACTATCCAAAATTTCCTTTGTAAAAAATAAATAATTTAAATTAAATAAATACATCTGAAACTTATAATGAAGAAATACACACTAAAAATTAAAATTACTCATCTAAAGCGAATAGCTAAAGGAATAACTTCAACACTCTTAATGAAGTAAATGAAAAAAATCATACCTAATCTACAGAATACACACAAACAAAGTTTAATTTAAATAAATATAGTAATTAACCTTTAAAAACAGAGAATCCATAAAGTAGTATTGTTGGACCTAAGAGAAGTTAAAAAATGATAGTTACTGAAAACAATATTTAATAATCTAATTATCCAAAATATCCTTATTAAAAAATAAATAACTTTGATTAAATAAATACATCAGAATATAATGATGAAGAAATTACATACACTAAAAATTAAAATTAAACATCTAAAGCAAATAATTAATTTAACTTAAATTAAAACTTTTCTCCTAATAGCTAAAGGAATAATTCCAACTCTTTTAAAAAAGTAAATGAAAAAAACCATACCTAAATTACAGAATACATACCAATATAGTTTAATTTCAATTAATCTTCTAATTAGCCTTTATAAAATGAGACTGCGTAATTTATTAGTTTGGATGAATGAAATTAATTAAATAAATAAACAAAAAAATTTTAATTCATTTTTAAATTTATAATTATAAAAAATTGTTTTCTGTTAAAGTATTAATTTTTCTGTTTCGTAGTAATAGTATTTATTTTTAGCATATTATAGGATTATTCATAGTTTTTAATTATTTTCATTAAATTTTATTCTAAGAGCATTTTTAACATAAATAGAGTTTATGAAATGACTGAATTTTATTGATTTTGCTCATTTTTATTGTTTTTATTACTTTATACTAAAGAAAATTATATTTAGAATTATTTTTGTTTTAAAATAAAATATTTGAATCGAGATGTATTAAATATTAATAAAATATTTGAATCAAGATATATCTAATAATAAATAAATAAAAAAGGATTGCTTTATGAAACTTTTAATTTTTGAATGTTTTACATACATATATTTGCTTTGAATATTTAATATGTGTTAAATAAAGCTTGATTCATTAGATAATATGAAGAGTGTGTGTTTTAAATAATTAAGAAGATTTTACAAAAAAGAAACTGAGCATTTTAATAATCATTCAATCAATCAATTAGTGATATTGATTAATGAATGGAATTATTAATAATATTAAGTTCTTTTAAGTATATATTGATAGTAAAAACTAATTAAAAGAAACAATTATTGATAATTTAATATTTATATTTGAAAGTGGAATAAATTAAATAACAATCAATATTTTTTCAGCAGAGTTTAAATAAGTATTTATAATAAGTTCGTTGATAAGGACATATAAATTATCAAGAACGGAATAGAGCTCTCATAAGTATTAATATAAGTCTATAACTTTATTTTGAATGTCAAATTAATAAGATCAATTCGGAGGAATAGAATAATAAGCATTTGAAGTCTTAGAAAGAGAATTTCAAGAAGTTTTGAATGATTTAGCTGCTGATTAGAGCTTAGATCGTTTCAGATAGGAGTTTGAAAAGTTTCATAGAGCTTTGAAAGTTTCACAAGAAAATGAAAAGCGTCTGTTGGCTAAATGCAGGGAATATACAAGTGATATAGGAGCTCATACAGCTAATTTGTAAGGAGCTCTCAAAATGACCCAAGAGGATAATACAACAATTGCTCATTTGAAGAGTGAATTAGAAAAGACATACAAAATTCTTGAGCTTTCAAAGGATAGAGAAGAAAAGAGCAAACAGAAGATTGAAAATTTAGATTTGGAAATTAAAAATTTGAATTAATTGATAGAAAGAAGCTCAGCTGCTAACAGCGGTTAAACAACAACAGTAGCAGATCTTTTAACTGCTAAAGAAGAATTGACTAAGGGAAACAGACTTCTTGAGGAGTAAATCAAGGATGCAAAAAGCTAGTTAGAATTTTTAGAAAAAAGTATTGCAATCGCTGAAGATGCCAAATTAAAAAACCAAGAGGCCTATTAAAATTTGCAAAATGAAAAGCAAGATTAAGAATAAAAAATGAATGTACATGATGAAAAGAAAAAATCTTTGTAAAAACAATAGGAAGATTATAAGAACAATAACGACTAAGTCAAATAAAAGATAAAAACCCTCACTAATAATAAAGTAAAATTGACCAAAGAAATCGATGAAAACAAGAAGGTTGCCAACTTGCAAGATTAAGAAATAAAGGAATTCAAAAGCAAAATCATGAAATTAGAAGTTTAAATTGAAGAAATCAAGAGTCGTAAAGGAACTTTAGAAAAAGAGTTAGAAGAAAGAGAAATTAATTTAGAAGTTATAAAAGTAAGCTTTTGTTTCTTGAAACTTTAATCATTAAGTTTATTAAGATAAATAATTAGCAAAAATATTTTAAATTTTGGTTTGACTGGACATATTTTTATCAGTTAAATAGAATTTTTTAATTAATAAATGTTATTGTTTCATTTATTTTTTATAATTTATTTGATTGAATTTTGATTATTTTTAAAAAGCAAAAAATTGATCAAGATGAAAAAATCATTAAGTATGAGCTCAAGTTTATTTAAGAAAAAATGGCCAAAAAAAGGCAACTTTTATCTGAGATTGAAAATCTTGATACAATAAAAGTTGAAGCAGAAATAATTAAAAACTTGACCGAGCAAGGTATAAATTATCTTGAGTCTGAAATCAAGGAAGATAAAAAACTTGCTTCTGAGGGCAGAAGCATTCTTGAGGAGCTTAGAAGAAACAGAGATATTCTCCAAAAGGAAATTGACAGAGCTGATAACAACAACAAGAAGTAAGAAGAGGAGCTCATTTAGAAAGAAAAAATAGTCAAAGAGAAGAAAAACGAGCTATCTGGTATGAATAAAGAGATGGATAAATTCAATTATCATATTGCATAACTCAAAAAAGAAAAGGAAAAATATGCAGTTCAAGTAAAACTTTTTATTAAAAATCAATCAATTAATCATTAAATTATTTTCTATAAATAAAAAGGCTGCTGCTGCTAATGCAAAGTACTTCCATGCTTTAGAAGAAATAAAATTGAAAGATAATTTAATTTCTGAATTCCAAAAGAAGAACATCGAAACATAAGCTAAGCTTAAGTAATAATAGAATTTATATGAAACAGTCCGTTAAGAGAGAAATCTCTATTCTAAAAATTTGACTGAAACTCTTGAGGATTTAGAAGAAATTAAGAGAAAGTAAAAGATAGTTAACCATCAAATCTCTTAGTTAAAGGAAGAAATCGATTCCAAACAAAAGAAACTTTTATAAGAACATATTAATCATAAGAAAAAAGATGATATTAGCAAGGAGCACACAGCTTAAAGCTAAAAATATAAAAAGGAAATCAATGAGAAAGAATAAAAAATTAAGGCATTCTAGCAAGACATTGCAAAGCTAAGATTTATGATTCAAGAATCAGAACAACAAAGATAAAAGCTGCATGAAGAATATGAATTGGTTGTCGCTGAAAGAGATATTTTGGGTAATTAAATTTTACGTCCAATTAAAATTATTTGATCATTATAAATTAAACTAGTTTTATTATAAATTATTTTTTAAAATGCATTTAAATTTTAAATTAAATATAGGAACTCAACTTATCAGAAGAAATGCAGAAGCTGCTCTTTTATATGAAAAGATTAAAATCAATTAATCCACATTGAAGAAAGGTGAAATATAGTATTAAGAGAGATTAGGTGATATAATTGTTTGGAAAAGCAAAATTGCAGACTTGATCAACTAAATCAAAGAATTTAAGGCTTAAGCTAATTCTATCGATGATATGAAGAGAGAAATTCATAATCTTTCAAAGGAGCTCATCGAAGAGAAGCTTAAAGTCAAAGCTCTTTCTGAGGAAATTTAAAATCCCATGAATGTTCACAGATGGAGAAAGTTGGAAGCAACTGATTCTGAAACCTATGAGTTGATGACTAAAATATAATCTCTTCAAAAGAGACTAATCTTAAAAACAGAAGATGTAAGATAATATTATTTAAAGAAAATATGTAACAATTTTCACAAATTAATCTTTAGGTTATAGTAAAAGAAAAAGTCGTTCTCAATAAAGAAACAGAGCTAAAGAAGCTGAAATAAGAAATGAAAAGACAGCCAGGAGCTGAAGAAGAAAAATTAATCCCAGTTTATTAGGAATCACTTAAAGAAAAAACAAAGCAAATGAGAGCTATGAATGGAGAATTGACAATGTACTAAAGTCATCTTGCAGAATATAAACTTGAAATTGATCGTCTCACAAAAGATTTGTAGGATTCTAAAAAGAAATTCTATGAACAGAAGAAAAGAGAACAATAATAATACGAAGCATAACAAACTTAGTAAAAAGCTATGGCAATACAAATCAACTTACCAGATAAAAGATTCACCGGTGGTGGTTTTAACTTAGCTATCTATAACTGATTCATAAAAATAAAATTTATATAAATTATTTTTGTAGAAATAAATTTGTAGATATGTTGATAAATAAATAAATAATTCAAAAATATTTACATTGAAACTTCTAAAAGCATTCATTCATATTATTATTAAAGAGAAAAAAGTCCTTTAAATTAAATAAGAAAATTAAAAATAGCAAGAAACGTTTCAATAATTTAACATTTTATAGATAAAAAAGAATTTATAAAAATAAATAATTAATCAAACGCAATTATTTTTTATCCAGTGTTTAAAATAGTAGGGAATTTTCTGGTAAATTCTTCAAAAAAAGGAAATATTTTAAAAATTATTTATACAAAAGAGGAAGGAGTGAGAGGAAAAAAAATTTTAAAAGCAGTCAAAAAAATTAATTTTTTTCTTAGATTTGGTGGCAGTTTCAGTATTAAAAATAAATAATTATTTATAAAAGATACATTAAATAAACAAAAATAATTAAAATAAATTTATTTATTAAACAAATATTTATTTTTTGATATATTTTGATATATTAATTGAAAAATAGTAACTAAAATTAATGGTATTTTGGAAAATTAAATTTTCTGAATAAAAAAAAATTAAAATGTTTGCTAAGTCTAAATAAGTTTCTAAGCTAATTTAATTAAAAAAAACTTTCTTTGCTAAAATACTGATTTTAAATAATAAATTTATTTTTTTTAATTATTTTAATTTATTTATTAGCTAGCTAATGCAATTTTCTCAAATTTACTTTATATTTTGGTCATTAATTGATTTTTGGAGCCAATTTTTGCTAAGATTTATTATTGTTATAGATTGCTAAGGATTATTTTTAAATTCAAGGATACATCAATTTTTTATAGTATCTGATAATTTCTCTTTTTTATCATAAATTCCTGATAGCTAATTTTTGTATTAATATTAATTAAAAAATAAACTTATTTCTTTAAATATGAGCAGTAAAACAAAATCTCATAAAAACAAATCTTACTCATTAAAATATATCCTAAGAAGCTATCTTGAAATTGCATAGTAATCTCTGAAGACTCTTCCTGCGTAATTATTTATTCAAATATGAGATAGTTATTAATAGTTTTTTAAAACAGAAACGGGTATAGAAGTAGATCTTAGCTTTTAAATGAGTGTCCCAAATAAATAGCAAACATATTAGAAAAAATGCAAATAGGAATTGAAATTTTTGAACTAATTATTACTCATTTTTAGTCAGAATGTCCACTTCAAGCTATAAATGTAAATAAAATTAACTTTTAAATATGATTCTTATTCTTTTTTACGTTTTTAAATAGAAAAAGATAAGATCAATTTAAAGTACTCTAAATGATGGAAGCAAATAACTATTTAACAAAATTGTTATTCCCTATGTTTATAATCAAGCTTAGGGCGAGAATGAAAAAATCCCTATCTTTAAAACTTATTTATCTGGTCTATTTTAGGACTTAAATTACAACAACTATTTAATGGGAAATCAGCAATACCCTCTCATTTTAGATGATTAAATTGAAAATTAGGGAGAAAAAGACCTCAAAAATTCATAGAAATAGTATGAGTTCTTATTTAATCGTAAAGTTTTGCAGCTCCATTTTCCAAAATCAACTAAATAAATTAAGTAAATATGAATTTTTTGCCTTGAAAAACTATTTTTTATCAATTAAATTATAAAGGAGAAAAGGACCTTAAATGATAGTACATTTCGAAGATTTTTAGCTATACTTTGAGTTAAGACCTTGTACTTATTAAAGAGATCAATAAAGAGATTTACTTCTACTTTATTAATAAGTTAAGATTGAAAAATGTTTGCAAACACATGAATAGCGAATAAATGAAATCATGAGACAAGTAATTTATTTTTTCTAATTTTAAAATTAATATTTATATTTGATGTAATATATTAGAAACTAAACTTCATGTTAAGTTAGTAGACAGAAAAATATTTTATTTTATACTTAGAATACCTTTATAGGAGAATTGGATATGGTTATTTCTACTTGGAGAGGATTAACCAATATATTTAGCAAAATAAATAATATTTTGTGGATGTTAAATATTAGTTCAATAACATGAATTTAAGATTTTATTATGTTAAATAATATGAACATATGAATGAGATCATGGGTGAAAATGGATAATTTTAAGCATCTTTATCAATTAATAAGCTTAGCTTTGACTAGTTCATAAAATTTTAAGAGAAAAAAATAAAACAGAGCAAGTTTAAAACATCTAATTTACCAGCCAAAAGTTTAACTTAAGCTAATAATTGCAGCAGCAATGATCAAAATGTAGATGAAAACAATAATTCAGAAGATATTCTTTAAATTAATATTTTTGGTTCAAGATTTAATAGCTTAGATAAGCACGAAATAAGAATTCCTGATATTTACAAATTAAATGAAGATATCAATGTTATTATGAAATATATTTAGCATTCAGTCTACTCACTGAGTAAATCAAATACTGCATTTGCAAATTTTAATCTAAACTTGTTTTCAAAATCATATTATTAACTTATTGAAAAATATCCTTAGATATGTATTAAAAAATAAGGGAAAGCCGATTTTATCATCTTTCCTTAGTATTTTGTAAAAGTTAAAAAATTCAAAAAAGATTGTCAAAAGTTTTATGAATTTAACGAGAAAAATATAAGAGACAATCATAATCAAGAAGCAGAAAGCTAAGTAGAATTAGAGAGTTAAATGTAAATTTAAGAGTCAGAATAAGAAGATAATATAGAAGAAAATATATTTTTTCTTGGCTTTATAGCTTAGTTTTATATTTACTAAGCACATATTAGCACTATTTATATAAGAAATATTAAAGGATAAAAAATTCACGAAATATGTTCATTTACGAAGAAGCACTTATCTAAATATTACCAGAATTTGATTTGTGTTAAAATGATTATATATATAATATTAAAGAGTTTGAATAATCATTAATATTCTATGACTAATTCAGTGGATTTAAAGTATTACTTTGCATCTAAGCATGTTTTTGTTAACAATTAATCAGGATAAGTCTAAACTATTAAGACTAATATGGATTACTCAGATCCATAACATATATCCATGCTTTTTATAATTATAATCGAAGATTAAAAGCTTAATGAAAAAATAATTGAAGAATTTTAATTTTAAGACCTAGTAAAAAGGTTTTCGTATACTGAAGAAGCTACTGAAGAGGATAAAAAATTCTTATAAAATACCCATCTTCACTCTCGTTCTCATTATGAAAACTCTCTTAAGGATAATAATATTTCATATGAAAAGTTAGAGCATATTTTCGAGAATTTTATACATTTTGCTAAGTAACTAATTAGTAGCGAAACTTATCTTTATAAAGATGCATTAGCCAAGACATTTAAATGTGATTATCAATAACTATAAATTTAGGCGAATATTGGCTAATGAAATTAACAAAATAGAAAATAAAAATAGCCTTCAAATAAAATTAATTATTTTTTTTTTACCTTTTTTAAGAAAATTTTCATAATTAAAAATAAAAAAATAGCTTTTTAACAAAAATTTTTTTCTAAATTACATTTTTGATTAAATTTGTTATTATTTATACACTCTGTAAGAATATAAGAATAATAGATCTAATCTATTTTGATAATATAATAAACATTTATATATAAAGTTAAAAGAAAATCAATAAAAAAAATATTTAATATATCAAAAAGAAATAATAAAGAGATAAATATAATGTAAATATTATAATGAAATAACAATAAAGCATAAATATTATAAATCTTTTATTAACTAATAAAAAAAATAAATAAACATTAAGAAAATTTTCATAATTAAAAAAATATAGCTTTTTAACAAAATTTTTTTTATAAATTACATTTTTGATTAAATTTGTTATTATTTATACACTCTGTAAGAATATAAGAATAATAGATCTAATTTATTTTGATAATATAATAAACATTTATAAATATATAAAGTTAAAAGAAAATCAATAAAAGAAATATTTAATATATCAAAAAGAAACTAATAAAGAGATAAATATAATGTAAATATTATAATGATTTAACAATAAAACATAAATATTATAAATCTTTTATTAACTAATAAAAATAATAAATAAATTTTAAGAAAATTTTTCATTTATTTTTTGATTTTTTTCTTTGTGCTTTGTCTTTATTTTTATCATTTTTATTTGTATTTTCTTGCTCTTCTTCATCTTCCCACTCAGAATTATCATCTTCTTCATCTTCATCATCATCTTCTTCTTCAGCAAAAGGATCGTCTTCAATATCTAAAAGAAGTTCATTTTTAATCATTTATTGCCATTCTTCTTCGGTGACAAGACATTCATCCAAAATTTATTCTAATAATTTTTAGTCCATATCTTTACCGATAAAGACTAAATTAATTTCTCTGTCTCCAATTATTGGATCCCAGGTCTTTTTGAGCTCTTCATAATCTGGAACTAATTTTTATAGCTCTTCATTCAAGGCAATGCCAAATTTGCCTTCAGGTTGAATCTAATTTATAATTCCAGAATGTTACCATCCCCAGAAATCTTCTTTGTTATTTGCAATCCAAAAGAAACCCTTTGATCTCCAAACATTTTTGAAGGGTCCTTTTTTCTTTAGTTCAAGAGCCTCTTCTCTTTATTTTTTATACTCAAGAGCTTCTTCCTCAATTTATTTTTCTTCATCAGCATCCAACTAATTTAAAAATTTTAATCAGTTAGTGAAATTATTAAAAATTAATTTTTTATTTTACCTCTTTTTGATCTTATTCTGAAACAAGCTTTGGGAAAGGAGAAGGTTTGGTTAATAATTTTTTATTTTATTATTCTTCTTAATTGATATTTTTTTTATCTTCCTCTTTTTCTAATGCTTCAGTGCTTTTATTTATATTCAGGTTTTCTAAAGTCTCACTCTAAGTTTCTTCAGACTCTTGACTTTTATTATGTTCTTTATCTTAGTCTTCTTTTACATTGGTTTTTTAGTCTTCTTCAACTTGGTTGTTTTCATCTTCTAAGTTTTAACCAAATTATCCAAAAGTTTTTAGATAACAATAAAAATTTTAATCTAGAAGTTTGAATATTCTTAAATTGTGAAAAGGTCTAAGTCTGCGGTAGATGAAATGACTGATACCAAATTCCACAGTTTCAGGAACGAGTTGATAGCGATCAGTACCTAACCATTTTGTATTTTCAGCAGCTTTGTCAAAGTCAAATAAACCAGTATTAATAATTTATTTTAAATCTATATCACAATAAGAAGACTCGATAACTATAGCATCCTTGTTAAATTTTTTAATAGCAGCCATGACAGCTTCTTTTTGTTCTTTTGTTGCTAAGTCAGTCTGTTTACATAAATTTATTTATTATAAATATGGTTAAAAAATGATTCATGAATAATTTAAATTTATTTATTTCTAAAAATAAATAGATTTATTTTTGTATTTACCTTGTTCACGATGATGACATTAGCAAATTCTAATTAGTCAACCATCAACTCTGAAACTGTTCTGATATCTTATTTTTGAGGTTTTTCTTCAACAAATTTCTCTGGAAGTGACTCATGAGTATTGAACATTTCAAAGAAATTGGTACAGTCAACTACAGTGACACAAGTATCTAGGGTAGCTATATCCTTTAAACTATCGACATTCATTTCTACTGAATTAAAGGTAAATGTCTCTGCAACCTTGAATTTAATTGTCATATTTAAATATAATTTATTATTTTAATATATTTTTTACTTATAATGGTTCAGAGATACCAGTAGATTCAATGATAAGATAATCAAACTCATTTGATTTAGCAATCTAAGCAACTTCCTTGAGCAAGTCCTCTCTAAGTGTGCAACAAATACAACCGTTTTGCATTTAGACCATTTTTTCTTCAGTTTGAATGAGCTTGCCACCTTTCACAAGCTATGCATCTATATTCAAAGCAGCCATATCGTTTACAATAACTGCACATTTTAAGTTTTGTTTATTTTAAAGGATATGCTTTAGGAGAGTAGTTTTTCCACTGCCCAAGAACCCACTAAGCACAGTAGTTGGAAGTTTTTTAAACTATAATTTAAAATAAATAAAATGATTAAATTTTATTATTACTTGAGATAGAATTAATTAATTAATTAATTAATTAATTACTTCTTTGTTCATTTAGGAAAATGTTTTTCTTAAAAGAGAGAGTGACTCTTTAGTTTAGTTTTTCTAAGTTTTTTTTGAAAGTTGATGATTTTTAATATAATTATTGAGATATAAATCAGGATTCACTCTCTTTTTAAAGTATTAGCTAATACGTCATCTGATTTTCAAAAATACAAAAAATTTACTTAAAAGTAAAGTATCTTTTTAATTTTAGCTCTTAAAAGGAAAAAAATTAAGAAATTTGGAGTTTTTAAAATATCTTTAAATTTTTATTGTTTTATTTTATGTTAATAATTATTTTTTTGTTAAAGTATTTTATGTCTTATTTGGTAATATACTTGACATGGATTCTATGTAAAAATAATAAGCTAGTTATATAATTGCTAACATTCAAAAACTATTTACAAAAGAATCGATCAATCGACTCATGATTATTAAAAAATCATGAGTCAACCCTTTTAATATCTAAGCTAAAAATAATCTGTAAAATATTTATGCAAAAGATAATGATCATGGGTTTATTAAGCATATAATTCATAGGAATTATCAAATTATAAAATATTTTTAAGCTGTTTTTTCTGTATGTATACTAGCAAATAAATATTTCAAAATAAGCTAAAATTATACCAGATGAAATTTTATAAATTATACAAAAATGAATTATGTGTCAAGTATGTATTATTTTATTTCTTTTATATTATAATGATGCCATCAAAAATAAATATCACATAATTTAAACACCATAAATTGAATTATATTTAATTTATTGAAAGCTATTTTTAAGTTTTTGAACAATTTTTACATAAAATTTCATTTAACTTATTTTTTTAATAAATTATTTAGTGAGAATTCTAATATAAAATCTATAAAAGAAATAAGCCGAGTGTATTATTAGTAATAGAATAATAATTTAATATAAAAATTTATGCTGAAATTTAAAATGGAATATAATAGCTAGCTATCAATATTGCTTTTTATATTTTTGAAATCACTTCTTTTATAAATTAAAAATAAAATATTTGCCTTTAGCTAGCTAAATAGATTTGATTGATTATTCAAAATATCCTTTTTTATTCTAACTATTACATTAAATTTTATTTTTTATAGGCAATTTTTAAGTTTTTAAACAATTTTTACATAGAGTTTGTTTTAATTTATTTTTTTAATAAATTATTTAGTGTAAATTCTAATATAAAATACATAAATAAAAGAAATAAGTATTATTTGTAATAGAATAATAATTTAATATAAAATTAATGCTGAAATTTAAAATGGAATATAAGAGCTAGAAATATTACTTTTTATATTTTTGAAATCATTTCTTCTTTCAATTAAAAATAAAATATTTGTCTTTAAATAAATAGCTAAATAGATTTGATTGATTATTCAAAATATCCTTTTTATTCTGATTATTACATTAAATTTGATTTTATTTTATATTGGCAAATACTCAAGTAAGTAACTTATTTTAAGAAAATTAAAATTATATAAAGGAATTTTAAAAATAATTATCCTACGTAATATCTTGAAACTAAGAAGTATAAATATTCTATTATATCTTTCTGAAAATATTGAAGTTATAACTTTCTATAAAATTTGAATTACAAATTTAATGATCAAAACAATTTAGATTGTTTAATGTAATAAAATGAAGTTAAGTGCTTTATTTTATTTTAAAATGAGAAATTTTATATGCCTTTACATTTTGTATAAATAATTTCTATATATAAACAGATAAAATATTTTAAATCCCAAAAAAATGAATGAATGATTATATTAATTTTCTAATTGTCTTTTATTATAATTAATTAGTTTTTATTTATTGTTCGTTCATCGTTTTTTGAATCCATACTTTTTACGTTCATAGAATAGATCCGTTTTTGCAGAACCTAAATTAATAATTTTGGGACATCCATCTCTATCCTTTTCACATTAAACGCATTCTTTACAATAATATGCATCAGAAATACCAGTACCACCGCAAATAACGCATCTTCCTTAGAAAGAACCATAATTACATTCATCACAAACTTTAACTAAACTGCAAGGACGTACATAAGAATCGCATATTACACATAAACCATCGTGCTTTTCACATAATCTGCCTATTGATATACCAGGCTACTTTCTACACATAATAAGATCTGGATGATGCTTAGCCATTTTCCGCTATTTTACTTTAATATATTTGCAAAGCTTATAATTATTAATTAATTATATGAATTATTTAAAATATTATAGCTATTATGTTTAGTGTCTATTTATTAATTTTAATTAACTAGTTTAAAGCTTTTCATAATATTATCTAGTTCTAATTTTTCAAATAATAAAATCTTTGATAAACGCAAATAAATTAGCTAAAATATTTTGAAAAGCAAAATAGTTCAAGATAAATTATCAGTAAGTTAATTTTAAATGAATGATTAAATAACTTCCATTTCTAATAAAATAAAATCTATTTATTCAAAGAAAATATTGAGATTTCTGCCAAAAAATAATAAATAAAAATTTAAAAATAATCAAATAAATTAACTAAGCTGAGTATTTTGATTTAATTATTCCATTCTATTAAAAATCAATAAGTATATTATTGAAAATTATTAAAGCACTTTTTATTTAAGTAGAAATAATTGTTATTCTTTTATATTTGCTATCAATATTTCTATCATTAATTATGTACAAATTAATATATTTTTATTTTAATTTAAATAAATTTATTTATTTATTTGATATTATTTTATGAAAGTATATTAAAAAATTTATTAATATTCACTTTAAATTTATAAATCATCACTTTAATTTAAATAAATTTGTTAATTTATTTGATATTATTTTATGAAAATATGTTTAAAATTTATTAAAATTTACTTTAATTTATCATAATAAAAAATTTGTATGAATTTGAGGAAAAATTTAAAAAAAATATTTTATTTTTGGAAATCAAGCAAATATAAAAATAGTATATATGTATGTATAGTTTAATAACAAGACATATAGCTATGCAATAACAAAATATGAAAGAAAATATTAATTGGATAAAATATAAATAAATCTTGAAGTGAACTATTTTATCGGATGTATGGTTTTAATTCTTCTGATTAATAAGATATGTCACTTAATCTTTGTCACTTTATTTATGTTTTATGAATTCAAAGTTGGGTGCAGTCTTACCTTGAGTAATTTGAATTAAGCGTAAAGTTAATATAACTAAATATATGATAACAAAAGAGTAATTTTAAAAATAGTTAAAACAAATATTTTAAATAGTGAATAAAGTTTTAAATTTAAATATTTTAATTTATTTAAAAAAATATTTTTTTTTAAATCTTAATTATTAGATTATAAATTGAATATTATAATTATAGAGAAGACAATGAAAAATTTAAGAGAAACAATCACCAAAGACAAAATTTTATTATTTTTAATTTATAGTTGTTTAAGAATTAAAAATCAATTAGTTGTGAAAATAAATGTTAAGAGATAAAAATTATTATGAAATTATGTATAAGTAATGGTTATTTAATGATACATAATTTTGTTTAATATGTATGTATCTATAAAACAAATCAATAAATTAGTTTTTATTTCCTTAGTATTTTATCGATTGGTAATGAAAGCTTCAATTGTTTATTTCTTGATATTTGATTTAATACCTTAAAAATAAATATTTCAAAAGGCTTTTTAATAAATTAATCAGCTTATATATATTTACAATTTTAGATTATTAGCAGCATAGATAGATTGCACTAAATAGGATTAATCCCATAAAACATAAGTTAAACAAAAAATATAATTACATTCTTTCATATAGGTTTCGATAATGAATTAGGTAATTGCAGACATAAATATTGTTAATTAAGGATTATTCATTTAACTTTGGTTTGCATTGTTATAAAATTTGCATTTAATGCAAGAATATTTATTTATTTTTATAATTAAAGTCATTCCGTTAAGAATTTTAGTAAACCAATCTCCTCAAGTTGGCAAGAGCAAAATTTAAAAAAGCTATTTTGGAGCAAATAGGGAATAGAGAAAATATTTTGTATGAAGAATTTCTTTTAGTGGCTAAAAAAGTGAGTTTCCGTTTTAGTGATTAAAAGGATATCTTTGCTTTAAAGTATTATTTCAATGCGCATATGAAATTATAAGGAAATGGAGTACCTTTCTATGATTTGATTAATCGCTTAAGAGTAAAAGAAAAAAACAGATAAGAGCAATAGTAAATAAATATTTCAATAGAAAGTTACTTTATTCTTATCTTTAATTACTTAATATAAGTTTAATATACTTTGAAGTACCTGAGTCAAGCAATCAAAACAAATCTAATTATGAAAACGAAGAGCTTAAAAACATGTCATAATCTCAAGCTTTGAACAAATCTCTTCTTTGTAACAGCACAACTTAATCTAGAAGAGGTTCCACACTCTTAGAATCTTCATAAATGAGCAATTCTAAGAATAAATAGTTTAATGGTAATTAATCTATTTAAAAATATATTAAAAAAAAATAAATAAAAGAAATAATTCTATTCATTCTTATTTATCATGCATGCATGTTCAATGCAAATAATAATTATAATAATATTTATTTTACATTATTAAAAATCTTTATTGCAAAATATTTGTTCTGATAAAGAATAAATAAATTCTAAGCAGAAAGCTTTTTAAACCATATAATTAATTGATGACAAACTTATTTATTCATTTTAGTTCAAAAATATAGTTTGCTATCGATTTAGCTTACTTAAACAAAAATGAATATTACTTATAAAATGCAAAATAAAAATTAAAAAAAAACCATTTTTAAATTTAATAGAATAAATGTCAGTAACAAACACAAATAGATAAATTCCGATAGCTATTCTCTAGGAGCTTATAAAAAGCGATGTTTAAAGATCTGATTTAAAATATGTTATGGATTAGTTAAATAGCATGGAGAAAAGTTAAGGAGGTGAGGGCTAAGTTGATACTGATAAGTTTTGGTCTTCTTGCAAGAACTCTTTTGGTCCTTAGTAACAAGAAGTAATGAGGAAAGTAATAAATTATTGCTCTATTGATGGCTATGTAAGTTATGTTAAGCTAGTTGGTTTGAATAATGCTTACAATGAATTAACAGAAAGCGATAATGTCAGTAATCCATAAAATAAAATAAGCGCTTAGCGCGTTCAAACTGAGAACCCAAGACAAAAAAGGAGCTAATCTGTTGCTGGAGACTATGTCTTAACCTAGCCTTATAAAAAATTAAGTATCCCAGAACAAATATAAAACTTCAAAATATATGTGTAAGAAAGAATGAATGGCCCAAAAAACGCTTTTAATGTATTAGATAAAGATCTTAAAGGCTACTTTACCCAAAATGACTTTTTGATAGTATTTAAAAATAGCAGAAGTGAGCTTGGTCATTAAGAACTGATCAATGTTTTTAAATCCCTTAATTCAATATCTAGTAAAAAGTGTGGTCAAATAGATTTCTCTTCCTTTTATTCATTCTTTTAAATGCCTGTTGAAACTTTAATTTAATACTTGCCAGGCGGAAATCTGCATCACCCAAGTCAAAGTATAGAATAGCTACAATAAACTCAACAATTGTATCAGAACTAAAAACTTCTTACTGAATAATCATAAATCGAAGCTATGGCAAAAGATTATTTACCTACACAAGTTTCTGATTATGATGAGAGTCACTAATTTCTTACTCCTCTTAACTAAAAAAAAGCTATCAAAGTAATTAATTAAACTTCTTTAAACAAATATTTATTTTAGTTCATATAGTTTGATTCTCATTCTCCAAACAGAAATCTCATAGGAGAGTACAAGACAATGTACCCGTAAGACTACAGCAACAGTGGAGATAAATAAATAACTTCTTACGAAATGAAGAGAGTTGTAAAAAATAACCCTCTGGTTAGAAATCAAAGACACACAGATTTCAACTACAGAAGAAATGTTGATCCAGTACCCTCCGATATAAATCCAGATTACAGATATGGCATAGTAAAATAATAGGTTGACACTATGCAAAATCTAGTTGAAGGTAATTATGGAAGAGCTTGGTTAGAAAGTTCAATAGCAAATTAAAGGGAGAGAATACAGAGGATTGTAAATTCACGCGTAAACTAAAATAAATTTAGTAAAAATAATATTAATATTTATTAAAATATTTGTAAAAACAGAGAATGTCCCAAGAAAAATCTAATGAAAACACAGCTAATATAATTAGAACTGAATATATAAAAGATGGTATAAATTAAAGTCACCTCAGATCTATTTCAAACTAAAAAGAACAAACAAATAACTTATGGAAAATCACAAAGTTTAGAAATACATAAGGAAAAATAACAACAAATTGGTCACCTGAAGAACAAAATAGATTTCCTGCTAGACTTAAAACAGAAGGATAAGGCTTTAAAAACAATACAGATAATTACTAAGAGCTTCTCGAAGGATTTGTAGTAAATAAAGCTAATCTTATAAAATAAACAGACAGACAAAATAAGTCCGTGTTATATTGAGCCAGTCAATTTACCTACAAACTGTTTTAAAAAAATTATAGCAAAAGTTATAGCTAGTGAAATAACAAACAAAATTGCTTGTAAATAAATTAAATCATAAAAAAACTAATATAAATTATTTATTGTGTACTCAAAATAATGCTTTCTTTATAATGTCAGTTTTCAAAGTTATATCAAATTGTTAAAAAAGAAAGTAATGTGCGAAATTTAAATTGTTTACAATTAATTACAAAAATTTACACAAACAAGTTTTACTGAAAATAAAAGCTAAATCGTCTTTGTTCTTTCTATTATTTACTCTAATATTTGCGTAATCTAAAGATAAATTAATAATTTCAGAAAATTAAAAATTTGAAATTAAAAAACTTTGTATTTATCTATTACAAGTTCCCACCAAAATAAAATCAAAAATAAAATAAAAAAATTGATAAGTAGAACTTACATTTCTTTTTGTTAATCTAATATCTATCTATTTTAATTAGAGTTGTCTATTTCATAAAAAAAAAAAGAAATTTTATAGTTTGGCTATTGTATTTATGCCATATATTTAGTTTGCTATTTAAGAAGAATAATTCTATGTCAAATAAATCTGTATAAATTTATGGTGCAGAATTGTAAATTGAAAATAAAAAAACATTATTTGACGTAATTGTGACTTTTTTTAGTATAGTTGAATACGCACTAACATAATTAGAAGATTTATGCAAAAAAAAAGCGAATTAATTTTTTTGTAATTAATTTAAGAATAATTAATGAATTAAAAATGGAATAAAAGATAGATTTGGATATAACAATAGGAACCTATGATAATTAAGGCAATATAATAGATGAATAAAAACAGAATATTTCCATCAGTATTTAACCTGATTTTAATCAATAATAGTAACAAGAAGAAGGTGAAGAAATAGGGTAAGCAGTTAAAGGTTTTAAAACTACTATCGTATAAACTCAGATAAGTGATGATAAGTGTTGTATTCTAGAAGAAGAATCAATTTAATGATCCAATCTTTTATTTTAACATAAATTTACAAATAAAGAATCTGCTTAAATTAAAGTAGAGATGTTTGTAAGTTTAGGTACTGCCTTAATCAAAATTTAAATTATTCATAGCTCCAAAACTGTTTTTAATGTATGCTGAGTATTAAATATATGAAAGTGTTTACAAATAAATAGTAGTTTTTTCAAAAATATATCAATCATATTTAAAGGCAGCCATTCATTTTTAATGGGTATCAGAAATAACACTCATATGCCCCCTTAAATAAAGCTGCTTTATAAAGATGGAAAATATATCTCTAGAAAACTGAAAAAATGCTAAGTAGAAATAGGACAATATCATTTATGTATATAGAGTATGCTTAATTAGAGATTCATGCACACTTTATGGTTTATGAACTCAGAATAATAAAGGAAGATAATTTAAAAGAGTATAAGCTCACACTTAATCTTATATTTACATTATTACTAAAATATGTTAAACTAACTTATGCTTGTACAATTTAATTGTGTTTCATATTAATTCAATTATTTAAAACTATTTATTTATTAGTACTATTTTTAGAATTTTAACCTAATTTTTATTAATTAGAATAATCAACAAATAGGAAGATAGATAGATAAATAAATAAATAACAAAAAACATTTAATCAAAATTTATTTTCAATAAATTAATTATTGGTTTAAGATTTACTTGGCACTTTGCTTTATTGCTAATTTTCTTAGCTATGATTTCTTTATACTTATAATAATAATAGTGATAAATAAATGTTTTAGACTGGCTAGTAATAAAAAAGTAAAAGCTAGAGCATGTTTGACTAATTTAAATAAAGTAAATTATACAAATTTAAGACCATATTTAATTAACACAAATTATTTTTTTTTCAGTAAAAGTATCTAGATTAAAATATAAAAATTATTTTTTTCGATTGTTAATACTTATTATAGCAGATTTTCAATATTTATGTGCACTCACTACCCATCAATTAAAATATTATTTTAAACAATTCTTTTTTAAAGACAATTAAAATTTTAAAAAAAGTAAAAAGTTAAGAATAAAATATTTAAAATCACAAAAAAAGTTTTTTTATGGTTAAAACTAACAAAATAATTTCATGTTTTGTCAGAATTTTAAATAAAATTATTTACAAATTTAGTTGAGTTCAACTCATTAAATATATATAAAGTAATTAGGGTTTTATTACTCTTTAATTTTAATAAACAAAAAAATTTTCTATGATTTTTCTTTTGTGTAAATATTCTGAGTAATTAATTTGTTTACTATGATTCTAGAAATTAGATTTATTAAATAGAGGTTTTTTTTTTAGTTCTGAAACAATACTTTTATTCAAAAACTAAAAAAAGACTTAATTATGAATAGTAAATAATCTAAAATATTTTTTAAATACATTCAATTTTTTAAATTATTTTATTTAAATTTAATAATGAAATTTATATAAATTGGAAGAATTCAGAATTTATTTCTGATGAAATGTGCAATTTAAATGATGTTTCTAATAATAGAAGATTTAGAGAAGGTTTTTAGTTCAGCTTTCAAAATTATTTATGATGAATTTTTGTTGCAAAGAAAGATATAAGAAGAAGAAGTAATTAATATTTGTAAATAAACAATTAAATTTAAATAAAATAATTAGATATATTTATTATTAAATACCTAACAAAATTAGTATGGGAATATTAGCTGTTGCTTTAGTTTTGATTGTGATCAAAAAATTGTACAATTGGATTCAAATTAAGCTAGTCAAGCCAAACTTTGAAGGCAAGGTAGCCAAAAATTACTTATTGATTGGTTATTTATTTATTAATAAAACCAAATTACATTATTTGACATTACTAACTATTAGATTTATTTGAGAAGGGCCATAATTATAATTAATTTAAATAACAATTTGTTTTAAAAAATAAAAAAAAAGACTGTCTGGATCACTGGCGCGTCATCAGGTATAGGAGAATAACTTGCAAAAGATTTTTCCAGATTAGGAGCTTCATTGATCATTTCTTCTAGAAAGATTTAAGATGTAATAATTTAAATATTTGTACTTAAAGTAGATTTTTTAGCATGTTGATACAGAAATTAAAAAACAAATTAGATATAATAAATATCTTCATTATATATAATAAACAGATATTTTTAGAATATAATTATAAGCATATTGCTTGTTAATGTAAGTAACTCAAAGCAGTTTTTAGAAAAGAAATTATATATATAATTATTTTCTCAAATAAAGAAAGAAAAAACCCTTTTTTTTTGGATTAAGTGGGAGTTAAAAATATATGATGCATCCCTATTCATTGTTCAAAGAGCTAAAGTGATTTTTTTAAATAAATTAGTTAGAAAAAGTAAAGAGCTAATGCAAAGATCCTTCTAAGGTCACTGTTTTACCTTTAGATATGAGTAAAACTAAAGAGGTTATAAAGTAAACTGAAGATTTCATTAAGGATCTTGAAAAGCAAAATAAAAAACTTGATATTGTTATCGAAAATGCAGGAGTTTCTATGAGATCTGAATTTAAGGATTATTCATACGAAAATCACGAATACATGACTAATCTAAATTACAATGGACCTGTAGCTCATGTCAAGGGTTTGTTGGATCATTTTATAAGAAACAAATCTGGTCATATCGTCTTGATTAACAGTATTGCTGGTCTCCTTTCTCCAGGCATGAGAACCAGTTATGTAGGATCCAAGCATGCATTAAGAGGTTTCTTCGATTCTCTTAGAGCTGAGGTAATTATTTCTAAGCTATATAATCAAATAATATAAATATTATTATTTTGAAACTATTAGAATAAATATTCAAATAATTATTTTTATCATTTAAAAGGTTTCTGAATTTAACATTAAAGTTAGCTCAATTTATCCAGGGTATGTCTAAACCAACGTAAGTGCAAATGCTCTTTCAGGAGAAGCTGGATAATCATTTGGTAAGACTGATGGTAACATTTAAGAAGGAGAAACAATTGAAAAGTTTGCTGAACAAGCTATGTTGGCAATTTACAAACAAAAGAACGATGCTGTTATCACAAAGTCAATCAAGCATGAACTTGGTGTTTACATGCGTAACGTCTCTTTTGATTTAGTTCACTGGTTAACTCGCAAAAATGTTTAATAACAAAAAGATGCTCTCAAGAAAGCAGTTTGAAATAATAAAAAATATTTAATTTTAATTAGAAATAACTAATAAAATATAATCAATATTGTTAAAAAAATAAAATATTTTTTGTTTGTAATTCTTTTTTATGCTTAAAAACACTATAAAGTAGATAAATCAAAGAATAAATCAAAAATATATTCTTTATTCAAATTGATAATATGTTAAATAATATATTAAATAATACAAATTTAAAGCACAAAGCAAAAAAAAACAGCAATTAATTTTTGATGAAGAATAATTTAAATTTAAGAAAAATACTTTAATTTGTATGAAAAATAAAACATTTTTGTTTTTTATTCTTATTTTTATGGTTTAAAATTAAAAAAATAAATAAATAAATAATATATTTTTTATCTAATAGATAATTTTTTAAATGATATATATATTCAATAATACAAATTTTAAAACAGAGAACAGCAAAGTAGATAAAGAGTAATTTAAATTTAAGAAAAATAGTTTAATTTAATACAAAATAATACAATATTATTTGCTTGTTATTCTTTTTATGTTTGAAAACATAGAAAATAGATAAATGAATGAATGAATAAATAATTACATAATATATTTCTTAAATAATTTATTCAGTAATATAAATTTAAAAACACAAAGCAGCAAAAGTAGATAAAGAATCATTTAAATTTAATACAAAATAATAAAATATTATTTGCTTGTTATTCTTTTTATGTTTGAAAACATATAAAATAGATAAATGAATGAATAAATATATAATAATTTCCTAAATAATTTATTCAATCATACAAATTTAAAAACACTAAGCAGCAACAGTAGATAATAAATAATTTAAATTTTAGAAAAATATTTTAATTTAATATGAAAAATAAAAAATTTTTTGTTTGTTATTCTTTTTTTTATCATTTAAAACACTGCTAAATAGATAAATGAATGTATAAATAAATAATATATTATGTAAATTAATGGATAATTTGTTAAATAATCTATTCAATAATATAAATATAAAAACACAAATTACATACTTTAGATAAAGGATAATTTAATTTTAAGTAAAATATTTTAACTAAATGCAAAATAATAAAATATTATTTTCTTGTTATTCTTTTTATGTTTACAAAATAGATAAATCAATTAATAAATATGTTAAATATTTCTTAAATAATTTATTTAATAATACAAATTTAAAAACACAAAGCAGCAATAGTAGATAATTAATAATTTAAATTTAAGAAAAATATTTTAATTTAATATGAAAAATAAAAAAATTTTTGTTTGTTATTCTTTTTTTATCCTTTAAAGCACTGCAAAATAGATAAATGAATGAATGAATAAATAAATAATATATTTGTAATTTAATGGATAATTTGTTAAATAATATATTGAATAATACAAATATAAAAACACAAATTACATACTTACTTTAGATAAAGAATAATTAAATTTTAAGAAAAATATTTTACTTGAATAACTTTTTTAGGTGAATAAAAATCACTGAAGATAGATATTTCTACTATTATTTGTTTAATGAAAATATTTTTATAACTAAAATTTACAAATTTCTTTAGAGTTTGAATTTTTTTTAGTAAAATTAAACTTTTTGTAATTTATTATATTATTTAATTATTTATTTAATCAAATGCTCAAACTAGAATCTTATGAATTTGCTCAACTTTTAAATAGCTTTGCATTCAAGCTTTATCATGAAACAAGATTAAGTGATGAAAATCTTGTACTTTCGCCAGCTTAAATGATGATTTCCTTGAGTTTATTAGCCATGGGATCAGATTCAAATACTGAAAAACAATTTTAAGTGCTACTTGGTTATGGTGATCCAAGTAAATTAGGAAAATGTTTGCAGTAAGGTGTAAAAGAAGTATTACATTGGGTAGAGAAATTTAGTATCACAAGTATTTAAATAGAAAAGAGCTTGACAATTAAATAAACATTTCCATTATTTTTAAAGCAGTGTGGATTAGATTATGATATGTTTTTTGGGTAAGTAGATTTTGTTAAAGGCAGCTAAGCATATAAGAATTAAATTAATGAATACGCTGTCTAATAATTAGGAGTATAAAAATTGATACCTGATGGATATTTAAATTCTTTTGTAAGAGCTGTTGTTATAAATTCAATTCGTTATTAATGTGTTTTTCATACTCCCTTTTCTGAAAAGCTAACATAATAAGATACTTTTGTTATAAATAATCACACAACAAACTATAAAACGTTGCTAGTGGAGGTATTTATGATGAATTAAATTGAATTTTATAAATATTTTGATGATAAAGTAGCTACTTTTGTTGGTATTCCTTTGAAAGATTTTAGATTTCATTTGGATATCATAATCCCAAAAATCAACATTAAAGAATATGAAGCTCTTATCAATTATGCTGCTTACGTTTAATATATTCTCCAGTCAAAGAAAACTAAATTGCATTTAAAATTACCTCGCTTTAGAATTTAGTATTAACAAACAAAACCCTTTAAAGATATTTTAGTGGGAATGGGATTAGCTGACATCTTCTAAAGTATGAAAAGTGATTTAAGTAAAATTGAAAAAACAAAGAGTGCTTGTTTGAGTGAAGTATTGTCAAGACCTATCATAGAAGTTTTTGAAGACGAACTCAGTGCAGAATAATCACTAGAATTACCAAAATATACTCAGCCTCCAATAGTTGTAACTGTAAATAGACCATTTTTATATGCAGTTAGAGAAACATTAACAAATTCAATCTTAATATTTGGCAAGCTGATAGATCCAACTCAGATGGAATGAACTAAAAAAGCAGAAATAAATTTATATAAACCAACTAAAAAATAACAAAATCTAAAAATTAATTAATAAAAACAATTTTTAACTAATCCATAAATTAAAATAAATTAATGTATTAAAAAATTTTTTGAAAAATTCAAAAAAAATTAAACTATTTTATAATATTTTAGTTCATAAAAATTGATTCGAAAAAGAAATTCTATATTGAAAAATAGCAAATATTTTTATTGCTTACAACTTTATATCAAAAAGAGTGCTTAAAGTGATAAACTAAAATCGAAAATAATTAAAAAAATGTTACATTTTTTTAAAGAAGAAGGAAAAAAAAATAAATGATATTAATTTTTTTAGATTTTACAAAAATTTAGTAGAAATAAATAGAAAACAAAAGTTTGAATTGTTGATATGAATAATGACTTTATAATTTTATTTTCTTAAAAATCTTAAAAGTGCTAAATAAATCTATATTTTTAAACAATTAATTTTTGGAAGAATTATAAGTACTCAACAAAGTTTTTGAATTTTTAAATTATTATTAAAAAATTAAAATTCTTAATTTTATTTTATTAATTATAAATTTATTTAAAAAACAATTAAAAGTAATGTTCTTTTTTTTGCTCTTTAACAACAACCCAAATATTTAAGGCTAAAATAAATATAAAAAATTAAAGTTAGTCAATATAACTTAATCACAGAAATATTTAATAATATGTTTGCTTCATTTTGGTTTTATTTTATTTTTAATATTTTAACTCAAATAATTAGGGTAAAGAATATATTAAAATATTTTATTTATCATCTTTTTATGTTATCTTGAATTGGTTAAGAATTTTATTAATTATAAAATATTAAATAAAAATATTAAGTAATTTTAATTATATTAAAAACAAACTTTCAATTTTTGTTCACATTATGGATGGATGATTTTAGTTTTTTGAATAATTATTATTACTCTAAAGTTTTTAACTTTGTTCGAAATCAATTTATGAAATCTGTTGAGATTTATATATTTTTATTCCTATCTAACTAATTATTTTGTTGATTTTAAACCTTCGAGTTTCCTTTAGCATAAATCTTTTGATCTTCATTTAGATTGTTTACAAAAAACTACTCATCATTTTCATAGAATTTCTAACCTTAAATTTTAATTAAATTTTATTGATTTTTCTAGTTTTTATTATTTTAATTTTAGTCATTTAAATTGTGAAGTTGTGAAGGTAATTTTTTAATTCAAATTTATTAAAATTATTTTTTTACTTTTGTTTATTTTTTTATTTCAATTAAATAAAAAAATAATTTAAATATATAAATGTTTTATAAATTTTATTGAAAATAAATAAAACAATAATAATTTAATTGAGAAAATATGAAAATTAATATAAAAAATTTTACAGAATCAATTAGCTTTCAAAATAAAAAATTCCCTATTCCACTGTTTATATATATCTTTTTGCTTTAATAAAATATTATATGAAAATGATTAATAATAGTTTGAAAATGGGTAGTAGACTTTTTTATCTTATATGATATGCAATATACCAAATGCCAATTTTAAACACATATCATAGGATTGGAATATTCTTAAAAGAATGCTCTCTTAATATATAAATAATCTAGAATAGATTTTAATTTAGTCTTTGTGGTTCATTTCTAAGGTTATTTAATTTTTGGAGTTAAAGTTGAAATTTTAAATAAAGTTAATTAGCTACTCTCTTTTTAAATCATTTAATTTTTTATTAGAAACTTGACAGCATATTAGAATCACTTCTTAGCTATCAAATTCATCAAATTCAATACTTTAATAATCATTTTAGTCTTGTAAGGTTGTAGGAAATTAAGTTGTAAATTTTAGATCACAATTTTTTTCAGGAGAACTTGAATTGTTAATGTTTATTTATTCAAACAGTTGAGTGATTCTAAATTTTAATTTATTAATTTCTGAATTTGTTTAGTTATTAAACGATTATATACTTAATATTTCCTTAAGAAATACATTTAAATTATTTTATACACACTCTATGTATTATTTAAGTTAATTTTCATCTTCTAAGTCATACTCAAGCATTTGAATGTTTAAGAACTCATTATTTTAAATTAGCTATAAAAAGTCATCTCCATTTCTAATAGCATCAAAAAATGAAAATAATTTAGAATCATTCTCATTTTTATTGTTCATACTTAGTTAAGAAAGCATATCTTGTTATTTTTTTTAATCTTCAGCAATCATTTATTAATATTTTATTTTTATTTTAATATGGTTATTTTAATTTTTTTTTTGGAATAAAACCATTTAAAGATATCCATGAAATTTCTCTTTTTTATATTCATGTTGTAACCGATTAATTTTATTTAAAGATGTAATCTCAGCTGTAAAAAATAATTACTAACTTTATTTATTTCTCTTTATTAAAAATTAAAAGAGCATTTTAGATTTATTACCTGTAATTTATTTTTGATTTTTATAAAAAAAGATATAAAAAAATATCAAATTTTAATAACGTCATCATTTATTTTATTTATGATAATAATCTTTAATTTAGTTAGAAAAATTATTAAATAAAATAAATGAGAAAATGATTTATTTTTTATTTATCTTGAAAGTAATAAATACTTCTAGGTCATACTCAAAAAAAAGCATTTGAATGTTTAAGAACAAATTATCTTAAATTAGCTAAAAAAATCATCTCAGTTTCTAATAGCATCAAAAAAAAAAAATTTTTTAAATGTAATCTCAGCTAAGAAAACTAATTACTAATATTTCTCTTTTTTTAAAAAAATTCATATAGTTTGTAATTAAAAGAACACTTTAGATTAATTATGTCGTATTTTATTTTTGATTTTCATAAATAATGTAATTTTCTTACTGACGTCATTATCTATTTTACTTATCATCATAATGAACTAATTTAGTTAATTAAATAAAATAAATCAGAAAATTATTTATTTATCTTGAAAGTAATAAATGGAAGGAACACTTTTTCTTTCAAAACATTTAACTTAATAAATTTTCATACAATAAGTGTAATCATTAAATTCTTAAATTATGATTTTTATTGAAAAATTACTTACACTTAAATAAAAAGAAGCGACCATTAATAAATAGTTAAACTATTTTTGATATAAATATATTTTTTCTCTTATTTATTTGCGATTAGAGACTTTTAAGGAATTCAATAAGATATTAATTAATCAATTATCCAAATACATTTTTTAAAAAGAAAGATTATTCTCTTAAGTAAAAATAAATTAATTGTAAAACATAAAAATTTTATTGTTTTTTTTGTTTTTAAAAATTATTTGTTTGTTTCATTCAATCTTTTAAATAACTCTTATTTTATTTCTAAAAATTATTTGTTTGTTTGTTTGTTTGTTTGTTTGTTTGTTTCATTCAATCTCTAAAATAACTCTTATTTAATTTCTCTAAAAATTATTTATTAATAAAATGTTATTCTCTAATATAATAAAATAATATTTTTAATGTTAATGTAAGTTTCAGATTAATTTAAAGATGTTTTACAAATTTAAATTTATCAAATGCTTCGAAGCAAGCAAATGTTAAAATTAGATCTTTTTATAATTTCTACTATGTGTAATTTGTTAGAGATTTAAATATAATTTGTAAATTTTTTAATTTTTAAGAAATGAATACATGATTATTTAAAAAATATAAATATCTTACTATTTCTTAACAAACTTGGTAATAGTATTTGATTTTTATGTATAACTAACTATTTTATTTTATCCTGTAATATAAAAAAATATTTAATTTATTTGATAATAATAAAACTAACCTTTTTAAAAAAATAATTATTAAAAATTATGTATTAATAAAATAGTTGTTATTAAAATAATTTTATAAAATTATATCTGTAATAAATATGTAAATTTAAGATTAATTTAAAGTTACTTTAAAAATTAAATTTATGAAATGCTTCGAAACAAATATTAAATTTAGATATTTTTATAATTTCTCCAATTCATTAAATGTGAAATTAGTTAGAGATTTAGATATAATTTGTAAATTTTTTAATAATTAAGAAATAAATACATGATTATTTAAAAATATAAAGAACTGACTTTTTCTTAACAAACTTGGTTTTAGTATTTGAATTTATGTATAACTAACTAACTAACTAACTAACTAACTAACTAACTAACTAACTAACTAACTAACTAACTAACTAACTAACTGACTATTTTATTTTATACTATAATATAAAAAAATCTTTAATTTATTTGATAATAATACAACTAACCTTTTTTAAAAAATAATTGGCATATTAAAAATTATTTGTTGTTCGCTCCAATCTCTATAACAAAGAACTCATATTTTATTTTAAAAAATTATTAATTAATAAATGTTGTTATTAAAATAATATAATAAAATTATATCTATAATAAAAATGTAAATTTGAGATTAATTTAAAGCTACTTTAAAAATTTTAATTTATGAAATGCTTCGAAACAAATATTAAAATTAGATATTTTTATAATTTCTCCAATTCATTAAATGTGAAATTAGTTAGAGATTTAGATATAATTAGTAAATTTTTTAATTATTAAGAAATAAATACATGATTATTTAAAAAATATAAAGAACTTAATATTTCTTAACAAACTTGGTTTTAGTATTTGATTTTATGTATAACTAACTATTTTATTTTATCCTGTAATGTAAAAAAATATTTAATTTATTTGATAATAATACGACTAATCTTTTTTAAAAAATAATTGGCAAGTAGATACAATAACTAGTAACTTAATTTTTAAATATTAGTGTAACACCCTCTAAATATATTAACTGTAAAAAATATCATTAGGTTTCAATAAGACTTCAGGTATATTCAATAAGAGCTTTAATTAGATTTTTATAATATTTTCTTAATTTTCATATGATTTTCATAAAAAAATTTATTCATTTGATATTGGCTCTGAATCAAACATTATAACAACTAGAATGTAATAGTACATATTTGATAATGTGTGTATAGTTATTTTATCAGTTAAATTAGAATATTATATTAGTTTTTTCATATTTGTCTTGGGGAGGGTACTTGCAAACTTTTTTTGACGGGTAATAATTAATTAGAAAAAAATAATCCTATATCCAGCCAGTTCTCAAATTCTAACTAACTTATTCATTAAGAATTATATTTTATATTGAAATTTTTAATATATTTTTGGTTAAGCTTGAAGAAGAACATTTAGAAAAAAGATGAAATTTACACTTCGACTAATAAATAAGCTAAACATCTTACCAAGTTAATATTTTGTTATGGTATTGATTCAGTGCTCAAACAAATAACTTAAAATTTAAAAATAAAAATTAGAATACTAAACAAAAGTCTTTTAATTTGAAATTTTAATAAAAATTAGAATACCAAAATATAAAACATGAAAAATGCTTTTTATAAAAATTGGTATTTTATATTAATTATCAAATTAGTTTATTAAAAATTATTTTTATAGTTTCTTTTTTTTTGATATTTATTCACACTTATTCATTGGTAAGAATTATATTGAAATTTTTAATATATTTTTTGGTTAAGCTTGAAGAAGAACATATGGAAAAAAGATGAAATTTATCTTTCGACTAATAAATAAACTAAACATCTTATCAAGTTAATATTTTGTTATGGTATTGATCCAGTACTTAAACAAATAACTTAAAATAAAAATAAAAATTAGAAAACAAAAGAAACTTCTTTTAATTGAAATTTTAATAAATTTAGAATGTCAAAATATAAATATGGAAAATGCTTTTATAAAAATTGGCATTTTATATTAATTATCAAATTAATTTGTTAAAAATAATTTTTTTAGTTTATTTTTGATATTTAATCACTCAATATTCATTCTATAATTTATAAATTATTTAAAAAATGAGAATATTTTATTATTGATTTGATTAGGGATTGATGATGAAATATTTGAAGATGCAGAATGTTTAATTTTTCATATTTGGCTTTTTTATGTCCCGTGAACCAACCTTCATCTCTTTAAAAGTTTATCAAAAATCTTCTAACAAACTAAAAATATTTTTAAAATTTAAATTTTATTTATAATAATTTAAAAATAAAAATTATTAATTATAAAACTATTAACAAAAGAGGATAAAAGTATTGATAGTAATAAATTAATCACTATAAACAAATTAATTAAGTAGAAGCAAATAGATTTTTATGTTATTTCTGATTTATAGAAATTTAATCAAATTTTTATTAAAAACTAAAATTAAATACATAATTAATAGATTTAAAGATGAATTTTCAATTTATTTTTATTACTTTTTACTTCATTTTCTTTAATTTTTGGAAGATTTTGGTAATTGATAACATTAGATTTGTTTTATAATAAAATGAGTAAATTAATTTTGTTTTGCTTAATAAATAAATAAATATTTATGAATTTAGGTTACATTATATTTCTTACATTTCTATTCATTATCCAGAATAATAGCAAACAAAGCGGTATTTTATTGTAGCATGTATTGAATAAATTTTGATTTATATTTTTTAGAAATGGATTAATCAAATATTAATTATTTAATATAGATTTATGATTATTGATTGAATCATTAAATTAAAGATTTTTTAATTATTAGCTTTCTAAAATCAAAACTAAATATTTAGTGTAAACATTAATATTTCTATATAAAAAAGATTTAGATTCAATTTTAATATTTTTGAAAATCAACCTTAGAGAGTATGAATTAGCAGGAGAGAATTAGTGTGAGTTATAATTACAAAGAAACAGATACTTCATCAAATAACTAAAATTAAGCTTACTCATCGAATGTAACTGAGATCCCAAGCAATTTAGAAATATTTTTAACTTAAAGCAGAATTCTGGACTATTATACATTACAAAAATAAATAGATGAAGAATAAGCTTAAGATGAAAAAAGTAATGTGAAGTATATCAAGGTACTTGAATTGTGCTCTCAGTTTTTAAGCAAGTAGAAGGAAATATTTATTGTAAGAGATTATGAATGCTGCTCAAAACATTTATTTAGACAAAAAGTTTTTCATAAGTCTGAATAAATATCTTCAATGACAGTAGAATTTCCAAGAAATGATTGCATAGGAGCACTTTCTAGGTGCTTAAGAAATCTATTTTTTGAGCATAAAGAGTCTCTAAATGGGGCTTCTTCTCCATAAGATAATTTGAGAATTTAAGTATTTGGAAAAGCTAAGCTTGGATTAGTAACTATAGGTGGAATTCCAATAGGTAGATTTGAAGCTATTTATCCTTCAGTTTGCAAGTCTATATTTTGTAATGCTTCTATTAATGTAGAAGTGGAAGCTTTTTATGGAGAAAAAAGCTAAATTACAATTGAAAGAGATGCAGATAATAATTAGCTTTTCATCGAAACACTTTGCTCCTGTTTTTGCTGCTTATACAATTCAAAGTAAATGAGAATCTTTAAAAATGGTAATCAAGTAAATACATTCTCTATTGACAGGTCTTGCTGGCATCATTTTTTACAGATTTGTTGTTCATCTTGTGTAAATGCTAAGTGGGAGGTAACTTAAATGCCAATGAGTACTAACTTGCTCAGTGATTTAGAAAAGGTATTAATTATAGCATCCTGGTTATATCAAATTGAATACACAAAGTGAGATAATTAATAAATGTTAAAATGATAAAATACAAATTTCTCCATGAATTAGATAATCTATCCTTTATTCCTGATAAAGTTTTTTATGGATATAAGGAATGCTTATAAGGATTTGTTTTTTTTTTGATTAGATTTTTTCGATGTAATCAAAACCCAAAGCAAAAAGAATATCAAACATATCAATACACTCATAATCAGTTTACTAAATTAATATATAAAACTTAACTATAATAATCCTAAAATTTAAACACGAAGTTGTAACAGCAAGAGCTGTCCTTTATATTTATTGTAATCTACTTTAAAAATAATTTACTTTAATGTACATTAAAAATTTAGTTCTAATTGAGAATAATTATTTTTAACCAAAACATACATACATAAAATTGAGAAATATACTTTTTTTTAATAAACTCTTTAAAAGTATATTCTCAATTCACATTTACAGTCTATATTAATTTTTTATTAAAAAATTCAAAAATGGTTGAATTAATTATTTCTTGTAAATTCAACTAATAAAAAAATTAAATTTAGTAGCAATTTCTTAAGAAATAATTTTTATAAGATCAAAAAAGTATTATTTTAAACTTTATTTTTTATTAAAACGTTTAATTCTACACTCAAACCTTAATTGCGGCCACCTTAATAGTATGAGAAATCGCTTATTGTTGGCAAACTTAAAAATAATTTTATAAAAAAGAATTCACAAAAAGCCTTGATATGTTGAACCTTAAATATAATTTAACTAAAAATGTTTGTATGAACAGTTAGTTATCACTTTAGATAATTTTTTTTATGTTAAAAATGCTTTGATTTATACAGGAAATATTTAGCTTTTATGAAGAAGAACAAATTTTATAATAAATTTTAAAACTCAAGATTTATATTTTTAAACTATCTTAATTGTAAAATATCTTGTTTTAATAAAATATTTAATACTTAAACTAAAATAAAATAAAAATATGTTAAATCAAAAACCATTTTAAATACATTTTATACATATTTGAATGCACTAATTAATTTGATTTAAATCTTGAATAGTTTATTATTTAATCTTTAGTCTTTTGTTTCATGATAAACATATAAAAGTGGAAAAAGTAATTTTCTTTGATGTAGAAATTTATTTTAATTTTAGCAGGTAATAAAAAGGAAAGAATATCAAAATATCATATTTGATTCTTAATTGATTAAAAAAATATTTATCTAATTTAGTTAATATAAAAAAAATCTAATTTGTCATTCTAAAAAATTACTTATTTTGAATTTATTTTCTTTATTTTTTTTTGTATTTTCTGAAAATAAAAGTTTTAGATATTTTAATAACATTAACTAAATCAATTAGATCTCAATCTCTTTACATAAAAAAACATCAATTTAAAAAATGGAAAAATTTGAGTTGAAATGCCCGAAGCATCCGTAGAAAAAAATAAAGTTTTTAGTAAATTCAATTTATAATGACTAATAAGTACTAATTTGCAGTAAATGCATTATTGACTCTGAAATTAGAAAAGGAGAGTTCATTTTAATATCCTAAATTATGCAGCAAGGTGATGATAACTTAATTTAAAAATGGCCTCCTTTAGAAGATAGCTAAATCATTAAAAAGTTGGTTGATTTAACATAAGAAAATAACAACATAACTTTGATGAATAATGTTAATGGTTTTTTTGAAGATCTAAAATAGAAAATTTTAGAAAAAATAGGTACAATTTAAAAAATAGTTATGACAAAAGCAAGCGATTTGAGCAACTAAAATGAATAAATCATTTAAAAATATAAAGAGATATCCCAAATACATCAATTAAGGTAATTATTAATGAACGAGAAAAAACAAGATTATAATAATTTAGAATAAAAATGTAAATAGCTTATCAAAGAGTTGGAACTATAAAAAGAAAAAAACTAGCTCATTTTTTAAGAATTATATTTCAATATGAGTTAAGTAGGAAAAGATATAGATTTTTAAAGTACTAATGTAATTTAAGAGTAAATATTGCTGCTTTTAGATAGATTTAATTTTCTTTAAGAGAAATAAAATGAAGAGTAAGAAGAAATAGATAAAAGAGCGAATTCTTAACTCCTAAACAACAAACCAACTATTTAATATGAAAAAATAAACAACTCAGATAGAATTTATAAATTAATCTCAAATGAATCAAATTATTGCTCAAAGTAATTTTTAAAAGATATAAAATAGATTCTCAAAAGTATAGAGCCCTTACTATCCTAAATTGAAGCATAAGATATTTATCAAAAAGATAAGGAGCCTATAAAATTTAAAAATTTAAAGAAGGAGAATATGGAAAAGATAGAAAGCTATGCTCAACATATTTATAAAATTAATTAAAAGAAAAAATAATATATCAAATAAATAGAGTAATCTAAGCAAATAAAAGAAATAAATAAAATTCTCAATTTCAGATTAAATTATTTAACTGATTCATTCAAAAATAATTTTTACGAATATTTGATAGAGACTTATCCCTTTTTGAGTTCGATAGATGTTGACCAAATTACTACTTCAAGTGAAAACATTTCAAGTCTTCAACAGTTAAATGATCAAGAAACAAATGAATTAACCCTATTAATTAAGAAAAGACTTGAATTCAATTAATAGAATGTAAGTGATTCTAAATATATTGTAGATTAGCTTTATTAATAGCTTTCTATATATATCCCATAAAATGATATAAGAAATCTATTCTCAAGATTCCCAATTTTCGATTTAATCAAGATAAATAGGACGATTGATATTTTATAAAAAATTTACTTTTATGAGGATTCAAATAAGAATGAATTACTAATTAAAAAGCATTCAAATAACTAAATAACAATTGAATCAAACAATTAAATATAATTTAGTGTACTCTGTTTGCAAAATTTTACTTTTGAAAAGAACAATAGATATATTATTAGAATTAAAGTTGAATAATAGCGTTATTATTCTGAAATTTAATTTAGTGTTGGTTTATTGTATCAATCTCGATATTTAAAGTATTTTAATTACTAGAATTCGCTTTAAAGTAAATTCATATATAAAAATCATTCCTTATTTAATATTTTATCTCAAGCTTAATAAGTACCCTTCTCAAATGGAAATTAAATAGAAATTAGAATCCATATAAATGAGTCTATATTTGAAGTTTTAGATTATCCTAACTATAATACTAAAATAGTAATGATGAATTATCAATCTAAATATTAGCTTCAAAGCTAATTTAATCACAAACTATTTTTAAATCTATACAAAAATGCAAACATATCTATTATGGAAGCTTATATTGATAAAGAGTAATAATGAATGAATGATTGATTGATTGGTTGGTTGATTGATTGCTTATTCAAAAATAGTAAAAATCTAAGTTAACTAGTTTACTATTTTAATATGAGCTAACATTTTAAAAATTTCATTTTACAATAAATTTAATTAGAAGTTCTAATTTGAAAAACTAATTAAATTTATTTGTATTTTAAAAATGAATTTGTTACTAATTTCAAACACCAATTATATTTATTTGTATTTTAAATAAGTATTTGTTACTTCTATTTTTATAAAAAAATTAATATTAAAATCATCTTTTTTATTTTAAATATAAATTTATTAAAAATTAAATTTTTTATTTCTTAATTAGGGTAGGTACACTATCTTAAATTAGAAATTATTTTAATTAGAGAGTGGTATATATGGATTTGAACCTACAGCAAAATATTTTTAATTATTTAATAAGGATATTATTAATTATATAGTTAGTTTATAAAAAACCAATTGATTATTAAAAGTTCTCATTAAAGAGTTTTCAAATACATATATATATATATATATATATATTCATTTTTTTTTAATCATTATATATTTTAAATATGCTCTAATTTATACTTTTTTTAATAAATAAAAAGAAACTTGTAAAAATGAAACGATTAAATTAAAATTATTAAATTATTTTCTTTATATTTTTAGTATTTCCATAGTAAATGATTCCTACCTGTCACTGTTTGTATGTATTCCAACTATAAATTACTATCTTCAAAAAAATTTAATTTATTAATCTAAAATAATAAAAAATATTTATTGAAATACTATTGGTTCTCATATGTTATTACCCATATTTATTAATCCCTACTTTTTTTATATTATTATTTTTTTGAAAATTTTGAGCAAATTTAATGGTGCACATAATACCTAAAATAGATAGATTTCACTGTATTTATTTAAAAAAAAAACTATTAATAAACTTTGACTGTATTTTTAAATTACTAATATTTATTTTTTTTTTTGCTAAATACACAAACATAAATATAGGCATATTTTATTTATGGGTTTGAATTAAAATACATAGAGTAGTAAAGAAAATCATTTGAAGTATTATATTAGTAGAATAATATAACTCTAAAACACCTTATATATAATTTTAGTAATGGATATTTATTTATTATTATTATAGATTTGTATAGAAAAATACTTTTAAGATAAATAAAAATTATAATTATTTTTATCATTTTTTATGAAAATAATTTTTTCTCTTTTGATGAACTAAATTTTTAGAATCAACTCATGAAAAAATCTGACTTATGATATAAAGAGTTTTAGACTGGGGAATGTATCTTACGGAATCTACTTCCTCTGTTAGCCAATTGATATTCAACAGTGAGTGTTTATGGCTAGCTATTCTTATTTTAGTTTTGTTAAATAGTCTACTATTAGATCACCTTTTTAAAACTCTTTTTAGTGTTACTTAGTTCTTTTTCAAGCATTTTAGCAAACCCATCCTAGAGGTCTTTGAAGATTTTGGAGTTGTGGTAAAATTAAACTTTATTATTATTTAATTGTTATTGATTGTTTGCATTATTATTACTGTTACTGTTATTAGCAGTATTTATTCCTCCTTGGATATTGGTTTAAAATGAGTTTACAAAGTTATTGCTTGGATTCTATCCACTTTGGTTGTCTTAGTTTTAAGCATTTTAGTTTAAAGATGAGCGATTTTCAACTGCTTGCAAATTTTATTGTAAATTTTAGAGTTGTTAGTTTTTGATATCTTTTTTACACTTTTCACATTTTTAGCAATTGTAGGGATCAGAATCTAAGTATCTTATAAATTACTCGAAAGTCTTTTAACCTGTTAGCTTTTTCCAAAGTAAACATATTTTTACAGATCTTTTAAATTTTTGTTAAGGAGTGTCTTAGCCCTTGGTGCTTTGCTGGTGGAAAGTACGCATGTGGAGGAATTACTCAAAAAATTTGATATATTCGATACAACGGAAGAAACATACGCTCAAAGAGACAGGATTGATTTGTTCTGAAATAGAGTTAATCATATTTTCAAACTAGTGTAACATAAGTTTAAAGGTATTTTTGAGTTCATCAAACCAGAGATCAGAGTCATTTTCAGTTATTTTCTCAATGTAGTTCTTGAGCATGACAAAATATTCTTTTATTTTTAACAAACTTTCAAATTAGCTCATTAAGATTGGGTCTACTCTATTTCTTGTGTTGCTAATATTCAAAAAGTCTAAGCTCATCAAAAATGTGTAGAATTCATCATAGTTTGTTTTATCTTTTGTTTTGTCTAATAAATCTAAATTTTAGATGTGTAAAGTAGGGCTCTTTTTGTCATCTTCTTGGTCTTCAGCAACGTTATTATAAACTGAAAACTTGCGGACATTTTCTTGTTAACTTTGATACTTTTGAACTGTTGAGCTGCTATTCATTCCATTTTATATTACAGTATTTCTCTACTTGCTATCAGTAGGTGACCTATCATCATTCATGTTAGAATCTGGTTATGAAATGAGTCCTTAAAACTCATGAAAATCAAAAATCAAATATCCATCAAAGTTATTATCATTCTTAGATTTGTTTTGTTGAGAAGCTGGAGCTTGGGAAGCTGTAGCTGGCGTTTGATTCATTTCTAATAAAAAATAATTTGTATTAAATGAACAAATATAATAAAAAAAATATTTTCAGCTAAATAGCAATTAAAAAGATTTATTAAGAATTCATTTTTGTTTTATTTTAAATTAATTCAGGACAATACAATTTGGTTACAAGCTTTTACATCATTCATTTATTCAAATTGTTTTTATCAAAAAGTTAATGAGTTATTTATCTAAATGAATTAATTCAAGAGTTTGATTCATCTAAATTAATATAAAGATTATTTACATAATGAGTTAGTTACAGTTGGGATATTCTACTATTTTTGTTGAGTTTAAAATTTTCTTTCTAAATGCTATTAGTTTGTTTAGCTACAAGCTATTATGAGCTTTAACGAGAATAATTATACTTTTTTGCTATAAATAAATTGTTAAAATTGATTAAAATCAGTGATTTGAGCTTTTATATTTATTTATTATAAACTAAAATCTGTTTATTGGAAGGAGAATAATTAAAAAAATTTCGATCATCATCTAATATATATATATATATATATATATATATATATGTCAATATTTAATTCGATTTCGTTTCTTAACTAATTTCAACTTCTAGTTTATTGTAATTGGCTGGTAGTTCTTAATTATAAAAATAAAATTATAAATAATTTCTTTTTTTAGTATAAAAATAGTATATTTTATTTATTTATTCATAAAAAAATATAAAAGGAAAAATAAAATTAAAATAATAACAAAATTTATAAATATATTTTAAATAGATAAAAATTTCATTAAGAAATTAAAATAAGTTTTAATTTAAAAACACTTGTTAATTCTATTTAAACATGTTACATCAATACACTTATTATTTCTTTTAATTGCTTTCTTATAAACAATACTGAATCTTTGTATATGAAAGAATCTTTAAATAGCAAACAAATTTAAGATCAAACCAATCAATTTTTTTATTTTTAATATTCTTTTCAATTGCAGTTGCTAATTTTAATGATTTAATTAATTAGAAGAAAACTAAATAAATCATTGAAGCTTAAAAATTAAAATAATATTGTAAATGATTGAATTATTTTACATTTTTTTTGTGAAAAATATTCTATTTTTATCAAAGGCAATATTATTTTATTATCCTTTTCAATTAAAGTTGCTAATTTTAATGATTTAATTAATTAGAAAAAAACTAAATAAATCATTGAAGCTTAAAAATTAAAATAATATTGTAAATGATTGAATTATTTTACAATTTTTTTGTGAAAAATATTCTATTTTTATCAAAGGCAATATTAGATAACATTTATACAGATATTTTATTTTCATTTATGTTGAAAATTAAAACAATTATTTTCTAAAAATACATAAAATCAACTTTTAATGAACATATAATTGTATTAAAAATTGATCATAAATCTTATTTAAGAGCAAAAGACTTTTTAATATTATGAAACTTTCAATTTATAATTGTTCTTTTATAAAATTCTCTATGTACATTTTAATTTAAATTTTCAAAATATTTATATCTTTTCTTTTAAACATTTTTAATAAAAACATATGAAAACAATTAATGTTCAGTAGATATTTAAAATTTGAAAAAAAAAAATTTTAATGAGATAGCAACTCATTAAGTTAAAATTTTTAATAAAAATCCAGTAAAAGATAAAGAAAGTTTGTGATTAGAAATTTAAGTTTTTGTGAGTATTTTTATATACTTTTTACCAGAAAAATATATGAAATAATGGATTAATAAATCGAGTCAAATAAATATAACACAGAAGTTATTAGATAATTGATTCATAGATATATTGTTATTAATATCTTCTTAAAAAGTACTTGTTTGTCTTTAATTAATATTACCTAAATAAATAATGTACCAGTTATTTATTATTAAATATTATATATATTATGCTTTTGATTTATTGTTAATGTGACTAGTATTATTATCATTATCATTATATTTATTTAGCAATTTAGCTAACCAAAATAAAGACAAATAACTAAACATAAAAAATACATCTCAATTCCTTTATAATAATTATTAAAACTTAATAAAAATTTCAGCTTTTTTAAATAAATTAAGAAAGAAAGCAAGGAATAAAGTAAGGGTTCAATCAATCGCTTAATTTATAAATTAATTACAATAAGCATGAGTTCAAGCAGTTAACGCCCAAGCAATCTGATATCATAGCAAAGTTAATAGTAGTTAAATGAGCAAAGTAAAACGAAAACTACCTTTAGATCAACAAAAAAGGATGAGGCTAGATTGCTCCCTCATGAGGTTTTTGATTCTATGGAGGAATTGTAGAATCTTAAAACGAAATACCCGTCTTTAAGATAAACTTATAGAGTGGTAATACTATGATATTCAAATATTTTTCATTTTAAGTTATAAAAATATTTTAAAAAGCAATTATTTTTATAGCCATCTATTTTATTTAGATTATTTTTGCTTAGAATTATCTAATTTTTGCAAAATATGCCTTAATACATTATTAAATTTAAGTAGAATTTAATAAAAATATATTTTTGATTTTAAAAAATATAAAACGTAGGTCAAGCCAAGCACTACTATGAATAGAAGTATATCTTCTAACTTCTTTCCTTCTAGCAAGCAAAATCCCAACTAGCCTAGATCTAAATACGATTTAAATGCTTATTTTAAAGTGAACACTGATAGATGGTATAGCGGGTTAGATGAAGCCAAACCTCTAAATAAGCATAATGACTCTCTGCAAGAAATTAATCATAAAACATCTCGCACATACATATTTCGTTAGTAAGATGTAAGACTCTATTATATAAATTGTATTAATGATAATATCAATAAAGTGTTTTAATTCTCGTCTAACAGATACTATCTTTCTGATTACTCTTAAAGAGTTAGTTAGTTAGTTAGTTATACATTTTTTAAGCTGAAAAACAATCAAAATTGCAAAATTATTAGTTTTATAATAGAAATCATCCTCGATTTTATACAGATAAGCATGAATAAAAGATTAATTTTTTAGATTATGGATTAAGAATATCTTAAAAATGAAACTGCAACAGAATATCTTCATTTTTAGCTTTCCTTTTTTATATTTTTTCAAAATCAAATATAGAAGAAAATAATAAACAAGCTAAGCAATAATATGAATTCTAAATACAAACCAAAATAGTTTGAAGAAAATAGTTGAAAAATTTTGATAATAGTTTATGAAAGTTGTAAAAAGCTATAAAATATTAATTTAGAATTATAAGTTTGATTGTTTTCCAGCAAGTTAACACTTTTTATTGATAAATCTAAAGCTATTTATTAGTGTTCTCGAAACGTTTTTATTATTATTAAAAGGATTAAAAGTTTTTTAGATAAGAATCAGGGCCAGTAGGACATTAATATTAACAGAGTATGCCACCTTAAACATTGAATAACGTTTAATCCTCTGATGATTTATTTAGATAGCTTCCAAGAAATTTATAGTCAGCAATTAATCTTCCTAACTTATACTCTCAAGTTGAAGAAAATGAAAGAATGATAAATCCTTTAAGATCTGACCATAATTTGCTTAACCCATATACCAGCAACAATCCACACAACAAATCAAGGCAGTCTTCGTTGACAAATTTAAATTTTAAAATAAAAAAGCTACACAATACATATTATAATTCAAGCCAACGTAGCTTAATAGAAAGTAATCCTGATACAAAAGAAACACCCTTTACTTATATTGATTTTTTTCAGCAAGGAGATATGATTCACATAAAAGTTTCCAATCTAAATAATTTTAAGGTATCAAAAATTAAATACTTTTTGGAGGAAAAAAAAATTTGAATTTTATTTCAGATAAATAAAAATTTGTTTCTTAGAAATATTGTTGAATTTAACTATGTTTTAATATTAGGTTGAACCTCTAGAAAAATTTGATGAAGGAAGACTCTATGATGAAGACCCAAGAGTATATTTGAATTCAGGTGTTTTTAGAGGATATAGTAAGTGGTAGGAACCAGATGGTTCTTTTATTTGGAAAGACTGTTTAGTTAAAGACTATAACCCAGAAACTGCTAAATTTACAATCTAATGGGTAGCAAACAAAAAAATTAAAGAAGTAAGCCGTTTAAATTTAATGTACGATCATGAAAACTAGGAAATAGCAGACACAAGGTAAAATATTAAATAAAAATTTAGCAAATTTTAAAATAATTTTAAACGATAAAATTTCATTAGTAAAAATGAAAACAAAATTGAATTTTTTGATAGAAACATACTAATGAAATGATTAAAAAAATGCATAAAAAATAATAAAAAATTAAATAAATTAAAAGGGTTTTATCAGTATTTAGTTTTTCAAGATTTTAATTAAATAAATCATTTAATAAGTCATTAAATATTAACTATTTATTATTTTTTAAAATATTCAATTTATTTATTTTATAAATTTAAAAAATGAAACATATTAAAAATGAAAACAACTAATTAATCAACAGATATAGATTAGCCAAAGAAAAGCGTGAGCAAATGCTATATTTTATAAGTCTAAAACAAAAAATTGGAGAAACCTCAAGTGAATCAAAAGAAATTTTGTTTAGAAAGAAAAATCTAATTCGTATTTTGGATTTAATTTTTAACACTGAATTTTTAAAAGAAAATGAGGAGCAATGGAAAAGATAAGTGATTAATGATATTCTTTAAGCTTATAAATTTGATGTAATAAAGTTTGTCTATTAAGCAAACACTGTCTAGAGTCTATATGAGCTTTTTAAAACGTATTTTAGTTTAAAAATCAAAGCATTTATTTTATTTTTCTATTTATTCTAGTTACTATCCTGATGAGCTTGTTAGGAGAAAGCTAAAAATTTACAATTTGCAACTAAACTTAAATGAAATCGAAGAATTTACAAATGAAGTAACTGTAAATGAACAGAAATAATAAGAACCTTAAAATGCTAAAAAAAAATATCAAAATTCATTCTTTATTCCAGATAGAGTAAAAGAAGAGGAGCCTGAACAAAATATTTTTGAATACAATTATAATGTCAAAAATTGGGTTTATGAAACAGAGTTTGCTTAACAAAATGAAATTGAGCCTGAAAAAGCTCAACCAACTTTCACTACTGCAGTAGAAGGATAAATGCCATCGAAGTTAAGAAATTAATTTAGAAAGATAACTTTAAGCACTCTAACAATAGCTAAAAATTTATTCATAGAATATACCACAAACAATCTCAGCAAGAGTTTAAGGTTCAATTACGATCCTAAGTTTTTATAGCTTCATACTACTCTACCATAGGTAAGAAATACAATCAATCATAATATTCATTTTCAGTGTATAATATAAGCAAATATTAATCCAAAAATAATTTTTTCTTTATATTTTTAGTTTATTAACATCTAAATTATATTTTTTTTAAATAGTTCATGAAGGCTATCAGTAGCTTAGAGGAAACAACATTATTTTAATACTTTGCAAGTTCTGGATAAAACTATTAATCTGATGTTTTTCCAGAGTTTGATAGTAAAATTATTTATACAATATTCTAATGCTTTTTATTCTAATGAAATTGTTTAACTTAATAGGAATGAATATTGAATTTAACAAACAAAAATTTAAAATTGAAAAGATTTTCGATAAGATAGAGGTATTTATTATTTTTACAAATATAAATTAAAATAATTATAAATAATAATTAATTAATTAGCTATCTATAAACGAAATAATATTTGATGTTACAAGAAATATGGGATTCGAAAGTAAAGAGATAAAAAAATTAAATCTACACCATAAATTAAAAGAGTGTATGCAAAAAATAACTAATTATTTAGTTCAAAGCTATATGTCGAAAACAATTTAAAATTCTATTTATTAATTATGCGAGTCCTTCTAAAAATACTATGCTATTCTTCCTTATGAAGATCTTAATTCTGAAGATCTCGTTTTAATCGATCCTTAGATAAAAATAATACGTCTTTTAAAAAGATTAACCTACTGCTATGATAATCCAGTAAATTCAATTATTTTCTCAATTTTTTAAAATATAGTTCATATTAATTGATTAATCAACAGAGCATCTAAATAAACAAAAGAGGATCTTTCGTTACCCAAACTCAGTTTTTGCTGGTAAATTTCAATTTTAACTACAAAAATAAAATTATTATTTTTTTCACAATATTAGAGCTTCTAAGAATTTGAAAGTGATCAATAACAATCTTAATAAGAAATTATTTAAGAACAATAAAATAAAGTATTTTTGATAAAATTAATTCATTAATTAAAAACTATTTATTTTTAAATTTATGACTAGATTCCATCAAATCTCTGTTTACCATAAATCTATGAAAATAACTAGGTATATTTAAATTAAATCTATAAAGTTTATTTATTTTAAAATGAAAAAGGTTTTATCCAGCAAGGAAGTATTTAAAAGATTTGGAAACAAATTTTAAAACACTTTCGAGACTTAGGAGAAGAAAAGATTTTCAGCTAACAAAATTATTTATGAAATGCCTGAAGATCCAATGACTCCATAAAATGTGCTTAAAAAATAAAAAAACACTGAAAATATTAACAGAGAAAGTGCTGGTTCCATAAAAAATCTTGAGGTTCTCAATGAAGAATCTGAGGAATAGCAAGATGATTTTTCTGAATGGAGATGGATCAAAGATTCTAAAATTATCTTTATGATTTACACTAAAATGTGCGAAAAATATCTAAGCGACTAATTTTTAAACAACAGATATAAATAAATTGAAAAGACTCCAATTCAACCTTTGTTCAATCTTCGTGTTGTTATCAACGACGACAAGAATTTATCTAAGAAAATCAAATCTATTTATAAAACATTTAAATTTAACAAAATGGACTAATAAAAAATGTCAGACATTCTCTTCCGTAGTAGAGAATAATTATATTCATATAGCGACTTAACATTCGAGGATATGTTTTATGAAATAGCTTCTCGTAATGATCTCGAATACTCTATAGAAAATATTGAAAAAGAAGTACTTTTATTTTTTATAATAAATTATTTATCAAATTTAACAATTTATTTTATTTATTAAAAAGATTGGACAAGCAACAATCACCAAAGGCCGTCTTGGTTGGTTTAATTATAGTTCATTTTTAGTTACTTTTGAGCCACCTCTAGAAACTTTTGAAGAAAAATTCAAAGACTAATTTTCAAATGCTCTTATAAATATCAAAAATCTCAATAAAATATTTGGTGAATTCGGTAAATTCTTCCTTCTGTTTTAAATAATCGAAATTATCTTTGAAAAAATAAATAAAATTTTAATTGAAATTTATTAAAATGTTTATTTATTTATTAATTTAATTAACTTTTTAAAGCTTCTGACAAAGTATTCAGAAATGATGATGTATTCTAGAATTAGGTCAAACTGATAAATGAAAACATAGATTCATTTTTATTAAATGGTTTATATGGAGCATATTCTCTGCTTCATTTGTTGAATAGGTTCGAATTTTACTACTTGCACTCTGAAAACTATGAGAAATTTATAAAAGGAATGTATGATGATGATCAACTTACAGAGGTATTTAGAGAATAAGAAAAAATGAAAAAAGACATAAACTTCTTTTAGCAGAGATTGCCAGATGAAATTAATTTAGGTTTTCTTGTCGTTTACCTCAAAGAATTCAAAAATAGCACACTAATTGAAATAAATAAAAAATTAGATTTGATAAAAGTTTTGAGCAAGGAAAAATTTAAAAATTTACTTGATAAAAATATTTAAAGTCATGAAGAAATCTTAAAAAATATGGAAAAAGAACCCACTACAATCTAAGAATATATTGAAATTCTGCTTTATGTGCAGGGAACTGAACTTTAAAATCACATAAACACAATGGATATCTATCAAGAAATGGCCACATACCTTTATGATAAGTTCTATGACTAGCTAATTATAATTGATTCAGATATGCTTATACTTTATTTCAATGCTAAAAGCATGCTTTAGGATGTCAAAAACAACAGAGAAGCAAAATTATTTTCCCTTTAAAAGATAAAATAAAAATTCGAAGAAATGCATCACACTGATAAGACTACAGTAAAGGACAATATAGAATCTCTTATGAAGAAAATAGAGTAACTTAAATAAGAAACTAGTTTCGATAGGGCTTTCGAGGTAGCTGGTTTATCATAAGAAATTTTAACTGAGCTGAACTATGTCGAATACAAAGTAAAAGTGCTCCAATATGAAGAAATTCATCTTTCTGTAAATCCAGACCAGTATCTCAACATTTAAGAAGATGCCTTTAATTTCCGTACTTACGACTAACTTTGGAAATACACCTCTGAGTGGAAAATGGTAAATTCTACAAGATAAAAAAAAATTAATTTTTAAATTTATTAAAAAATAATTCATAGAAAAAGGAAGAATGGCTAAAAAAACCTCTGTTGAGCCATAATGTAGGAGGATTTACAAATGCTGATATCAAAGAAATATCTTCTACTCTAGATTAAGGTATTAAAACACTCAAAGAAGTTGAGCCTTACTTCAAACAGTATAACTAAAAACTCATGCCATTGATTGAAACTTTAACAAGTGACATTGGATAGTTTGAAAGAGTGTATGAGTTGTTAGTTTAAGTTAAGCATGAAAGCTTTAAGAGTGAACATTGGGCTGTAATTATAAATTTTATTAATCTTAAAAATAATAATCATTGATAAATATTATTAAAATTATAGCAAATTTTTGAGGTTATGTACTAAGACAACCAAAAGAAAGTAGATGAAATGCTTGCTTGCTTGAAAACTCCTTAGTTTAACTTAAGTTTCTTAATTGCAAATAATGCTCTTGAGCATTTGGGTTTCGTTTCAAATATAGCTGGAGTAATTAATTAATTAATTTTTTCTATTTCAAAAAGGATAATTTTAATTATTATTATTTTTTTTAGGAAGCCTAAGAAGAATTTAAGAGCCAAGAAACTATTGACAATTTGAAAAACGAATTCTAAAATATTAATTTTGATGCCATAGATTTCCACAATATTCCTCTCATAGTAGGCTTGAAAGATAGAGTTTCTGACTTGCGTCATTAATATTTTACAGTGTAAATGATATTTTAGGCTTTTGTTTCAAATATAATTTAATTTGGAATACAATTTAATTATCATTAAGTATAAAATAATTAAACAATAATGACTAAATATCATTTAATTTTTAAAGCGGTGAAATGCTTCGTAACAAGATTTACTAGAGAAATGACTTCACTGAAAAGTTAAGCTAGTTGGAATATGTTGTGAAAAATACAATGAAAGTGTTAAAAAGAATTGCAAAGATTTAAGATAGATTGGTAGCTTATGCTCCTTTATATAGATTCAAAAAAAATGAGCCTTACCTGAAGTAATCAACTATCATTTATAATTAAGTTGTGGAGGATTTCAAGAAGACTGTCAAAGATATTGAGAAAAAGGGAATGAAATACTTCACAGCTTTATTTGTAAAAGAAGAAGAAGACAGCAAGACATAATAAGAAATCCATGAAAAATTTTCAAGCATTTACACAAGATCCAATTATGTTCGTTAGCTTGTTTAAATTATGGCTAGGTAAATACGTTTTGAAAATCCTAGAATGGCATTTTTCTCTGATGAAAAGATTATTCAGCTTTGCTCTTGCTAATTCTATCCAAAGGTAGCAAAACAAACTATTTAGCTTTAAATAAAAATATAGAATTAACTTTTTATAAATAGGAATTCTTTTAATATATTTCTGTTGTCTATCCTGGAATAAAAGAGTTTGTGATAACAAAAACAGAAAACGAATCTAGACCTGGCTAAAATGATTTATCAGTTAAATAAGTAATTAATGAGTATGGTGAAAAGTTGGATTTGCTTTACACAGTGACTTACTAACTTGGAAGAAATGATGAACCCCCAGTTTTTACATTTATGAATGAAATAGAAATGCAACTTAAAGAATTCTTTAAAAATTCTTTACAAAAGAATATTAAAGGCATTAGTAAATATTATTAATTATTTTAATAGATTTAAATTAAATTCTTACTTTTCTATTAATTAATTTTATTTATAAAAATAATAAGGTAACTGTTACTATAACTACTAATAAATATGGACATCATACATAACAAGTGGAGCTGTACCTTTCTAAATTTTATATTTAATTAATGATATTTGCTTCTATCATGATGTTACTGCCCTTTTAAGTATAAACGATGGACTAGAAGATCTCAATGAATACTCTTCTCCATAAGAAGTAAAGGCAAGAACCAAAGATTCTGGAATAAATAAGCTTAGAAATATTCTGCAATCTCAACTTTCTAACTTTTAGGTTTATTTCTAATCTGTGATAAAGCATAATAACAATCCTAAGTTTGTGTTCCCATTCACTTAATTCATCCTCTAAATCCAGAATCATATAAATATTTTAGGATATCTTCTTAATAATTTAGTATATTTAATTTTTAAATAATTTAAATTTTAATTAATTGACTTAATGTTAAATTTTCAATAGGCATTTAGATTAGATTCATTTGAATATCTTTCACTTCCTAAATTTTCTTTAGAATTCAATAGAAAGGAACTTGACAAACAATTATTTAATAAAGTTTAAATTCAAAATTTAAATGCTTTGGCTTAGGCATCTCTCGCTGCTTAACAAAAAAAAGAATAATAATAATAAGGTGAATTAATTCCTGAAGGTGAGCAAACGAAAAAAGCTACTGAAGGAGATGATGGTACTACCAAAAATTAACCAAAGCAACCTCAAGTTGTTCTACCTAAAAATTGTGCTGAAATCATTCAAATGACTTACACTGCTACTAAGCAAGCTTCAGCTATGTCCTATGGATAAAATGATTTACCAAATATTAATGCAAAATCACTTTTTATGAATTTAGTCTAAGAATATCCTTTTGATGTTGTCCTCCTAAGCATGAATTACAAGCGTCTATATGGATATGAAGTTAATCCCATCTTCTAAAATTATGTCTTCACTGAATCATCAAATAGAATTTTTGCCAAAATTTTAGGAGCCTTTTCAGCAAGTTTAGGTAATTTACTAAAACAATTATTTGACTCTTTATTTAAAGGATATTTTCTTAAAAAAAGGTGCATGCTTGAGAAGTCCACCATAATCAGGTAAAAGAGAAAACGCTAAAGCTTTAAGTTTCATGCTAGCTAAACCTTTCTTCGAATGGAATTTCGATGAAAAAATGGATTCGTTTACTGTTTAAAATATTTTAACCGGCTTTGCCTCTGGAAGCTACTGGCTATATGTTACTAATTTAGAAAAATGTAATATGAGTGTAATAAGTACAATGGCTCAAGTGATGTTTGCTGTTAAAAAAGCTCTTGTTCAAGGCTATACCTAATTCCCATTCGGTGACCTAACTTTACCTTGTAATAACTAATTTGGTTTGATGTGCTCTTATTAAATTACATAAGATGGTAACAAAAACTCATTTGAAATACTACCAAAGAGTCTTTTAGAAAACTTTAGAATCATAAACTTCATCTAACCTGATATAGAACCAATCTTCAGAGTAATTACTACATTTAAATAAATATTTTAAGTATTTAATCAACTTATTTAACTAAATTATTTTAATTTTAGCAATACTTTTTGATGCTTGGAGTTAAAGACTATTAAGTAGAGGAAAAATTAAAATAATTCTTATTATTTTTCTCATTTTTATCAAGCTCCTTTGACAAGCAGTACTTCTTATAAAAAAATATGCTCACAGAATAGGATCTAGGAGATATTAAATATAGTAAATTTGAGGGAATGCATAATGTCTTCTCTATGAAGAGTTTGATCAAATTCATGCATATCTCCTTAATGGCATAAATTAATAGCAAATATGAATCAGATCCCATTGAAATTTTAAAGAATTAATTGGATTTATAATTACAAGCAACTCTTTCTTAGAGTGCATACTAATTCATTAAAATCACATTCTCAAGATTCTTCACTGAAAACACTCACAAAAAGAAATTTATCAAAAAAGCTCCTGTTGTCACTAGAAGTAGTGACCCAAACATTTAATTGATAGAAGAACCCTCAATTCATGTAAAAATGCCCGATTTTGAGCTTATAAACCCTCTAAGCTATTCTACGATTGAAAAGTATTTGCCTCATATTCATTCATTCTTAGAAACGAATTTTATTTAACCAACTGAAAACTTATTTAACCTCATTTCTACCTTAATTCCTATCACCATGAATAAGATGCCTGTAATTTTCTATGGAGCTCCAGGAAAAAAGAAAACAACTATGATTAAACTTTTAGCATTTATCCAGGCAAAATAGTAAAGCTTAAACTTTAACATAAATTTCGTCAAAATAGATGCAGTAACTTCTGAATCACTCTTGGGTTATAAAAACAAAAGTAACAAATTTCAATTTCAATTTAATAATTTTCATTTAAATCCTTAACTAAATAAATAAATATATCAGAGGGTATGTTCAGAAGAGGACTTGTAGAATTAATTATAGAAGGTATAAAATACTTTTAACCTGATGAGAAAGAGACTAAAGATGTTTTATATGACTTCGAAAACTAATTTTGTACTATTCCTGCAGCTCCTTATGTGTCTAATAAAGATAACAAATTAAAGTCTGAATCTAAAATTGTAATAAAAAAGAAAAATCAAACCAATAAACTCACTGAAAATGATTGGATAGTTATTGAGTCATCCTCTGCTTTAAATAAAAACCCTCATTAGACTTATCTGGATTATGCACTCGATGGGTTCTAAAAGGTAATGAACAATTATTTATTTGGAAAAAAATATTTTAATAATTGAATTAATCAAATCTTGAAAGTTGAAATAAAAATTATTAAATTAAATAAAATCATTTAATTAAAATAATTTTGTTATTATGAAAAATCAGAAACACTTTAACTTGATAAACAGTGATATTGTTAAGATTCCAAGAGATATTTACAGTATTTTTGAATTAGAATCACTTACAAATCTTTCTCCATCTAACATACACAATTACTTTTTATGTTACTTCAGCACAGAAATTTTCGACCTCAAATAGGAATTCATACATTGGTTTGAAGTTAAATGCAGCTAAAATAGCTACTTCGCTCAATTTGGAACTATACTTAAGATTTTATTTGCTTTCTTCTTCCTCGAATATATGAAATAAATTGATTATTATCATAAAGATGAGGTAAATTATTTATTTTTTCATTCTATTTAACAAATAAATTAATATCAATTTTATTAATAGACATTCCTTTACAGATTATCAAAGAAGGCTTATCTGAGGAACTTTTTGCATTATCTTGAAATATTCTTTAATGAAATAAGAAAATTCGATATTGCTTGTGGTGAATATGAAGTTTCCAATTCAAATATTCCAGTTATTAATTTAAGAAGATAGAGGAAAAATAAAAGATAAACACAACTCTACGAATTTGAATAACTTTCTAACATTCTGAATACTCATATCAATACAGAATAGAGTGAAAGTAAAAAATAACTTTTTTAAATAAAGTATATCTATTTTTATTAAATTAATTAATTAGTTGGTGGTGTTGATCCAGGAATCAGATTAATTTGCACTATGGAGAGTATATTCATTTTTGCATTGACTTACAGTGTTGCAATAAACTTAAGAAATGAGAAGAAAATATACTATTAAGAGTTTATTGAGAAATAAATCAATCAATATATTTCTTACAGAATTAAGAATACTACTTGCACATTTGATTAAGATAAATATCCCTTTGGATTGAATTTAAGAGATTTGGTAAGCACAGAAAGGGTTAATTTATTTGATATTTGCTATGATGTTTCAAATTAAACATGGGTCAAGTGGAAAAATGTAACTCTTGAAGAATATGGTGGCGTTATCAGTGGAGATTTTACTCGTGATACTTTGGATTATAGAGAAATAGTTAGGTTAAACTATGATTCGATTGAATACTTAAAAGGTAAGATTCATTAAGAAAAGAATGTCATTTTTATACCAGAAAGCGGAGTATTCGTAGAGACTAATGCTACTAAGATAACGAAATTCTTAATGTAATTTGCTGTTTCATACAGTAAACCTACAATTGTGATTTCTTAAAACTAAAATGGTATTACAAGCTGTATTTAAAATAAGTTAAAAACACTTATTGAACATCACTCTTATTCAACTGCTTACATCTCTTTAGACAGAGGCACAACAATCAAATAAGTATGAAATCTATTCAAACAAAAACAAAATTAACAGTATAATTAAAAAAATAGTTCCAGAAAAGAGTCGAAAGAAATTTAATTTGGAAGAACAACAACCACTTAACATCTGTGTACGACACAAATACTTTAGTTGTTATTGATGACTTAAATCTGGCTATGGAGTAAATAAAATATTTTTATGATTAAATGCATTTTAAAAATTAATATAAATTTATAGTGGAGTTTCACCTATTGGAGCTTTGAGATATTTCTATGAAAATGAAGGATGGTTTTCTAACAGCAAGATGAGATTCATTTAATTTTCACTTACTAGAATGCTGGCTATTTATGGATATAGTCCTTATGCTTCCTCTAATATTTTTGATCCTGCATATACTGTTCTATCAAATAGCATTTTGGAGAAATCAATGATACTAAGAATGCCAGAAAATGATAATAGAGACTTAGCCAGCATCTTTTCAGCTTATAATTAAGTTGATGTGCTTTTAAATATATCTGAAAAAAAGACCTTTTTAAACACTATGAAATCTCTATGCGCTATTATGGCTATTACAAATATTGAATATTAAGAAGAGTTCTCACTGATTGCTAACATAGTGAGTGGTAATTTTTCAATACGTAAAGGTATTGAAGTCATTAAAAATATGAACTATTTCGAATACTTTAGCAAGAATAGGTCACAAATTATGCCAGAACTTTTCTTTAGAGCTATTGTCTTTTTGTAAGATTTAACATTTAATATTTTTTTTATTTAAATTCTTTTTAGAATGAATTAGTATTATGCTTCAGAATTCATTTACAACAAGATTGAAGATACAAAGACAAAACAGCATGTAAATGGATCAATAAGTTAAACAGAATTAAGAGAGTAGAGCTAAAGAAATGAAGAGTAATCTATTGAAGGCAATTTAATGATGAAAAGAGCATCTTTCTCAAAGAAGGAAAGCACAGAAGGAGATTATTAAAAGAGAAACAGCTAAACAGGTATAAGCGAAGGAGGTAATTAAAAGATGAGAGATGATTACGAAGAAGAAGATAGTGATGATATTATCGAGGAGGAAAAGATCAAAACCAGAAGTGCTAAAAAAAGAAGAAGTCTCTAGCTTAAGAAAGAATAAAATATTAACATGCTACCATTCTCTCATGAACCCTTGATTTAGAATTTAGAAGATTTCAAAGTATTAAATAAATAGTCTATTCCTAACACTTAAAAAGTACTTTATTTCTTATTGTTCGCTGAATAATAAGAAAACTCTCTAGAGCAGCTAATCCTAAAGATTGGAGCTAACACAGGTGCTATTGATGAAACAGGTCTGATAAATAAGAATAATTATGCTCCCGTATTTACGAAATAAAAAGAAGAATATTTATTGAAAACAGATGAACTTTTATCACCTCTAAACCCTTTCAAGAATAATGATAAGCAGGCTTAATTGAATGATATGCTAGATAACATCCCATCACCTTAACGTAAGCCTGCAAATTTCAAGAGAACGCCTCTTCGTTAGCAATCTCTTCTCTTAGAATTGCGAAAAATTGAATAGTAAGATAATATCAATCCTATAAAGGAAGAAGATGATGAATCCTAGTTGCAGACAGCAAGAAGATAGGATTTCGAAGATACACCATAAAATTTAAGTTCAGCTTTAGGAAGCAAGAATACACCTAAACAAGTATTTGATTTCTAGGAAAGAGGACAAACACTATTGACACGTAAACAGAAGAAGAGTTTAACAACAGCTTTTAGAAGCAGTCCTTCCAACTAGCTTTAAGAAGTAGCTGGTATAAAAGCATTTGTAAATTCACCTCAAAGATTTGGTGAAGAATCAAGTAAAGTATCATCAGATAAATTATCTTAAGCTTAAAGAGAAGCAGATGGCGCAGTCCCAGAGGAAACTCTTCAAATGATGCGTTTGGAATAGAAAGTAGCTATTTAAATGGCTGCTCCAAGTAGAGATATAACTAATGCATATAAATCTAAATTTTAAAAAGATACTTCAAACAAGCACAAACGCCAAACTTTTATACTAAATAAAGAACAAGAAGAAGAGTTATTTATAAGAAATATCGAGTCTAAAATTGACAATTAAATGAATATTTAGTTTGAAGAGTTAGCCACACTACCTGATTAACTGGTAAGAGAATTCAGCAGAATGCTAGAAAGTGAGTTGTTAGAAGGTTCATTAGGGATGAATAAATAATCTAATACTGTTTTATCGTTTAGACATGAATTGTAGTTCTTTAATTGGGCTCTTCTTGATCAAGACATAGATGATGATAAATAAAGTTTCGATAGCAGAAGCAAAGATATGTTTAACTATTAATTCTGTTTGGTAACCAAAAAGAGAGAGAAAAAGGTCTTTGATTTTATCCTTTAAAAGTTCAGAGATTTTTCAGTGAATAATCCTTTCCTTTTAAATAATTTCTTAGTGAGAGAGTGCAATTTCGAATCACTATACTTCCATACTCTAAAGCTTCTTCACCTACTTTAGATATCAAGCAGTCACATCTTTTTAAATTCTCAATTTACTAAAGAAAGTACAAGAGAAATCATTAAATTCATATCTAAAATCCTCCATCTTAAGTTATATGAGACAGATATTACAATCAACACAATCGAATAATTTAAGCAAACTCTCTTTGAAGCTTTAAAAGGTAATTTTTTCAAAATATTTTTTAAATAAACAGCAATTGAACAGATTTTTCTTTATTTTTTGATATAATTTAACAAAGAAAGTAATTTTAATTAAAATATTTTTTGGTTATTTAAATAAATTAAAAAGATCTATTTGGACATGAATCATACTCTATATTCTATTTGAGAATTTCTAAAGATGGTGTTATTGGTAGTTCTATGGCAGACTACAATTAAAAAGATATGAAGGAGAGCTTTAAATTGACTAAGGTATTAGAAATAATTCATACATTAGTCTCAGGTAGTGAAATCTTAAGTTTATTCACTAAGGAGCAGCTTGAAACTTTGATTTCACATTGGAAGCTACAAAAAAGATTTTTCGGTATGAATAATCATATTTTGTATCACATTATTTCTAAAAGAATAAGGAGTCATTTGAAAATAATTATTTCTTAAGAGCCACTCCCAAAAGAAAAGAACATTTTTTACTCTCTTTATTCTAATCTTTTTAAGGAGTTCAATAAGTATCTCATGATTCCCATACATGCCTCTGAAGATTCAGATAAGAAAAACTGGCTTTAAGATCTCATTTAAATATCAATTTCTTAGAGCAAACTAGACTTAATTAAAAAAATATATTCTATCGAATTAGAAATCTCTCGTGTCTATGAGAGTCAATACTTTAGCAATATTAGAAGATCTTTTGAAGAAAACCTTTCTCTTTTCTATTTAACATAAAATATTTTTAAGACCTAAATCCGTCTCAAAGAAAAAAAACTACGTGAAAATGGAAAATATCCTCAAATGATTAAATTGATGGAAGAAAAGTTTTTAGTTTTTGAAAGTTAAATAGAAATAAATGACCATAATCTCGAAACCACGAAACACAAAAAGCAAAATCTAGAAGAACTACTTGAAAAAAATACTGCTATATCTAAGCAACTTCATACTGAAATATAAGGTAACCAACCAACTACCGATTTAAATAATATTTGTTATAAAATATTCTTTTTTTAATTTAGAATTGCTCAATGAAGAAGCTAAAATTCAGTAGCTAATAAACAGAGTTTAATTTTATGAAAAGCATGTCTAAGAATTCGAGTCCAGAAGTAAAGAATTAGTTGAAAAATTGAGAGTAAAAGATGCTTAGACATACAATGATGATGTAAACATATAATTTAATTTTTAAAAGTGAATAAAATTCAATAAATATTTTATAAAAAATAAATTAAAATTTTTAAATTAGGATTTGCACTTTTAACACAAACATTTCATAAAAAAATTCAATATGTTTAATAAGTTGAGAAAAAAAAAACTTTGAAAAATCAAATGATTTTTTCAGAAATTTAAATATTGAACATATAGCAGATAAATATGAGATTAAATTTTAATTTTATAAAAAGATAAAACCTCAAAAATTCTTAGAAGTTGTAAGCATGAATGTTTACTGTATTGCTTTCTTTATCACTATGAATAATTTCTTAGAAGAAAAATTCAGAATTGACTTTAATTAGTTGGAAGAAGATTTAAAGAACACTAAAAATAAAATACACTTTTTAGATATGCCGAATTTAGATTTCTACAAAGAACGTTTGGTAGAAGTTGTTTCTGATTTTTCATGGATTAAATTGGCTTTGGACACAATGGATGAAACTAAAATTACTGAGAAGCACCTTCAGCTGCTTCAAATGATTAACAAAGAATATGGTGGTGGATAAGAAACCAATTTAATTTCTTTGTAGAGTGGTTTTAATGTTTCTCAGCTCCAGACAATTAAGTTTATTGATATCGGAATAGACTTTGTTCGTATCAGCATTGAAAAGCGCAGATTCCCTGAATCTTCCTAAGTTATTTAGGAAAAATTAAATGTTGTTCAATCTAAGCGCATAGGTAAAGAATAAGAAAAGGTTGAACCAGATAATTTATGTGCGAGACTTCCAGGAGAGATAGAATAATTAAGAATTGAGTAAAAGAATTACATGAATGCTTTATCTAAGAAAAGACAAGGTTTGACTCATTTCTCTCTTTGTTTAACACAGTCCAGAGAACTTTTTGAAGAATTTATTCGTCAAGAAACATAAGATTTGAAAGATAAAAAACTACTTTCTTAAATATCTTAGCTTGTTTCTATACTTATTAATACTGGAATGAAATATCCTTAATTTGTTACCAAAAAGATTTTAACACTTTTCAAAGAAAAATTAAACCTTTCTTTCAGATATTTCTAACATTAATATAAAATATCTACAGTCCTTAAGAATCTATAGTATTACTATGAAGTTCTCAAATTAGAAGTACCTCTCAATTAAGATATGATTGATTTCATAGCTATTATTGATTTCCTCATAGACTATGACATGTTCTACTATCCTTTTATAAGAGATCCCTCTGGTATATACTCAGAATATGTCAAGGCTAAATTCACCTCTAAGTTCAGACACGAACAATATACAGTTGATCCTCAATCAGAAATTAACATAGAAGAAGTAACATTATTTCAAATTATTATCGCAAATTTACTAAATTTTAATTCAAATCAATTTTTTTTTTGAGATTAATTATTACAATATTTTTATTTATTTATTTATTTATTTGTTGAATAAATTATAAACAAATTTTTTATCTAAAAAGGCCTTAGTTAGAGGTGAAACTCTTATTGTAGAAGATTTTGATTAAGATTTACTTGAAATGATTATGCCTATCATTGAATGGAAAAATGAAAGAATGTAAAAGCTACTCTTTTATTACATGAAAGACCCTGCAGACACTGATCTTGCAAGCTTGCAGATTAACTAAGAGAGACATACTCTTTAAATTAATGGAAAAGTAATTGAAGTGCATCCAGATTTTAGATTAATTATGATTTACTAAGGTGACAGAATGACTTTTTCACATACTTTCTTCACTAAAGTGTTTGTTATGATCATGGAAATAGAAGATGAAGAAAGATGGAAATAAACTATTACAGATCACTTGATAAACGGTTTTTACATAAAAGAAAAGAAATAAATATTAGAAACTGTAAGAAAAAATTTATCAATTCAATATTTTTTTTTTTCATTGTAACTTTATTTAATTTTAAAAAATATTTTATATAGAAAATAAATGAGCTAATTGAAAGAGAATAGTCTCTTAAAAATAGTTGTTAAAGTGTTTATGATAAGTTGCTCAATGTTGAAGCATCAGATGATTTAGATTTTATGAATTTCGTAATTGATGAAATCAAAATGTAAAAGCAAATCATATCACCTTTAATAGAGACAGAAGCTAGCTTAGGAGAAGATGATTAATAAATTGAATAAAATGAAGCTATAGAAGATGACGAAGAATTTGAGAACTAAGAGTTCTTTAAAGCTATGTAAATGCCTGAGCCTGAAAAACCATTAGAAGAAAATAAAGTTGTAGAATAATAGGCCTAATCTTCTAGACCACCACTAAAACGTCCCCCAATGGTAAAGAGACCATAAAAGCCTTTACCAGTTGCATAGTAATAATTTTATAAAATTTATTTATTGTTTTATTTAATGTTTGAATTAAAATTAGAAAAAAGAAGCAGATAGCAGCAGCTAAAAAATAACAATAGTTGGAGATGGAAGAGAAAAATAGAGAGATAATGAGACACAAGAATAACTTATTAAAGGCGAAGTAAGAGAGCCATTTATTTACTCCTTCTCACTCTTCTAGACTTATGTTCGATAATAGAAGAAAAAAGATGAATTTAAAACAGCAAGCATTAAAAACTGGTTCAGACTAGGAATACGTCAAAAAATTCTATCACAAATTAGATGAGCTATTCGAATTTTCTTCTCTCTTTTTAGGTATTTTAGAATTCATTTATGCAGTTAAAGTCAATTGGATGAATGTCCAAGAAGCTATGGGCTCTATTTACAGTTTTTCTGATAAAACATTTTTGTTGTTGATAAGTTCTTCTATTGAAAACTGTAAGCGTCATAATCATCTGCCTAAATCTTAAACAGTAAATTAACTTTTTATTTTTAATCTAATTTTATCAATAAATTATTTTTTAGGAAAATCAATTAAGTCAAAAATTCTTAAAAGCTTTTTGTGAAACAATTTATTCCACATTAGTTGGTGGACTTAGAGAAGATCATTAAAATTTGTTCTGTTTGTACTTTGCACTGATGTTTTTGAGAGGTATGAACTAATTTACTGAATTTGAATGGAAGATGTTCATAAACTGGAATATCGAATCAAGTGAATCATAGAATGTTTTCTATGACAGTTTGTATGAGAATAAGTGGGGTACTATCAAAAACCATCTAATTTCGTTTTATAATTTATCGAACAATTTATTAGCTCCTCTACTTACTTTAAAACAAAGTAATAAGTTTCATTTTTAAATATTTTCTCTGAATTTAATTTAAAATATAAAAAAAGATGATGTTACTAAAGGATTACTAACACAAGGTAGTTAATTGAATCTTTCTCATGTTTAAAGCGATAATAGTATGCTCAGCATTGTAAATCCAAATAAAACAGAGTAAAATGAATAGCTAGATAGTAGCATAGATTAAAGCTTCAGTGCACACTTTAGCTTATAACAAGGCAAAAAAATAGACAAGAGAAGTTTGTTTGCCTTAAAGTTCTAGAAAGCAGTAAGCAAACAACTACAACAAGAATAGCACGAAAACTTACAAGATAATTAGAAAGATCAATTTGAAATTTTCCTTAAAAAGCAACAGTCATCTTAAAGAGAAAAATCTGTATCTACCGAAAAACCTGCTATAAAATAAGACAAATTTTAAGCAAAAGAGTAATTCATTAATTCATTTATAAATTTATAAAATTTAATTAACTAATCATTATTAGCATTTAAAGAAATTTGTTAAAATTATTATTAATAAATATTGATATTTGATTGATTAACCTGAACTTATTTATTTATTTATTAAAAAATAGATAATTACCAATAACAAAAGAGGAAGAAGAAGAAATTTCAATTTCTTCCAAAACAATATCTGATAATGAAATAAATGAAGAAGATGAGTTAAAAGAAGAAAGTTCATAGCAATCTAGATCTAGATCGAGCAGTTAAAAAGAAGAAAATCTTCAAAGTGGAAGAGATTTAGGAAGTTAAGATCATATACAAGAAGATTTAGATGAAAATTAATATTAGCAAGAAGATGAATCTGCATTTTAAAATTTCAAAAGAAATTTATCAAACGAAGAATATAATCCTTTTTCCTAGGAATCTAATAAAGAAGATAATCTAAATGTATCAGAATAAGCTATTTCAGCAGGTTCAATTCATAGTGAAGAAGAAGAAGAGGATTTAAAAAATAGCACTAGCCTAAAATAATAGAAAACATTACAATAAATTTAAGCTTTAACTAATAACTTTAATGTTTAAGATGCATTAGAAAACGTCTCTACTAGAAACTAAATTAAAATTGGTAGAAAAGCATTTGAGGGTTTCCTACATCTTTTCAGTCTATTCCCTTAAAGAACTCAAATGAAACATTTGGTTAACAGTCTACTCTCGAAATTAAGTCATTGGATAGACTTCCAGAATACCTCTCTTAAGATGAAAAATTACGATTACAATAAAAACATCATTATTCCTACTCTTGTATAAAATATAGAGAGAAAAGTAACTCCTCTTCAACTACTCTTATTTGTCAAGCATTTTAGGTAAAATTCATTTTTAAGATTAATTAATTCATATAATTTAATTATTTTATTATTAATTAATTAACAAACTAGACCTGAAGAATTATAAAGATTCGCCAAGTATTTCTTCAGAAAAGCATTCAAAGGCTATATTGAAGAAATACCTCAAAATAATTTCGATCAACATTGCTAAACAGGTATTTATTTATTTAACTATTTAACACCATTTAGTTAATATCATTTGAAAAATTTAGCTTTATCATTTATCAAATCTAAAATTATTAATTTTTCAATTTAAAAATAAATGAAATTGAAAACAAAATTTAATAAAATTGAAATCATTAATTTATTTTGGCAAATATCTATTAAGTAACATTAAAACATTTTTAAAATATTTAATACACTTTTGAATTAATTGGAGGTTTTTTCAATTTATTAATAAAATAAAATAAAATGTTTAAAGTTTAAATGAAAATTTAAATTATTTATTTTATTTTTGCTTTTAGAATGATTTAAAAAAATCATCATTTACTTTTTTCACTTTTTATGCTTATTTAATAAAATTAAATAAATAAATCAACAAGATTGGATGAGAAGACCTACTGCTTTATTCCATCACTCTGTTTAAAAGAGCATGTTTGAAGCTTTGGAACTCAAAATGATGAGTTTACAGATTGAAGGTGGACTTGTAAGACTACCTGTGGGTATTTTACCTGTAAAAAATATTCTTGAGAAGATTACTGAAGCAGGCGGCGCTGGATAGTGGCTTGCAATAGAAAATATAGAATTGCTAGGTAGAAAAGACTTACTTTAAATTTTGAAGAAGATTGATTAAGAATTACTTGAGTCTACTTCGAGAAGAACATTCAAGGTTTGGTTGATCTTTAACTTAAACGATGAAGGAGAGAATTATGAGAAATCAAATTTCTCTAAAAAAGTCTTGCCTTTGTTATAAAGTTACTTGGAGAGATGTTGGAAGATTTACATTAATAGTCCTCATAAGATAGCCCGTACTTTAAATATTATGTATAACATCGAAATCTAAGAGTACAGAGCTAGACAACAGTTATAACGTGATGGTAAAAAGGCATAGTCAATAGTAGATTTAAATAAGCTTGCTGCATCTTTGCTTGAAAGTGGTCCAGAAAAGTACACTTCTATAAATAATTCTGTTATTCAGTGCTACATTCATCGTTACATATAGCACAAACAAAAAACTTTAAGAGAAGATAGAACTATTGCATTTAATCTTCACTGCTTCCTAGATAGAGAAAAACTTAAAAAGGATAATGTCGTATTTGAGGAGCGTATAGTAGATTATGAGCATAAATATAAGTTTGCTCTTTCATTCATGTTTGCAACACTCAGACAAAGAGTAAAGTATGAAAGATTGCAATTCTGTTACTATGTATAAGAACCATTTATGTATGTAAGTGACTTCGATATACAAGCTATGTAAGATGAAATGTTCCTCTTTTTAAGTGATTACACATTAGATATTTAAGTTTTCATTTCGAAATTCCTAAATCACTGGTTTAGAGATACATACAAGTACGGTTACTCCACATATTCTTCAACTATAATCAGAGATCTATCAAGAATATTTGTTTTTACCGCTTAAGAAAATACAACTAAAATTACTGTACATAACAATATTCCAACTTTGAGAGGTATTGTTGAAAATGATAATACATTTGACTATGAAATATATGATTTCCACTAGGGTGTTTATCCCACTGTTGAAGAAGCACTATACAAATCCATTAAGTCATTCCCTAACGAAGACCCAATCAAGATACTTTCCTTGTAATTTATTATTCCTTTTATCCATTAAACAATTTGATTTTTTTAAAAATTTTATCGAAATTCAAAAAAAATTTTTTTAGATTTAAACAATTCATGTGAAAATTTTAAGCTGCTTTATTGAAATTTTTTCCTTTTATTTTTATGATAAATTAAAAAAATAGAAAATAAAAAATCAATATAAAAAAAAAACAAAATATTTTTAATTATTTTAGTTTGTTTTTAAATTTAAATTTTATTTAAATTATTTTTTAATAAAAAATAAATCAATAAATAAATAAAGGAATCAAAACTCAGAGTTTTTGTTTAACTACAATTAATCTCAGGGATTGATGAATAGAGTAATGGAGGTTGAAAAGAAATGGGAAGAGAATAAGCTGGCTAAATTAATTACCATGCTTGATAGGATTAAATTCACTTAAGAAAATATTTAGTCAGATTATATGAACTCATAAGTTAGATCGTTCTTCAATGTTCATCTACATCGCTACTTGCATTAGCATGAAGCTTAGCTGGAGATAACTTAACTTATCCATTATTTATTAGAAGTGCTAGATTTTAACTTTGACCTTAAGACTATTAGCTTCTTTAAGGTTAAATCACAAAGAGGTGATTCGTTCTAAGCTGTTTTAGATAATTGGGTTGAATCTATTTAAGCTTCTATCCCTTCACAACATAATTCCTTACTTATTAATCCAGATGGCTCTCTCATAGACTAAGCAATAAACAAAGATCTTATTAAGCTGAACAAATACGCTAATTATCATGCAGGAGGACAAAGTAGTGCATAGAAAAACTCTCGTTAAAGTACAGTTCTTATTCCTCAAGGAAAAATACCTACATAGCCTTCACAAACTGCTATTAAAGTGAATACATAATAATAAATTGAGTTAACCAGATAAGGAACGTTTAAAGTTAATAAAACTAACTTATCTACTTTCGGGGAATAATCACCCAGATATAAGAATTAGACAATTAATGATGATAATTTATAAAGTCCTCTTGAACCTAATTAAATAAATCCTCATACAAGTGTTCATCATCGCTAGTTATTTAACAGAAATGTACGTAAACATGAAAGCAAATTCTTGAAAGCTTTGTAACACGAAAAAGAAGAAAGTAAACTTAGAATTACCAGAAACAGAAATGATTCTTCATACTAATAAAGCGATAATAGAATACAAACAGATTTTAGCAACACTCTAGGTCATATACTAGCTTCACATACGAATCAATCATAAAACAGTTTCCACAATGCTGATGAAGAAGATTCTGATTCTCATGGCGTTATTCCTCTTTCTTAACAGTAAATTGCCACTAATTTAAGTCAAATCCATTACAGAAGCTAGAATGCTTCTAACTTTTTGCAAGATGAAGGTATGGGGGATGACGAAAGCGATTTTACACTTAACCAGCAAAATGTATACAAAATACTGCTTTTGAATGAAATTATAAGTGCTCACAGACTCATAGAAACTATCCGTTAAGATCTCTAATCTGTTTTAGATTATGTTACCAACAGAACCGAATTTACAACTAACTTATATATTTAAGATTTACTAGACTGTCTACTTAATAACAGAGTTCCAATTAATTGGTGGAAACAAGGATTCTTGCTCAACAAAAAGACTTTATATGATTTCATTTAGTCATTCTTATGCAAACACGAGCACTTGAATATTATAATCAATAGCAGATAAGGATAGCTATTCCCTATCATCCCATTACAAAAACTTTTCAATCCAATTTAATTGTTCACATCTCTCTAGCTATAATTCTGTTTGCTCAAAAACGTAAATTTATTTATAATTATGATTTTAACTCAAACTGCAAACAATTATCAATTTTTTTTTTTTTTTAAATAATTAATTATTATTAAATAATAAAGTTTAAACTCCACGAAGTAAAATTCTAATTTAGAAAGCTAAGAAAAATGGAGTCCAGATAACCTTCAGAAGGAGGTATATTTGTAAGTGGACTTTATTTGAAGGGAGGTAGAATAAATATGGAAAATTTAATGCTAGAAGATGAAAGATGCAGAGAATTTGAAAGCTAATTGCCTCCTTTCCATGTTAATCTAACACTCAAGTCAAAATTAAGATAAGAAGTTTACTTTAAAGAAGTAAATTAAATTTAAAAATAATATTTTTAACTTATTTATCTAACAAATTAAATAGGAGTATAACTACGAGCCAAATATTCCATTCGAATTGATTGGAGGTGAAAATGTAGCTTAAGGTAGCTTTGACAAAGAAAACGAGTATTTCTTCTTCCAAGCTCATCCTGTACAGACTTACTAACACGAAACTAAATCACACATTTAAGGACTAAAAGTAAAACCATAAAAAGAAAAAGATCTTAAAGAACAGAAAAAGATGTCTGTTCTTACATCAGAAGAACAATAAAAATTACTATAGGAATAGATTTAAAAAGTCATAAATAAAGATAAACAGAGATTTATAGATTTTGAAAAAGCCAGCTAATTCCCTGTCATGAATTATATTGTGCGTATCCCTATTGTAGATTCAAACACTACTTCCCTTTTCACGTAATTCCCTGCTAAAATGTATCTATATATTACTTCTAAAAAACCTTAAGAGTATTGGATTAGAAAAGGAACAGAAATCTATATAGAAAAACAATTTTGATGATTTTTTATCTTAATAGTATAAAATAGTTAACTAAATAAATATCTTAATAACTAATTAACTTAAAAATAGCATAAAGAAGTTAATATCTACTTTTAGATTATATTTACTCCTTAACACTAAATAAATAAATAGATAATATTTTTTGATTTTGTTAATATATATTAAAAAATAAATAAATATAAATAAATAAACTAATAAACTATTCATTTCTATCAATTTATAATTTGCATCTAAATAAAAATTTAAAATATGTTTGAAATTTAGTATTGTTTTTTTTTCTTAAATTAAATTTATTTTAATCCTATTAATAATATTTTGCAAAAAAAATATCTTAAAATTTTTTTTTTTTAAATTAGATCAACAATGAAAATATATACATATATACACTATATCATAAACAAATCAACTATTATAAAAAATTTATTTTTCTTAAAAAAATTATTATTAATATTGATAAAAAATATAATTATTTCTAATATTTTATTAAGATTTAATATTTAAAATGCATATATATATATATGTAATATACTATGATAATATAATAATTATTTTGTATAGATCTTAAAGATATTTTTTTTGAAATAGTTTGTTTTTTAAATTTTCAAATTGATTAAAATATTTCAAATAATATTGTTCACCATATTATCTAGCTTTGTAAATGTTCTCAAATTCCTTTTTTATCTCATCAATATATGTTTATTAATTTTATTGACATTTTAACTCTCTGAAATGCACTGCTTATTTAAGTTAATAACTTTTTCGATTAAACTAGCATTAGAAAAACCATTTGTTTTAAATGAAATGCTGCTTTATTAATTTACTTTTTCAAAACCTTGTAAATTTGAAATGCTTACATTTCTTAAATTTTAGAAGCTCCTAAATCTCCCTACACTATCACTTTTTCTTTGTCCTTAAGCAGAGTGAATAGATTGGGTTTGCTTATATTTCAGCTTAATATCAGGCGATTCAGCTGTTGTATTTCTGTTACTCATAGAAATTTAATCTTTTTATGGGTTTTCTAAATCCTTCATAACTTTTTAAGGAGTATAATATTAATTTTAATCTATTTTATTAATATTATTAGAGATTTTTTCTTCTTTAACTCTCTTAACTAAAGGACTATTCATTTCCTATTAATTAGTAGGCTTATAACATTCTTACTGCTAGATATTTATCTTAAATTTATTATTTTTAACTATTTCATTTGTTAAACCTTCCATTTTATCAATTTTTTAATTTGAATTTTGCAAGTCAGAAGTGTTTTACTTTATTAAGTGGGAATTATTTTATAACAACCGATTTGTTTTAGTTTGAATATCGTTTTGAATGAAATTGTTAAATTTTTTGTCATCTTGTTTGTTTTATAATTAAAGAACAAACTTTTATTGCTCCTTTAAACAATTTAAGTCGTTATTATTTTAATTTATAAATTTAAGATTTTAAGTTAAAGGAGAATTATCCCTTTTTTATCTTAAAGATATATTATTTTATTCTGTATTCTATTATTCTTATTTTTGTTATTGCTAGTCATGCTATTATCTCGTGCTTGTTGAAATGCCTGCCTATTATAAATTTTTTATAGGAGTTAAACCTCTTTATGTATTGCCATTAATAGCTGTATTTAAAATTTGAAACTTGATTGTATTTTCATGATAATTGCCATTTTCTTATAATATCTATTTTTTTTTTAAATTCATAGAGAGTATCTTGTCATATATTTATGAAAAACCTTCTTCACCATTTTATTCATTATTTTTCTGATAAGCTTATTTAAATGTTTGAGCTTGCTTGTCTTCTTGTTCTTTTATTTTAATTGTTTTGGCATTCATTGTTGTTGTTACCTCACTTAGATCGTTTTAGCTTTAAAACTTCTTAAAAACTCTAGTTTTTTTTGCTCTTTTTTTCTCTTCTTCTTCTCTCAACTTTCTTAATTTTTCCTCCTCTTCCATTTCTGCTTTTCTTTACATGTTTGGTAAAACAGATAAGCTTTTGTATTCTGGCTTTTAAACGTATAATTTTTAAACCTTTTCGTTATTATTTAATATTTTCTTTTAAATGTGATTGATGTAATCGTCATAGAAGTTCTATAACTTTGATATATTCTCAATTTTTTTCATAGCCAAAATTTTAGTAAAAGAAGGATTATCTTTTAATTTCAATTTAATCTCTTCTTCTTGTTTTTGTTACTATTACTCATTATTTTTTCTCAGATACTTGAAGTAATCTTTACCAAGTTCTTAGTCTCCTAATATATTTAAAGATTCTCTAGGTGCTATTTCATTTTCCTGTATGTCACTCTCTTAAATTATTATTGATTGTCCTTTCTTTAGGCTTTGTAAATTTTATTTTAAATTTTTTATATTCTTTTCGTCCTTGTCTAAATAAACAAGGCTCTTATTCAAGATGCTCATAAATATATCATCCTAAGAACCATTCAATTATGAGCCAGACACATGATCACTGGCTCGAAAGCTTCTTGTATTACATGAGTTATATTTTTATTTTGAGACAGCCTCTTCTTATTCATTTTTCTTAAAATACTGACTGCTTACTTATTCTTCTATCAATGATTATCTTTGCTTATTTTATTGAATTATTTAATCTGATTACTAATCCCTTATAGCTTAACTTTCAGCAAATGTATAAATGTACTATTAATTATCATTTTTTATCATTCTATAATTTATTTATTTGTTTATTTTATCTATATTATGAAAATGGACATCACTTCTTGTCTTGAAATTGTTTTTATTCTCTTACTCCTTCTCATCTCCATATTTCTCTAATCTATTTTTATTACCTACCTCATCTGTTTTTTCTTACTTGTTTTGATGTGTCTTTGTGTCTGGTGAATTTTTAGCTATATAAGTCGAATGGTAGCTTTTTGATTTCGCCTTCTTCTGCGGAAGCTCGTTTTATTCTATTTTCCTATTAACAGAGACAGGCTTTGAGTCTTTTTGTAATTTTTATTCAATACTATTATGCCTTTATTTAATTGCATTTATCTATTTGCTATTAATAGTTAGTGTCTCAGTTATTTCATCTTTTTCCTTTATTCCAATATTAATTTAATGATTGATGAAGTCTTGCAAGAGTTCTTTTATTAGCCCTTTAGCTAACACTCTCTCAAGACTTTCATGACCATACAGTCTCTTATGTAGTTAATTTAACCTATCTCTTTATTCCTTGTGATGCTCTAACTTTTTTTAGTCTCTATCATCAAAATCTAAATCTCCTATGAACTTTTATCTCTTCTAAAATGCCCTTTCTTGCCTCTTTTCTTAATTGTATTCATCCATAAATCGATTAATATCATGCAACTCATAGATCATTCTCTTTTTCCAAAGAACTTTTTCCTATCTTAGTTAAGATGAACTGCTATTTATTAAGTTCTTATTTTACTAGTTACCTTGCTTATTATTAATATCATCATTGAACTAAGCTTAATAGATGCAGTCTTTGAATTATTCTTCTTGCTCCTTCTAAAGCTGTAGTGCTTTTAAAAGAGCCCTTTCTTAATTTCTTTTTTTTATTCTATTTTCTAGCCACTTTTAAGCACTCACGTGAGTATATTCAGGTTAATCATTATGACTCTTTCCACAATTCAGTTTTTAGCTAGGAACTTTACACCATGGTTCCTTTATTTTTATTTCTTGTCTCTTAATTTTTGTAATAACAACTTCCATGTCATCTATATTGTAGCTCTAGTTACTTTATTACTCTTAATTTTAACTTTATTAGTAATTGTTCGTACGACTAGGCTAAACAGAACTATATCTTTTCATGTTGTCTCTAAATATTAGCTAAGATAAATATATTATTATTTATTCTTTTTATAATTTACTTTGCTTGGCTAAAAACAATTTTTACTAATATTAATGCTTAAACCACTAAAATTCAAAATAAGCTAATTAACTATTTACCCAAATATTACACTTAATGAATATTTTTTATGGATAGTATTTTTGGTATCTTTATTATTTATGTGTTTTTTTATGGTTTAGTAAGTTAAATCCATTCATTTTATGATGGGCTATTGTTGCATATCATATAATATTTGAGGAAATAATTAAAAATAAATTAAATTTAATTTAATAAATAAATTAGCAAAAAATAAAAGATACTTATTTCAATAAAAATAAATAATTATTTTGATAAAAATTTATTAATATTATAACTATATTAAAAAAAGCATATAATAATATTTATGAAAGTAAATAAAAAGTTGTCAATAAATTATGGAATTTTAGTATAAAAAACTTTATGTTTTAAAATACTCTAAATCTTCATTTACTAATACCCTTCTCAAATATACTTTTTAGGTAAATTAGATTATTTGAGGACCTAATAAAGTGCATTAAAAGATTAACAATTGATTCATTCATTAAATATTATTTACAGTAAATTAACTTTATGAAGCTTAATTATTGCTACATTTAGAGGGAATAAATTTTTTAGTATCATTATTCTTGATAGCTTATACATTTGCTTCGTTTAGATTTACAAAATATTAAGAATCTCCTAAATTTGAAGATTTTTCTAAATAATCATTTTTATTTTCACTTTATTATTAAAATGGTGATTAATCAAAGAAACTCGTTTATTAATCTTATTAATAATTTTTTTAAAAAAACTTAGATTGATTTTTTCCAGAAGAAGGATATTAATAATCTATCTCTTTCTTAAGATTGTTCAGAGGGCTTTAGATTATCAGATGTGGTCTAAATATTGAAGACATAATACTTGTTTCGTTTTCATCTTGTAGATTACTTTATTTTTATTACTATATTTACTACAAAAATTCAGGGTCTATTATTCTTATTAAATTTTCATCAACCTTTGAAAGTTTTTTTTTATTCAAAATATTATTTAACCCTTCATATGCATCTTTAGCCATTTAAGTTTCATCTTTATGCCTTAATTGTTTTAATTTTTATTTCTTTTTATTAGTCTGTTTCTAAATGTTGTTTTAAGATTTTGAACAAATTTCATCCTGAGGATTATTTGCAGCACAGACGACATGGCTATTCTAAATTAAATTTATTTCTTCTAACACTGATTCGTCATTTATTGTAGGTTTAGGCATATATTCAAATAGATTCAATTGATCTGAGTTAAAAAGTATGCTTTTCATCTTATCAATCTCAAGCAATTTGTTGAAAATGTATAATATGTCAAAGTTTTCTTATATCTTAATTATGCCTTTGTTTAATAAATTACGGTCCTAGGTCTTCCAACCGCATTATGGGAGATATGCATGAAAAAAATAATTTATAAATCTATATTTTATTATATTATGCGTGTTCTAAAAGTAATATTTCACTCTCATTAAAAGTTAAGTTATAATATTTTAATTTGAGTAAATTTATGTTTTCTTTTTCTCTAACTGATGATAATTTTAAGATGGATTTAACTCAAACGATTAAGTTTAAATTGTATTTTACATTAAAATTGCTTATGGAGCTTCCATTTTTACTTGCTTTTTATAATTCTCTTAATCTTTATCTTTTTATAAATTTGTAGAGTCTTGTTTTTATTTATTTAGAGGTGATTTTTACTAATTCAAATCTAACTCACTGACTTAGATAGATACTTATTATTTTTTTGGTATTAATTTCACATTTTGTTTAGTGCTATGAAATTGATAAATTTCATCTATTATAGCTTTAAAATAATAAAGCTTAGAAATAGGATTTGTTATTAAAGCACCTAATAAAATAAGTATTTTAAATAATCCTCCTATTTAAGCAACTACATCTGCCAATTTTAAATATGTTCTTTTCATGTAATTTTCTTAAAACTTTTAAAGTCTAATGTTTAATTTCATTAAAATAGTAGGATCCCCAAATAATGGGGTAGTTATTTATGAAGCAAAAATAAATGTTTGTTACTACTACAATTATTAATAAAAAACTCCTCCATCTGTGTCTATATAATAATTAGTTAAGAATAAATCAGTTTCTTAAGGAAACTAAGACGATGCAACTGAGTAAAGGCTAATTGCTCTATTAGAAACCGGGTTTTCAAAATTTAAAGGGTCAATCACATGATCAGACATGAATATACTAAGTTTCGTTAAAAGCAAAGTTTTATCTATTTCTTCTTAAGACTTACAAATAATTTAACTAGAAGTAGAATTTTGGCATTTCTAAAAATAAATATTCAGTTAAGAAAACGCTTTTTAGTTGAAATCACCTTCAAAGAAGACCTGATCCTTCTAAGTATCGAAGCAATACATAGCAGTGTAATTCAAATTCTAAAAATAGCTTACTAAGTCAGGTATTTTAACATCACTCATACTGCATTGCTTAATCGTTTTTGTATTATTTACTAATTAAACTGTTTATTTGCCCGTATGAGGATCTTAAATAAGAACTTGGGTTAGCTGAACAGCGTTTACAGAAAATATAGTAGGGTCATAAATGTATTGGGCATTATTATTAGCGATTCCCATCATAATAATTAAGTTATCTGGCTTAACATCTATCCTTTTCGGGTTATCTACAGATCTTTCTTGCATAATAACTTAAGGATTTTTTTTTAAAAACAATTCTTTACCAAAAAACCAGCAGCCTACTAAGAAGCTGATTAAAACAATAAAGCTGATACATCCTCCAAAGACTGTGTTGTATGAATTCTTTTTGTGAAAGCTCAATTATATACTTTGTCCGTATATATCAATTTATTTCAAAACTCTTTGAATTTATTTTATCATCTTCTGATGGAATTCTTGTTAATATTTGTTTAAAAATTATTATAAATTACTATTCAATTAGTTGGTTTGAATAACATAAATGAATAAAATAATAAAGTAATTTATTTTAAATGTAAAAATTGTTAAATTAAATTATCTTTAAAATAAATAAATAATAAATTGACATTTATGAAATTGATGAAGAGAATATGAAATAATAAAAACTAGCTCATTTATTTTGTTAATTAAGTAAAATTATTATTTAATAAAAGTAAACTTTGAGAAACTAATTAAAATATTTATTTAAGTTAAATAAGTATCTTAATTTAGATATATTATTTATATTAAGCCTTTTGTTTGTTTGTTTGTTTGTTTGTTTTTATACTTAAGCAGATAAATATCTAAATAAAGTTTTACTCATCTTGATTAATTTTCTTTATTTGGAACAATAAATTTCAGGTTATCATTTTTTTTTATAGTTTATATATTTGGAATGTATGAAGAATCATTGTAATTAATAAAATTTGAAGAAGTTAAATCTTGTAAGTTTTAAGTATCTTCCAAAATTTCATTTTAAATTTAAGTATAGTTTTGTCTCTCATTTTTAGGTGAATCAAGGAAATAAGATTATTAGTTGGTAAATTAATTAATGCTATTTTTTTTAAAGAATTTAGATTGATTTTTTCCTGTGGAATGATTTTAAAAGTCAATCTCCTTTTTAAAACTTACTTGCATGTTTTAAATTGAAAATGATCTGCTATTTAGCATTTGAGATATATTAGATTATTCATTCTCTTCCTGTTATTAACTTTACTTGGAACACAAGATTTGCTGTAAAAACTCAGCATCAATAAATTTTACTAAATTTTCATCAATCTTTGAAATTTTTTTTTTATTCAATATATTACAGAGACCTTCATAAGCTTCTTTAGCCATATCACTTTCATCTTTATGCTTTAATTCTTACTAAATTTACTTTAGCTTTTTTATTTGTTTCTTATTATTCATTGATATGTTTTATGTTTAACTAAACTTTTTATGTTTTTATTATTGATTAGTTTAAACGCTAAAGCTGTCATTCTGTAGGGTGTTTATGTCTTTTTAAATAGACTCATCATTTATTGTAGGTTTAGGCATATATTCGAATAGTTTTAATTGATCCTAATTAAATAGTATGCTTTTCAGCTTATCAATTTCCAGTAACTTGTTAAAAATATAAAGGATGTCAAAATTTTCTTATATCCTAGCTATTCCTTAGTTTAAAAAATTACGACTTGATGATTTCCAACTATAAACGGAAGAAATGCATGTACAAAAAAATGAATAAATGTATATTTAATGATATTATGAGTACTCTAAAAATAATCTTTAACTTTATTTAAAAGTTGATCTGTAATGTTTTTACTTTAATTCTAAATGCTTTTTTTCATGCCTAATTAATTAAATGTTTGAATTATTTCTATAGATTAAGCTTAATCTGTATTTTATTTTTAACAATCACTTTTAGATTTCTATTTAAAATTATCTTCAGAATTTACCTTTTTTTTTAATTTTAAGTCCTTTTTTAATATCTTCATACTAACACGATTTTCTTCATTTTATTAATCTATTGAGTATTATTATTATTTTTTTGGTATCAATCTCACATTATTATTTGAACTTTGAAATTAATAAATTTCATCTATGACAGCTTTAAAATATTAAAGCTTTTAAAAGGGATCTGAGAACAACGCACCTATGATTATTAGTATTTTAAGTAATCCTCCTATTTAAGCCACAACATCTGCAAGTTTTAGATATTATCTTTTCATGTAGTTTTCTTTTAACTTTTAGAGCCTTATATTAATTTTCATTAAAACATTAGGATCACCAAATAAAGGAGCTACTTCATATGATGCAAATGCAAATGTTTATTATTCCTTCATTTATTAATAAAAAACTCCTGCGTCTGTATCTATATAATAATTAGTTAAAAACAGACTAGCTTCCTATGGAAACTAGGATGAAGTAGATGAATAAAGGGTATTAGCTTTGTTAGAGACAGGGTTTTCAAAATTTAAAGGGTCAATTATATGATCTGATATGAATATACTTAGCTTTGTTAGGAGTAGAGATTTATCTATTTCTTCTTAAGATTTGCAAATAATTTAACTAGAAGTAGAATTTTGACACTTCTAAAAATAAACAAAAAGTTAAGAAAATTGTTTTTAATTGAAATCACCTTCAAAATAGACTTCATTCTTTTAAGAATCAAAGCAATACAAAGCTGTATAATTTAGATTCTAAAAAAAATCAACTAAGTCTGGTATTTAAACATCCCTCATGCTGCATTACTTAATCGTTTTTGGATTATTCACTAATTGAATTGTTTGTTAGCCAGTAGTAGGATCTTTCACAGAGATTTGAGTAAGCTAAACAGCGTTTACAGAAAATATAGTAGGATCATTAAAGAAATTAGAATTATTATCTGAAATCCCCATCATAATAATTAAATTATCTGGTCTTACATCTACTCTTTTAGGGCTATTTACAGATCTTTCTTGCATAATAACTTAAGGATTCTCTTTGAAATATAATTCCTTACCAAAAAACCAACAGCCGACTAAAAAGCTGCATAAAACAGTAAAGCTGATAAATCCGCCAAAAACAGTGTTGAATGAGTTCTTTTTTTGAAAGCTCAATTAAACGCTTTGACCATATATATCTATTTATTTCAAAAATTTTGTTACTTATTACAACATCGTTTTTTTTATTCTAGCAAGCTTTTTGCTTTTTTTAGTTAATTATAAACTTTTTAGTTATAAATAAAAATTGGAAGTAAATTGAAATTATTTGATGAAAAAATCAAAGTTTTCTTTTTATTAATTTTATTTGGGAATTAATAAATATACTAAATTTTTATTTTTTTATGCTAATAAGTAAAATATTTAATATTATTAGGCAACTGCATGACAATAAATGTTACCCAAAGTATAAAGTAACAACTGTATTTAAATTTAATTTATTTATGCTAATAAATAAAATAATTAATATTATTAGGCAACTACAAGACAAAAAATGTTACCTAAAATATAAAGTGGCAACTGTATTAGAAATTTAATTTGTTTATGCTAATAAATAAATAAAATAATTAATATTATTAGGCAACTAGAAGACAAAAAATGTTACCCAAAATATAAAGCGACAACTGTATATATTCATCTAAAAGTGAATAAATTTAAATAGGGATAAAAATTTTTTGTCATTTTTAGCTATTTCTCAATTTATTAGTGTCCTCAGTTTTAGCTTGACAGGTTTTAATATATATTTTTTAAGCTTTTAAAACTAAAGAATACTCGTGAATATATAAATATTGGAATTCAATTATATTATACGTCAGCAGGAAAACCAATTTTTTAAGTTCTTATTTATTCTGTATATTAAAATAAAATTAACAGCATTATTAAATAATAGGTATAAAATGAATTTATCATTATAATTTAAATAAATTTAAATCACTCTTTATAAAAATGAATAGGAGTTAAGTGAAATATTATTAATTTAAATATTATTTAGAAGTATTATTTTGCCCTGTTAATTCATGATATATTAAAGCTTTTCTTTTTTATAGATTATTTTTTCAGAGATAAAATTAGTGTAAAAACTTATTTAATTGTAAGAAAGAAAAATATATTTTATAAAATAAACATAATCTGAGAAAAAAAAGATTACTTTGATATAAAAAAAATAATTTTTATTAAGTCTAAATAAATAAATACGAAATTATTGTATATTCATTTCTTTTTTTATTGGCTTGCTTTTTGTGATTGCTTAATGGTACTGAGATAAAGAGATTAAATATTAGCTTATTATGAAGAATCATCTTGATCAACAAAGTAAATAAAATTATCTTCAAATAGATTTTCATCATCTGCTGATTTGTATTCAGTTTCTTTTTTTAAAATTTCTTTATTTTCTTTTGTATTATTTTGTTATATTTAATTAAAATATGGATCCATAACTTAGTCTTGTTGTTAAAATCCCCTATAAAGTCCTTTTTATCTGCTTTCAAGAGTTTACTGCTAACCTTAAAATTTTTATTATTAGAAAATGATTTATTTATTATACAAGTATAAAAGTTGAATTAATTTTCTGTAAAAATATACTTTAATTTTCTTCAGAATTATTTATACAAAAGTTATATTTGGATTTACTTATTTCCTGTATGATGCTTGGATCTATTATTTTTATCAAGTTTTAATCAATTTTAGATATTTTATTTTGATGTAAAATATTTTTAAAACTCTCTAATGCTTCTTCTGATAGCTGCCTTTCACTCTTGATTTTTCTATTTTTATTCTATTTTTTATTAATTGGGGTTTTTTTGCTTTATTATTTAGAAATACTGCTCTTTTTTTCCTAACTTTTTTTTATTGGTGATAGATTACTTAGATTGCTATTTTAATTATTGCCATTCTCTTTATTTTCAAATTTTTCCATCTCAATTATTTCATTTAGAATTGTTTATTAGCTAATTACAGGCTTTGGCATGTACTCAAATAGCTTTAATTGATCAGAATTAAATAAAATTTATTTCAGCTTATCAATTTCTAACAATTTATTAAAAATATAAAGAATATCAAAGTGTTCTTATATCTTTTCAATTCCTTAATCAAATAATAAGTTCTAAGTAGATAACTTTGATTTATTTGCAAAGGCATATGCAAGAAAATTAGAAAATGAATATCTCAAAATATTATGGGTACTCTAAAAATAATATTTAGTTTTATTAATGATATTCTCAACAAGGCTTTTCGATTCTAATTAAAGCATTTTCATTTCTGATTAATTTATATTATTCAAAGAGTTGAAGTTATTCTGGCTATTTTCTTTAGGTGAATTTGGAATTAACTATTAAGTCGCTATTGAATTTTTTTAATTTTAATTTAATAAAAAGTCTTTATTCTTTTATTTATCTTTTGTGATTAACTATTATGTTTATTAAACTTAAATTTAATTTTTGTCTTATTTTTTGATAACTTAATCATTAAGTTAATTATTTTTATAATGATCTTTTGGTATTAAATCTACTTTGTCGCTTGAACTCTTAAATTAATAAATTTCATCTATAATCGCCTTAAAATATTATAGCTTTGATATCCTATTAGAAAGTAAAAATCCTATCAAAACCAATATTTTAAGTAAACCTCCTAGTTAAGCAACTACATCAGCAAATTTTAAATAAGTTCTCTTCATATAGTTTTCTTTTTGCTTTTAAAGCCTAATTATAACGTTTGCAAGAGTATTTGGGCCCCCAAAATATGGTGTTAATGTTTGTTGCACGAAAACAAATGTGTTAATTTATTCAAGTTCCTAATAAAATATCCCTGAATCAGTGTCAATGTATTGATTTGTAAAATAAAGGCTCATCTCTTAGGGGAAACTAGAAGACATAGAAGCATAAAGACTTATTCCTCTATTCGATATAGGATTTTTAAAATCCAAAGGATTTATAACATGGTCAGACATAAATACTCCTAGTTTAGAGAGCATTAAAGCTTTATCTATAGCTTCTTTTGGCTAACAAATAATTTAACTTGAAGTAGAGTTTTAGCATTTCTCAAAAGTAATAACTAGTTAAGAAAACTCTTATTCGTTATAATCTCCTTCAAAATAAACAGACTCTTCTTAAGTATCAAAACAAAACAAAAGAGGGTAATTCAGTTAACTAAAGTAGCTTTTAGTGTCAGATATTCCTATATCATTTTCATTACAAAATCTTATTTTTTTATTTTAATTAACTAACTTAATAGCTTATTAGCCTGTATTTTGATCTATATAACGAACCTATTATTATTAGATTGCCTTTACACTCATAACCGTAGGATCAGTTTTGAATGAAATGTCATCATTAGATACTCCCATCATGATAATTAGATTATCAGGTTTGACATCTATTCTTTTAGGACAGTCGACTGACCTCTCTTAGCTTACAACTGAAGGATTTTACTTATAAATCAACTCCTTCCCAAAAAACCAACAACCTGTAATTAGCAGTATAAAAACAATCAAGCTAAACACCCCTCCAATTACCGTATTATATCTTTATTTTTTATTTAAATTTAATTATACATTCTGCCCATACATATCAAATAGTTTGAGACATTCTTCAACTTTTTATGTAAACGATCTCATATTATTATTATGATTAACTTATTATTATTTTATTAACTTACTTACCCACCAAACAATTTACTTTATTTAATTTTCTATTTATTTATTTATCTTTATTTTTGTTTCAAAATAATAAACAAAAATAAGTTTTATCTCATGCATTAAAATTTGCAAAAAAAAAATTCGAAAAATAGCTTTTAAGTTATTTTTGGTTTATTCTTAGATTTTTAAAATTAGAGATACAGCTAGCTTCAATATAATTTTTTTAAATTTTTACAATTTTTTTTTCAATTAAAAAATGAAATAATTTTCTTTTTATGAGTTTGTTTCTAAAATTAAAAAAAAATATTTAATAAAATTTAATTTTTTTAAACTTTTTAAGATTATTTAAAAATGTGATAGCTAACTAAAGAAAAATAATAATTGTAAATCAATCAAGGAATAAATAAATGAATGAATAAATGATTGTTAATTTAATTTGAATAAAAAGGGTAAACAAACTTAGGTTTTAACTTTCTTCTTTTTAGTATTTCTTAAAATTGAAGTCAAAGTATTTTTTTTGTCATACTTAATCAAATTAAAAACTTCTGCTTTTATTCTAAAAGAAAGACTAAAAAATTTATTATTTGTATTTTATGATTGTCATTTATTTTTTAGTTGAGTTTTAATTAAATTTGATGACGTTTCGAAATTTAAAAATGAGTGAATTTGTAATGTATTTTTTTTATATAACTATTAAAAGATAATAAGATTATTATTTTTATTAGATTCTCATCTATAAATTTTGATAGTTTTAATTTAAAAAAATCCTCCATCTGTACCTATATAATAATAATTAGTTAAGAATAAATAAGTTTTTAAGGAAACTAAGATGAAGCGACTGAGTAAAGGCTAATTTCTCAATTAAAAATTTATATTACAAAATTTAAAGGGTCAATTATATGATCTGACATGAAAATACTAAGATTTGTTAAAAGTAGAATTTAATCATTTCTTTTGAAGACTTACAAATAATTTAACTAGAAGTAGAATTTTTGCATTTCTAAAAATAAACATTCAGTTAAGAAAAAGTTTTTTAATTGAAATCACCTTCAAATTAAACCTGATACTTCTAAATATCGAAGCATTAGTGCATAGAAGTGTAATTCAATTTCTAAAAATAACCTAGTAAATCAGATGGATTACTTAATTGTTTTTGTATTTTTCACTAATTTTATTGTTTATTTGTCTGTAAGAGGATCTTAAATAAAAATTTGAATTAGTTGAACAGCATTTACAGAAAATTTAATAGGGTCATAAATGTATTGGGCATTATTATTAGCAATTCTCATCATAAAATTAAATTGTCTGTTTTAAAATCTATTGTTTTTTTCATTACAGATCTTTCTTGCATGATTATTAATTTAAGCACTTGTTTTAAACAACTCTTTTCCAAAAAATCAGCAAACTACTAAGAAGTAGATTAAAACAATAAAGCTGATACATCCTCCAAACACTGCTTTGTATCAATTTTTTTCTGAAATATCAATTAAATACTTTAACCATATATTTCTAGTTATTTAAAAATTCTTTGAATCTTTTTATGATCTTCTTATTGAATTCTTTATAATAATTGTTGAATTTTTTAATAAATTAATTAGATGGTTAGAATTTACTACATAATAAATTACTATATTTTAAATGTAAAAATGTTAAGAATATCTAAATTAGCTAATCTTATAAATACATAAATAATAAATTGATATTGATGAAGACAATATGAAATAAAAACTAGCATTTTAAATTAAATTCTTATATATTTATGAAAGATAAGTTAAATATCTTTATTTAGATCAGTGATTGCAGATTTTTTAAAAATTTAATAGAAATTAATTTAAAATTTTTTTCATAAATAAATAAATATGAAATATTTGTATTTATTTATTAATTAATTAATTAATTATTCATTTCTTTTTTATTTAGTTATTTTTTGCGATTTCTTAATAGCACTGAGATAAATAGATTAGATATTAGCTGATTAGGAAATATCATCTTAATCAACGAAATAAATAAAATTATCTTCAAATAGATCATTTTCATCTGCTTATTTATGTCCTGTTAATGTTTTTAATATCTCTTTAATATCATTTTGTTAGATTTAATTATAATATGGATCTATAACTTCGTCTTAGTTTTTAAATCCACTTTAAAGTTTTTTAACTTTGCCTTTTTATCTGCATTCAAAATTCTACTACTATCCTTGACATTTTTAGTTATTAGAAAATGATTTATACTAAATACTTGAATTGCTTTTGTGTAGAGAAAATGTGCTTTCAATATCTTCAGAATTATTTAAACAAAAGTTATATTTGGATTAATTTATTTCCTAAATGATGCTTGGATCTATTATTTTTATCAAGCTTTAATCTACTTTAGATATTTTATTTTACTGTAAAATGTTTTTGAGACCTTCTAATGCTTCTTCTGATAGTTGCCTTTCGCTTTTAATTTTTCTATTTCTAGTTTAATTTGTATTAATTGCGGTTTTTTTACTTACTTATTTAGAAATGCTGGTCTTTTTTTCCTGACTTTTTTTTATAGGTGATAGGCTACTTAAATTGTTATTTTAATTATTAAGATTCTCTTTATTTTCAAAATTATTCATCACTATCTTTTCATTTAGAATTGTTTATTAGCTGATTACAGGCTTTGGCATGTACTCAAATAGCTTTAATTGATCAGAATTAAATAAAATTTACTTCATCTTATCTATTTCAAACAATTTATTAAAAATAAAAAGAATATCAAAGTTTTCTTATATTTTTTCAATTCCTTAATCAAATAATAAGTTCTAAGTCGATAACTTTGATTTATTTGCAAAGGCATATGCAAGAAAATTAGAAAATGAATATCTCAAAATATTATGGGTACTCTAAAAATAATGTTTTGTTTTATTGATGATATACTCAATTAGGTTTTTTGATTCAAGTTAAAACATTTTAATTTCTGATTAATTCATATTATTTAAAGAATTGCAGTTATTATGGCTTTTTTGAAGAGGTGAATTTTGAGTTAATTAATGAATTGGTGTTGAATTTTTTTAAAATTGATTTAACACAAAGCTTTTATTCTTTTATTTACCTTTCGTCAGCTATTATGTTAATTAAATTTAAATTTAATTTGGGTTCTATTTTGTGATAATTTAATTATTAGATTAATCAATTTTAGATTAGTCTTTTGGAATTAAATCAACTTTATCACTTGAACTCTTAAATTGATAAATTTCATCTATAATTGCCTTAAAGTAGTATAGCTTTGATATTCTATTAGAAATTAAAAATCCTATTAATACCAGTATTTTAAGTAAACCTCCTATTTGAGCAACTACATCAGCAAGTTTTAAATAACTTCTCTTCATATAGTTTTCTTTTTGCTTTTAAAGCCTTATTATAACTCTAGCGAGAGTATTTGGGCTGCTAAAATATGGTGTTATTGTTTGTTGCATGAAAACAAATGTACTAATTTATTCAATTTCCTAATAAAATACCCCTTAATCAGTGTCTATGTACTGATTTGTAAAATAAAGACTCATCTCTTAGGGGAAACTCGAAGAAGTTGAAGCATAAAGACTAATTCCTCTGTTCGATATAGGATTTTTAAAATTCAAAGGGTTGATAACATGATCAGACATAAACACTCCTACTTTAGAGAGCATTAAAGTCTAATCTATAACTTCTTTTGGCTAACAAATAATTTAACTTGAAGTAGAGTTTTAGCACTTGTCAAAGTAAACAATTAATTAAGAAAACTCTTATTGGTTAAAATCTCCTTCAAAATAAACAGGTTATTCTGAAGTATCAAAACAATACAAGACAGGGTAATTTAGTTGTGTAAAGTAGCTTTTTGTGTCAGATATTCCTATGTCATTTTCATTGCATAATCTTATTTTTCTGTTTTAATTAACTAACTTTATACTTGACAATCCTGTATTTTGATCAATATAACTAACCTGTTATTATTAAATTGCATTTACAGTAAAAAGTCTAGGATCAGAGAAGTATTAAGCGTTAGCATTAGCAACTCCCATCATAATAATCAGATTATCAGGCTTGACATCTATTCTTTTAGGACAGTCGACTGGTCTCTCCTAGCTTATGACTGAAGGATTTTATTTATAAATCAGCTCCTTTCCAAAAAACCAGCAACCTATAAGTAGTAGTGTAAATACAAGCAAGCTAAGCACCCCTCCAATAACAGTGTTATATTTTTACTTTTTATTTAAATTCAATTATACATTCTACCCATATATATCAAATATTTTGAGATAATCTTCAAGTTTTTATGTGACTGATCTCATGCTATTATTATTATTTAGTTTTTTACTTACTTACCTTTCTGTTTATTTACTGATTTAATTTTCTTTTAATTTATTTATCTTATTTTTTTTATTATTATTTTGAATTAAAAACAAATTTTTTATCTTTTAGAAAAATTTATATATTAAAAATTTTGTTAATTAAAGCTTTCATTTAAGTTTTTTTTGTTTCATTTATTAGTTTTCTAAAATTAGATCTTCCTTTTAAAAATAATTTTTATAAGCTAAATTGCTAATAGTTTAATAAAATTTAGATTAAATTCCATAACCTCAATCTACATTTAGAGTTTGAGATTGTTTTCAAAAAAATAAATTTCAGTCATTTTAGAAAACTAAAATATTATCATTAATATATACAGATTAAATGATTAAACAAAGCTAGTAGATTTTGCTTTTATTGATATTTCTATATTATAGAAAGATTATATTTCATTCAAGGCTTATTTGAATTATTTTGAAGAGATAATAAATCAAAATAATATAATTTTTTTTAACAAAAATCATATTTTATTATCAAGTATTATAATGAATATTATTAGATCAAAGTATTAAAATAAATTTGAGTTATTAATAAACAAAATATGTTAAAAATAAAATTAATCAAATAGATTTCATTTTAAATTCTTGATTTAGGACCAAAAAATAAATAAAAAATTTGATAAATAAATATTAAAAGTAATTAAAAAATAATTTGTTTTTTCGTTAAATAAAACTATTCCTGAAATTTCTTTTACTCATTTTTAATTAATTCTTAAAATTGAAAAATTTCTGGTCATTTATTTAATATTTTTAACTCCAAAAAATAATTTTACACAATTATCTATTGAATATTTGATAAGTGATTTTTAATATTTATATTTCAATGATTCTTTAGGAAATTAAAATTTTTTTTTATTATAGCTAAAAACTTTCACATATTTGTTTTAAAATTTTATATAAAATAGCTTTTATTATATGAATTTTTAAAATTAAAAAAAATTACAACAAATAAAATATATTTAACTAATTTTTTAATAAATTTTTAATATTGTTTAAGAATGTGATAGCTTAAAAAAATAAATAAATTTCGATAAATCTATCAATAAATAAATAAATGAATAAATAAGTGAATAAGGGATAATTTAATTTGAAAAAAAATATAGACTTATGAATTAAATTTTTATTTATGATTTTTTAAATAGTCTTTTAGTCAACTTTCAGTATTTTTTTATCTTATTTTGGGTGAGAGTAATATTTTTTAAGTGCTTTAGTTTGGAGATTAAATATTGTTTTGATAGGATTAATCTTCACAATTAATAAAATAGATTTAATTTTCTTCAAACACACTTAAATTTTAACTTTCTTCTTTTTAGTTTTTGTTAAAAATGAATTCAAAGTTTTTTTTCTGTTCAATTTAATCAAATTAAAAACTTCTGCTTTTATTCTAAAAGAAAAGACTAGAGCCTTTATTAATTATATTTTATTATTGTTATTTATTTTCTAATTGAATTTTAATTATATTTTATGAAGTTTCGAAATTTTACTGAGTTTGTTATGCATTTTTTTCATAAAACTCTTAAAAGATATTAGGATCTATTATTTTTATTAGATTCTCATCTATTTTAGATAATTTATTCTAATTTAAAATATTTATGAGTCCACTGTAAGCTTCTTAAGCTATTAAAGTTTCACATGATTAATTTTGTTAATTAAACTATCTTGATTAGCTACTTTCTTGTGATTTTTCTGAAAATTCATTTTCATTATTTTAATTGTTTACCTTCTAATTATTTCTATTATCATTTTAAATATTTTGCTTATTATTTTTACTTTCAGTTTTATAGTTTTCTTTTTCTTTGATTAGCATTTAAGGACTCTCATTTTTATTTAAGCAATTAGATTGATAATTATCTTAAATTTATTTATTTTCAATTTATAGTTATCCATCACTTATTAGTGGTTTAGGCATATAATCGAATAGCTTTAGTTAATTTTTATTAAGTAAAATTTATTTTAATTTGTCTATTTCGTGTAATTTGTTAAAAATGTACAAGATATCAAAGTTTTGATTGATTTTATTAATTCCTTAATCAAGTAATTATCTTCTTTTGTAAATGAAATTTGCATTAGGCATAAAGGCATGAGCAAAATAATGATTAAATTTGTATTTAATTTTGCTATGAGTACTTTAAAAGTAATTCTTTGCACTAGAAAGAATCTAATCTATAAAGTTTTTGTTGTTTGAAATTTAAGTTTATTATTAATTTTAAAATTGATTTTATTATACAAAACTTTTTAAGATTTTATTTGGTGAATTTGGAGTTATTGAATTTAGATTTTATTATGTTATTTATGTTTCTTGTTGTATTTTTTTTAATTATATTTCATCTTCCTTCTTCTTTTTTGATTAGCTATTATTATCATTTTGATTCGAAAATAACTCTAACTATTAATTTAATTATTCCTTTTCGAGCTTATTTTTAGGGTTTAAGTTGGTATCCTATTTTTTTTTTGAATTTATACTCAAATTACTATGTCTTTAAGACATTATGGTTTTATCATCAATTATTTGGAATTAGTATACTTCATCTATGATTGCCTTTAAATAGTAAATCTTTGTAATTGGATTAGATATTATAAATCCTACAATTAAAAGAATTTTAAGCAGACCGCCAATCTGAGCAATAACATCTGCAATCTTCAAATATTTCCTTTGCATGTAGCTCTCCTTCTGCTTCTGCATCCTAAAATTCATAGCTATTATAACATCGGGATCTCCAAAAAATGGAGAAACTACTTATGAGGTAAAGATGAAACTATTTTATGTTTAAATGTCTTCATAAAATACTCCTGCATCAGTTTAGATGTAGTAATTTGTAAAATAGAAAGTAGCTTGCTGAGGGAATTGCGATGATGTGACAGAAACGAGATTTATCCCTCTGTCAGATATTGGATTTAAAAAATCTAAGGGATTAATAACATGATCTGAAGCAAACAAGCTTATCCTGTTGTTTGCAAGGTTTTTATCAATTTCTTCTTTAGATTTACAAATAATTTAGCTAGAAGTAGAATTTTTGCATTTTTCAAAGAAGACAAACAATTGTGAATACTTTTCTTGATTGAAATCACCTTCAATATAAACTTCATCATCTTTGGTATCAAAGCAGTACTATGCTCCAATATTGATAGTTGAGAAATATTTTTTTAAGTTCAGTATTCCAACATCATTTTAATTGCAAATCCTAATCTTTTTAGGTGTGTTAATAAGCTGGATTGTCCTGTTTCCAGTAGTTTAGTCATACTGAGCTATTTAAGTTTATTAAATAGCTCTTACTTAAAATAGCGAAGGATCAGTGAAGTATTGACCTTAGAAATTAGAAACTCCCATCATTAAAATGAGATTATCAGGTCTTATGTCTATTCTTTTAGGACAATCAACGGGCCTTTCAGAGCTAATTACTGAAGGACTCTATTTGTATATTAACTCTTTTCCAAAAAACCAGCAGCCTACACAAAATAAGCAAAAAATTGTTAAACTGATAACTCCACCAAAAACTGTGTTGTATTTATTTCTTTGGTAAAAGTTCAGTTTGATTTCTTAACCATATACATCAATTTACTTAAAGATTTTTTCTAAGTTGAATCCCATTAGCTTTATTTGATTAATTAATAAACTATATTGCCTCAATGTATTTTTATCCAAATTAAAGATAATTAATTTATTTTGAATAGAAATTTGTATGGTTGGTTATTTAGTAATATCGTAACTAACCCAATAAATTAATTATAAAAAATAATTAAATAAGTAAGTGAATTATTAGTTATCGCAAATTCTTATTAACTAATTAATCACTTTTCTTGAATATCATTGAAAAAAAAGTAATTAAATTTTTTATTTTTCTTTTAATGTAATTTATTATTTTTAAAACATTTCTTTTATTTTATGCAAATAATTATCTGATAGTTAATTGAAGTTTAAATCATAAAAGGTAAGTTTTTTCAGTGTTTATCAATTTATCATTAATATTTTAAATATCACAACTATTAAAACAAATTAAATCCCAATACAATTTTAGTATTACCCTTTCTATTATGCTAAAAACATTACTTTAATTTTATGTAAGCAAGTATTAGAAGTATTGAATTGATACTTGAATAGATAAAAATGATTAGTATTTCAGTTTGTTAAAATAACATAAAATAAATTAAATCACAATACAATTTTTGGAATTGTGGTAATTAAAAAATGGAATAGGGGAATTACTTCGAAATTATATTATTATTTGAAGGATGAGATACTATATTATTAATAAATTTATTGCAAGTAACCAAAGTAATTACAATTATGCAAGTTAATGAGTATTTGGCAGTAAAATTTTTAGATATATTAAGAATTATTTTGAATGATTTTTATCTATAAAATGTAAAGAAAAAAAGAAAATTAGCTTAATTATAATAACAATTATTTATTATTTTCTTATTTATTTATTTATATTTACAAATAAATAATAAAAAAAGATTTGATATACAAAAAAGAATATTTTGTTTAAGATTTAACAAAAATAAGAATAAATAATTGATTGATTTATTATTAATAATTTTTATTTTAATTATAGTTTATTTTCATTTTTACTTTTTAATTTTTTTAGTTGGGGTATCGATTTATTACTTGATAACACTTAAATAGAGAGATTGGATGTTTGTTTAGTACGAAACATCACCTTAGTCAACAAAATAAATTTAGTTGTCTTCTACTGTCTAATCGTCATCATCATCATTATCTTTTTTGCACTCATGTTCGCATATTTAGCTTTAATTTTTTTAATGATCAAGACCGTTCTCTTTAAAATTTTAGTCATTTAATGGCTCCTTAATTTAATTAAATAGTTGAAATCCACTTTAAATACTTTTTTATTTGTTTTCTTTAGATAAAAATTATTCTTGAGCCTTTTTAGAGCTACCAATAGATTTTTGCATTAGATTTGTATTGCTTTTCATCATTTAAAATGTACTGTCAATATCATCTTAATTGTTTACATAATTTTATTTTTATTTTTTAATTTCTGTTATTATGCAAGGATCAATAATTTTTATTAGATTTTCATCTATCTTAGATATTTTATTTTATTTCAAGATATTTTTCAGTCCTTCTTTTGCTTCTTCTGAAAGTTAACTCTCTAATTTGATCTTTCTATTTATAGACCTTGTTATAGACTTTTTATTTTTTCTTGCTGGTTTGTTTTTAGCTATTTATTAATTTGGTTTATTAATTTTTTCATCATCACTTTATAAATTTTAATAATTTTATATTTCGCTTTCCTCACAACCCAGAATTGATTTTTCGCTAATAACAGGTTTTGGCATATACTCAAATAACTTTAATTAATCAGAATTAAACAAAATTTATTTCATCTTATCTATCTCAAATAATTTATTGAAAATATAAAGAATATCAAAATTTTCTTAAATTGATTCTATTCCTTGCTCAAATAAAATATTTTAGCTTGAGCTAATTTTTGATTTAGGCGTAAAAGCGTAAGACAAATATTGAATAAAAGAGTATTTTAAAATTTTATGAGTACTTTAAAAATATGATTTGGTTTTGTTAACTATGGTGTCAATTAAGCCTCCATTTGATTCGGGTTCGGACTTTTTAGCTGCCACCTAAGCATTCATAACATTAAATGAATTTTAATTTTTTTGATTAGCATTAATAAAATTAAAGGAATTTAAATTTTATTGATCAGTTTATTATGGGGAATTTTATGGCTATTTTTGAGAAAGAGATTTGGTTTAATCTAGGTCAGGAGCATAATTTCTATTTTTTAGTTTATTTTTAATGATTTATTTTTTTTGTTAATCTTAACTTTATGCTAATTATGATTTATCAAGTGCTGCTGTTTCCTTTTTTGATAAATCAAATTTCTATTTATCTTTTGGAACAAGACTGACTTGATTATTAGTGCTATGGAATTAGTAGATTTCATCAATAATAGCTTTGAAGTAGTAGAGCTTTGAAATTGGGTTGGTTAAAGTAAATCCTAGCAAGATAAGTATTTTAAGTAAACCTCCAATTTGAGCTACTACTTCAGCTACTTTTAAGTAGCTTCTCTTCATATAATTTTCTTTCTATTTTTACATTCTAATTAATACTCGAGCGAGAGCATTCGGGTCACTAAAAAATGGAGTTACTGTTTAATAAGAGAACATAAATGTGCTATCTTACTGTAAGTCAGAATAAAATATCCCTGCATCAGTGTCGATATATTAGTTTGTATAATAAAGTCCTATTTCTTAAGGAAAATTAGAAGTAGTAGTAGCATAAAGACCTATACCTCTAGTAGAAATAGGGTTCTTGAAGTTTAAAGGATCTACTACTTAATCTGACATAAAGATACCAACTTTAGATAGCAATAGCTTATTGTCTATGACTTCTTTTGGTTTACAGATTACTGAGCTTGATGTAGAGTTTTTGCATTTCTCAAAATAAACGTAAATTTAAGAAAATGATTCTTGATTGAAATCTCCTTCAAAATAAACTGGCTGTTAGGATGTATCAAAACAATATAAAGCAGGAATATTTAACGTCTTAAAGTAGTCTTCAGTGCTTGGTATTCCAATATCATTTTCATTACATAATCGCATATTAATATTTTAATTTTTCAATTATATTGTAGATTTACCAGTTTTTGGATCTACGTAGTTCACCTATATTTGTTAATATGCGTTAACAGTAAAAATGGTTGGATCAGAGTAGTATTAAGAATTATCATTGGAAACTCCCAGCATCAGAATTAAGTTATCAGGTTTTATGTCGACCCTTCTGGGATTGTCTACAACTCTCTATTAACTTATAACTTATGGATTTTATTTGTAAATTAATTCTTTCCCAAAAAACCAACAGCCAACTAAAAATAATTCGAATATAAATATACTTAAAATTCCACCAAATACAGTATTATATTTGTTCTTTTTATTAAGATTTAGCTGTATGCTTTAGCCGTACATGTCAACTTATTTTAGTGCATTTTCAAATTTCTAGATAATCTAGCTCATATTTTTTTAGTTATTTTAATTTCAATATTTTTTTTAGTTTTTATATAAAATTTGATTTATAAAAAATACCCATCTTAATTTATAAAGAAAGCTTATTTACCAATTAAAAATTAGGATTTCTCACAAAAAAACTTAAAAAATTATGTTACCTAGGAATTAACAAATTGATTAGCTAGTTAGTTATTTAACTAAAAAAATCTTCTAAATTAAGATTAATAATAACAAAAATTATATTGTAAAACAACCTTATAAAAGTAGAGCATACTATTAATTTATTCACTCAAACTGGAATTTTTAAAAAATAAATAACTTTTCTAGAATATCGATCGATTACAGCTATTTATGTAATTTTTTTGAATTTAATTCTGTTTTTTTCTAATCAATAAAACAAAAAATAAAACGAAAATAGAAAGCATTATTCTTTCATTTGTTTAATTGTAAAAAAGGAGGATAAAGTTGGTTTTATGAGATAAATAAACATGTATTTTTATATCATTTTTTTAATTTTATATTTTAAAAACTGCTTTTTTAAAGAAGCTCTGCTCTTAGATGCTAAAATTTAGTGTTTTAGTATTAAAATGTTAAAAGAATAACAGTTTTAAAGAAAATTGCTGTAATCAAGAGTAATTGCATGCACGAAAATAATGTATTAAAAAGAAAAAGAAATATTTTTTTAAATTCTAATATGGTTAACTTAACAACTAAACATAAAAAAAATAATTTTTGCCTAAATTTTCATGATCTTAAAGTAAGTAGAAGATATTGTTTTTAATTAATATTAATATGATATTATAATAATTAAAATTCAATTGGTTTCAATAGAATTAAAAAAATAATTTAATTACCAAAGAATATGAATTTTTTATATGATATTTTGTTATTTATATAGAGATAGAAATAAAATTCACTAACAATTCAATACATAATTGATAATATTTAAAAGATGCTGGTAAATAAAAATAGTAAATCTGTTATAGTAAGTAGAGTTCTTTTTACTTTTTCTTTGGAATTTAATCTATTTATAATTTGCTTTTATTAATTTACAACATAAATGAATCATCTTATTGTTAAATCTCTAATTAAGAATAAGCTTATTTTTTCTTAATTATCATAACTAATATACTATCAAAAACATTATTTACAATATTATTAAATTTATTTGTTTTTTGTTTTTTTTACCTTAATTTTTTGTATCTAACTTTGATTGTTTGTTTTAAGTTGGATTTTAATTATTTTTACTTTTCCTTTTTGATTTTATTCAAAAACAAACTCAGTTTTTATATATCCTTTTAATTATTTCTTATTCTTTTCTTCATTTATTATTAAAGATTAATTCTAAAATATGATCAGCAATATATAATGTAAATTCAATGAATTTAATTTTAAAAAATATAAAAAAATACAAACTAACCAATACAATCAATCTATTGATTTAAAATAGTATATTTTGTAATTAAAACATAAGCAGTTATTAAATTAAGTTGTTTTAAAGCCTGTAGGAATATTGTAGAAAGGATACTCTTTTTAGCTTTCTCTTTACATTTTTAAAATAAATAATACGAATTAAGTTTAAATAATTGTTTTATATGTATTTTGGCTGATGTTTTAATAGAATTTTTAGAAGATCCATAAAAAATTTGTTTATTTCTTTAATAAAACGTATTTTATTAAATTTAAAATCACATAATTACTTCGGTAAATGAATTAAAGTGGGTAATTTATTCTTTTAAAACAAATGAGAAAATTAAAAATCAGAATATTTTAGAAAATAGTCGTACTTTTCCATATACATTATAGTTTTTAAAAAGTTAACCATTAACTAATTTAATAAGTTTTTTAAGTTATTATAATAAATAAATAATTATATGCACAGTAATTAAATAATAAAATAAAAATTAATTATAAAATTCTTATTCCATCATAACAAAAATTTATCATTCATTAATTTGTAAAACTTTTTGAGAATTGCTTGCTTAATATTTATTTCATTATTGGGCTTTAATAAACCAATTATATATCTGTAATAGGATTTTCGTCTTCTTTTAGTACTCCACAAATTTAATTTGTTTCTTAAGAAGAAGTGAGCTGCTATTAGGATTTATCATATTCTTAATCTTGTTTCTTATTATAGTCTACAGCTTAATTTTAATTGTCTATTAAAAATTTTTTCACTTTGTTGGGAATATTTATTTCTTCAATCCCTTCTTATAATATATTTTTGGGGTTAGAAGAATTTGTGTTAAAGGAAGACGATTAATTGGAAGAGGAGTCTTTAATTACATGCAATTTATTTAAAGGTAGCTATTATTTTTTTAGCTCATATTTTTCATTATCAGAAGCCTTTTGGAGTTAATTGCTTAAAAACGCATTAAGAGGTATTTATGTTAAGGATTCTTCACTTTATTCAAATATTTATTATTCTCTTTAAATCTAAGTAATTAAATTAGGATCAATTAATTCTACTAGTTTTTCATCAATCTTTGAAAACTTTCTTTGTTATAAGATATTTGAAAGACCATCATAAGCTTGCTATATTATCTACTCTTCAGTTTATTTCTTTCCAAATTGAGAGTACACGTTATTTTATAAGAAATTAGTACTGCCCTTCCTTCTCTGCATTCCAAATTAAAATTTATTTTGGTTATTCTCTTTATTTATTTGCTAATTTTAATTGCTGCTTAAAAACTAAGGAAAATTATTCTGATTCCTTTGAGCCATTTATTATATATTTGGGGTATTTGCTTCTAATTAAATTTTATTTTCATATATACCTTCATTTATGATTTAATTTTTGGCTGCATCACTCATTGACGATTTAATACTATCTTAATCGTTATCTAGCGTTTCATCAGATATCACTGGTTTAGGTATATATTCAAATAATTTTAATTAATCTTTATTTAGTAGAATATACTTAATCTTATCTATCTCAAGGAGTTTATTTAGAATATACATGACATCTAAATGATCTTATATTTTTGAAACCCCTTCATTCACCAATTTGAATTTATGGACAATGCTCTTCGCCTTTGGGAAAAAGGCATGCACAAAGTAATTCATAAATTTGTATTTGATGATTTGATGGGTCTTTAAAAAATAGTCTTTTGCGCTTTCTATAACTCTTTTGACACCAAATTACTAAATGTTTGGCTTACTGCTGTCATGGAAAACATTACTGCTTGCTTAATATTTTTTTGTATTATCATGATTCTGAGAACAAAAAGAATTCCATTACGCACATGATAAATGAGGAGACAAAGACTAATTAATTATTTGTAGCTCTGATTAATTTGAATTCATGTTAGCTTTCACATTTTAGAGATTAACTTTTTAATTCATATTTATCACATTTTAATTAACTTTTTATTTTTAATTTGTTTTGTTGCGTTGTGTCTTTTTTAATGGAGAAGACAAACTGTTTTTGCTGGCAGGTTCAGAAATCTTAACAATGTTTTTTGCGACCAAATTAACGTTTTTATTACTCTAGAACTAAAATATTTCATCAACAGCTGATTTATATAAATAAAGTTTTGATATAGGAGCACTTATAATGCTGCCAAAAACTATCATAGTTTTCAGAAAACCACCCATTTAAGCTAAAAAATCAGCAAATTTAAGATAGTTCCTTTGCATCAAATTCTCTTTCTGCTTTTAGAGTCTAAAAAGTACTCGACCAAGCACATTATCATCACTAAAAAAAGGAGTTACAGTTTACTAAACAAAAACAAAACTTTATTATGTTTCTATTTACTTGATTATTAAACCAACATCTGTTTCAATATAATAATTAGTGAAAAACAGCTCTATTTCTTATGGTAATAATGAAGAAGTAATTGCATAAAGACTTATCCCTCTGTCTTTAAAAGGCTCTAAATAGTTAGAAGGCTCAACTATATGATCAGACATATATATTTGCAATTTTGTGTACAAAAGAGTTTGATCGATGACTTCTTATGGTTTACAAATAATAGGACTTTATGTAGAATTCTAACATTTATCAAAATAAGCATAAATCTATGAAAAATTTCCTGTGTTAAAATCGCCTTCCATATAAATATCTTCATTAAATCCATCAAAGCAGTAAAAACTAGCAATATCAACCTAATTAAAAAAAGATTTTATACTAAACATTCCTACATCTTCATTAGTGCAAAGCCTTATCTCTTTTTTTACTTCAATTAGCTTTTTAGTAGAGACTCCTGTTTTTGAGTCTGTCACGTTAACAGTGGTTTCTTGAACAGCTCTTACAGTAAATATACTTGGATCTATAAAAGGAACTGAGCTATTATTTGCCAAACCTAACATAATTATCAAATTATCAGGCCTTATTGAAATTCTCTTTGGACTATCTACAGGTCTTTCTGAGCTAATAACTTGAGGACTTTCTTTCAAAATCAGCTCCTTTCCAAAAAACCAACATGCCACACAAATTAGTGTGAAAAAGGCTAAACTTAAAATGCCACCAAAAACTGTTTTATATGAGTTTTATCCCTTAAAGTTAAGCTAGATATTCTATCCATAAATATCTATAAATTTCAAAGCCTTTTCAGCATTTCGAATCATTTTTTTTATTTAAAAATAGGCAATATCTTAATTAATAATAAAGTAATAAGGTGGTTTGTTTATTTATTTATTTATTGTTTTCTTAATTTCTTTGTTTTCTTAATTTTTTTTGAATCAAATGATTGATTGAAGTTTTTAATATTTTTATATAAATTAAATTATAATTATAATCATATGCTATAATTAGAAATGAGGTTCCTTCCTTCCTTCCTCTTTTATTTATTTTAAGGCTACTTATTCTTGATAATTTAAGAAACTTTATTCATGTTTTCCTAGTAAATTTTTGATTTAAACATTCATTCTTTTACTTATTTTATTATGTAGTTCAATTTAACTTTTAAATTCATTTCTTCTATTTTAATTTGCTTTAAATCGCTAATTATAAATAATAAAAAAAAAGCAGAAAAGTAACCATTGAATGAAAAAAAATATTTACAAGTGTTGGGAGAATATAAAGCTAATTTATTTTGAAAAATCGAATAAAATGATAAATAATGCAATCAAAAGTAGCTAAATAGTTGTATGATGTAATTAAAATGCGTAATTTTTTCTTTTCTTTTTTTTAAATTTACTAAATTAAATAGTTTCAAAGTCATCAAAATTAGAACTAATTAAGTCAAAATTGAAAATTCTGAAATACTCAAAGTATCTTTTTATTTACAAATCCTGAAGTAAGCTATAAATAATTTGAAGAATGATTTATTTTTAAAATTAAATAGAAGAAATAAAATCGTGTTAAGGGTAAACTAAAGAAATAGTTTTTTTATTTTTATCAATTTTAAGCAATAAAATATTTATGATAATACTTATAAGCATTAAAATATTTCAAATAACAATTTAAATTTGTTTATTAATTTTTAAATAAATAAATAAATTACTTATTTAGATAAAAAAAAATTGTTTACACCAAATTACCAGAGAAAAATGAAAGATAAATGATTACATACATCTTAACATTCTTACATTGATAATAAATATTTTTTAATATTTTACTTAAATAATTCTGGATATTATTTAAACAAAAATCATAATTATACTGACAAAAGTATTTATAAGAATTGAAATTTGATAATTGTAATGAGTTAATTAATAAACAAATTAAGTGTAATTTCAAAAAATTAATCAAAAAAACTACTGAACAAATAATTTTTATAAAATTGTAATCATAAAATTTGATAATCAGCAAGTCAGTCAGTCAGTTCTTTCTTTCAATCAATAATATTCATATTCATACTCTGTCGATTCTAATGAATTAAAGCAATCCATTATTTCTGCTTCTCTTGGATATTTATTTTGTTTTCTAGCCATATCTATAATCATTAACAGCTTCTTGATAGGAACTTTCTTATCTTCAAATCTTTAAGCGATTTGAGGGCTAATTCCACAAGCACTAAACACATTTTGGATTTCATTTTAATTTAGTGGATTTACTTTTAATATTATGTTGAAACATCCACCTACCAATTGTAGCTTTTTCAATGAATTAGCTTATGAGGTAGTACCAATAACAAGGAGCTTGCAGAATTCTTTATCAGGTATTTTCTTGATTAACACTAAAAGAGATTGGAGGATAGTATTTGAGAATCTTGGACCTTCGTCTATGTATTCAATTATACGTTCAAGTTCATCAAGAACAATAATAGCTTGCTTTGCTCTATATGCCATTCTGAAAGTGGTAGCCAGCAAGTTAACTTTTGCGTAGTCATTTAATCCTAAGAAATCACCAGGTGTTAAAATCTTTACATAAGTTATATCACTCTTTAGAGCAAAAGCAGCTGCAATCGCTGTTTTACCAGTTCCAATAGAACCTTCTATCAAAATAGAGTGAATTAAACTATTTTCTGATGTTTTGACATAATCAATACTCTAAATCATTTGTTTAGAGATTCTCTCGTAAGCTTCACCATAATTAATTAATTTATTACTTTTATAGACTTAAAATTATTCATCAACACCAAACAAAGGCTTCACTTCTTGAATTGCCTTTTTAAAATCTTCCATAGTTACCAATGGAAGATTCTTAGGATCAATAGGCTTTGAAAAATCCATTAAGTCCTACATTTTACCTATTGAATAGGAGAGAGCTACTTTAACTAACTACTCAATATCAGCACCAGTATAATTCTTTGTATCTCTGACAATTTCTTCCAAATTGATGTTTGGATCAATAGTACCATTCTTAAACATTGTTGCAGTGTGAATTTTCAATATATCCAATCTACCTTTATCATCTGGTAAACCTATTTCAACGTGATACTCAAATCTACCAGCTCTTAATATAGCAGGATCTATTAATTCTTTCATGTTAGTCATACCTTAAAATTTTAAAGAAAATATTATTCAAAAATTAATTTAAAATAATTTAAAATTGAAATTTTTAAAATGGGAAATGATAAAAATTGAATTAAAAATGTTTAAAATAAAAATCTTAATTTAATTTTTCAAAAAATTTTAGTCATTTTAAATGCTTATTATGAAATAATTTTATTAATTTAAATTTACCTATGACTAAAATGTTGTTTAGAGATTCAGGACCATCAATCATTGTCAAGAGTTAGTTGACAATTTTATCTCCAACTTCAGCTGAAGTAGAAGAACTTGAACCTCTCTTTCTGCATATTGCATCCATTTCATCGAAGATAATTACGTGCAAAGGACTGGAATCTCCCTTTTCTATTTCATCTTTTCTTGCATCTGCAAACAGATTACGAATATTTTCTTCAGCCTTACCAATAAATTCACTCAAAATACTAGGACCGTTTACAATTTTAGGTTTAACAGAGTTCAAAACACCTGCAAGCTTCTTTGCAATTAAAGTTTTACCACAACCAGGAGGACCATAAAGTAAAAGACCTTTTGCATGCTTGATACCATACTTTTAAAGGACAGCAGGAGGGAATCTTCTTGAAGCAAAAGCCTTTCTGAAAATATCAGCCAATTCTTAATCCAAACCACCAACTCCTAGATCTTCGAACTTGAATTTAGGATCAATAATGCTCTATTTATTTTTTAAAACATTTTATTTAAAATTAAGCAATCAATCTTGTATTATTATTTAATTAAAATCAATAAATTAATATTGAAAATCTGCTTTTTTGAAACAAATTTTGTATCATGCAAAAAAATCTATCTATTCTCAAAATAAATTCTTGAGCTTTATTTTTTTTTAAACATTTTAGCTTAAATTATTTTAAGAAACTATAGAAAGTAATTAATTATTGCTTACAACTGTCTTAAAGCCAACAGATTTTAACTTTAAATCAATAGTTTTCACTGTGAAGGTAATAGAAGTATCTCCATTTAACATACCTTCTAAAAGACGTACTTACTTTGCTTTGACACCCAAATCCATAAAGTTAAAATTAGTACACCTTAAACGAAATAGACGTTCTCTATAAACAAATATAATAGTATGGTCGAAAGAGAAAAATTGATTAACGTGCTTTTATTTAACTTAATCTGCTAATTCTTCGTCATCTATTTCAAAAGTTTAAGTTCTTTATTCAAAAGGAGTAATTTCCAGCTCTAAACTGATTAGTCTGTATTCAGCATCAAGAGGAGGAATATATTAAGTGAGTGCTGTATTAAATAAATTTAACAATAAATGAAATTTGATTTTCAAAATGCAAATTAAATACTAATAAGATCAGTGTTTCCTATTTTTAGTACAGCTCTCTATATTTAGTTAAGAGCTACTTAGTCATCTCCAAATTAGTCAGATTAATCCAACATAAATACAAATCCATTAATTTTAACATAAACTGGACCTTGAGTTCCTTAAGTGCTTAAAAAGTATCTAAAAACCTTAGGTGATGAAAACACTTTTCCTGAATAACCTCTTTCGGTATCAGAGAATTTTGCTACCTTAAGATTGTTGATTTATGCTAAAGATTATTATCTATTAGGCTACATTCCACAACTATTTATTTTTTTTAATTACAAAATAAAAGAATATCTTTCTGAATAATTTATTAATAAAATTTGCTGATATCTATTGATTAATGTCTTATTCTACTAAAGCAATTAGAATGAATTAATAAACTTACAATCAAGCAGCTAACAAATAGTTAAATTAATAAATATAATACATTCATACAATCTAATCGCATATAAATCAATTAAAACGTGTTAAGATTCCTTTCATTTGATAGCACAATAAATGATTATCTATTTTTATGAATTATTTGATCAATACTGACTCAAGAAATATTAATTTAATTCCTTCTATTTCAATTTCATTTCCATTAAATGCTAATAAGATCGTTTATAAATTATTGTTAATTCATCATTTCTATAATTTAAACTTGACATAAAAATTGTACATAGAAATGACTTCTTAATTTTTAGAAAATTTTACATTTGTTTTTAAATAATAAATTTAAAACAGATTAATAAAATAATAAATTTCACTTTTTTAGTATTTTATTTAAAATAAACAATCATCATTAAATTAAAATAAATTTATGGTGATTATTTTCAATATAATTATGATTTAATCTATCAAATGAGATAGCAGCGCTTTGTGATTTATCTAGTCAATTAATTAAAATAATTTTCATATTAAATTAATATTTGATTATTTTGTGAACTTATTGTATAAATGCTTCTCTATCAATAAATATATAAACTAATTTATTCTAATATTGCATATGATTCTATCCAATCAAAAGAAAATAATATGAGAAAAATAGTTTCTTGTTTGTGTTTATAAAATCTTAATAATAATTCTTAAGAGTTTTCTTTTTTAAAATCATAATAAATGAAATAAAATACAAATAATCATTTTTATTTTACTTTATTTTGATGAAATACTTTTCAATTTGAAATTATTTATTGAGAGTTGCTAAAATATTAATTGAATTTTTTTAAAAAGCGAGAACTTTTTGATGATTTCTCTAAAGTGACACCAATAAATCATTTCGTTAAATAAAAAATCATTCAATAAAATGAAATTTGCATAAATTTGAAGAATCAATTAATTAATTGTATAAAAATAAATACGTTTAAATTAATATAAAATATATGAAGTAATAATTTAATATTGAAAATTATCATTTTTTAAAATTAAATTCTATTTTTAATATGTTTTCAAGTTCAAAGCTATTGATTGGTTTAGTAAGATAGTAGGACATTCCGCAGTCAAATGCTTTTTTCCTTTCTTTTTCTTACACATAAGCTGTGCAGGCTGATATTTTTGGTGGAGGTATATTCTTTTTTTAAAAGTATTATAAAATGTTTTTAGTTGTCTCGTAGCCATCTTTTATGGGCATATCTATATCCATGAAAATTAACTTATAAGTTAAACAACAATCAGATTATTTTAATTTTTATTTTATTTTATCAATAGCCATAAACCCACTTGTTGCTTTTTCACTTACAAAACCATATTATTTAAGGCACATTTAGATAGCATAGAGATTAAAATCATTGTCGTCAACCACCAATATTTTTGAACAGTTACAAGATTGAATTTAATTGAATTGCTTGATCACTATTTTTCCATCTTGTTACAAATTTGTGATGGAATTCTAGCTAGAGATGCCTTGTTTTAATATATTGTTGTTTTACAAGTTGCTGTTAATTATTGTACTTTCTAATAATTTATTTGTGAATGTTTAATTATTTTTATCAAACTAAACTGCTTTTTAATTATTAATAGATTAGGCTTTATTCAACAATGAAACAACTTTTGGCGTTTTAACTGAAGAACTGTTTTTGCTTTCTAATTAGTCTTGAGAGTATTTCGTTTCGTCATTCACAGTATCAAAACTTCTTCTATGACTTAAACTAATTGATGTTTCATCACCTATGAAAAGAAAATCTCTAAAATATTTTTTTGTTGTGTTTTTAGGTATATCGCTTGCGAACATAAAAACCAAATCACTTTGTTGATCTTCTAAAATCTAACAAGATTCAATAATCTAAAGTTTTTATTCGCTTTTATATAGATAAGGACATGAAAACTAATCTTGCTAATAATATTATTGTTCTTAAATTTAGTTTTGCTGATTTATATGTTGCATTTATTCAAAGCAGTCAACAATAGAATTCTTTTTTTTTGTATACTTCGTTGATGAATTTTGTTTTGTTTTTGTTTTTATTTCTTAATTTGATTTTATGCTCTGACCAATTGAGAAACTACGAGTTGGTATTTGTTTAAGATTGTCACTTTTCGGTCTGTACGTTATTACAAAGGTGTTTGTTTTGTGAGATAGGGTCTAAACGTCTTGATTATCAATTTATGAAGGACTTGGATTATCAAAGTCGGATTTATTGTTTAATAATTCTGAAGGTATCTTAGTCTTTTGCTTTTTATTTCTTAAATAAGTAGACTATACATCAAGTCTGTTGAGAGTTTCCCATCTAACAAGTTTAAGGTTGAATACATCTTTTAGCTTATACTAGCATCCCTTTTTATTTTTAGCTCTGTTTATGACATAGAAAGTAAATGTAGATCCTTCTTTTACTTTTGATTAGATTTGTATGGAGCGATTTCCACCTAGCCCAAGAGCTAAATTGTTTGCTATGCTCATTCCAAAGCCTGCTCCAATCGTGTTCAAAAATTTACCTGTTGACTTGTTTCCAAAGGCTTAAAGGACTTTCTCTAAATTATCTTCTGGAATTCCACAACCTGTATCACTTACATCTATTCTTATTAAGTCAAAATTTTCTACTACTGAATTGACTCTGATAGTGCCAGCATCTGTGAATTTCAAAGAATTGCTCAACAAATTCAATAAAACTTATTTTAAGCGACCTTAATCTGAGTAAATCAATTCTGGCAGATTAACATCAAACTCAACTTCGATTGTCAATCCTTTTTGATTCGCTTAAAAGTAAATGAGATCTATGCATTCAGTAATAGCATCAACAATTGAAAATGGTTGAAATTAAAGCTCTAATTTTCCTTAATTGATCTAGCCATAATCTAGAATGTCATTTATAATATTTAACAATAAAAGGTTAGAGTTTAATGCAGGCTTTATTATCATTTCTTTTATCTCCCCATCCAAAGGGGTCATATTTTAATATTCCTAATCTCTTTATAGGAGTGATTAAAGCAGCTAAATACTACAATTTAGAGGTGTTCTTAACTCATGTGAGACTGATGCTAGCATACGATTCTTGTATTCATTTATTTCATGGTCTTCTATCGTTTTTGATAGTTCATAGTCTTCTAGTACCTCAATCATAACAACTCCATTTGTAAACAACTCGCTTGGGTCATAACCCTTTTTAGAAGCATAAAAACCGACTCTTATTTTCTTATAGCTTGATTTATCCCATTTCTGTTTGAAACTTAACACCAAATTGTTATTCTCAATTAAATAAATAATATTCTATGACTATTCTTATTAAGCTTCAATAATTTAATCTTATTGCATTTAATTTGTTTTCTTCTTTTCATTGAGATCATCACTACTCCAACAATTTTATTTATCTTGTTTTTCCTAGCATTCAAATAGATATTCTAAAACATCTTGTAATACTAATTATTATCGTTTAAAAATTTATAAAATGTTAGGTGGGATTAGCAACTGATGCATATTTTTAAGAGCCATTTTTAAGTTTTTCCTATACCTTTTTTCATCATTACATTTTGATTCATTGCAGAAATATGTTATTTCATTCTATTTGAATGAAAATTCTTATTTTTCTTCTTGTTTCTCCCCATTTTTGAGATCTTGGTTAAGGAGTTAATCACACTTTTAAAATTTTACTCTTTATTATTTATTTGGTATCAGCTTTTCTGACTAAGAAAATTGCTTTAATTATGTTTTATTTTCTATAAATGATAGCTATTGTTAAGTTAATTTATTCTTTGTTTAATTGTTATTTTTTTTATTGTTTTGATTGGGATAAAGCCTCGATTAAATTTCTGTAATATTGTTTAGTGTTTCAATTTAGTTAAATCTTTTTTCTGCAATTGAACTATGGCTATCTAATCCTTAGTTTTGTTGGTGATTTGAGTTTCGATTATGTGAACTATTTGTATTGACATTAGTTTTAAAACTGCTAAGTGTTTATTTTTATAATAATTATTCTTGATTATTGTGATTATTTTCGTTGTTATTTAAATGCGTTTTACTCCATGTTTCAGAAACATCACAGCAATCCTCTTGACTAGTTTAATTCTATATTATTTCTACTCCAAGTAATTTCTATAGTAGAATAGATTAATTTGATGTATTCATTTACTGCTTTAAATACCTATTTGTGTAAACTAATTGAAATTGCGAATTAATAAGAGCTATGCCTGTTCGTATTTGGGAAAGAATAATTTAAGCAAACTGCTTTTCTTCATAACTTTTTGCTGAGAGCTATTTACTTTTAGTATGGTATATAGAATTATTCAAACTATGAGTTTGCTTCTTGCGCATGTTAAAGTTCTAAGAGTAATCCATGTCATAAATATTTGAGGGATTGACTAATCCGTGTGATAAATTATGGATTTAACCTGATACTTGTTTTAATTTTACTTAATCCGAATTTGGGGGTTGCTCAAATGATTTCAGTTGACTGCACTCCTCATCCTTTTTTTAACTTTGAGCATCCTACTTGTGGGAGAATATCTCATTTCTTATAGATATAGAAGCTATTGCAAAAGAAGAACATAAACTGTATAAAGATTCTACTAAGAAATTTGATAGTATTAGAACTCTAGCTATAATATATAAGGCTATAAAAAAGTAAAGCAAAATAATATAGTGTAATTCTTTGATCTATTTAATGTATAACATCAAAAGTATTTAAAACACACAAAAAAAGCAGTAATTATTTTTATTTTATGCTATTTAAAAGCTGTATTCCAGGTAGAAAAGAAGCTGACATAATTTGAGAGCTTCCTTAAAAAATTTGTTTTTGTTTGATTCTTTTAAAAAATACGAAAACGCAATCATGGTCACTAATAATACAACGAGAATTAAATCTTTTAAAATGTCTACTTTTTTTTGTTCTACTATTGTTATAATCATCGACACTATCTCATAAAATCCGCTAAAAAGGCAAATTATAAAGTAATAGTGAGTTTTAAAAATTATTTTTAGTTATTTACGAATCCTTATTGCTAATTTACATTGGAATCCTTATTAATCTTTCTAGTTTTTTCGCATTATTTTTAATTAGGCTTAAGCTTTTTTAATTTGTTAAAAACTAATTAATTTAATATATTTCAATTCAGTAGTCAATCACTTGATTGATTATTTGTTATTTTGCAAAAAACAATCATCTCAAAATTTACTTAGACCATTTTAAGCAAGCAAGCAAGCAAGCAAGCTAATTGATTTTCTTAATTAAATCAAACAAAAAAAAAACAAATTTAATTATCCCATTCATTTTTCATTCTAATAAATTTTTGATATCAAAATTAATCTTAAGATTTATTTTTACAAATATAAGCAGCATTAGAGTTACTCTTAAACTAATGCATATAAAAATTAGTATATATATATAGATGGCTTTAAACATTTTTGTTATCAAATTTATTAGTTTTAAATGCTAGCTACTTACATACTTATTAAAAAAATTTCTTCATTTTTATTCTAAAATTATAATTTAAATATACAATTTTTAAAAAAAAATATCAATAAAAATTCTATTTTAATCTAAAACAAGTTAGAAAAATTGTAAATAATTAAATCTTATTTCTTGTTATATTTTGAATAGTTCTAGATAAAAAATTAACATTTTAGAGGGTAAAAAGAATGCTATAATCTTATTAGCAAAAATAAGTTAAAATATTAATTTCTCTTTCTTCAAGCTAAAGATAAAAATTTTGTTTTAAATAACAATTAAACTTTAAAATAAAATAAATATTATTAAATAAATGAAGAAAACAATTAAATTTATTTACTAAAAATAGAAGTATAGAAAGATTTTAATAAGTTTATTTATTAGCTAAGTTACTAAAATCTAATTATAAACACTTTTATCAGCTGTCGAAACTTACTTATATAATTTTATAATAGTAATAAAAATAATTATGCTCTTATTTATGTTTTTTAATAAGATAATTTATTCTCAAATTATAAAATTATCATTTCTATTATTATTAATTTCAATTTTTTAAATCATATTTTACAATTTATTTGAATTTAATGGGTTATCAACTTTAATTTATTTCTGAATAGTTATTTTACTTATTTTTAATATTAATTTTTTAAACAAATTTAAAAATAAATAGATATTGAATATAAATCTTTGGATGAGTTTAATATATTTTACTCTGCCCCCAAAAAACATAAAGGAATTATTATTAATAATAATTATACAACAATTAAGAATTAAAGAAGAAAAGTAAATGATCTAAATTCTGAAAATCTGCAAGAGTAATTATTTCATATTTTATTCGAATCACATTTAATTATAATAAAATTTTTATTAAGAATTTTGAGAATAAAATGCCTAATAGCTGAGTAATAATTTTCTGTTTCTAAAGCCAAATAACATTTTTAAATTATGTCAAAATATAAAGAAATTAAAATTAAAATAAGAATATTTATAAATTTATCAATGAAAATATTAGAATTTGTATTAATTTCCTTCCTTATTTTTATTTGTAATTTAATACTTTATTATGCGATATACTTATAATCAATCTATATTTTTAAAGTTTATAAGTTTTTTTATAAACAATATATAAAAAAATAGTGTTTAACAGTGAATTTTTTAACTTATTCTTAAATAAAATTAGAATAATTTATTTTAATTTAATTTTTTAATGATTAATCATAAATATCTCAAAAAAATTGATGTATCAGATTATAAATAAATTAAAATAAAATTTAATTGTATTAATAAATACTAAGTGCTATTACGATATTTCCTAAAATGTCAAATATCAAAAATAGACAAAATAAAAAGAAGCAAATTTTTAAAAACATAAAAAGTCATCAATATCTTTTCAATATTTAACTTAAAAGGAATAATAAAAATAAGAATCTGATTAAAAATAAGTTGAATAAAAGAAAATTTAAAGAAGTAGAAAGGTTTAAGTGGAAATAGATGAGTTTTAAAGAAAATATGAAATAAAACCCAACAAATTTTTACATTACTAGATACAAATTAAGAAATCTCAAATGAGTAAAAAGAGTAGAGAAGGTATATATTTGATATTAAATCATATACAAGATAACCTTAATTATAGCAGAAATTATTAAATATCAATTAATCCTGCACAAATAAGTAGTAGATAAGATAATGTACTAAAAAATAAAGATTTTACTCTAAAAATGTGATAAAAATGCACATTTCAGAACTATTTTAAAAAATAAGCTTAAAGTTTATGTTTTGAGATTATAAAAAAGGAAATAAATAAAGTTAAAATTTCTGTGAAGCATGAGTTGTGTTTCTAAATGAATGAAAAAACTGGGTAGTAGTTTTAAAATAAAGTAGAATATCTAAGAATAATTCAAGATTTATTTGTATTATATCAAGTTTAAAACATAATAGCTTTATAAAACTGACTAAATAATTATTAATATTTAATAAATAAGAAGGCTTTCATACTGATATGATTTATTTATAATAACAAGACTTAATTTGGATGTATATTTAAATCAATTTAAAAGTACTTTTTTAAGTTGATTGTTTTTTTAGAAAATAAAAATTATTTTTAAAATTGGTATTTTATTTAATATTTATTTTTGAGATTATTTTGAAAAATTAAAGTTTTCAATTTTGATCGTCCTAAAAATATTAAGTATTACTTGGTTAGTCTTATATTAAAGAAATTAAAGTAATTCTGATATTTCCTAAAATAATAAAATTCAAATTACGCAGAACTTTTTTTTTTTTATAAATAATATTTATATGAAATTTTGCTAGTACCTAATAATAGATATATAGATTAAGAGATTGATTAACCACAAAAATTAAGATAAATCTATTTCTAACTCATAATAAAAAATAGATCTATTAATTTTGCATGATTGTAAATCGAAATGTGTAAATAAAATTTATGTTTGGTTGTTTGCTAGTTAAAATTAATGAGAGTCTTTTTGAAAAAGAAAAAGAAATAAAAAATTATTAATTAATTAAATAGCGCTTAGATTTTTTATCTATTCCGCTATTATGAATGATATTAATTGCGGATAAAATAGATTAAGAAATGTGTTTGATTGGATGAAATAAATAAATTACAAAAAGAAATATTTAATTTTGTTTGGCTCAACTTAACTTTGAAATGTGGATTTAATGATTGGGTTGTTAAATTATTTACTAAAACCTTAATGTGATGAAAAAATAATCAGATACTAGAAAGTATAAATTAATAATTAATTAATTAAGGTTATTAGGCATATTATTACCTTTATATTACATTCATAAATAAGTATACTAAAGTAAATAAAATAGAGTGGCAGCTAATAAATCAACTTATGGTTAATTGATTGATTTTATGTCTGTTTAAATTTATGTTTTTATTTTTTAATGGCACGGTTTTAGAGTTCAAAAGAAAAGATAAGAAATAAAGTTGGAAATAAATATATTTATGAAATACAAAACACTATTGCATCAGAAAATTAGTGGTAAAATTTTGTTGCTTTAGAAATCTTAAAATTAGTATGTAAGACCAGATTATATTGGATTTATTATATGTAAGGTAATGCCAATCCATAGTTCAAATGTATTATTGTGGTTTAACTATAACAAGTATTTGCACAAATCTAAATTATAAAAGAAGAAATAAGCACCCAATAGATAATATTTATAATTAAAAAATAAATTAAACTAAAAAGGAAAAACAAATCAAAAGACAAATAAGAAATACTTCTAATTTATCTTTCTCAAAAATACTAACCAACTAAATAAATAAAACAGAAAAGTTAAGAACTAAACAAGTCTTTCATTTCCTTCACTTTCCACTCTACTAATAGCTTCATTTTAATCATCAAAAAGCCTATTTATATTCTATAAAACATCAAAATCTTCACATAAAATGTCAGTAAATATTGTTGAGATTGTTCCCTAACGTCTTTATTGGTACTCTGCTGCCAACCCACCTGAGTACGAGCCCAGCACCTATTATTTTTCAACTGATAATGTAAATAAACAAAAGCTTAATACATACAATTTATTTATAATATTTTATAAATATTAATTTTAAAAGTACTTATTTATATATGTATACTCATTTCAATATTTATAAATAAAGGATTTGGTTTATGAGAGAGTTAGCGAGTACGGCCCTCTAAATCTTTCTCAAATTTACTCTTTCTGTTCTTAGCTTGATGAAATTTTTACAGATCCAAAATATTAGACTACAACTTTGATTCATTATACTTCTTTGAATTAAGTTAAATAGACTAACTCTGTTCTTCTAATTTGCGCATATTAAGTTTTATGTTTGAGATACAGCCCTGAAAAGGCTCTGTAACAATTTGAAAAGATTATCCCAGAATTAAAGCCCTATCATGATTCCCTAAATTATCCTTACTAATGCACAGTAATTTAAAAATAAACATATACTTTAAATCACCATAGTTTATATTTTTCATATATAAATTTTATTTATAATTTTTAAATAACCAATTTATCTATTCCGTAAAATAAAATAAATGTAATTAATAAAAAATCAAGCTACTTGATTGTATGAGATCCCTCCAAAAGGCTTAACAGTTGGGATGGTTTGATTTGAAGACTTTTGATCTTGAGAGATACTACGAGCTTATGAAATACGACATTTCTGAGATAATACCTAAAAAATTCTTCGCATTCAGAGGTCCAAGAGATGAAACTGATGTAATCATTTAGAACCTATCTATAAAACGATTTTATTACATAAGGCAATTCTATAGATATACAAAAATTTTCAATTAATGATAATGACAAATTTTTAATCTAAAAATTTTAAAAACAAATTTTTTTGTCTTAATGAATAATTTAAAATTGAATTTGATTGAATGAGAGAAAAAAGATAATGAAACCAAATAAATTAATTATTGTCCAAATATTTCTGCTTAGACTTTACTTTGATTTAATAAGTAAGGCATGGGTACTTGAATCATACAAATTAAATTCTACTAGATTAGACAATAAATTATTAAATTGTGATATTTATCATTTAATTAATTTTAGGAAAGCCTATATTCATAAAAGCAATATTTATTTATTTATGACGATAATCTGCAAAATTAAATTTTTGATAATTTATCACACAATCCCAAAAAGATTCATTTTCACTCTTAACATCAAATCAACCAATTTTAAATTAAAAATAACTCTTTAATTTTTTACGCTTGAAAATATTCATTCTCATCATCCTAAATAGTTTTTAAATTGATAACTAGCTCTATTTGGCTTACAAAATAATTCAAATTAGCTAAGAATCTAAATTTTATTACTCGAACATATGAAAGTTTAAAAAAAACATAAGAATTGCATGAATATGACTCTTTAATTTGATTGGCTGGATTTTTGAATGAATTGGATGGATGGATGGTTTATTAATAATTTAATAGATTGATTAATTAGCATATTTGATTTAAATATAACTAATTACTTTCTGTTTATTAGATGACCATAAATCATTCAAAAGAAATTAATCTTTTTCATGGTAGAATTTAATATAAAAATCCTTTGAATGAATATTTTATAATCGAGGATTACTCTACTGCAAAATTTTATTTCTAAAAGCCAATTTTTTATCAAATTATTATTGAGTTTTAAAATATATTAGATTTTAACATTTATATATAATAAATAAATAGGATTTAACTCTTCCTCCTTCTGCTTACATAGAGCCCTTTAAAAAAGAAGGTGTGTAGCTCGTTGTTAGATTGAATAACTCAGACTCATATAACCCCCAACCCTTCGTTGATAATAAGATAAATCATATAGATTTATTCTTTGAGGATGGTTCAATACCACCAAGAAATATAGCTAATTAGTTTTTTGCCTTATCAGAAAGAGCTCTTGAGGAGAAGAGTAACTGCCCAATCGCTGTTCATTGCAGAGCTGGTCTTGGTAGAACTGGCACATTAATAGCTCTATATTGTATTAAACATTATAAATTCACTGCTGAAGAAATCATAGCCTACACCCGCATGGCTCGTCCTGGTTCAATCCATGGTCCACAAATGATGTACTTACAAAGTTATGACAAATCTATTTAAATGCAGCGCTCTTATTCAAATAACATCCGCATCTCCAAAGTAATTTCATACTAAAACGCTAAAAAAATAGTTGAAAAAAGACTTTCTATGGTAATTTATTTGTATTTCATTTTTTTGAAAGGCTATTTTAGTTTTGTAATTTTTATCGAGTATTACTGAAATAAGAAATAATTTCAAAAAAAAGTATAAAACAAAATTATTCACAAAATAAAAACGTAGTAATTATTACTTACTTATTATTGAAAGCACAAACTAGAGTTTAGATATTATAAAAAAACTCAATAATTTTGAGAATGAATAATGAATAAAAATTCTGAGGGAAAAATCAATTTAGAAATATTTAGATTTGAAATTTTAAAATGAAAAAAAACAACTAATTTTATATAGAAAATTAAAGTTTTTTCGCATTCAAAATCAATATTTTTTCAAAGAATTTTTAAGTTAATGCTTCCAGATTAATTATTTGATTGATTGATTGATTTAATGAATGAATAAAAAATGTAAATTAAGAATCATAAATCTAATTTATATTTTAAATAAATATTTAATTATTTTATCAAACATAGCTGCAAAAAATGATAAATTAAATTTTTAATTGACAGATGATTGTCTTTTGTCGAAAATTGTTTATTTTTAAACTTGAGAGTATAATAAAAGTATTTTTTTATTTGTGTAAAGACTAACTTTAAGCCAAATTATTTGATGATTGATATTTTAGTCAATTAACACTTCTTTTACTATTATTAAAAGGATTAAGAAGGTTTTAAAAATATCCCTTTAATTACAAATCTCTCTATGAGCAATTCATTCAAAACACCCTTGAGAGGATCTTTAGCAACAAAAACAACAGCTGGTACGCCTGTGTCTCGTGGCTCTAACAGCTCTCTCTCTCCTTCTAAAACACCTGTAAATAATGAAAACCTCCGAAAAACAGTATAAGTTTCTTCAAAATAGAATGAAATTAGTTAAGCTGCTGGTGTTTAAGCAAATCCAAGCTAAAATATTTACTCTTCCATATATACATAGTTCTAAAATACTGCCAGCGCTAAAAATCTTTTGTAATCAAGAAATCTCCTCAGGTCCAATTCTATTTCTAAAAAAGCTCTCTCTCCAAAAAAAGTAATTAAATTACTAAAATCATTCAAACCAAATGTTTACCATTTATTTTAAATAAATTAGAAAGTTACTTTCCTAAACAATTTTTCTGCGGCCATTAAAAGATACGAGCCTACTCCAATCAAGGTTTGAAAAAACCAATAAATAATATATCCAAAATCTTGTTAAAAATTAATAACTTAAGTGCTTTACCTGTGTTACAAAACACAAACACAAATAAACAAAAACCACGAATCCAAAAGATAATCTAGAGATAATTAAATATCTGAAATAATAAAACCACCATCATCTTCTTTGTCTTCCACTCTTTTTCAAATCTCCTATTCATCTATATATCTATCTGTCTCATTCATTTACCAATCAACTAATCAATTATAAATAAATTAAATAATTTACTATTTGTTCGTTCATACTCACTATCACTAATTTATATAAGTATTAACCTTTTTATATATAAAAATGGTTTTTTTAACATTTATTTTTTTTTATAATACACCAAAAACCTAAATTAATAATTTTCATTAAATACCATTTAATATTGTAGCAAAAAAGACCACATAAATTTATTAGCACCATAAATAAAATTTTTAATTTAAATTTAGATTACAGTCTTTCTCTCAAAATTAGTAAAAGTATATAGTATCAAAATAGATCAAAAACATGTAACCAAATTTGTTTTTAAATACCAAATAATTTATTTCGCTTATGTCAAATAACAAAATAAATTGAGGTGTAACTACTTTCTTTCTTTATGCTTTTGATGGACTTTCTTTCTTTCGTTTATTTTCACATAATGAAAATAATTTAAACAAAATCATAAAATTAATTCTAAAAATTTATTATTTTTTTTTTAAAGATTAAAAATTTTTTTAGTCTTCCATGTTCTAATTCAAATCGATACTTTAAATATATTTAAATTAAATCTAAAATTATTATAAAACTAGTATGCAATATTCTATCTGATGTTCTATTATTGTATTGATAATATAAAACTATTATTTTAAATATTTTTATGAATTAAACAAAGATTAATAACAAAAATTAAATATAATAACTTAAAATCTACTTTTTAATTCTAGTTAAAATCTATAAAAATATGGAAATAACATATAAAATTAAATTTTAAAATAAATTTAAACAATTATATTAATTGCTAGATATATTATTTAATTCTTTAAATTTATGATTCGTAAATAATTTTTATGGCTAAAAAATAAATTATTCTTTGACTGAAAACTAATAGCTTATGCTCATAATAATAGTGCATTCCTTTTTTTAAATTGGCAAACATATATTTTTGTTAAGATCAAATTTAAGAGAAATGAAAATTAATAAGCTTGCTTGGTTGCAAATAGAAATAAATAAAAAAGAGAAAAAATACATAAAATTTTAAAAAATAAAGCATCATAATTACCATTAAAAAATTTGTAAATAAGAAACAAAAGTGGTTTTAAATTCATGAATTGACAAATTAGTTGGTTATAAAGTTTTGTAAAATCTTCAGAAGGTTAATTTTTTAAAGAGTAAACTCTAAATTGATAATAAGAAGATAAATTAATAATACATAATTTATTTATTTATTTTACTCAAATTAAAAAAAAGATTTTGCCTCTTATTTATTATAACCTTACAGATTAATAATTATGACTTATTTATCAAATAATTATTTAATTTACATTATTCATTAAGAATATGTTTACTCAATCAGATTAATTTTTTAATGCATTTTAAAACAAAACTTATTTAAATACATTTAATTAATTTTTATTATTTTATTAAAATAATTATTTATTTATTAATGGATATAAATTATTCTGTTTGTTTGTTAATTTTAAATTTTGAAACAATAACCCAAGGGTTTATCAGTTGTTCAATGAATCAAAGCATGCATCGCAAACTCCATACTCGTTAGTGGCAGGATTTTCACCACAGTCAAAACATGTTAATGGTGCATTTTCAGATATACACCTGTATATTAAAACTGACTAACTTTGAAAAGCATTATTTTCTGTAGAATTAATTTCTTTTTTACTAGGAATTTCTTCTAAGCATTCATTTGACTTTAACTTTTTTTTAAGGCTATTGCCTAAATCTATTTCTTCCTGATCTAAAGAATCGCTAAATTAAACCTTTCTCTTTTTATTTAAATCCTTATTATTATCTTCTTGTTTTTAAATAGTAGCTTGTTTAGCTTCTTCTTTTTCTACTTCTATCTTTTCTTCAATGGCTGAAAGAATATTTTTTTTTTTAAGCTATTCTTCTTTGTTTATTTGCTATTACTGCTTCATTTATTGGATATTTTAGAATATGATTTCACTTTTAACAGGTACTATTTTTTCTGAGTTTTACTCCTTTATTTTCTCAAAGTTGTCAAGGTCTATTTGATAAATTAATCATGTAAAATATGTAAAAATAAAATTATTAAATAATATCCTACCTTCTGTGAATTATTTCAACTTTTGGTCAATATAATTCGAACAAGATCCTAACTTCCTAGACAAGCTATCTTTGAATTAATAGAAACTTTTTTTAATAATTATTTTATCCTTAATCTCATTTTCCTTATCCTCAATATCCTTAAGATTGCTAAGTGAAGAGTTAAAATCTTCAATAATTCTTACATAATCTTCTATCAAATCATTAAAAAACTTTAGCTTTTGTTTATCTGAAATAAAATATCCCTTAGCATAAAAAAATGGCAAATATTTTCTTCCTCCTAATTTTATAAATTAAATTGCTTATAAAATCAAATAAAATTTATTGAAAATTAAATTTCAAAATTTGTGGTAAAATAATTTTTGTATTTTAATTTCCAAAAACAATTTTACTCAGTATTTATTGGCAAAATTTATTGACTATATCGAGTTCAAGAGTCTTTTAGTTCGAAAGTAAAAGTCTTCTATTAACATCATTGAGATAATTCATTATTTCGTCAATCTCTTTTTTCATTACCTAAATATTACTTAGGTGATGAGAGTATTAGCCTTGATGGAATTTAAAATGACTTAATTCTATTTTTTCTCTTTGCAACTCATTTAGCTTTTCCTAATCAAACTTACTGCAATTATAATAATCATTATGTCCTTTCCAATCACCTAAGCATATCCAGCAAAAATGATGCTGGCATTGCTTACAAGTCATATGCATACAGCTGTTATTTATTTTAATAAAATTATTTAATTGAAATAAAAACCATAAATAAACAAATATTTTTTCTTATGTTAGAAATTCAATTTACCCTTGATTTTTTTCAATAAAAATCTTGCATTTAGGACATGGCTTTGTATTCATGATAAACCATTCATCATTTAGATTAGCAGAAGCACCTTGACTTTCTATCTTTGATAGCCACTTTCTAAAATCTCCACAACAGCAAGGATAGTGACCTATCTCTTTACACTAAAATAAAGAAAATAAATAAATGAAATTAAAGCATTTTATAGTTTATTTTACTTAGTTGCAGTATTCATGATTGCATAAACAAGTTATGTTTTATTAATTCACTTTTATCATTCGATCTTTGACGCTCATTTAAACATAAGGACAATTTGGTTGTGGACATGATAGTATCTTTTGAATTAAAATTCAATATATATTATATACTTTATACACAAATTGAAAAAATAGCACTCGAAGCAAATGAAATAAAAGCTTTAAATGTTGTTCAGATCAGATAGTTAAAAAATTTTTAATGAAAAATATTATTTATTACTGTCTCTGATTGACCAAATGCATCTTTTATAAGGAACCTTTTGTATAAATTGTATTTTTCTTCTGATAGAAATTATTTGAAATCTTCCATCCCGAGTCTCTCTAAGCATCCATCTAATGGACATGTCTTAAATATGCAAAACTGTCCTTCCTTAAACACCTCTTAAATGTACTGGGAAAAACAATCTTTGCAAAAGTAATGCTAGCATGCCAAGCTATATCTGTTGTCTTCTTCTAAGCTATCAAAGCATAACAAGCATTCCTTAAAGTATTAAAAATTAAATTTTTACATTTATTATCATTCGAATGTATGAGTATTTCATAAAAGAAAATCTATTCAAAAGTTAGCAATTTAAATCTCATTTTTTACATTTTTATTTGCTAAGTCTTTGATGTTCTAAGGTATTTTAGGGTATATTAAATCGGTAAGTTTCTCATCTGTTGAAATTTGCAGTTTTTTATGATCATAACTATTCCTACTTAACAATAAGAGAGCTCTTCCAAAAGGAATGGAATACTCTTTCATAGTTTCTTTAATCAAATCTTCAAAATATTTTTCTATATATTCATATGTTTTATGCACCACAACTATATCTTTCTAATTATTTTCTATGATTTATAAGTATTTTAAATAAATTAATATTCTTAATATTATGCTCTTCTTTAAGAATGCAGTAATATGTTATTAATCATTATTAATAAATTATTTAATAAGCTTAATTACCTGAAATATCTATGTCTGCTTCATAATCTTCTTCGTCGTCAGCTTCTGAATCTTAGCTTAGATTAAATAAATGTTCTTTGCTATTGCTTTCTAAGATCATTTCATATTTATTTTCTTCTTAACTCATTTTACTATTTTTATTACTAATAATTTTTTTTACTGCTATTTTATGTCTAAAGATTTTTTAATTTATAAATAATACTAATTAATTGATAACCTTTATTTATAATATTAATATTCAAATTAATACAAAGTTAAATAGATAATAACAATTATTTATTTATTGCCTTTATTTTTCGTTTAACTGGATCCAAAAAATATTTTTTGTTTTCATCAGATTTTGTTCATAATTAATACCTAATTAATTATAAAAAACATCAAAAGCCCGCAAAAATATATAAAATGCTTCATTTTAATTTACTAAAATGAAAAATGTTTTCTACTTTCATAATTTATGAATTTTTCAATACTGAATTTAAAATTTTTTAATTTAAAAGAAAAAAGAAATTATTAACATTTATTTAACATATTAAATAGATTTTATTTGATAAATCTTTGAAAAAAATTTATAAAAGATATCTATCATTTAAAGCATTGGCAAGTATTTAACTAAATTTCAAAAGTAATTCAAGATTTTCCTTTATAAAAAAATTACTTATTGAAGAAATACTGAATATTCAATTCAAAATAAATTCTATTATTAACTCAGAGTTTTTTTAAATTTGCACTTTTTTTAGCAAAAATTATTTTGAAAAAATGAATCTATCTTGTTTAATTTACCTTTTATCAGTAAATGATTAAAGAGATAAAAATTTAAGATTCTCCATTTTTATTAATTTTTGATAAAATTATATCATTTCTATTAATTATTAACTTATGGTATATGAGAGTTTGACTTTCAATTTAAAAATTTTTGTTTTTCATTCTAGTACACATAATATGGTTTTTTAAAAAAAATTTATTTATTATTGATTATTAATAGATTTATTTAAGCTGATTTAATGTTAAATATAAAATTGTTATTTATTTTCTTAATATGTACTAGGATTATCAATATAAAAAAATACTTTGATTAAATTTAATTTTTTTTATTAAAAATTAAATCATATAAAATTCAATTAAAAAAAATAAGTTAATTTTATCAAAAAAAAAAATTAATCAAGTCATAACTCCATCTATAGCTCTTTCTCTTTTTATTATTAAAAATTATTGAATATCTTATTAAATATACCTATTCTAAAATAAATATATTGCTTTCAATTTATACATATGATAACAAATTGATACAAGTTTAATTTAACTTTTTCTGATCATTATTATAATTGATGTTAATTAATAGTTTACTTTATCTCATTTTATACAATAAAAATATTTATAAAAGAAAAGTAAAAAACTTTAAAAAAAACATGATTGAATAAAATTTAAAACATTTTATTTGAATTTTTGAATTTGAATAAAATTTTGAGAAAATTTATTGAATTTAAATGAGCTTAATTACAATTAAAATAATTAGAATTAGCATAAAATTTATAAAATTTCATTGTAAATAAATGTTAATGAAGTAAACCCATGGTCTTATATAAGTTGTGTGAGATTCATTCAGTGATAATATTTTGCTTTGTCTATCAAAATTAAAGGTAAATACTGAACTATGGGCAAAGAAGCATTGAAAAAATAAATTATAAAAAATAATAGAAAATTGAATGGATATTAAACAAAGATATCAGACAAATAGAACCATAATATGTTTATATGGATATTTTTTTTATCAAATATCTATCTAAATTAATTATCAATAATTATTTCAATATATTTTGAGGAGTAATTTTTAGCCTAATATTAATAATTAATAATTAAATAGTAAATAAACAAAATTATTATTCAGCAAATAAATTTTAAAACTTTCAAAATTTACTCACGAAAAAGCTCTAGACTATATTTAAAATTTTAAACATAAAAAGGATTTTCAATAAGCATTATTTTATTTGAATTTAATGAATACCTCTCATAAATACTCAAAAGCTTATGTAAGTGCTCTTAGAAGAATGAATCGCCCATCTAGTTCAGATTAAGCTTCTAGGAATGCTTCAATCCCAAATTAATAAGATGCTGAACCAGTTAAAACTCAGTAATATGCATAAGAATAAACAATTAAAAACTTTATTGATTCTCAAGAGCATGAACTCATGTCTACAGGGTACAATATGAATGGTTCCAGAGTGTATCTTGCCAGCTCTCATAACTTTAAATAAGATCCTGAAAAATATAAGTCATTTAATCAAAGGTAAATTTAATTATTTTTTTATAAGTTTAAAGAACTTGGATTAGCTTTAAAAAGAATAAAAGAGAATGCAGATTTATTTAATAATATCTTTTGAATTGTTTATGTTTTAAATAAATAAATTATTCATTTTTAGCCAAATAAAACATTTTTATAGTTTTTAGAAGTTTTTTGTTTAATTTCTACTTGGCTCCTAAAATAATAACAAGAGATATCAATAGAATTAAAGTGAAAGAAAAATAAATTTTTGCATTCTAATTTACAAGTTAATAAAATAATATATTTATTATTGAATTTTGTTAAATTTTAATAAATTCTATTATTCCATGACCAACATAAATAAAAAATATGTTAAAACAATAAAAAAATTAATAATTAAATGAATTTGATTATTATTTGCAATATATTATACAAATTTAGACTAGAAAAACTTTTAAAACCATAAAAAAATGAACATTTAATTGAAATTTGTTTTCCTTTTAAGTTTTAATTATTGATATCTTTTATTAAAATTAAATATTGTAATAAATAATTAGCTAAAGACCGTCAAGTGTAAGTAGAGTGAGCTATAATCGATGCAATACAGATGGAGTAGACCCACTTGAAGCAAATAAAGGATTTTACTGTGTTAATTATAGGAGCAGAACAAGATTTACTAATATTGGAAGCTCAAGAAAGAGAGCACTTAGTAGTGCTAATGTAGCTTAATCAACAAATATTGAATAAAATAAAAGCTAAGAAAGAATGAGTCAGACAAATACAAGCTTTTCTCCAATGAAATAAAGTGGATATTATTCTACTATGCCTCACCCTATGAGTAGATCTATGAATGAAAGCAGACTTCTAAATGAACTTAAGATGAATGGTTCTAGAATTTTCAAGTAATAAGTTGGCTAATTTAGAAGGAGACCACTTTAATAAGGCTAAAGCGAGCCTGTTTGGGATTTGAATGATGAAGAAATGAATTAGAGACTTAAAGAATTAAGCTAACCAAAGTAAATTCTTATGAGGAACTTCCCAGTGTGTATTGTTGGAGGAAATAAAATAATGAATCTTTAAGATCCTAAATCAAAAGAGTTTATATAAAGATTAAGTGAACCAAAAAAATATATCCCTTGGCCTTAATCTAGTTAAACTGATAAAATATTTAAATGCAATGATACCAATTAGCTTGAATATTTAAATAAAATCAGTTTACCACGTAGAATGGCTGACTTCGGACATAAAAAGAATTTCAGGTATAATTTCTGTAACTGTACAAACGGTGATGACTATGCAGATGAAGGTAGAAATATGCAAGGTACCTAATCATCAAATGGATATTTCAAATTACAGTCTTTCTTCTATTAAAATTCAAAAGCATAAGATGATGGATTATTTTATCCTAAAAACTTAAACTGATTATATTTTTTAATTGTGGTCTTTCTATTATAATTTCAATTTGTGTATTTTTTTCAAATATCTAAAAAAAGAAAAAAGCTAAGCTAAATAAAAAATTAAAATATTTTTTTTCGATTTTCATATTTGTTAATAATTATAAAGGTCCCAGATAAATTCTAATAAAATTTATTATTGATAAAGACAATAATTTTTTTGTTTTTTTTCAAATAAAAAGTATTTAATGTATTTTATTTAAAATGGTGATTTTTTGTATTATTTAAACAAAAATTTATAAATTTTAATTTAATTTTATTCAAAAGTTAAAGCTTTTATCTTTAAAATTGACCTTAAATAAAAAAAATATGATAACTTTGTTTTCTATATTACTTTTTATTCGAAAAACTATTAATAGCAAATAAGTAAATTGTTTATTCAATACAAAATTGATGAGCATTTTTTGTTTACAATTAATTATTTAATATAAAGATATATTTTTATAATATTTATTAGTATAATTTAATTCTAGCTATATTTTTTAAGAAATCTGCTTTATTTTTGCAAAGCAATTCTTTCAAATAAGAGAATTAAAAAAATCAGAAGTAGCCAGGATTTTAATCACCTTCGTAATCGCTAAAATTAGAAGGATCTGCTATAGACAATCCGTTAATAGGTTTTTTGTTAACTTTAGAATGACTTGCATTCTGCTATTAATTATTCAAAGCAACTCTGCTTTAGAAAGGTACAAGCTTTTAATTATAAATATCTTCCAATTGTTTTATTTTTGGATCATTATCAAGAGTTTTAAGATTACGAGAGTTTGATTTCGCTTTGTTTTTTGAAGTAGATCTTCCTTTTGAAGATTCTGTTTAGAAGTCGTTGGTGTTAATATGATTTGCATTGATAGTTGTATGGGGAACGGAGTAGTCATAGTTATCCAAGTAGTCCTATTTCTGCTTATCAGATTAAGTCATTTTTTAAGTTGTAAAAAATGGCTGAACGGTGCTTCTACCATTTTTTTACTATTCTTACTCCAAGATTTTCGATATCTTTATTCCTTCTTCGTAATCTGAGTGAGTTTTCATTATATTATTTGCATTATTTGCAAACGTATTACTTGTTGGAGTAATTGAATAATGATTTCCATTTCTTTAGGGTGATTAAGTATTTCCGTTTCTTAAAGGAGATTAATTTGCACTATAGTTATAGTTTTATGGAGTAAGGCTGAGCTTTTTCTTTCCGCTTTTGTTGCGATTGAGGGAATTATTAGCTGATTGGCGTAAAGTTGAGGATTATTACCTTGTAGGAGATTCTGCAGGCGTAAAGAATTAGTTATAGAGTGGAGCCTTTGAGGCTGAGTTAAACTGTATTTGAGAAGAAGATGTTGAATATCCAGGATCAAGGGGAGAAGGAGCTCCATAATTCAAAGGAGAAGCATTGTTAACAGGTAGAGTCTTCATACCAGTTGAAGCCAGTAAATTATTATGGTAAGGTTTTGTGTTTTACATATTCATTAAATCTTTGCTTTCAAATCTCATATTTAAATAGTTGTAATTACTTGGGGTATCTTAAATAATATTTTCGCCTTCACTGTCAGCATCATCATTTAAGCCACTAGCATCATCAAGTATTTTTTTATCTTTAAAACCTTTTTTATTATCACTTTTTTCTCCTTCAGGATTTTATTTTTTATCTTGTAAAAGATGATCGTTGGCCTTATTGCTACTATTATTGCTATAAACATCTTTACTGTCATTAGTTTATAAGTTTTTAATTCCATTAAACTGTCTTCCTCCTTCAGTTGGGTTATAGGCACTCTCAATTTCATCTTCCAAGCCAATCAAGCCTTGACTATTTTACTTATTTTTAGCATCTTTTCCTTTGACTCCATTCTTTTTAGGTGAAGCACTAGATTTATTTTTTCCTCCTTTTGAAGGACTCTTGCTACCGTTTTACTACTTAGGACTGGGTGACATATTATTAGTTTAATTTAAATTTGGTTTACTGCTACTATTTCCGTTTTTATCATAAACTCTTATTAAATGGTGACAGTCTTTACCATTTAATATTTGTTCTCCATCTTCATTCAGCTTTTTATTCTGTTCTAGGGTTTTTTAGCTCTATTTTTGTTAAAATTAGTTTTAATTAAGTTAAATAAAAAAATTTTATTACCTTATTTAAATTATTATTTTTTGGGCTTTTATTTGAAGATTGAGCAGCTCCATTCTTATCAGGAGATTATGATGATGAAGCTTTGTTCTTGTTTGATTCTACTTTCTCGTTTTTATCTTTCAAAGATTTCTAAGATTTTTTGAGGTTTTTAGATGAATCTTTAGCTAACTTGGCTCCAGCTGCTCCAACAATATCAGTTTGTGAAGCGACTACCTTACTGTTTACATTTTCTTAAGAATTAGCTCGTTTGCTTTTATCACCATTTAATCTAGAAGATTATCCAAAGCGCTCTGTATTCGATGGGGATAGAACCCCATTTTTAGTGGCAGATTTTTGTATTGAAGACTCCTTACCATTTTTCTTTTGTCTGTTTGATTGTTCACCGTCTTCCTCTACTATAACTCCATTTTATTGTTTTTTTATTTTATGCTAAGAGTTTAGCATGGAATTATACAATGAGCTTTCATTCAAGTCTGCAGCCTCTATCTCTTAAATAGATGATTGGCCATCTATTAATTTTATTGATAAAAATTTACTTTATCTGAATAAATAAATAAAAAAATTCTTACTTTTTAGACTTTTGTTTTTTAACAGAGTATTTGTATTGTTCAGATTACTATTATTCATTCTATCATATGCTAAAGACTTTTCTAAAACATTTTTTTCTAGCTCATTTCTAACATCCATAGACATTAGAGGATCTTTTTTAGCTGTTCCATCATCAATGTAAATTCTGGATTTTTTATCTGAAGCAAGGTCATGAGTAAAATAATCATGCTCTTTAAAAACATCTCCAATAATAAAGAATAGCATAATTAATGTAAGTATAATTGCTTCTATGCTAAAATAATATAGATTATCTTGAATTAATTATGTCTCGTAGCATGCTATAGCTGATCCAGTTATGATCAGCGTACTAGAAAAAATATAGCTTAAAATTGATATAAAATTGGTAGGTTTGAATATAGCATCATTATCAACAAATCTAGCACTTAAGTATGAGCGATTTAAAAATCTTCCATATATAAAACGGAAAAACTTAAAAGAAAATATCAAAGAAAATGTTTGAATGACTACTGAACTGTGTTGATTTCCACGTGTAGACTATCTCCATGTCTAGAATCTTATATCAGTTAAGTATTTTTTTTTAGCATAAAAGAATACAATAATATTTGTAATGACATAGATGATGAATCCTAACCAAAAAACAGCTAAACCTGCTTCAATAGTTTTGTCTGCATAAGTACTATTGTAATTAAACATCAATATTCCTGTAGTGAGCCAGCTTAAAAATTCAAAAATAGATGTAAAAGCTGTTGCATTAGTAAAGAATTAACTCTATTTAACCATTATTTTTGATGCAGCTGTAATTGCAATAAATATACAAGCTCCAATTAAGTATGGGAAGTAGATTCTAGTTTCTTTTGTTTGAGGATTTTCACAAGTATTTGTCAAACTATTTTTAACAAATCCATTAGGGCAACTGGAAATACATTTTCCACTATATAAATATAAAGAGCCGCTGCAAGAAGTACAATAATCTACTGAATTCTTACAAGTCAAGCAAGAAGAATCACAGGCTTCACAGCCACTACTCGTTTGGAAAGGTTTATCCTAAGGACACTGAGTTAAGCATTAATCTAATTAAAAAAGTCATACTTATATTTCTAAAAATTAAATAAAATATTACTATTGTAAAGTACTGTATATCCTGAAGAATTATCACAAACTGTGCATTTGCTTAAAGAAGTGCAAGCTAAGCATCCTTTTGGACAACTATTGCATGATCTATTTGAATCAATTTAGTATGTACCATTAGGGCATGGAGCATTAACACATCCTCCGTTATACACATAGTATGGTGATTGACAACTAGTACAATTAGATGGTCCTCCAGAACAAGTATCGCAAGGAGCAAAACACGATTAGCATTTTCCTGCGTTTGGATAAGTAGAGTTTGGGCAAGTTTAAACGCATACACTTCCGTTCAAATAATATCTAAAATAATAAGAAATAGAATATATTTTAGTTTATAAATATTAATAAATATATACGGGCTTTGACACACAAGACAATTATTCACATCGCTTTAACATTTTGCACAATTAGCAGCACATGGTAAGCATTGATAATTTGAAGGAATAGAAACATCTTGAGGGCATTAGGATACACAGGTTCCTTTGTAAGAATAGATATTTATATTATTTTGAGCATTGTTTAAACAGGTCAAGCAGTATGTGCTCTAACCAGAGCATGTTGCGCAAGGAGAGCTGCACTATTAGCAAGTATTGTTAATTCCATAATATCCAGGAGGACAAGTTGCCACACAATTATTCCCAGACAAATAATAAATTCCAGAGCATGAAGAGCAAGTAGTTTAATTTGTCTACATTTAAATAAATAAATAAAAAAATAAGTTTATAAAAATAAAAATAAATAAAAAATGAATTTATTTGTTAAATTAAAAAAAGAATTTTTTTATTTAAATATCAATTCAAATAATAAAAATAAATTATTAGCTCTTTCATAAATAATAACTATTTATCATAAAAAAATTAAAGCATAAATGAAGTTAGAAAAAATTTTACCACACAAGTAGCACAATTATTTTAGCAAGGTTAACAAACATTATTTCCTGTAAGAGCAATATATCCAGGACCACATATGTTAGTACATTGAGTTCCCTAAAGTAAATAATTAGCTGTTAGTGAACTATCAAAGCAGGAAGTACATGTATTTGAATTTATAGGATTGCATTGAAAGCAATTAGGATCACAGTTATGATTTAGTGTTATTCCATTATTAGATTAATCGATAGGGCTTCCATTATAAGATGTTGAAACTATTAAAGAATCGCTCTAACCTGTTGGAGTATAGTTAAATCCTAAATTTGTAATTTTAATGACTATTGGTTGTGAAAAATCTCCAGCTGGACTACACTTAAATTTTTTATTTACTGAATCATTTACACAGGTAATACTTGTTGGGGAAATAACTTAACACACAGTATTTCCCATTATATTTACCTTTTCATGAAAAATTAATATGAGATGTAAATTATTTTAATTTTAAAATATAAAATATTACCTAGGATGGGAGAGTAATATCTACTGAGGTATTTGATTAAGGTAAATTACTAGGAAGTGTTTATTTTGGAGTAATATTTATTTAATAAATATTATCTGTTTTCGTCATTACGGATTAAATGTTTTTCCCAGTAGCAGTTGTTAATTAAGATGGATTAAGAGTATAATTAATAGTAGGGTTTCCTTCTATAAAATATCCTGAACTTGTATCTGATGTAAAGCTAAACGGATAGACTCCAGAAATGAGGTAATTATTTGCATTTGAAACTACAAAACTGACTGTAGAGTCAGCAGGAAATGTACCAAATGTGACTGTTGCCTTAATAGTATTAGTAGTTAATGTGCAAGATATCGAAGTAATTCCAACTCCTATTTAGCATGATGGTGATGGATTAAGAGCTATTTAAGTTGGAAAATTAATAGTGAATAGACAAGAACCAGTTTATGGGACAGCAAGAACTATCTTGAATGTGTAATTAACATTGGAAGCTCCAGTGAATTAGTTTGTCCCTGTTATTGTAACGCTTGAAGTTGTTGCTCTTTAATTCATTTGTACAGTTAATCCTGTACTCTTTTTTTAAATTGGGTTGCCTAGTGAATCCATTGTTATTATAATAAAAGATGCCGATTCTTTGGTAGATGTTGGATTTTTTATACCAACTAAAGTGAATGAAACTTGAGTATTTGCAGCAAGGGCTTAACTATTTAAAATAATCTAAAGATTAGGATATGTGCCTTGAAGTGTGGTGCCCCCTAGTATTTATTTGAAATAATAAATATTATTAAATTTTATTTGTTTGTAAAATAAAGATTTATTAAAAATGCTAAACAAATTACCTAAATTAACTGGAGTAACGAGAGAGGGGTTAGTATTATATGTTAGATCTGAAGGAAATGTTATTTAAATCATACCACTTTGTGGCACCAATATTGCTGGGGTAATATTAAATGTAATAGATGTTGTACTATATACAACATTACTACTTACACTCGCTATTTAAGCTGTTAACAGTTTAGGTTAAGCTGTGACTTAGATAGAGCTATTTTATTCAATAGGATTGTTCCCTTTTATATTAAAAAATATAATTAGATAGTATTTTTTTAATAATTATAAATATTTGTCCATTCTAATAGAGCATTTTAATTATTTAACTAAAAATATTATTTTATATTTTAAATATTTTAATCAATAAAAATATATGATTTATTTTTTATAAAGTGTAAAATGAAGAAAATTACTGTTTACTACTTACTATTAAATACTTCAAAAAATATAAATAATATATGTATTTATTTATTTATTTACCTGGAGCTGTTTTAGTAATAATAGTTATAAATGCAGATGGTGCTGTATTTGGAGGATTTTAAATTCCATTTATCTATATTTAGAAGGTATCTCCTGGAACCAATGAGCTTGTAAATATATTTGTTGACTAAATTTCTGTAGTGGATAAAGTAGAGCAGGTAAGTGAGTTGCTCTTTTAGTTTAAAAAACAACATATTAGTAATACAATTTTAATTTTAGGAAAATATTACAATTTTTGCTCCAGAAATCCATGAACATGATGGCGAAGAAAAGCTGAATGAAGAAGCAGGAAATGAGAAATACAGAATTTGTCCTGGACTATAATTTTAATTAACAGTTATTGAAAATGTATATGAAGTTATAACAGAAATAGTTGGATCAGCTATTGTTACTAATGATGCAGTTAAGCTTCCTGCAATTGTTGAATATTGAAAGGCACTTTAAATTTATTCTTATTAATAAATAGTTGAAGACAAACTTTTGTACATTATCATAAAGCTAATATTATTCTAAGTTGCATACATAGGATTTGTTATTTACAAACTAAAGCTGTATTGTGAGCCAGTAGCTAAACTGCTTGGAAAAAAATTTTAAATATCTAGTTACATTTTTCCTCCCCCAATCGAAGTACCCGAAGATGAAGTTGCTTTATTTAAAATTATGAATAAATTTTAGAAAATAAATCTTTTTATTGTAATTCATTAATAAGTCAATTTAAAAAATTTGATTTACGAGTATATGTTATTCCAATTTAAGAGTCATAGATGACTCTTAGGAAGGTTCCTGTATCAAATGGAGTATTTGTTACTCCTTAAAAAGTTAATGTTTGAACTGATCCTTAAGTCTGAACTGGTGTTGCAGGATTAGTTGTGTAAACAAACGTAACAGGAGTTGTTGGAGTCGTAGTAAAAGTACATGATTCTTTTAGCTAATAATCTCCTCCCGAAGGAATCAGTTCAGAAATCCAAAGACTTATAGTCTTTTTTTATTTAAAAAAAATTTTTTCATTATCTTCAATTTAAATATCTTAATATATACCTCAGGCATAGTGGAGAAAGGATTTCTAAATTAAGTTAATTATAATTGGTATTATTAACTATTTGGCATTACTAGTGAGTTAATATTTAAAAATTTTATTGTCTGATCAGAGACAAAAAGTGTACAAGTAAATGAAGGATTGTACAAGCCATTTTAACCCTAAAATTTATAGAAATACTTTAAATTATATTGATAAATAGTTAGATATATTATACTGCAGCAGGTATATAAGAACATGAGCTTGGAAGATTAGTTGAGTCTCCAAAATCAAAAAATACTCCCTCTTATAGATCAGGAAACCACTTTGTAAATTTAATCTGGATTTATGAATTCGCTTAAATATTATATTTTGGTTAAAAATTAAAATTAGCAGTTAATCCCTTTTTTCCAGTAGTCCCATCATTCACACTCATATTTATACAAGTGCTTTACTCTTAAGTATAACTAAACTAATATTTTTAAAATAATATTTTTATTTATCTAATTATTTATTTTCTCTTTAAAATTTTTTTTCTAATAATAATTTTATTTACACTTCCTGATCCTCTATAATATTTTGTAGCTCCACCTAGATTTTAAATTGTTACTAAAAAGGTAGCTTTGCAGTTGCATCTTGCATTTTACATAGTAAAAACAACCTCCATAGAATTATCAGTATTTGCAAAATTATAATTTATGTTAGATAGGAGTAATTCATAATACGAAGCCTATTAATTAGCTTAAACTGATGCCTATGCTAAACTCTATTAACTTTAAGATCCTATAGTATATCTTATTGAGCTAGGATCAGGAGAATTAGCTCCAAAAAAAAAAATATTTGTAGGTGATATTTATATGGAGAGAATGCTTCCTGTTGGAATAGTACTTAAAGGTGATGTAGTGAATTTTAATAATATTCGATGGTCAGAAGTTGCCAAAACTTTATTGTTGGTTGGTACAGTAACAGCAACTGAATTAAAAGGTGTTTAACTGCTAACTTATCCTATTATAAGTTTTTATAAAAATGTTAATTACAAGTTCAAATTATATTGTCTTTTGTCATTTTTATTCTGTTGAATTTTATCTTAATTAATTTTTAATTTACCTATCATGTGCAATAGCATCAATATTAATGCGCTTAAATAGTTAACAAGATTTTTCATTTTATAAATGTTTAATAATTAATCTAATCTGCTAATAGTTAATTTTAATTAGGTGTTTTTTTTAGAGTTTTATTGCTAGCCTGCTCCAAATTTCTTAATATATCAGCTGTAATGAATGCAAATAACTTTGTAGCTAATTTAGAGAGCTGCTATGAAATTGACTATTAAATTGTTTCCTATTCCTGCTATGCTCTAAAGCTTAAAATAAGATAAATGTGAATGTATGTTTTATATGATTATTATAATTATTTATTTATTTTTTAGTATTGTTTTTAATAAACAGACAAAATAGTTAATTACAAAAATATTTATTATCACATATTAAATAAATAATTAGCAGCAATGGTAATGAAATAATTACAATAAGCAAAAAAGAAAAATAATTGAAAACACAAATTAAGCTTAATTTTAATTAATTTGATAGGAAAATAGATATTTTTATTTTTTTCTCTATCAATTAATAATGAATGACTGACTGACTGGCTAATACCACAAATTGCTTTTATATTTATTCCTATTGAATTTATTATTAATTTTAATATCCATTAAGTTTTCTTTTCTTCTTCAAAGACTATATAACTATTTTTTTATGGTTATTATCCATTCATTTTTATTAAACAACCATATTTCAATCAATTTATTATTTTTAACAACCTTATTATTTATTATTCACTAATATCTTTATGAGATAATTAATATTCCTGGATTCTCTAACAGACGATACAACTTGGCCAGTTAATAAAAAAAATTTTATTCCTTTTCTTACAATTCCAAAGTATAAAAAAATATATTATCAATTACTATAAACCAAAAAATAACTTAAATTTAATTAATTTTATAAACCTTTTAATTTTCCATAACAACCAATTAAAAATTAAAAGACTTTTTATAAAAATAAATAAATAAATCAATTTTTATTTAAAATATCAAAATCTATTTTGAAACTTCTTGATCTATTCTGATTTCAGGCTAAATCTTAATGTGATTTTTTTAATTTAATCTAAAACCATAAAAATTAAGATCTCTGGAAATTGAAAACTTCTCAATAAACTACAAAACGCAATAATCAAGATTTATTTGTATAAATTAGAAACAAACAAAAGTTAAACCCTACTTTTATTCTCCTAATTTATTTAAATTTCTCGAAAATTGAATTATATTTGTATGGTTAATATTTAAATTCATATTAATTTAAAATAACATTTGCAAGCTTTTTGTCATATTCTTTTAATTTTTATACTTGATAAAAAATTTGATTTAATCAACTAATTAGTTTATATTTTTCTTGAATCAGAATCTAAAATTTATTATCTTTATTTTTAAAAGTATTGATAAATAAATAAATAAACAAACTAACATCATAATTATTTTTGTAAATTAATTAAAATGATCAAGAAATAAATTTTTAGAAATCAAGCATCTTTAAACATATTTATAAATTTTAAGATCTTTATTAAATGAGGTAAAATTCAATATAAATAAATCTAATCACTCAAAAGCACTCTCTTTTAATATTTCACTATCAATACTTGAAAATTTGGTAGGTGTAAAAACAAACATACATAACTAATTACTATTCTAAAATTAAATTCAAATTATCTTTTTATCTTAAAATACTGACTTTAAATGCATTTTTAAAATTATTTTAAAGATTATTTTTAAAAATATTCCTATGTGCTTAATATTTTGTTAGTAAAATTAATTTAATTTTTAAATATTTAAAAATGAAATATTTTCAACTATGAAAAATAAATTATTACTACTAATAATTTTTTTAAAAATCAAATAAAATACAGAAGTAAATAAATATAAATAATTAAAATGGTGTACTGATTTTACAAAGATTTTATAAATATTTAGAGGATTTAATATAATAATTAATTTTAGAATTTATAATATTTTTATACATTTTTTTTCTTTTCTTAAAAGTAGAAGGAAATAATCAAATAATATGTGAATTTCATTTAGCTATTTAAATTAGCGAATTATTTTCAAAAATTACTATTCATTTAATCTAGGAATTCTTACTCTTTACGTTTTAATGCAAATAATTTTTGATTGTTTTTATTAATTTATTCATTTAATTCTATGAGCCTTCCTCTGTACTCATGCTTCTTTTTGGAATCTTCTGTTTTCTTTTTAATTTAAAATAGTTTTAAAATTAAATAATTAATTTTTATTTTAATTCTTAATTATAAACAATCAAGTTAAACTTTAAAATTAAAAAAAATTTACGCCTGATTCATTGAGTATATTCTAAAATTGGCTACTTAGCGAGATAGATTCCTTTTCAGCTTCAATGATTTATTTAAGGATAAACTCATATCTGTCATTTGTTTCTTATCCTTAGGTGGTGGATGTATTTGTATTTTAGTTTTAAACTGTATTTATGCTTTGACTTTGAGTATAAGAAATGTTATTATTGCTTAAATTTAGCTACTGACTTTGGTCTATATGACTATAATTTTATAGCTAACTTACATTAAGTCTACTATTGTTGTTCAAAATAGTTGAATTGTTATTTATTTAGTTATTTTGATTAGTGTTTGTAGAGGCAGGTCCCATGATATATTAATTATAGAAAAATGAATCATTATTCATCTGTAATGTAGGCACTCCTTTCTCATCGTTTTCTAACTCATTTTGGGCTATACCTAATTAACCAACTACTTAATTGTGCTACTATCCTTAATGTTATTCATAATCAATTGTACTAACAACACTTTACTATGCTATCTCTCTGCTAGACTTTTGTCTAATCAGTTCATTTTAAAAAAGAGGAGTATCAAAATTTTCTTAGTTTAAAACTCCTAATCTTGCAGTCCCTTCTAAGGGTTATTGTTATTACTACTGCTATGATTAAATATAACTATTGGGTTTAAACTATGAGGTAGAAGGTAATGTTTTAGAGTGACCTCTAGAAATAGGCGATACATTGTTTGGTGAGCGAGATTGAGGAGGTGGAGATTATGAAGAGCTTCTCATTGTATTGTTATTTATTAAAGATGTTTAATTTGTAAATTGGTATGATTTTTACTAGATTTTATGCTCATTAATTGGGGATTTTGTTGTGTTTTGAGAATAAATGTTATTATTTGCTTAATCATTTAGTTATATAGATCTGTTAGTTTATTCGTTGATAGTGTTGTTGTTTCTTTTAGAGCTCAATTAAGTCATTTCACTATTATTGACTCTTTGAGTGTTAGCTGCTATAGTTGTATTTGAAAAAGATTATATAAGTTAACCATTTTTATTCATCTACTTAGACGGGGTAGGAGACCTAGAAGTAGATGAATTGCGGCGACTCTTATTAGCAACCTGCTAGTTACTACTGCTGCTAGTTAGCTTTTTTTGTGTTCTCGATTTATTCGAAGAAAGTAAGATGTCTTCTTCATGATGATCGTTTAAATTTCTTCTTGAAGAAGAACTTGAAATTGTTGATGCAGCTTTATGCTATTTAAGGGTGTGAATTTAATCAATAAGTTTTCTCTGTTTGGTGATTAATCTGACTCTTGTCTCTTCCCATTCATTTTATTTTTGCTAGAGATTTATCTATAACTACTCTATTTCAACATTCTTTACATCGATTAAATGCTTTTGCTCTTCATTTTCTTCTTATAATAAACTTATTCTTTTTTCCAAATCCGATATTTTTCTTGAGTAATTCGTTTCTAAGAGATTCAATTCATTTTAAAACTCTCTTAGTTACTCATTGTAGTGCTCCTTCATCTTTTATAAATCTCTTTACCTGCTTTCACTTTTAATTTAATGCTCCTCTTTTTGCATCTTCTCAGATTAATATTTACGATTAATTTCCTCTTTTTCATCTTGAAGCATTCTATGATCTGCCTAAAGTTTGTGAAAATTCATCTTTGTTTCTTAATTTTCTTACTTTAACTATAAAAGATCTTCTTCCAAACTTTATCTTGCCGATTTTTCGCTTAGAAGTTCTTCCTTAGTTTTAGATTGCTTGTTTCTGCATTCATTTAGTTATGTATTTAAAAGAGATAAATCTGCTTCCATTCTCTCGAATATTTCTGTTTTCTCTGCATCACCTGCTTCAAAAGCAAGCTGCATTTCCTTTTTTTATCTTTCACTCTCTTCAAACTGCCTTCTATTCTCTCTTAGCTCCTCTTCTCTCTCATTTATTATTGTTTACATGTTAAAGATATTATCTTAATGCTGCTCTCTTTCGTTTCTCATTTCCTTTTCTTTTGATTCTAATTATATTTAAAGCTCCTTAATTTTTGCCTACAGTGCTTTCATTGCATTAGCATATGCCTTGCTCTCCCTTTGAGTAGTGCTTATACTAGTACCATATCCTAAAGTAACTGAACCTTCCGTGACTTATCTTTTGGAAGTCATTTATGATCCATATGTCATTTGCTAGTTAGATTCAAATATTATGTTCTATCTTTGATTCTAACCTCCAAAAACACTTCCTTAATTGGATGGATTACCTAAAACATAACTATTTAAATTGCTATTTAAGCTTTTATTTTCTTAATTAGGATGAGGTACAATTCCTCTCATTATCGATTGTGCAGATGGAAAAATATCATCAATTTTATTACTTGTATCCACATAGATCCTATTATTCGAATTATCATTTCCATCAATACTCCTCTAGTTAAAACTCATTTAATGAGTTTGCACTGACTATTATTAAGATCCAAATTTTAAAGATTTTTAGTTTATTATAGGCTATGCTTCTTGTTCCTTCCCTGCCATATTTTGAAATGTATCATGAAAGTACTAATTATTTTCATCAAACTCAAATTCATTTTATTGATTGCTTGATAAATTATCCTTTTCTACTTAAGCTACATTTATATTTAGATTCTAATCTTGATTTATTTAGTTTAAGCTATTCTTACGATTGAATTAAGAATTGCTTCCGCTGCTTTGCTTAACTGGCAATGGAGGTGCTCCTTAAAAACCATTAGAAGAAGTGCCTGTTTATTATGAATAAATTTAAAATGCTGAATTAGAGTGAGCAAGTGATCTATTCTCTAATGAAGGAATATCTGTTGCATTATAGGGTGAACTGCTATTCATATATGGACTTAAATTTGAGCGCTAATTTTATTTTTAAGTATTTAATCCTTGCTAAGATCCAGTTTACTGCAGCTATTATGTCTAAGATTACAAAGATGGATTTGTATTTACTTTTTTCATAAAATCATCGAATAGACAATCTAACTTTTTAGCGCTATCTCTATAAGTGGAGGACATAACTATTTAATTTAATTCAAATTTTAAAGGCAAAAAATTTTTAGTTTGTATCTATTACAAATTAAGCAGCTATTATCAATGAATAAATCTTTAACTAATTCAAATGAAATAATTCAAAATTTGCTTTTTTTTTAGAAAATAAAAGATCATCAATAACTCCCTACCAATAAAAACATTCCTACAAGGAATTATAATGAAAAAGAAGGAAATCTATCTTTGTATAAGTCAATATATTTAAATTTAATAAACCTTACTTAAAATATACAAAATTATGACTATGAATTAGATAATTAAATTTTAAATAAATAATTTCTCAAATAAATAATAACTAAAAAAAATATATTATCAATTAAGATATTTATATAAATGATATTAAATTCATTTAAAAGATTCATTTCTGATAAATTTACTGATTAAAAGGTATTTCTATTTATTTTATATTATTTTTGCTTAATAAATATTAATAAAATAGAAGCATGCTCACAAGCAAATCTTATAAAAAATACAACAAGGTTAACTTGATGATATACTTAACATTTGGAAATGCAATTAGATAGATGCCAATTACTCAGATGAAGTAAATTGAATATTTTACACTTAACAATTAAATTCCTTACAAAAAATAACTATTCAATCTTTTTAAAGAAAAATAAATTTAATTTTTTCACTAAATTTTTATTCTTTTAACTTATTTTAATTTGATAGTAAATACAAAGATAAATTTAATTTAAACTATTTATTTAATTTATATAAAGAGAGGTTTAACTTTTTTAATGGCAGCTGTTTGTTACTCAATAGATCATTTAGAAGAAGGAAAGAAGATCATAAAATTTCTACTAGAACAAGGAGCTGACATCAATAAAGCTGATCACGGAGGAAGATCATCATTTTTAATGGCTTGTCACTGGGATTTATAGGAAATTGTTGAAATTTTCCTTGATTATAAACCAAATCTTGATTCAGATACATAAAATAAAGTAAAATGAGAAAATTTATTGATTAAACTTATTTTAAATTATATTTACTTATAAATAAAGTTTCTAATCTTAAATCCAACTTATACAGTGCTACTTAAGGGAAATTATAAAATGGCTAAATTCTTGCTTGATAATGGTGCTGACTACAATAAAATCTTTGAATTGCATAACTTTAACGGCTAAATCAGACTAAATGGTGAGATGTTATAATTCTTATATTAGTATAAGATAGAAAAGCAAAGTAAATATTTCTTTTTCATTACGAAATTTATTCTATTAATAACTCCTGTATAAATTTAATTTTAATTTAAACTATCACTTTAATAATTATTTAACTTAACCAAAAAATTAGAATTAATAGAAAGATAAAATTTGCTTTTTATAAGACAGAGTCTAATAGAAAAGGCTACTGAATAAAATACTAAATGTGAGTAATCTTCAACAGAGTAAAATTCTCAAGATTAATAAGTTTTTCTAGTTTAAAAGCTAAATAAAAACGAGCTAAAAGAAGTATTAAAATACATCTGAACAATGAATAAAGAAGTTAAATCCTTATAATTACTTAACTACATTTATATAATATAATTAATATTTCCAAATTTAATAAATATAAATTAAATTATTTTAACTATTATAATAACCATAATACATTTTTTCTCAAATGTGTAAACTAAACATTATATTTATTTTCTAAATTAAATCTTCTTCTAAACAATCATAAAAAATAATATTTTATATTTCTTTGAAATTTATCATTTTAACTATATTTTTATATAAATAACTTCAAAAATTGGCTATTTAAGATGTTTAATATTTTTAAACTTATCTCAAAATATGATTTTAGAATAAATTAAGTAAGCGTTAAAAGTTAATTTCTTTGAATTAATTATAATTTATTTTATTATTAAACTTTGAATTTACAAGAATTGATTTCATTCTATTTATTATGTGAAAAGAGCATAATAATTTAAAGGCCTATTTTTATATTTATTTATATATTTATAGAATAATTCATATTTTACTAAAAATTTGAAATATTAGTAAATTAGATTTGATATACAATGTTAGTTAAATACTATATTAACTTATTTATGATATCTTCATTTGACTATAATCATTTGGGTAGATCCAAATGATAAAATAGAAAAATATTATTCTAAAAAACATAAACTTTTTTAATTAGCTTAAAATTCTAATTACTTTCGAAATATTTTTTTGTGATAAGATGCATTTTTAATATACAATATTTTAGATAAAAGGTGAAATTTTTGAGATAATTAATTATTATATAAAAACTAATACTGAAAATTTAAGAGAATAGATAATTTTTTAAAAATTATGGATATTGAAGCAAATAGATATCAGTAAGATGCTGCATACCTCTATGAAGGTTAGCAAAGCTCTTCATCTGAAGAATTTTCTACTAAATCTCTGATTAATAGTCCTAGCTTTAGAATTTAATTCATTAGAAAAGTTTACTCTATATTGTTAACATAACTTTTATTGACTGCATTGGTATGCTATGCAGGAATGTATAATCCTACTTTTGGTGCTTATTTAATTACTAGCCCTGCAACACTTGTTCTTTCTATTATTGTTTCGCTTTCCATTTTACTCGCTATGTTTTGCAATAAAGTAAACCTTTTAATAAATTTTAAATATTTGCTTTCTTTTAAAAAATATTTATTTAAATTGTCATTTTTGTTATTAAAATTAATTCAATCATCATCAAGCATTTTAACACAAATTAAGAATTCTTCAAACTTTTATTTTAAAATTTAAAGAATGTAAGTAGAATTGTCCCAGCCAACTATATCCTTCTTGGTTTGTTCACTGTTTGTGAAAGCTATATTGTCAGGTAATTCTATTTTTAAATCATGTATTTATTTTTTATGCTGATTTCTTAATAAAAGTTTCTTTTGTGCTTTGATTAGCTGGACTGAATCTGGTCAACCAGATTACGAAGGGAGAAATTTGTAAATATTAAAATTTGTTGGTTATTTTAAATAAAATATATTTTTTATTTATTTCAGAGTTTTACTTGCCGCATTCTTTACAATTGGTATCACTATCTCTCTAACTGTTTATGCATTTACTACAAAGCAAGATTTCTCATTCTGTGGAGGGTTATTATTTGTTATGCTTTCTTCTTTTATTTTATCTTCTATTCTACTTGTATTTTACAATAACTATGTCTTAGAAATAGTAGCTTGTTCTATCACAGCTATTATCTATGGAATTTACATTGTTTATGACACCTAGATTGTAGTAGTAATAAAATAACTTTAATCAATAATTTAATATTTAAAAAAAATGATATAACAATAAAATTAAAAAATAGGGTGGTAAATATTTTGAACTTTCTATAGATGACTATATCCTTGGTGCTTTAATGTTATACATTGATATAATTAGACTCTTTTTAAGAATATTAGAGATAATCATTAGATCAAAAGGTAAATGAATCAATGAATTATTTCATGAGTAAATAATAAGTAAAACATTGTACTTCTAAATAATCAAAAATTAGGAAAACTTTGAATTATATATATATAATCGAATTAAAAGTTTTTTATATTTTGTTTCTTTTTGTTGCTGAAAAGTAATCTTATATATTATATATGCATGGGTTCACAAATAAACTCTGTATTAATTATACAAATATCAATAAATTAAAATCAATCTCTTATCTAATTTCTCATAGTTAAATATCTAAATAACTAAAATTTCAAACAAATTAAACACTAAGTAATATTTTTTTAACTAACTTTCAAAATTTAAACATATTTTAATATTTATATTGATTACAATAAAAATGAATTTTTATTGAATATTTATTTTAATTAATTTTTATTGAATATTTATTTTAATTAATTTTAATTGTGTATAAATTTTAATTCAATTTTCAAAACTAATTAATTAAGTTAAACCTCATTCATATTGATTGATATTAATATTTTTCTAAGAAGTATTTGATAAAGTAATCATATTAAAAATATCTTGTGGCTTAACCTTACTCAATTTTTATGCATTTTTTAAAATTAATTTTAATTTTAATGAATAATTATTTTAATTCATTTTAATTATAAATATATCTAAACTAATTAATTAAGTTAAACCTCATTTATATTGATTGATATTAATATTTTTCTAAGAAGTATTTGATAAAGTAATCATATTAAAAATATCTTGTTATTTAACCTCATTCAATTGTTTTTGCTAATAATATTATATTTCAATAAAATCTAAAATTGTGATATCATTTTCACTCTATTTTTTAGTTTAATACTTTATTTTAAAGCATTAAATTTTATTATTTAAAATAGGAAGTAAAAATAATTTATAAAAATATTTTTAAATATATTTTTTGTAAACAAATTTGAGAAAATATGTCTATTAAGATATTAAAATAATAAATTTTTATTTTAAAATTAATTAATTAATCTTTAATATTTGAAAAAATGAAGATCAAATGCAAAATAAATTTTCATATTTTATTTGTCTTTAATAAATTTTAATATTCTTTATAAATATTTTAATCATTTTAATCTGGTGAAAAGCATTTTTATCTTCCACAAAATTAATATTTTAGTTTTTTTTATTAAGCTCTTTCTGATAAGTAGCGAGGCACACTTAATAGCTTCAGCTTTTCTGGACTTAATTAGTTCTAAGAATTTCTATTATTAGTATTCTTATATTTCTTCAAGTCTATCTTGTCTGTCATTTAATTTTGATCTAAATTTTCTTGTCTTTTTTAGAAATCTTGGCTGTTTGCCCTATTTTAAACTAAGTTTTGTAATTGTTCCTTACCATTACTTTGTAATAATTTATTTTTCTATGTGTTTGATTATCTTCTTTGCTCTTAGAAAGCTTTGTTTATTTTCGAATCCATTTGATCCAAATATTAATCTTGTTAAGTTATTTCTTAAATTGTTTAACTTGTTTAACTTTTTACACTTTATTTCATTTCATTGTTTTTTTTTTATTTTTCTATGATTTAAGAATTTTGCTAACTTTATGAACTGTTCATTGTATCTAAAGTTTAGTTTTCATTTTTTGAACGCTTAGACTAATTTACTGATTATTAAGTAGCATATGCAAATTATATAGATTTTTTCATGTTGTTGCTAGAATTACCTAACTACGATTACTAATTAACTGAATCAATAGAATATTTCTTTTCAAACTCATAAAATTTTTAAATAGCTTCACTATATCTGTAATTACCTACTTATTTTTGTATTTTATAGATAAATCTGTTCAACTCTTTCTATTATTATTCGTTATATTTTTCTTCTTATTTATTTTTTTCCGTCATGCTTTCTTTTGAGTAAGAGTCGTTTTTATTGTTGTTGTTTTCCTTTATATCTTTATAAATTTCTTGAATAACTTCTTCGTTTGATTTGTTATGGTTTGAAATTTGTTATCTTTTACTAATCTTTTGCTAAACCAAATTTAAGCTTTTACTATCATCTTCATCATTCTATATTTCACTGTTAGTCGATTAAGTTATATTTTTAAAATTATTTTCTCTATTAATATATTATTTATTTTATTCTTTCATGAAGTAATTATTTTTTAAAGCATTTTAAACATTTTTTTATTAAAACTATTTAGAATCTAAGCTATTTATTGAATTTCTATTTTATTTAGAGAAGCTTTATAAATCAGAATCTCTATCAAATGAAGTTCTTCGTTGTCTTTACTAATTTGAAAGTTATTATTCTTTTGGTATATTTTAAGGATTTTTATAAATTTTCTTGTTTGATTCTGAGTTGTTTGGGTTTTATTTAATTTATTGAATCTAACCTCTCCTTGGAGTTATTTATGGTATTTCTAGTATTTAAGTATTTTCACTTGTTAATTTAGGCATTTTTATTGTAACTGTAGTATCATCACCCTACTCAATTTAGTCATTTTTTTTCAACTATTCAATGCTATTTCTTGATATTGTATTTAAAGGCATTCTATTTAATAGATTTCTTAAAGAACTTTAATCTTAGCTTTATTAATTATACTTTTAGGGAAAAGAAATTTTTTGGTATCTGAGTTTATAAATTTCATTTTATATATTGAAATCTCTCTCTAAACTATCAAGCATGCTGATATTTTCATCTTAATTTTAATCATGATTTTATTTCTAACTTTTAATAGAGTTATTTCTATCTGAACTATCTAGCTTTTACGAAGATTTCTTCATTTATTTGTTATGGAATGATTGCAACCTAGAATTATTTAAGTTTAAAAAATAATCAGCTGCTACTTAACTATTAAATTATGGATAATCTTTCATAATGTCTTTCAATTAATCTTTATTTTTGTTAACACTATATGAATGTTCTTTTTTGGTAGAATTTCTGGCACTTAAAGGAGTTTTTAAACCTTCTTCCTTTTATTATATTGAATTTATTTCTTCCTAATCTTAATTCATATGATTGAAGAAAGGTGTTTAATTTAAGCTCATTCTTCTAGTATGTTACCTGCTTCTATTATTTTGCAGGCTTTCTTAGCTGTCTGCTGAACTGAAATGACTGTCTTAATTTTCGAGTACTTTTTTTCCATACCATGTAAAATCAATCATATTGATTAATTGACAAATAATTATTCAGTTATGATTATTTTTATTCTAAATTGATTAACTTCTCTAAATAATTATTAATAACCATTCGCATTAAAAAATAAATTTGAGAAATATATAAAAATTATATTTTTTGATAATTAATTACCATCAATAAATATCTTATTACAAATTATATATTTGTTTAATTAAAATATGGATTTTTTCAAATTATAATTTTTTTATTTATCACTATTCTAAAAATACATACACACTTTTTTAGATTATTTTGATTATAAATATTTATATTTATCTAAAATTTAGATCTGTATTTATATATTCAATTTTCAGTCTTCAATATTTAATTTAATAGTTTTATAAATATAATAATTATCTAATTTTTAGATTATTAATACTTATAAAATGAAAAATATTTATCAATATTATTGATTCTTTTAATTATCTCTTAAATATTTAATTTTTTTTGTAATATTTTAAATGTATTGTATCATGGTATTTCTACTTTGATAAAGGTAAATAAATGAGAAATAGCTTTAAAATTGAATTTAAAGGTAGGTTATTAAAAGAGAAAGGTTTTATCTTAACATTTTATTTATTTATTATTTAGAAATTATTTAATTTAAGGATTTTGATTGTGATGTGTTTTTTATGTTTAAAAAAATATTTTATTTAAATATTTTTAGATTTTATCTTAAAATTTTACTCATTTTTATTATAAAATTTAAGAATAAATAGTTTTGTTTAATTTAAACTTATTAAACTAATGTGTTAGAATATTAATATATTATTGAATTATAATTTAAACAATCTTAGAAAAACTTACTTTCATTTATAATTTCTCTTTAAAAAGTAATTTATAAAAATTAAACACATTTTATGAAGGAATGTAAATAAGTAAAAATAATAAAAATATCAAAATAATATTGATGAGTTAAATTTAACCTTCAATGTGCATGCTTGAAAGAAAGTATATTACTTAAAATTTAACAAATATTTGATGAGATACTATTATAATGAACATATTAACTAAATTAAGAGGTATTTTAGTAAATTTCCCAATAAGCGTAATATTAATTCTCATTTTTGTGATTTTAATGTAATATAACACTTTATATTATTCATCAAAATTTTTGATTATTTTTTGAAATAACAAAATAATTGTTTGATAATAATTATATCAAAATTCATTTAGAAAAACACTATAATTTTAATAAAAATAAATGAGGATGGCAATGATGAGTAAGTAGGAATAATTTGGTTTAACTGTATTTTTTATTTCTTTTTTATACTTCTTTAATTTTATATAAAAATTAACATTTTTAGAGGATGGATGACATATAACCTATGAAAGAGTAGCTTGTAAAATATGGATAAATTTTCGAAGCTTTCTCCACATCTTAATGTAGAAAAATTATTTCAAAAATTTAATGAAAAAAGTTTTTTAAAAACATAGATAAAGTCAGAATGCTAGTAAAAGACTAAGGGATAGAGGGAATACTGGTGATTGAACCTAGATATTTAGGATTCTATCCTTAAGGTAATCATTTTACTTATAAGGTTTTAAATAATTTTTTTTTAATGGTGGATAGAAAATAGTTAACTTATGTATGAAACTAGAATAATTTGGAGTGATATTGATTGTGCAGAAACAAAAATCTAGCCAAATGAGAGAGGAAATAGTCATATAAACTTAATTGATTTGCTTTTGTACAAAACTGGAAAGAAAAAAATAGTTGCTACTTACTAATCCAAAGAAATTAGTCATTATAAAGAATAAAAGCAACCTATAGCTAGAATTAAGTTTGAAATATTAAGTCGCTAACTTGGATAAGTTAATTTGAAAGAAGAGTAAATCATAGAGCTCATGGAATAAATTTAACATGAAATACACAATAATTGCTCTCAATCTAAGCAGTTCTATTAGTAGCAGCAAAAGCATATAAGTGATGTAAATAATGTAAACTTTTTAAAATTTTAACTTATTCTCTAACAGCTCTATTACATATTTAATTTACTTAGTTACTTACTTACTGAATAAATTTATCTTTATAAATGAAAAGTAACATCAAAGTAATTCTATAATTCCTCACTGCGAAATACTAATCCATAATTTAGTTAACTTTTTCAAAGAAGATATCAAGCTAAAGTATAAGAAAGTTGTGCTCGATTAAAATGACTTCAATAACGTATTACCAATTTTTTATTTGTCATTCATTCATTCACTCATTCATTAATTACTCAACCCAATTAATTATATTTTATGTAGATCATTTTAAGTTCTATTCCTGATAAGTTTCAGCTATTTAACTGGCAAAGGGTTTACTCTTCTAATATCGATGGTTATTCTTATTCAAGGTAAATAATCTCTAATTCAATTTTTCAATTTTATTTAATTTTGTATAATCAACATTAATTAATTATATTAGTTATCATTATTATCAAGTTTTTCAAAAGAACAAATAAATTATTTTATTTAACAAACGATATGAACTTAGTAATTAAGTTAAATATCACAATTTAAAATTTTTATCTATTCTCATATTTGTTGTATAAGAAATCATCCAAAAAAAGATATAAATTACCTAAATTACGATGAAAGTTATTTTCAGCTAGATTATTCATTAATTTATCAATTAAATATTATTTTGAATACTCAATAATTTATCTAATGTTAATACATTTTATAAAGTATTAATGACATTTTCTATTTTATAGATTTCTTAAGAATATACAAAGCTGTTGCCTCTGTCTTGTTGTAATACAAGATACTAAAAATAAAATGTTTGGAGCATTTTCAAATAGTGGATTAAACCCTAATAAAGGATTCTTTGGTGATGGAGAATGTTTTGTTTTTTCTATTCCTTAATGTATGGATTAATTAAAAATCTATAAAAGCACTTTGTAGAATAATTGCTATATCTGGAGTAGTAAGTAAGAAGGCTTTGGATTTGGCTGTGGTTCAGGTGGTTATTCCCTATTTGTAAGCTCTAATCTTTAAAATGGTTCTTCTTACCCTTCAGAAACATTCAATAATCCTACTTTATCATCTCAAAATTAGTTTAGCATCAAAATGATTGAAGTTTGGGGAGTGGAAGAATACGATGGGCAATGAAAATCCTGATGAATTAATTGTTTGTTAGAAACTTCTAAATCTTTTAAAAACATGACTTCAATAATAACATAACCAAATTAAATGAATATTTAAAAAGAAAGTTATGCTGAATTTTACTAAAATAATTTTTTAGTAAAAATTAATTAAATTAAACTAAAATTAATACTACAAAATTAGTATATAAAAATGCTAAAATACTTCCATTAATCAACAAATAGATAGATACCTTATTCAATATCAAAAAAAAAAAATAATATTTAAACAAAAATAAATTCAATATTATCATTTAAAGATAACATGATATTTTAAAAGCTTAATTAAATAATTACTAAATAAATAAAATGCAATAATTATTATTCATATTATTGCTTATCTTACTTACTTCTCTCAAGTAATTTATTTACTTGAACTTAAATTAATATTAATTATCATATTATAAATTAAAATCTTAAAATTTTTATAATTATATTTTGTTATAACCTTAAAATTTTTAGTAATTACTATTTTAAGAAAAATAATTTAATGCTCAAACCATTTATTGATTTATTATTCCTTTTAAGGTATATTATAGTAATTAAATAAGCTATTTCAATAAATTAATCTAATTATGATTGCCCTTTATTTATTTTAAAATTAATTAAATTGCTGTTTGATATATAAGATAAAAAATTAATTTTATTGTATTTGTAAAATAAAAGCTTTTACAATTTAGTTTTAAAGAGCCTTATTTGAAAAATATTGAATAGAAAAATATTTTTATGTAAGCTAAATAATTATTTGGTTACATTTACAAATTATTTTATTTTTTTACTTGCAGAAATAAAAATGTTTGAACATAAACAAGATTTTTCTCTTTTAAATGCTTTTTGAAAAAAAAAAATCAATGATTGCAAATATTTATAAAAATTGTTTATATTTTGCTAATTATTTTATATCCAATTTCACTAAAATATTCTTTAAATAACAAAAAAAACCTAAATTCATTCATTTTTAAATTAAATTATTTATGTTATTATTATTAATCATGTGTGAATGTTGAAATAAAAAGGATAAAAAGCTAAAAAAGTGCAAACCTTAGAAGGAATTAAAAAAACAAAACATAAATAAATACTTCTAAAACAATAACTTAGTTATTATAAACTTTTAAATTAGCTGTTTATTGAATAAATAATTTATTGCTAGGTAAATATTTAAGGGATTTCAGTAGATTGCTTAATTTGCAACACAAGGAAATCGAAGATGAATAGTTTTACTCATATGCTATTATTAAGTTAATTAATTTTATTATTATAAAGCTAATTAGTTAATAAAAGCTTCGAATTCTCAGGTATTTTCAAGCACTACTGTCCCGCTAGGGTTTGCAGTAGTGCTATCATTTGAGAACTCTGAGTAAGTTGAGTCATTATGCGAGCTCAACATCATCCAGATTTCTTTAAGTTGTTCATATTTGTTTCATGGATTGTTTATCCAAATAATCTAATTTGTGATATTTTAGTGACATCAGAACCTTTATTGGACTGAACGAAAATCTAATTATTTATTTTTAAAAAACATATTTTAATTTACAAATTATTTCTTTCTTAACTTTTTATTTTTTATGTTGAAATTTTAAGAGAGTTAGTTAGTTCATTTTTGAAAAACAATTTACTCTTAACTCCTCAATAAATTTTGAATTATTTTTATAAATATTTTAAAAAAATTACAGTGAGATGCTTCAAATTTTAGAACTTAACAAAACGCAAGTCAGTTTGACCTTTAAAATCTGCATCAGTAAGATCTATTTCTTAAGTAGCAACACCATTTTCACAATTATCAAAATCTAAATTTTGCTAATTAATGAATAATTTAATGTGGTCAGGAGCTGATGCTTCATCAGGTGATCTAAATACAATATGATGAAGTCTAACAGCAGTGTGGAAACCTAAATTTAAAATGATAAAATTTCATTATAAAATATAATTTATAATTTTTGAATAGAATTTATAGAAATTTGTTTTTATATTTATAAAATGTAATTCTAAACAGTTAAATTGCTTACCAATTTATATAACTAATTATTCATCGCAATCACTCTTCAAGTAAATATTTCTGCTCTTATCAAACAAGGCACTATCCAATGGGAAATTAGGATCCTCATTCAAACATTGGATTTTAGTTTTATCTAATTATAGAAAAAAATTAGAATCATATTTTCAGTATTAAATACTCTTATTCAATAGTGCAAATTTATATTATTTATTTACCAATATAGGCCTCGAGATCTTCGTAAACATCTCCACCCTTTTGCTGGCCTCCTTGCTATTGCTAGTTACCAGCCATAAAATTTGGCATCATTTTATATAAGCTTTTTTCTAACTCTTTTTGGTATTTGTTTTTCTTATGCTTAAAATTTTGAGAAAAAAAGTAATATTTAAAAATTTTAGAATTATTGTAAAAATAAATAGATGCTCTTTATATTTAAAACAACAAGAAAAGAATTTCAAAAGTTTTTTGATAGCAGCTACTTTCTACTATCTATCTTGTCTGATTTCTGCTCTTAAAATAAATTTCAAAGCCTAATTATACATGATAATATCAAATATATATTTGGAAGATGAGTCTATTTTAACTATTTAAAATAAATTACTTTAAAAAAAAAAAAATTTTATTCAATATAAGATAGTTATTTAGAAAAATAAGCGAGCAAAAAAAATATTTTAATTAAAAAATATAATATTTAATTTTTAAAAAATAGCCAATTTTTTAAAAGAAAGTTTAATTATTTGTTTTATTGACAAGACAAAATAAAACTTAAAGAATTCTTTATTTCTTGATTAGTTTTTAAATGTTTATTAATTTTTTTTATTGAAATAACTAGTATTTATATGTTTATTTTCGTTAATTTATTGCAACAATTTTCAATTTTTTCTAAAAAATATTCTTAATTTTATTTTTGGATGGAAGAAAATATTTTAAAAATAATTTATTTTTTCAGACTGCTAAATTATTTTGATTTAAATAATTTTTTGCTTTTAGTTAAATTTTTTTAATTTAGAAAATATTTTATGATTTAAAATAAATTGAGGGAAATTAATTTTAAGTTTAATCTTTAATTAATAAAAGAAAAACAATAAGAAAATAGATAATATAATATAAGTAGTATTTAATGTATTTTTTAATAGTATTTAATTATTTATTTATTTATTAATTAATTAATATCAGAATTTGACTCCTCTAACATTAGCACCAGATCTATCACAAAGTTATGAAAGATGAGAGATACCATTGTTATCAATAGTTGAAGGACCGCCATTGTTATGAACTCCGGTATAGGTGCTCTTGTCGTAGAAGAATCTGTTAGGATCAGACTTTTTAGCTCCTAACTTTTTACTATATTCAAGGACCATTCCTTCAACTAATTGCTTAGTTTATGCATTCTTCAAAGCAATTTGAGATAAGCATTATTCGAATTATGGATAGCTAATACCTCTTAAGTTAGGATTATTTTTAATGGTGTTGAAGAAGTTTTCAGCGAGGTCAGCTTAGACTTTGTAATTGAGGACACCACTTTCTTTTAAAACAGACAAGTATATCTTGACATCCATAGAGGATTTTTCGTTAGTGAATTTCTTGAAGGCAGCAGCTAAAGACATTTTTTTTTGTTATTTTTTAGAATGGAGATTTTTTTATATTTAGTTTATATTTTGTTTTTGATTTGATTATAAGTAATTTGATTATTTATTTTACAGGTTTTAAACAGTTATCATTTAATTAATTAATGTATTTTGATGGGATTATTTTTATAATTTTAGAATTCTTGCTGGTAGCAATTATTTAGGGTAGTAAGTTTTGCATATTGTCACTGGAATGATAAATTTGATTTAAATTATAATATTGATTTGATCAGATTGACAGACAAGCCATCAGTTTTATAAATTGATTCTTAATAAATCCAAAAATTCAAGCATTACCTCTCGCACCTTATATATCAAATTAATAGATTTGTGGTTAAAAATTTCACTGACCCAAATAAATTAATATTGAATTTCTCTTTGAATTGGAGAAAAAAAAGGTTATATTTTTCTTCTTTTTGGTATATATCCAGTTCGTATTTTCATTGATATTTGAGTTTTTTACTAAAAAAATGCTAGATCTTTTCATAAATCTGGTTATTTTTAAAATGCGATACAAATTACATGAGTAACCAAATTATTTATTAGCTTCTCTTTTGATAGCAAATTTCTAAAAGAAATAAAAAGCATTTCATTAGTTATTTATTTATTTTTAAAGTAAAAAATATTATATGTGGGTTGAAGTCTAGACATAAAAATGTTTCCTCCACTAATTCAAAAAACCGACTAACATATTGTAATATAAATATTACAATTTTCATAATTACAAATTCATTAAAAGCTTTATTTTTGCTTCAAGAAATGCTTTTTTTGCTTGAGCATACAAAACAACATCAAATAAAAATAAATTATAAAAATATAAAATAAATTTACTTTGTACTAATTTTCCTATTAATTTAATTCATAAAAACAAATTAAATTTTAATTTTAATCATTTTTTAAATAAAAGATTTTAGTTTTGTATTTATATGATAAAAGCTAAATAAATAAGGTTTACATTGAAATTTTCAAAGGTTTTCTATTTAAAATAATATAAAAAACTTTTAAAAATCAGATTTTTTTTTTATACGTTCAAATTAAAATAAAATTTTATTTAGGTTACGATGAAAAAAATTAACATATTTGAAAGATAATGTGTTGGTTTTGTGTTTTTGCAATTTTGAAGTTAGGAATACATATTTTTCCATGATTTTCCTTAAAAAATAAAACTTTTTAACAAATATGTAAATAAGGGATATGTGAGGTAAATGAAAAGATAGTAGTAGAAAACAGATAGATAATGTACATATATAGTGTATTACTGTATTATTATTAATTATTTAGTTGTTTTTATTATAAAGTTGTTGATCACTTGTTAACTCCTCTAACATTAGCACCACTTCTGTCACAGAGTTAAGAAAGATGGGAATAACCGTTGTTATCAATAGTAGAAGGACCTCCCTTTGTATGAACACCAGTGTAAGAGCTCTTGTCATAGAAGAATCTGGAGGGATCACCCTCCTTAGCACCAAGCTTCTTGCTTTATTCAATCAACATACCTTCAATTTGTTAACGAGTCATACCACCTTGAGCAGCTATTTAGGATAAACAGGTTTCAAATTGTTAGTAGTTAATACCTCTCAAGTTAGCACTGTTCTTAACCTTATCGAAAATGTATTCAGCTTGGCTAGGATTGACTCTTCCATTAAAGACACCACTATCAGTAAGAGCTCCAATGAAGATCTTAACTTCCATGGTAGAACGGTCATTAGTGAATTTCTTAAAAGCAGATAACAAAGACATTTTAGAATATAGGGATTTTTATTTATGTTTTTTTATTAGTTTTGGTTATTTTTTATTTTGATTGTTATTATATTTTTGTTAATCTATCAGCTTTTCTTTTATAGCAAGGAAATCCCTTATATATCATATTCTTATCTGATAAAGTTTGTAATAATCATATCAAAATCAAAAGAGATTTTTACTGGATTAATAAAAAATTTATATCTTTATATTTCTTGAATGCAAGAATCTATTTATTTATTTATTACTTCATTTATCTCACCTATTTATATATATTTTGCTGGAAATATTTTTGCTATAATCATCTTTTGAATCTTTTTGTTCTCTTTAAAAATCAATGAAAAATATAACTTAAAAATGTATAGCACAACAATTAATTATTCTTTTTCCACTTTTGAATATGAATAGCACTGCAATTATTCATGTTCCACTTCATAATAAAATATTAAACAAGGAACTTATATGCACAAAAAACAAATACAATTCATATAAAAGCTATTCATATTTTTAGATAGTTTTAAAAAACCTACACGCTAAATGTTTATAAAATTATAAATCTAAATAAAGCTAACATATAATTGAATTATTAATTGATTAAAGGATCATCATTCTAACTCATCTTTTCAGTTTTGATGAGCTGATTTTTAACTAAAAAATTCACTTATTATTAATTTAAAAATAAATAGATCCATTTATTAATCTTAATAGAAAATACTTAAAAAATATTTTATGTTCATTTGATTTATGTTAACATAGCTTTCTAACAAACAATTTTATATTTTTAAATGCCATTAATTTAAAAATATCAATAAGTTATTACATCCTTCATTCTGTTTTGAATATTTAAACATATTTGATTTATTTTACAAGCAAAAACCCTTATATTTACTTTTTGCTTTGAAGTATCTAATACAAAAATAAATAACATGATTGACATGAGTATTTAGAATTCAAAATTTATTTAATATTTACAGATTATGCAACTTTTAATTTATTACATAAGATTCATTTGAATACAATAAAATAAAATAATACATTTCTATAAAAAGTAGTAACTAGCCATAAAATATTTATTTATCATGTTTATTAAAAGAAAATCAATCATATAGTATATCTAATAAAAATTAACTCATAAAGAAAGGATATCTAAATAATATACTTGTGATATTTTTAAGCAAATAATATATATTTTACAGTTTTTATTTTAAGATGGATGATAATATATGATATTAATAATTTAATTTTAAATAAAGATGTTTTGATTAATTATATGTATGTAAGTAGTATTAAAGATCAGTTTTTGATTCCTCTAACATTAGCACTCGATCTATCACACAATTATGATAATTAAGAATATCCATTATTATCTAAAGTACTTGGACCTCCTTTGGTGTGTACACCTGTATAAGTACTCTTGTCATAAAAGAATCTTGAAGGATCTGCTTATTTAGTTGTAAATTTTTTACTATATTCTAAAACTAATCCTTCTATTTATTATCTTGTGCAACCCGTTTGTGAAGCTACTAAAGAGAGACAGGTTTCGAACTATTAATAATTAATTCCTCTCAAATTAGGACTATTTTTCACTTTTTCAAAAATCTGCTCAGATTAGTGAGTTGTAATCTTAAAATTAAATATTCCACTATCAGCTAAAGTATTAACAAAAGTTTTGCTATCCATAGTAGAACGCTAGTTTGTAAATTTTTTGAAGGCAGCAGAAAGAGACATTTTATATATTAATTTTTATTATGTGAGGTATTATGATTAAAATCAATTAAAAATATTACTTCGTCTATTTATTGTATGTAATATTATTATATTTTTCTTTTAATGAATTTTGATAAACGCCACAAACAAATATTTATAATTTTGCAAACAATATTTATCATAAATCAATATTTTACTGGTTTAAATTGATTCCTTAAAATATAATCCTCTAATCAACCAAACAAGATTAATAATAATAAAAACCATAGAAAAAGTTGATTTTATAATTATCTATTTGTTTGCAAGATAAAACTAAACTTTGCTTCACTTAATTTTATATTTATTAAACAAAATCTAGGAAAATATTTTATATTAAAAACCTCAATTAAAGCTTATTTTTAATACAGTAAATTATTTTTTATGATTATTTACAATCTTTAATTGGATTTTAATAAAAAATAGAAATAGAAAATAAATAAAAAACTTTATTTTTGATTAGTAATATTGCTTTTGAAAAATTTTTTTTCTATTTTGAATGAACTAAAAGCTTAATGAATTATTAAAGCTGTATTAATTAACATAGCAATAAAAATAATTAAAAATGTCAAAGTTTTAAAATAATTTAATTAAAATTTTGGTAGTTAAACTTTAAATAAAGATCAATAATTTTAAAAATTTAAGCTTATAGAGCAAATATGATTCTAAGTTTTAATTTGTTTAAGATTTGGTTGTTATTTAAATAAAAAATTATAAAAATAATAAATTAAATTCTAAATTATAAATTTAATTATTAAAAATGTTTTAAAAAATTCTAATTTAAAATTTATAAGCTTTTATTTATTTATTTAGTTAATCTAATTTAAAGCGAATTCAAGAAATGTTATTAATTATTGTTTATATTTATTTACTTTAAATAAAATTGAAATGTATTTCTTGCTTGGGTATGTTAGTAATCAACCAACATTAGCAATTTTTTTTATTTGATAACTAAATAAAATGAATAATAACAAATTAATTAATATTTCTTAATTTAATATATTTTTTTATTTAAAATGATTATTTGATTAATTTTATAATTTATTATTAAATAAAAGTATCAAAAATTAAATAAATAAATACAAAGTAGAAGTGAATTTTTAAGAAATTAATGAAATTTTTAGGTGATAATTAATAATGGAGTTAAACAAGCAAGATATTTGGTTATGAATAATACGGTTTTTTATAATAAACCTAAAAACTTATTCAATTTATTTATTTGTTTATCAAATTGAATTATCAGTAAATAATATCAAAAAATAATTATAGAGTGAATAAATTTTTCAACAAATTAAAAAATATGGATTTTCAAAAACAAGAAAGCGTAAAAACAATAAAAAATTATTAATATAATACTAGGCACTGTATTGGTGAAGGATCATATGGAAAGGTATTTGAGGGTATCGATGTTAAAACATAGGAAAAAATAGCAATAAAAACAATAGATTAAAACATTTTTAAGAACGACTAATATTTGCAATGTGCAATTATGGCAGAGATTGAAATTTTAAAACGCTTTGATCACAAGAATATTGTTAAGTTTAAAGACATAGTTTATGAAGATGATACAATTTATATAATAACTGAATTTTGCTAGGATGGAGATCTCAGGTAATTCATGAAGAGCAATAAAAACTTGAGTGAAGATGTAATCACATAAATATTCAAATAAATTCTTGAAGGTATTCGTGAGTTGCACAAAGTTGGAGTTATTCATAGAGATCTTAAACCAGCGAATATATTAATACATAATAATGAGTTTAAGATAGCAGATTTTGGGTTTGCAAGAGATGTTGATTTTCAGTCTGAGAAATTACTTGTTTCATGCGTTGGATCTCCAATGTACATGGATCCTCTTATTTTGTCAAGAAAACCTTATGGAACAAAATGTGATATATGGTCTTTAGGTGTAATACTCTATGAGATGATTATGGGAGAAACCCCATATCATAAATCAAGGACAGAATAGGAGCTTTTGATCAACATTTATACTAAACCCTTGAAATTTGAGCTTCCTGGCAGAAAATGTTCTCCAAAAATGTAAAATCTGATAAAATAAATGCTTTAAGTTTAAGAGGTAGATAGAATCTCTTGGGATGATCTCTTTAATCAATTTGGTCTATCGTAATATTTCTTTCATATTTTATAGCTTTCTATTTGATTTTTTATTGATTGATATTTTTAAAATAGAATTTTTAGTTGAATTTAAAAATATTTGTTTAACAAAATATAGCGTAGAAAACGAAGAATAATCAGTGGATGTTGAAAAGCTGTTTTTGTGTTTATTTAATATGAGAAATCACATGAATTATAAGCATTATATTTCTGTAGATTTGTTAGAAAAATACTAATACAATAAATTGTATGCTAACAAAGAGAGTTAATACGACAAATTGTTATTTTACCTCGGCTTGAGTGTCAAGAAAGAGTCAGAAAAAATATTACAAGTCGTAATAGAAAGTGAGCAAAATAGATAATCTATGTATCTAAAAAATAAGAATTTGATGGCCTTAGCTAATAGTTTGAGGATGGAGCATAATTATTACTAGACAATATTTGATGATATCTACAACTTAATGATAAGAAATGGTATTCAAAATGTAATATTTAATGACAACTAAATAGGCTACACAATAGAAAAAAAGTAGCTAACTGACATGGATCTTAGAAATTTGAATCTATACACACTTGATCTTGCCAAGTGCTTGGTAAGATAGATATTAGAAAACTTATAAGTACGCTTATAGTAGTTTCCTCCAAAAGACAATGAATAAAGTTAGGAGTACTTAGATACACTTGTTTCAGCTAATTACTTAATAGATCTGATGACAATAGAGTAAAAAGTATAGGTAGAGTCTGAGATACATTTTGAATAATACCATTAAGAAAAATCATTTTTCGAATCTCCAAATTAATACCTTAATGTTTTGCAAGCAAAGTTTATTGGTTTAAAATGATTATTTTATATTTAATTTTATTTTAAAAATAGTTTTCTAAATTTAATAAATTGATTGCCTTACTTTTCAAAATATCATTTTTATTGATATTTTTTATTTTTAAATAGTTTGTTAATGGAAATTTAAAGTAAAACTTTCAGATTTATTTAAACTTCTAACAAAATAATATTTTTATAAGTTAAATCTAATTTTTGCAAAATAAAAAAAAACAATTTTTGCAAATAAAATAAAACTTATTTCTATTTTTTTATAGATTTATTAAAATAAAGAATGCTTAATCAATGAATTAAGATAATTTTTCATTTTATTAAAGTATTTTAACTTTTATTTTACAGTTTATAGTTTATTTGTTAGTTTTTCAATATTTTCAATAAATATTTCTTTCTTTTTTTAAAATAAATTAAAATTCCTTTTTTTTTATAAAATTTGTTATTTATTTGAATATTTAATTTAATTTTTTAATTTATCAAGTTTTTTTAAATATAAAGAAATTTTATTTGAGTTAAAATCATTTTTAAAATATTGAAAAACTATGTAAAACAACAATATTAAGATAGAAAAACTAAACTTTTAAATTTTAGTGAATTTTGAATGATTGATATATTTTTTTGTGCTTTAAAAGCAAGCTGATTTTTTATAAATTAAAATACAAAATGAGAAGCTAAAAAAATATAATTATTAAGAAAACTTTTATTCCCATTACTATAGAAAATGAAACAAATTTTTAGAAAGATATTAAAAACATAAGTAAGTTAGGATCTATATGTATAGAAGGATCTCATATGAGAGCATCAGGATCTGCTCCTAATTTGCGTATGATTATCTCATATTGCTTTATCATTTAATATTAATTAATGAAACATTTTTTTTAAAAAACATATTCATTCTTAAATAGATATTTTAGCAAGGCAATCCATTTCACCAGAAGAATATTTATCTTTGAAAAAGACGTCAAGTCAGTAACTTTGGTTCAAAATTATTTATTTATGAGAAAAAATATTGTAAAAATTAAAAGACGAAAAGAAAGCTGAAGCTACATCAATCTTGCTATCTTTGAAAAATAAGGAAAACAACAAGAGTTTGAACAAATTAAAATTGTAACCTTTAACTACTTCAAATGCAAAACAAAATTAACTTCCAAGTCTTCCTATTCCTTTGACTAGTATTGCTAAAAATACAATAGAACTTTAATAGCCTGTTAAAAATTAATTGAAGGGTAGAAACTAAAGCATGAAAAAACTAAAACCTTTAAATAAACTAGAATACCAGATTGAAGAAACAAATTTAAATGAATAAGCAACTGAAGAAAAGCAGGAATAAAATAAAAAGCCAAAGAAAATTAAAAAGAAAAAAGAAAGTAGCAAAGAGACTCAATTTTTTATGAAAAGAATATATTCAACTCAAGAAGCGTTATTAGAAATAATCAAAGTAATATAAGAATTAGAAATAATAGTTGAAGGCGATATATCTTCTTAAGAACTGATAAAAGTTATAGAAAACCTTATAAAAGGAAAAGATGAAGCAAAAACATAAATGTCTTTATGTAGAAAGGAAGAAAGTTTTAACATGATTTATGAGAAAATATATCCAAAAATATTGGATGCTATTTGCAGTTAAGAATTTTCAGATTAATATTAATATATAAACAAAAAATTTACTGAGATCTTAAATTAAACTCCTCATGTAATTTTATCAAACGCCAATGATGAATCCTCACAACAGCTTTAACAGAGTTCAACTTCAAAATCTTATTTTTGAAGAAAAACAATTATAGATACTAAAATAATCTCAAAGTTTTTAATTTATAATAAATTTGTAAATAAATACTACTCCTTTATTTTATAATTATTATTTTATTTACTTAGTCCTTTTTTTTAAATAACTTCATATGATGAATTAATAAATTTGTAAATAATTTTTATATTTAAAATTAAGATTAAACTTAAGAAATTTGTTTTGTATAAATCATAGCTACCTAATTTTTATTTTTAAAATTTTGAATCAACAAAAATATTTTCTCTTTACATACTGTAGATATTAATACTATGATGAAGCTATTCAAATCAATTTAATTTTTTTATTTCAAGATTTAAATAGGTTAATAAAGTTTTTTTTTCAAAAGATGAATCATAAATTAATCAGATTAATTGCAATATATTATTTGCAAAAATTAAGATAATGTTTTTTTTGTTCTTAAAAAATTAGTTTATCTATTTTATAATTGGAATTTAGTTAATAAAATAATTTATATTAAATTTTAAGACAGTATAGTTAAAAGTTTAAATTGGTATTGTTCGTTTTAGAAATATTAAATCAAAGATTTATTATGCTTACTATTTTTTTGATAGATATTACTGTTAATTTTATTTATTAACTTGATAAAAAATAAATTACTTTTGTTATAAAATAGGATCATTTAGTTACTTCCATCATTTAATCAATTATAGAGAAATAAATCAAAATATAAATCAATCTTACATATAAATCTTCTTATCCACGAAGAAAATTTTAATCGCCAGAATTATTTATTCATTTCTTTTCTTGTTTTGTTTGTTTTGTTTTGTGAATTAAAAATTTTACTGATTTAAAATTATTTACTATTTATTATGATTATTAGTAAATGTCAAGTAAAAAAACTTGGTTTAATTTTTTCCTTATAAATTTTACTATATAAGTTAAAAGATAGTAAAAAGTTCACAAAAAATAATATAAATTAATTATTTATCAAACTTTCTAAATGAGCAGCTATAAAATCATATAAAACTCTACATCCAGAGATAGTTATCCTAACATGATAAATTTAAAAAACAAAAAGTCTTCTTCAATATCTCCTGAACCCATAGCTGATTCAAAAAATTTCAAATAGTTTAATGAAGATAAAAGTTTTTCTGATTAGAAACTCAATAACAATAATCATCATATGCATAATCCTAAAAATTAAATAAAAATTAAAAAAGAGTATAGCGAAAGTATAGAATAAGCCGAATTTCCATCAAAAAAAAGCTAGAATTCAATTAATTTTCCAAAGAAAGCCACAACACAGACATCAGATAGAAATAGCTGTCATAATTAAGAAAAATTTAATGGAAAACTATTAAGCGGATCATTTTAATACAATAAAAATCAGATCGATGGATAAATAAATAAATTTTAAATGCATTTAGATACATAATCTTTAAGTTAATACAGCTTTCTTTAACAATAATCCATACTCCTTCCAACTTTTTAATCTAATAAATTGAGCAAGAAACCTGTTTATCAAAGTCATATAATGATTTCATCTCCATAAAGCTATCCTTCGATTATATTGCAAAATGAAATAAGTACTTTGAAGGAAGTCAATAACCCAAACTAATCAGAAAATTAAGATTAGTTGCGTATAAACTCTTATAATTAAAAGAGTAGCTCTAGTATAAGGTCCATGTAAATGATTTAAAATATTTGCAATAAAAATAATACTTTTAATAAAAGCTTTAGCAACCCAACTTAATAATAATAATAATTAAATACTTCTACTTAGCAAATAGAAATAAATAAATAAAAGTAAATGAGATTATTTCAGATACTTTCAACTTAATGCAAAAATAAAAATTTCCTTTTGCCTTCATACAGTCAAAATAGGCTTATGAGTGAGACTAATAAAAATAATTTTCAAGAAAATAGTTTTTAAAAAAATCTAAGAACTTAAAATTAACCAGGAAACAGTGGATTTCTATAAACCTGTAGCACTTAATTCTCATCAAATCAAATTTAACAAAAATCAAATGATAAATTAGAAAGTGTAAAGATGAGATTATTTACTTAACTTGAAAATGAGAAGCAAAAAACTTAAAGAAATAGCTAGAATTCTTAAAGCTCAAGACCTATGAAAAAAGAAAATTCAGGCTCTACAAAATTTTTGAAAACCTCCCTTTAACTACCTGATATAGCTAAGAATGATGAACTATTATCTAGCTAAACAGACAATTTTAACTCATTTAAACATTCAAGAAGTTGTAAAAGTAGCATAAGAGAAGATTTAAAATCTGCAAGCAATAGCTTTCATTCAAGCTAATTCATTGAAATCAAAAACGCAGATAATAAAATTCAGCAATAATAAAATTCCTTAATTAGCTAAAATCATTTTTTTTCAATAGTAAATCATTATGATGAAAAAAAATACAATTTAGATAGATTTAAAATATCTAAAATTATTTAAAAACCCAATTAAATTAAGAATATAATAAACAAATAGCAAGTTGAATGTGAAATAATTAGGCCATTAAGCTTAGATAAAAATAGGAATTATTTAAGTCAATCAACAAAAAAGATAGCTGAAAATAATGAACTTATTTTGTCAAATAATTAAACATCTTTATCACCTGAAATAAAATAAAGATCTGCTACTTTGTATCCTTTTATGCCTATAGACTATACAAAAGTAGAAAATAGTAGCGATAATACATAATAAAACAGTAAATTTCTTATTTAATTTATCCAACAATTTACAATTTGATAAAAAAAAGAAAAAAAATTTTTAATTATTTTTAAAATTTAAAAATTTCATTTTAAAAAATGATAAAAATTTTAAATTAAAGATTTTTTTTTTTAATTTTAAATTATTTATTTTTTTAATAAAACATTATTTGAAATAATAACTTAAAATAATTATTTAAAAAAATAGATGATACCCTTTGCCTAAAAGGAATGAGCAAAGTTTTAACAGCCTCAAATACATTCATTAAATTAAAGTAAATTATTTAATATTTGTTACTTAAATTTATTATTTTTTGACAGAGAAAAAAGGATATTTGAAGCTGATACAAGTATCAACCTTAAAGAATTTAAAAATTATAGACTAAGTTTACTAAACTCTAAAATTCAAGAAAAAATATATGATTTATTCATAAATAAAATAGGAGGAATAGACTACATTTAGCAATCTGTGATATTTAAATTTTGTGATTATCTTAATGAAAATGTTGATTTATAGCAAAATATTTCTTTTGACTTTAACAATATCAATTTTTTGGTCTTTCTTATACATGCCTTGGGAGTTAAATTGAATATTCCAAAAATTTAACTTTAAAATAACCTAAAAGAGCTCGGAATAAATTTTAGTAAGATGAGCTATTTTAAATAAATTATGGGAAATTATATTTTTGAAGACCATAAGCTATTAAGTAAAACGTTTGAGACAGAGTTTTTCAGAAAAATATCTCGTTGTGAAAATTATTTCATGAATTATAGTTTGTTGGAATAAATAGGAGGTGAAGATGTTTTAAAAAAAATAGTCAAGATGTTTCACATAAACATGATAAAAGAAAGTCCTAAATATTAACAACTCAATTTAAAAGTACAACAAGTTTATAAAGGTTTTCTTTTTTTAATTGTAAGAGAAGATTTTCTTTCTATGACCTTCGATTATTTAAACAATCTTTAAAATTAAAATGCATTCACCCACTAAGATTTTTACCAAGCAAAAAAGTTGATTTAAAAATGTTTTGAATGTTATGGAGTTATAGCAAAACCGCTCTTCCATGTCTTGGAAATCATAGATTCAGTCAGACATTTAATAACAGATGGTTATGGAAAATTTTCTAAAGATTAAAATGATTTAGATAAAGACGTATAAGAAATATCATCTGACATTTATTAGCAATTAACAAAATTAAAAGAAGTAGAAGAAGAATCAATTGAAGATAAAAAGGATATGACTTAAGAAAATATACAAAGCATTATAAATTTTCTTCTAAGGCCTTATTCATATCCTTATTATAAATATTTATAATTTCCCTATAACAAAAGCAACAAATCATTAACAAACAAAAAATATAAAAAGACTGTTTAAAACTTGATTCTAAGTAGAGTTTTTCCACATATCGCAAATTTTATTCAAGAATATTTTCATAACTCAAATCCAAAAAATATAAATTCTATTCATTGTGCTTCTAATACTTAGAAAAAGCTGTCTAGTAAGATAGACCCTTTCTTAATTATAGATATTAAACTTAAACTTCAGCTTCTTGTTTACAACGTAAAATATAACCTTTAAGAAGATAACTATCAAGTTTATTAAGTTCTCTTAGAAATGTCACCAAAAATGTTTTTATATTCTATTGAAGAATTTTTTGCAATAAATTCTAAAATAAAGGATGATATCTAAGGTAATTTATAAGAACAAACATTTAAATTTATATACTAAAGTTTGTTTAGATTCTGTCTAAACTAATTCATTGATGACTTTCCTCTAAGAGTATCTGCTTATGATATCTTTGAAATGATAAAGGAATTTAAATTAACTTTTAAATGTGTAGAAAATATGTTAAAAATTTTATGGAAAATCCTTTAATTTAATAGCATTCCTGATTTCATAATAGAAATTCTATACAAATAATATGTTGCAATCAAAGAATTCTTGAAATTTTGTTGTAACAGCTAAACTCAGCTGAAAATAAATTAATAGTGATTAGTTTATTAAATATTTTATTTCAAACTAATAAAAAACTACTTCAACTATTTAGTTTAATAATAATAAAAAATCTGTAAGTTAAAAATAATGTTTTTTCAAATATTCTTAAACTTCCTTGATTACTTACTAAATAACTTACTAACTAACTAACTAACCCACTAACTTGCTTACTTATTTACTTAATTGAATTTAATCATTATTAATAATAAATTAGTGTTACTGAATTATATTCATATATTTTTTAAATGATAAAGTAATTCAAATGATTTTCATGTTTCTATTTAATTTTCTGTAAATTATTAAATTTTAAATGCATAATTCAATCAATATACATACTTATTGAATTAAAATTTCTTTAAAATTTTTTAAAAATTTATATAAAATCGGTCGTGTTATTCTCTAATTAAAAAATAATTTTTTACATTTTTTAACAAAATATAACTAATTTTTAATCAAAGTAGCCACAAAAATATGTATGCCAAATAATCTTTTTAAAATGATTTAATATTAGGTTTTATTAAAAAATAAATAATAGCAAATTTGATATTTATAATTAAATTTATATAATAAATTTTTATCTATTTTTAATCATTTTATATACCTGTTTTCATTTAAAAATTCCTTTGCTAATATTTATTCAAGCTATTTAATATTGATTGGTTTAGTTATGTAATACTTCATTCCTTTTTAAAAGGCTTTTTATTTTTCAGAATCTTAAACATATGCAGAACATGCTGAAATAACAGGCTTAAAAGATGATTTTTAGTCTAGATAAAACTTTATTATTTCTGTAGTTGTTTAGTGCCCATCCATTATTGGCATATCAATGTCCATAAAAATTACTTTGTAATACTAGCAACAAGATTAATTAGAGTATTTTAGCTTTACTTTTGAAATGGCATCCATTCCACTATTAGACTTATCAACAACAAAGCCATAAGTTTTTAGAATCAGTTATAACGAATATAAATTAAAATCATTATCATCTACTATCAAAATTTAATTACACTCACATATTTTTTCTGCATTTTATTTATTTAATTTTTCAGATATTGTACTTAAGGATTGTTCATTCTCTTATTTATTTTTTGATAAATTATAGGCTTTCATTTCCTGTAACATTATTGTTTTTTAAATTTAATTATGTTTTTTTCCTTTAATTTATGAAAATATAGAACCATTTCCAGATTATTCATACAAAATTTGATTTTATAGAGGATACAAAATAGGTGATGTTGGATCACACTCTTAGAAGTATGGTTTTCTCAATTAAAGATTATTAGTACTATTTGTATTAAAATTAAGGCAAGAATTTTCTTCAATAATTTAGCTAGATTCAATTTTCTTGTCCAATTAATTTTCCATAACTAAGAAAGATTATTAAATGGCTAAAGAGTTTTTATCCTCTTTTGAATATATTAAAAAAGATTACTCAGCATTTTGTTCTTATAACTTTTAATTTGAATAATTGCAAGTTTCTTGCTAATTATTTTTATATTTTTATTTATAAAAACTCCCTTCTGTTTGAGATTAATTATTAGTATTATTGTTAAATGATGATGACATTTACATATGACTTGATTTGCTATTAGTTTGTACTTTTTTTGGCATTAAACTTAGTGTGATAGTGCTTTATTTTCCATATTATTTATATGTCTGATTTTCTAAAGGATCAAATTAAGAGTTATCAAAAATAAAAGAGTTTGATTAATTAAATTCTGGTACTTATTTTGAATAATCCGAACTTATGTGATAAGATTTCATGATGTTCAGTATATTTTATCTTGAACCTGTATTTACAAAGTTAGATTTACTTTCTATTTTGGTACAAGTTTCCCATTTAATTATCTACTGATTAAAAACATCTTTTAACTTATATTTGCAGCCTGATTTATCAAAATCTCTGTCAATTATGTAAAAAGAAAATGTCGAACCTTCATTAATCTTAGATTTTACAATCATTTTTCTATTTCCACCTAAACCCATAGCCAAATTATTAGTAATACTCAAACCAAATCCAGCTCCTTTTGTATTCAAGTATTTTGAATTTAATTTATTACCAAACGCTTCAAAAATCTCTTTAATATTAGCTTCTGGAATTCCACATCCTATTTATATTTTTATTTAATAACAAACTTATAAATTTTGTTTTAATTATATGCATACTAAATATTAAAAATTTTAAAAAATATTAAATAAAGACAGTTTAAAATCAATAAATAGGAATAGAATTTATAATATAAAATTCCCTATTTAAAATCAATATTTTAATTACAAAAACAATAAAAATTTTGGTTTAACTCACATATTATTTAAAATTTGTTTTATTAATCTAATATTAGTAATATTAGAAATAAATTTCTAATTTTAATTTTAAAAATTAAATAGAGAATTAATTTATTTTTAATAAATTTGATATTATTTTTTATGTTATCGGGTATAACACCTTCCTATTTATTTTTTGAATTACTCTTCAAGAAAAAATCTTTTTTCAATCTGATTTGCTTTTGAAAAATAAATGCCTCTTGATAAAATAGTAAATTAATTATGATTGATTTAATTAATGATTTTTATTATTTTCAGACTTAAATATTGTTTGAGTGAGTTACTTTTTAAGAAAAAACAATTTTAAATATAATTTCTTTATAATAAAAATTAACTTTTTTTACAATCATCTCCATATTAAAAAACTATTGAAAAATAAAAGAAAGGCTGAATAATTTGTTTTATTTTAAACTATTGGCAAATATTTGCAAAGTTCTTAATTAAAAAATTAACATTTTATTTAAAAAAGAAATAAAATATTATTTTTTAAAATTGAGATCAATAAAAAATAACTAAAAAATACATAAAAAGAGTGTATTTATTTATCCATATTTTTTTAGAAAAGATAATTTTAAAAAGAAATTTATTTACCTGTATCACTTACATCAACCCTAATTAGCTTTGGAGATTCCAAAGTGAAAAATATTCTAATAAAACCTTTCTATGTAAATTTCAAGGAGTTACATAATAAATTTAGAATAACTTACCTAATTCTGTTATAATCTGAATGTATATACTCTGGTAGATTTGTATCAAACGAACACTCAATTTGTATACCTTTAAGGGCAGCTTGATAACAAACCATTTCAATACATTCTGTAACTAATTCAAATAAACTTAAACGAGTAAAAGTTAATTAAAAATCTCCAGTATTAATTTAGGCATAATCAAGTATATCGTTAATAATATTTAATAGAATGTAGTTAGAATTTAAAGCAGGTTTAATAAGCATTTCTATTATTTCTTGAGTATCAAATTTTTCTTCTTCAAAATTTTTTATTAGAAGGTTGAGCATTTAGATACTGCAATTCAATGGAGTTCTTAATTCATGAGATATTGATGCTAGCATTCTATTTTTATATTCAAAAATTTCGTTTTAACTTATATTTTTAAGGAGAGTAGTATTATCCCAGTACTCAATTAAAATATAATAATCACTTTTAGAATTCATTTTTTTTCCTTAATAGAGACCAATTTTTAACCATTAGATTCTATTTTCAATATCATCTTTATTCTAAAGCAAAATTAGTAAGTCGTTTCTGTCCTCAAAATAAAATACATTTCTTTGCAAATTAACTTCTTCATAACTTTGAAAGTTATTATAATAAGCATTTTATTATTCTTATATCCTGCTTGAAGTTCTGAACCTTTAGAACTCATTTTTTTCTTAAGATTGAAAAATACTTTAAATTAAATCTTGAATAGTTGTAGCTTACTTTCGTTTAAGTATATCTAATGCTGATTATTATATTATTTACTGTTTTAATGAGCTAAATTTTTCATTAAAGTTAAATTAGGATTATTATTTTTTCCTATTTACGTTTTGGTCATTATTCAATATACTGTTTTTAATGTCTAAATAATTAACCTATTGCTAACTTTTTTGGTTTTAAAATTAAAACTATGATTGTATTAAGTTTGTTGATTTAACACTAGAGTTTATTTATATTCCAACATCATCTAATTTAATTATATCATCCTTGAATGAATATTTGCTTTCTGCATTATTTTTTTAATTCAATTAATTAATTTAAAGGTTGATGTTATTTTATTATTGAATATGACTTTCACTTCCTTATTTTATTTGCATTTATAAAAGTTTTTCATTTAAATTTTCTTACTCACTTAATTTCATTTACTTCTCAATGTATTTATTGTAATAAATGAGCTCAAATTGTTAATTAAACATGGCTAATCCAGTTTTTAAATTATCAACTATTTTTTTCAAAATAAAATCACTTTGCCTATTAAGATCTTAATTTATAAAATTCTCTGATGTTTTACTCTATTCCACTTTTAAATTGCAAGCATTACTTTATTTTTTACTTAGTTTACAAAAAGGAGAAAAGCTGTTGTTGTTGTTTACTTGAGTTTTAGCTTTAGAATTTATGGGATCAAATGAATTATTTTCATTTTAAAATTAAGATGAGTTATCAAGTACATTATTTTCTTCAACAACCTACCTATTATTAAAATCAATTGAATTCCTTTTATTATTTTGTATTTAATTTTAACACGATATAATTAGATCCTTATTTAGAGCTGATTTGTTTGATAAAGAGAAAGCAAATGAAATCGATACTATCATGAAAAAGCAAAACTATTTCACTTAATCAGAAAAGATACTTAGAGAAATTACCAATATTAAAAGGAGAATAAAGGATATCATTTTTATTTTTGAACTTTCTAGCTTAAGCAGATATGACTCTAAAAGAACCAAAAATATAGGAAACTAAGAAAAGCTATTCTTGATAATAATATATTAAATAATATAACATACAAAAATGAGAAGAATTAAAAGCAGAAAGAATTTATAAATAGGATGTTTTATGGCAATAAATTAAGATATTATTGATAAAATAAATAATATTGATTATAAAATGATCGGCGCTATGCATTCAAATGATCTTAGACACTCTTAATCATATGAAAACTCTACAAAATAAACCAGCTCATAAATGAAATTAGAAGCAATCAATATAAGATCATCGTAAAGCATTAATTTAATCAGTATTTCCTTCATCAGCTTTGATAAATGGTCTTATTTTGAAAAATGCATATTGTAATTCTAAGCAGCTAGCAATTTATTTAAATTTTATTACTAAAGAAGTTACTTCTACTTATTTATTATAAACCTTATTTTGCAATGTTAATTTAATCAATTATCTAAAATTTTTAATTAAATTTTCTTTATAAAAAATTAAAGCAGAATAATAATAATTATAGTGTTTATAAAAATTCCATAATCCTTCAATTTATTAATTAATTACTCATATCAATTTTTTAGTGAAAATAAACTAAAAATTATATTTTTCGCAATCAAATAAATTATTTTATTAACAAAATTACCCTCAATGATAAAAATACCATTTTTCTTAAATAAAAATTTATTTATTTTTAGCATAAATTCAAATATTGTTTAGTTGATATTCTCTTTCTCAGTATTAATTGTTCAATTATAATTTATTTAATATTTAAAACTTCCATACTTAAAAGTTGAGAAATTATAAATTCAATTTATTATTAATAAATAAGAATATTTTTCATCAACAAACAAATAAAAATTACTAAAAATGTTTATTTTATAAAATTTCTTAATTCAAGTTGGTATTATAAAGGAAAATAAAAAAATATTTTTTTTTGAATTAGGGATGGTTGTTAAAGCATGAACAGCTAATGTAAGATTTAATAAATAAATTAACAATAAATTAATTAAATTATAATTTTAAAGTAAAAATTGTATGTATCATTAATTATTTTCAATTATTTTTTAACTAACTTTTTATTTTTCATCTTCTTTAATTCCATCTGTTTTCTAAAAAAAAATAACGATGCATGTGATATCATCTCTGGAGAGACTTTCCTTTATTTTAATTTACATATTTTGAATTAATTATATACACTTTCTATAAATTTACTCTTTTCCATGCATTTGAAGCTTCAATAACTAATCTTTCAGCAGCCAAGTCAACTTATCCTTTCTCATAATATGGTTGAACTAACTTAACAGCATCATAATTTGATAAATATTCCCATAATCCATCAGATGCTACAATTATAAACTAGTCATCTTCATTTATTTCAGATTCAAGAATTTCTATTTAGATTAAAAAATACATATATTTAATAGAAAAAAATTATTTAGATATAATAAATTTATTTTACCTGGCTCACAATTTACTCCAGCTTATATTCCCACTTTATCCCCGAAACTTCTTGTCATAGCTAAACCTGGGATATCTAAACTACTCATCCAAACTCTTAAAGGTCCAATAGGATTTCCATAATGATCTACTTAAATAAAAAAAATTATAGCTTAATTTAATGGTTTAAAGTAAATAAATACCTTTTTGGCTCTATACTCTTCCTCCACTTTGAATGATTCTTTATTTTTCTCTATCAAAGCAAGGTTTATGATCTATAGAGAGAGGAATAGCTTGAATTTCGTTTCCATTTTTTTTCCTAGCTAATACTGCTCTCGAATCTCCGACGTTAGAACATATTATTGTTTTACCATGTATAAATACACTGACTAAAGTAGATCCACTAATTAAATAATTTAATTCAATTTAATTTTAATTAAAAAAATATTAAAAATTAATTACCTTAAATTTGAATCTACTTCAGACTTTAAAATGTCTGAATTCACAGCATAAAATGCCTACTGAATACAGTTTTTAAAATCTTATATATCTAAATCTCTAATACCTTCATTAGAAGTCTAAGCTTTTTCTTCTTTCTCACTTTTATCATTTTCTACTTTAATTTTCTATTATTTTTTGAAAATAATTTTCAAGTACTTCAAAACATGCTTATGAAGATTTTTCCTAATCATTCCTGAAATTAAATGTCCATTTACACCTTTTAAACAAATAAACAAATACATTATATTTGGCTAACTTGTTTTTTTAATATTATTAATAATAAAATAATCTGCTATCAGACTTTTTTTAAAAATATGTGCCTACTAAAATTTTATTGTTTAACGATATAAATAAACCTGTAAATATTAAGTTTATTTATAACTTGTATAATTTATCAAATAATTAATTAGTTAAAATTTAAATTGCATTTAATAAGAAATAAAACTTTTTAGTTTTTAAAATGAATCAGCTTCTTATCTATCTTAAAAACAATAAAAATTTATTTACAAATATAAAAAAAGATTTACTTTAAATTATGTAGTTCTTTTGAGTATAAAAATAGCTGATAATTTTATCAATAAAATAATATAAAATATCAATTTCAATATTTGCTTAAACAAGTTTGATTATTTTTATTTGCTAATAAATTAATATTATTTGTTTAGACTAGGTAAGCTTGATTATAAAATTTTTGCAATTTAAAATACTAACGAAAAAAAAAATTTACCATGTCCATCACAAACAGCAAAAAGAGAGATTCCTTGTTCTCCTAATTGTTTTGGATAAATGATAGGACTATCTTGATTTGTTTTTGGATTTTTATCAAAAGTGCAGCCTGCTTTTGTTTTACACGAGAACTTAAATCTTCTATCAATTGATTCCTTAATAATGATATATTTAATAATAATGTAAAGAAAATAATTTTATAATATACATTAAATCTTTTGATAGCTAATTATTGATTAGATAAATCCTTTTGCTACTATTATTCTATTTTGGTAGATAAGTAAGGGATGGAAATCTTTTCCTTGCGTATTTAAAATATAGAAGAATTATTTTGTTGAGTGGCAAGATTTTGATTAGTGCTTTCAGAATTAAGCAGCCTTAGTTACAACAACGATTTATATTTATCTGAGATAGACTTCTAATTGGCCATTAACCTATCACCATTTTCCTGATCTTAATCAGTTATTAAATAATCTCCAAGCTTTTTTAGAGGTTTTTGGTGAATTGACCTTTAGTTTTTAGATTTTTATTGTTGTTATAAATATGAATTATATTCGTTAGTTTCATTAGAAATATATTTATTCTTTTGCTATTAATAGTTATTTGAAGGTAGATAATTTGCTATTTAGTATTCAGAAAGTTTCTTTAGTTTTGGAAGACTTTGATATGCATTTAAACATACTTCACCTAATAAATAAATAAAGAAATAAATTCATCATAAATAAGAATAAATTTTTAAAAATCAACAAAACTAATTTAATATTATTCAAATAAACAAATAAACAAGACTAAAATTTAGTTTATAATAAATTAAATTCTACTTTTTCTCTGTTAATTATAATTTTGTAATGGAACAATAGGTCTTTTTTTGTTTAAATTATCAATTTAAGGGAAATTTAGATATTATCTATTTGGACTTAGGGTTGTGGGCTTTTGTTCTTCTTATATGTAAGAGCGATTTTCTTCTTTCAGCTTTAACAATGAAGATCTGTGATTACTGATTTATAAGCCATTTTTTTCATTAAAACTTTAATTTAATTTATAAATTAAATAATTTTATTTTACATTTTTAATTAGCTAACTTTGTTTCTGTCTGTTGGCTGTTAGCTGTTTGGATCCTCTTAGTCTAAATTTTAAAATCAATAATATAATACATTATTAAAAAAAATAAAGTGATAAATGCACAGCTAAATTGCAATTTTTACTTGAATTTAAACTGAGCATATTTATTTAAAGGTCAGTTTCTAGTTAATTATTTTTTTTTGAGTTATTTTCTGGATAGTAGCTGCTTTAAATATTTTCTAATTGAAAATCTTCTGAATGAATTGTTTGAATTGGCTACAACATTTCTATTACTTTTTAAGTAATCTTAGTATTACTTAAATTGTTTTTACTATAATTTGTTTTAATCAACGGATTACTAATTAATTATCAATATTTAATCCGCCTATTATTTGATTTGTAAATTAGTTGCAAACCCCATCATATACATAATAATAATTAAAAAATAGTTGAAAAAATATGGCCAGCTATTTACACCTCTTTATATTACTTTTTTGCTCACTATCATATTTATGAAATAATTTCAACAAAAAATTCAGAAATAAAATAAAAAATCATAAATTAATTTTACAAAACATTTAAAAATAAAGAGAACAAGTTCTTTTATTTTTTAAGAGTAACATTGAATTAATATATTTGCCAAAGTTAGCAATTCTTTAATTTTGATGAAGTTTTAAGTTAATTACTATAAACAGGAAAAATAATATTCAAGAAAATAACAAATTCAAAAAAACTTTAAAAAATAAAAAGTATTTTTTTAATTTATAATTATGATTAAATATTAATAAAAAATAAAAATTTTAAGAAAATAATTTAAATTTTTAAAGCTAAAATTTTTTTTGTTTTTGAAATACTAATTTTCAGATAATTAATAAGAAGGAATTGCTTAGAATATTGAGATACAGACCATTTTTCTTACTTAGCAATAAATATAAAAGATTTGTACTTTTAATAACATAATACTAAATGAGTAACATATTAAATACTCAATTTATAAAAGAAAATAAACATTTTTCTTAAAATTTAAATATTTTTATAAATTTTATAAAATATTAACAACACAAATTTTTTTAAAAATTAAGTAAAATTTTAAACATAATAAACTAAATTTTAAAAGAGAGTAATATGTATAAAAATTAAAAAAGTAATCATTTAATAAAGTATTAATTATTTATTATAAAAACAAGTTATAAATAATATTTAGAGGGTAAATACTAAATTAGCTTAAAAATTATGATATAAGCCAATAGATAATATTTGTTTTATTAATAGAATCATGATTAGTATTTAATTATAGTATGTTTATAATAAATAATATATAAATTTGGTTACTATTTAAATAAGATGAATAGTCATGTATTTATTTGTTTATTTATTCATTCATTCATTTATTATGGTTTCAATATTTATTAGAGTTTATTACCTATGTTGACAATTTATTATTTTTAATTGGATGGTTTTTTGTTCATTTTTATTTATTAAAAGTAGTATTTTCTTTGTATAAATTAATTTAAAAGCATTTAAACAGAAACAATAAAGTTAACTAACTTGCTGGTATTTCTTACTTACTTACATACATATAGTATTTTTCAGTTTTTAGGAAGGGTTGGACTTTATAATGAGTAGTTTTTTATGTTAAAATCCCAAGAATTTACAAAATTAGGCTCATTATTATCTCCCTTTTATTATTCTAGAGAAATAGTTACTTTTATTAAGTTATCTTCTTTTCCTTCTAATTAAATAGGTGGTTTCTTTGGAACAGGAGGAAGCAGTTTTCTATTTTTATAATTAATATATAAGCTATATCAAATTAAATTAATAAATAAGATAATTACTTATTATATACATCTTCCCAATTTACGTCTCTAAAGAAAGGATGGCTCTTTACTTCTTCTGCTCCTTTGGAACCAAGTCTTTAGATGGGATCTTTAGATAGGAGCTTGTTTTTAAAAAATTAATGAATAAAAAAAAATTATGATTTTGTTTAATTACTCCTTTTAATAAGCTTTTGGCAGCATCAGAAGCTTGTTTTGGCATCTTAAGAGGTGCATTACGAATATTGTCAAATAATTTTTATTTATTATCACTGTAATATGGTGGCATTCCTTCAAGTAATTCATACATTAATACTCCTAGTAAATACCAATCTAAACTTTGTGTATGCCCTGTTTTGTTTAGCATTTCAGGAGGCAAATAGGCTAATGAACCACAAAAAGATTTTGTTATATCTCCTCTTTGCATACCTTGTTTAGCCAGCCCGAAATCTGTAATGCATGCATGTCCATCTTTGTCCAATACGACATTCGAAGGTTTTAAATCTCTAAAAACTATATTACTGTTATGAAGTGCTTCAAGAGCTAGTATAATTTCACAAATATAAATCTTTGCTATTGGCTCTGGAATTCTACCTTTACGGAATAGCAAATTATCTAAATCACCACTTTTATATAAAAATTTATGAATATTTTTTATTTTTTGAATTTTAAAAATCATTAATGTTCTTAATTAATTAATTTATTTATTGATTACCCTGGGCAATAATCCATGACTAAATAGAGCTTATTTTTGGTTTAAAAGGCATATTTAAGAGAAACAATAAATGGATGTTGCATAACACTCAGTACATTTCTTTCTGTCAATGCATATTTTAATATATTTTTACCTAGAATTCTTTCTTTTTGAAGAACCTTCATTGCAAAAAAGAGCTTATCATCTTTTTTCTAAACTAAAAATACTTAACCAAAGGCACCTTTACCAAGGGTCTCTACTATAGTAAAATCGTTTGGACCAACCGAATTTTTTGAAGAAGACTCCTATTACAGCTCAACTTGCTTGAATTATAGCTGGTTTTTGGCTAATTTTTTAAAATGTTCAACTATTGCTGCTCCTTAATTAGGTTTTTCTTCCTTAACATTCTATATTTTTTTAAAAATCTAAGCAAAATTGATTAAAATATTTTGATAGTTACTTCGCTGGGTTTAATAATCGAATTGTGATCAAAGTTTTTAGTAAGTCTTAACAATTTTGAAACATGATCTTATCTACTGTTTCTCATAATATTATTGTTAAAAAATGTACGATTATACATATCTTTTCTAATTAAATTTTCTGAATTAATTCCCTTTTCAGCTGCTTTTTAAGATATGAGCTAGTATATGTCAAAATTTTATAATTCTTCGCAAGGAGTATTACCTATATGGTTTTTGATTGTCATATCGACATCGTAATTAAGCAAAAGCTCAACAATTTTATTGAAGCCGTATTTACAAGCATAATGTAATGGAGTATTGAACTCTTTATCTTATTCATTTATGAATGAAGAGTCATTTTCTAAAATAATCTTTATGCACTCATGACTTCCTCTGATACTTCCTAAATGAAGAACTGTATAATCAAAAGAAGTTTTTGCTTTCAGGTCAGCACCCTTAGATATTAAATACTAAAGTATATCAGCATGGCCTTCATTGCATGCATAATGAATAGGAGTCCATTCATCATGCCATCTAAATTTTAATAATTTTTAAAATTTATTTAATTGATTATAATTTATTTATTTATTATTATTTTTTTTGTTGTTGTTGATTGATTGAGTATTGGATTTCTAAATTTGCTTTGATTAATCTTTTATAATATTAACACTTACATGATGAAATAAATATCTTTAATTAGAGTTATTTAGAAAAAGACTCAGTTCAACTCTCAAAAATAGCGATTGTTGTAATTTATTGTGTAGTTCAAAAATGAACTATTGAAATGTTTTTATTAATACTAAAATTTTTGTTTATATTGATATTTATTATTACTTTATATCTACAGTAAATGGTACATTCTACTTATCAAGAATTTCTCTGAGGCCTATCAAATCGCCCATTTAAACACAGTCAAAAAAATCCTCTTTCATCCTTTTAATTTATCTCCTATTTTAATTTCACAATAAAAAATATTTTAAAATATGATTAATTTTAATTTAGCATGTTTAATATTTAAAAATCATCATTTAAATACTCTAAAATTCTATTTTTAAATGTCATTTTCTTTTGTAATTGTGATTAATTAATTTAAGAAGGTTTAAAAAACAAATAAATACCAGTAATCATTCCAGGCCTTTGTTTAACCCTATTCAGCAACTGGAGTAATAACATCATACTTAGAATTTATTTCTTCTATTTTTTTTTCTTCTCTAGCATCATAAGAGACTCCGCTATCAAGGTCCTTTATCATAAATGAACCAAGATTATCATAATAATCCAAATATTTATCAGCTGTTTATTTATTATTTTCTAATGCTTGTGGAGAATTCTCGCTTTAAGTAAAAGGCAATACTTCTTTTGTACTTAATTAACTATGACTCATTTAAGTATGCCACTAACAAAATGTCTAATATCTGTACTTATTTTATCTAAATCAAACAAAATCCTCCTACTGTAAATATTTATAAATGTTATATTGATTCTTATGTTTTTTAATTATTTTTTAATTAAAATTAAAGTCTTTCTTGCAAAATCCTTTCTTTTTTTAATAGGCAAATGATTAGCTAGTTAGTTTGTTTGAGTAATAATCAAGACTAAAAGGTTGATCCTATCAATTCTTTTAATGTTAGGATAACCCTGGTAAATAAATTACTCATTTTATCACTAAGTAGCCATCGAATATATCATTTATCTTTTTAATTTATTTGCTAGTATTTTTTCTGCCGTAACCCAAACAAAATCTTTATCTGAATCAAAATAGCTCATTTACATCTGATGGCTAATAAGCAAATTTTTGGTAGTTTTTTTGAATTGTTTCTTTGGTTTTCAAAATTATTTAAAAACATAATAATCAAATAAATACTATTATACCAATCAAATTCTAAATTTGCGTATTATAAATTTTAAAAATATATTAATTATATGAATTAGATTCTTCATCTAGATATTATAAAATATTTGATCAGCTAGTAAATAAATAATTAATTAAATAAATAAATAAAAATAAAATTCAAGAAAGTTTTTAAAAAGGTATTTCTTTATTTATAATTTTTTAAATAAACTTCTTTTTTAAAAAAATAATATATATTACAACAAATAATGGTTTACAAAATAAGCAAACAGTGAATATATTTTTAAGTTGATTCAGAAATATTAGCAAAAAAATAATCTAAATAAAATTTTAGAGTTTTTGCTTATGGCTTATTTTATATGAGAAAATATGAAAATCTTTTGTTTTGGCTTTAATTTTGAAGACGTATATTACTTTTTCATATGATATAAATTAATATTAAAAGTTAAAAATTAATAGATTTTTTGTTTGAATTTAAGCTTATATTTTTCAAGTGATAAAATAATGAACGAATATTTATATTTCTTTTTTTAGTTGAGATTTCAAAATTATTCGAAATCAATTCTTTTATAATTCTAAAAAATCTATACTAACATCTCTCTTTATTAACAAATCAAATCGATTTACCAAAACATATATTTGATTTTTTTAAGTATTTAAGAAAAATTTTATCATAGCTTGCAAAAAATATCTTTTTTTTGTTTTATTTGTTTGTCTTCTACATAAAATTGTATATATTTTTAATTATTAATGACATTTTTATTAATTTTTATATTTTTATAATAAATTAAATTAAAATTTTGAGTTTAAAATTTGAATAATTATCTATCAATGTATATATCAAAATAATTATATATCTCTTTCTTTTCTTTATTTAACTTTTTCATTTTTCTTAGATTTGGATATCTTCTAATATAAACTCATTTTAAGAATTAGAAACTTGCTGATCAGAATTAAATTTAATTTACTTTTAATTTTCATTGTTCACTCCTAACATTTATTCAGTATTTTTATGCTCCTCAACAAAGCAATTTTCACCTTATTTTATATTAGTAATAGAATTCTTCTTCTTTTTTTATTTTTGAGCTGATTGCTTTTTATTTTATTGCTCAGTTTCTTATTTTTAATTCTTCATGTATTATTGGATAGTATATCCTGTCCAAGTTCCACTTAGACTTTCTTCTGCATCAAAATTATATCCATCAAAGCTCTCTCTAAAGAACTCTTCGTTAAGCTCAAACTGTTAAATGGTTAATGGTTCTTGCTTTACCTTTGGTTTTGTTTCCTTTATTTCATTTACAGTAGGAATTTTATTTTTACTATTAATTTTTTTACTGCTCTTTTAGTTAAGTTAATTTGGTTGAGTACTACTAATATTTGTTTTTGTTTATGGATTAAATGAGGGACTAAGCTTTTCGTTTTATTTTGCCTCACTGTTTAATCCGTTTTTATTTTATTTATTCTAGCTTGCTAAATCATCTTATTGATTTAATTTTTAAAATTCTGATTAATTATAATTAGAAATTTAGCAAGGGATTTCATTAAATTTGTTTTTAGTTGATGTCAAATTATGCTAAGCTGAGCTAATACCAATTTAATCACTATCCTTTTTTTTGTTTTATCTTTATTAATTTAGTTGCTATTCTTTCTGATTGATTTCAACATATTCTGATTTTTAAGAATTATACTATTTATTTGTTTAAATTTAATTTTATTATTTAAAATTTCCTGAACTTGTATTTAGCTTTTTTTGCTATACCTAATTTTAGCTTATTTCTATTTATTAGTTCTTTAAAGGTTCTTTTAGAGTGTTCACTCCATTAATGCTTATTTATATTTAGCCATTTTTGTTAAGCATTCCTTAGTTTTAGTTTGTATATATTTAATTATTTTAATAATCAATACTTATTTTTTCATCATTTTGTTAAATATTTGTTTTATCTGACATTTGAATTTCTTATGATTCTTGAGATAAATTTAGTGAATTTACTTAATTTGGTTGCAATGATAAATAATCTTTAGTAGAGTTTATAATATTATTTGGACTTAGTTATTCGCTATTATTTGGTTTGTTTTAAATAATTTACTAGTTTTTATTTTTGTTTGAGTTTGTACCTTAATTTTACTTTTACATAGCTTGAAGCTGGTTATTTTATTCTTTCTAAATTTGGGTATTTTATAGGTGAGGTTGAATACTTTATTATTATTACTATTAGCTTTACCCATTTGTTACCTATTGAAATGGTATATTTGATTATTTTTGAAGTAAAGTATTTTATTAAATGTGAAGTTAAATATTTTATTAATTGATTTATTATTACTCTAAAAATTGATCTATTCCAGATTTATCATGAATCTTATTTTATTTATTTGTTTAGTTGTTTATTTTGCTCAGTTAGTTACCAGGATTATTTAATACATCATTAGCATTTATTCTAGGTAAAAGTTATTTATTTGAGTGACCAATGTTGCTGATTTATTTTGTTAAGGCTTGTAATTTGTTTTATGAATCTGTATTCATTTAAAAATTAGAATTTTGAATTCTCTTAGCTGAGTTACTTGGAGGTATTTTTTTTAAAGAAAAGCTTTCTTTGGCTGAAAGAGGAGCATGCTTTTTTGTTGTAATTTTTTATCCGTCAATAATAAATCCATTTTCATCATTTAAAACTCTCAATTCCCCTTTTCTGCTTGTTTCATTTTAAAATCTTTCATTTTCTTCGAAACTCAACTATAAGTTTTAATGCATATCTAATTGATTATGAGATCCTTTATGAGAACTAGATGGTTTTTTGTTGCAAGTTTATAGATTTTTTAGTGATAAATGCTAATTATTTTATATTTATTTGTTGATACTTCTTGAAGTGGTATTTATTGATTGATAAATTTAATTTTTAGAACTCTATTCTTCATTAGCTAATTAAATTTGATGATTTTAAGGCTTTTTAAAGTACGGCTTTGCTGGCAATTAAACTAAGTTAGTGTTGCTTTAATATTTTTGTTAATTAAGCTAAGGGATCAATGCAGGCGGAGTTTCTTATCTATAAAGTTCATAATTTGAAGGCATTTTGCTATATTTAACTACAATTTTATTATCTCTACTTTGAGGTGTTTTGCTATGAATTTGTGTTGTATATTCATAATTAACTTCTGCATTAGAATTGCGAACTTCTTAGAGATTAGATGATGATTTTTTTAAATTTTAGTTTTAATTTTAAATAGATGCTGTTATTATTTTATTTTAAAGAGCCGCATACTTTTCCTAAGTGTTTGCTCTTTCTAGCCTGATAGCCTAAATTTCTAAATTCTAAAAGTTATCCTACTTAAGCTAATCTTTTCTTTAAATGCTAGGAGGTAACAATTTACCTTTCATTTTATTAAAGAAGAAAACTCTTTAAAAAATATCTTACTTCTATATTTTAAATATTTATTATAATTAAATGTTGCTTTCGTTATTTGATTTATAAAACAATAACTAATATCCACTTACTTAATTCAAAGGCAAACTATAATATTAATAATTTATTTACCAATATTTATTATTGAAAAGTTCTAAGTAATCAAATTAAAAATAATTTTTTAGAATAAAAATGTGCTTTTAAATTATCAAATTTATTAATCATTTAATAAATATATTATTTTAATTTAAAGATTAAGATATAGCTATCATTAGATTTAATTCTTATATATTTTATATTACTATCTAAAAGTAAATTTACAAGAAGTTTAGTTTATTTTTTTATATCTTAAATAAATTATTATTAACTCCTGAAAATTTAAATCTACTATTAAAAGATTAATAAATACAACTTAATAAGTGACTTAAATAAAACTTTTTATTTAAAATAAAATTATTTAAGATGAGGTATTAAATGAAAATTGATGAAAATTATTTATAAAGGGTTTAAGTAATTCTTTTTTATAAAAAATTAATTTAAATAGACATACTAATGCTATTTTTAACAAGTTAAAATAAATAAATAGATTCATTTTAATCAAATAAATAATATTTTGTCATATTAAATTCAAGATAATTATTTTTTTTAATATTTAAAATATGTTTATTTAACAAATGAACAAATTAAAAAAGAGGAATATTGACTATAACCTGTAAACATTATTATTAAATATTCTCCCTTCTTAATTAATTAATTGATTTCCTAAAATTAACAAATTTATTGATACTTATCACACAAAGTTTATCATTAAATTTATTTGTGATAGATTAAAATTAATTAAAATTCTAATTTATTTAAAATTTGTTTTTGTTTTTATTAGATAATAGAAATTAACTCATTTACATACTTATTTATTTATTTATTTATTTATTTATTATAAGTAGACAAACTAGTTTTTTAATAAAATTATGTAATCAAATCTATACTATTATTTAATCTTATATATTTAGTAATAGCCATGTTCTATTATCATAAATATAAATATATAATTTCTTTTATAAATTTAAATTTATTGATATTACTTTTATAAATACCTTTTATATTTATTGTTGGATGGAATTTAAATTATTTTCTTGAAATTAATACTTTTTTTACTTTGTGATAGATTTATAATTTGTAATAAAGTTCAGCAGAAGCATAATAGAAGATCCTTTTTATATTTTTTACATCTTTAAGAATTTTAATATTGTCAGTAATAGAGAGATTCCTTTGAATGATAAATATTCACAGACAAAAGAAAATTTGCAAAATATTATTACCAATTTAAAAGGTAAATAAATGAAAAATACATACAGAAAAGAGTTCAAAAAAAAAAATCAAAGTATTAATCAATATCAAATTAAAGCAAACGAACCAAAAAATAATATAAATTATCTCTTGTTAATAACAAAAGCATATTAAAAGGAAAAAAATAAATTGTATATTGAATTTATTGATTTACATTTATTAGATTAGCAATATCAGTAAGAGATAAAAAAATAATAAACAGATAAATAATTTACAGGCCATTAAAAGCTAGGAAATATATTAAGCGGAGTCAAAAATTTCAAAACCCAAATAAATTAACTTCCAGTAAAGATTTCTTTTCAATTTATTTTGAGGACTGGCATTATGTTTCAATAACATCATATTGTTATTACAATTATTTCATAAATGATTATAGCTGCTAAGAAACACATGGAATTATCCATAAAAATTAGATTAAAATAAAACTAGAAAGTTGTAAAGAGAGTTGATAAGTTTAAATAAAATTCATAGATTTACTAAAAACCAAACTTTATTCTATATCACTAAAGATAATTGTTTATAGGAATGAACATTTCTAGTTTTTGAAATATTCTAGTTTAAATTTCATTTTTTTTAATGCAAAAGTTTGGATTGTTTTGAATTTACTGCAATAATCCTTAATTTTTGTCACCCTACTAAGTTAGCTGAGCAATTTTTTAATGAAAAATACATAAAAATAATTAGTAAATTAATTAATTAAATGCAAGAGAACAATGCTTACCATAAATAAATTATATGGGATGAGAGATATCAACAAAAATAAAAGACAAAGAAAATAATAAGCATAAATAATAGTTTAATAAATAAATAAAACAATCTCATTTATTTTTAATTGAAAAAACATAGCAATTTATTAAACAAATAACTAATTTCAAACAGATCAAGAGAAATGAAGAAGTAGCTTGAAGTCTCAATTATCGACAACAATATATTCTATAACTTATTGCAAAGAGCATCATCTTCATCAAAGAACAAAAATAATTTTATTATTTATGATATGTCTGGAGGTGAATGTTTGACTGATGACTTCTAAAATTTTATTAGCATAAATGAAGATGTCTCAAAGTTGCTTAATTAAGGCAAAGATGAGTCTGTCAAATTAACAGAAATTTAAAAAATACTATCAAAGGAGAAAGAAGAGCTCTTCAGTAAGTCTAAGAGATATTTTAACTTCCTCCTCGTCCAACCAAAAGACAGCGAGTTTATAAATCTGTTTAATCAGGTTTTACAATCATTGCAGAAAACTAATAATTAGAACTTATCAGATGAGGAAATCAGAAGCAATTTGCTCTTGCATAGCGGTTAAATAAAGATTGAATGCGATCTATTAGCAAACGAAATATAGAAGAAATTGCAGGAGCATCCAGATATTGAAGCAAATTGTAGTTAATAAATATCAAACTGGCGTAAAACTTTATCACTTTACAAGATTTTAAGAAATAATAAAATCAATGAAATCCATATCCTAAGAGAATCCGCACAGTCATTCTTTAATTCTTATCCTTTTATGCACAATTACTTCATCAGCTTGAATAGTAACGATTCTTAAATCAATTTATTTTTTGTTAAATTCATTTCTTTATTTTTTTACTTTCTCCTCATATGATAGTGAGCAAATCATAATATAGATTACTAAAATGAATTAGGTGCTTCTTAGTAGAGTTATCCTAATGATATTTTATTCAATCGTATGTACTTCGGTAACTGGAAACACGCATCAAACGAAGAGATCATCAACTCAATCGGAATTACTCACATTGTAAACATGACCTGCGAAGTTGATAACTACTTTGCATCTAACCGTAAAATATCTACAATTAATAATTCATAAACTTTAATACCTTCAATCAATAAATAAACATCCTCCTCCTTTTCAGCATTAACCCAAGCTTAATATCAATAATAACATAATCATCATCTTTAAAACTCATAATAAGAAGCAGAAATAGATTAAATTATTTTAGAAAAACGATTTTCTTTTTAATTAGATTAAAATGTATAACTTTAATAAGTCATATTTGAAGAATTACCAAATTTGAATTTAAGCTAATCTCCATCACAATGTGCAAATATTTAAAATTCTACAATGACAGCATCAATAACCACTAAATCTATGCATAACAGCATCATCACTACTACTACAACTACTACTAATACACCAATGCCATAAACAACTTAAGCATAATCTATCAATTCTTCTCACACTCCTAGTACTTCTAATAAAAAAAATTACTCACATAATTATCTTTTTTACCATCTTCTCTCAAAATTCTCCACAAAAATCATCGAATTCCCTTCTAAAATACAGCTCAATATAGCTTTCACTCCTCTCTTTTAATTTTTCTTTTCATTTATATATTTCAAATACCTTTTATTTATTTTAATTATTATATTTTATTTATTCATGATCAAATTCAATTAAGAAACTCATTCTAATTTAAAAGAAATTTTCACTTAAATCAGTTTGAAATATTTCTTACTTCTTATTTAAATTATTATTTCCACTTAATTCCATCTTCATTTCTTTTTGAATTGAAAAAATTATTTAATTTTTGAATTAAACTTCTTAATTACTTAATAACTTAAAATCATACACATTCTTAATCATATACTTAGAATTAGCTCTGATAAGCGAAATAGTTAAATCGTCATCTTATTATTATAGCAATAAAGGAATATATAATAAAAAGTTAATATAATCTATCTATCTAAAATATGGCTTTTATAACACTCTAAGAAATCAAAAAATGCATCAATCAATCAATAAATCAATCGATCGATCATATTTTTTACATTTAGAAATAATTAATTTTAAATATTAATATAATTAATTAATTGGTGGATAAAGCTTAAATTACCTATTAAATGTATGCATAATTGCGAATAATTAACAATAATAATAAGAAAGTCTGATATATAATCAGATGAATACAATAAAAATAACTATGATATCACAAATAAACAGCAAAATCAGAAATAATTCATTTTAAATATATACTTGTTCATAAATTAAATATAATGAGAGGAGATTAATGATATTGAGCTTTTCTTAAATAAGGATTTCGATTAATGAATTCATTTATCAATTGCATTTATTTTGGGATTTTATTACTTACTTACTAACTTACTAATTAGAACATAATTAATAATATTAGAGAATATAACTTACCTGAAAATCAATATTGAAGATGAGGATACTTCAAACATACAATAGCACTTCAAAGAAACTTATCAATTCATTGCATCTGCAATTAGCAAACCCAACAACAAAATTCTTATCCACTGTGCACAAGGAAAATCTCGCTCAGCTACTATTGTTTGCATGTATTTGATGAGGACATTCAACTGGAGCTTTGATTAAGTATTTTATCATTTAATTTTTCTCCATATTTATTTGATTTTTTTATTATAGACCTTAAAATATGTTTAAGATAGAAGAGAAGTTGCTAATCCAAATTATGGGTTCGTAGAGTAATTAAAAAGCTTTGAATAAAATTAATTTATGTTTGATGGTGAATCATTAGACGAGTTTGCTCAGTCCAAAAAATAGAATCAATTAAGTTAAGTATCTGACTAAGCAGAATTGAATGAATCAAACAGTGTAAAAAAATAATTGATTCAAAATTTTGAATAATCTGTAGTAGAAGACATTTAGATAGCTTAATGAAAGTTCTCATTGTATTAATAATTATAATTTAAATTATTCACATTAAAGAACAAGAATAATTCAATATCCTTATTGCTCAGTAAGAATTTAATTGCAAAACATCAAATCTAAATAAGGAAACTTAAAATATAATTATTTGAATCTAAACAAACTTACCTCATTATAAACACATACCAGACATTTATCCATTAACTAATTTATTAAAATATAAAGCCTATAAATAACCAACTAAAGTTTAAAATAAACAAACTTATAACCTAATCATCCTCTTTTTAAAATGAAATACTCAAATTAATTAACAATTATTTTCTTATTTCTATAAAACCAATAAACCAAATAATAATAAAAATCCTAAAATTAATAAATAATTATCTCTGTATTTCTTTTATTTATCCTCTAAATGGCTCATTTTTATTTATTTACCAGATTTTCATTAATATTTTTAAATATTTATTTTATTAATCACTTACAATAAATAAATAAAATAATTGAACACTTGTTTATGTTTTAATTTAACAAATAAATTAATAATAATTATTTTATTTTCATAGAGTTATTGATTGAATAAATGTTAACTTTTAAAAATATATTTTGATAAATAAATTTATATGTTTAAATTAGCATATATAAATATTTATTATCATTCAAATTTAGGTTTTATTTCAATCTTTTATTACTATTCAATGTTAAATATTCGTAAATTTATTATTTAAAATACATTGTTTCTTTAAGCCCAAAATAAAAAAAATAATACAAATAATTTATTTTTTTATAGGTAGTTAATCTAATTAAACATAATATGTATTATTAACTTATTCTATTAGTACATGATCATTATTTATTTTCTTTCAATTCAATATATTTTTAAGTTTATAAAAAAAAAATAATATTTCATCCTCTTCTCCAATATATATAATAAATAAATCTAAAATCAAAAAATTTAATGTAATTAACATATAATCTAAATAAATAATTGAAGAATAAACAACTTATGTCTTCAAAATAGTATATATAAATCCTCTTTAAATAAATGGAATCATTATATTTGCTTTATCAGAGCTGAGTAACTCATCTAATTTTATTCATAATTTAATTTTTCAAAATGAAGATCTGAATGAATTATTGTCCATTTTTAAATTAAATTAAGAAAAATTTAAAAGAAAATGAAACATTTGTATTTAATGTTATTGCATTTAAATTAATAGAAAATATTTTTTACTGTTTAGATTTAAATAGAAAATAGGTAATTTGTGTTACTTATTAAGATAAATACGAATATATTGTCCTTTAAGATAAAACAACTTTATTTAAATTATTTATTTTAAGTAATTAATTAAGAAATTAATTAACACGTAAAGATAAAAAAGAATAATATTTTTAGATTTATTCTACAAATTTTGATGATTTAATTTAAAAAAGAACTAATTTTACTTTAGAAACTATGAAAAATATTAAGAGTGAAGTTTATCCATATAAAAGCAGTTCAAAATAATTATAAAAAGTAAAAAAAGAGGATATCATTTATGTAAATGACTATGAGTAAAAATAATAAAAATTATGAATGATGTAAAAATGAATTTAAAATTAAAAAAATTTAGATTATATCAAAACTTAATGTAAAAATGCTATTAAATTCAAATCATTAAACAAAAATACAAATTATTTAATAAAGGCAATTTCTTAATTCAATTATTCGAGAGGAAAAGTATAAAATAAAGTAAGATATTATATTTTAATAGATGATCAAATATACATATCAAACACTTTTTTAGAAAAGTAAATCTAAAATAAATATAATGATTAAAATGTTTAAATTAATGATTTTAATGCTGTATTATAAACAACTGTTGAGAGAACAACAGAAAATAAAAATAAAGAATTATATTGCTAAATAACATTTTGATACTAATTATATTTATTTAAGATTTTATTTATTTTACTATTATATACAAATGATAATGATTTCTTCGAACTAATAATAAATTTAATTATAATCATCTTTATGTTTAAATAATAATTTTTAAAAGTAAAAAGAATTTAAAATATAAATTAAAAAAATTTAAATCACATAAATGACATTTTAAGAATTAATACAATTTTATTTTAATATTGATGATTTTAATGTTCTTTATTAATTTTTCATTTAATAAATATTCAAACATAATAATTTATTATATTTATCCTAAGATTGTATCCTTAATAAAACAATATCATATGATTTATTATCCAATTTAAATAATTTTAATTCTATTAGAAAATTATCTGGTTTTAGATTAAATGAAAACAATATTATTAACATTGATAAATTAACTATTAACAAAATAACAAAACAATAATATTTACTAATATAAACAAATATTACACATGACTAAATTATTAATAGTTTTAGTTTCATTTTTAATGATTAATCTAAAACTGTATTAACAAAAAACAATATATTATTTTATTTAAATAGTAATGATTATGTATAAATATAAGTCAATAATGTTAAAGACATATTTAATCAAATAATCTAACATATTATTTAATAAAATATTAGTTTCGAGTAATATAAATACAATACTAATTATGATTAATGCTTAAAATGTTTAAAATATAAAGATTTAGTTCATCCTTTTATAAATTGTTGTGATGCATTAAACAAATAATGTTCAAAAATATAATATTGTTAGGATTGTTATAACGAATCCTTATATTTAAATAAAATTTGTATCAATTGTAAATTATAATGTAAATATGATCAGGATATTTAAAAGTATAAAGATGATATTTTCAAATAAAAAGCAAATAATTTTTGGGATAATATATATTATAATGACATTGAGGATTAAGATACAATTGACGAATAATATGAAAAATTTAAATAAGAAACAAATGAGGAATTATCATAATTTCCATACAAATATAATAAAATGTGTTGAGTTCTTATCAAAATATATTATTTTAACTAAAATAAAGTATATCTCAATATAATTAGTTAGGTTAAATCAATATTTAAGAGTTAAATGGTAAATTTTAGTAATGATTTATAAAACAGGTATAGCGCAAAAATAATCTAAATTAATTAAATTATCTCCTTTATTAAAAAAGTAATATAATTAAAAATAGTAAAATGTATTGATTCATCTTATTTTGATTAAAAATTTAATTCAGATTTTAAATAATTTTAAAAAATAAGATTTATTGTAATTATAATTTATTAATGGAAATTATAAAATTTAAAATTAATAAATAATAATTCTTATTAAAATAATATCTTAATGGATATATTAAATTTATTTAAATGACTTATTTGTCTGTATGATTTATTTTAGTTTTAAATTACTTGTTAAAGCAATTATCTTAAAAATAAAATCTTTTGGACATTTAATCTTAACGCTCAATTAAAATTCATCTTAATAATAAAACTTATATTAAAAATCAAAATTAATTCCATTAAAATGCAAGAAGAATATAATAAATATAATAATTTAACATAAATATTAAATTGTCAAAATCATTTAAAAGTATAATCTTAATATTCAAATAAATTTCATCTTAATAATACAACTTTTATTAAAAATCAAATGATTTGGAAACATAATCTTAATACTCAATTAAATTTCATCTCTAATATAAAATTATATTTAAAATCAAAATTAATCTAATGTTAAATTTTAATACATTGAAGTGATATTTATTTATTAGATTGCATTTTCAAATATTAAAAAAAAATGTCTGTTTTTTGTATGTGTTTTATGTAAATTTTTTTTCTAAAATATATTTTCCCTTAAACTACAATATATATATTTATATATAAATTCAAAAATGTTCATAATCACAGTTTAAATTTTATTTCATATGGTTAATTGCAAATTATAACCTGGTCAAATTTTTTTTAATTTCTTCATTTGAATCATTGTTTGATGAACTTAACATTTTTTAAATGTGATCAAATAATTCTTAGTAATCAATTGGTTCGCATTCAACTAATCTTATTGCTAATAAGTAAAACTCCAAAAATTATATGAGGTGTTCTGCATCTTCTTGATGTTTGTTTAACATTATGACAATGACATTTATGAAGGATTTTTTGTAATTAATGCTACAATCAAGACTTGACATAGAAGTTGCAAGCAAATAGAATTCAGGAGAGTTCTTATCATACAGTTCATTTTCATAGTAATAATAATTTTCCAATTATTTAGCCTATTCCATTGCAAATTTAATAAAATCAATTATTTCTTCATAGTTTTCTTCAATCAGAGAGTATTATAATTAAATCATATGATCTGCAAGTTTGTTCTCTATTCTTGAATTTAAATATAATGAAGATTCAATTTTTCTGATGAATTGATCTACTTTTAACTCAATGGAGTCATTTTTAGTTTTTAATGATTAAATATCTCCTTTATTGATGGTAGGATTGCATTAATCTATTTTTAAATCTGTTTATGAATTTTAAAATAAGGTTGTTTAATTTTAAATAAAAATAAATGAAAATGTACGACGTAGATGATGGAGTTTACGATTTTTAAAGAGATATAAAATATCTTTTGCTCTTTGAATTAATTCTTCTTCTTCTTTTTCATTCTTATTTATAACTTCATTGCCAACCATTTGATCAAATTTTTGTTCCTCAATTTAACAATTATTTGGATCCACTTTATTGGTCACAACATCTTATATTTCAGTGTCTTCTTTTTAAGCAATACTTTCAAATGTTCTCTTTCTTGTAAAATTCTTTAAATATGAAAAAATCTAAGTTAAATTGTATTCATTTTAAATTAAATTGCAACATCCTGAGGAGTTTAGGAATTATATTTTTATTAATCAGTCATTTTTTATTTAAGCTTAATGTTTCTTATTGCTTTTTATTTAAAAAATTATATTATAATCTCACTTTAGATGACAAAAAATTAAATTGTTTGTTGTATAAATCCTAATTAATATAAATAATAGAATTTTTCTTAAATCAATACGTGTTCAATTAGAAATAATCATACAATATATTAAAATCAAATAATATCTTATCTTTAATATTTTCTTTTATTTAATACAGATGTTTCTATTTATATGTTTTGTATTTTGCATTTTTTTTTTATAAATTATTTAATCAATTAAATTTATTACTCTCTTTCTTAAAATGGATACCAATACTCTTCATTATGTTGATTTTACATTATAAAAATAATAAACCCCTTTGAATATTTTCAATTAAATCCCAGAATTGATAAATTTCTTTAAGGTAAATTTAATAGAATACAAAAATTTTAAATATTATTTGTTTTATTCAAACAGGATAATTAATAGACATAAGTCATCTCTGATTATGGACAACATTTTGGAATTATTATTTCATTTGCAAAATTGTAAAATAATAATGAAAATTTTAATCATTTGAATCTACTAGAAACACAATTTGAAATCTTTAGATAATATCAATCTTTTTCATAAGATATTTTAGTTTTTGACGATATTTCATTTTATAACTTTGATTCAGTTTAAATAAAAGTAAAAGAATTATAGTATTTATGAAAATGAAAACATTTAAGAAAATATAATTGAAGAAAATTATGAATGAAGTAAAGAAATAACAATGAAAAAAATAGGTGAAGATGATTATTGAAGTTATAATTTATTAATGGAAATTATAAAATTTAAAAGTAATAAATAATAATTCTTTTTAAGATAAGTTCTTAATGATTAATTAAATTTATTTGATTGTTTTAAAGTTTATTTTAATTTTAAATAAGTTATTAAAGTAATTATCTTAAGAATCAAATCTTTTGGATATTTTATCTTAAAATTCATGTTTATAATAAACTTATATTAAAAATCAAAATTAATCACATTAAAATGTTATTAGAATAGAATAAACATAATAATTTAACTTAAAAATTAATTTGTCAAAATCATTTAAAAGTATATTCTTAATATTCAAATAAATTTCATCTTTATAATAAAAATTATCTTAAAAATCAAATCATTTGGAAACATAATCTTAATTCTCAATTAAATTTTATCTTTATAATAAATTTATATCAAAAATAATAAGTTTTCAAAATTAATGTAACCAAATTAATTTATCTATAAAAATTCAATTAATACTATTAAAAATGTATTAAAATGTTATTTCATTTGTTTTGAGAAGAATATAATTAATAGAATAATTTAACACTAAAATTAAATAAAATAATAATTATATTTTATATAGAGGTAGTTGGTAGTTCAGTAGTTGAGTAGTGGGGAGGGTACAAAACAAAATTTTTGTATGAAAATATAAAAATTAAAATTTTTTTATTACATGCAATGCTTTTCAATTGATGATGTCACAAAATCATAATATATATTTTAATACTTACTCAAATAATTTAATTATTAAATTGCATTTAAAAAATTTTAAATAATATGTCTATTAAATTGTTTGAATGACTAAAATCATAGTAATCTAATAACTTTTATTGTTTACAAAATAAAGTGTTTCATTTTTAGTTTGCTTATAAAAATCTAAATCCTAAATAAAAAATAAAAGTAAAAGAAAAAACTAAATATTCTAGGACTTTTAGAAACGATAAGAAAATTTCTTATCGCAAATGACAGAAATAGAAAGAAATCTGAGGAAATTGTAAGTAATAAACAGAAATGGTCGTAATAGTTAAGCAATTTTTTTTTATCTAGGAAGTTCATATCTTTAAAAGGTTTATTAAATTTATAGTGTGTTTTAAATAAATATTGAATTTAATTAAATAAATTAAAATTTTCAGACTAATTAAAGAGTAAAAATGAGCTAATAAGAAAGCAACGATATTAACTAAAAGCGTGAAAATCCTTTCACTGATAAAGATAATTCAGAAGAATAAATTCAAAAGAAATTAGAAAAATCAAATGATTCTGAAGGTATTGTTTAGTTAACTGAAAAACCCTCAAAATTTTAATCGCACTTTGTCGTTTAAAAAATTCTAAACTATCTCCCATTTTTAAATTTCTGATTCTTGCAGCTAGTTTGTAGATTCTAGCTCCTAAATTAATTTAACTTGTTAGGACTATAAATCCAAAATAGAAACATAAACTAAATTTGTGTTTATAAATAAAGTGATAGGAGCAACTAAATTTCATAATTTTCATTAAAAACTCAAATTTACTTTTAGCTAAAAATCAAAACATCATTAAACTTAACAAACAACATCTTAAAATAAATTAGGAATGTAAAACAAAAAGGAAATATTCTTGATCACAGGCAACGTAATCAATTAGGATATTACTTTATTTATAAGCAAGCTTTACATTATATCCGCTATTTTGAAAAACATTCCTTTAACATCAACTTATTTTATTTTTCATAATAGAAAAATAAATTGTTGGAATTCTAACAAATCCTTGCTAACACTCACCTTGAACTTTCTTCAGCTAATGTTGATTGTAAGCATTGAATTATTTTCTAAGTCTAATTAAGTTTTAAATTTAAAATAGTACCTGAACTCCAAGGTAATCCTGAAGAAATCGCCAAAGAAAAAGCCATGATTGCCTTCAAAGAAGTAATTTATTACTCTCTAAAATTGCGAAAATGAATTTTCTAAAATGTTATATTTATTCAATAGGCTAAAAAGCCTGTCATTGTAGAAGATACCTCCTTATGCTTTAATGCTTTCAATGGTCTACCTGGTCCTTACATGTAATTGATTTTAATATAAACATTTTAAAGATGAATAAAAATAGTTTTAAGAAAAGTTTTAAAGATAAAAATAAAAAAAATAAATAGTGTTAGCTCCTTTATAGCAATTAAATACTTAATTTAGTCAGTAGATAAAGATATTCTTTGTTTATATCTTGATAAATTTTATTAAAAACTGAATATTTAACAGCATAAAATAAAATCTAATTATTTATTTATAATTTTAGTAAATGGTTCTTGTAAGAACTCAAGCCTGCCGGTTTACATAAAATGCTTGCTGGATTTGAAGATAAAACTGGTTATGCTTAATGCATTATTACTTACATGAGTGAAGAACTTAAGGAACCTGTTTGCTTTGTTGGCAGAACTCCTGTAAATTGATTTTTATAAATAAAATTTATCTGAATTTTCATTTTTCTATCAAGGGAACTATCGTTGAACCCAGAGGTCCTTAAAATTTCGGATGGTAATAACAATTGTTAAACTCTTATTTTCTAAATAATTAAAAATAAATATTAATAGGGATCCTATTTTCTAACCTGATGGTTATGATTAGACCTATGCTGAATTACCCAAGGAAGAAAAGAACAAGATTTCTCACAGATTTAGAGCTATCGATAAGATGGTTGAATACTTCAAATAATGAATAATATTTATAAGATAATTTAAAATAATAATAAATTTTATGCATTTATTTGTAAAATGTTTTAATTTTTATTAATTAATAACTAAAATAATAATAATCACATCAAATTTTTTTCTCTCTTAATTTGAAAAATTCTATATAAGATAAGCTCCTATTGAATATTTTTGTATTTTTACTAAATGCTTAAAAGATAAACATGTATGTATTTATTTATTCATGTTTAAAGATATTTATTTAGGAATTTTACAATATCAAAATTTATATCAAGAAAATTTTACATTGGTCATCAAAAATTTCTTCTTTGATTTAATTTATTAGGGAAATTAATAGTATTAAATGAGCTAAGAAATAAGTTAGCAATAAGATATTCTTACAATGGCTGTTGAAGCAAACGCAAGTATTGCAATTTAATCAGGTTTAGCGTTAGCACAAAAGGCAATTCAACTTGAGCAGGAAAAAAACTGTGAAGCCTTGGCTATTGATTTTTTTAAGAAAGCTATCATCATTTTAGAATAAGAAATAATTTACTGCAAAGGCTAGTTTTAAACTGTCCTTCAAACTTTGATTTTTAGCTACTAAAATAGGTGCAAATCTCTTTCGTTATAAAAGTAAAAGAGAGAACTAATTGAAATGGAGAATCATTTGGAAACTTTCGATATCATGGACCCATACAGCATTTATCCAATAAAAAAATCTGACTTATTAAATATAGAGGGAGATAGTAGATTTAATCCTTTTCTTTGCTATTAATAAGGAGCTAACAGCTAACAAATTTCTTTAGAAACTCTATTAAATGTTGTAGAAGAGTTTGAAAAGATAGAAATGAATATAAAACTACTCTTTACCAGTATGCATTAAGGAGTATAATTAACTAAGAGACTATTTATTACTCCTTTGATATGGTATATGCCAATAGAAGAAACAGAAATACTTAAAGAAAAACAAGCTGTTATGCATGAATTAGGTTATAATATTGAATAAATCTTAGTTATGAATAAGTATAGTCCGAGCTATGAGTTTTTTGGTAGTGTAAAGTCATTGCGTGAATATTGTTAGAGTGTTTATAAAAATAAAAAATACTTAATAGAAGAAAATATACAATTTTTAAACCCTAATAAAAATTCTAATAGTAATCCCAACAGCTAAAATAACCAGATTAATGGCAACATCGTTAACAATAATGCCAATAGTAGTAGCAGTAATAATATAAGCTTACTTTCTAATGATCAGCTTGGATCAAACTAACAAAATACTTTACAATCTAAACTTAACAATAAGTTTGACCAATATAAAAACACATTCTTAAAAAAGTTTAAGAAGATTTTAAAAACAGAAAATGAAGAAAAGCAATAAATAGACTATTACCACTGTATATTTGATTTACTTAAAAATATGTGTCTCTTTTTTTATCTATTATAAAATTCTTATTCTCTAAATCTACATACACAAAACACTACTGCAAACGAGAACGAAATCAACTTGTAAATAAACAAATTTAAAAAAGATAGATAATTCATTTATATTTTTATAAGAGAATTCGTGATAAAAATAATTCTAAATGACCTCTACGTAAAATACAATCAATATATAAGCTATTCAAAAAAAAAGTAATCCTGAAAATTATTTTAATATTATTGTGTAAATAATAAATATTTGTTTGAGTTAATATATAATTAATTATTAAAATCTTTTTTTTAATATTTAATTACTCAAAATAATTACTTAAAAATTAATATCATCTACATTATTTTAAATTGCATTAGATTTTTATGGTTTTTATCATTATTACTTCAAGAGATCAGTTACTATTATTTTTGTAAGTAATTCTGATTGAAATTTTTATATATTTATGAATACTATTTTTATTTATTTACTCTTTTATATATTAGTTAAGATTTGGTAATTTGATTAGAAACTTTTGGTGAAAACCAATTATTATTATTATTAAAATCTCAAGTAAGATTTTAGGATCTAATACTTCTTTGAAACAAAATTAATAATTTAATTTAAAATTGAATAAATTATTATAAACATGATTTAGACTCAAATTTAATATGGTTGTTCATTAAAAGGATATTTTATTAATCTATTGTAGAAATTTTTCTGTATTTTAGGAGTTTTTAAATAGGAGTTTTTAGAATTAATTATATTTAAAAAGGAAGATTTAAATTTTTTAATATTTTAGAGGTGCATTTAATAAAGTTAATTCAAATCGCAGTTGTTTCGAATCAAAAATTAGATTAAGGCACAATCACAAAAGGATTCTTTTTTTTACCTAAAAATAAAAAGAAGTCATAACGAATAATTAAAATAAGAGTAAATTACTTTGCTAATAGATAAAAAAAGAAGTAAAAAATAGTAATACTGTTTGTTATTTTATATATACTTCATTTAGATAAACAAATAATTGGATAGATTATTTAATTTGTAATAATTAATTAATAAAACAAGAAAAAGCTTTCAAATTCATCATAACACACATAAATTAACACTATCAAGCAAAATACTTAAAACAACTAAAACAGCAAGCTAAATTATAAAGTAATTATGTTACTAAAAATTTTAAACCTATTTTAGTTTTTTTTCACCTTAGAAGTTATATTTTGTATTTAATATGGAAATGATTTTCTACAAGTTTATTTTATGCAGCAGGAATTACATTTGATATGCAGCCTTATTTAACTACTTTTAGATTGAAAATAATCTTCAATTTTGAAATTTTGAACTAGTTTTACAATTTAATTTATTAATATAAGAATGCAAGCATTAACTGCTGCCAAGCAAAGTAAAAAGAGTAGCAATATTCCTTTAGCGGTTCCAAGAGGTGGTGGATTACCTATTAATCCGTTCGCAGGTCACTCAAAAAAAAAGAGCTAGTCAAAAAAAACATTTGAATAAATACCTAACTTTGATGAGGTTAAACCTTAATAAACTGAAGAGAATAATCACCGATTGGATACTTAGAATAAAGAGCTATTGTATTTAGACACTGAGCAAGCAGAAATCTTAAATACACAATCTAAAGAAGATGATGCTATGAATCATCATGTATAGAAAAAGTAAACATTATAAAATATAATAGAAGACGAAGATGATGGCGATAATTCGGTTGGAGGTTTTGAAGATGGTAGAAAAACAAAAGCTTATTATGCAAGATTTTTACTTATTGACCAAGCAGTTTCATCGTTTTCCTTTTTGTCTATAGTTATTGCAGTTTTAGAGTATGATCTAGAATTTGAGGAAAAAGATGAATTTACAGCTAAAGCCATGCTTTGGATGACTTTTATATTAACTTTAGGTAAATTAACTCAATCAATTTAAAAATAACAGAAAGTACAAAAAAGGAAAATCCACAAATATGATAAAAAAACAGCTAATTAACTATAAAATAATATAGAATGATATCATATTTTAAGCTATTTTAAATTTACTACAGCACATAAAGACATTTGGTTTTGTTTCTTTATTTTATGAGTTTCAGTGCTTAAATAATTTCATCTTAGTACTAAGCCATAGAAATTGATTTTCTATCAATTTAATATAAATTGAAATCAAAAAAAAATCAAAAAAGTTTAACAAAATTTTTTAACTTTTTTAAATTACTTTACTTCTTATTCGAATAAAGATTTTATTTATCATTTGAAAAATCACTTAGAGTACTAAAATATGTTTAACTTATTTTATATTTTTTCATTGTAACCTTATTTGATAATTCTATAATTTAACAAATATTTTTAAAAAAGGTATGATTTTGCTCACTATTGTAAGATTTTAAGCTAAGCTTGAATGGCTTAAAACTAGAAAAGTTATTTCACAGAAATCTAATTTGATTACATCTGGATTTTTTAAGTGGATGTTTATTGAAATAGTTGTCAGTGCAGTGCATCCTATGCCATGGACATGGTAAATCCGTCTATCTTTTTTCAATGAGCCTACTTAGGGTGATGCTTACTATCATTTAAATGAAATTTTATTGCTAATTATGCTTCTTCGTGTTTTATTGATAGTTAGAACGCTTTTAATGATGTCAGTTTGGTACAATAATAGAACATAGAGGGTTTGCAGTATGTATGCATGTGAAGCTGACTACTTATTTGTAATTAAATGCATCATGGAAACTCAGCCTTATATATTAATTACGAGTGCAATGGTTATTTCTATCTTTTATTTTGGTTACATGATAAGAATTTGTGAAGCTCCCTTATATAGGTAAATTTATTACTTTAAATTTTAAAATTATAAATATTTTTTTTAAAATAAAAAGAAATCAGCAAGATGGATAACTCCTATTTTATAGTTTCTGGAATTGTATGTGGAATATAATTGTAACGATGACTACTGTAGGTTATGGTGATTACTATGCTAGAACTCACTTAGGAAGATTTATTATCTTCTTTGTCTGTATTTGGGGTGTTTTTATAGTATCTATGATGGTTATCACATTAAGTAACACCTTGAATATAACAACCCTTGAAAAAAAGGCTATAGCAGTTCTATAAAGATTACATTTGAAAGGTTAAATGAAGCATCATGCAGCACACATTTTGACCTTGTTAGCCAAAATAGGCTTAGCAAACCGTAAAGGAAAATTTGAAGGATAATTTAAAAAACAGTAAATTATTTAATTTAATTATTATAAAAATATTTAATTAACTCTGAAATTTTTAATAGAACTTAAATTAGACTGAGAAAGGCTTTGAATGAATTTAAGATAGCTCAAAGATAATATAGAAGCATAGGAGATGAAAATATTAGTGAAGAAATGGTAATTTTTTATTAGATTAAATATGATCTAAAAGAAATTTTAAAATAAATAGGGAAGATAATTTGATTTTTTAAGAGAGGATTTAAAAGAAATATAAAAAAAGTAGAATGCTTTGCTGGAGACAAATATTTAACTTATGTAACACTTGAAGTTGGATTAACAATAAATAGAATATTATGCCAAAAATCTTACAAGAAGCTCATTCTAACAATTAATAGTACCAAAGGATGATAAAAATATGGAAACAAGTGCTGCTAAAAATGTTTAAAATGGAACTCCAAACATAATTGTTACTCAAAATTCAGTAGCTAAACAAAAAATTAAAAATAATATAAAAAGCATAGACGAAAATATGGATGAAAAAGAAGAAGCAATCAATGTTTTCCAGTAAGATTGAAATGAAAAATATTTTCATCAAAAAAATTTTTGTCTTTTCGTTCATCTTTTTAGATATTTTGAAAAGATAATTTATTTAATTAGGATATTTATAGATAGATATTAGTAAAGGTGATATTAGTTGGATATTTTAACATGATCAAAACAAAAATTTATAAAAAAGAATTCTTCTAAACACAAATTCATATTAAAATACTAACTAAAATGTATATTTAATCACTAATTTTTCAATTATATCAATGAGAGAGAATGAATAACTTAAAAAATACCTTGTATTAATATAATAATTTTAGTTCAGCATACAATTTATCAATTAATTTTCATACAAATTTGTATTTATTTTATCATATAACCAACTAGATAATTAATTTAATTTATTAATCCTTTCAAATAGTAATTTTTTGTATAAATATTTTTTTTTTAGTTTTAATTATTTGGAATTTTCTTTTTTTGGTAAAATTTCATTTGAAATAATAATTTGTTTATTTTTGTATAAATATTTTGTATAAATGAATTATTTTAGTTTTCAATAACAGAAAACTAATATGTTATATGAATTTCATTATAAAATAATTATTTTGTAATAATTCATTTATTATTTCATAGATTTGTTTGTTTGTTTTTTTGTCTTTATTTCAAATAAAATTTTTATTTTTATCATTTTTAATTTTTGATTTGAATTAATACAAATAAAATTATTTGATTGTTAGCTTATCTTACTAGTTCTCAGTATCAAGAGCTTTACAATTAGAATTGCTACTTTTTATTTTAATGTTACTTTGTCTATTCAGAGGAGACTTAATTTGCATAAAGTTCTCTTTTTTTACTTTTATGTAAACTGATTAAAAAATCTGAAGGAGTTTCTACTAATTTAAATTCAAACATAGCTAAAACTTTCAAATCTATGCTTTACTTGAATGCTCCACTGAAAGGACCAAATGTTTAACCTTGTTCTTTGAAACTGAATTAAATTCCACTTTTTTTCTCTCCAAAAATACCTTCAAAACCTCTATAAGTCTTAAATTTTATTTGTTCAACATAGCAGCTATCTATTAAAATATGAAAATAATATTTAACTTTTAAAAAAATTAATTAATTTTGTTATTGTTATTCCTTAAAATTTTAATGTTTCCCTTTTCTCTTTTACATGAACAAAATTAATTTTTGTATTAGGCTAGGGCTGTAAATTTAATAAAGCCTATTATGTCATTAAGAGTATAAAAACAGTTTTGTATTAAAAGATAATAAGCTTGAAGAAGTAATAGGAGATTTACAAAATTCCTTTTAATAATTAATTTACTTGCTGAACCAGATATCTCAAATAAATAATCATCTTGGAGTATCTCAAAGACTTCTGTGCATACCTTTGTATTAGGTAGAACAAACTATTCTCTTTATAGATTTCTTGGACTACATTCAGAAATAGCCCTACTCTTTACGCATTTTTAATCTTTTTAAGTAGTTTATTTTATATTATTTTCAGCATAAACACGACTAGATTCTCCAGTTATTATAGATCCATCATCTAGCTCATAAGCTACTTCCATATTTAAAATGATATTATCTGTATAAGAAACTTTAATTGCATTTATCTTATTGAAGTTTTATCCTCTTCCTTTGATTACTTACTAATCATCAAACTAGTTTATCTATTGTATATTTTAATTTGTTGTATTATTTCCTTAGTATGATTTGCTTTTATCCCTTTATACATTTCCTTCACTTTTACTTGATACAGATCTACTTTACAAATAACCTACTCTAATGAAATCACGGAATTTCTTTATTCTTGGTTAAGAAGAACTACATCCCATATTTAGGTTTACCTTTTATTTCTAAATAATTATTAAATAAACAATTATATCGTTTTAATTACTGATTGCAAAAAAACTAAATAAACTTTAATAGAAATTAATTGATATGTTGATAACTTTTTTAGTTGATTGATTCTTACAACAAATCTCCTAACTCTTTTTTTTTCAGTAGAAAAGATAAAAAGAAGACCTTATTTAAAAATTAATGGCTAAAAAATATTTTTACAATTGTTGGATAATAAATATGTATTATCAAAAGCAATTCTTAAATATTAAAAATCTAAATTATTTTAAATTCAAGTAGAAACATTTTATTTAATACATTTTTTATTATTATTTTATTTTTAATGTAAAACCTTACAAAATTTAGAAAGTTTTAAATATCCATTAAATAATTGTTAATGGCTAATTTAAGATTATTTTAAATATTAATTTATTATTTTAGAATGAATAAATTAAAGCAATAAATAAGTATTTAATGTCTGATAAAATAATAAAATGAATGAGTTTATTTTAGTTTTAAAAAAATATTTTGATTAATTAATATGCTTAAGATATTTTAAAGTTAACTTTTTTGATGAGAAAATTTTATATAAATTTATATAACAAAAACAGACATAAAAAAATAAATAAAAGTCACCTTCTGTATTTTTTAGTTTTTTTAATTTTCAAAATTTCATTAAAATATTATTTTTTTACAAATATTTCAACCAACACTACCAGCTACTAATAAGCTTCAATCTAATAAAAATTCTTTACACCATTTTAAAGAAAAAATATACTTAATCTTCATACATAATGCTTATTTATTTAAAATATATTTAAATTAACAAAAATTACTAAAACTTCTTATTTTTTACATGTATTTTATAAGATTTTAAATTTATTTATAAATAAAAATGTTATTTTACTTTATTTTAACTCTTTTTAAAGACATAAAAAAATAATTTTTCTATTTACTTATAAATCTAAAAACTAGCTTTTATTTTAAATAATAAAATGACTAAAAGATCATCAAATTTTAGATGAATCAATGAAATATTTTAATTATTAAATTCAATCAATCACTTCAGTTAATTATAATGATTCTTCAATTTCAAATATCTTTTGTAATATTTTAATTACAAATTTTTGATTTTATAAAGTATTTATAAAACAAAAATAGATATTATTCATTAGTTATTTCCTACTTTTATTTTAATTTTTTCAGTTTTAAGTTTTATTATTATTTTTAAAACACAATTTATTTTCTCAAATTTAACTATATAAAGTATCTCAAATTGTTTTTATTTTAATTAGCTATTTCAAATTAAAATAAGAAAATAAATCTAATTGATTAAAGATTTTTAAAAACTACAAACATCACATCTTCATTTATATTAATATAAAAATAATTAAATAAATAAATACATTTTTCAGGCATTTTTTATTTTAAAATTTTGAGATTTATTATTTTATTCTTACTATTTCCGATCAAAAATATATTGACAAGATATATTTGGATTTTTATTTGTTCTCATAAATAATATTAACAATAATAATAAATGATCATATTGGTGAATTCATATCAGATTTCTCAATTTTAATTAATAGAAGTATTTATATGATTTATTTATTAAATTCGGAAAGGCTTAATATAAAAACTTATATTAATTTAATAATCTCCTAAAATAATAAAGATTAAAGTTAAGTAATATTGCTCATTACAAAAAATGGACAGTTAATAATAAAAGGAATATGGTACATTAATGCTATAAGCTGTTTATGAGCTTAACAAGACAAAAGATCCTAAAACCCTTTTATCTTATGAAGTTCTTTTCAAAAATTATGGATCTACTTTTCCAAATTTACCATCTTAATATCTGATCGTACCTGAAGATGAAATGGAAAATTTTAAGAGAGAATTTGGTACTAATGAGTAGAAAAAAATATAAAATGTTTCTGAAGAGGAATAAAAGGATATTTATGCTAACATTTTTAAACTCTATAAGCCAGAAAAAAGCATATTTTAACAGCCAAAATCTGGAATTAGTTCTGTTTATGAAAAATATGAGCCAATTATCTAAAATTTACCAGATGAAAAGTATAATTAGCTCATGTAGGCAATGCTTGATAAATTAGAGGACCCTAAAGAAAAATATGACATCATATCTTATTAAAATTTAAATGAAGTTTACAATGGTAACATATCTAAAAAAATACCAAATGGATATTTGTTTTGTCCAGATGAAGATATTGAAAGACTTAGTAGAATTTATTGTATTGGATCAAAGAAAAAATATAAAAATATATTAAGATAAGGAGAATAAGAAAAATAGATTCTAAATGAATTTAAGGAAACATACCCTCCTTAACAAAAAAAACAAATAAAAGTATGAATGCATATAAGAAATTTATAAAAACTTTAATTCATCATAAATATATCTATCTGAATCAAATATATTTAAATGTTTGTTTCATTTTTCATTTATTCTTTTTAAAGATTTATTTAGCTTTTAGTATTTTTTCATTTATCAAGTTAAAAAATATTTAATATCTACTTTATATTTTATTTATCATATTTAATAATAGAATAATGTAAATCCTCTAATATTAGAAATATTTTAAATAAAAATAATTTTTAGATTTTTTTTATTTGCATAAATTTAAAGACATCTGCTTTTAATAAAATTACATGTAGATCATAAAAATTATGATATATAAATACAAAAAAAGCCTGAAGAATACCTAGCAATCAACCTATACATAAAAACTTATTGAAATTCTGCTGACATTTTGTATTTAGTAAGCAAAATTTCAATATAAGGATTAACTATACTTAGTTATTAAATTTATAATAAAAATATCTAACTAATTCAATATAAATTAATTTGAATTTTAATATAGCAAAATATCAAAAGTGATAGGTTAAATAGATTAAAATTATCACTTCTCTCAAAATCAGTTATAAATTTATATAAATTAAATTAAAGAAATTTATTTACATGGAAATTTAAATAAAATTGATTTTATTTAAAAGAATAACTTTTCATTTCTACTTCTGTTATTTATTCAGAATATTTAAATAAATTATTGATGAATCTTTGCAATAGAACAAAAAAAACTCTATATTTAAGACTAATAATTAGATTGTATTCAATTATAGTTATTTTAATTATATTTTAGATAGGAAAATCAATTAATTTATTATTTCAAAAGAAAAAAAATATTATTTAAGTTAAGTTGAATAATGAATAGAAAAATATGTATTTATTAAGAATATAAGTCCATTTATACAATACTTTCTTTATCATTTTATTTTATTGTCTTACTTTATAAACATTATTTAATTTGATTAAACAAAAACACAATTGAAAGATCTAAAAAAATATAAAAAATAATTGATAGATGCTCATACTTTAACATAAGAAATATATCTATATTTTTTAATATATACTTCTTTTTTAATTACTTCTGAATTTATAATCAGTTACAAAAATAAGTCGATAATATTTATAATTTAATCAAAGGAAACAACGATAAGCTTTATAATAATATTAAATAAGTAATAAATACAGACAATTAAATATACTAAATATTAAGTTTAGTATCTACTGATTAAAATTAACTTTTTGGAATCATTTAATTCGGAAATTTATTGGAAATGGCAATTTTATATAAATATAATATGATTGCTATTACATTAACTAGAAGAAAATATTTATTGAATTTCAAATTTTTTTCTTTACAGAAGTAAAAAAGATATTTCTTCTTTCTAATAAATTTGATGTAATTTTAAAATCCAAAGATTAAAAAATCAATTTGTAATCTCACCAAGAGTATTTATGTATTTATGTATAGCTTTTGATAAAATTCACCTAATCTTACTTAAATTATATTTAAAAAATATATTTTTTAAAAGCTTAATACAATTTATTTAGTTCATATTATCTTTCTATAATATGCATTATAAAATCTTAGAGGATATTTATTTAATCATTTTAAACTATAATTAATAAAATTATACATGTTTGTTTTTTGTTTTTTTAACTTAAGACATAAGACATATGATCGATTTATAGTAATCTATATACTAAGAAAATAAAAATTTCAAAAAGATCATCAACAATTTAAAATAAAAAAATGAACAAAAAATATACACCAAGAAAAATATTTTTTATTTAATTTAATTTTGAAATAATTTTAAATTTTTGTATATCATTAACTTTGCATAGCTCCAGTTTAAACATTCACATTAATGATTCTGTTGAATAAGAATATTTACAATATATTATCAAATGAATTAAAATAGAAACAGAACTGATAAATTAATTAAAAAAACTTTAGTTTTATTATTTTGTAGCGGAAAAACAAAATATATATTCTTTGAAATTATACAAATTTTGACTAATTTAGTGATATTCGGTGTAACAAACAGAGTAATAAAAAATAGATTAAATTAATTTTATTGCAAAAATTTATAATTTTTTATAAGGTTATTAACCTTAAAATGTATGAGCCAAATAATAATTTCAATTTTTAAATAAATATTTTGTTTTATTTACTTAAAAATCGATGGCTAATAAACTATTTAGAGGATTTATTTTGTTAAAGAGAGAAAAATAAAAATGTAATTTAGTTTTTTTGATGCTTATTGAAAAAATTAATAAATTTGATTGATGAAATAGAAACAAGTAAAAACGAGCCAAAAATATAAAACTAAATTTTTTGTTGTTAAATTTTATTTTTATTTTAGTTTCTGATATCTATCTATATATCTGTGAATACTACTCATAAAAATGAATAATCTTTTATTAATCTCTCTATCAAATTTGAGTATTTATACTTTATTTTTAACTTATAAAACTTGCCTTTAAATATCTCCATATTTTATATTATTTATTTTATTTTTATATTTAACACTTTTGAGCTTGTATTTTATTGAATTTTTCATTCTTATGACATTTTTATTTCAATTTTGTGTAAATTTCAATTGAGATATTTAGAAATTGAAAACATTTTTGAATTATGTTTAGGTATTTTAGATAAAATAATATTTTTTGTTGATTGTTATTCAAATAAGAACATGAAACAAAATAATTTTGTGAAGTAAAGTAAAAAAACAATTTAATATATTAAATAACTATACATTAAAAAGGGCGAAATAAATATTAAAAGAAGTACGTATTGATATTACAGATTGTTTTTAAATTCTTAAATAGGTTCTAGTTAGTTTGTCAGATAATCTTTATTTTCAATTTACATCTAAATAACTAATGGTTGAAAATTTTATTTCAGTATTTTTCATAAGTATAAATTAAATTAAATTACAATTTTTTATTTTGTATGTTTGTAACAACCTTTCTATGCTTGAAGATAAGTTTTTTTAATCCCAAGATTAAATTGTTTAATTACCATAAGTGAGATATTAATATTAAAAAATTTAATTATGTAAACAGCAAAGGTGTTTTTCTAAAAAGAATTAGACAAAAATAAAACTCAAGTGATCTCGAAAAATATTCAGCGAGTAATTAAAAAACATTTTCAAATAGATTAGATCAACAAAATAATTAAATTCGTTTTTAGTTGCTGTTATTTTATATAGGTGTTAAATATTTTTTAATTAAATTTAATACCTAATTAATATCAATGATTTTAAACTACGATTGAAATTTGCATAGTAAGGTATTTGATTAAGTTGGTAAAAAAAGGAATTGATAATTTTTGAATCTTTTGTAAGCATTAAATAATATTTTTTTACAATTGAAAGGAAAAATAAATCAATGTTTGCTTATTTATTTATTCCCTTATAGAAAAATTCTTGTTGCTAGAAATTACAAGTTAGAAAAAATTTTTGAATAAATTTTTAGCTAAATTAATATATAATTGATTGCAGTTGTCAAAAAGAGTAAGATTTTAAAATCTTCAAATTAAATACTTGATGGGGATACATTATTTTTAGCTACAAAAAAATAAATTTCAGATTTTTATTAGTACACAGATAAATTATTCAATAATTTTAAAAAATATTCATATAAATAAATATATTGTTTTTATTTATATTTGAGATAAAGGCATTTGGGAGTCTAAAAAATAACTTAATCTAAGATTTTTGAAAAAACTCAAAAAACAGATTTAATTAAGGGTTACAAATATAAATGAGAGACTTATTTAGATTTAAAAAATACAGGGAAGGGGGATATAGTCAATTATTTTGCGCACTAATTGATTAAAAGTTGAAAAGTTATATTAGATTAAATAAGTTATTTTATTATTTGCGAATCATTATTTAATTACAACAAATTTAGAAAAAAATTTAAATTTTCAATCAAATATTTGCATATGAATCGATCGATCTATGTAGTATGAACGAACTAATTGAGAAGTTTATCAAACTTTAATAAACAAAAAATTTTACTCCCACAATTATCATCACTGTTAAATGAATGAATGAATATCTTAAAAAGTAATACTTCATAAATATAATTTTTCTAAATTTTTGAATTGGTAAAATAAATTTCATTTAATTCATTTTGAATGTCATTTAATGAAACACAATTTTTTTTGTCGAAAAAATGATTAGAAGCAATTAAAATTATTAATGAAATATGTTCTTACGTATTTAAAAGTGGGAAATATAGTTAAATATCTTTGATTCTCAAATTCATATGAAATAACAATCTTTAAATTATTAATAGTACTAACCATCATGTATCTACTTTTATCAATAATTTGTTAGTATCAAAAGCTATTAATAAACTAAAATTATGAGAGATAGAATTTAATGGGGTTTTGTGTAAGAAAAAGGACTTTCAGAGCTTAACTAATTATTTATGTAAATGCAAAAATAGAAATTTTGTTTATCTAAATAAATAAATAATTTATGTAAAGAAAGAAGGATATTTTGAAATAGGAGTTTATTTTACTTTTGATTTGGCCCAATGTTTTTATTTGTATGTCTAATTCAATTTTTTTTTTTTGAGTAATCAACCCAAATTAACCACAATTGGATTTCTCTTAATTATTTATAAAAAAATCAAAACTTGATCGGGTACATTAAATAAAATAGATCAATTAACAGATATTTTTTATTAAAATAGTTACGAACTACTTTATACACAAAATTATATCCAAAATAATGAAATTTTTATATTTGTAAATGTTCAAAGGGATTGGGATACCTTTAATTTCCCATTTAAATTCCAATTAAATAGCAATTATTAGCAAAATCAAGATTAATATTTATTAATAAAATAGATAGAAGCAGAGAATAGAGTGGAATTATTAAAGAAAAGTAAATTATGAATTTTCCTTCCTATTCTTAAATAAATCTAGTGAAGAAGACAAAAGAGTGTTAAGAATCTTTTCAGATATTTATTTATTGATTAAATTAGTTAGAGGTGAAAGAAAAATTAAATTCTATGTTTTGATTTATTTTATTTGAAAATACTGCCCAGTAGAAATTTTCAATTAAACAATGATAAAAAGCTTTAAATAATAAAATGTGTTCAGTTAAGCTAGCTGTGTGTAATAAAAATAAATATCTTTGAAGGGATTTTTTATGAATTTAAATGAGTAATGTTAAAGGGTAATTTATGAATATTTAGTATACATTTCAGATATATGAGATTGCTAAAATTAAAAATACATTTGTAATCTTATGCTAAAAAATTTTATGATATCAATAAAACCAAATTAAGCAAAATTATTGCTACTGATGGTATCGATTAAGATTTTTTTCAAAAATAAATGAAAAAAGAGGAATAAAAAAGAATACACATAGTTGGGTACTGATTAAATAAAGCTAAGATAAAAACTCAGGTTCTATTTTAAAAGCTTCGAAATATCTTGAAATATATATACTTACAAATATAAAAAGGAAAAAAAACTATCTATTGGTTTTTGGGTATTTCAAAGTAAAAAAGTAAAGAATTTATGAATCAAAATTAAAGTTAAATATAAATAAATAATATTAAAAAAATCCTTCAAAATTAATTTTTTTCCCATTTGAATTACTATTTTTAAACGTATTTACTCGTATTTTTTATATTAGGTTTACTTTTTTACAAAAAGTTATATTTTCTCTCTGTTTTTTTATAAATTAGTTTTCGTTTTTTTTCTTTTTAAGTGTTTTAACTCAATTTGAAAACTTTCAGTATTACTACATTTATAGAAATATTTACAGAAATATATATTTATTTATTTAAACAAATTACAAGTAGCCAAGTAAGTTTGATAGTTAATTTTATTTACTATATAATTTTCTTTGATATTGCCTTAAAATTCATTAATTCGATAATGAGAATCAAAAGATTAATATTAAAAAGGTTTTTCTAAGTAATATAATTTATTTATTTATTTCAGCACAGCAAGAAAAATTAACTTAAATATAATAGCTTTTTATAAAGCATTAAAATTACGTTTAAAAACACAATCTCATAAATATGCAATCTTAAAATAATAAAAATAATTTCTTCATGATAATTCAATCATTCTGCAAAAATCCTCTAATATGTATAAAGATCGTCTACCTATGCAAAAACTTAATGATTATCAGTTAATGTATGAGGGTTTGTTTAACAATTTGGAAATAAAGTAAGAATAAATTATGAGTATTAAAAAAAAAAGGGGGTAGGATTTTCAAAAGATAAATCAGCATGAGAGTGATCAAATTTGATTGAATAGGTGATTTATTATGATTACACAATCTCAAATTAATTGAAATCACAATCACAATCGGAATTAATAATAAAGTAAATAATCATAAAAAATAAATAAGATACCTTTCTTTCTTTCTTTTTTTCTTTTTATGTATTTATTGTTTGTTTGATTGATTGATTGATTGTACAAACTGTATAAAAATAACTTTGAAGAAATTTCAAAATTAATTAAAAAAAAATAAAAAGAAAAATTGAAAAAGAAAATAAGCAAACCAAAAATAATCCCAAAAATACACATTACTCATAATTAATTAACAAACATTCATACAATCAATCATTCAAAATGTTCGTCTAAACCAAAAACTAAAAAAAACTCAGACTCTTCTCTAACAATTCCTCAATGACTTCTAGTATGGAATTAGCCCCTAAATATGATGCTATGTTTTCTGCTGAAGCTGAATAAAGAATTAATGACTGGCTTGATGCCTAGAATATAATCTAAAAGGCTCCCGAAGAGCACTTCAGAGACTTCTTCTAATAAAGCAAGGAACAAGCTCAATATTAAATTAACTTACTTATTCACTAAAATTCTTTTAGCAATGACAGTAGCTAATAATCCCTTCCTGAATTAGAAATGAGTTTATCTTCATCTTGCTCATCTTGCATTTCTTCTCCTGGATCTCTTGATTTAAAGAGATCTCCCATCCTCAACAGAAGAAGAATTAATATTGGAGATTTATTAATTTCAAACAATTAAAATTAATATGATTCCATTTAAGAACTCCGTTTCTGAAAAAATCATTGAATCAATAATAATTGTCTGATTAATTGACAAATAAAATTTATTTAATTCAATTCATTTATGAATTAATACATGAATGAATCAATAAATAAATAAATGAATGGTCAGTTTATCTTAACTTAAATCTATTCTTAAATAAAAATAACAAACAAACAAATACAATTTCAAAGACACACACACAAACAAAAAAACAAAAATCACAATTAAAAATTTTCCTCACTCATATTTTAATAAATTCAAAGGCTTAATTAGTTCATACTAAAGCCATTAAAAAATAAAATATCAAACTTCACTTTCAATTTCTTTTGAAATAACCATGTGGAATCGATATCTATTGAATATTTAATCTCAAAAAAATCTTAAAATTACTACTTATTTATATAAAACTGTACAATCTTTACTATCTTATTTATATTTATATATTCTCTATATAAACAACATGTTATAATCTTTAACAAAATTCAATAAAACCATTCAATCCATAAAACTTTTATCTAAATTTTTTTATAAAAAATTAAAATTCATGTTTGTTTGACTGACCCTCTAAATATATTTTCATACAAAATTATTTAAACATTTTTATTTTTGCTTTATTTAATTAAATTCATGCTACTTGAATGTCATTTAACATTCATTTGCTATATCTGATTTTTGGTAGTACTAAAATAGAAAGAAATTCAAATATAATTAAATGGGTTAATAAACAGAATAATAGGAATCTATTTTATATAATAATTTAATTCCTTTGAATTTATTATAAAGTCTAAATATACGCAAAGTGCAATTTAAATTTCTAATTAGATTTCTTATCTAAATACCTGAAGATTTAAACCTTTCTACTTTACTTTGATTTATACTACAAATTTACTATTCAAATTTACAAATACCCAAAAATATATTATTTAGAATACTTCAAATATTTAATATCTACAGGTTTTTTATTTTAGTTCTTACTTGCTTACAGATTATTTTACTGACATGATATTTCATATTAAAAAAACTTATAAAGAGTTACTTAGAAATCTCATAGAAAAAAATATACAATCATATATTGTGTCTGAAAAACAAATTATTAAAGACTATTTAATGATTAGTATAGATAAATTTTTTAATCTCTAGCTCTTACAATTTTATGATTAAAATAACTCACTATTATAAAATAAAAATTTTTATAGACTAGTTCAATCATCGAACTTCTATACCATTTAGTCTATGAATAACTCAATTTGGTATTCATTTGTATGTTAATAATAATTAAATTTAAAGACTTTTACTTGCAAATACATTTATCTTCATATCTTAAAAGAAATAAATACAATACAACAATATTTCTTAAATTGAGTTTTTTTAGTTAATAAAATTAATTTATCAAAAAAGTGTTTATTGTAAATCTGCTTGACTGTAAGTATTTTTCTAGCTAGTACTATGAATACTTTAATCATTATTTTTATTATTTAATTATGCTTTCATTTTTAAGAATGTAAATGTGCATTTTGTAAAATAACTATTTTCCTATTACAAAGTTATTTAATATCAAAAAAATTAATTAATGCAAAGTAAACTAAATAAGTAAATAAGTTAATACAAAGAATAATGTAATAAATAAATGTTTGGATGAAAGATATTTCATGGATACCATAAATAAAATTTCAAGAAAATAATGAGTAATTTAAATTTCTGATCTAAATATCTTTTACTCATGATTTTTATATGAGCTTGTATTAAAAATAAAAAACAGAAAGCTTTATGGTTCTAGTAATATTCAAGAGCATGTGTCTTACTTTCAATTCATATTAAATACTTGTAATTACATACTGTAATTTAATTTTTATAAATTAATATAGAAACAGATATTATTTAACCCTTATTTTAGTTTTAAAAAGCCTATAGTATTTTAATGTAGTAATCTAAATATTAATAAATACTAACACCCTTATAATGTTTGATTCTTCAATTACATTTTTATGATTTTTTAGCTCTTTTTTTAGTTGTATTTTATTTATAAAAAATTGTAACAACAAATCCCTCTGTTAAAATATGATAAGAATTTAATAAATAAATATATGTTTTACATATAAAGTAATAGATGGAATATTTTAATAATAATCATTCAAGATCAAAACCATTTTTTAAATTTTAGATAAACACATGTAAATTTTACAATTTTTATTGGCTAATGCGTATGCAATTCAGAAATATGTAAACCTATGATAATTTTTTGTAAGCAATTTAAATTAATTGATATGATTGGCTAAGATTATTTATTTTACTTATCATTTTTAAAGTAAGATAAATTTATTTATTCAGCATACTTGTAGTTTCTTGTTGGTTTCTCATTAAAATTTAATAACGTAATGTTGATATATATTAATATAAACCGACTATTCATTCATTTTTATAAGCTCAAATGAAATTAATGTATATGTTAATGAACTAACTGAATTCAAAAGATTAAATTTATTTATACAATAAAAAGATCAATTTTCATCAAGCAATAAAAATATTTTTTTTAAATTTTAATGAATTATCTAATTTATTCATATAAAGTCTAAAATTTATAAACAGTGATTACGGTTTCATGTAAATTAAGATTGTAAAATTGTATTCAGCCTTTTTTATTTACTTTATAACAAATCCAATGATTTATTATTTGTCCAACTAATTCCTCCAACCAAAATTTCTTTTAATTTTCAATTAATCTAATTTTTTATTGAATTATGTTGGAAATTGATTTCTATAATTTATTGCTTTTCTTAGGAATCTTTAAAGAAAGCTTCGACACTTATTTTTATTTTTCTGATGAGAAATACATACATAATTTGGAAGTAGTTGGCTTTTAGGTATTAAAAATAATATTTGATTTTTGAGAACTTTCTTTTAGTTTTATATTTTTCATATAGCAAATTTAACTTAAATTATATAAGTTAACTCAAAGAATATCATTTATTTTATAATTGATATAAAATAAGTAAAATAATCTAAAATTGATGATCGGTGATACAATTTATGCAATATTTAATAAGAATATATTCCTATTTTTAATTAAAAAATTAATTCAGGCATTTTCAGCTATTTGATTTTTATTTAGGTTTAATTATTAAAGAATTTTCTTACTTATACTTTTGTAAACGTTCACACTTTTTAAGGTCTAGTAGAATTATCAATAGACAACTAACTATATTTTTACTTTGTGTTAGATTTTTTTATGTTCATTTTTCGATACTTTTATTAAAATATTTGACTAATATTTTTTCAAGTGTTATTATTATTCAAAAAAAAATTTTATTAAACAAAAAAGGTAATAATTTTAATACAACAAATTGTATTGACAAATATTTAGCTTAAAAAGGGGATTTAGTTTAAGTAAAAATTTTTTAATTTAGCGTTAAATTATGTTTTTAAGTTTTTTAAAAAATATTATTAATTTAGCGGATGGTAGATAAACAGTAATTAATTTTAGTTAATTTACTAAAATTTATTTAAGTTTTTTGATATCATCTTACTTGTTTCAATTATGCTTGTCTTAAAAAATGAGAATTATGTCAATTAATATTTTATTTTTTTATGAAAAGAAAATTATATGTAAAATATAAATAACTTACTAATATGAAGGAAATTGCAATTTTTATAAGTATCATGAGAGAATATGGAAATATATTAAAAAATATTCCTTTATAATTTAAATGAAGTATTAAGCATATTTTGTTTGTTTTATTTTAGAGTCTTTAATAAATTTAATTATATAAAATTACTAATAAAACATATTCTTTTTTGAAATATATTAAAAAAAAAATAATGTGTATGAAAACTAAACCAAAAAAATATTATTTTTTTTTCTAAATATTTAAGGTAAATAGGTTTTCTCAATCAAACAATTCTATTTATGTAATGTGTAAAAAATTTGACAATAACTTGAGATAACCCTCTGCTAAAAGCCAATCAGATAGGCTGATTTAGATTTATTACAATAATTCAAAATGTTATAGAGTTATTATGTAAAAAATTTTTGTAATAGAAACATAATTCTTGAAAAGAATTTTCTTAAAGTTCTATCTATATATCTATTAGTTATTCAAAAAAGTAATATAATTAAGTTGTTGTTATATCCTTCTTGAATAGTCAGAATAAAAAATATTTTAAAAATGTTATAAATTATAAATTACAAGCTTAAATATTGTATTTAAGCGGATACCTTTAAATAATTTGATGTGCCTTTTTAAGTATTTTGTTCATATTTAGTTAAAATTAATCAATACAAAATTTTGGCTACTATAATAAATAGCTAAATAATGTAATAATTGATAGTAGATTATCTATAAGAGAACAAAAAACTTTATAAATTTTCTTTAAAAAAAATGCTTCTTCTAACAAATAAATATATGTAAAACTATTAAAAATGATGGTATGTTTGATATTAAATTTGCTTTTAGAGTAAAAAATAACTTTTAAGTCATCCAAATAAATGAATGTAATCAGTATTTTTAAATAATGCAAAAAAGACATAGACTTTGAATCAAAAGCTAATAGAATTTCTGCTTAGATCTAATTATTATAAACAAAATAAATAACAAATTCATAAAAGCAAGCCATTGGTTACCCAAAAGGCTGTGTGAAAATCTGTATAATTAAAATTTTTTATTTATTATATTGACCTGGTCAATAGTTAATTACGCTGCATACACTTAATTGTTCCTCACTCAACCTTGTCAGTATCTCTATTAGCAAATTTTTTTTGTATAATTATATTTGGTAAATATAAGTTTGTATTGTTAGTTTTTTTGCCATATTGCAAAAGAATAATTTTAGTAAAAAAATTCTATGAATTTGAATTGATTATTTTCTTAGATGAAGGTATAAACTATCACTTTTTAAAATCACTTTCACAGATTTTAATTTTACTCTAAAGAAAAAAATTGATTGGTAGAAATTAGCTAGTTTATTTTTAATAAATTTGGTTTATTATTAAAAGGGTAATTAATTAATAATTCTTCTTCCAGAAAGTCTTTTATTAAACTAACAACTCAAGCACATATACATATATTATTAATTATTTTTTTCTCTCTGATTACCGCCAGCTTAAACAATATAGAAATCAATCAATCTACATTTTAAAAATGAAATTTTATTTATAATTATTAGTGAATAAAAAAAGACATTGAATAAAATAATGAATAGATTTTTATTTAATTTATTTTAAGCATCTTTATATAAAGCTATCATTAATGATCTATCTTTATTATTCAAGTAATAAATAAAGCAATTTGATATTTCACATTTTTTCAACTAATAAATATTATATAAAATTTGTTATCTGCACATATAAAACAACTTCATGTTATTTATACGTTCATAAGTATTTTAGATGTATATAAATTATTATTGAATCGTATTTATTATGCTTTGAGGTACCCATAAATGCATTATTTATTTATTTTTTTGCAATATTTAGAAATATTTTTGCAATTTTATAGCTTAGGATAAAATATAGGTAAGAAACAAGTCATTCACGTAGACAAAATTATTAATTTTATTATTAGAAAGAAGTTATTTTAAACATAAATTTACATAGGGTAGGATAAAAATTAAATTTAAATAATGTTCAACAAATATATTTAGTTTTAAAAATTAAATTAACATATAAACCAGAATTACTAAATTTTAATTACTAAAAATAAACACATCAATAAATGTATTAATTAATTTATTTATTTATTTTTAAATAATAAATTAATTTGTAAATTTAAAGATATTTCGTTATCAAAAAGGAACTTGTAATGATTTTAATTATAGAAGAGAGAGAAAAAATTAAATATTTCTTCATGCTTTGAAAAGGAAAATATGTATTAATTTATAAAAAATTTATATAAAGACTATCCAATTAATATAATTTATGCTTATTTATTTTGTAAAAAATAACTTTCTTAAAAAAGAAATTAATTTTAATAAACGAAATGTTTGTTGAAATATTTAAATAAATTATAGAGTTTAATTACTTCAAGTTAGGATTTATTTCATCATAAATAATTTTTAAAGGTGATATAAATAAAAAAATATAAAATTAAAATAGTCTTTCAAGTTTGAAATTTCTAAAGTTAAATGGGTTAATATGATCAAATTAATAACAAAACTGATTTTAAAATAAATTAATTTAAAATTTTTTTATAAATAAGACCTAAAATGTTAAATAAATTTATCATCAAAATTTAGAAAATTTGACTATATTTTTTAAATTTAGTTTATTTTATTTTTGCAATATTAAAACCTAATCAATAAAGATAATAAAAAATACAATGATTTGATTTTCTTTTTATCTTCTAATAATCAATTTCAAGTCGCTTGTTACTTATAAATCCGAATTGATCATCTCTATTACATTACCATTAGCTAGCTTATAAATAAATCTCTAGTGATATCGAATATAGGATACATAGTATATGTGAGAATGAATTTATAAATTAAAAATTTTTAGCATTCCTAATTTCTAATTAATGACTCATTAGCTTAAAATTTTAGTATTGTTAAAATAATATAAGGATACTAAATTTAAAAAAAATAAAATATTTAGTAGGGGTAGGTATTTAATTAATAGATAATAAAAATAAAAAATATTTAATAGGTCGAGTAATAAAATAGCATTAATTCCTAAAAGATATCTTTTTTAATTGTATCAAAATAATTTAATAACAAAATCAAAAAAATGAGTTTACTTACATGAATTTGAAATAAATATATTATCAGTAATAATCAAACTAAATAAATATATATATATCTTTATTTACAAAAGAAACTAAGTTTTTATTTTCATTAATTCATTTGCTTGAAAGAAAATACTATAAATAAACTTAATTTCTATTTTTAATGTAAAAGAAAAAATCTTTATGTTTTTTAAAAGCTTGAATGATTTTTTGTTACTTCAGCTTTTAAATAGATAAATAAATTATTAAATTATCAAATAAATATCTTTAAAGTAGAAAATAAAATACTCTATCAATTATTAAAAGCTGAATACATAATATTAAGTAGTGTATTATTTTTTCTAATGATCTGGTAAAACCTAAATTAAATAATTTCTATTATGAAATAGGTGAGAGGTTGTTTTTTTGCAAGAATTTTGTATGGATCTATAACCTAATTTAGTTTTATAATTCATATTAGTTTTACTGTCTAAATTTAAGCTTCCTACATATTAAAAAATAAAAATTTATTTTAAAATATAGATTTGACCTAAGTATTCCAAAGTTTTTATAAGCTTATTTGTTATAACATTATTTATGAAAACTATCTTGAAAATATCTTTAAAAACAAGTAATCATTTTCAGTAAAAAAATTTTTTGTACCTTTTGTATGATTTATGAAAAACATTAAGTCAAACATTTTAAATTTTAAAAGCCTTAATCTTATACATTCATCAAATATATTAAATTTTATCTACATTATTTTATTATAAATAATAGTTTATTTTTAATAAGCAATCAATCAATAAAGAAAATAATTTAAATTTACCAATTTTATGCAGTTCAAATATTCTTTAATTAAGTAAAACTAGCATATTTAGCTCAAGTAAGAAAAAAAATTTATAGAAAATCCTTAAAATAAATAATATCTGTTTTATTATTTAATTGAAAAGTCTTAAAATGCATTCTTTTATTTATTTACTTAAGTGAGTGTAAAAAGAGAAAAATACAGTAGTTTTAAAGTTATAATAAAATAAAAAATCAGAAAAAATTATTTAAATTTCCAAAATTCCAATAGGTTAACTAGTTAATTGAATTGATTAATAAAAAAATTTTATTTTGATAAAAATATATTAAAACACAAATTAATTTAAAACAAATAAAATTTTATTTTTCTTATTTGATTAGGCATGATTATTGCTTTTTTATATAAATTTTCTTTTATAGATTTAGAAATGTAATTGAACTCAGTACTTTTCAGATTATTATTATTTTTTTTGTATCAAAAATGTTTCTAGAGGATTTACATAATAAACATTTAAATGCATTAAAATATAAAACAATACAATGTTGTTAACTTCAAATAATTTTTGAATTATCTGTATAAAGATATACTTTGAATTAAGGATAAATAGACAATTTTAAATAGTTACTAATCTTAGAAAATCTAAATTGATCATTCCTATAAAAACTTAAATACATCTTAAAATTATTCTTATTGATTCTTAAATTGTATAATATATTTTACTTGACTTCTAAACCTTTAAAATTTTTTACGAGTTCTCTCTAAATTTTATTTCAATTTAAATTATGGAATATATCTAATTATACAAGCTAATTTAGAATTAGATTATTTCTTTGAAATAATTGTATCTGCGAAAGATATCAGTATTAGTATAGAATTGTATATCATAAATATGAGAGAAAAAAGCAGGCACACATATAAGAAAATATTTGGAATATAATAGATAAAGTTATCTTTAATATTGTTGCTCTGAGTCTCGAAAACAATTGTTGCTAAAAAATTTAGAAGCATTATTTGGATACTTATTAATTCCATTTTATTCAACTGAGTTCTTTAGAAAGGCTAATATCTTTGCAAGCAATATTGAAAATAACTTTAAAAAGTAATTCAAGTAGAATGAATTTATAATTAAATTATTTAATATACCTGAACTAACAAAAAAAATAAATAATAATTTTTAATCAAAAATTTAATTTTTTGATGAATTATAAATTAAAAATATAATTTCTTAAATTACATAATTAAATTAAAAAATTATTAAACTAATATTTTTTAATAAAAACCAAAATAAAATTATTAAATAATAAATCTATTTTTATGTAAATCCAGGAATTAAATTCTTAATTCTCCACTTCCATAAGAATATAATATTGCTATAATAAGTATTTAATAAAAGTTTGTCAAATAAATTAAATTTCATACACTATTATGAAGTAAATATGTAATCTTATATAAAACTTATTTAAAATAAATAAACTATTTATTCAGATTAAATCCTCTAGCTTTACAGAATTAAAAAGGTTATCAGAAGAATATTAAAACCTGATTATGCTTCTTACCTGATTCCTCAGTATTTTGAAATTTTTTCTTACTCTTTCTGTGTTTTGTTATTCTTGTGAGTTAGCAAAACATTTTTTTATGATAGAATTGTTAAAATAAGATTTCATTTTATAAAAAATTAGTTCTTTAAGTGAATTTATTATCAAGAAGCCGTTATAAATGTTAAATAACAAAACAGCTGCAAGGCATAAATATAAGAAAATTGTTTAGAGTAAATTAATTATATTACTAGAAACTTAGTTTTCTGACTAAATTATTATAGCAGAAAAGAAGGATAGAATTAATATTTTTACACTAATTAATTCCATTCTATTAAGCAATTTTCTTTGAAAGGGCTGATAGCTTTGGAGGCAATAATGATAAATAAATAGGCATATTATAAATAAGCTATTCATGAATTAAATATTTTAGAAGAAAATTTTTTAAATGATTAAAAATAACACCTTTAAAAAAAAGCGAACCATTTCCCAATAATAATAGTTTTGCTTGTATTCTTAATACAGGAATCCAAACTAAAACAGAACTTAGATTTTGTTTAAATTGTTTCTATTTTTATAAAGATTGTACATTAAATAAGATGGTACGAGCACAGAATAAACCAATATTCCACTAAGTGAAAAGCTATAATATTCCTTCCCTTTATAGCAAGGTATTGATAAGTCTATTAGAAGAGAGCTTTCACCATTATTAAATTTTCTACATAAGAGAGCATCCATGCAAATGCTTAAAATTTGATTGTAAAATACAATAAAAAGAACATAAGTTATAGTTAAATAGATGTTATATCTAAAGAATCTCTAGCTTGATTTCTTAAAAATTCTCCTCATAAAAGGAAATAGTAGCACTATTGGCAAAATTATAAACGGTAATAGTAAATAAAATTTCAATCTGAGAAAACCGTAGTTGTCATTAGTTGGAAAAATGTCATATAGAAGGCAATTAACTGAGGCAAAACTGCTCTAAATAGGATTAACAGCATATTAAAGTGACATAGAAAGTATTGTGTCCTTTAAGTTGATCTCCAATTAATTTTGAAGAAAAATAATAATCGATGCATGAAATGATACAATTTTGATGTAGACTGAAGCTAAACCTAATTTAGTAAAACTAGTTCCTATAAAAATTATATTCATTTTCATGAGATACTGCTGATAAATGATATTCTAAATTTTATTAAAATTGCTATAAATAATAAAATAGATAATTAGTATGAATGCTAATAGTCCTATTCCTATTTTTACATAATTCGCTGATATTGCTTCGCACTTAGAACATGAATATAATCCGTTGGTAGTATAAGTAGAATTCCAATAATAACCATGTTCATCACAACTTTGACACTCATTGCCAACTCTTCCCTCCGAACAAAGTTAATTACCAATTCCACTACCTCCAATACAAGATTTCAAATGACCAAACTGACATTTGTAAACCAAACTATTATCTATTTCATAACTTTATCTCCAATATCCAGGATTGAGTTCTGTGTAGTTTAAGTAGCATTTAGAGAAAAATTGAATATCGCAGGGAATACATTAAAAAATATCATCTCTATAATTGGCTGACATATTATCGCAGTATTTACACTCATATAGTTAGCTCTCTTCATCAGTAGTTATCTTTTTTTATCCTTAAGTACACTCCCCTATTGAAAATGTAATACCTTACTTAAATTAAATATTAATTAAAGCATTTAAATTAAAGGTTTGATCAGGATCAAATACAAAAACTAAATAAGGATATGCTGAATTTATTTCTTTTAAAATTATTTTCACTTTCTAAAATGAAATTTAATAGAAATTCTGTATATTTGGTTAAAAAAAGTCATATAAATTTCCTGAAAATATTTCATCTTTTAACCTAATATTATCTTACTAAGTTAAATCATCTCTCAAAAGCTCATAAATACTTTAAAGTTAAAAACTTCCATTGATAAAAGTAGTTGATCTTAAAAAAACTAATTCAAGAATGAAAATATAGGTTGAGCTTGGTATTAAACTCATTTTACTTGTTTTGGGATACTCAATTAATTTATATTCTTTTTCTTAGTAATTTGAAATATACTCAATGACTTATTTTATTTAGAAGACTTCATTATAAAAATATATATCTTTATCTAAATAAGTAGAATTATTGTTTTTAAACTCTAAATTTTGATAATCTAATTAATAAGCTATATTATTTTAGAAAGAAATCGCTCCACCAAATAAAGCATAGTTATCCTAAAATAAAACGCTCGTGATATTATAGAAAAGAGTGCTAAAAAAAGATATTGCTCCACCAAATTTTTTGCTTGTGCAATTTTTAAAAGTAGATTTGTTTACTGTTATATTTGGAGACTTATAAAAAAATAAGCATCCACCATTCGACAGGGTAATCATATTATGAAACTCACTTTACTCTATTTATACTGATTTATTAATTAAATGGTCTTTGTTAAAGTCTAAAAGAAATCTGGAATCATATCCTCCTAAATTAGCATAAATTCTTTAAATAACTATATATTTAATTCCTGAATTTTTATTTTCTAATTAATTGATAATAAGCAATGAGCGATCACTTTAACCATTATTAAAATTCATTAGCCAATCACTTTTTTAAAATATATACTCGGTGCTGTAGTTTTATAACAATTTAAATTAACTTAGATTTTAATAATTTTATTCTAATTTAAAATTTGAATCAAGCAATTAAAACACTTCATTATTATAAACTCTAATCAAATTTTATTAATAAAAGCAATTTCTAACTTATATTTAACTAAGTGTTATATTTTTTATTGCATTAAAGTCAAGCAATTTAGAATTTAAGCTAAAATTTTCTATGCTTAAATAATTTATTTACACATTATTTATATCTTCAAAATAAAATATATTTTCATTAATGATTTTAAAAAATGAAGATAACTTAATTTTATTGATTATTAAATTATCAATATTTTCAAATTCAAATCTATATTTTATGAAAAATTTATCTAAGTTAAATATAGAATTTATATTTAAATCAATATTATGTATTTAAATATTTTTAACTTTCCTGATCACTAGTAACATATCAGACTATTTATTTAGTGTTTATATATCACCAATTACTAAATTTTTTGATCCTCCATCAAACGCAAACAAAGAAAATGGTAACTAGGATAGTTCCGAATTATCCAAAATACTGTTAATTTAAAGTAATTCAGTTGTAAAAGTAATAATTTAAAAAAAAGCAGGCAATAGAATAACTTTATCAATAATAACCTTTAAACCATCAAGTTATAAAAATAAACTACTTGGATTTAAATTTTACACCTTTAGTTCATCAATTTTAATAATATTAGATTATTAGATATTAATTTAACTATGATTATATAATGTCATTTTTTTGATACTTATATATTCACCTATAAAACTATAATCTGCCATATATAAGAATTCATTTTAAATTTCAAATTTTTAAATTGTAATATTTTTGCTCGTTACACTTAGGCCTTAAAACTTAAAGCCTGAGAGCTCACTTATCATTATATCGCTATCAGAGCTTATTTCTATTAGATGTGTTTATTAATTTGCGATTATCATACTTGCAGAAAACTAGCTAATTTAAACTGTTTAAATATTTTTTAGGCTTAATAATTACGAATTGCTCTTGCTTTCAATATTTGTCAAATTTACCTTTCCCAACTCTAATTAATTTATTTGATTTGAAATTAATGTTTTATTCACAATGCAGCTGTTTAAAACCAAATCTAGAGAAATTGAATCTTTGCTTTAAAGTTAAATTTCATACTCATTTTAGATAAAATCGATTTTCTAATTAACCAAAGCTTGAATTATTTAAATATCACAGCTATTCTATTATTTTGTAGTATCTAAGCTATTTTATTACAAATTTAGCATACGCGCTTTTATAAATACAATAAATGCAATAAAATTTACAATTAGTTTTAGTAGATTCATTTAGAGATAATTAATTTTATATCTTTCTTTATTTTTTTGTAATTAAGATAATTTTTTTAAACAAAAGAATTATATCGTTATAGTTGTTCATAAAAGAAAGATCAAATAGATAAGTTAATATATTTACTTTTTATTCCAGAATGTACACATTATTTATGATAAAAAATAGAAAAAAATAAAATAGCTTCATTTAAATGCTTAATTAGTTATTAAAAATATTCAAATTTTATAAAATGCTTTATTATTAGGCTGATTTTATGATTAAATAAAAGTCATTTTTTGAGTAATTATTTACTAAAGATATATTACTATCAATAAGTATTTTTTGTATCAATATGAATAACTAATTTATGGAGAATGAATAAAACAAAGTCTTAAATAAAAGTATAAATTTGTTTTTAATTTTCACAAATATAAATTTTGAGAATTAATTTTTGTTTTTTATTTTATTTTTGTAATTTGATTCAGCGCAATTATTACTTTTTGCCTAATTTTTATTAAGAAAACAAATTTTCTTTTATTAATTTTGAAATGTAATTCAGAATGTTTCAGATTATTTTTTCTTGTCAAAAATTATCTTTAAGGGTTTAGATGTATACACTTATATGCATTAAAATATAAAACAATACAATGTTGTTAACTTCAAATAATTTTTGAATTATCTCTATAAAGATATACTTTGTATTAAGGATAAAGAGACAATTTATTTTTAATAGTTACTAATCTTAGAAAATCTAAAGTGATCATTCCTATAAAAACTTAAATATGTCTTAAAATTATTCTTATTGATTCTTAAATTGTATAATATATTTTACTTGACTTCTAAATCTTTAAAAATTTTTACGAGTTCTCTCTAAATTTTATTTCAATTTAAATTATGGAATATATCTAATTATACAAGCTAATTTAGAATTAGATTATATCTTTGAAATAATAGTTTCTGCAAAAGATATCAATATTAGTATAGAGTTGTATGTCATAAATATGAGAGAAAAAAGCAGGCACACATATAAGAAAATGTTTGGAATATAATCTATAAAGTTATCTTAAATATTATTGCTCTGAGTCTAGAAAACAATTGTTGCTATAAAATTTAGAAGCACTATTTGGATACTTATCAATTCCATTTTATTCAACTGCGTTCTTTAGAAAGGCTAATATCTTTGCAAGCAATATTAATAAAAAATTAAAAGAATTATGAATAAACTGTTCATGAGCTGCTTATTCTAAAAGAAAATTTTTTAAATTATCAGAAAGGACACCTTAACAGAAAAGCGCGCTATTTCCCAAAAATAAAATTGCTTTTTATATTCTTAATACAGAAATCCGAATTAGAAAAGAGTTTATATACAATTCAGTTTATTCCTGTTTGATATGAGACTGTAAATTAAGTAAGATGGTACTAAAATAGAATATAACACTAATCCTCCTAATGAAAATATATAATACTGATGGCGTTAGCTGCAAGGAACTGCTAGATCAATTTATAGAGCTTTTTCTCCATTTCCAAAGCTTCTGCAAGTCAAAGAGTCAAGACAGACACTAAGGATTTGGTTGTAAAAAACTATAAAGAGAGTGTAAATTATAGTAAAAGATATATTATATTTTAGATATCTTGCACTTGATTTTTTACAGAAGAATCTAATCAAAGGTAAAAATAGCACTAAAGGGATTACTAATAAAGGCAGTGTCAAGTATAATTTTAATTTTACTATGCCATAATACTACTAATTAGGAAATATATCATAAACTGCACAATTAATTGAAACAAAACTTGTTTGTAATGGACTTGAATATTGAATCGACTATTCTATTAATGTGTCTTTGACGCTTATTTCAAGTTAGTTTTAGACGAAACCTAAGAGAGAAGCATTAAATGATAGAATCTTTATAAAAACAGAAGCAAGCCCAAATTTTGTAAAGCTAGTACCGATGAAAGCCATATGCATTCTTAATAAGTAATGTTGATAAATTTAATTTTATATCTTTTTAAAATTGCTATTAATCAAAAGAAAAAGTATCATGATAAACAAGGTGGTTCCTACCCAAATTTTAATTGCATTTGATTAAATATCATCACATTTAACGCAAGAGTAGAGACTGTTTGATGTATAAGTTGCATTCCAATAAGAGGAAGTTTCATCACATACCGAGCACTCATTTCCTATTCGTCCTTCTGAGCAGAGCTCATTTCCAAACCCACTTCCACCTATACAAGATTATTAGCTTGTACTTTGACATTTATATATAAATCTTTTATCTACTTGAAGTGACTCCCTCCAATAACCTTGATTAAGCAAAGTATAGTTTAAGTAGCACTAAGAAAATATCTAGCTATCACATTGCTAGCACTCAAACAAATCATTCCTATAATTTGCAGACATAGCTTCACAATATTTACACATATACCTTGAGGTGTCTAAAGTGGTAAATTAAACTTTTTACTAACCTTAAATACAATCGCGAGATGATAATTCTATATCAATCAGTGATTCAATACCATAAATAAAATTAAATTTAAATTGCTTTAAACCAGAATTTGGTTAGAACAAAAGGTATGCTTAATTTTATTTGAATTCTTTCAAGTTTATTTCATAATTTAGATACTAACTAATATCTCCTACATTTTATAATTATTTTTATGGCTGGTAAAAGTTATACAAATTTCCAAAGAAAATGTTATTTATAGTAGTTGGGTTCACTTTTTTCATTTTAGAATTATCATTTTTAAAGAAATTTAAATCAATTAGAATAATATAAATAGAGCCTGGAATGAGATAAGCTTTCGAATCAGAAATAGAAACTCTTCTAAGTAGGTAATTTTATTAAAAATAATTAGGAATGTATTCAAATATTTAATTTATTTGAAAACAAGAGGTATAATCATACAAGTCGTTATCTAAGTAAGTTGATGTATTGTTTTTAAAATTTATATTTACTAAATTTTTTTCATTTCCTTATGAATCAATAGAAATACCACCTCCAAAAAGAGCTGAATTACTTTGTAAATTCAAATTACTAAAATTTATAATTTAAAAAGTCTTGACAAATATAGCCCCTCCAAATTTATTGCTTACACAATTTGTAAAATTTGATGAAGTAATTTCTAAACTATTTAAAACATAAAACCTCAAGCAACCTCCATTTTAATAGGATTTCATATTCTGAAAAGTACTTTTATTGATTTTTAAATCTTTCAATGAATTAGTTACTGAAAGAAATCTAGAATCAAATCCTCCAAAATCTGCAAAACAGTTTTCAATTTATAGATTAGTAATTTGAAAATACTATCTCTCAAAATCTCCCATAATAATTAAAGACCTTGACCCATCCATATCATCGTAAGCTTTTAACCACTCAGTTTATTAAGTTTTTTAATCCTTATCATTTTTACTGAGTGGTTAGAAATAACTGAAATTCGGAGAGTTAGAATCAAGAATGAAGCTAGAATTTGATATTGTAGCTATATTAGTTTTTTCAAAACTAATTAAATCTGTTTTAAAAAAGCAATTCTTCAATCGAATACCTTCTAAATAAAAGCTATCAGATCTTGAAACTGTTATTAATTTTGATTCAAGTAAAATATTTTCAATCAAGAATGATTTTATTATTATGCTTTGTACTTCATCAAATGTAAACATATTATTTTAAATAACTTATGTAGCCGATGTAAAATTAAGATTATTTATTTGAACACTTAAAGCGTCAGTTATGAATACAATACTGTCATCAATGTCAAGATATTTTTGATTTATATTTAAATCAAATCTGTCAATAGTGATTTTTTCTACATTAGTGACTGATAAACTTGATAGAGCGATATCTTTGTCAAATTTGATATGACCTATTTTTAAATTTAGGGTTAAGTGGTCGAAATAAATTTCAACAGATTTTATTTTTAATTTATCTTGCATTTAACATATCTTTTAAATTTAATACAATTCGTTAATTAGATTATTATTTTAATCTTCCTCAGTTTCAAAATAAACTTATTTTGATCCTATAATAAGATTTTCTATCAAAACATTCTTGCTGATAAAAGGTAGAGTAGATCCATCTTTACTTTTAGAAAATACATTTTTCACATAAATTGAGTTGGTTGATCTGATTTGTAATTTAATGATATTAATAATATGAATATTTTCTATCATCATATCTGAATTACTTAATAAAATTAAAGAATCTTATTTTACATAATAACTATTTAAGTAAAGATAATTTATTTTCATATGATTTCCATTTAAATTTATGCTATTTGAATTTATGCTTGATAATTTATTAATGCTAATACTATCTTTAGATATTATTTCAATAAGATTGTTTTATCCATTAATCTTACAATCTTTCACAAAGATATTATTAATTTGAGTTGAATTTTTGCATTAAAATTTTATGATACTTTTATTATTGCTCGTAAGATTATTTAATTCAATATTATTTATTTGTAAGCTAAAATTTGTGTTTAAAAGTAAAGTCTTATTTACTAAACAGTCACTAACTTCCAAATTAAATTCCTATTAATTTAAATCCCCTAGTTAAATTACATAGTCATCTAATTTGTACTAAATAGATTAACTATCAAGATACTTAATTAATTTTTCATCACAAATGTTCTAATTGTCTACTATATCATTATCATTCTAGTGTTTAACCTCTACATTAGTAACTAAATATGCAAAGTTACATAATAATATTAAGAAATATACTTTTATCATTTATTTATTTGGTTTGCTTTTTTTTTTGCAATTAGATATTAATTTTGATATAAATTATTATAAAAGAATCAACTAATTCGCTTAATTTTAATATTTTACGCAATCTTTTAGAGAAATATAGCATCTTTAATAGTTATATTTAGAAGAAAAAAAATATATGAAATGTTTAGTATTGCACCTTAATAAATGAATTAAACAGGACATTAATCTATATCATGTGTTATATTTTATAAGGATAATTTAATGTTGCATTCCATTTATTCTTAAATCAAATTAATTTTATTCATATTGTTAAATTTATAGAAGAAAATGATCTAAAAAAATAAATAATATAGCTCTAATGACCACTTTTTTTAAGAAACGAGGTTATTTCATAAATTGGTGTTATAAATTATACTAAAAATAAGATGAATATAACACCTTACTTGAAAATGATAATTGCTAATACAATTTTTAAAGCTATTAAAACTTTTATATTACAAAAAAATGTAAATTAGCTATTCTCAATATATTTATGCTACCTTTGTTATCAAAATCAAATTTATCGATCTTATTAATTAGAAAGAATATTTTAACTTAATATTAAGATTACTTTATTTTTTTTAAGTAATTTAATAGATACAAATTAATATGATGAATTTTTAATTTCAAAAAATAATATTTAAAATAAATTTAAAAAGTAACTAAAGTAGAATGATTTACCATTAAAATATTTAATTTCTCTTATTTTATATTTGTTTCAATAAATATAATGTGCTATCTATCAAATTAATTTATAATTATAAATCTAAACGTATCCCCTGACAAAATCTTAAATTTCAAAGAAAAAAATGGGCAGTGTATATCAAAAAATTGGTGAATTTTGACATAATTTATGGAGATCAATAAAAAATTAAAAGTAAAAAACAATATTAAATGCAAACAATTAAAAGAAATTTGTCTAACTGTTATTTAATATATTAAATCATTAAGCAAATACTAACCTATGAACTCTTCTCATAAAAATATATTTATGATGCTTTCTATTCGAATAAGGGAATTTACACTTCAATTTAATCAAATATTTTAGCTTAGAAAGTTCTATTTACAAATTATTAGCAAATAGTTACTAGCTGTATTAGTCTGCAAATTTTATTTTGAGACTCAATTAAATTAAATATCTCCAATTACAAGATTCTTCAATAAGGATATGAAAATCTTCTCTAGATATATTATTAATTGGATTAATGCTAAATTTGATTATTTTAATATTAGGGATATTTTTTATACCTTAAACAAGAAACTTAAAACCTTTTTTACCAATAAAATTGCTTTTACCTAAAGAGAATGAAAAGCTTACTAAATTATTCAAATATTTCAAATTTTATTCAATATATTTAGCGCCCATTTCGCTTATGTTATTTGATTAAGATATTTTTAAATGCAATTTTTACAAATTTTGTAAATATTTGAATGAAAAAGCCAAATTTCTTGCTCCTTCAGCATGAACTGCATTTGGTAGAATTTCGATATACAATCTCTATAAAAAACAAAGTCTTTATAAAGCCTATGTAAGAGATAAAATTCCTTCTGCTTAGATATTTTACTTATCAACAGAGACATAAAGTTCTGTTAATGCATAATTTTCATCAATAATATCTGATTAGTCTTTAATAATGTGTTGTTAATATTATTATTATGCATTTTCTAAGTCTTACCTTAATGGCAAATTAAAAAAAAGCACTTTCTATCTTTTAAATTTAATGCATTTCAGACAAAATAATTGAAAGTTATTCTATTCTAATTGTTTTAATTCTTAAGGAAGACTTACAAATTATAGGATAAATAACTTATCTAAATTTAGTTAAATGCTTTATAGATTTTTAAGTTCACAAATAGATCTATAAAGTTCTAATCCAGCTCTTTTTTCTATATTTGACTCAGTATTAATTTCTAATTAGAGACTATTTAAGTTTTTTAAGCACTTAAGACAATTTGAAAGCTCAATGAATAATAAATTATTGAATTCTGGATCAAAATTTAAATGTAATTTTAAATCACATAAATGTTAACTCAATGCCTAAAATCCTTTCTACACAAAAACCATTCCATTTGGACTTATTTTATTATTTTTATCAATTAGAATTGATAGTTTTTGTAATTTTTGCAAGTTTTAAATAGCTAATCCAAATTGTTAAAATCCTTTTTCTCCAATAAAATTATTTTTTCCATAATAAAAATACAATTCTTTTAATTCATTTAAATCTTAAACTCCTTCAAAAAATCCCTATATTCCTTCTATATTTATAAAATTGTCATCCCCAAATTGAATATTAAGCTTTTATAGCTTTTTTAAGTTTCTAATACCCTTTCCTATATTAATAGCTCCTTAAGATTTAATTTTATTCCATTTTTAAATAATAATTTGTAGTTCCTCAAGTAAAACTAAATTAGATAGTGCATTACCAATACCCTAGCAACCTATTTCTCCTATTTCACTATTAGCATAAATACTCAGCACAAGAAACCTTAAATTTATTAGTTGTTTAATTCCTTCAGATATGATTTCCATCTATTTTTAACCAATATTTATATCTTCTAAGTTTAATTTTAAATCTATTAAATCAGAAAATGACCCTATACCATCTCTCAACGCTTCAGCACCCTCAATATCTAATATTAATAGATTTACTTTTAATTCTAAACAAATGATTCCAATATTATTATGATCACTTAAATTTTAGTACATACTTTAACTCATTTAATTTTAATTTTTCCTTTAAAATTGTAATTACTTGATATAATTCATATTAAATTATTTTTGTGATAGCTGAGGTAAAAATTATATCAAAGAAATCATCTAAAGAATTGAAGCCTAATAAATTTAAACATCTATCTTATGAACTAATTTAAGGAGTTAAAGATTTTAATTTAAAAGTTTAATATCTTCATTGTTAATAATGCAGTCTAATAAAAATATGCTAATTCTTTTAACTTAACTTAAACTTTTAAAAGTTTCTGCTAATTTTGAAATGGAAATTTATTGTTTTCTATTAAAACGTAAATTAAGAGTTATTTCTTAAAGATGAGTTAAATTTATTAAATTCAATCCTGCTTGAAAACCATTTTAGTCTAAATTAATTTTGTTGAGAATGATTGTTAGTTTATTAAGATATTATAATTTTTATATTTGTTAATTAATATTTTAGATAAATTCAGAATTTACTTAGTTTCCTCTAGATATTTAAATAAAAAGCTGTATAAGAGCTTCTTACTAGCAGATAAAATTAACCAAATCATTTAATTTTATATCACAATTGTTGTTGTGCTTTCCTAAAATGAATTTGAATCTTTTTAGAGAGTTTAAATTCTTGAAAGATTATATTAACTAAGAAATGTCTATTTTTATATGGTTAAATCTGGCTATAGTTATTTCAAGTTTATCTAATTTTTAGAATGGCTTTATAAAGTCATAAAAATTCTGTGCTTCCTAAATATTGTTGCTTAATTTTGATGGCAAAATTATTTTAAATTTTTATATTTATTAGCAATTCTCTAATTTGAGTAGGTTTATTCTAAAATTTCTAATTTCATTATTAACAAATGTGCAGTAGCTTATTTTTTTAATTATTTCAATATTTTTCTCAAAGTCTAACTCCTCCATATAGATATTTTTATACTTTAAAATTTAAATATTACTTTCAAATAATTCTAATTTAATTCTAATTAAAATTTTATTGTTGGATAGCTTATTATTTAATAATAATTTTTTTTCAGAATTCGTTTCTTGTTTCTTGAAATTAGGTGATAATTAAATAAAAAATCAAAAATATTACCTTTATGATAAAATTAAATTGCAAAAAATTAACTTAAAATTAAAAAAAAAACTAAAATATTTTGAAGTAAAAACTAAAAATTAGGAAATTATATATCATATTTATAAAAAAATATAAATCAAAGAAACCCCCGAAAATCATAAATAACTGGCTAGGGTAAAAAGGAATACATTCTTGAATTATGCTTTACAACTTGCAAATTTATAATGTTTAAGAATTATAATTATTCTAGACTCTACCAGTATATCTTAATGATCAAAAAAAATTATTATAAATTAAATTCTTTAAGTTTTTAAGAAGAATTTTTGGACATAATATAACAAATTTTATTTGTGTGAGAAATTTGAAATCCTTTAGTAAAAATAATATATAAGTCAAGTTTATGCATTTTTATCTATTTTATGTATTGCTCAACAATGAAGGATAAATTGTTTGTTACTCTTCATGTATTATATTAAAAATCAAAGCTATAAACCGTAAATTTAACTTATTAAATAAGATTCATTTATATATAATGTCTATCGATTAAAATAAATATAACTCATTTATGACATTAAAAATTCTTTAATAGTTTTAAAAAGCAATCAAAAAATATGTGAAAATCTAACTATTCTTCAAAACTAGTTGCATAAATTTACACAAAGCTGTTTATCCTTTAAAAATAATCCTTTATTAACTTATTTTAAATTATTTTATTTATGCTCATATATTTATTAAACTTTAAATTATGGCAATTCTTACTAAGTATTATGAGGTAATTAAATTATTAAGACAACAATAAGTCAGGATACAAAAAGTTCAATATATTACAAGGTTGAATTTCTGTATGTATAAATTGATTATAATTTGAAAAATTAGCATAAAAAATAAAAAAGACTAAGATAGTGAGTTAGCTCAAAATATTTTGATGTTTTTTGTATAATGATAGTATTTTAATTGATAATATGGCAATAAAAAAAAAATAAACTAAATTTTATTTAATTTCTTATTAGATTTATCTCATATATGAAAGCTGACAAAAAAAACTAAAGGTTATATGATGCCAAACGAGATTATTCTCTATACACATAAAGAAACAAGATATCCTTGAGCATTAACTAAAAATTTTTATATTTTCCTTAAGAAAGGATTGATTGAATCATGTAAAGATTTTATCTTAAATTGAAATAGTGGTAACTAATATCCGTAAATTAAACTAAAGTCAATATCGAATGTACTTGTTCATACTAGAAATGAGATAAAACTCATTAAATTAATCGAAAGAAATTTAAAAAATATCTAATAAAAACTATTTTTTTACTAGTCTTTAATAGTCAAATTTCATTTCACTATCTTCTCGCAAAATGTTTCCCAAATGATTTTCAATAAACAATATCCAAAAAAAGATAGTTTAAAATGGATATAAACTAATTACCGTGCTAGAATGATATTTTCATGATTTTAGAAATAATAAAATCACCAAAAAATAACATTAATATTATAAACAAAGAAAAATGGTTGTTTACATAACGTTAAATAATATTTAAAATAATTTATTTGTAATATGCTGATACTAGTGTTAATAAAAACTTATTGTAATAAGTAAAATTAGAAATTGTTTGGAAACGAATAGATAAGTGAATGAAATTTTAATATTATATATTTATTTTTAATTAATTTTTTAGCTTAGCTACTAACTAGAAGTAAGAATTCAAAAAGTAAGTATTTGATTGAATTAAAATATATAATAGAAAATAATACAATAGGGCCAAGCTAGGCAAATTAAATTTTCTATTATAAACATTTATTTAAAAAATTAAAAAATATTTTTTTGTCATTAATTTTTTATATTTTTTAAATGGTTATTATGGTATATAATTTAATTTGAATTTCAGTGGTACTAGTATATAATATTTTTATTCAATTAAGGTGAAAAATTTTTTAGTTTGAATTTAGTAATAAGTAAGTAGAACTATTAGAATAGTAAGAAACATAAAGTAAATAAATAATTTTATTTTGATTAAAAGTAAGATATATTTATTAAAGTAGGAGTGTATTTTATAATAGCAAGTCAGTCACATATTTATACATTTTCCAAACATTCCATTTGATTCATTTATGCATCTTAGATTCTCACAACATCTAAATTGATCAAATCCTACAATACATATGTTTCTAACTTAAGAGCATTTATAGGTTATTTATACTTAATATTCACTTTCGTCTTAATTATCAGTAGTAAGGACAACAGAATTATCCTGTTACTAAGACTTTAAAAAACCTAAGGTAAAAAGTATTAACAAGAATGATTTCATAATTAATTTAATAGCTCTCATTTTTATTATAGTTATTTTTTTTCCTTTATTATTTACAAAACCAATTATTAAATAATTTAAATGTTAATTATTATTTATTAAGTTAATAAAACGAAATTCATTCAATCTATTTAAAATTGCTAGTTCCTACTTATTATTAAAAGAACGAAAAGAAAAGAGTTTTTTAAGCCTAAACATTATTTAAATATACAATATATTTTTAATTAGTTTATCTACGAATCAGAACTCTCTTATTTTATATAAAATAAATTTAATTTAATTCAAAATTTCATATTGTTTAATCATTTAATGTTTAACGAAATGAATAAACTATCAATAAAAATGCAGAATTATTTGCTTTCAAATTATTATTATTATCTATCCTACTAATAAATTTAAAAATTTTTTTGCAATATGATTAAGCCTGAAATTTTTTTATTTTAAATTTTATATTGCTTAAACAAAATTATTCTTATGAGGAAAATTTTTAAACCTTGTAAATAAATAAATTATCTATTTCACATTTAAAAAAAAATTTGTTTAAAAAATGTCAAAAAAGAATACATCATACACAAATATTTAACCACAATTTTTCATATATTTATACTCAATTTAATTAACTTAATTGACACTCATTTTTTAAAAACATAAAAAATGAACTCAAAATTTGAGAAAATTTATTTTTCAATGAGTGATAATATATGAGCAACAATGGAATTATAGTTTTTTTAATTGATATCATTATAATTATATTTATTAATCCTGTTTAAAAAATTGATAAATTTAATAAAGTCATGCGCGTTTTTAAATTAAATACAATCTGCCTTTGCTTATCCTATCTAAAATTTAAAAAAACATTAGGTAGAAATTTAACCAGAATTTTTTAATTTATTTTAAGTCATTTTAATAAATTAAATATACTTTTATATTATTTAAAAGAATATATTGTGTTTAAGATACTTTAAGAACTTTTAAAATATAAGAATATTTTATTATTTTTTTTATGCTTGTAAGTAATAAATTGATTTAGAATTTTATAATAATTTTATTTTTAGTATGAAAAGATTAGTTGAAATTTTTTTCAAAAGGAATACAGTAAAAGATAAATCTAAATGAATTGTTTATTTATTCAATCAATTTTCTTATCAAATTAAAAGCAAATTATTATTTAAAGCTATAAATTTTTCAAGAAATATAAAAATGCTAGTTTAATGCAGCTTTATTTTCAAACCCAAGATTTATTTTGAATAAATATTTTAATTAATACGCTCTATAAATATAAGAACTATAAATATCCAGTAGAACTTCTTTATAAATCAGAAAAACTTCATAAAAACACATTTATAATAAAATTGAATTAATATGTTAATACAATATTTTTCTAAAAAATGAGAGAAATATTTATATTTAAAAAAAAAAGGGAATAAATACAATTAAAACGTTGATTACAAAAAATTAAAAACAATAAATAATCTATGGAAAAATGATGCGATTTTTAAACAATCTTAGATTTGTTTTGCGTTTATAATTCTTAATGTCAAAAATCAACATGTAGATTTTTTAAATTAATAGATAAGTGCTATTTCTAAACCTAAATTAAAGATAAATTGGAAAGAAAGTAGGTGGATTTTTAGATTTATTTAAATATTGAACAAACTGATAAAAGATCGATATTAACAATTAAAAAAAAGTTTACTTTTTATAAAAAATAATATTTAATTCGATTGTAGTATCAATATTTTATTGTTAAATAAGCCATTCAAAAATAAAACTAAAGAAATATGAATTAATTTGCATAAATTTCATTATTTTTAAATAATAATAAAATAAATATATTCTGAATTGATGAATTGAGTAGAAATTGTATTTTATTAAAGATAAAATTGATGATATTAATTTAATAGAATTTAAGTAATAAAAATTGTATTTTACAATATTAATAAAATTAATTACATACAATTAGTTTATTCAAAAATATTAAAAAAATATTTAATCTAAAAAAAATGAAGTATATAAATTTCATTTACAGAATAATAAAGTATTTTCAGCTTTTAAGCTAAATTATATATCAATTAATTTCATAAAACTAATTACTGTAATTCTTTCATTAGATCTTCATCTTCTTTTTTCTTATTTTCTTAGCTTGTTTGCTTAATTTGATCCTAACCTGTTCTTGCCATAGTAGGTGAGTCAGAATACATTCCTGGAGATTTTTAGAACATACTGGGTCTTGGATTTTTTGATTCATTGTAAGGATACCCATTTTTAAATAGGTCTTCTTATGAATCTACTTGAGAATCATTATTTCCTTATGAATCTCTCTTTTTTCTTTCACCTCTTTTAGAATTCTCTTTTTTCACTATAGATTATTCTCTAGCTCTCTATACCTCAAATTAGTCTTCTTCCACTCTAAGAACAAATTCTCTAATAATGTAACCTACGCTTGTATTTATTTGTATCAAGACATCTTCAACATTTTGTAATTCAGGAGTTCCTTTCATAATAATTATACCTGCTTACATATCTAAGACCAGCCAACTAGGAAGTTACATATTTCCTTTAGGTCCATATGGTTTATAGTCAGCTCCTAACATCTTTTGTAGTGCTAAGCATGACTCTCCTGGTGCATATCTAAGTGCTATTAAACTAGCTATTTCATGAGCCTCTATATGTAGCGATTCACCTTTTGAAGGGAATAAAGAACTTACTGGTTTTTCTGAAATTCCTAAAGCATCTGCTTACAGAGCTAACTCTATCAAATGTAAATTAATATTTTATTGATAAATGTTATAATACAATTTCTTTTTAACTAAAGTATTCATTTCTTCTTCTGAAACATAGTCTTGAATAGATTATTAATCTATTATGTGAAGTTTCAAAAGTGGCTCAAAGAATTATTAAAATTTAACTTTGACATTTGGAAATGTAAAAACACGACCTTATTTATCTAAATCTTCAGTGGACTCTAAAGAAAGATAATATTTATACCAATCGGTTTCATGCAACTATGGATTTAATATCAAAGAATAGGTCTTGAAGAATCCATAGACTTCTAAACTTTTAGGGTCAAAGCTCAATAGCATTTTAGATACCTGCATTCTTAAAATTGTGCTTAATGTGCTATTAACTTCATCAAATTCTTCTTTGAGTGTTTTAGTAGAGGTTTAAGTACCATTTAAATTAAATTTGATATCGTATTGCTAGATATCTTCTTAAAATATTTTTTAATTAAACTCTCCTGTTTGTTTCAAATAAAATTTTTCAATTAGTGATTATTTTGATGAACCTTTCATTTTTTAAAGTTTTTTCCTAATAAAATGGGTAACTGAATAAATGTCATTTTCTTTATAAGCAACACTTGCAGGTATAGCACTTTACTGTCTAATAATCTATTCTTGCTTTGATATTTGATTATTATCTGAAGTAAGCTATTGTTTTTCAAAGTCATCTATTTAATTAGCAGCTATACTCTCATAGGTAATTTTTTTATGAGATAAAATTTTGAGTAAACTAGTAATAATTTAGAAACAAGCTTTTTACTCATGAAATATTAAAGGTATTTTTAGCATAAAGGGTTCATTTGGTTTACATATAACTGTACTATATCTGTTCTTTTTCTTATATAGTATGTTATAGATTACATTTCTAAATTTATAAGCACCAAGTACTCCACTGATAGGGCCTAAAATCGTAGCTATCCACTATATTACGAATAATGGAGGAAGTTGATTAACATGCACAGTAAAAGTATCAGATATTTAGGTAAACCCATCAGATGCAGTCACTTAGACTGTTGTACTTTTTTAGAACTCAGTTTAAGGTGGATTACCAAAAAACTTTTGCCCATCACTGCTATATTAGAGCCATTGCGTGTTATCGAAAGGCACAAATTTACCAGCTTCCTACACAAGAACCTTATATGCAATGGTTGTATTGAAATCTGGCACTATGAAGGTTTATGGGTCTATAGTAAACGAGAATTCAGTTAAAATAAGTATGTTGTCGCTGAATTGGCTTTGAAGAGTCTTTTTAGGATTGGTTTATATATTCTTCTTTTACACGAGGAAAGGGAATTGAGATGCAGAAGCCACTTTAGTATAAGGATAGTTAATAGAGTCTGAAATAGTCACCGTTGCCACTACTTCTGAATATTTTAGTGGAGGTACGGGATAGATAATTATTTAGCTCTTTAAAAATTGATTAACATTTGATGTTAAACCTGTGATACTAATTATGTTTAATTCGTCATTTACAGAAATATTTACAGAAACTTGATCAGTGAAAATAAATCTTGCTTTCAGTTTAGGAATTTCAATTTTTATATTCACTGATTGAGCTTATGTTTAGATGTAATCTTGAGTGCTTCCATCTAGTGTCAATGTAAGAGAAGGATAGATACTCATGTAGATAGGAGTAAATTGAATTGAATTCAATAAAGTATATTTAATATTGTTGCTCAAACAAAGATTATATGCTTACTGTGCTGCACTACCATTTGGAAAATTAGTAGTATCGGTTAAAATTATTTATTCATAGTCATCATAATATAATGATGGTGAGACTAAATTCTATTCATTAATAGTACCTTAGTACTAAAGTTATGCAAATATAGATTTAGCTTGAACAGCATTAGTTTAACAACTTCCAATCGTGTATATGAAACTGCTTACATAAAGAGGTGTCAAGCTCGTAAATAGAAAAGTATTTAGCAGTGGAGAGTCCAAATTTGTAGGGTCTACCGCTTCTTTTTGTATTGTGATGGTTAAAGATATTTCTACTGGATTATATGAAATCCAGTAAGGAAGTGCCTATCCAATTTATTTCTAATACAAGGTAACACTAGCTACTTGTAAATCAAGATTTTGATAAAGGTAGCATGTATTTATCTTTATAGTTTAGCCAACTTAAAATTTGAAGGTATCTGGATCATTGATTATGCTAAACTCCATATCTCCATCGCTAGTATATCCCAAGACTTAAAGGAAATCTGCATGAAGATATGCATTGATAGTTAAGGGAAAAGATCTCATTTATATGTTATTGTTAATAAAAAGGGTTGTGAAATCTTATTTAACACATGTGAATAAACCATTTTGACTCCCGTTTTAGAAGCTAGAAACAATAAATGGATTAGTAACATCTGATATATCAAGCAAATAAATCATTCCCTGTTAAAGAGTAGAAATGATTACAGTTTTTTCATTTTTTAGGTAAGTAACGTCATTTGTCCATCCATCAACAGTCAATTGAGAAAAAGCAACAAATTAAGGTAGCTTCTTTTGATCCATGATATATATGCCACCAAGTCCATCTACTAAATAGTAATTCATGTAGATTAACGATTTGTAGACCTATTCAGCTCCGGTTGAGTCAAAGAAATTAACATATTTTATATTATAGAGATTCGAAATATCTAAAACATAGTATCCATACCCTCTGCAAGCTCCTATAAAGTATTTCTCATCAGTTGATAACATAACACCAGTAGTGAATCCTTTCATGAATGGCAAGAAATTCCAGGTTGCAATAACAAAGTAGCTTCCCAGTGTTGTTGTGTCAACGAAGGCAATAGTTCTATCTAGAGAGCAAACTAGCAATGTATCTTCGTTATTATTATCAACATCTTTAATATAACCAGGAAAAGGCTATCCTAGTGGAACCTTTTGAATGATTTGTATATTAGCGTAGTTAGAGACATCAAGAACAGCCATGAAGTTGACCCCATCATTAATAGCAACCATCATAATTTAATAGTTATTTTTAGTGTAGAAAACATCAATGGTAGCACTTTAGCCAGGAGGTTTATACTATTTCTTAACGGCTTAGAATTAAGTAGGATCGCTTACATCAATAAACCAGAGGCCATCAGTATCAAATGCTCCTATATAAGTCGATCTAGTTGTGTCGTAATCACATCTCCAATAAAATTTAGTATTGGATTAGTCAAATCCTATTGAGTGAATTCCATTATACAAATTGACATATTTTTGACCTAAAATAGGAGCCATCCTTCTGAAAATCATGACAGAAACTGCGTTTGAAAAATAGAGGTAATTACCTGTTTATGACAAAGCTATAGAATTTCCATGAAAAGGGAAATATGACCACATATAAGTATTTGGACTATTTCTATTAGAAATATCAATAGTATAGATACCTATTGACCTTACACCTAAAAAGAGAAAGTTACCATCAGGCGACATGGCAAAAGAGTAAGGAGAGGGAATGACCAAATTTGAAGGCCACCACTAATTAAGATAGTAATTGAAGGTGATAGGATAATTTGCTGGGTTAGAAGAAGTGATTTATGTAAAATCAGCAAAACTGAGTCCATTTCTTTGATCTAAGTTGATGAGGTACTTCAAATCAGGAGTAAGAATCACTCTATGAGAATATCCTTAAGTTATACCTGGAAAGGATCCTACTAGAGTACCTGTGACTGATCCAGGAGTTTTAGTTAGCGCAAAAATACCAAGGCCATGAGTGTCTTAACTCAAAAGAAGAAACTTTTCATCTGGAGTCAATAATCCTGCGTAGATTTGGAAATTCTACCACTATAAGTTTCCTATTTATGTTAGAGAATTTTTGTTCGAGATATCAAGAATTCTAACGTTTCCGTCAATCAAGAATATGTAAGCAGTGTCTTCTTTAGGATTGAGAATGATATCAACAATAAAAAGCTATTCAGTATCCTATCCCATTTAGACAAAGGTCTACTAGTTAACAAAGTTATAAATGGTGAACTTCTACTAATGACTCAAGAAGATATAGTTCGCGTCCTAAGTAATAGCAAATCCAATAATGTTATCTGAAGTTGACAAAGTCGCAATTCCAGCGAATGCTTAAGTTGGATCAGCAACCAATACACCATTGTCACCTTGAGAAATAAAGAGTAAGCCCGTTTAAGAGCTTACTAAGATTTTAGAGAACTCACTTTGCTGGCTTTAAGATTTAATTATATAGCTATACTATGGTGAATAAATCCAATTTTAAGGAGCTTAGCAATAAAGCTAAAGTATTAAAGTAAAAAAGAGTAAAAATTTGAATAGGTTTTTTTAAAGCATTTGATTTTTTTAGTTTAGAAATAATCAATTTTTATTTGATTATATAAATTTCGTGACACAAAATCTCTATTTCAAAGTTATTGAGCAAAACTGCTTACTTTTACTTTCTTTAAATCTCCAGATTTTTATTTAAAATTGAGTCATTTAATTTTCTCGCAATTTAAGTTAAACATAAATTATTCACAGTTAATTAACCTCAATTAAATAAAAAAGTGCTTAGGTAATCTATACTAGTTTAGTTATCAACCGGGGTTTTTTAAGAATAGTTAATATTTTTTTAACTAATTTTATTAAGTTATTTAAATTACCCAACAATTTAAATCATAATAATATTTACCATACAAATTTACAACTAAGTAAATATTAAACAGAGAAAAATCCGCTAGAAAAAAAAATCTTTAAGATAATAAGCAAATAATAAATTCCAAGAATACTTGGAAAATATTATAAATACTGATGTGTTTAATTTTTTCCTTTAATAATAAGGTTAGTACAAATTTTGGAGTTGAAAACATATTTCAACATGAATTTAATTTTATAAAAAAACTTAAATTTTTCGATCAATCAATTTTCTTGAAACAATTTGTTTTATTAATCAGTTTGAAATATACATCTCAAAGACAAAAACAAAAAAATTAAAAAGACCTAACTCAAGACTCGCAAAAATTATATTTCGTTTATTTCAATAGCAATTTTTGTTCATTTCTATTTTTAAAAGAATCAAAAAAAACGAAAAAAAACAAAAGTCAAATTTAGTAAAAAATTCTAAATACTATCTAAAAATTCAAATAGTTATTAACAGAAAAAAGAAAACTAATTTCTTTTTAAATCTTTTTTATTATTTAAAAATATTTAATTTGTCTCATTAAAGCAAAAATAAAAAAATAATAGGTTAGTTTTTATTTGTCCACTATGTCAATATGTTACAAAGTAATATTTACTTAAAATTAGAAATGCGACCATATATTAAATAATTCATTCATACTTTTTTATAAATGCTACATACAAATTTTATTTTAAAAAACTATTAAAGTCTTCAATTATCTTATGTTATGTTAAATTAATATAGTTGTTTTCTATAAATAGAATATGATAATATTGTGATTATAAAAATCATTCAAGAATAATAAGCAGTAAATAAAACTAATTATAGAAATTAATTTTCGACTATTAAATATCAGATGAAATAAATTGATTTTATTTATAACTCATAAACAATTTCTTTTATATCTATATATATATATAATTTATATATATTTTTACAATAACAGAAATATAAATGGATTAATTTTAAAATAGATTATCTTAATAATTGTCATAAAAGTATATTCTTATTAATTTTTTAAATGAAATTTTAACAAAAACAATAAAATAATTATTAAAATATATTTTTTTAACCAATTCTCTAAAAATTATCAATATTTCTGTGTTAATTTAGTATAAATTATTTAATTTTCAAAACTTTCATATTTATTTGAATTAAAAGCACTTGGAAAAGAAATTAAGAATACAAAATTGAAGGTATGGTGAAAATTAGGCCAAAAAAAAAAATAGTTATAAATATATAAAAAAATAATTTAAAGATGAGTGATAGAAAAATTATGGCTAACTTTAGCTTTATTATATTTTGAAGTAAAATAAAAAATGATTGATTTTTATTTTTTGGAGTTTTTAAATAATTATACATGAAATGAGATAAATAGGGAGCTTTTTTATAGAATAATACACTATTTTTGTTAGATATCTCTTAAAAAATATTTAATATACAGCTTAAAAGAGACTCATAGTTAAGCATATAAAGGTTTTGATCAAATGGTTCCAAGAAAGTATAAATTAATCTTATTTAATTTTCATAATTTGAAATATATTAAATAGAGATAATGTCCTAGTTGTAAAATTTGTTTCTCTTAATTATTATTCGCTTTTATAAATAATTTATTTTCAAATAAAAAAATTCACTTGAGTTTCTTTCAGTTTTTCTCAAAAGCGAATAATCAAAAATTAATTTTCTTGATAATTATCTAAGCTTAAGATAGGCAAATAATAATTTACATAAAGGTAATAAAACAAATGTTTAGAAAAATCTACTTTTCTTAAAAGCAAATAATTTTTTCTCAAATAAATAAATATAAAGTAAATTTAATAATTCTATTTTAAATAAATGACATAATTTTAATTTTTAACCTTAAGCTTTAAAACTGCATAGAATTTTTTGTTGTTTAGAATAAAATTTATATATCAAACAAAAATTAAAAATTAGTAGCTGAGAATGATAATTAAATCGAATATTAATAATTTTTATTCATTGCTAAATTTACAGCTATCAATAATCAATTAGTTATTTAGTTTATATTTTGATCATTCATGAATCAATTTAGTTGTAAAATTTTATGCAGCTGCTATTTATCAATAATCCCAAAAACTAAATTAATGTTTTCTTTCTCTTGTAATTCTAATAATTATAATAATTTATGAGGAATTTTATTATTTTGCCATTACGAAGTTGTTAGTTAAATATAATCTCACAAAAAATATTTTAAAATTTTTTTACTGTTTTATTAAGTGAAAAATACAATTTATCAAGCTAGAATTTTGCAAATATTAACATATAAAAATACGCAAAAATTAGTTCATTAAATGCTTAATCCTTGGAGGAATATACTTATATTTCAGTTTTTTATAATAGTAAAATAAATAAATTTTTAAGATCAATCTTTGATGATTTGTTAAGTATAAATTATTTGTTGCATTGTTAATATAATATTTTACAGATTTTTTAATTATTTTAATCAATATTTCTATGTGATCTTTGTTTTAATTTTATTCTCATATAACTTAACAAATTCCAAAAACTTAGCCTTATTTTGCAACACACTTATAAGGCTCACAGCATTAAAGAAATACATTTTTAGGATCATTAGCTGCACACATTTATCTTGTTTTCTAGCACTGATATTTAGTATCTCCTTAATTATTATTTTATGTGGTTTAGATAGTTTGTTCTTGCAAATTATTTGCTAAAGCTACACTCAAGAATAGTATTATTGTTAATATAAAAAATTTAATAGCTATCATTTACTTTTTTAAAATTATCTTAAAAATATTTTTCTTGAATATTTTTATTAATTTTTTTTTAATTATAATAAAAAAATTTGATTAAAGTCCATTTAAAAATACAAATAAAGTGTAAGATATTATTGTAAACGAAAAGATATTTATTTTAGTTGGATTTTATTAATTATTATGAATTTCTTTACTTTAAATATAGTACCATATTCTTTCTTAAAGGGTACTGAATGACCTAATTAATGAAGTTAAATTTTTTGTATTTTTTAAAAAAAAAATCAATTCAAAAAATGAATGAAATTTTCAATCTCATCAAAAAAATAATTACAGTAAGTATAAACCTTTTATTTTTAATGTATTTTATGATTTCAAAATCTTTATGGTGAAAGATTTATTTAGTTTCAAGGTTCAGAAGATTCTAATTATACTTAGTACTAAGATGATTAAAGAAAAGAAAATAAAATAAAGTATCAAGGCGGATTAAATAAAGATTTTTATAGTATTTTTGTTTTAGTTATGGATTTAAGAGTTTATGTATTTTGTGATATAAAAAAAGTGTTGAATAATCTAATAATTATATTTACTTTCACATTTTCACTAAATAACTTAATTTATTTTTCTTAAAATACAAGAATATAATTGCAACTTTATTATTTTTACCATTCATCGGAACTAACTAAAATAGGAATTGCTAAGGCAGTACTTACTACCTATTTGAAATTAACCACAGTTTTCATACTATTTTATTTCCTCCATTTATTCTATAGATACAACTGTAGAGCATTTTGTAAAAATCGCAGCCGCTTCAATTTTGCAATGCTTCGAGCCATAGGTTGTCTAGATTATTAGATTTTAATCTTTTAATTTGAATGGCATCGTGAAACCCAGTATAGTATATAAAAGTTAATTAAAAACTAATTGTAAAAAATTTAAAAATATTTGTAAATAATTTTAATTTATTTTATTATAATAAATTTTAAAACTAATTGAAGCTACTTTGTTTGATCTTTTGTTATGATTTATCTATTCATTCCAATTTTTATAAATAATTCTGTAAAACTAATTGACCATAATAAAAATATTTTAATCACCTATTAAGCAAGCATTCAAGTTCTAAATAGAATGCTAAATTAACTTTTTTGTATTAAATTTTTCAATATATGTGGAAAATTATTGATTAATCATATATATCTTTGGTAAATAAAATATTTAGATTATCAATAATTAGCTGAATTAAATAATTGACTGATTTTATATTAAAATGCCAGTTTTTTTTTTAGAAATTAGTGATTTTGATTGAAATTAAATTAAATATATTTTTTCTGGTCATTTCAATTCAAATAGTAAAGTTACAATAAATTTTGTAAACAAATAAAAATTATGAGTAATATGTTTTAAAAAAAGCAAAAGGTTCCTTAATATTTAGGAAATTCATTTAAGGATTTTAATGATGATTATCAAAATTTGACCAAGAACTTAAGTTCGAAATTTAAGCATACTAGTATGGAATAGATCGAAGGTAGTAATGATTAAAAACCAAATTAAAATAAAAAATAGAGTGGCAACACCTGGGACTCGCAACACTTAGATAGTTTTGTAGCTAATAGTCCTTGGGCAACTTAATCTGTATACTATTAGAATAATGGAGCATAAAGTTAATTAGGTAATCGTCTTTAAGCTTATTCTCCAAACAATGCATCTTTATACTAAAACGATCCTAAAAAAAGAATGAGTTAAAGCTAAAATTAGACAAGGGTCTATAGCTCTCTTAAAAATAATAGTACTATGGCTAACAAAAATAAAGACAGCAACACCAATGTTCGTGAAAGCTTCTTTTTTACTTCTGTCTCAAGATTTGTTGATGATAATAATTACAAAATGATTGATTATCCTGATAGGTATAGTAATAAGAATTTTTTAGTGAGCGATAGGAGAGATGTTGATATAAACTACTACAATAAACACTTTTCTGTAAGTAAGCACACTGATAATAACAGCATGAAGCTATCTATGTGCAATTAACCTGTTACTTTGATGACTCCTGCATAAAAATTGGATCAACTATTAAATCTCAAAAGTGAATAAAAAGATTTCTAAAACTGGAAGAGCGAATATGCTAAAATGAATAAAAAGTACAGGGTTCACAAAGGAATGTATCCATCTGGAATTTTACAAGTGGATAACCCTAATAACTTTGAGTCTTAGCTATACTCTGATGAAGCTAAAAAAGAGTATTTGCAATAAGTAAGAAAGGAGTAATTTAAAGACTTACACAAAGATAGGTTAGCCAATTTATAAAGAACAAACCCATAGATAGAATTCCTAAATAATTATAGCTAAAGAGTTTTTCCAAATAAAGACTATGACGATAAAGTAAAAGCTCCATAATTGAATGCCAGTCAATATAAATTTCAACATCAATATGATTCTTTGGCAGAGGTTAAGAACAGTTCGTAGATATTTAATAACACTCAAAGAGAAAGGTTAACTCCTAATTGGAATTCTAAAAGACCAGTAACAACCAATTTAGGTAGCTAAGGTATTGATACTGGGGATAGGTTATTTGGAGCAGAAGCATAGAATTATTCTTTAGTAAGAGCAAAATACTTGAGAGAACAAGATACAAAAAATAGAAATTTCAACATTATTTCTTACGCAGACAATAAAATTGAGTTTAAGAAAGACAAAGGTCTTTAAAATATTGAACAAACAAATGTTTGAAATAAATTATTAAATATTAGTTACATTAAAGCTCATTTGGCATTTTTTTTTCTTTTCTAATTCCCTATAAACTAACAAATATTCATATTTTAAAAAAGCTTAAGTTTTGCATTTTATATGTTGTATGGTATGAGTTGATTTTTAATAAGTTTAAAAAAAAGATAATTTCTAAAATTCTATTTAAAATAATAAAATAATATTTTAAAATAGCATTTTATTTAGAATTTCAATTTTTATTTATATAAAATTAATGCTAAACAGTAAAGAAATATAATTAAAAGACTAAAATAAATTTTTTAGTTCATTTTTATAATAAATTAACATAATTCTATATTCAAACTTTAATTATTAACGCATAAAACTTAAGTTAAAATGAATTATTATTTTATTTTTAATATATAAAAGTGACATCAAATACAAAAGGGTTTTGAAAATTTAAAAATCATTTATTTAAATACGAAAGTTCTTTCTGATTTATTAAATATGATTGCTAAAAATAGAAAACTCTTTTATACAAAGTTAATACTCTAACGATGACAGTTTTTATAATAATAAAAATGGTGTATTCTTTTATTATTTATAAAGATCGAAATAATTGAAGGTTGTTTTGAACGAAATTGAATTAATAAGAAACTAGCAGTATTATATAATCTAGTAGAAGCTATACAAAAATATGGTATGTATTAAAATCATCAAATGATTAATGTTTTACATAAATAAGAATAACTAATATATTAGCTTATAAATTGTGCGTAATATAATTATGATTTGGATCGATTCAAATAAATTAGATAGATAGATAGATTAACAATTAAATAGAAAATTTGATAGAATTAAAAACCCAATACAAATGCATCTACTTAAGATTTGAAGACTTGAAAACAAAAAAGAATTTTTTACAAATCTTAGGTAAGTTGATAAATATATTATTTTTTTGTTTAAAGATAATTATTCAGAGAAAATAAATAAGAAATAAAGAAATAAATATTTGATTAAATTTAATTATTTTAAAGAAGATTTAAAAGATTCTTAAACAAAAAAGAAATAAAAAAATCAGCAAGTTAAATAAATGTCAGAATTATAGATTTTAGGTCCTTTAGGAAATATTCATATCAACATCGCATTGATTATTGCAGAATTAGCAGGTGTTCCTTTGAAGCATGTAGTAGTTGAACACAAAGAAGCAACTGGCAAAGAATTCGTAAAGAAATATCCTCTAGGTTTAATCCCTATTCTCATTACTCCTGATAGAGAGACTATTTTGACTCCAGTTGCTATTTTTAAATATATTGCAAGAGCAGGAAAATAATTATTAGGCTCTTCTCCTCTTGATGAGACTAAGATTGATCAATTTTTGGATATTATTTTGGGTAATTTGCATAAATCTTATGAAGATATCACAACTAGTATCTATGGATACAGAGAATATGATGAAACCTCAGTTAAAAATGCCAAAAAGCTTTTTGAAAAGAATTTAAAGTTTATTAACGATGCTTTAAAGATTGATACTTACCTAGTTGGCTAAAAGTTATCTATTGTCGATATAGCATTAGCTGCAGTCCTTCATCGTACATTCAAAATAGCCTTTGATGACAAATTCAGATCTGAAAATCCTCATACAGTTCGTCACCTTAGATATTTCAGCAGTATTCCTGTTTTCTCTAAATACTTTGGCAGATTAACATTAGCTTCAGGTGACTGGGCTCCTGCTAAAAAAGCTGCAGGTAACTTTACTTAAATACTAACTAAAAAAATATAAAAACAGTGATTACACATTAAACTTGAGAATATGTTCAAAATATCATTTCAAAAATAGCAAAATATGAAAAGCATTAATTTTTATTAAAAAACCGAGAGAAGAACAAATTAAAATAGATATTTAGAATGCTCAATTAGAATCATTTTTTAAATAATATTTTAATTTTAAATTAATTAATTAATTAATTATTTTATAAAAACAGTCAAAGCTTGAAAAAAAAAACTACTCTGAAGATAAATAAGCACAAATATGATTAAATAGATGAGAGATAAGTGTAAAGAAAAGCTGATTTATTTAAGAAAAGATATATATAAAATACGAAATATATTTAGAAAAATATTTATTCAATTGTTAAGTTTTTTAATAGGAAATGTTAATTGTTTAAAAAATTTTATCTTATTTTAAAAATAATTAATCATTTTCATTCTTTTTTTTCATTTTTCAAGTATTTTCTTTTACATATTTTATTGATTCAGGATTTTTTTGTTAATATAATTCATGGAAATGCAATTTTTGTAAAAATTAATAAATTTTCTAATTGTTAAATTAAAACTTTTTTTCAGAGAATCATTAAAATATTTTTTAAATAAGTGTGCAGAAAATTTAAAATTATTTTTAAGATTTATTTAATTTTATTATAGATTCAATTACTTCAAAATTAAATAATTCATTTAATATAACAAAACTCAAGAAATTAGTGAGTAAGTTTACTTTAAAAAAGGACTTTGTTTAAAATAATTTAATATACTTACCTCAAAAATATTTATTAAACTAATGAAATAGATTTTAAAGCTTAGATAGTTTGTAAATTCACATTAAAGATTACATAAAGACTTTGTTTATTCTATTGTAATGGTTTTAATATGAATTAAGAGATATAAATTAATTTAATATGAAAAATGATTAATTAATTAAGCAAATTTTAGAAATATATTGTGTTTTGAATATTTATAAATAAACTTTTTAGTTATTTTATTATCTTTAACTCAAAAAGAAGGTATGCCGAGTTTATTTGATGTTAATTTGTTTTACTATAGGTTAAGTGCTTGATTATCAAGACCAGGTTTATCAACAAATTTTTTATTAGAATGAATATGGTTAAAAATTTATGCAAAATCAGATTTCTTTAATACTAAACGAATTTATTAAGAAACTTAGCTTTATTCATTTGATGATTTTATATTTTCTAATCTGAAACCTATTGATTGCTTAAATCTGAGATATTGCTGGGAGAGGTTTGATAGAGTAATTGATACTTTTTCAAGGTTAGGATAAGTGGCAAATAAGAAATTATAAACTTGTAAATAAATGAATTGTGCATAATTTAACTTTCTATAAATCCTAGAGATAAATAGTCTGTGTATTATGCATTACGAATAAGTCTTTTGAGAATTAGGAGCATTCATGTTAAATGATATTTATAGAAATCCAAGATCTATTCTGACTTTAAATTTTGTTATTATGAAAATTTTATATAGTAAAACTTTGTGTGTCCTGTATTCTTATTATACTCTTTGGAGTTCGCTCATCAGGTCACTGACACTTATTTAAGGAATTTAAAAGTTTTATTTTTTGTTGAAAAAGCTTAAATTTGTGTTTGTAGAGTTTGTATAAGATCGATTTATGTTATTGCTTTTATTTATTCCTTAGCTACTTGTACCTTTAGCACCTTCGCGACTGCCTTAAAGGTAATTTTGATTTTGCGACAGTGAGTCTTAATCTTGGCTATTTTACTTTTTATTCATGAAGTTATTAAAATTGCTCTCAAAACCTTAATTTGAACTTTGCTATGAGTGAGGGCTGTTTAGCTTAGAATTTGATAAAATTCTACTCTAATTGATTTAATCTTAATTATTATTTGACACTGAAGATGCTCCCTGGGAAGCTAAGCCAGCATAAATCATTGGATTGTTTGCTATTTTTTTTAAAGAAACTTTAAAATTAGGGTGAATATATTTAAAGTCTGTTTATGGGTTTTAAGCATCAAAACAAACTGCTAGAGCTCCTTTAAACGCATTGCTCTCCTTCTATTCAGAATCAAGATAGCTTTGTATACTACTTGAATACAGTCTACTAAAATTGCCTTCTAAATAAAATAAGTCATTATCATTATTTAAAAATTCGCAATATTTCTCAATTAAGTAGCCTTCAGTTTAAAGATTTAGTTCATCAAAATGAACTTCATCTTCATTTGGTAATTTAACTATAGATAAATTTTTAAGATTGTGTGGAAGCTAATTAATTTCAGGACTCGAATGACCCTTTTGTTATTTGCTTTGTAGATTTATTTGAGAGTGGGTTTATGGCTGATTGGCTAAATTATAAATACCGTTCTCCCTATTCTCAAGTTAGGAGGGGTATTAGTTAACATTTTTGATTCTTCTCGAGTACTGGTCTGTATTATATTTTGCATGGCTTTATACTTGATTTTACTAATTGATATAAATTTGAGGATAACTCTCATTTTTTTACTGAATTTAATAATTAGAGCTACCTATTTAGGATTATACTTTATAATTATTACTGCTAAGACCAGAGCGTTAGTAAGGAGGAGATTGAGATTCAGATCCGCTAACTTTATAACTATTAATTTTGCTATTATATTTCTGCTCCTTCAAATTACTAAGTTAATTTGTTTGAATAATCTGCGCTTCATCCATAGTCATTGAAACTTTATTTTTATTAGGAAGTAGTACATCTTAACCTGCTTGGGATAATCTAATGCCCAGTGGCCTTATATTATTTAGAGGAATAGTAGGTGAATTTGAATTATTGCTTTATTAATTTTTAACAGGTGAATTATTTGAATTTCTTTAACTCTCTATATACATGTTTTAACCCTTATAAATTTTATTATTTTATTCATTAATAATTTAAGGTTGCTATCTACTTAAAGAAGATTTCGCTTTCCTCTCTTCTAGGATGCTATTCTTGTCATTGTTTTTATTACCATTATTGTTGTTGTTGTTGCTGTTGAAATTGTTATTGTTGCTAGAAATATTTATATTGCTACTATTCTAAAATTTGTTTAATCCATTTCTTTATTCTTACTAAATTTGCAGCTCTAACAGTTCTAATTCTTCTCTATGTTTTTGGAGCTAATTTTTTATATTCTTTTACTCTCGTAGATTCAATCCTTGCTACATTTGTAATTGCTATGCTTAGCTGGACTTAGATTTATAATTGCTACTTATTTAAGCTAAGTTAAAATACTCAATAACCTAATCAGTAGTTGCTGGTGACTAAAAATTATTTTTAATCTAAATATTTAAAATGAATGATCTTATTAAAATAAGTATTAAATATTACCTTAAATTTAAGAATAGAATTTTATTGCTTGCAATTTTATAATATAACTTAGCTTTACTTTCCTTACTAATTCAATTTTCTTTAATTTATAAATTAATTGACAACTAATTAATATAATTTAGGGGTGACAAAATTTTTATGAGTTATTTTTTTTAGTAATCAAGCTTATATTAGGTAAAATAGTAATAATTTATAAATTAATAATTGGTATCTTTTTTACACAAATCAAATATTCATAACTATGTTGATCAATCACAATCTTTTCTTTTCTAAATAACTTCATTCATTATTTTCCTATCAGTTAAATCCATAGTTTAATAAAAAAATGTTTTTCTCTCTTTATTAATTTTTTGTTTAATCAAAAATTATGAGATTTAACCATTTTTAAGCATTTTTAAAATTCTAACAAAATTGGTTTTTTCATAAAACTTTGTCATTCTATCCTATCCTATCCTAAGAATGTGCTTTTAAAAGTTGTATATAGGGTTAATAACAAATAAAATTTAAAAGAATAAGAATATGATTAATAAAATATATAATTATTTATTAATTAAAGGTTAAAAGTAAAGATTTTAAAATCAAAATAAAGTTTAATAATATATATTATTTTATTTAAATAGTTTTAAATTATTCATCAATAAGTCAAACTAATTTTGAGTAAATAGTAATTAAAAAAAGGTTTTCAACCAAGAAAATTAAAAATCTTTTATCGAAAATTTAATTTTTTAAGAAATCTATGTTTAAAATTTAAATTTAAAATAATGTTAGGCTTTTGTAAAAGAAAAATGATTCATTTTTATTTTAATTTAATTTATTTATCAAAAATCTTGCTCATAAAAGAAATATTTTATTCATCAAAAACTCTTGTTATTAGCTAATTTATTTTTGAAAATTATGCTTTTTATGTATTTTTAAGATCATTAGTGTTAAAGAACCTAAATTTTACAATAATATATCTTCAAAATAAATCATAATTTTGATGATAAAATATTATTTTTGAAATTTCTCATAAATTATCATCATAAAATTAAATTGATAAATTTGGATTATAAAAATCTGATGATTGTTATTTTTTAAATTTAAATTTTTCTGCTAAATAAAAAAAGTAACATTAGAATTGAAAAGATTTTGTAAATTTTAAAAATATAAATATCAAAAAAGTACTATACAATTTTAAATGAATATAACTATAATTATTTTTTATTTATATTAAGTTATTAGTTAGTTAGTTTGTTTGTTTGTGTTTTTTTAAAATAGTTTATTGTTGCTAAAGAATCTAATATTTTCAATTTATTTATTAAATAATTGATTCGTTTATGTTAGAGTTATTTTTTATCATAGAGTTATCTTTTTCATATCTCAACTTAAAGTCTTCCACTTATTGCTATCTGTCCAAATAATCTAATGATGAAAAAATAAATATAATTAAGTAAACATTTTTTAATTTTATTTACTTTATGGAGGGAAAGGAAGAGGCTATATTGAATATTCTGATTAAATGGGTAGCTAAAATTGTAATTCAATAAATTTCTCTTAATATAATCTTTACTGTTATTCACTTAAGTTGCTGCTTCCATCATAATTTATTATGCATACTCTCCATAGATTTACCCACTAGTTTTTATAAATTTATTAAATTATGTTTTAATATTTAAATTTTTTACTTCGCAGTGAACATTTTTAGAAGCTGCAAGTTGCTTAGAAGATAATGTAGTTTGATCTATGATTTATGATATTTCTTCTAAGAAATATCCTGATTTAAGCATATCTGCACAGTATCCAATTATATATGATTTCATATAGGAGTTATCTTCATCTATTGACTCAAACAACTTACATATTATTGGTAAACAGTATCTCATATTTAATTCTACAGTTTTTTTTCTTTCTTGGATATCTTTATCTTTTATTAGCTTAATAAGCAAATTCAAAATTATTATTTATTCGACTTTTTAGTTTATTCAAAAAACATTTAAGTTAAATTATTATTTGATTTAATAGAAATTACTAAGAGTTAAGCTGTCTTGTTCTTAAGGACAATCAAGGGAATATGCTAGAGCTTAAGATATATGGACAAATAAGTTGCTATCAATAAATGCCTTCTAAATATTTGGTTGATCTTTAAGAAGATAAGCAATTTGTAAAACCGTACTTTTTATGTGGGAATGACTTTTATTTTCACTTAAAATACTAAATTAGTTGCAAATACCCTAATAATAATGCTGTTTTATTTATCTCTTTTCTTATAAAATGATATACTCAAGACAAAACATCAAACCTTTTAATTTATGTTAAATTCGTGTAATTATTTATATTTATAAATTAAAAAGTTTTTTGGTTACTTGTTAAGGCAGTAATGTAAGAAATAGAGACTCTATCAAACTCTTGTAAAGAAGGATCTATATTTGGAGCCTCACTGAAGTGGTTCTCATCAATTAAATTATTAGGAATTTCTTTTGTTTTTACCATATTTTCTTCCTGTAATTTAATGAATTAATTTTTGAGCTTCTCAGTTAAATCTATTAGGTTTTCTACTAAAACTTCTGCATATGAGAAGTATGTTTCATGGTCATTTTTACAATAAATATGGGAAATACTAGATAACTCAGAGAATTTTGTATATGATGGAACTAAATTATAAATTCTAAGCATTATTTAACTGCATTGTAGCTCATTTAGATATTCTGGATAAAGAGGAATTAAGGGCGCTATATTTTCATCTTAGTTTTTAAGATATTAGTTAATTTCTTCTTCAAGTACCATAATAGCTTCGACTCTCATCGAATTGGTCCACAGCAAATCAGATGAGGTTAATGAAACACTTTCAAATATTTCAATTATTTCAATGCTTGGTTTTTAAGTTCGATCTGCAAAGCATTTTTAAACAATTCTTGGAGGGAATTTGTCGCTAACATAGCTAATGAAAGCGTGATTATCAATGTTTATTTCATTCAGTACTTCCACAATCTATACTCTATAAGCTTGTTTTAGATATTCCTTTTTCAAAATATTTAGTAACAAAGCAGCTGCTATTCTTTCTTTGACCAGAAGTTCCAGATTCTCTCTATTCCTAGCAAGTTTCTGCACAATATTCAAGAACTTTAAATAATAAAATTTATTTAGTTTAGACTAAAAATTTGCAAATAAAAAAATGTGCTTACTTAGCTTTGATATTGAGTAGGCATGGAGGAGCAGTTTTGGAAATAGGTTATTATAAACTTTATGAATATTTTAGATTCCATCAATATTTTAGCTCCTTAAACACTAGCAGCTAGGTCTTACAATATTTTAGCAATCTGAACCTTAAAGGTGCTGAGATTAACCGAGTATTTCATTTCCAGCTAATTAAAATAATAATAAAAATATTTTAATAAATTGCACTTAACTTTTACAAAATTTACCTCAAGGACATCAAAGAAAGTTTCAAGATTATCTTAATTTAGAATGATATATTAAACATTGTATCTTGTCAATAAAGATAGTGTAGCCTTTATACACTCCTTTACTGCTTTTATTTCAGTAGGGAACAGCTAGTTAATAGCTAGTATGTCGTAGGCTCCGTTTGGTGCTTGCTGTTAAAGAATTTGTTATATTTTTACAATGTTTATCTTCATTTAATTGAATATTTCTTGCTAAAATGTCTAAGGATTTGTAACCTCGAAGTTATCCTAATCGTTAAAAATTCTAAGATATATTCCACAAATTTAAAGCTCTGCTTGATTATTAGGCGAGATATCTTTTTCCTTTGCTGCACTTCCTACTGTACTCTCCTCTAATTAAATTATTCCTTAATGTTCGAGTAACTTATCTAAGAATATCTTTCCTAGCGATTGATTGACATTTATAATTTAAAGCTTTAGGTTTTGATCCAGCTTATCTCTTGAAATCTGGTTCCAAATGAAGTCAGGTAGCTCTATGTTAGAATTTATTTTTCTAATGAAAGACTCAAATCTTCTCTCCTTTAGATACTTAAGCAAATGATTATCTACATTTCTAGTTAAAGCTATTAAAAATTAATTGATAAAGAACATAAGTTTATCTCTTCCAATTGGACCTATTTCTCTAAGAAGCTGCATATTATAGAATAAATATTCTTTATGCTCATCTTCTTTTCTTCTTCTTCTTGTAGGAGAAGAGTCTTCATTAATTTCTTCCGATTCTTCATTTTCTTATCCCTCATTAATCTAACTACTTTTTCCAGCTGTGTTATGTATAGCATCAGCATTGTTAAGTTTGCTATACATGCTAAACCCAAATCTAGAATTCTATCCCACGCTACTTCTGTCATCGCTTCTGCTTTAATCTTCTTCAAGTATTTCTGAGTCCATTCTTAAATTATTCTTCCAATTTCCTTTAATCTTTTAATTTGGAGTATCAGCTAGACTTGATTAAGAATCACTATTTTGAAGCTAATTTTTTTGATCTTATTTAGACAACGAAGAAGAGCTAATTACTTTTTTTTGAGAATCATCCTCTAATCCTGATTGATTATTCTTTTTTTCTGAATTTGTTAATGAAACGTCTGAAGCAATATCTTTTTAATTATTATCGTTTGCTATCACTTAGACTGGCTTTAAAGAAATTGAAATAGTTTGGGTGCCATTTTCAAATGTTTTAATGAAAGAGCTATTTTCAATGATGAAATAAAGCATTTTAGAATAAACTTTAGTTATTTCATCTAAATTTTCAGTATTATATTTTTTATCATTATTCTACAATGTATTAAAAGTTTTCCCTTTTGTGAGGATTATTTCTATTGCTCTCCAAACACAACCACCTCTAATTAAGCTTTCTAAGAAGTAGCAATTTTTTGACAAGCACAGAGTTAAAACTGAAAGAGAAACATTTAACTCTCTTGTTGCTTTGAAAAATTTTTCAACTATCTTTGTGTTGCAAGGATTTTAAATAGTATCAGTATCTATATTGTACAACTTGTCTAATAAATCTTTATACCTATTTTAAAATAAAGTTTTCATAAATCAAATCAGATTAATGTATTTAAAATTTTTATGTTTTTCTTTTAAAATTAAAATCAAATTTTATTTAGAAAATTAATTTGAAAATGATTTTTTAAGAAAAAATTTATAAATTAAAATAAATAATTTTAATTTTTTAAAAGAAAGTTTTTAACAAAGTATTATTAAATATACTAAGGATTAGCAGCATTAGCAGGTACTGTTTACGAAGAAGTTAGATTTGTTGATAGTGAGAGTAGAGATGGAGTAGAGTCGCTAGTTACCAAAACAGGAGTTTGCTTTTCTTTACTTTTTGCTTTTTATGGTAATGGTAATGTATTCCCATACTTTTCTTTTATACCAGAATTTAAACTACCAGTATATTTTTCAAGGAAAGTATGAAAGAAAGTAACAGTAATTTTTTATGCACGCTATATCAGCAAGCACATATCGTTTCTTTATTATTAAGAGAGTTGATTTAATGATATCTTTTTTACATCATAAATCTCCTACAAGATCAATACGCATAAGTTAATTATTTTAATTTCTTAATAGCTTACAGATAAATCATCAAAATAGTTTCTTATATCTGATCTATTAACATTTTTTATTTAAATTTATATGATTATATTGCTTAGTGTGTATAGAAGGCACTCTATTCCTGTACTATTTTCTAAAAAGGCTTCTAAATTCTTTCTCTTTATAAAATAAAAAATATTTAAATTCCTAAAAATAAAAATAGAAAATTCCAGTCAAATTTAATTACCTCTTTTAATGAGTTGTAAATAACTTTAAGTGAAGCTTTTATGTACATATTGAAAGTTGTTGAAATGTTGTCAATTAAAGGAGTTGAAAAGCTCATGTCTAGATTACTCATCGAAGCAATAGAGCTTGTTGAAAGTTTTCTGGGCTAGAACAAGGAAGCTCTACTTGGACTTTGCTATACTTACTCTACTATGGAGCTTTTACGGAATGAGTTTCTTTTATTTTAGGAAAGAAGAGGAGAGGAAGGAGTTTAATCTTCAAGTGCAGATTCTTTAAGATCTTCAAGAAGTTCAGGGTCATCTGCTGCATCTCTAACGATTTTTGTGCATGTTTGTAGGATAGAAAGTATATGATTATATGGATAGACATTTTCGACATGTAAGTGATTTTTGTAGATTTTAGTCTGAGCTTTTAGAATGTGGAGGAGATTTTTCATCGCAGATGAAGTTTTTTCATTTAAAACTTTAAATATGTCAGGTTAAAACGAATATTATTGAATTTTTTAAACAGTTTTTATAGCAAATTGTTAAGGAAGATTAAATAATTCAGTTTCATCATTTTTTTATTTAGCCCATAACCTAAGAAAGATTTAGCAAGAAGTAATTTCATTTTTAAGCTAAGAGTAGTAAATTGTATCATCAAAGGATTATGTAATGATGGGATAATTATTAATTTTATCATCTGTAACTATTCTGTAATCAGTCATAACTAACTTATTTGGATTAAACCATTAGTTGTAGTAATTATTTATGCAATCTCTATAATTTGATAAGAAGTTTCCAAGTTTTTCTTTTAAATTTGACTTCATTGCTTTATTCCAAATCAAATCGTAGCTTTCTTCATTGTCTGATCTATATCTCTCACAACATCTTAAAACACCTTAATCCCTAGGAATAGTTATTTATTAACTTTGACTTGAGCTTGAGGATATCTAAGCAGATCCTGGAGGAGTTTACTGTGGTGGTTAGTAGTGAGCAGTAATTCCTGAGGGGTTTGATATTGCTGATTTAAATACACTATTTTCTTCATCATCCTAGTCGTTCAAGAGAACTAAGAGCAATTATACAGGAAAGAACTTGAAAAATGGGAAGGCTTCAATGTGTTTCTTTTGTAATCCTTAACCATTAACAATTTCTTCCAAAATCAATCTGGCTTCTGGAAGTCTATAAAATAATGCCTTAATTATAGTAAAGGATGATCTTTCTGTAAGATCGCTTATTTAATCTGTTAAAAGCTCACAAAATCCATTTATATGAAGCATGTAGTCATTCATTAAGTAAGTGTAAACTAATTTTAAATATTCATCCCTGACAATACCTTGAGGTTCATTTTTCTAATCTTTATCATTTTTCAAAAGTAATATATTTTGCATTATACGCCAGTTTCTTTTTTCGAAGCAAACCTTTTATGGTTTTGTCAAAGGATATACTTCTCTTTTCCTAAAGATGTGAGAATGCATTTGGATGCAAGCACTTATCATTTTGAGGCACATGAAAATAATATACAGATTTTCGTCTCCTCTGTTACGCACTTCTGGAAGTTTAAGATAAGTTGCATCAGCTCCATAAGGTATTTCAGTCAAATCCTCTTAGAAGCTTATGCGCTAGGCTATAATATTAACAATTTACTGAATACCGTTACAATCTATCATAGCACGACTATGGAATTACTTCGCTTAAAGATCATCGCTATTCAAGACAGTCAAAAGTAATTACACGATTGAGTATTGAAGAACTTAGTATTCATGGAGATTCAAAATATGTACCAAATATGGTAAAATGTTTGTAATTTTAATAACCTTAGAGTATTCTTTATATAGAATAGTCATTGTCCTTAAACAAAGAGCTTGCTTGTCTTTTTATTGGTGATTCATTAAATTTGAAATAAGATTTTCCCAAAGCTCTTTGATTTCCTTTTCTAAAATTTAATTTTTGGCATCCACAAAATCAAATTACAATCTTCTATTATATTATATAATTTATTTAATATAGTAACGCCCACAGAGCATTTATTCATTTATGTTTTCGTATTCTACTTTAAAATCATCGATATTCCAGTACAATTTTGTAAAAATCTCCTTTTGTAATTCTTTTATTTAGTTAAGAATATCGGCTTCTTATGGTGAAACGCTTGGCTAAACAATCTCTTGGTTATTTCCTCTTATAGAGCTTGTTAATAATGATTAAGGCTAAGGAGCAGTTCTTTCCAAAGCTCTTCCAAAATTACCATCTTTTCTAAATAAATAGGGAAAGAACTACTATAGATCGCAAACATGATTTATTCTTTTAAACACTGTAAATATCTACTAATGCAAAAATATTTTATCTTCTTTGACCAAAGACTCATCTAAAATTTTCTTTTTATAAAAATTGAAAATTTATTTTTGGGATTCAAAAAGAGAGCTTCAAAAAAATTAGAATTGAATTTCAACCAAAAAAAAGTTTGATTGAGAATAAATATTACCAAATTTTATTTTAACCAGAAAAAGTGAGGTTATTTTATGTCTGTTTATATAAGAGAGAAGAAGAAACTCTACCACTCTTACCTAGTCCATTGATCTACAAATTGAGATTCAGTTTTTTATACTTTAAATAGTGGCTTTGGGAAAACATTCATAATAACATAGCACCTAATTTTTAAAATTTTATTTTACTTTGAAAAATAAATAGCGAATTAATTATTTAATATTAAAATTGAATTAGTTTTTTAATATTTTACGCTTGAGATCTTTAATTAAGAAGACTAAAAAGAAGATTAAACGCTATGTCTTTTAGTTGTTTTGAAGAGTAAAGATCTTAGATAACAATATGTAGAAGGAATAAAATCATTGTTGAGTTAAGAATGATCATATTGATAAATTATTTATTTTCAGTTGAGAAGTAATAAAGAGCATTTAAAAGATTAATAGAATTAACAATTAAAGCAAAAGAATTATATCTTAATATTCTGCTTACAGCAGCAAAAAATACAGGAGACTATAAATGATAGATTATAGCCTGTCTATGAACAGGAGCTGTAGACTCAATACGTGCTTAGAATAGAGTGTTTATAATACTAAACATAGAATATATTCTAACCATATAAGTATATTGTGAAAGAGGACGCTTAATTAGCGTGTAATTGCTAATCTAGTAGAAAACTCTATCTAGAATGTTAAATCTGTAATCTAATAAAAAATTTTTGTTTTCTGTTTCTGCTTTTTGCATCATGTTGTTGTGGTAGAATCCAACACGCTTGAATAACTAGCTAGTTTAGTAAACAACTAAAGGATCAGGATTAGAAAGTAATTAAAGGATGCTCTTGAATTCTTTGAATTTATCTTATTTTATTGTTTTGTCTTCAAAATACTTTTTACAATTTTAGAAAATTGTAAGGCATTTTAGCATTTCTTCAATTTTATGCAATAATGCTTCAACGCTTTCGACATTTAATTTTAATATGCTTTGCTAAGTGTTATCGTTTGGAAGATTTACTTCTATCTTATTCAGTTTTTTTAAAAGATTAACAGATTTAGTTCTCATTTAAGACATTAATTCATATTCTTATAATGAATATTCATTGTGCGAGCAAAGCTAGAACAATTTTTTCAACTCTCTATTTTAATCAGTCAGCTTTAAATTAATATTTTCTAATGCTTCTGATTCAAAGCGAAACTTTTGAGAGATATTTAGTCCGCTTCTATTATAAGGGTGGATATTTGGTGATTAACTTTTTTCAGCATGGGCTGGTTCTGTTTCAAACGGACTAACTGTTGGGAGATTCTTTGCTTGAAGATTGAGCTATAGATTTGCTCCTTATTTTTGTGCAGATATGTTTTTACGAGTCATAGGAGATTGCTCATGCACAAAAATTTCATCAGAGTCATCACTTTATACATCTTCTTCAAGTAAAAACTACTCTGATATCTGCTTTTAATTAGCATTTTAATGATCCTTTTATGAGCTATATTCTTCATCTGCTTGTTTGCGAAGAGCATCCATCTAAATATTAATGAATTTTTCGTAATGCTCGTGCTCATGCTAAAGCATAGACTCTTGACTATTTCTTCTTTGGCTATTCCTAAAATTAGATGTATCTGTTGTATTAGTTGTATTTTCTTCACTTTCTACCTTCTTAGATAGCTATAATTAAGAAACTTATTTATCATAAGATTTTTCAGGGATGTTTTGAGGAATTGTTTTTACAAATTTTATATGCTTTTAGAAAAATAGTAAATCATGATCTTCGAAATAAGATAAATATCTGGATAAAACTGAGATGATGTGATGATAAATTTTCAAATCAGCATCCTATGTTTTTTTTAGATTACAGTTTACATTAAACTCTCTAAGAGCACTAAAAAATGAGTCCTCTCCTTTAGCAAGAATTATATTTCTCATTAATTCTGCATCTACATCTTAATCTCTATCAGGAGTTCCATTTTCCATTTTCCATCCTTATATTTCCAGCTAATAATTTGGTGTGTGTGAATGAATCATATCTAAACATCTTCTACAAGGAGAGGCTAAATCATAATACATGTTTATGTTTGTTAAAATTTCAATTATAAACAGATCTCTTTAGTAAGGTTCAAAAACATATTCAACTTCTTATCCATTAAAAAATATTAGTTTGATTGAATTTCTTACAGCCCCCACAAATTCCTATCTTACTATATCTTTCAAAAATTTAAGATCATACATTTCATAAACTTCTCCATCATATTAATCTACTTCGAATATTCCACTTTTACCAATAGCCAAAATACAAAATCTAGCATGTGTTCTTGTAGGCAGTACTCTACCAGCATAAAGAGCAAAATCTACTTCCATTTATTATTCATTAAACTTTACTATATGATGAATTTCTTCTTACATAGTGCTTGTAACGCTGACATCCAATCTAGTTTAGTCTTTGGAATTCTTTTGTACTCTATTAACGAAAGACTAAACTTGATTCAAATCATTTAAATAAAATGCCATACTTAAACTTGGTTTACTCAAATTTATTTAAAAACCATTTAACTTTTTTGATATCCTCAAAATATCTCTATATTTCACTATGAGTGTTACTGATTAATTCTTGCTATTTCCTATATAAATATATTGTGAAATATTTAATATAACTATTTGTTTGGTTATATTTGTATAAATAATTTTAATAGAAAATATACACTAATTCTTCTAAATTCTTTACTTAACAATCATTTTTTTAAATAAAATTTCTATTTTTTCTATTCTGTTATAAAAAAATAAAAAATATTATAAAATATCTGCTATTGCATTGAAGGGATTACAGTGTTTGATAAAATTATTTTTGTTTTTTTTATATTTTTTTTGAGTTGCAGATGAAAGAAAAATTACCTATATGCGAATTAGATTAAGCTGTTTTCTAATGCTATTCAAGACTTTATATATCTTCTGACTACTTTATTTATTTTTAATGGCTTTTGCTATTCGTATAAAACATACTAGATTTAATTTTCTAAAATTTTTTATCTGATAAAGTGATAGGACGCATGATTTCTATTGTGAGATGACTATTAAAACAAGTAAGTTTTGATTCAAAGTAGCTTTTAGTTGATTTATCCACTATTAAGGATGCCTATATTGTAAGGAAATTGAGATTAAGAGTGGAGTTTGGAATAGATTTCACACCCAAATAGTAGTAATAAGAATCAATCGCTCTATAATAATCAGACATAAAAAGATGGCGATCATCTGATTTAAAATTATACTAAGTTTATTGATTCTTTCCAGCAGCAACTTATTTGTTATTGAATATAATTATAACTTCATTATCTTTGTCTGGGGAAAGATGCACACTGATTATGTCCTTGTATTTTATTTTATCTAAATTATCAGGGTTGTTTGGGACAGTCTATATTGACAAGCCAGACCATAAAACATTTACAATTAATTTTTTTTCCTATGAGTAGAATATGAATGATGGTTTTGTCATAAAATGTCTGCCATAAACAATAGTTTCCCTATTTTAATCTGTAATATATGATTAACTTTTTTCATTCTTTCTCTCATACTCTGCCCTATCAATTTAATTATCTAAATCTTGCTACATTTTATAATTTTCAAACACTCTTTATTAAATGATGTATTGATGGAAGAACTTTTGATTATTTTATAATGCCTTTTAATCTATAATTCTTCTTCTTTACTTATTTACGAAATAATAAAGAAATATATTAAGATTTTTTTATTTAATTATTCCAGATATTAATTATTTTGAATTAAGTTAATAATCAATTATCACCTTTGCTTCATTTTATTTACATTCTTAGTAAAATGAATCAACCAATCTACATATTTAGACTGTATAAAAATCAAAATCAATTTTAATTTTAATGAAGCTAGATGTAATTTTAAAGTTAAATTTACTAAATCTATATGTTTGTTGTGAAATTGTTACTAGTAGATTTAAAATATACTTAAGTTAAATTAATTTCACAAATACTCTATCTAAATTTTATTTATAAATTAAATTGAAGTCTTTTATACATTAATTACTTCAAAATAAGATATTTTTTATTTTGAAAGAATAAAAACAATTAAATAGCTGATATCAGTCCGAAAAATTGATATTATTTAATATTTTAAATATTTTTTTAAATTCAATTTATTTAATCTAAAAAAACCACAAATAAATAAAGTACTAACATTATTCATTATTATTATTATTGATTATCTCATAAGATAGATCTATACTTGCAGATTTTGGAATTATCTTCTTCCTCTTCCATTATGGTTTCACTTTATTCTTTTACAGGATAGAACTTATCAACAAAAATGGAAGATAAAAATTAGTATTCGATGCTTCTTAAACCATATTCTTAGGTTCCTTAATGGGTTTATCTATATCCAATAATTGATTTTATATGTTGGGGAGTAATATTAAATTTAATACAAGTAGTATCACAAAAAGGGAAAGGATCATATTAACATTAATAATCTAAATGAGGTGGATACTCAACGTCTATCAAATTAACTTCAATATCACAATAAACTTTAATTTTTTCAATCGTATGAAATATAAAATCTTTGTAAAAAATACTTCTAATATTTTTGTCAAAATATCTTTTTTTTTACAAATCTATGATTATTCCATAGAACATCTCTTGTTATGTTAGAATTATATAATCTAGCATACCTATATGGAGCAGATGTTGATGTACTTCGTTCTAGTCAATTCCTAATAACACCATAAATGATTCACTTTAAATTATACTACTTATCTCAACCTATTAATACTCGAAATTCTCTCTAAATATAGCTATCGCATAGAAATCATCATCTTTAAGATTTTCTTTTATGTAATTATGTACTTGCTGTTTCTTATAAATTGATCTTTATTAAGTTAATTATTTGAGTTCTTCTTTTTTGTTTTTATAATGCTTCAATATAGACTTAAAACTCTCTTGTGCTTTGATAAATAATTATTAAGTGTCTTTAAGTTGCTGTGCTAATTAATATGATTACTAATTTTAGCTCTTTTCAAGGAGCTCAATTGGTATTTAAAAATTCTTTATAAATTATTTAGTAACTAAATTTGCTTAGTAGTAATGTCCATACTTTTCTACATGATCAATTTTTATGCAACGATCAAAATCATGAACACTTTATGGTTAAATATATATCGTAAAATTTCCATTTAATTAGTAATATTTTTATTGTTTAACAGGAGCTATCAAAGGATAGTGCTCAATAGTCTTAGCAATTAGAGGTGATTTGTTTTTCTTTTTATAAATCTTTTTTCTACTTATGATGTTGATATTATCTTTCTTCTACTACTATGATGTTTATTATTCTTCGTCTTCTAAATCTTCTAAAGACATCTATTCTTCCATAAGTTTTAATTTATCATTATCATGTTCAGTGATGATGCTTAGCATTCTAAAATTCTAATATTTATAATTTGAAATAGTAATTTATTTGTATAAAATTGTTTGTATTTATTGAATTCTTTAAAATGTAAAAAATTTATAATATTAAAAGTAACTTTGTGATATAAGTAACTTTAAAGCATACCTATTTATTTTCTTTGAAATTGATTCTATTACACTTTCTACAAAAATTTCTCTTAATTTTAATTAAAACTAAACATAACAAGTAAATCTTAATATCACTCTAAATATATCATAAGTATCACTTTTTTATCAAACCTAATCGCAAAAATAATTGAAAAATAATGAAAATTCATACAATTTTGCTTATAAAAATCTAGAAAATATTCAAATTCTAAATATAAAATATATATTTTTTAATTCTAATATCTAAACCTAATTATTTTGATATTAAATAAGTAATTACTTACTTACAAAATAATATTATTTTTTCATAAAATAAATAATTTTTTGCTAATAATGCTATTAGTTAATTAATTAAATGCCTTTTTGATTATAGACAACCAATCTCTTTTTTATAATTAATTTAAAATAAATTAAATATTTAACTAATATGTTTCTTTCTTTTTCCAATTTACATCCCTACCTTTATATTTACAAATCAGTATAAAATATAATATTACTGAATTAATTTATACTTATATCATATTCATAATTATAAATAAAAAGCAAATTTATATCTTCAAACCTTAATTTATTTCCAATTAATTAAATCATTATTATATCAATTTATGGCCACAAATTTTTTATTACTTTGACTTTTTAATGTTTTCTTATTTATTTCTGAATAAAATATATCTATTAATGTTAAAGGTAAGAATGAATACTTAATATTTTAAACTTATTCTCAAGTTTCTTCAATTCTCAAAGTTATTTGGATTTTTAACAACTTTAAGTAAAAGGAGATATTTTTTATTAAAATATACTTTAATTTCTCATATATTAAGACAGAGTAACTTAAGACATAATTTTTACATTTTGAAAAATATTAAGATCAAATTTGAATGAAACAGCTTTTTCTGATATCCTTAATATATGAGAAATTATGGTATCTATAAAGGTTCGTTTTAGAATTAATTATCTAATAAAATTTTTCTTTTAAATTGCATATTTTCTTAATATAAAGTTTGACATTTTTAGATATTACACTAATTATTTATTTTCATATTCAAATTAATTTTAATCTATAAAATCTATTTCAAAATGTCATTATAATCCAATTCTATTCAAATAACAGTGTTATCCTTTGGGGCGAAAGTTGAATTCATTTATAAAACTGCTCTAAAAAACCCAATTCAGATTAAAATATTCTTTATTTATTTCTTCTTTTTATTATTAATACCTAAATCTTCCTCTGCAAAATATATTTTTTTTGATTATTTATTTTTTTAGTTTGTTGATTTCTGATCAATTAAATTAATGATTGAAAAAATATAAACCTATTTTTTCTTAAGTACTCATTAATTGTTCTAATATTTTGCAAATATTTAATTATATCTTCAATATTTTAAATAAAAGAAATTATTATGCAAAGTTACAAAATAATATTTATTATATTTAATAATTTAACAATAGTATCAACAAAATCAATTCCCAATAAAAACCTTAGATATATTTTTATTTATATTTTATATAAATTTAAATAAGTGAATAAGAATCAATAAAAAAACAAATAATTTACTCTTAATCCTTTTCTCGAAGCATTTTATTATTAATAGTTTTCTTCAATTAACCAAAAAATAAAAAAAATAAATAGATTTTTATAAATTAAATGAATGACTATTATTTATTTTTATGTTTTTTATAAAGTTGAATTTTCATAGTCAAAAATTTTTGAAGATTTAAAAAGGTTTAAAATTAATGTGATAGGATTTATAAAAAACGAATTAAATAAATAGCTAAGAAATCTTAGATATTATTTTAATTGAGGAATAAATTACTTTTATTTATTTATTTTTAATTATAAAATAAATTAGAATAAATATTTGTTTTCCAATTTGGTTACAAAAAGTATTAAGTTTATGAATAAAATAGATTTAACAAAATTTTTTTTCATGATTTAAATATTTCATTTTAAAATGTCATTTTCAAACTTATTCACTTCGCTAAAATAATTGATTACAAATTTATGTGAAGTATAGTAGAGTAAAAAAGCTAATCTAAATTAACAATTTTCTTTTATGGTTTCTTTTTTTTATAGTTCATAAACATTGTGATAACTAGGAAGACTAACAATTTTAAATAATTAATCTTGAAGATGAATTCTAATTTCAAGATTTTTATTGGTTGATTCAATAATACTTGATGATGAAAGAGACTTTTAACCTTAATAGAGTAATCTAATACCACAATCTATTTCACTACTATTTATATGGTTTTCTTATATCAGTCCTGCTATGAAACTAAAGTCTGAATAATTTGATTAATCTAAAGGCTGAATTTCAAATCTTAAAACATATTTTTTTTTTGGATCTATTATAAAATTTGAATAAGATATCCCAAACCCCTCCCGACTCTATCTGATTAATAATTCATTTGTCTTCGTTTTTTCAATTATTATTTGTTAGGAATTTTTAAAATTTTTTGATTTTTCGAAACCTAAAAGCTCTATTTAATTAACTTTTTGTTGGGGCCTAATATCTGAAGTAATAATTTATTCTTATTTATTTATTTTATTTAAATCTAAGAGAGAATCTTAGAAAAAGTTGATTTTTTCCACCAATTAAATTAATTAATTTTTTGTTTAGAGTGGTTAATCTAAACGAAATTTGTTTAAAACTTCCATTATTTCATCTACTTTTTATTTTATTTATTATGTGTTCTGATTGATATTTTAATACATTTGATTTACTATTTCTTTTATCTTTTACGCAGACTATTCATTGTAATTATTGTAAAGATTTTACAGTTCTTTCTTTTATGATATATTGTTAAACCTATGAATTAGACTATCATTTTAACAAAATATTTAAATTATATTATTTTTTATTTTATCTCTTTGAAGATCAAGCTTGATATTGATCTCAGCTTTAAGCTGATAAAAATAATTTTATACTTAGCTGATACATTTATCTAAAAAGTTTTTTTCTTAATCCGCTAAAAGTTCATCCAACTTTTAGTACAAAGTATCATCTATTAAAGGAGGAAAATTTGAAAATATTGAATCCTCATCAGAGTGGATGAACTCATTAACATCAATAACGTTGTTACTATTTTTAGAAGCTATTTTAGCACATGATAAGCACATCAATGGCTAAATATTATTTTAATCAAATAATAGTATGCTTTTAAATTATCCTTTATGCTTTTAGCAGTTTTCTTATATGTTTGTTTTTTACATTTCTTATTTCTTTCTTTCTTTCTTTCTTTTTGTATTTATTATTATTTTATTAAAAAGTCAAATTATTAATTTTTATCAATATCATACTTTGATTTAATATTTTCTCCTATATCTAAATTTGTAAGACAAATTAATATAAAATTGATTACATTAATATTATTTTTTATAATAGAATTTAACAAAAAATATTACATTTAAACAAAAATATTTTATTGGAATAAAAAATCATTTCTTCTTAATATAGTTAAACACTAATTAATATAAATTATTGGTAAGCTCATTCAATTTTATTCAAATAAAATGAGTCATACATTTAGTTTAAATATATCTTTATATTTCTTAGGATAGTATTTTTCAATGAATATTTCTGATAGAATTTAATACTCGATGCTTTAAATGTTAGCTTATTAATTATCAGTGGTATTTTTATTATTTTATCTATAGTTTAGAATTGATTCTATTTGATTACACGATATTTCTAACTTTACTAAGACTATAAACTCTTAATCTTTTAATTATTTACCCTCACTTTAATATTTCAATTCTTCAGGGTAAATTACTTAATTAATTTGGTATTCCGCTTAACAACAAATCTTTAGTTCATCTAAAGTATTTATGATGAATTCTTTCTAATAGTGGATTTGGTTAAACTTTTTTGACTATATAATTTATAAAATGATTCCAAACAACTTCTCTGTTTAAGAAAAAAATATATTATCTCCCATGCCTCTATGTAATAGATATTAGCTTATATCTTATTCTTCTACTCCGATTAAAGCAAACAAGCCTTTGCTTAATAATAGTTTTAAAGTTTCAATTTATTACAGATCGAAATTTGGACCTACTTCAACAACAGTAAAAAATTCATCATCTTTTAGATATGTGTTTATGTAATTTTCGATTAATTCTTTGCGATATAAGGATCTTTTTTTATTTATTTATATGAATCCCTATCGATCTTACTAATAGGCTTCACTAATTTCCTATATATCATTAATACATTCTTAAGAATACAATTAGTATAGTTTAAGCTACTACGCAAAGTTGTATTTCTCTACATCTTAAGAGTTTTCAAGAATTTATATTGGAATATGGAAATCTTTCAAGAATATCATTGAGCTCATTTTACATTAAAAATATCTTTTACACACTTCAACTGAAGACAATTTTAGAGTATATTTATAAAGTTCTCCAGTTTTTGATAAGCAGACAATCAAATCTCCATTTAAATGGTACATCTAATCGATATTTAAATACACATAAGGGCAAACTATGTCCAATATACTTAGTACTTTATTTTTCTTCTTTTTAATATTTTTTTTAATTATTTTTATTGCATTTTTCTATTCATATTACCTTTTATTCTTTTAAAAACTGATTTCATCATTTTCTTCTTCTTAAATACCTTCATTTTCGATGCTATTAGATGAGTTTTTTTATTTACAAGACTATTTAAATGAAAATAATATATTTCTTTCCATATTTATTTCTGTATTATTTTAAGATAAATAAGTTAAAATATGATAGATAATTATTTTTTATAATAATTTCCTTATATTATTAAAAAGCTGTGCTCCTTTTATCTACTTTAGCTTTTCTCTACTTTTTAATTTATGATTTTAATAATGAAATTTAATGACTGGAAAATAAGAAAGATTAAAATCAACTAAATTAAATAATAAACATTGTACAATACCTTAATTTTTTATTTTTTTTAATTTTGTTGTAATTTATTGAAGACTATTTAAAAAAAGTGTTTTTGATGACATCAAAAATGGAAATTGGAAAATAAGTTTCAATCAAAATATAAATAATTTATTTTTTTTAATAGATAGTTTTTTACTATGTAAATATAATCTTCTAAAAATGAAGTATTTATTAGATTTATAGATTCAATAAATACTCTTAAAGGTTTTCAAATTCTATGTTAAAAATTCAAATTAGTAAAGATGACTGACAAAAAATATAAAAGGATAAGAAAGAAAGAATTTTAACTAATAAAAATTTCAGTTGACACAATAATATTTTCATAATTTGAGTGTGAAAGTTAATACATTAATTCATAATTTCAAGTATTAAAATTTAAAAAGATAAAATATGATAGTAATTATCAAAATTTAAATCCACATTTTACTTTTTAAATATTATAAATTATAAATAAAATGTTATATTCCTCTTTAGTATTCTCGTTTTATAAAAATCTTAGCAAATATTTTTAGTCATAAATTAATTAATTTAAAAAATCAAATTACATTTTTTAAGGAACAATAATTAAATTGTTTAAGATTAGAAAAAATCTTTTAAAAAAGATTTCATAAAATATTATCATAAAATAAAATAGAAAGAAAGAATGAAAAAAAAATTTAATAAATTTAATTTATTTATTTTTATTAAAATGAGAAAATAAATTCTTTCATTTATTAATCAAATTTTAATATATAGTCAAAGTTTTAAGTAAAGATAAATTATTTATTATTGATTAAAAAATAAATATTTCGCCAAACTCTAAAAACAAAATGAATATGACATTGTAGAAAAAAAAATTTTTCGACTTCGAAGATGTAATTATTTTTTTGTATCATATCTATACTTTAAATTTAATTTTTTAATACAAAAAGTTTATAAGCTCTTCATTGTCACCTCTGAAAGATATAGAATTATATACTCAGTATAAATAAATTGATTAATATTTAAAATTAGATTTTATAATCAGATTCTAACAGTTATTTCAAAAAATTTATAAATTATTTCTAGGATATATTAAAATCATATAATTATAATCCATCTAATTATCAATACAGTAAAATTTTCAAAATGTACACCCTAAAAAACTTAGAAATCATTGAAAATAGGTACAATTTTTTACCCTAAATTTAACTTTTTCAATATGCCATATATTAATTGGGTAACTTTATATTTTGGAAAGATTTTTCCTCTCTATTTACATAGTTTCTCTGTAATATCTTTAGATACTTTAGTTATTGAATTTTTATTAAATATAAATTTTGTTAAATTCAAATTAAACTGGGCCCTTCAGTTAAAAAAACATGTTTAACTAAAAAAACTAAAAATAAATTAATAAACATTTTTTTATTTCACATTTTGAAAGAAATTATAAACAAACAAACTTTTTCAATTTAAATTAAAGAGTTTATAATTTACACTTAATAAAAATTAATTTTTATTTATATTTAATATTAAAATCTAATTAAAATTTAATCTATGATAATTTAGTACTTTAGATATTTCAAAATTATTGCAAGCCTTATTAAGTTGTACAAATGTCTAAGCTTTGAAGTTAATATTATCGTAAGAGAAATTTAATAATAAATATTTATTATTTATAATTATCTTTTTTTTTGTTCTAAACTGTTTATTATTAATTTTAAAAATAATTGATAAGATATTTCAATATTGACGGATAAGGTATATCAAACTTAAGCAGTACTTTAGCAACATTATCAAATCTCTAAAAATTGAGCTTACGTTTAGTGTATGAATTTTGATTAATTTTAGCGATTTTTTTAATTTATTAAGCTATATTAAAATATAAAATTAAAGTCTTATTAATAAATAATATTTATTTTAACTATTTATAGTGGAATCTAAATTGATTTGTAGAGTGTATCTATTTTAGGATCTAATTTATCATAAATCAAGAACCTTTCAACATTAGAACTTAATGTTGGGTAAAATGTTTTATTTTTTGAATATTTTCTCAATAAATTCCTTATTTTAACATACGATTTTAATTCTCACGTTCGATAGATATTTATTTTAGATGTTAATATTAAAAGAAATAATCAAATTAAAGATAAAGGTGCAGAAATTTTAATTTCAAAATTAGCTGAGTGTAGTAGTCTTACTAACCTGACAATTAACCTTTAGTAATAAATATTTTTTTTTATCAATTTTTGTCAAATGGTATTGCTAATTTGAATATTCTTATACAGTGATTTAACAATCAGTTTTGAAGATTTAAAAATAAAATTTTAACTTTAAATTTATAAAAGTGAAAACTAATTAACTCCTTAAGGATTGTAAGGTTTGGGAGCTGCTTTAGTAAAATATTAAAATCTCATAGCTTTAACCCTTGAACTTGAGTAAAAAATTTATTTATTTAATTAATTAATTATTTTGTTGTTGTATTAGTTAATTGAAAATATATTGTTTTAATTCAAATTATAAAACAAAATTATCATGTTTTTGTTGATTAATGTTTGTTTTATGTGGTATTAAAACCATTAATTGATTTTATAAATATAAAAATATTCTTAATATATCTATTTTTATACAAATATTAAAAGTTGTAATGATTTTAGTGGTGACTAAGGTTTAACTGGATTGGATTTTTCTCTAATTTGCTTCTCTAAACTCAAAGATTTATCTATTTCAATTTAGTAATGAATAATTTTATTTATTATTTTTTTTTTAAGATCATTTTCTTATGATATTGGATCCTTTTTTATAATACTAACCTTACTTTAAGTTAAATTGCTTTTTTATTTTATTTCCAAACTTGATAAAATCTTTTCTTATCAAATACGAAATCAAATATTAAAATTATATTTCTAAAAAGTGATTGCAAGGTAAACTCAAAAGCTGCATCTAGCTTGGGTTATACTTTATCAAAATGCAATAATATTTCTAAGTTAAAACTCAATATGTAGTAAAAATGCTTATTTTTAACAAGATATTATTTTTATTTATAAATATTAAAAATTTAAAGATTAAATCTAATTAGTTCTAGTGGTGCAATAGCTTTATGCTCTGCTTTAACAGGTTGCTCTAATATGCAAAATCTGTGTCTTTATTTATAGTAGGTTTACTTTATTAATTTTTTCTGCTAATTATAAGAAATAATTCTTTTTTTTATATCTTATGCTTACAAATTTATTCTTGAAAAATATGAAAAAGTTGTTAGCTTTTATTTTAGTTATCAAGCAAATAAATAATAAAACATTTATAAATATTTCTCTAATATATCAAAAGTGACAACTAAATTGATGACGAAGGTGCATTAGGTTTAGGCTTAGCTTTATCTTCTTGCATAAACCTAACTAATTTATATCTAAGCCTAGAGTACAAATTTAATATTTATTTTTTTAATAATATATACTCTCTGTAAAAAAAATATTTTGATATGATTTAGCATTTCATACATATTACTTAATATTTGGTTATTAGGCATATAATGAATTATTATATTATATTTTAAGTAAAAATAAAATATCTCCTACTGGAGCTTCAGCTTTAGGTTCTTAAATAGCAAATTGTTCAAATATAATTAATTTGGAATTTGATCTTAGGTAAAGTTATTTATTTGTATCTTAATAACTAGAAATTTTAAATAAATATAATTTAAATGTTAATAAAAATTAAATACTTTTATAGCTAAAATTAAATTGGATCATAAGGTGCAAAAGGTTTAGTCTCTCCTTTAGTAAAATGCAATAAACTTTAACATTTAACACTTAGGATTATGTAAAAAATTATTTTAATTTATTTTATTACCTTAATAATTATGGTATTTCAGATAAACTGGTTCTTCATAACATACAGAGAATTAACTATATTATTCTTTAAAACTTATTAATTTACTAAAAGTTAATTTTTTTACAAAAATTTGAGATTTTTTACATAAGGCTAAATCTATTTAGATAAATAAATTAATAATTTTAAGTAATTTTCTAAATTATTTGATAAATTTTTAATTATTGTGCCAGTAGAATTTACCCACCCCTTCAATTTTATTATAGATTTTTTATTTTAAAAATCAACGAAAGTGTGAATTTTAGTTTTTTTCTCAACAAATTTTTTAATATAGAAAATAAATAAATACAGTGATTTTTTATTTTTATATCTTATTAATTTATTTTAAAATTTAATTTTTAGTTCAAATTAATTATAATCTTTCTAAAAGTGATTGTAATATAGGCGATTAGGGTCTAGGTCTTACTCTTGCAAGTTTAACTAATGTTCAATACTTAGATTTACTTTTAAGGTATATTATTAATTATTTTTTGAAAAATTAACCATGATATTATAATATTTTGCTTAAATTTCTAAAGTAACAATTAAATTGGATGTTAAGGAATTCTAGATTTATGTTCTAGCTTTGAAAAATGTATTAACCTCTAAGGATTGAAACTATTCCTAGGGTAAATTAATTGATTTTTTTTTAATTTTTATTTTGTATTTGAAAAAAATTAGCATTAAAAAAATAATTTTTTTTATTTCATTTTAAAAAATAAAATTATAATATTAAAAATATAAAAAGGAATAATCAAATTGAGTTTTAAGTAGTTTAATTCTTATCTACTACTTTAGCAAATATCTAAAATCTCTAAACTTTGTCTCTTTCAGTAAAGTAAATAAAAGACTTATATTTAAATAATAAAAATGATTAAAATAAACTTTCTTTTGATTGTTAAATTTATTTTAAATTTAAAATAATTATAATTTATTAAGGCAAATAAAGGTTTTATTAAATTATTAATTCAATATTTTTGTGTTTAAGTCTTAATGAACTATTTAATTAATATTAAATATATTTTTATTTTTAAAAGATCTAATTATGAAGGTTTGTAAACCTTATGTATTGGTTTAAAAAACTGCAGCAAGATATTATATTTCTCTTTAGACCTTTAGTAATTTATTAAATTTTTATAGTTTTTTTTTATTTTTAAAAATCGTTAATTTAATATCTTTAAATATTTTTATTAATATTTATTAATAAAAGCTATAGTGATGATATACAACAAGATTAAGAATTAAAAATAAGAAATTCGATGTGCAAAATAAAGAAATTAGTGGAAAAATATATTTTTACTTGACTAGTTTTGATTCTTTTAAGAAATATTATGAATATTTTATAATTAACTTATAATATTTAAATTATGTTTTTAAAAATATAATTTTGAAAAAATTCTATTACAAAACTATTGTAAAAAAAAATTTTTCTTTTTAGGCCTAAGTTGAATTTAAAAAAAAAAATTATTTTCATTTAATTAAAAATAACATTATTAAAATTTAAAGTGAATATAAAATAATGCTTATCAAAATTTAAATCTACATTTTACTTTTTTAAAGATTAAAAATTATAAATAAAATGTTAGATTCGTCTTTAGTATTCTCGTTTTATAAAAATCTTAATATTATAAATATGAATAAAGATTTTTAATCAAAAATTAATAAATTAAAAAAATTAAATTAAATTTTTCAAAGAAACAATAATTAAATGTTTTAAGATAGAAAATAATTTTAATAAGATTTCATAAAAGATTATCAGAAAATCAAAAGGATAAAAATAAAATTTAATAAAATTAAATTTAACACATTTATTAAAAAGAGAAAATAATTTCTTTTATTAATTAACAAAATTTGAATATATTCTCAAAGTTTTTAATAAAGATAAATTTTTTATTATTGATCAAAAATTAATCATTTTGCCAAATTTAGAAAAAAAATAAATATGTCATAGTAGAAAAAATAATTTTTTGACTTAGAAGATGTAATTATTTTTTTTTATCATATCTATACTTTAAATTTAATTTTTAATAAAAAAAGTTTGTTAGCTCTTCTTTATCACCTCTGAAAGAAATAGAGTTACATATTCAGTATAAATAAATAGATTAATATTTAAAGATTGATTTTATCTATTGTTATTTCAAAAAATTAAAAATTAAAACCTTATAATTAAAATCCATTTATTTATCAAAAGTAAATAAATATTGTCGAACTGGGCACCTTTATTAACTAAGAAATCATTTAAAATAGGCAAAATTGTTTATCCTAAATTAATATTATTTTTTAATATGAAGCTCATCTAAATATTTGAACAATTTTTTCCTCCTTTAGGTGCTCAGTTTATATATTTTCTCTGTACTACCTTTAGAGATTTTAATTATTGAATTTTAATTAAATAAACATTTTCTAAAATTGAAATTATCAATAAAAAAAATGTTTAAGTATAATAACAAAAAATAAATTAATAAGCGTTTTTTGATTTTAAATTTTGGTAGAAATTTTAAACAAACTATTTCAATTTTAATTAAAGATTTTATAATTTACTCTTTTTAAAATTGATTGTCTATTGATTATATTTAATAAATTTTCTTTTAAAATTTTTCTTCATTAAATTATTTTTTATTCTTATTAAATATTAAAAATCTAATAAAACATTAATGTAAGATAATAATTTGGTCCATAAGATGAATCAAAGTTATTATAAGCCTTATTAAATTGCACGAATGTCTAGGCTTTAAAATTAAGATTATCGTAAGAAAAATTTAATAATAAATTTTTATTATTTAATATTTTTTTTTTTCTAAATTTTTTATTATTAATTTTAAATATTGAAAAGATATATCAATATTGACAGATAAGGGATATCAAACTTATGCAGTACTTTAGCAATGTTGTCTAATCTCCAAAAATTAAATTTAAATTTATAGTATGAATTCATTATCTTTAGGGTTTCTTTAATTTATTAAGCTATATTAAAATTAAAAAGATTTATTTACTTTTTCTTTTCATCCTAAATTTGATTTTTAAAATCCTACTAATAAACAATCTTTATTTGAATTATTAATAGTGGAAACTAAATTAATGTGTAGAGTGCATCTATTTTAGGCTCTAATTTATCAGAAATCAAGAACCTTTCGACGCTATAGCTTCATCTTGGGTAAAAAGATTTATTTTTAAAAAAATTTTTTCTCAATAAATTACTAAAGTTAACTTTACGATTTAAATTCTCAAATAATATTTTCAGCATTTTTCATTAAATTTAATAATATTGTTAGATAGATATTTATTTTAGATTTTAATATTAAAAGAAACACTCAAATTAAAAATGAAGGTGCAGAAATTTTAGTTTCAAAATTAGCTGAGTGCAGTAGTCTCTCTAATTTGACAATCAACCTTTAGTAAAAAATATTTTTTGTTTTATTAATTATTGTGGAATAGTATCCCTAATTTGAACATTCATATTCAGTGATTTTGGCAATCATTTTTTGGATATTTAAAAATAAAATATTAATTTAAAATTTATAAAAGTGATAGCTAATTAAGTTCTTATGGAATGTAAGGCTTGGGAGCAGCTTTAGCTAAACATTAAAATCTCTTAGCTTTAACCTTAGAGCTTGAGTAAAAATTTTTATTTTTATTTAATTATTTTTTGGATGGATTGAAAATATATCGTTATTTTAATTCAAATTATTAATAAAAAATTAAATATTTTTATGATTAAGTTGTTTTTTTAAGTGGTATTTAAACCATTAATTCATTTTATAAATTTATTATAAAAAATTCTTAATAAATATCTATTTTTATGCAAATATTAAAAGTTATAATGAATTAAGTGGTGACGAAGGTTTAACTGGATTGGATTTTTCTCTAGTCCCTAAACTCATAGATTTATCTATTGCAATTAAGTAATAAATAATTTTATTTTATTTTTTATGATCATTTTCTTTCTTAAGATATTGGATCTTTTTATAATACTAGCCTTAGTTTAACATAAATATCATTTTTATTTTATTTCCAAACTTGATAAAAATCGTTTCTTATCAAATACGTAATGAAATATTAAAATTATATTTCTAAAAGTGATTGCAAGGTAAACTCAAAAGCTGCATCAAATTTGGGTTAATCTTTATCAAAATGCTATAATCTTTCTAAGTTATACCTCGATATGTCGTAAGAATACTTATTTAAAAAAAAATATTATTTTATTTATTAATATTAAAAATTTAAAGTATAAATCTAATTGGTTCTAGTGGTGCAATAGCTTTATGCTCAGCTTTAGCAGGCTGCTCGAATATGCAAAATCTGTTTCTTAGATTATCGTAGGTTTACTTTATTAATTTTTCTGCTAATTATAAGAAATAATTCTTTTTTTGCATATCTTACTCCTAAAAATTTATTCTTGAAAAATATGAAAAAGTTGTTAGCTTTTTTTTAGTAATCAAAAAAATAATAAAATAAATAACTAATAAAATAGAACATTTTATTTTTTTATTTAAAAAAATATATAAATATTTCTCTAATATATCAAAAGAGACAACTAGATAAATGATGAGGGCGCATTAGGTTTAGGCTTAGCTTTATCTTCTTGCATAAACCTGACTAATTTAGATCTAAGCCTTCAGTACTAAATTTCATTTTCATATTTAATTATAAATATTTATGTAAAAAAAATATTTAGATATAATTTAACAAACCATACATGTATGTATTATCCTGAATTTAATTATTAAGCATATAATGAATTTCTATTTTATATTAAAAGCAAAAATTAAATATCTGCTACAGGAGCTTCAGCTTTAGGTTCTTTAATTGCTAATTGCTCAAGTATAACTGATTTGGAATTTGATCTTAGGTAAAGATATAAAGTTATTTATTTATATTTTTGTAGCTTATTGCTAAAATTAGCAATTTTATGTAAATATATATTAAATATTTATTCAAAATAAATACTTTTGTAGCGATAATTAAATTGGATCATCAGGAGCATAAGGTTTAGTTTCTGCTTTAGTAAAATACAATAAACTTTAACATTTAACACTTAGGATTCTGTAAAAATTATTTTAATTTATTTTATACCGTAATATTTTTATTATGGTTTTTCAGATAAACTGGCTCTTCATAACAAGAAATAACATTATTTAGTTTTTTTTTACATAAATTTGATCTAATTTTTTAATTTAGAAAATAAATAAATACAGTTATTATTGTTATTTATTTTTAAAATTTAATTTTTCATTTAAATTAATTTAAATTTTTATAAAAGTCGTTGTAATATATGCAATCAAGGCCTAGGTCTTACTCTTGCAAGTTTGATTAATGTTTAAAAATTAGAGTTACATTTGAGGTAAATTATTATTTATTTTTTTGTAAACTTAACAATCATATTATAATTTTTTGCTTAAATAATTTATTTCACAATTTTAAATCTAAATTCTTAATTCAAATATTAAAATTAAATGATCTTATTATTTCTGTAGTAACAATTAAATTGGAAGTTAAGGAATTCTAGATTTAATTTCTAGTTTAGAAAAATGTGCTAACCTCAAAGGATTTAATCTTTACCTGAAGTAAAATAGTTTTTATGTTTTCATTTTTATTTTGTGTTTTTCATATGAAAAAATTAGCATTAAAAAAATAAAAATTATATTTTCAATTTTAAAAATAAAAATTATAAAAAGGACTAGTCAAATTGAGTTAAAAGTAGCTTAATTATTATCTACTACTTTAGCAAATATCAAAAAACTCTAAACTTTGACTCTTTCAATAAAGTAAATAAAGTCTTATACTTATTTTTTGATTTTTAAATTTACTCTAAACTTTAAAAATAATTGTAATTTATTAAGGTAAATAAAGATTTAATAAGATGATTCATTCAATATTTTTATTTTTGAGTCTTAAATTAATTAATTAATATATTTTATTTTTAAAAGATCTAATTACGAAGGTTTTTAAAGCTTATGTATCGGTTTGAAAAATTGTAGCAATTTCTTATATTTCTATCTTTACTTTAAGTAATTTTTATATTTTTCTTTAGCTTTTTTATCATTTTTTTGAAAAATTGTTAATTAAATATTTTTTATTAAAATTTATTAATAAAAGCGATAGTGATATACAAAAAGATTAAGAATTAAAAATAAGAAATTCGATAAATAAAATAAAGAAATTAGTGGAAAAATAAGTTTATTGATTCTTTTAAGAAATATTATGAATGTTTTACAAATAATTTATATATTTTTTTCAATCTTTAAAAAAATGTTTTTTAAATTTAATTATGAAAAAATAATAATACAAAACTACTGAATAAAGAAAATTTTTCCTTAACAGGACTAAAAGAATTTTATTAAAGCTTAAAATTTAATTTAAAAATTAGATAAATATATTTATTATTTTATTTTTATTGAAAATAAATTACTTAAATATAATATTTTAGAAAAATTTATAAGAAAGAATATTTGCTAATAATTCTATTCCAAAATAGAAAATGCAAAAATGTTTAATTATTCATAAAACATTTTTCAATTTAGAATCATAAAAATTAATAACAAAAAAATCTAAATTAATTTTTTTAATTAGGTTTTAATTTTTTTATTATTTTTGAATTTTGAATTTTTTTAATTTCATAAAATTTAAATTTTTTAGGTAAAATTAATTTAAAATATTTTTTAACTAAATTATAAAAGATTCAATTTATCATGATATATTTTTATCTTTGTCATTTTAGATTATTGTTTTTTAGTATGCCTTTTATAGCTCATCTTTATCATCCTTAGAAATTTCTTATCTCATTCTAATAATTGTATCAAATATTTATAGAGATATTTCAGACTAAAAAGCAAACTTAATAGGAGTTATTATTTCTTTTAATTTTGAACTCTGTGTTTAAATAGATTTAATAAAAACATTAAATTAGTTAATATAATTTTATATTGAAGATTTAGAAAAAGAAATTAGACTACTATTGTTTAAATAATTGGATAAGATTTCTAAATCATTTTCTATTCTCTTAGCAAGTAATTCAAAGTTATTATTTGGTGAGAATAAACTCGTCACTTTAATTTAATTATTTTTTTTACTATTTGGAGATAATTCTTAGATTATGCATACTGATATTTAATAGATTAGCTAAATAATATCTTGTTAGTCTTCATACTCTTCTTTTACTTCTTCAAAGATTTAATTCCAATATAAATTTATCATGTTTTAAATTAGTAGTTTGCTTAAGCTCAAATATACAAAATTTTAAAGGTTTAAATTTTTTTTAATCAATTTTAAATATTAGTCAACTTTTTCAATTAACAGCAAAATATTACTTTCTACTTAGCTTGAGATAGTTAGATTTAAGTCAAAATCCTATTCTGAAATGCTTTACTCAAATAAATGTGGGGCAAAACAGTAATAAAGCTAATCAGATATAATCAAAACTATTTAGGAAATTAGAAAATCAGAGAACTATTTAAATTTTAACCTGATATCTTAATTAAAAATTTTCGTAATTCTTTATATAAAATATTCTTCGCATTTATTTGAATAATGAGAAAGTGATAATTTTAAGGTGTCTAATGAAAAATGTTAGCATTGCTATAATAAATTAACAATAGTTGTTATTCTTGCAATTATTAAATTGCATTCTCTTTAAACTTATTTTGTATCTTCACTAAATTCATTGGAATTTTTATTTATTTTTTTTGTGTCGCTTGAACTTAGTTATTAAATTTTTATCTAAATCTAACTCACTTGCTTAGAAATTATTTCTTTTTCTTGATCAATAAAAGTCAATTGAAAAATTTAGCTGATTTATCTTATCCATTCAATAAATTGATTTACTTCGAGTTTACCACATATTGTATCTATTTGCTTATTAAGAAAATTAAAGGAATCAATTCCAAAGTTCAAATCTATTTTAAAACCTTCTTCTATACTCCTATCTAATTGCTCTATGGTTAATTTAAAGAAATCTTCTTATAGCGATCCTTAAAAAAAATTAATTGTAACCTATCTCATATGATCTTAAAAAAAAGGCATAAACTTCATTAATTTTGATTTAATATATGAAAATTCTAATGGTTAGCCATCAACTTTGATAATTTGTTATTCATAGGAGCTAATCCACTCAATTAATTTGGTAACAATTTCATATTTTTACTATAACACGTTTTCATTTTCAATATCTTTCTATATTCTTTTCTCTAAATTTAGTCTATATTATTACTCATAAATATTAAAAATCTTAATTTCCTAAGGGAAACATTTAGCAACATATTTTTATACAATAACCATGTCTTCTGCTATGAAACTTTTATTAAAATTTAATTATTAATAATTTTTTAATAAAAAAAATAGTTACTTTATATTATTCAAGATGCTTAAAGTATCAGTAAATTAACTTGTTTTTGCTTAAAACCTTGCCTTTATGCTCTCATTAATTTGATCTATCAATTTTGTTAATTCTGGTTAATTTTATACGTTTTCATCATTTTCCTTATTTGAAATGAGAGAAACAATTTTATTTATAATTTATGATTCATCAGAAGTGAGCTTTCCATAATTTTCAAAATCTTTAAAATATTTCATTAAAAAATTCTCCTCTAAAACTGAAATTTATTTAGATTATTTTAAAGAATATTAAACACTTTCATTTAATGCTCTTAAAGCATTCACCATATGGAATCTTGTATCAGCGAGTTTTATTATATCATTATTATTTATATCTTATTTACTATTTTTATTTGAAATCTATTATTTTATTATAATTTTCTAAGCTTATTAAAACTCTTTAATTTTTGATACTAGTTAATTTATATTTTTGAGCAACTTATTTATATCATTTGTTTAAACTTAAGTAATTAATTGAGTTTACTCAGACTCCAGCTTTTAAATATCTTTTTAAATGTTTGAGCAAATATTTATGTTAGTTTTAATATCTTATTTTTCTTATAAAAGTACCTTTTCTTATTATTTTTACATTTAATTCTAAAAAAACTTCTTATTTTTAATTTTTATTTTGTCAAAATTTATTTTAAGATTATTAACTATCAAATATTTTATATAAAAACTTTAAAATACCTAATTAAAATTTTCTCAATTTTTATCTATACTTTTTATTATATTGATCATTTATGATAATCTATTTTTTATATTAAATAATCTTCATCTATTTTATAAATTCTATCTATTCTTTGCTCTTTTTCTGACAAATCTTTTTTCAAAAATAAAATATAATTATTCCATTAAGTCTAATTAATTTTCTCTCATTTAAAAAGAAGTATTATATATCAAAATACAAGAAGTAATCATAAAAAAATTCTAAATTAACAGAGCTCTTTTATTTTTCTGGTATATAAAATTGTTGTCTTAAATACATGGAATTTAAGCCTTTTGTTAAAGTATTTTACCTAGATCTCTCATGTTAACAATATTATCTTATATTTGAAATTGAAAATTATGCTTTTAATTTCCACTTTATGTATTTTATATGTAGGGTTAATATTATAAATTTTATGGCATTTAATATTTTTTATTGATTAACAACAAAAATCAACGTCTAAAAATTTAAAATTTAAAAATATTAGTCAAAATAAGAAAGCATTTACTTAATTTATTAATTTTAATTTATTTCATGTATTTGTTCAGTAGTTTTTAACATAAAGAGTGATTAAGTAAATATATTGATTAATATATTATTTTTTAATAAAATAAGAAATAAATGACAAAAATTTTATGAAAGAAAGATATAATAATATTTCATTTAATTTGATTTGATTGTTAACTATTTTTGAAAATTAAAAAGATATATTTTCAAACAAGAATAATCAAAAAAAATAAATAAATAAATTAGTTATTATTTCAATTAAAATATGATTAGGGAAAGTGGATTTTAAGGAGTTGAATCATAGCCAAGTGCATCGTTTGCAGGCTAGTCAAATAGAAATATATCAAATAGAAACAGCTAAGTGTAATATAATAACTTTAATAATTTTTAAAAGTAGCCATCTTTTTAGCAAGAGAATTCATTTGCAAACAACAATAACAATCAAATCAGATCCTCATAATTTGAATAGCAAGATTTTTAACATCAATAACAGCAAGATCAACAATAAAATCCTAGGAAACCTCCAAATCGCTAATCTTCTTATAATCAGTAATAAGAAGCCTTATTTTAGCAGTTTTATAATCCTAATGATTATATACAATAGGGAGTTTAGTAAAGAACATTATAAAATCAATATAACTAATAATATGAATAAGAATAAAGTTAAAATAATTTTTATCAATCTGGCATCTAAAATAAAAATATGTTCAATAATGGTTCTAATAATTAACAGTTTCAGTAAAATAATAACAATACAATAGAAATAGGAGAGCAGTAATTTTAAGAAAGCTAGACAAATATCATTTAAAACAATAAGCAAGGTGAAAACCAAAATTTCAAAACAGAGGAATTTGTTTTCCCTTAAACAGCTTTGATTAATTTCTTGAGCTAGCTTTACACTATGCTGCTTATTCAAACTCTTATTATCATTGGCGCTGTTTGGTTTTCATATCTTTTAGAGGATATAATATCATTTATAGGCTAAAATATGTGGATAGTTTGGACTAGTTTAGGTCTAGTGGTTAGCATAACGGTAGGCTGCTTTGTATTTAGATCATCAGTAAGTATTACTCCTCTAAATTATATATTATTAGTCACTTAAACTATGTGCTTAGTTATACTTTATGTCTATATTTTAGATAAATATGATGTTAGTTTAGCCTTCTTAATTCTTTTAGCCTTGGCCGCAATTTATTTTTCGCTTCTAATATATGTCTTAACGACTAAAACAGAGTTAAACTTTAGAGGATCGACATTATTCGTAACATGTAGTGCAGTTATGGTCTACTAGCTATTTTTAATATTTACTAATCTCTCTTATTTGACTTCTATTTTTATATTGATGGGCATAGTAGTATGGGGCTATTTTCTTATTTACGAATATCAGACTAAAGTATCAGATGTAGAATTCGAAAGGAGAGATCCTGTTATAAGCACAGTTACAGTATTTTTAGATGTATTCAATTTATTGTTGAAAGTGTCTGAACTTTTAAGATAAATCTTGCTCAGAGAAAGGTCTTGAGTCTTTAATAAATTATAAGTATCACTTAGTAATTAATTAATAGAATTTTAATTGACATAACAATATTATGTCTTCATTATATTCTAATTGAAAAAAGTTAATTAAAATATATTAAATAGGTATCTAAATTAATGTGTAATCAATATAATATTTATTTCTTTGCTCTTTTTATTAAATCGTATATTTGCGATTAAATTTACTTTTTAAAAATTCTTTAACTCAAAAAATGAAAACCAAAATTGAAATTATTTTGCTTTATTCAAATAAAAAAATATTATTAGAATTATTTAATAGAAAAAACTATTTTTAATTCTTAAAATAAAACAAAAAAAAATCACAAAAATAAATTTTTTAGTAGATTTTTATTTATTTAAATTATTATGAAAATTATTAATTGATATGAAAATAATCATGGAATAATGCAAATAGCATAATTTTGTTTATTTTTACTATTTAATAAAAATAAGATACTAACAAATTTAAAATAAGAAAAAAATTTTTAAATTAATTTTTTTTTTATTATAAAAATGCTATTGTTTTTCATAAAATAATAATAAATTAGAAATTAATATTGAATTTGTCTATTTTATTGTATATAATATATCTTATTTCACTTTTCAAATTAAGAATTTTATAAGATTGGTTGGTTATTGTATCTTATGGTATCTTTCAACAATCAAAGAGTATTTTAAAATTTTGTTAATTAATTAAAATAAACTATAATCTTTTAATAAACAAAATTTGTAAATCCTACTTTCTTAAATAAGACTTTCCAAATAGCACTCAACGTCAGCTTATTAATGTTTTTCACAAAGAGTAAGCAATTTAACTGCTATTAGCATTTAAATTTTATTCTCTTCTAAATTCCTCATATTTATGAGTTTTATTTTTCAAAAGGTTAAAGAGGATTCAAGATTCTTATACTACTTATAATAGTAGTAATCCTTCTTATTGAGAATTCTATTGCAGGTCCAGTTTGTAGCTAAGTCTGCTTAGAATGCGTTAATCCATTACAGATATCAATTCTGTAGAAAGGTAGTTGTATTAAATAATGCGATTCTAGTTCCTTCAGTTCTCTCTTATCGCCTTGCTATTAGTTTTCCCCAAATAGTATCACAGTTAATAATATTACAATAACATACAAAAACATAAATTAATACATTTAGCGACCTTTAGTTTTCGAAAATATCCAGCAGCTATCAATTTATAATATCATAATCTATAACGTTACTATTTCAAGATAGTAATAAAGTACAATTCCATTTCTTTTTGGAATAAATAATGTCTATAGAGTGAGTATTAACAATTTCGTTATAAACTAAAGTCAAAATCTTCCTACAATCATAAGAGCATAATCTATTTTTAACATCTTTTATCTGCAACTAATGAAAATTACATATTCATCTTTCTATGCTGTTTAAAATGCATTTTAGATTATTAATGGCAACATACTCTAAATATCTCAAATATCTGCTGAAAATGTGTCTCTAAATATTCTTAAAAATGACGTTACTGAAGAAAATCAATACTATTAATAAATGTAGTCAAGTAATGTGCTTTACACAAACTGGATACCACCTAAGCATTTAGCCTTGTTTTAGTCTAACAGCGTTAAATATGTTAGTATTGAGTAGGCATATTTTAATAAAAATTATAGAATCTCTCTATTGGAGTGCTACAATTACTACTTCAATAATCAATAGTAGAGTTTAATTCAAACAAGTATTTCTAATGTGACTTTAACATAAATTCAGGCCTATTAAAACTTATAAGCGAATATATACATTGGGTAAACTTAGCAGCTGAATGTGATTAGGTCAACATTTGCTAATAATATATGCCAAAACTGTTAAGGAACAGCCATTTATACAAACGGGACTTCTTCTTTATAAATTATCTAATCTTTGTTTATTAACAACACAGCTCAAGATGGAGGAAGCGTCTACATAAAGAATAGTAAATGCTCACAAGTACCTGCTACCTGTAATTAAATTTCTAGTTCAGAGTTTACATTAAATCAAGCCATTGCTTCAGGTGGAGCCCTTATGCTTGATAACTCAGATATCCACTTTTTAACAGGTAAAATTGGTAACTTATTTTATGAAAATAGTGCTTTAATAGGAGGTGCAATAAGATATATTAACTATGTGCCTTACTACTTTTAAAGGTACGCTGAATAAAAACTTTTCAACATAAATTACAATGACAATAAATTAGCTCTTGTAGTATTCAACAACTAAGCAATGCTCTTTGGTAGAAATATAGGTTCTTATCCAAGAGATTTTAAAATTGATTATGATAACCCTAAAGAAATCACTCATGATAAGTTTGAAAATATGAATAAGCTACTTCTATTTTAAAATTCTTCACTTTTAAGAAGTTTCGAAATAAAAAATATTAGGAGTGGCTAAACTCTACCACTTTAGGTAATTTTTTTGGATGAAGAAAATTTTCCAGTTTATCTGAGCATCAATAAAACTCTTCCAGCTTCAATTAGGACAGAAATCGATCCATTTTACGTAACTGCTTATAACCTAAACAACATTACTGCTATTGTAATTTTTTTATTACTTGAAAATAAATCTAAAAGTTTATTTTTTATTTTTTTTTAGGATGGTGATTATCACAAAAGATCTAATAGCATTACTAATGGGCTCATTTAGTTTGATAACTTATAAGTTTATGCTCGCCCAGGTACTTCAACGATGATAAGTTTAATAACAAATATAATTAAAATACCCTAAGCAGACCATTCCTATGATAATACAAAAACTTTTGACATGAGCATAAAAATAAAAATGAGGCTTTGCAAGCAAGGAGAAATATACTCATTGTATAATAATTAAACAATATATTACTGTTAACCTTGTGGATTTGGAGAGTATTCATTAGTATTTCCAAAATTAGATAACTCTGTTTAGGTTTGCTAGTTATGTCCTAAAAGCTCTGCTGGATGTATGGAAAATTTAATTATATTACAGAATGGGTTTTGGAGAAAGGATGAGAACTCTGATTAAATTTTTGACTGTTACAATAACCAAGGAAACTGTCTTGGTCAAATTAAAGACAATTCTTAATTGTGTAAGCAAAAATTAAATAATTATTTTATTTCGTTTAACAGAATATATTATAATAATTAAAGGCAAAGAAGGTCACATTGGTCCTCTTTGCGAGACATGTGATCTTTCAGGAAAACACTGGGGTTAAAGATATGTTCAAGGAAATGGATATGATTGCTAGCCATGCAAAACATAAGGTGCCTTAGAAATTGGGAAGACTATCTTTTTTGTTGTGTTTATATTTTGTTATAGCTATATAGGCATGTACACAACTTAAGATATGAATTATAAAATTCTTGTTGCTGATTATCTTAGAAAATTTGAAATGCTTTCTATTTCAAAGTCTGCTATTTAGGATGAAACTCCATTTTATATTAAGGCTTGTACTATTTATTTATAAATTTATTCAGCAATAAATAAAATCAATGTTGATCTCATATAAACAGCTATGCAAACACCATCTGTCATAGCCTTCCCAATAGAAAGTTTGAAAAACGTCTTGGATTGTAATATAGCTCCTTTCTTAGAAAAATAAAACTATCCAATGTCTTTTATAAAAGTAAACATAAATTCCCTTTCTATCAAATAATCTATCATTCAAATATCTTTTCAAACAAATATTAAAATTTTGTTTAATCAGTTGAATAATATCAATAAAATATGACAGTGTTTTTAGCTTAAATCTAACTATTCTATTACTTTATAATAATTTATTACTCTTTTATTTTAAAAAAATATTTAATTTTTTTTATTTAAAATTTGGTTTATTTTTTTAATTAAAAATTTTATTAAATTTATATGAAAAAAATTATTTTTAAATAAAATTAGATGATTTATGGGCCATATTTTTCTTTCTTTTTTACTTTGTTATTTGCTATTGTTGAGTTTTTCAAATGCTAAATAGAATAAAAATAACATATGACTATTTATTAGAGCTTGATGCATGGAGTTATTTACTATCAGATATTCTTCCTGCCTTCCAATATTAAGAATTTTTTTTCAGGACTTTTCTGTCGCTAAGTAGGAACTGATAACTATGTATAATCTGATTTGTTGATTTCTTGCTATACATTTGAATATTGGTAGAATGTACTTTTGCTGATTATAAATAATGGACTTTTTATCTTTTTTATATTTTCATACACTTTTTTAGATATGCGAAGCAGTAATAGACAAGTAACTAGCATTAGACTCGCATATGGCTTTTTGTTTGTAGGATATAAGCCAAAGTATTACTATTGGGAATTTGTAAAAATCTTTTTCCGTTCTTTTATCATAGTTCTTGTTTGTTCTTCTTCCTACGAAGGCTCTACCTTTATTAACACCGCCATTATAATTTTACTTGCTCTAATTGCTTTGTTTGTCCTAACTTAGTTTATGAAACCTCATGATAGAGATAAATTTAACTAGCTAGAGAATAAAAGCACATTTTTCTTAATATTAATACTAATTTTCAATATTTTTATTAAGAATAGCTAAAATGAGTAAATGGAGTCAATTGGAAAAATAGTGATAGCAGTTATTCATTGCTCATTTTTTAGTTATATGATATTAATTATCATTTTAACTAAAATACAAGCAAAAAATGGAGTTGAATATAATGGCTTTATTGGTTATTTAAAAAGAAAATTCCCAAAGCTTTTTAATCAAGTTTAATTTGATACTCTTGATAAATCAAGAGTTTCTAAAAATTGGAAAAAGCTCATTGAGATATATGCCTATAAAAATGAATAAAAGAAAAGCAGTAATTGTATGAAGAGAACATTCTTTGGATCAAGTAATTTATTTATTTTTAAAAAGAATAAATTTATTTCTATTTTTAAAAAATCTAGTAAACAAAAAGTTACAAAGGAGAAGGACATTGTACTTTGATTAATTGCAATCCTTGTAGAATTTTTAAAGGAGTTTAGGTATATTAAGTTAGGGGAATAATAATAGTTTCTAACAAAGTAGTTATAGCAGTAACGATAAGAACCTAAAACAAATCTAGCAAAATATAAATATGCCAAATCAGACAGAGGCATACTAAAATTAAATTAAACTGCAAAAAATTCTTACAGAAAAATAAGAATCTACATTTTCTAAATAATAATGCAATTCTAACACCTAGCGAGAATAATCCTCAAATTAAACATCTTTTGCTCAGGAATCTCCTAAATCATATATAAACTCTTTCTAAAAAGCTCTGTATAGCAATTTACAAAAGTAAGATTCAATAACAAATTTTGGTTAGATCTCTATAAACTTAAATTAAAAGTAAGATTAGTAAGATGATAAAGACAGATAAGATTGAAAAATATAATTAAAAATCAACAATTTTCCATAATAACCAAATTTAATTCTATATATGAAAAATTTTTTTGAGTTAATATAAAATTATTAAAATAAAATTATCAAATATTTTGCAAATTGAGAAATTATTAGTATTGGAATATTTTTTCTTCATGAAATTAAAAATATCAGCAAAGATGTTTTAGCTAAGCTTAATATGCTTGTTTTTTATAATATGTTTGTGAGTTATTTGTAATTTGAAATTAAAATTAAGTAGTAACTAAAATATTATTATTATTTTATTAGAATTTAATATTTGGCATAAGACTAACTAAAAGTAACAAAATTTTATTTAAATTTTTCATATTTTTAAATAATTTAATAAAGTTTACCTTTTTTAAGAAATTACATATAAAAAATATTTTTATAATTAATAAGCGAAATTGACTGCTGAAAAATTATTTAAATAAAAAATTATGTAAGTTTGGAAGATAAGTTTAAAATTTATTTACTTCAATAATAGAATTAAAAAATATAATTATCATTTTTATCAAAAAATAAGAAATTAATATTGATTTTAAATAGTTTTTTTAAACCAAATCATACATGTTTAATTTCTAATTTAATATTGGAACTTAAATAAATTTTGCTTAAGAATTTTAATAATTGATATAAAAAAATTAAAGTATCTAAAATAATAAATTGTTTATATTTAAAAGTAAGAATTCTAATGTTATTAAATTATATAATTAATTTTAATATTTTTTATATACAAATTACACTTGTAAAATGATAAAATTAATTTTGAATTATTTATAATTTCTTTTTAAACTATCTTTATTTATTATAAGTTGAAAATTAATTTTGAAAATTTTTTCAGTAAACAATACTTTGTAGCTAACTTACAACATCAATATGTTAAAATTCTAAAGCATCATCTAATGGAGTTCTATCCCAAATATCCCTTTAGGAAAAATCAAATCTAGCTGTATATTTTAAAAATTTTATGATTTCTAGCTAGCCTTCTGATGCAGCAACATGACCTATATTTCTCTAATCAATATTAGTGTAGTCATTAAAATTTTTTAATCCTGAATGATATATAAGTTTTATTGTATCCAAATCACCTGTCATTGCAGAATCAAGAAGCAAATTAGTAATTTCGTCTTTCTCTGCAATAATTTAACCACCATTTTAAATCAGCATATATACAATTTTTTTATTTTTTGTCAAAATGGCTTCATATAGAGGAGATCTTCCAAAGTAGTCGACAAAGTTAACGTCTACTTACTCATCAATTAAAAATTTACAAACTTATTCTCTACTTTCTCTCACAGCTACATGTAATGCTGTTCTATTAGTTGAAGATAAAAAAATTTATAAATTAAGTTTTTTGAATGAACTAAAAATGTTTACCTCCTATCATAATCACAAAATTTAAAATTTGTTTTTTGGACCTTCATTTCTTCTAAGTAGTGCATAAATCCAAATTAAGCCATATAGCAAGCAACATTAGGAACAATATAGCTTTTAATTAAGTCTACTTAAGATTATCTATAATTAACTCTATTATTAAACTTCTCAGTTATTGCTTCTATTAGATTTTCTTGTCTAACTTCAAATTTTTAATCATTCGAGTGAGGTGTTAGCTCTCCTCTTATATTTTAGTTCATTAAATACATAATTTCTTTGTAGGAAATACCTATTTTATTTTAAATTAATAGTCATAGAATATATAAATACACATTTAGTTTTTTAATATACCTTTTGTGATTAAATAGCTTAATTTAGCAAGTGTAGCTTCTGTTGTCATATTACCACCATATATTATATTTAACTGTGTTTATTACTCTGAATTAAATTAGCTAGTGTAAGACTTGATAGACTAAGATACAGCAACAATATATACCTCGTTTTGGGCTGCTTCTTAACAAATTTTAGAAAAATTATCATCATAAAATGGTAGATTTCCAGGACCATAACCCTCAATAATTACTCCTTTCAAGTCTGGTGTTTTTAATAAGTGAGATAGAGAGACTTCAGAAAAGCAAGGATTGTACCTCATAATTTCAATTTTATGATCAGTAAACTTCTTATTAATCTATAAATTTTAATTAAATTAATAAAAAAAATAATTTCAGAAATGTCTCTATTTCTTATTTAAAAAAATTTAGTATTTCTTTATTATCAATTAAATCTATTTCTTTTTCAATTTAAAAATCAAAGTTATTAGATTGAAAGGGAAAAAATAAAACAAAATCCTTTTTCAAGTAAATTTATGAGTTTAAATTGTTTACACTTTATTTTTAACAATTAAAAATTAATTTTATTTATAAATATAATAAGAATTACACTTCATCAAAAATAAAAACAATTTAAAGTAAAAAAAGAACCACTTTTTTTATTATAGTTAACATTAAAAACTATTGTCCTTTTCTAAAAAAATTAAATAATTACTTTAATTAACAATAAAATGATAAAATGGATATTTATATTAAAATAAAATCTAGTTTTAAAATTAAAAAAAGAAAAATTTTTGAGTTTTTAAATAACATGTTTAATTACTTTGACAGTTTAAAACTCGTCATTTCTTAAGATGTTAGTCCAATTCACTTCTATGTGAACCTTGAATTCTGCTAAAGTAGGGAAATTTGGTGAATTAAAACAATCTAATCCTTAAGCATCTACTTTTGTTGACCTATTTGCCCTTAATAGTTTATTATGGAAAAATATGCAAACTTCTGGTATATTAAAATGTCCTGCTATTGTTAATGCTCCTAATAAATTATTAAAGGAATCATTTCTCATAATGGAGAGAGGGACCATACTTCCTGTAAAAATTATAGGCTTGGATAAATTTTCTATCATGAAGCTTACAAAGCTTGCTGAATATGCCATACTATCTGTACCATGTATAACAACAAATGAATCAAACGTTTCGTAGTTCTAATCTATTATATCGAGTAATTCCTCAACACAACTTCTATCAAAGAAAGTTGAATTAATTTTAAGATTTTCCATTTCTACTACTTTATAATATATTCTTTTTTTATATTCACTAATTGGAGTTACAAGGAATCCATCAGTGGCGTGTTGGTATGTAAAATTAACATCACAAAAATAAGAAATTTTTTGCATCTTATTGAAAAGTTAGTTTCTAGTCAAAATTAAAGGGGCATAAGAACCTTAAGAATAATCATATTCTGCTCCAAAAAAGCCTCCTGCATAAATAATTAGAACTTTCTTATCTTCTTCCTAAGAATTTGAATCTGATCTCTAACTTGCTTCATCTTGGTTGAGTAAAGTAAATAATTCTTCATCGTTTTCTGTAAAATCACTGCTTTTTTTCTTTTTATTTTTTGGAGGAGTGCTTTTCTCAGATGGTTAAGTACTTTTTTAGGAGTTGCTTATCATGGTTTAATTAGAATTTGTGTTAATGCCGTTTATCTGTGGGTTTTACAAAGTCTGCTTGTTCAAATTACTAAGCATACGAGTTCCTGATTCATTGGTAGTAAATGGAGATTTTATTGGTGAGGCTTCGTGATTCCTATTTTATTCTAAATTTATCTAAATATTATGGTTTTATGCAAATAAATTGTGGTTATTTCCCTTTAATTTAGCATTAGTTCCATTATGATTACTAAATAAATTATCTTTTTTATCATTTTAAACTGGAATTTCAAGTTCTATGATATTATCGATTTTTTTTTCTTGCAAATTTTGAGAATTAGGACTCTTTTTCTCAACTTCTTTATCCATTTATATTAATATGAATAATTATTTAATATTAGATTTTGCTATATTCTTATAAGATTAACTTTTTATGATTTATAATAAATCTGTTGATATGTTTTTTAATATAAGTTAATCCCTTTGTTACGCATTATCTATCAGATTTACCTAAAGTATCTTTTAATTTTGAAGACTAATATAATCTTAAAATTTAGGTGAGAAATTCCATATTCATAAATACCCTAACTTTAAAACTACTTTCAAAACTAAGAATTGACTTTACACTTTATTTATATTTAAAATTAAGCTTTTAAAAGATATTTTATACCAAACATTAAGTTTAAATTAGATTAAATCAATCAATTATATTTTTATTTAAATAATTTTTTTTAAAATATACTTTAATTATGGAAATAATAATTTTAAATAATTATAATAAACATTTAAATAAAATAAAAATTGGTTAAGATATTAATTAATAGTTTTTTTTTCGCTTTTTCATTTATCCTAAAATGAAAATTAAAGTAAATATGAAATAAATAAAATATACAAAGAATGAAGGATTGATTAATTATTTTATTTTTAAAAGGATTATTTACTTTTATCTAAAACAAAAAAACTATAGATATAATTAATTGTTTTTTACAATTTTCTAAAAAACAATAAAAAACTTTTATTAAGAAATATTGTTTAACATAATTAACAATTTTTTTTTTGCTTTTTGAACTATTTTGAAGCAAAATAACGTAAATAAAATATTTATATTTATCAAATAATTATTAATTATTTCATCATTAAAATTGATTATTTATTAAAAGCAAAAACAAATAAAATTAATTGTTATCTCATTATAAATTTCTATCATTAAAATTTATAAATTCATTAAACTATCTTGTCGAATGAAAAAAATTTTTTATTTTAAAAATATAAAATGTATAAATTTTTTAATCTATTTTAAGAGTAGATGGACTAATAAAAAAAAAAAATTTGTTTTTAATAATTATTTTAATTAAAATAAAATGAATTTGTTGAGCTTAAAGTAAAAATTCAATATATTTGATAAATTTAAAAGCAATAATACTTTTATTTTTTCATTTTTTGAAACATAAAAAATTTGTTTAACATATAAAATAGAGTACCAAGATTGATCAAATTATTTTTACTGATTTATTTGTTAAATCATATGGATGATCGTAAAACAATTAAAAAGTAGTTAGCTATGAAGATGCTATTAATTTGAAAATATCAATATATATTTGTTAATTTGGAATGATTGAAAGAAAGTCAAAATTTTATTTATCGTTTATTTTGAAGTATTTATTTGAAATAATAATAAAATAAAAGTAAATTTTGAAATAGGATTTGATTTTAAGAGTGAGTATACAGATATTATCCAACTTTACCAATACAATTAATTAAATTTAAAAATCATAAGAAGATATACTGTAATATAAAAATATTAATTGCATTCATTTAGTAAAATATGACAGAAAGGTACGATTAAATCTTAGAGGAAAACGCTAATTTGAAAAAAGCTTTGTAATAAGCCAAATCTGTAATAGAAAGAACTTCTAGTAAAATAATTCATTCTTAGCTGAAATATTTTTGCACAATAAGATGATTTATTCATTAATCATTTTTAAGCAACTATTTTTTGATTAATGTATTTAACTAAAAATAGATGACTACGAAACTCTAAAATAAATTCACGAAGAATTTAAAATACAGCAAGATAGATTGAAAAGAGAGAATGATGAATTAAGTGTTAAAGTGATATAATTGATGAATGACAAAAAAGAATTAGAAATGCAATTTGATGCGACAATCAGAAATCTGAAAATTGCAATTGATTTAAAATAAAGGGAAATAGAAGAGGTTTAAGCCAAGATAATTCCTTCTTTTGATTAAGATATGCTGAGAATAAAAATTATTAATGAATTAGAAATACCTCATAGAAATCAATTAGAAGCAAAATAAGAAGAGCTTGAACGTATGCAAGAATAAGTTGACGAATACAAACGTTAAATTAACATTCTCAACTCAAGACTTGAAATTATTAACAAAGATCATGAAAGAGATATTAAATCAATTAAAGAACGCCATCATGTAAAAGAATTAAATACTTATTGATGTTTATATAATTTGTTAAATTATAATGGAGATAAAATTATTTCATTAGAATAATTTATCTTTAATTGATTAATTATTATTTAAAAATTCTTTAGCTTGAAGTCAGTGAATTTATGAATGAAATTAAGCTTGCAAACGAAAAAATAGATGATTAAAAAGATAAAGAAACTATTAGAAAGTTAAGAAGAGAAGTTGATGAATTAAAGCAAAAATTCTTCTAAAAAGATCAAGAATGTGAAGAGCTTAGAAGAGAAAGAGATAGATGCAGAGAAGAAAAAAATGAATGTTTGATCAAATTTTCTAAACAAGTCGATAGCGAAAGAAATGAGAAAAGGATTTATAAGGCTGAAAGTGAAAAACTTGCCATTAGAGTAAGATTCTTAGATGAAGAGTCTAAAAAGAATAAAATTAAATTTGATTCTATTTTAAGTGACAGTGAAATTTAAAAAAGAGAAAAGGAAACTCTTTCTGAAGAAGTTAGAAAAAAAGATGATCTCATTCATCAACTGCAAAGGTAATTAAAAGCTAAAGTTGCATTAGTTATTAATTTAATTTCTTTTAATGTAAAGGAGAATAACAGAGTTAGAAGATGAGCATGTCATCATATAAGCTAAGGCATTCGAGCAAAATACAAAAGTCTATAATGAAGAAAGAGATAAATTCTTAGAGGAAAGAAACAGGTCAATATAATTATAAAAAGAATTTGATCAAATTAAATAAAGCTATAATGATTTAAATGAAGAAAATAAATAGCTAAGGAATAAGATCCAAAAAGATCTCTCTTAACTTAGACAAGATAATATGACCATATCAGAGGAAAGAGATAAGCTAAGAAGATAAAAAGAAATATTGGAGAAAGATAATATAGAAAAGGACAAATCAGCTCGCTGTAAAATAAAGTTTTAAAATTTACTTCATTATTAATTATTTTGTTGATAAAACAGAAAGAGAAGAAGAATTGAATGAATTAGAAAGAGAATTAGAAAATGTTAGAAGAAAGTATAGAGAATCATAATAACGTATTTAAAATCTAGAAAGTAATGTCGACACTTTATAAGTAATATATTATTTTTTATTAAAGCAAAAGAATTTTTCAAAAATAAATATTGTGATAATTCATTATTTAAATATAAATATTCTCTGAATTCATTTATAAACATTTGATAATCATAAATAAAATATTAAAATAAATACAAATACTATATTTTTTGCTTATTAATATTATTGTTTATTAATTAATAGCGTTATAAATCTTAAATTGGTGGAAATGTTGCTGCTACTGCTCCTATAATTTAAAATCCTTCAGCTCCTTCAGAAGATGTAAATCAATTAAAGAAAGAATTGGAGGCTGAAAAGAAAAAGAATCAAAAGTTAAAAGATAAGCTCAAATAAGCAAATGAAAAAATAATGGATTTATTACAATTTAAACTAAAAAATTAGGCATAGCAAACCAATAAAGTTGGTTTAGAAAATAGATATCCTTAGGTTGATAATAAACTTTAATTTAATGACATCAGTAATATTTAGCAATAGTATTAATAATCGCCATCTGTATATCCATAGAATGCTAACTAGCCATTTAACATGTCTTATTAAAACACTAGCATTCCAAATACGAATAACCCTCCCTTATATTTAGGTTAACTTACATATGAAGATGAAAGAATTCTTTAAGAAATAAATAGAGCTTCAGATATGCATAAATACAATTATTACTGAAAAGCTAAACTAACTGATTTAATTTTTTATATTTCTTTATTTGTTTATTGTTATCAATTTGCTATGTTTAATCAATAAAATTAAACTTCACATTAAATAATTCGTTTCCTTATCCATCTTTTATTTTGATGCTGCTTAAAACAATATTTAAATGATTATTTCTATTACTTTTTTTGTTAGAAATAAGTTAGTTGTTTTTTTTTATTAAAAGTGATATAAAAAACAAAATTATTTAAAAAATAGTAAGTAAGTAATAGGATTTTAGCAAGCTAAACTAAACTAAAAATGAATTTCTTTACTCCCGATCTAAGAAATGGAGGTGGAAGGGTTATGTTTAAAAAAATGAGAGAGAAGCATCAAGAGTGTTTAAAAAGCATCAAACCATTAGTAAATAGTCTACAAAGACCTCATTCCCATATTGATGCCAAGTACAAATCAAAAAAGCATTAAATAAGTTTCTAAATGAACGAGTTTTAAATGGTTTAAAAAACATTTTTTACTTCAAGAAACATCAAATCACAGGTTGATAACTCAGAGCCTAAAACATTACAAAAAAAACTTTCTTTAAAATCCTAAATGTCTGTTTCCGAAAAAGAAATAAATAGATAGCATCGCTTGAATTGTCTCCACCTTACATCTGCTATTTTAGGTTTTGATAATTAAATTTAAAAAAAAAAGCAGATGTTAAAAATATAAAACAAGTAAAGAGAATTATATTTCAAAAATAATTCAATGAACCAATCTTATTCTGATTTAGAAAATTCAAAATACTCATCTTATTTGAAGGACGAATCAATAAATAATTATTTCGCAAATGATTATAGCTAAAGTAGAAGTTTGAATTAAAGTAAGTACTACTATCAAGGTGATTTGAGTAGCTTAAATACATCAGGAACACCAGTAGAAAAAATCAATAATTTTCATTTAAAAAACTGACTGGATGGCAATTCGGCTATACACGAAGAGCCAAATCACATCAGCATCAACCAATCCTAAGACTAAATAAGTTTCTCAAGAATAAGCAGTCCTATACTCAAGCCCTCTTAAAAGGAACTAAAATTTTTAACATAAAACTAAGAATCTAAAAGAATTTCTTCAGAGCCTTCAAGTGCAAGAAATGCAGATAAGATGAAGTCCACTCTAAAAAATAACAACATACAAATTGATAATAACGAAAACAAGTAATATTTTTCTTCATTGAATTTAAATAGCGATTAAAATTAAAGTTTTACTTTCAAAGCTGAGTAATAAAGTCAAAATTTTAAAAATTAAACTCAAAAAATTTAGTAAAGACCTTTCTCAGCTGTTAATAATAGATAAAATATGATTGTAATAACAGAAAATGAAGAATATATGCCCTAGTATGAGGAGTTATAAAGCAAAAGCTTTTAGCTAAATAAAAGAAAATCAAATATAAAACCAAATTCAGATAAAAAAGAAAATACTGAAAACATTTCTAAGATATCTATCAATAGCTAAGCTTCCTCAAACAATAATTTTACTCTCTAAAATCAAACAAATTCACAAAATTAAACTAAAAATTATTCAAACAGCAACAAAAGTTTTAAAAGAGTTAAAATATAAGCTAATGCACATTGGGGAGGTACATAATTTATTCCTAAAAAAAATCCATTCATTGAATAGCAAAAGAGAGAAGACATTAATTATGACTTCTAAAAAATTATGTTAAACTAAGTATATGCAAAATTATAATAAAAAATTAAAAAAATACCACATTTAGATACAGAACAATTGGAAACAGGAAATCTAAGAAGATACCTTTTGAATTTAATTATTGATTACTCTTTGTATTCTGAAATTGAAATTTAAGCCCTAGCAAAAATTGTCTATAATCACTTCAAAACTATAGATAAAATTAAAATTATTGAATGTAGCAAATCGCTCTCAAAAGACATTCTTAAAAACTCGTCATAAGGTTAAAAATTTACCTAAAAGTATTTTTCTGATAATGTTAATAGCCGAAATTTAGACAATACTAATGAAGATTTAACTCAAAATAAATAAAATAATACAAATGAGCCATCACCAAGACTAAATCAACAAAAATAATAAAATCATTATAATTTAAAAGATAAATTTGAAAATTATTACTTTTATAAAAATCATTAAAGTAATTATGCTAAATGATTTCAAAACTAAATTGAAATTTTGTTAAAAAAGATTAAATTTTTTATTTTCTATTTAAATAAAATATTAATTTTTTATTTTTACTTTTTGATTTGTTTGATTTTTTTATGGTTTATTTACAAACTCTCTTAAATGAAAAAAAAAATTATTATTTTAATTATAAAATAAAAATTATTATTAATAAAATCATAAATTTACAAATCTAATTTTAAAAAAGAGTAAGCGATTAAATTTAAAAATATTTTAGTATTAGTAATGACTTTTTCATTTAATAACAAATTTTTGGTAAATCTTTAATATAAAAATTTATATTTATTTAATAATTAAATTAAAAATAATATATTATTCTAATAGTTTAATTATTTTTTGAACAAAAGCTAAATTTAAATAAACTAAGTATTTACTTAATTAAATAAAAATAATATACTAAAAAAATGAATTATTTTTTATTAATCAATCTTATTTATTTAATTAGTTTTTATGTATAAAAACTTAAATTTTGTCATTTTTTCCACTTTTTTGGTGAAAAAGAATCGCTTATTGAAAAGCTTGTAGGCTTTTTACTACTAACTTTCGAAAAAGATTATTTAGCAAGAATATCATAATTTATGGAGTTATTTCTTATATCTTCTTGATAATTAGGTACAATAGTGCTGTCTTCAACCAACTGTATAGAGAATTAAGATAAATTTTACATTTCTAATTTAGAATCTGTTGTTTATATTTTAGTTATTTTGGTTGAATCTTTTCGATATTTTAAATTCAAATCTACTGTGGAATTAAAAGTACTTGAATGTTACATCAAATTGTTTGAATGTAATACATTTTTTAAATTATTTTAAGAACTAGATTTTTCTTAAACTTCATGATTCATATTAAAAATTGATTTCGGACTCCCATTTAAGCTATTTGATTAATTGAATATATTGTTGAATTTCTGACTTTTTTTCACTTTCTAAGTTTATCCTTATAGATTTACAGTCGAATCCCCATAGTTATAATTCATATTAGGTGAATCATCTATTTTTAATTTAAAAAATTGAATAAATTTATCAAAGAGTTTTTGTTTACCTATGCTTCTAATGCAATAACTTTATAATTTAGATGGTGAGAGTAATGATAAATCTTCCTTTTAAGAAAGTCTTTTAATCGATCTCATTCTAATATTTTTCAGATTAAAAAATTGCTGCTAATAATTTTAGAAATTATTTATTGACTCTTCTTCGTTGCTTTTTTCACTTAGCAAATCTATTTTCTTGTACAAAATCATTCCTATTTAAGAAATAATAAAAAGTTAGTTTTTAAATTAATTTAAAGCAATTTAATCTCATAATTGTGATGATGTATTTATTTATTTATTTTAAAAATATATTAGCGTTGTATTTTAATATAATTAAGATCTATTTTCAAACAATTAATTTGAAAAAATTTTTATTTTAAAAATTCAAAAATAAATTAATGTTTTTTCAAAATTAAATTTTACTTATAACTTAGAAAGTAGTTAGCTCTCCTTTTTTCTTTTCATCTATAGACTAGCTGAAAAGTTTGTAAATTTTCTTCCAGTTTTATTAAACCCTTTAGACATTGGTAATTTAATTAGCTATTTGTAATTACTTTGGTACTTTCCTATTCCACTGCTTGACAAAAAAAAGATAAAAAGTAAGCACTTTTGAATTAGAAACAATCATAGTCCATATAATGAGGAAACATAACTTCAAAACAAATATTATTATTAAAGAGTAAATAATTAGTGCTAAAATAAAGTTAACTTTTGGGTAGTTGATTTGATTGTAGAATATACAGATTTGTAGGCAAATTAATATGATTATATTATTTTCCAAGTCAAGATTATTTAGATTTTAGTTTGAATGAGGTTTCATATTCTAAACCATTATTATGTAAGAAAAAACTATAATACTCATTAAAACTCCTTAAATAACTGCATACTAATCAAAATAATTTAAAATAACTATAATCAATGCCTTTTTAAACAGTTTTACGAATTCCCAATAATACTTATGCTATCTATATTCTGAATATATAAAATCATATATATTCCTAGTCCTTATATTTTTACCTTAGTTAATATTTTTGATGTGGCTTCTTATCTTTAAAATTATTACTATAGGTGCAACTAACACCCAAGTTATCAAAGATGGAATGATATATTTATATATCAAAGCTTTATGAGAAACAGTTAAGCATTAATATTAAACATCATTTAATATATACAATTTTTATCCAATTTACCTACAGCTTAGTATACTGAGCATAGTTTATAATGTGCTAGGAAACATAAAGAAATAGATTAACAATATTAAATTAATGCAGTGGTGCTAAAGAGATATTGATCTTATCAAAAAAATTTTGAGTATTGCAGAAATTAGCATTATGAAAACGATGAAGAATAACGGCATAACTATGCTCTAAATAAGCTTAATTTCTAGCATAAAATTTTAATTAGTTGTATTGTGAATACAATTGTAAGGATAGTATAAAGATTGAACAGGATTCCCTAATCCTTCTTAAATGTTTTAAACCAAAAATTGATGGAGCTTAAAAGTATTCAAAAAACTTAAGACTTAAAAGAAATCAATCAATACTTTTGAGTAAAAAGATGTTTAATCTCTCTTAATTGACTTATTCAAAAATATAATTCTCATTTTTTTCAAAATGTAATATATTTTTGCTTGATATTATTAATATAATAATTTGTGAAGTGTAAATCCTATATAAGCCATCATGCAAAAAGTCTTCAAACAATAAAGTAGAATTTACAAAGGCTTTAAATTAAAAAAATTATAATTAACAAATAACATATTAATTTTTATTTTACCAAAGATAAACATTTTTAACACTCATATTTCGTAGATCTAGTAAAATAGCCATGTCCTTACAAATTAAAATAATCACAACTTTCACAAAGAGGCCCTTTTTTAAATATAATTAAAATTTTATTTTATTAAAATGAGATATTTCAAATCAAGAAACTCTTATTTATATATTACGAATTATTAGGAAAATATTCCTTTTTTTTATAAAAATTTTACTATTGTTAATTTTTATATTAAACATAAAAAATATTATTTTTGTATGATTTATTTAGAAATATATAAAAATTTTTGCAATGCACTTTTTTAAATAGTAAAATTATATATTATACAATGAAAAAATAATGATACCTCTATATCCGGGAGAGCAATATGGGTCGATTCTATTATTATTATGTGTTTCTTAAAGACAGTTTTAAGGCGAATTTTCACAATATAAGATTTAATCAGTAAAAAAGTTTTCTCTCCAATACCCGTCTTTGAGGACTATGGTATCTTCTACACAATATCGAGCTCCAATTGGGCAATTTTAGCAAGACGCAGTCTCATTTAAAGAATCTAATACTTTTAGAGAGTATTTTCCTTATTTTAAATAAAATATAATTATAATATTTTTTAATATTAACTTTTGGTTTTAAACTATACCTTAAGGACATGGTAAACATTCAATTTAATCTCCCCTTATTGCATAAACCTCACCTCTTCTGCATTTTCTGAACTTTATACTTACATACTTAATGATCATTTGACTAGTAAACTACTGATAATTTTCTGATAATTAAAAGTTATTGATTATGTAATTCGACTGAGGTATTATTAGACTTCTTATGTAGAATTATGTTTAATTATTAGGTATACCTATAAAACTTAAATTAAATAAAAATGAAGAAGTTACTGGGCTATATAAATCAAACTCTTATATTAAATTTCCATCTATCAATAAATTAGAGTTTGCAATAGTTCCTATTTCAATTTTGAACAACTGCTTCATAAGTTATATTTAATTAATTCCCAATGGTAAAATGCTTTGATCTAAGGCATTTAAAATATTATCCTCTTCATCAATAAAAGAAATTTATAAATAATTTTTTAATGGCTAACCGCTTGCATAATCATTTAATTCTTTTTCTTGATATTTTATCTTTAAACCTATTGGATAGGATCCTACATTTTTACCATAAAATAGACCTTTGTTATCCTTTATTATGTTAGTTTCTAGACTAATATTTTATGATAATGATTATGAATTTTTAATATTTAGTAAACTTAATCTTCTTTGATGAAATTCAACCACTGCTAGTGGTAAGTAAAAGTTATAAAATATAGCACCTCCTACTGCAGCCTTATTTTTTGTTATATTTGTTGAAGTAATTTAAAAATCACTGTATAGCGAATTAATAGCTCCTCCATAAAATGGGGCAGTGTTATTTTATATCAAGCATTCAATTATAGTGTTTTAAATTTCCTACTAATTTTATTAAATACCTTTAATATCATCGAAATTAAAAATAAGTTAATTAGAAAAAAAGATATTTTCATTATTGTTGTTTGTTAAATTTAACCCTTGAACTATTTTTTCTGAACTTAAGCAGTACTACAAAGTAATAGCTCCACCACTATCTCTATAATTAATATTGGATAGGAATTTTGACTTCTCTAATTTAAATTATGACTCAAAAATATATAATAGTGATTGATAAGTTTCGTTTTCAATAAATAGACTATCCACTAAATATAGATTTGTATTTTAAGTAAAAATCATATTTTAAGGAAAAAAACAAGAAATAGAAGCTTCTTTCATATCATCTGGTATTTAAGTCTAATTGATATTATTTAAAATTAAATAATCATAGCTTTCTAATAAATACTTTCTACATTTAGGTTAGAATTTATTTAAGGATATATTCAAATTATTTAATTTGGTTTAGTTAGCATTTTGTATTACTATTGGTGTATAATAAAATTAATTTTATATTAAGGTAATATTGCTTATTGTTATTTTAATGTTTTTCAATTCAAATAATTATTAATCCATATTTAGTGATAGTTTGTTGAATGAGGATATAAGCGATAAACCAGTATTATTATAAAAGGAAATGTTTTTTAAATTAATCAAGGTTGTTGCATTGAAAAAAAATAAGTATATAGGAAATTCATTATATTAATACTAAGATTACTATTATTGAGAACCTTAATTATTGCTAGGTTTATCAAAGCTATCACTATCATAATATACAATTTAGTTTGAGTATATCTAAATACTATCAAGAGTCACATTAGAGCAAAGCGAAAATTAAAACAGAGCCTAAATATTTGATAGCTTTTTTATGTGAAAAGTGTTATTCCTAAGTATAAATTTATGGATCCTTAATTAATTAACTGTATAAAAAAATTAAACATAGTTTGAAACATAGAAGTGATAGTTTTGAATAACAAACTTCTCAATAATCATATCAGCTATAAATTTGTATGTAAATAAGGCAAATTGAATTGGAATATAAATTCTATAATTTTTATTATTACCATCTAAAATAAAATCAACGATAATATGATTATCTAAGTTAGTAATAACTGCTGAAGAATTTTTTAATTCTTGGTTAATTAAGGCTCTGTTAATGTACATATTTTTATTTTTATTTTGCAAATTTATAGAAATGTCATTATTAATTCCCCATTATAAATTATTAGCTACTATTATTTTATAATTTTGAATAAATAATATATTCAAATATAAGCTAAGATAAGAAGATGTAAAATTAAGAAAGTAATTTCCATAAGGAGTTAATTCTTTAACAGTGATTTTCTCATTTTGAGCTGGCCATGGGGTTGTATCGTCGTCAAAATTTATACTCGAAAGTAATCTAATGGTATTTCCTTTTAGCTTAAATTTTTTTATAAAATAATTAAATTAACTTTAAAAATTATTTCATATTATGGATGGTAAATTTTTAATTTTATTTATTTAATCATCAAGGGATTTTTAATAAAAAACATTTAATTTTTAAAAAAATTAACAATAACAAAATTTCTTAAAACTAAAAAAATAATTTCTAAATTAGTTAAAAAAATTACCTAGCTTTAAATTTAGTCTTATGCAGTTCTATCATATATAGAATAAGAATTCGGAGTTAAATTTTGATATGAAATTATCAAGTTAGTTATAATATCCGGACTTCCAATAAACGGAGTAAAAAACATTAAATTTTAGTAATACAAAATTAGTGTTTATTCATTAATATTAAATTGCTAGTTCTAGGTATAAATCTTTTCCATTTAATTTTCAAAAATTAAAGGATATTATGAAAACTTACTTGGATTTGCTTAAATAATGCATGATTAATTATCAGTTGATTAAGTAGAAAGAATGGCTTAATGGATTGATTATTTATCATAAAAATTTAAATTGATAATTAGCTAATTATTACTTTAGCTATTTGGTTAACTAAATAATGCAGTACCTTTTGAATTTTATTATGATATGCTAAAAATTTAAGTAGAAAAGTTAAGGATACTTAAATTTGAAAACATGTTGACGTCTTTCAAAATTAGCTTATTTGCCAAATCTAGTATCAATATATGATATTTATCTTCTAGTATACAAAAAGTATTAGTTATTAAGTACAAATTCTATATGTAACTATACTATGAATTTTTAAATTTCCAATAGTACAATAAATCATTCATAGTGAAAATGTTTAATTAGAAACTATTAAAAATGAATAAATAACCAGTACTAATTCTAAGCTTATTTTTTTTATCACAAGGAGTAGCTAGCTATCTCACAATATTGAGATTTACTAATTCATTACTATTTGATTACTGTTATTAAAGACTTTAAATATTCTGCAAGGAATATACATCGATACCTCTGTAGTTTCTGAACACAAACATAAATAAATTTTTGTATATTATTATTTTATCTATTTAAACATCTTACGATTAGCTATTCAAACTTATGCTTTGTTTCCTTTATAAATCATAAACTAAAATTTAATTATAGTTAATTCTTCCATTTTCTGAGGTATTTGCTAGAATAGCCAAGTAATTATAGCAAGGACTAGCTTCATCATCACACAAATTTTTTTGATTTGAATATTTATAATACTCTTCACTATACAGTTATATATTTACAATTAGGCTATTTTAAAAGTGAGTCAAATTATATTTTTCATAATTTCGAATTTGTTAGCTGCTTGTATCATTTATATAAAAAAGAGTAATTGATGTTTAAGTTTAGATGAATAATATAAGTTAACTGAGATTATAATTTTCATTAACAGACATTTTGACTAAACTTTAATCTTAGAAAAAACTACTTTATATGAGTATATTTTCTGCATAAGTTTTATTTTAAAAGCTAATGATTAACTCAGCAATTTCTCCGCTGTCTTTATTGTAATAAAACCTGTCTTATAAAGTAAACAAAAAAAAACTTTTTATATTATTTTGACTAATTGAGAAATAGAAGGTATCTTATACTTGAATTAGATTTCCGTCACTACTATTTTATGTGTTATTTGAAAATGAATACATATTTATTTTTTAATTTTATTTAAAGAAAAGCTAGTTTTTATAGTTATTTGAATACAATTAATTATTTATTTAAGATAATCCAATCATTCCAAGGTTTTCTATTACATATAATCCATTTTACTCTGATTAAAGAGGAGATATAATGTAATTTGATCGGCTATCATAATAAACTATATTTTATCCTAAAACTGTGAAATACTAACTAAATGAACCTTTCACTGAAGAATCTTTGTTTTCTAAGTAACTACTAATGATGTATTCATAATCAAGATACCTTAAAGCTCCACTAAAATGCCCAATTATAATTACATTAAATATATTATCTAAGTAAATTAATGAAATAGAATCTGGCTAAAAATTAAGATTTATTATTTGCTTTCCATTTTAATAATCCCAAAGATAGATGAATCCTTAGGCAGTATAGCTGATTATGACTTAGCATTCTTAATCAATTATAAACTCAGTAACTTCACTATCATGATTCAGAGTATTAATAATTTGACCATTATAATTGTAGATGAATATACCTAATATTTTCAAAGTAGAATTATCATAATTTAAAAATAATTTTTTGAGAGATAAATATTATTTAAATTACCAATTTTGAATTTTAAAATAAAAAATTAATTTAAGAAGAAATAATTGATTATTTTACTTGTTGATGAAAATAGAAGATGTTACTTTTCAGAATCTATTTAAAGGTATGTAATATAACCAAATATACAGGAGTAATAAGTTAATGTAATAAATTAATCTAAGTCAATAGCAATTACTTATCCAGGAGCAATAACTTAGAATAAAATATTATATTTATTATCTACTACATATTATCCTAATTGAATTATATTAGTGCTTGTCAATATTGATTAGAGATTTAAATCAGGCAAAGTCTAAAATATTATTTAGTTATATATGTTGTATGACCTAATTTTAAATATTATAATAAATAAATTAATTAAATTAAAAAATTTAGTATTTACATTAATAGCGAGTTATTTAAGATTATTGCGATATCAAAAATATCATGAACTAAAAACATTTTAATCAGTTCAAAATTTGAAGAATTGAATATATACATAATGTTATCCAGGTCAATAAAAATAAAGAACTATTCAGAAAATTGAAAATCTACAGAACCTGAGATAGAAATTTCATTATTAATTAAGTAATCAATTGTAGAAATGTTTAATTAAGGATAACTGACTATAGTAATTTAACCTAAAAAATCTGTTATCAGGGCATATTTTTATTTTTTATTAATGTATACTTGCTGTATGATATTATCTTAAGGAATTTAGATTGTTTAAATAAACTGAAATGCAGGATAGCTATTTAATAAAAATAAAATTTAATATAATCCAAATGAAATAAATTAGATACCTGTAAAAGACTAGCTAGTTAAGCGAATCAACAAAAAATATTTAATTTGCATCTTTTAAAACATAAAAAGCTAAATACTTTGATGAGGTTTAGTATGAGTTAGAAATTATTTTATTCTAAAGATAAACTTAGGCATAAAAAATATTTTATGGATTTGTATCTGCACTAAGACTTAGGAAAATATTTTATTTTAAATCCAAATAAAACTATATTAAACTGCTTTAGTGTAAATTTTTCTTTATTAATAAGTAATTTACAGGTGGATATTATATTTTATAGACTACAGACTAAGTATCGATAGCAATTATAATATTTAAATCTAAAAGTATTTAAATATCTTCAAATGAGAGAGAATTATTATTTATTGTACTCATTTAATTACCGTAGCAATCAAGCACAGATAAGCCCCCTTACTTTTTATTTAAAACTATTAGTTTCCTTGCCTTTAAAATATGAAATAAATTTAAATAAAAACCAAAAAAAAATTGATAAAATTTACTTAATCATAGAATATTTACTAAATATATGAAGAAGCTTCATAAAAAGAAACAAGCAACTTGAGTTATATACAATCTAAAATTGCTAAGATTTGATTAGAGGATTTCAGAATCAAATATTAGTTTTGCATTTAAGCATAAAAAATAGTATAATTATCAAACTAGTTAAAATCTTATATTAAATCATTCATTGTATTAAAAAACTGGATGTGTCCATTATCTAATATAAGAATATAGTAAGGATCTTAAGAAAAAAGATACAAAATTTAATTACTAAATGCTTTTTAAGATAGCATTGTTAGATTATCTAAATCAAATATGCTTAAATTATTAAATGAATTTAAAGAAATCAGCTATTTTGATAAAATACTAACTTGAGTTAGCTCAGTATAGTTTTAACTGTTTGATAAATTATCAATAGGTAATTTATAATTTTTGAAAGGAGTTTAAATATTGTTATTTATATCAAAAATTAACAAAACTTAATTAGTATCTTAGAAAATAATGTATTTATTATAAAGAATAGCTCTCATTGAAGAATAGTGCTCTTTTAAATCCAATTGCTAAATAAGTTATATATTTTGAGCTATGTCAAAAATATAAATTGTATAATCAGAACTGCAAATTAAAATGTTATTCTAAGTTTAAATACTATATACTGAATTCATATCAAAATAAACTATTTTTTGCAGGGTAGGGTATTTATAAAAAAATGTGCCAATTTAATAAGATATGATTATACAATTATTCCATGGAGACTAATCATTTTATATTATATAGTAATATGGCATAAAATAATTAGAATCATAAGGAAGAAAAACTTGATTTACTAGCTTATAAGTAGGTAATTACCAAAGTTGTAAAAACTATCCTTACAAATTCAATGCATAACCAGATATGTATATGGGGTCAGTTAAGCTACCATCTGGTTATTTTTATAAATAATTAAATATTTGCTCGTTATTTTTTACTGAATTTACTATAGATTATACTACGAACTCTAATCTACCATTCAGATTATAAATATCCATCTGCACATCATAAGTGATAATCTTATCTTTTATTCTCACTATATTGTATAAATTCAAAGGATTCACAGTAAAATTAGAATTAATTATCTTGAGCTAACTATTTAGCTGAAGCAATTTCTTAGATGCAAGCAAAGAAAAAATATAAGTATCTTTAACTACATACTTATTAGCAGATTAGATTATTATTTCATTTTAATCCCAAAAAGTATCTTATAAATCTAAATCAATTTAATTAGTGTTCATTCTAATTATTGTTTATTTAATACAGTCCATTTAATATTTCCAAATGTGCTCATATATATCTATCAAAATAAACTCAATTACTCCATTTTTCGATTAGTCAATATTTGGAGAATTATTCACTTAAAAATCTCCATATTGATCAATATAAACGCTCTAGAAATTAGCATAACTAACAATCAGATTAGTTATATCTAATGTAATCAGGTGAGCTAATCCTTGGTCATTTTTTGGGAAGTTATCTAAAAAGCAAGTACTGTTTTTTTTTAAATTATCTAGAAATATGACATTTAAACCCTTATACCCAAATATAAAAACTGCATTAATAGATGCTTCATAATAAAGACTTCGTATAAACATTGGGTTGGTCTAACATTAGAAAACAGGGTAAACTTGTTAAGAATTGTCAATTTGTTTGATCTTCAGTTGATATGGTTCATATAAAAATTACTTTTGATTAGTATACTAAAAGGATACAAATGAATTCTAGCCAAAATCTGTTATATTAAATAAAACCACATCATCATCAGTAAATAAGGATATTCTTGAATAATAACCTTGTTAACTTTATCCTACAAAGTACTAATCAAAAACAAATGATTTAAAGTTACTTATTTTAAAATTATTTTGTAAATTGATGCTTTTTAATAAGTTAAATTGTTTTAAATCCCACAAAGCTAGTATTGATTCATCATAGGATACTAAATATCTATAACTCTAATTAAGTTAAAAATACTAACTTTCTGATTATTCAATACTTTTGTTAGCAATTATTATATTTACTCCTCTAATCATAAATTTATGATAAGTTAATTTTTTAATTAGGATAGCGTTTTATATCCATATAAGTATTACGCCATTTTAGTCATAAGAAATAAAATAACCAGTCTAAGGATCAAAAAATATTCCCCAAACATAGGCCTCATGATAAACTTAGTTCAGATCTTAGATTGTTGAACATGGAGAAAGATTATCACATGTCATTGTATCTGGATTCTCTTATGTAAAATTTGGACAAACTCTTACACATGATTAGGAATTCTTATCGAAGAGGAGTCCATCATTACATCTTGATGTACAGATTACATTTTGGTAATTATTATTTTTATTAAAGCTAGAATTAGACTCAGATTGAGTATTTAATACACTAATGTCTATTTCAGAGAAATATTGAGTTTTTAATTGAAAATTGCTATAGCATTTTGTGCATTAGTTTTCATTAATACATTACATACAGTTATTTCCACATTTTTAACAAATTTTACTCTTTTTATTACTATAATAGCCTAAAGGACATGTACCAACACATGAATTTTAAAATAAGCTTTTATTAGGATCTGCACATGCTTAGCAGTTATAGGGATATGGGCCAAAACAAGCTAAACAGTCTTTGTGACATTAAATGCATTGTGAATTAACTAACGATTCAAAACTATTAATTTATGCTTCTTGCAAAGAAGAAGTAGAACATGTGTTTTCGAGTTAAATGCAGTTGATTCCATTGACTAATAGCTCGAAAATAAACAGTTTATGAAAAAATATTATTTAGAAAATAAAAATTTCTCTCATTTTTTGTTGATTATTAAGTAGAGTTATAAATAGAGTATTTTTTGTTCTTTCAAGTAAAAAAAACTTTAAAAAATATATACCTGTTGATTAATTGTTTTCTTTTATATTTAATTACTCTTAAAGGAATTTAGTAAAATCTATTAGAGTTATATTGCACTTATTCAATCTGAATTTTTTAGTGATAATTTATATGAAATCACCAAGCTGTTTGTTTTTATCAAATATGTTATGTCATTTAATAAATGCGCCTTTAAATATGTTAACATTTTAATATATATTAATGATTACACAATTATTAATGTAAAAGTTATAAATAAATTTCAGCTAATATTTCAATAACAACATTTTAGATTATTTTCATTTTTTTACTGATTAAAGTAAAATAATAATATAAATATCTTGAAGCTTTTAAAAAATAAATAATAATAAATATGATTTTTAATTAGGCTAATCATTTTAAAAAATCAACAAAAATTAATTAGAAAGTTAAAAAATTGCTTAAATAAAAGATTATTCCTTAAATACTTTAAGGTTTTAAAATTTTTTAATCAAAAATTTAATTTGTATGTAAAATATCTTTGAATATCAGATATTTTATTTAATGGCAAAATATAGTATGTTTTTGTTATTAAAATCAAATTATTGAATGGTTTTTTGTGTCTATTAAAAAATTTATTTACTTTACTATTATCAAAAAATATCAATATCATTTAAAATAATTTTAATATTTTCATATATTTAAATAATTAAATAAATTAATCAGTCAATAATTTAATTGCTAAATATTTTAATTTAAAAAATATTATTAAAATTAAAGATTTTTTACTATTAAATTAAAATATATTATTTGATTACAAGACCTTAGTTAATTTTTATATAGAAATTATTAAAAAAAAACTAATTGCAAAAAATGTTTTTATTTAAGATTAGATGTAAATTTAATTCAAAAAAACAATTTAAAAATTTTAATCTCCCCCAAAAAAAATAAAAATATTTTTTTATTAATAAATTTCAATTTAAGCTTTTATTATTATAAGTTAATGTCAGATTATTTTATTTTAGAAATTTTATAATAATTTTTAAGAATATTTAGTTTAATTATTATAGATAGCTTTATGAATTGATTATATTAAAATAACATTTGCATTTTAAACATAATATTTCATTAATATTTTTCTTTTTATTAATATCTAGAGTTAATTAATTCAAAATATTATTTGTAAAATTAGAAATTTGTTAAATAAAAAATAATTTAGAGAATAACACTGAAACAATAAATACGAGTACATTTATTCTACATAAGAGAAAAATAAAGTCAATCTTACAAGAAAAATGAAATCACTTAGGTAAATAAATTGAGAAGAGTTCCTCTTCAAAATTTTAGAGAGATTAATTCTCATTAAAAAAAAAAAATCAACTATAACTCAAAATACTTCTACTGATTCATGTTTTAAAGACTAATGATAAAGATTTAATCTAATTGTGGTGATAAAAAATATTTACAATTTTATCATATTACTTTCTTTATTTAGATATAAGCCAGTCATAAACTATAGCACAAGCTTAATGTAAATCTTATTGATTATATATCATGAAAGTAGTTTATAAATAATAATGAATGTTTTGAGTGTCAGTGAAAAAAGCTTTAAAGTTATAATTTTGAAAAACATTTTTCGATTTCGATTGTTATAAAATAAAATATATTTAAACTGCTTGATAATTGATTTGATACTACAAAATTTATACTCTACTTGACTTATAAAATGAAATAAAATTATTTATTTTAAAAATAAATATTTATTATAATATTTAATTGATCTTTACTAATAAAAATGTAAAAGTTCTACTTAACAGATGGCCTTAAATTAATAATATGTTTAAGATGTAATATGATTTTTTTATTAAAAAAATTAATGGATAATTAAAAATTAAGAGAATGATTTATTATTTTAAATAAAACACTTTTTAAGATAAAATGATTAATATAAGCAGATTGAATAGTATAATATCTAATAGTTGTTTATTTGGCATACATATAACTAAACAATAGCTTCTAAAATATGTTAGGTGATAGAAGGACTTTAAATTTGCTAAATTAAATATAAAAATAATAAATTTACTCAATCTCTCATGTATAAAAGTCCCTATATATAATTTAGATGCCAGAAACACTTATTTCTTAATTAATTAATAATTAGTTAATATAAGTAATTTTTTATATAAATAATTTAAAATAGATAAACTTTAAAAAGATCATAACCTTAATTATAACAAATATTATAATATTTAGGAATTAATGTAATGATTATGTAATTAAATTTTAAAGCAAAATGTATCTTATGAAATCTTAAAATCAAATAGAGTTTAAAATGCAAATAAGATACAACAATTCATTAATTAATTTAAATTTAGTAAATGAGGAAAAAGTTTAAGAGGAATTTGTCATTTAAAAATTTTGATATCACTAAATGTTTGTAAATAATCAATTGATTAGATTCTTAATTTAGAAATTTTTATCAAATTGATAAATCATAATTTAAATAAGTACGATTTTAGAGTTTAATCAAATTAGAAAAAAACACTTGTATGTAGCCAATAATAAGAATGAATTAAAAGTAGGAGTTATAAAGAGATCAGCAGAATGTCATGTAATAAAGTAGTTAAAACTTCTATTAAATGTATAATGGGTAGTATCAACAATAAAATTATCACAGTTATACATTCTAAAATTAGTATGCTAGGTAGTAATTCTAACCTTAACCATCAATAATATACTATTCTTATCCAGTTTTATACAATCCAATCTAATATTGCACAAGCAGAATGTATGCAAACTAATAAGTATGCTATCCTGAGTAAAATATTTGCAATGATTTCTAATCAAACCTATAGACAGGGACACAACATATAGATAGTTAGAATGAAATGAAAACTTTTATACAAAGCTAAAAAGATTCAAGATACAATTTTATGTGCGAAGCAACATAATAAGAATAAAAAACAATAGGATTAAAAAGTAAATTTTTTACTCTTTTAATAAATAGAATGTCAAATTTAATACAAATTAAGTTTTAATTAACAATTAAACTAGAATTATTAAAATAATTTTTCTAATATAAATAAAATAAATTAATTTGAATTAGAAGAAACTCATTTGAGTTATTTCTTTTTTTCTTCAAGAATTCTTAAATAAATTATGTTATAATTGATAGAACTGAAAAAGGCATAATTTTTTATTATGAAAGCAAATTTTTATTTCATTAATTTTTTCCTTATTAAAATTTCAATCGTTGTTAAGAAAATTTAATCTTTTAAAAATAATTAGTAAATTATGAATAAGAAGACTAGATCGGTTAAAAAAAACAAAATTTTTAAATCGATTAAAGATAAAATGAAGTTTTTTCAAAAGATGAGACAAACCAATTAACTCAAAAAGCAAAATACAATGGTAATTTTTATTTTAATTATGATTGATTCTATATTGAAAAAAAATTTTAACTCTTAGACAAAAAAAAGAATTTTGTAATTTTAATTTCTGAATCAGAAAAATAAAATAATCCATTTTCATTTTGAATAAATCATTAAAGCAAAAAATAATATTTTCTCACATTAGATTTTATATGTAAAGATAATGAGCACTTTAGTAACAACGTATTTGATGATAAATAGCAGAATTTTAGATATGATGCTGCAAATTATACAAATAATGATCGTTAATTATAAAAGTAAAAGAAATAGCTCAAATAATAATAATCTGTAAAAATAATAATAAAAGATGAACAAAAACTCATAAAGAGTAATTTAAAAAAAGAGTTTTCTACTAAAGAGGAATAAGATGCTAAAGATGAACAGCAAAATACAATATATAATAGATAAATTAGTCAATAACAGCTTATGAGTAGTAAATAATCAATTAATTCCTCTTAAGAAAAGGTTAGTATTTACAACAAATTTGAAAAAAGTGATGAGGATGATTAAGATAACTAAGAAATTTAAAAAGTACAAGGTTAATCAACCTTATTTACACAAAGAGATGACTTAGATTAATCAAAAAGCTATTAAATTAATTCATACAATTATGAGAATTTTTAGTTAAATGGAAGCTAATAAAATCAAGCCTCTCCTAAATTATAATTAAGTATTAAAAACAATAAAAAAGAATCTAAGATATTCAAATTATCTTATCAAATAGAAAATTTAGAAAGAGGAGAAAAAGATAAAAGTATCAATGAATTTTTTAAACATAAACTTTAGAAAACAAATACAATAAAAGAAGACCTAGAGCATTCAAATAAAATTTTTCTTGAAAAAGATGAATTTGTTGAATAAGAAATTAGTAATGATAGTAATGATTATAGCAATCATTATTATATTGATGCAAAAGATAATTCAGGGCACCAAGCAAGCTTGACCTAATCAAAAAAAGTATTTAAATCTATGAAAGAAAAAAGAGATGCGACCAATTAAATTTTGTCAAAGTAAATAGATAAACATATTAATGATTAAAAATAAAACTTAATGGATCAGATTAGTATAGAGGAAAGAGATATTGTAAAATAAGCTTTATAAATTAACAGATAGAATGCTAACAAAAATATTGTTAAAGCTTTTTAGAAAAGTGTAAATGAGACATTGACTCACACATTTGAATACAAAAAGAAAGATTCTAGTAGTTACTACTATAAAATATGTAAAGACGAGGAAGTAATAAGGAATGAAAATCCAACTTAGTTAGAAAAAATTTAGTTTTTGAAAAAATTTAATAAATTTATTTCTACGAAATCATACACTAACTTGCACATATAATAGATTATAAGCAATCGTATATATGGATAGATACTTTTCAAAGAATTTCTATAACACCAATCCTTTGAATGGCTCGAAAAAGCTAATGTCAGTAATAAAAATTAGTATAGTTTGATTTTAAATTTTTACAAAATGTGCTGTGCAAATATTTAATTGTTAGATTTCTTAAATGATATAAATATTATCTAAAAATCGGGCAGATTATCTAAATTTTAAAAAAATTCTTAAAAATCTCTTCAAAAATCTTGCGAAACTCAAATCTGTGATAATGAAAGTGAGCATCTATAAATTGATAATTGCATATGATAAATATAATATGTCCACTATTTACTGAAAATGTTATTATTCTTATTTATTCCATATTTATTTTTTATTTGAGCAAAAAATTATATAATTGTATACATAAATAAAACCTTAGATTTTAAAATAGATAAATAACAATTATTTCTTATATAAATAAAATAACATTTTTAAAAAATTGGTTTACATATTTAAATAGAATAAATTTAATAATAAATAAATTAGACATATATCATATTTTTTTTTTAAAACTGTAACAAAGTAAGGAGAATAGTTTATCTCATAATAGTGGAATAATAGGTTATTTTATAGATAAAGTAAACAATATTAAATATTATTTTATTAATAGTGTTTAAATTTCTTTTTTATTTCAAATTTTATATATTATTTTATTTAATATGCTATGTTAATTTTCAGATAGGAATTCATAAATATATCATTGGATGAATTAAAAATATTTTTTAAAGATTTATTATATAAAAAGTAAAAAATTCAAAAATATAATTTGAGAAATAAAATGTCTATTACTTACTTGCAAGGTAAGTATTTTTATTTACTCCATATTTGTTTTTTTATTTAAACAAAAAATTATATAATTGAATTCTTAAATAAAACCTCATATTTTTAAAAATATATAAATTACCTTTTTTTCTTATTGAAATAAAATAAAATTTTTAAAAAATTTGTTTACATATTTAGGTAGAATAAATTTAATAATATATAAATTAAACATATATCATAAATGATTTTTAAAACTTTAATAAAGAAAGCTAAATTTTATTGAGAACAGTTTATCTCATAGTGGATAGTGAAGATATTTTATTGATAAAGAAATCATAATTAAATATTATTTTATTAATAGTATATTAAATTATTATGTTTTTTTCTAATATTATATAATTTTATTTAATATTCTAAGTTAATTTTCAATTACAAATTCATTAAAATATTATTAGGTGAATTAAAAAATATTTTTTAAGATTTATTAAATAAATACTAAAAAATTCAAAAATAGCATTTGAGATTTAAAATGTCTACTACTTAATTGAAATGTAACTATTTTTATTTACTCCATATTTGCTTTTTTATTTAAAAAAAAATTATTTAATTCGATTAGTAAATAAAATCTCAGGTTTAAGTATAGATAAATAACTATTATTTATTATTTAAATAAAATAAATTTTTTTTTAAAAACTAGTTTACATATTTATATAGAATAAATTTAATAATATTTAAATTTAAAAAATTTTTTAAAACTGTAACAAAGTAAGCTAAATTTTATTGAAAATAATTTATCTCAGAGCAGATAGTGAGGAAATTTTATTGATAAAGAAACCAAATTTAAATATTATTTTATTAATAGTGTATTAAATTATTATATTTTTATTAATTTTATATTAAGTATGAAAATTAAATTTTAATTTTATTTAATATGTTAATTTTGAATGAGAAATTTATTAAATATAATTACAATATTTAAAAAATATTTTTTAGTAAAAAATTAAAAAATAGCATATGAGAAATAAAATGACCATTACATATTTTATATGTAATTATTTTTAATTATTTATTCCATTTTTTTTATGTGACCAAAAAAACTATATAATTGAATTAATAAATAAAACCTAAGATTTAAATATTGATAAATAACTTATTTAAATAAAATAAATTTAAAAAAATTAGTTTATTAATTTATATAGAATAAATAAAATATATTAAATAAATTAAATATAAATCATAAATTATTTTTAATACCAAAATAAAGAAAGTTAAATTTTATTGAGATTAGTTTATTTCATAGTGGATAAGGAGGATATTTTATTCGTAAAGAAATAAATATTACATAATAATTTATTAATAGTGTATTAAATTTATATATTTTTTTCTAATATTATTTAACATTTTATATTAATTATATTTAATATATTAAGTTAATTTTCAATTTGAAATTTGTTAAAATATTATTAGGTGAATTAAAAAATATTTTTCAAATATTGATTATAATTAGTAAAAAATTCAAAAACTGAACTTTTTATTATATAAATGGTAGTTTTTTGTTTGTTCGTTTGCTAATATAATTTATTAAAACGAATTATATTAAAAATTTTCTTAAAAGTATTGAGTTTTTATGTATTTTTGATTAATTAAATTTTTAATTGGTAGGATTTTAGATTCTGCTTAGATATAATATCAATTAAAAGATGAGTACTTTAGGTAAAGTTTCATAATTTGATGCTGTAGATGATGCTGTTATAGTTAATATAATGGTTGAAGAAAGGTAAAAAACTTTAAGAGAAAAGTCTAAATCATTCTCGAACCATATCTTAGATATAGTTGTGCTTGGAGGAATAAATATCTTATTTGCTTCATTATTTTATTTTGGTTATTATGTTGATTCTTTTCATGAAGAAGCAGATGATAACGATGGTTAGTGCAAAGAATTACTAAAGTGTTCTAAATAATTAGCTATTTTTCATACTGTTTGTGTATTTATTTATGTCCTATTACCAGTTTTATGCTACCTATGTGCAAACAAAGAAGATCCAAAATATTTTTCATCATTCAGAACTTTCAATTTGGCTATTTAGACTATATGCTTCATGGCCTTGATAGTACTTACAGGACATACTTTAAATTCAATAGCAAAAAAAGAGCCATGTGGTAGTTTAAAAATAGTTTTCATTAGTTATATCATTTTAGCTATATGCTTTATAATTGCTATTTTAGGGATATTAATATTAAATTGGATTATATGTGATAGTCCAAAAGCAAATATCTAATCTCAAGATGCACAACCAATAAATCAAATAAAAGAATAAATAAAATATGGATCTAATTAACAAATTTGAAATACACAATTGTATATTTAATTGTTTCATGTAAAACAATACATACTTTTTAAACTGTTTTGAATTTTTATTTTAAAATAAATTTAATAATTTTTTTTTCTTTCTAATTTTTTAGGAACTTTCATAAAATTTTTAATGAGTAAATATGTCAATTTTTATTTCATTTTTTTTTTAATAAATATACTAAACTGTTTATTTTTTGATATTATAAATTTCTTATTTATTATTATTTAATTTAATTTAAATTATATTTCAAGATAATATGCTAATTTAGGTAAATAATCAAGAGAATCATCTCCTAAATATTTTATCTATTATTAAAACTATAATATAGTACAGCTATTATAAATCAAAATTATTTTTAAAAAATAAAATATATTTTTTATTTAATTTATTATTATAAAAATGTGTTAATTAATTTATTAATTAGAATGAATAACTCCAAAGTAAATAACTTATTTTAGTTTTTTTTAGAAAAAAAGGAATTCTAATAAAACATTTCTCATTAACAATTTTTTTATCTTCTTAATATAATTATTTATTTTTATAAAATTATTTCCATGAATTTTTCTACTTTAATATTTAACATGATTAATATTAATTATCATCAATAATTTTCTTAGATGTTCTCTGAAACAAAAACCTTATGAAACTAATAATTTAATTTACTGAAGTATCTGAATTTTGCAATTAATAATTAGTTTCAAAAGTATTTAATTTTTAATTTTCTTATTTTAAGGCAATAAATAGATCAAGCGAAAAATAAAAAAGTAACATTTAATTAAAAAAAATTTAGATACATAATCAAAAGGTTAAGTTAAAAAAACAATTTACAAAGCAAACTTTTTCAATTTAAAATTATTATTTTTATTAGCAAAATTGAAATATACTTCTTTTTAATGCATTTGAAGAACTTAAAATTGTTTTTTTACTTTATTAAATTAATTTTAAATTGAAATAAAAAAAATCTATTATTCTACCTACTAGTGTTACATGAACATTTTAATAAGAATTAAATGTAAGGATAATAATTTATTTTTTCTAAAAAAATATTATAGCAAAATTTGATTAAGAATCACTTTTTAAGAATTAAATAATTAATTACCCACTATTTTATATGGGTTCTAATTGTGTCAGCGAAAGCAAAAAGTTATGTCAAAATGATATGCAGATAAGCACCAATATTCAGAGCTAGCCTATTAAAATGATGGGTGAAACTATCAATAGGCAAGATATTGAAATTAATAGTAATAGGTTTGCTAAAAAAAGTAATAATAATTATGATAGTAGAAATAATTGTTAAAGTAAATAGGATTGTTTGGAAGAATATATTGCTCGAAATGAAGAACTTATAGAATTCGAATAAGTAGGAGAGTTTCCTTTCTTAAATATAGTTTCTATGAAAGACATAAAAATGGTAAAAACTAAATTGCTTGACTAAGAATCTTAAAATTTTAGTTAAAATAAATTATTGATGTAAAGTATAGATATAAACTATTTAGCAAATTAACAATACTAACTCTATTATGATGGTAAGTTAAAGAAAATTCTAATACAGTAGCACTTAAAAGTGATATAAAAACCTAGTTTTGGCTAAATTATGAAACATATTTAGTTGGAACCTACAGACAATCTCATCTATTCTTATAATAAGTATAAAAATGAATACAAAACTCATAATGCTCACAAAAAGAAATTTGATGTAGATAGTTAATCTTAAATTTAATATAGCCTTGCTGAAGATTTTAATATCAAAAAAAAGAAACTAACCTTAATCCTCAACTAATGTCAAATTCAAGATTAAGAATTTATTATCAACATTATGCAATAAAAACTTTATCACCTATCAATAAAACTAAATCATTAAAAACATTAAAATTTTTTAAATAACATATTATAATAAGTTAGATCAAAAAAACTATCTTTAGAAATTTAAAATATTGATTATCATCTCTAGCCTTGCTCAATACCTAGTTTAAGCTGTTTCAAGATAAATTTGTAAGGGTTTAATTGTTCTTCAAATAATTTTGAATTCTAAGAAAGTTTATTTTTCTTTTACTGCTGCAATTAATAAACAATCTAAACTTTAAAGATAAAAGCAAGAAAATGCTCAATTAACCACTTTTTTAGCCTATTAGAGGGTGAAATTTTATCAGAAAAATCCTCTGCCCTACATAAAATTTCTTTGGATTTAATTTTTTTTGGCTAATATCAAAATGATATAAGCCTGATAGAAAGCATGGAAAAATTATTAAGAGAAGCTGTATTTATCTAAATATGGAACCTATCTTTCAAATTCAAAGAAATTGTGGCATTCGAAGCTGCAGGAGAATTTGAAAAAAATTCTCACGGATCTTTATGTGAAAGCTATTTAATAACATAACCAAAAGAAAGCTTTCTCTAAAATAGGATAGATTAAAGCTCCTTTCTTTCTCCAATAATAAAACATAAGGAAGCTAGCCCTAAGCAAAATATTAAAAAGCTGAGTATTGACCATAAATTTAAATACTAATAACCGAGTTTATCAAACTTTGATTAATCAGTAAACATGAATAAAATGGCTAATCAATAATCTAAAAAACTTTCTAACTTTAAAAAAAGCATCAAATAAAACAATTTATAAGTTAATAATAATAAACCATTTTTAATGTTAATGTAAGAATTAAAGTAGTAAGCTAATAACTTATAAATTGATCCTTCTTATGATTCTTTTTAGGAATAAAGTAATTAAAGTTATGGTCATATTCCAAAATCTCCTGAAAGAGTAACTTTTGCAAATAATAACGAAGTACCTTACTCCACAATAAAGCATATTGAATAAATACATCACCAACAAATTGTAAGATAAAGAAACAAATCATTGTTTTTAGACTCTTCTATTAGCGTTGGCATAGATCTGATCAATGAAAAATAGTTTGAGGAAAGAATTAAAGAATAAAAAAACTAATTCTTCATTTAATTTGCATCTACTTTAAAATTATTATCAATAAAATAGGTAAAAAAGCTCGCTTTAGTAGATCAAAGTGGAAAATACAAAATTGAAAATGCTCTTCAATTTATATAAAACTTAACATAATTAAAATTTTTGCAACTTACATTCACACTTTAAGAAGATAACTAATTTTATTCTCTTTAAAATTTACTCAGGAATAACTAAAATAACCTATAAAAACTTTATTTAAGCATAGATAAAAATATAATAGTTTCTGTTTTTGATGATCAAAGACTATTTAACTAATTAGAAAAGATACAATCACTAAGGATTTTAGAAATTAATTATTAAACAGCTGATTTTATACCAAAGTATATCCTCAAAATGAAAAATTTACTTTATTTTAACGATTTATATTAACATAAAATAGCTCTAAATAAAAATAACCCATTTCTCAACTCAAATCAAAATAATAACAAACTTAATTAAAAAAGAGTGAATTAAAAATACTCACCAAAGTAAGAAAATTTCAATTAACTTATTTTATATCTTAAAGAAACCTCACTATTAACATTTAAATCTAAACAATTATATTTAAACATCCCAGATTCTTTATTTAACATTTTAAGCAATCACTTTCTTAAAAGAAAAATATTTTTCTATCAACTATGTCTAGCCAAAAATTACAAAATGAAATAATATAATACCTTTTATGAGTTATTTTCATTTTACATATGAATCATTTTAAAAACTTCAAATTAATATTCATTCTTAATTATTTTAAATCAAATTAATTAGGTCTCCATTATGTTTATGTTTTATTTCTATTCTATTTATTCATATTAAATTAATCTTTATTTTAGAGAAAAAATAATAAGTATTTAGAATTTTATATGAGTAAATTAATGTTTATTAAAATTTACTTAATTCTTAAATTTGCCATCATAACTTCAAAAATTAAAAAAAAAGAAAAGTTCAATTATCTCAAATTTAAAATAAATTGTATAAAAAAATGTATTTTTAAATGCTTTGTTCTACTGAAAATTCATATTTGAATTAGCAATAAAATAATTATAATTTTAATTCATGAATTAATTTTTATTTATTTATTTAGGTTATTAATACAAAATATATGAATTTTCAACATATTTAAATTCTATTTTATGGGGTTGGGGTTGGGGTTGGGGTTGGGGTTGGGGTTGGGGTTGGGGTTGGGGTTGGGGTTGGGGTTGGGGTTGGGGTTGGGGTTGGGGTTGGGGTTGGGGTTGGGGTTGGGGTTGGGGTTGGGGTTGGGGTTGGGGTTGGGGTTGGGGTTGGGGTTGGGGTTGGGGTTGGGGTTGGGGGTTGGGGTTGGGGTTGGGGTTGGGGTTGGGGTTGGGGTTGGGGTTGGGGTTGGGGTTGGGGTTGGGGTTGGGGTTGGGGTTGGGGTTGGGGTTGGGGTTGGGGTT